ATATAAAATTTAAATAAAATTTAAAAATATTAATTGTTATATCAATAACTACTATATTTGTAAATAAACTAAAATATTTAAAAATATATTCTAAAAATTACTATAATTATTATAAATTGCAAAAAGAAATTAATAAAGCATTTTTTTTAATTTAATCATTAGATTATTAAAATTTAATAAATATAATACAATTTTTATTATTATAAATAAACTTTTCAAAATAATATATTTAATTTTAATAATAAAGAAACTTAATATTAGAAAATTAGCCAGACTATTTTTTAAAGATATATAGAAATTATATAAATTATCTAAAGAAGTTATTTCAAATAAAGAAAAAAAATTTATTACTAATCTAGTACTACTTATTACTCTTAGATTAATAAATAAATCAAATAAATTAATTTTATAGTAGAATAATATCTTAAAACTTATATTAATTATTAATAGAATAATTAAATTAAATAATTATTCCTAGCTAAATATTTCTATAATAATAAAATATCTGATACTATTAAAATTTCCCCATTTATTATAAATTATAAATAGAATTTAAATATTTTTTAAAAATTAAAAAGCTATAAAATTTATATAGTAAATATTAGAATTATAAGAAATCCTATATATAAAAATCAATTATACTATATAAATACAATAAAAATAAACAAATAAACATAAATAACCATCATTTAATTATAAAAAAAAACCATATCTAACTAAATATACAAAATATTAAAATAATATAATCTTATTTAAAACTATCTAATAAAATAAAAAGTCCATTTTAGATTTTTAAATTTATAAAAAAAGAATATATAAATTAAAGTTTTTTTTTAATAAAAATTTATTTTATTTTTTATATTAATTTATTATATTTAATATTAGATAACACTTTTTTTAATTAAAATTATAAAAAATAATTCTTATTAATTATTATTAATAATAAAGAAGAATATAAAATTAAGAAAATTTTAAATTTATGAATATATTACCAAAAACTTTAGTACTTTTTTTAGTAAAAAAATTAAAATAAATCTACTTAATAACTAGCATCCAATATTACTTATACTTAAGAACTACTCAATAATTTTTATAAATCCCATCTTAATTAACTTAGTTTTTCTATTTAATATACTTAACCTCACCTTATTATTCTAATACAACCCAAAAAAAATAAACAAACTAATCAAAATTCTTCAATACTTAAACATTATTTAAGATTTATTTTTAGTATTAAATTTTTTTAATATCTAAATATTAAATTTATCTATATCAATTTATACAATAAAATTTAGAAATTACAAACTAAACTAATTCAAACCCAAAAGATTATAAGAAATTTTAATTTAACTATTAAAAATTCATTAAAACAGGTAATTAATAATTAAATCCCTAATTTAGAAAAAAAAGTCTAATCAAAAAATCCATATTCAAAATTACCAGAAATTTTAAAACTAAAAATACTAAAAATACCAAAAAAAACTAAAAAAAATCTTTTAAAAAACCTTTAAAAATTTTTGAGAAATTAGAATTCTTAAAAATTAAATGCAAAAGTAACTATAAAAAATTTATATTATTTAAAATTAATAAAAGATATTAATATAATAAAGAACTTATCATAATACTAGATTTTTGAATAAAACATCAACAAAATATTAATACTAAAAAAAAGAATTTTATAATAAAGCAATTTTAATATAATAAATTTTAAACAGAAATCCAAATAACTAGAGGAGTTTTTAGAATAATTATAAAAAACATCCAAACGATATTATAATTGGAAGAAAAATTATATAATATAATATAAATTATAGATTTAAAATAAAAAAATATTTAGATTTAAATTTTAAGATTTATAATATAAAATTATAATTATTATATTAATAAATATAATATAAAACCTATTTAGATTTTTATTTTATATAGATTTTATAGTTTATATAGGAACAACTTTTATCTAATTTAATATTTTATATATTCGAATATTCAGTTTAGATTTAATTTTTGTTTAATTTAATAAATTATATAGTTTTAATTTTTGTTTAATTTAATACTTTATATATTTGAATCTTTAATTCAAATTTAACTTTTGTTTAATTCATTTTATTATTTTTTTTATTAATTATTTATTTAAACTACTATATTTGTTATCATATATTTAGAAATTAAATAATAATTTAAATATTAATCTGTATTTATATTAGTACACTACTTTTGTTTTGTGACATTTGTGTATTATTTTGATATCACGACTAGTCCGTATACGATTTCTTACATATAAGATTAAAAGTTTATGAGATAATAAATTTAAATCCATCTATAAGATTAAAAATCCACGAAATAATAAATTTAAGTCTATTTATAAAATTAAAAATCCACAAAATAATAGATTTAAATACATCTATAAAATTAAAAATTTATTAAATAATTATTTTGGATCCATCTATAAGGTTAAAAATTTATTAAATAATTATTTATAAATCTATTATGGATTTTACAGTTTATTAAAAAAAAAAAAAAAAAAAAAAAAAAAAAACACTGTTTATTTTTATAATAAAATTGTTTTGCTCTATTAAACCGCAAAATTTTAAAAATTAAATCCAAACTGTTTTATTGATGGACTTAAGTCTATTAAAAATCTTAAAAAACCGCTCCGCTCCACAGGACAAACTAGAGTGGTTGCGGATTAGCCGCTCCATGGTAACACACTATAATATACTACTCTCGCTTTATAATATTTGTGTATTATCTTGATACCATAATTAGTCTCTATATGATTTCTTACATATATATATATAATATTTTAATTGTTGATAGATATTCTATTATAAAAATTTTATCTCTTATTCACCTATTAATTTTTAAAATTAGAGCCTTCTTCTCTAAAAAGCTTATAAATTAAAGTATAATGTTTTGAGATCCCAGCGTTGTGCGATCTAGAGGAGCGTCTCCTGATAAGTAGAATAGTAAAGTATTTTATTTGATAGTATTATAGTAATATGTTTTTTTCCTAATATAAAAGACATATTTTCATCTTATCCATTTTACCCATTTTATCATTAAATGGGTAGGATGGAGCACAATGGAATTATATTTTTTTTCTAATATTGTTTATTCTATATATTTATAGAACAATATGTATGAATCTGGTATTATACCTTATATAGTATAACAATTAAATAATTATTAAATAATTATAGATTGATTATAGATTAATTATTATAAATTTTATTGTATAAGAGTATAATAAATCTATATATATATATATATATATATATATATATATATTCTATTCTTTAGTTGTCAACTTATATAGTTATAAATTAATAGATTTTCTAGTTATAACCCTTTTTTATTCTATTTTTTACTCATATATATAGTTAGTAGATTGCGATCTTGTAGTTCCTGTCCAGCTATTATAATGTATTATAACATTACAATTTCTTTAAATGCACCTAAACAATAATTGCTTATAATAATTTGAAATAGAAACTACATTTAGTTTATTTCTGAATTTATAATTTTAAAAAAAGCATTCTAAGCCTTTTTATTAACAATATGTTGTCTTCATTGTCATGAGTATAAAGAACATGGAAACCAGATATAACAAGCTTAAATTTTGTTCTACTGGACAATTTTTGTGACTACTAAATACTGAGACTGTGTTGCTGGTGTTTCAAAGTTGGTTTGAAGTGTAAACTCTACTCCTTTTTGGTGAGAATCTTTGCTCTGTAAGAAGTCAACAGTCAAACCGGGCATCTGGAAGTCAAAGCAAGAGTCGAATTCCGTAATTCAACCTTTACGAGCGAAACGATATTTCCTAGCACTTCCGGGATTTGCAACAGTTCGGTAAATCGGGGGTTCCAAGTGGTGGCGGTGGTTGAGCATTCCCCCGAGTTTCTTCGCAAACATCTACATTGCCTGACCGAAAATACAGTTGGTCCTATCTTTCGCCCCTGTTTACATTCGACATCGACGAATAAATTAAGGAGGCGGGATCCCTCTTTAGAGGGCAGTTGCTCAATCTGGATCTCAAACAGGAAGGAGATGCGGCCTTCAGGTCGCAGCTGCTCGGTGATGCCTTCTTACCCAGCTTTAGACGTGATGCCACTCCGGCATCATTGGACGACTTGGCGGAAATGCAAAAGCAAGACCCGCTTGCGACACAGATTTGGAAGCTTTATAGCAGAACAAGATCCAATCTCCCCAATCAAGAGCGCATGGAAAACCTTACATGGAGGATGATGTCTATGACGCTGAAACGGGAACAGCGACAAAATTGGTGCGTAGATCCGGTTTTTGAGTTGCATCAAATGCACACCCGTTCAAATTAAGATTATTGGAATTTTCATACTAACTATGATTTGTTTCTTTGACCATGAAGCTTGAACCTAAACCGGCGTGCACATTCACAAGCTCTCAGCACTGGAACAACAACATCTCTGTTCAGTAATGATGATGACGACGGGGAATCGATGTTTATAGACGAGCCTTCCATAGAAACCCGATCACAAACAGCCTCCCCTTCTGCGATGGACATATCCGGCTCGACACCAGGACTTTTTGAGTCTCAATCTTCTGCCCGTGCAATACCAATCAAACCGCACCGGCAAGAATATCTCTTAAACTCATTTCGATCATCGGCACCTTTTTCTTCAGTCCCTTCTCGACCAAGGCCCCTTGGAACCTCTGAATTTGACTATATTCAGAGACATCGACGGAAGACCAGCCTTGACGTGGGGAGCCAGGTCAGTCCGTCCTCCGTGTGATTTAAAATACCAACCATTCGAATTTGCGCTTAACATGATAGCTCTGCCATAGGCTAAAAAGCGGCCTGCAAATTTCTCACCGCAGGTCCCCGCACTTCAAAGTATTTCTATACCTCACGACCCGGACCCAGACCAGGAACTTTTGGATTACAGTTTAGACCCTTCCGATGTCTTTGTGTCTTCCCAAACAGGGATGCATCCATACCCCATACGCAATAATCACCTTGACAGCTTACCATACGGGTTAAATACAACAATGGTTGGTGTCGATAGTACGGACCCAATTCTACACTCTGCCGGGCCCTTCCAACCAAACTTTAATTTTTCGCCAATTGAATCCCCTCTGGCAACCAATGGTGGATTTTCAGCTCTGTATAACGGTACATCCTTAACATCGTCGATAGCCTCACAAGATTTCTACTCACCGCCAGCTTCTACTCCACACTCGGCCTCCTCTACTCCTCATCCAATCCCCGAAAATAGCGAGGTTTTCTTTGGACAAAATACTGCTGAAGCTCGGCAGCATGTGCGTAACATCTCTCATTTTAGCCGTACTAGTCGACAGTCTACTCTTACAGGGACTCTGGCCCAGGCTGGATATGTGTTTGGGAATAATGATGGATTCTATCAGGGCACGCCATCTGTCCAGGAGGGGTTTGCAAATATGAATGGATTTGCGTATCAGCATGTCGACCCATCTCAAATTATCAACCAAAAAGAACAGCCTTCCAAAAATCGTCCTGTCGCGGCCAAGTCTGATGGGTTATTTAGCCTTGGACCCGATTCTGATCTTGAAGACGAGGAGAGGGATACCTTCCAGGCAAACTTCAAAGAATACTCACAAGCAGAACCCAATTCCGAAGTGCCCTTCCCTGGCGACCCTTCTAACATTCATCTTTGGACCAAAGATTCCGCAATGCATTCCGACAAGCCTTTCGGGCTATCGACCTCCGAATCTTCGAATCAAGTCCCGAACAACTCTACTCGCGGAACTGCTCTTGTAAGTTCTAGTGATGGTATGATGGAAAGTAGTGAATGGGCAAAGTTCAGCAAAGGATTGGCTACACTTCCAGGCACCGTTGACGCCAAGGGTGCACTTGGGGTCGATAGCCGCGGTCGCACTGGAGTCAATAGGATCGTGGGTGCTGTGACATACGGCATCCCAAGCAACTCTCGGACTTTATCAAACCCAAGTAGCCCGCCTGAATCTGGGTTCAATTCGGCAAATCCTTCACGCCCCCCTTCACCCGATACTTCGAAATCTACCCACGGTATCGGTCAGAATGGGCTGCCGACTACCTGTACAAATTGCTTCACTCAAACGACTCCCCTCTGGCGCCGAAATCCGGAGGGGCACCCGCTTTGTAATGCCTGTGGTCTGTTTCTGAAGCTTCATGGGGTTGTCCGCCCCTTATCCTTGAAGACGGATGTAATCAAAAAGCGAAACCGCGGGAGTGGAAACTCGCTACCTGTGGGTGCTTCACCATCTCGAACTAAAAAGACGATTCGGAAACCTTCCTCCCAAAATGCTAGAGCGAGTGCAGCCAGTGGTGGCCCCGGGGCGTCTGCTGCTGATGAAAATAGTTCGCCCTCCTCAAGCGAGAATATCGCTTCGATGGCTGGTTTGAATGTTAGCGCATCTTCAAATTCCGCCACTCCCACTGGCCGCAACAATCCTCCAATTGCCCCCAAAACGGGGGTAATGGGCTCATCGGTTACGGTTGATACATCTCTGAGTAGAACATCTGGTGGTGCCTCGATAAAAAGGCAAAGAAGGTCTTCCATTGGACGAAGTGATATCGATAACTCTGCTGGTCTCGCGGAAGGAGGCGTGATGTTGGATAGGGAAGGAAATCCGACCAGAGCTGACCAAACAGGTAGCATTTCATCACAGGGCGCTCTGGGACTGCATGGGTCGACATCAAGCCCCCCCCAGCCCAACATTATGTCCACGCTCTCATCATCTGGCTCCACACACGAATGGGAATGGCTCACCATGTCCCTGTAGTATTTTTTATCTGGAATGCTGTTTTTGTTGTTGCTGCTGCTGCTGTTTTTGATGTTGTTTTTGATGTTGTCGTTGTCGTCGTCGTCGTCGTCGTCGTCGTTGTGGTGGTTGTGTTCTGCTGCCTTTGTTGTTGTTGTCGTCCCGCGTAGTATATACTGTATGTAATCACTAGAGGTCAGCTGGAGTCCGGGTATTTCGTTGGATAATTTCCTGGTTTTGTTTCGGAGCTGCCTATGTCCATGGGCCACCTGCCGACTTACCCCAGTAGGTAGGAACCCTGTATTCTTATTGTTATCTGAGTCCTACTGTCGCTCCCGACTGATTTCCCTCTTTGGAATTTTCGGATGGTTGCTCTGTTTATTTAATAGACTCATTTGTTCATTAAGCCTCTGCCATCTTAATACCATTACTTAATAAAACCCAGCGATTCCCTGAAAGATAGAAATATCAATAGGTTTGTCCCAATAACTCTGGTCTTGTTATTGGTGTACTAAATTTCCTCACTTTTAGCCGACTTGATGCTTCGTTGTTAACATGTATAACGCCAAATAAGCTCACTATGTACTAGTATGCTTGGAGGACGCAGCCGTTCTGGCTGAACCGAATAACCGGAATGCATATAGGTTAAGTACTTAATTAGGCTAGGTTATTATTAGTTTTTACCATTGTTCCTTATTTCCTATTTTCTAAGCTATTACAGCACCCTCACTAAATATCCTCCGAACTCGCAACGTTCGATCACGGAGCTCGATTGTTCGTGAAGTTTACGGCTCGTTCATACATATACGTAGTAGCTGCCTTCGTTAGGCGTACGATTCGTCTTCTCACTCTGCCTTGGGGGAGATGTTTCTTTCCTCGGACATTCAATTGAGGGCAGGCGCCTGCTCCTCCCATGGATTCGGACCTGGATATATGAAATAATGCATGGATAGTGCCAGGCATCCCTGCGTCTGCAGTTCATCTATCCCTAACAATGACGGAAAAGAAGGTCGATCTTCCAGAACCGCGTCTTGTTTCAGGCAATTATCAAGATGGAATCCGCAAAATCTTTCCGAAAGACCGTCAACGTCTGCTGTTGCAATAGGCGCTCGAATGCTAGCAACAACAGCAATCCGCCTCGCATTTTAAATGCTGACTTGGGCCGACTTGGGCAGGTTTCGACACTCTTCTCGAATGTGCACCGTCTAACGCACAATGGTAGTCAATTACGGACATCGTTTACTTAATTGGAGACACCAGGTACTGCTCTGGTGGCTTTGAAACGACATCGAGATGGAGCGACTCTCGCAAAATCGAGGTAGTAATGCCTGGTCGTTGAGTGCTTCGAGACTTCCGAGGCCTCTGCCACCGCTCCCAAACGACCGAAATGGTACCAGGAAAGACGAAAAGCTTGTGGAAACCTCACCAGATTCAATGGATTACCAAGCTGAAAGGGGGTCGGAATATTCTTTACCATCGATATCATCCCTTCTATTTTACGCAGGCAATGGGTCAGATTGTTGTTCGGGCACCAGTCATAGTAGTACGTTTCTTGATATCCATATGGTCTACAAAGCCTTTTTTTTCTGACAGTCTTCAAACTAGGGAACGGCCTGACTCGTTCTATTTATATGTCGGAGTCGAATTTGCGGGATTATACTCCAAGCGCTAGCATGAATTCTGCTCGAAGAATGAGCTGGAGTGATGACATTTCAACCACTGTCTCCTACAGCAATTCGATACAAGGGATATGCAACCCGGAAACCATGGCCCAGCAATCACAAAGAATAAACGGAGACCCTGAGGTGTGTTCCGATTCAGACCTTGATCGCATCCCCGAATATAGCACCTATACGCCCCAAGGCGAGTCTATCTTACTGGGGGCATCGGAAATCCCGACTGCCTCGCAACCTTGGACACACCATCACCATTCAGCTCCTTCAACCTCGTTATCAGCCACCCAAACCCTAGACCGTTATGTGTGTTCACAATGCACTAAGACGTTCTCTCGACCAAGTAGTTTACGTATCCACAGCCACAGCCACACAGGAGAGAAGCCATTTATATGTCCCCATTCTGGTTGTGGGAAGGCGTTTAGTGTTAGGAGTAATATGAAACGACACGAGAGGGGGTGCCATTCTGCACGTGCCTAGCCACTCATTTTCGGAAACAGAGTCCACACACTATTTTGCATGAGCTAGTGTAGTTATTGCGTTCTGACTGTCGGTGCTACTAGGCGACTAGTCTTCGGATATGAACATTGGGCTGCGCTAAAGCATGGTATGTAGTTCGGAAAGGAGAAAGCGAACTAGGACTGATCTAAATTACGCATAATGATATCTCGCCAGCCCTTGCAAGGAACTCCAGCTTAAGAAGCGAGGGGAAAGAATAATTGCACGACTTTTGGTTTTAACTGTTGTATGAATTATCATTGGGGGTATAAGAGCCCTATCCTGGGACCCTGTTTGGACAGGAAAAAGATAACATGCAAGGTAGAATACGCTGAGTAAAATATACTCTCCATTAAGATTCTTGTATATAAAAGTATATTAGAGGGGCAATGATGTTCTGGTTCTGTCCTTTGCTTTTCATCGGCTTGTGGGGGGAGGTCTGTCTCATTCGTAGAAGAGGGCTCGAGGGTGCTATAGGAGGCAGGATTGATCACGGGGGCCCTTAAACATTTCGTACGTAGTATCCAACCGGTCAACTTGGCGCGTCTCCCGGGAGTCGATTGCCATTGAAATAAACGACTTGCCCTCGATTACTATTTGTGGATTATTTTGGGAATGGTAGATGACTGTTGAGTGTTTAATTTAGAGAGAGGATATGGTGTATTTGTGCAGTGCTGCTTAACTTACCGTCGAGTAGCCTCCAGCGTATGGAGGCGTGGCACTTGCTCGGCGTGATGGTAGATTGTGGTTTGGAAGGTTGTTTCCGATAGCCGCATAATCGTCAAATCTTGGAGTGGTTAAAGAATTAGCCCGAGACGACTGTAAAGTCGGATATCTATTGCTGGCGTAGTTGAGGAGTGGGTCGTCCGCAATCGATGAATGTGGAGTTGGGAAGTCCCCGATCAACGTAGCGCTTGGGCCGTTAGGCTTTCCCCGGGTTTTCGGTAGACTGCTAGTCCCGTGGTATGAGGCACGATGTGGCTGCGCACTCCCCAGATTACCACGTAGGCTGTTGCCGCTGGGGAGTCTGCGATTGCGACGCGAAGTAACACTCATCATGTCGATATTGTCAGGGTGGATATACGAGCTACCTCCTGGCTGTTGCTGCTGGCCAAAATACTCTTCATCATCGTCGTCATCGTCGTCATAGTCGACATTATTTTGTCGCGACCCTTTCCTCCGATTTCCTCGCATATTCCGTTGGAGTGCAAGCTCTTGCTCTTTTAGGGCGAGCTCTCTTTGCCTAAGCTGAAGTTCTCGTTCTCTAATCGAGAGATGTTGTCGGTGGTGGTTGTCTTGATGCGCAAATCGATCATCGCCGGCAGTAAGAACCATGTCGTCTGTGTCGTCTGTGTGTAGCATATCCCCATACATGACAATGTGGCCGAACTCCTCGAGATCGTTGTCGAAGGAATTACGCCTTGAGCCGTAGGTCCCATTGGGGATCGCTTGCCCCCTGTCTCCGTTCGTCGTATGTCTACTGTTTAGGCTAGACGGGGGTCTTTTGCTGGGGTGTAGTACTTTCTGGCTCGGCGTCGGCCGTGAGTTCCCCGGTGGTGGGTCTGATATCGCTGTTTGAGTGGCTCTCAATCCAACGGGTGATAACGGTGGAGCAGGCTCGGAGTTCGAAGATTGGCGATCACGGGGACCAGGCCCAGGTGTCTTCAGCTGATTTATTGTGTTTAGGTGGCAAAGGAGGGGATATAGGGTTTGTAACTGCGGCGTCGGTATCGAAGCTAACTTGGCCATCTTTATTGGGGAACCAAGAAAGACCTCGACCTCCATTGGCCGACGGGATATATAGTCTTGATACATCGTACTCTGTGTGGATGTATGTGTCATGTTTTCGAATATTTGGTTCCTGATATCTTGCGGAAATGAACACCCTTGGGTTTGGGCGATATGTAGGAGTTCTTCCAGCAAGCTACTAACAAGATTCCTCATCCCGGGTATTTCTACAAGTGCAGAAAGGTCTGGGGTTTCAGTGAGAACACTCAGTGGGTGGAATGCTATTGGTCTACAAAACCCATTAGCCAAATTCTCCGTGTTTCAACTAATAGTCAATTGCTCACCCCATCATACGCTCCCATTGTTGCTGAAGGATGTTTGGCGAAACATGGCAGTCAACATTCCCGGATTGTAAAGTCAATGCAAGAGCTTCCGCCATGTCGCTCTGCACACTCGTCGGTATATTTGGGTTTTGATTCGTTGACCCGACCCATATTTCTGAGGATTCGAGGTGCTCGAAATCACTTGCTGCGAGTTGGTTGATATTGACGCCAGAGCAAAGAGACAGAACAACATTAGTCGGGAATCTTGTCTCAAGGTATGATTCGATACCGATGGCATTTGTTGTATTGACGATGATGCAAGTTAATTGTGGTGTTACAACTGACTCTATCACCGCGGCTAGATCGTAGACGTCAGGGAGTGCCTTCACGCATAGAAGGACATAATCGAATCCTGGGGGCCCAGATGCTTCTTCGGGTGAGCGCACGACTGCGAAGCACAGTGTATTCTGTTAATCAATGCTGTAAACTAAGGGAGGTTGGGGAATAAGAGTTACCAGCTCGTGGCTTAAACCTTTCGTTACCATACGCCTTAGACCTAAGATTGAATTCCGATAGTTAGCTGTTCTGAACACGCCTTTCCCCCCCCGTCCTCTTCCTAGTGCATCGATTCGTACCTAAAAGAGATGCCATATTGAGATACGTTCTCAAAGCCCGATTTCCATACGAGCGTAACATCACACGCATTGGTTGCCTGGAGCCTCCAGGATAAAAAGGCAGAAACAGCGTTCCCGCCGACTGGAAGCAATAATCCAAGTTAGAAAGAGGTTACTCATGAATATGTAAGCATAAATTCGAGCCTTGGGGACGATAAATACCGGAGAGGATACGCAGCCGACTAGACGACATGGACCGCGAATAGAGAAGTGGTTGTATTTAGATATGGGACACGATAGAGGATGAATTGATGCGAAGCTGTTTAAGTTGCAACCCGACCAGGTTTATCGCGAAGGGGAGCCTTTGATTGATCGGTTGGATGGAATACGGTCTTTACATTCTGGCAAAGCAATATACGTAGCGGTGTATATGTAGGAGGCGACCAGGTCGTGAAGTATCAGGTACCCCTAGCACTTGGTTTGGAGACTGTTGAGTACATATAGGGCTGGTGAAAGTGTTGTAGAGGATGTTGTTATTGATGGTGTACAAAGGTAAATGCTTATAGCAGCGCGATGCTGTCCTGATTACCCAGGCAATACTTGTCAAGTAACATACGCTCAAGTGTTCGACCGATGTCTAGCTTGAGCGCTTGGCAACCCGCTGCGTGCGCGATCTCCTTTCTGTTAGATTGGTATATGTACATGTACGTAATCCGGGCGGACTTACCGGATTAGTCCCCAATCCGATTAGGCTTCTTGGTCCCAGCATCTGTGTATCATTGCCTTAGCTTTACAACCATGCGAACTTATGGAGGAATCAGATCTAGCCGCCCTTTTCACCCCTCTCTCAACCTCATCGACGTCTATTGATCATACTAATGTCGTCGTTAGCCAGCAGCCGACTGCGCCAGACGTCTGGAAAAAGTCATGCTCCATCCAAATCCCAGAATCACCGATTACCCAATCCGAATCCGTCATTCTAGGTGTGCTCTTACAACCCGAATATCTCTCGCCAGTTATTGCACGCGCCGACGTCATATACGATAGTGACACTGCCGGACTTGAAATTTCCAAGGGAGGTGTCGACATTGGCTTTATAGGGGATTTTTTAACATATCGGGTATCCCGCCGGTTAATCATCAGGAACATCCCAAGGAACCCAAAGCGAGATGAAGCGATTGAACAGAGTATCTGGTCGTTGCAAAAAATTCCTGCTGAAGACGGTGATAAGGCCTCACCTCAACCTAGTTTACTCATCGTCATCGTTCCCCACATTAATGGCCACCCCGCAGAGTGGCCGTTTTACTTTCCCGATGTTCGGGCATTTGCACTTGAAACGAAAGGGTCCAAACTGTCAATACACCATTTGGACCGAGCACGGCCTGAGTTGCTTGATACAACAATTTCCCGCAAGCCTGTAGCTGGTGTAGATTCGGAAAGAACTCGGCGCATGTTCAAAAGGATACTCGAGGTCCTCAAGAAGCGATTTGAAAAACCCGACTACATCAAACGAGTCAACCATGACGCTATCGTATCCCGGGAGCGGTATCAAAAAGTCTACCAAGATTTAAAGGCAAGACATGCAGATCGTCTCTGCCGCATATTTGCAATAAACGGCTATGAAGGCAAGGGATGCCGTGAGGTGGATAAGATATTTGAAGAGCTTGGTATTGCAAGCTTTTGTATCTGTTTATGGGAGGAAATTTACGAGATACCCACCACTGCACGCCGCAACGGATATTATGACGATGTTCGAACGAACACCGGTAGCGATCCGCTCAACCAGTTTGTTGGGTTCGTTGACCTCGGGTGCGGGTCTGGTGTTCTTACAGACGTATTATTGCAAGAAGGCTGGCCAGGGTACGGAATTGATGCCAGGAGCCGCAAGATATGGAAGTCTTTCGATGACCATGTGCAACTCCATTTGATTGAGTCAATCCTGATCCCATACGTCATCGACCAGACACTCGTCGGGACTGAAAGTATGACATTATATCGGGAGGATCAGATGGATCCTTTCTATACGATTTCAGGGAGCCCTTACACTTATCATTCTGGCCGGTTTGCGAATGGTACCTTCCTTATCTGCAACCATGGCGACGAATTAACTGCTTGGACCCCATTGTTAGCCAGCTTGAGCCGATCGCCATTTATGGTGATACCATGTTGCTCTTTCAATCTTGCAGGCCGCCGATTTCGGGCGCAACGTTCGCTTTGTCAAGTTGAAGGAGAGAAATCACGTGAATCCTCTAAACAAAGCACCTATCGGCTGTTGATTAACTATGTCGAAAATTTATGTCATGAGATTGGAGTTGTGCCTCAGAAAGAATGGCTTCGAATTCCTAGCACCAGGAATCTGGCAATTATAGGTCGCGCTTATGAGGCGCCGAGTTGGGACTTATCAAAAGGATTTGAGATCGAGGAATCACGTGAGATGGTCGTCAAAAAAATAATACAGCGTGAAGGTGGCACGGAAGGTTGGAACGCAATGGTTGCGAAACTGAAGGGACGACAGCCTAGCGGTGCTGATGATGGCCATTCCCGGTGCTCCTGAACGGCCTGGCTGGTTGCCTAAACCTACCTTGGGTTGGCGAGGAAAGGTCGTTTCTTTTTTGAGCCTTTCCTTCTGCCTAGCGAACCAAGGTGGGTTCATGGGTTCAGGCTTCAAAGGTCACACCGAACTATTTTCATGGCGAATGTGAAAAAAAAAACCCCCATTTTTGGTGTCTTCTCTCGAATGCGATAGATATTTCTTATCTACCTAAGTATCTAACTCAATAGAATCACAAACCTCCTACACTTAGAAGCAATTATGCATGCATATGTAAGTCCTTACTTACTTATATACTTGATTCGGTGCTTAAGTACCTACATACCTAAATTTGATCTCCTATATTCCAGAAATCAGGGCGTGTATGCTTAAGTACCTACCTACTTCTTAGCTACCTACTTAAGTACCTACCCGTGTCTGTACGCATACAAACTCGGTCTAATAAGTCGGTACTTGCCTAAGTGCATAGTATTCGCCTTCGCCACCCTGACCTAGGTGTTTGTGGTAGCCTGGCACACCCTCCCAAGCCCAAGCTTTGGTCCCAGTCAGATTGTGGCCTTACTAAGTATATGTTTTCAAGAGAGTTAAGTCAGTGGATGATACTTAGTGCTCGTTCCCATCCCTCTTGACTTCCACCCCTCTTCTTCTCCAAGTCGAGTCAACCTTTTGACATTCACAAACCCATTCTAATGTATTTCTTGTAACGCAGCCATTTCCGAACCACCGTATATTGTTCAGCCTACCGGAATATTGGATACCCTTATCCTAATAAAACTTGATACGCTGTGGTAAATATAATTCATTGTGGGTCGGTGAGAATCATGGCGTCCCAACGACACCCAACACCTTCCCGCCTACAACGCAGCCATCACCGACCACAAGCACCCTTTAGGAATGCCTCGGATTCAGGCCGAACTCAACTTTTTGTCGAGAACCTACCCGCGATCATTGACGAACCGAAGTTCCGAAAACGGTTTGAGATCTTTGGAAACCTGGAAAATGTGAGCATTCTAACAGGCCTGGAGCCAAGGGTTGGCACCTGCACATATAGCTATGCAGACGATGCATTGGCCGCATATCATGGTATGAACCGGACGCTTTTTGAGGGTAATACTTTGAAAGCCATACTAGCAGAACCTTTGGAAACATACGAAGAGGCAAGAGCAAGATGGACGCTCGATGGCACAATAGAACCTAGTCCATTAGCTGAGTTTCCCGAGACCATTACCTCGGGAAATGACGCTCCCAGAAACCAGATGTGTGATCACCAAGATGAGATTAGTGGTCATATCTGTGGGGAGTCTTTCCCCAATGCCTTTACGCTCATGTGAGAATATTCCATTGTTTGATTAGATCGCCGCTGTTGCCTACTAACTACCCACCGGCCAAACAGGCGTCATTGGTGGATGCATACGTGGAACTATAGGCCTTGGAAATGCGAAATGGATGTTGGATGTGTGTACGCAAGGAGAGGTTTCATCACGGAAAGCGAACGCGACCGGCACCATGGCAGCACGCATGTCCCAACTGGAGACCCTCGCCCTTACAAATGCCCAGTCCCCAGCTGCCACTACCACAAAAAAGGCTTCGAAACGCAGAACGCAGAATCCCTTCACGAGAAGGTCCATTCACTTGGTTTCGAAGAACATGTCTGCCCGATATCGGGTTGTGGATTTGAGTCAACACAGAGCGAAGAAATTAACCACCATCTTGAAGATATACATGGAATCATTGAAAACCCGTCATCTTCATACCCGGCTCATACACTGGACGCGGGTTATGGGTCACAAAGGCGAAGTACGCCACATAATCGGCGTAAACGGCCGTCAGCATACCGCTCTGATGAAAAGTCGGATTTCGAGGAGCGTTCACACACTCCGATGGATAGTGAAAAGGCCGACATGATTCAACGATACGCTGTGACGACTGGAATCGATTATCGTCCCTTTAAATGCCAAGTTAGGGGGTGTAAGTTTGTAAAGGAAGGCTTCGAAACACAATCCGAATTATTATCTCATGAAGACAGAGAACACGATGGGCAACGGAACGTTCTTTTTCATCAAATAGGATCCGAATCCCCTAGCCATGGTCAGTTTGTCTTATAGGAACCATATAGGATGGCAAGGAAGACCCACTAATGATTCGAACAGAAGTTACAAGTCACCCTACCTTGCCTCCGCTCAAACCAACCTCATCTAGTATTAGCCATACGGATGCACCTCGTTCGCCTTCCCCAGAATTCCTTCAGTGTAATAACGTTGACTGTGCGAAGATGTTTGCCTTGGAACAAGATTGGAGGTGTGTCTACTCCCATAAAATAGCCTGGGTGTCAGAGGTTCCCTAGGTTTGTACCGATTTACCATGTAGCTGACCTGTGTCTATTGTAGGAAACATGCGATTAGCTGCGCTTCTAAATCTGTTGAAAAACAATGCTCGTTCACTGATTGCCAAGCCAGATTTGACAGTGTTCCGGCTCTATCTTCCCATGAATTTGGAAGCCACGGCATCCGCATATGCAGCTCACTAACATGCAACCGCGCATTTCATCAGCTTGAAGATGCGGAATCTCACATGCGGGACTTGCACTCAAATCTCTATAGCGGCGGGCGTCGGCCACGATTGGCTTTCATAGCGTCCGTTCCCTCATGGAATGAAGAAATCGGGGAGACGGGGTTCCCATACGACCCTTATCGCTGCGCCCTATTAAATATCTCACAAGATAAGAGCTCCCTGGGGAAAGCGCAATCTCTTCAGCACCACCCCTCTAAAAAAGGCAAAGAGATTGCCCGAGAGCCCATTGACGCAGCCGGAGCTATCAAAGCTTCATCCGTATTCGATGGTGGACACCAGACTATACCTCCCCAATCGCAGCCCAGTACTAGCAGTACACCATTTCCTGACGTATTGCCCCGATACTCGGTTGTCATGTCCCAACAAGCCCCCCGTGACTCACAAACCTGGGCCGGTGAAGAAAAAAACGTAAACCTAGCTCAGAATCCTACGCCTCCGGGGCTCTTGCGAGCAGACCATGCTGTTAAACCCGCACCCAAACCCGAGGCACCCCTTGTAGTAAGCTCTCCGGCGAGCCGTGCTATCCAGCAACACACCGCCCCACCAACCAAGTCAAAATTTACTCCTGAGGATATGAATCCAGTTTACCGCTATAATACGGATGGTTCGCGATACGCCACTGGCGCAGTTGTTCTTTCACCCGACAAGCATCAAGTATTAGTCTTAAGAAGTAAGGATGAATCTAAGGGGATCATGTATCAGCTCCCATCCGGATTCCTTGAGTTCAACGATCAGAACATGGAAGCATCAGCTCTGCGTGAATGCTGGCAAAATGCCGGCATTGTGGGCAGAATTCTCAGGGCGATCGAGCCGGCTCCCGCCGAAGAACCCGATGAAAATGGGCTTGCTGACTGGCACTCATACTTTGAAATCGAGGTCGAAAGAGAAAAGGAACGATGGCCCAAGTATCAGTTGTGGCATCGACGTTGGCTTAATTATCGAGAAGCACGAGTTGTTCTGAGTTCGCAACCAGATGCCATCCGGGCGCTAGAACGGTCAACGATATTTAAGAGAGGGAGTTCGAATTTGAGGGCGGATAGTTCGTCTGGGATCCACTCGGCTTCGCATTTGATCGCCGCTGCCACACCCCCCAAAAGCAGTAAGACATTGGAAAGCGTGCGCCCCCGAAGGAGACAGTATCCTGATGAGCGCCCCCCAGCCACCAGAAAATATAGCACTGTCTCCCCGGTTGCGGATAACATAACGGCATGGCGAAAGGATATACTTCCTTGGTTGCGTCGTAACTTTAGTACCGTTATGGGGAAGAACAAGCATGGTGCAATCGAACTTCTTAGGGTGCGGAACAAGCCCACGATTTGCATTACATGCTCAGATCCTAAAGAACTTGTCCTTGACACCTTCGCCGAAGTTGTCAGTGGCCTATTTCCGATGCATGTAAAAGTTGGCCTTCTAGCTCGGTCATCTCGCCAAGGTGTGACATCTCCAGCCGATAGCCGCTCTCTTGAAATACCCTCTTACATGCCGCGGAGCGATGATATCCAGATCTCCGGAGGTCTTCGCCATGGCAACGATGATGCCGACAACGCAGATGGATCCATTTATCACTCTAGCTTAAGAACTTCTGCCCCAGAGCCCTTAAAGGTCCGTCAAGTAAGCCCCAGACCGGAAAAGGCATTTCGTCCTCCACCAATTTTCGGGAAGTATTTGAATCGACCCTCATGTGGGGCAACTATTGGGACAGTCCGTGATGATGATAGTTCGATATCGGCTGGTACCTTTGGCGGGATTGTGATCCTGGTCAAAGAGGACGGCACTGAAGCACCGTATGGACTAATATCACATCACGTAATTGAAGAGAAGACCGACGAGACAGAACTCGGAATCGGTGTAGACGAAGGTTGGCTCTTCAACTCCTCTGGTGCTCACAAATTTCCTATTCAGCAACCAGCCCATATGGACCTTGAAGAGGCTAAAGATAGCCTCGATATGCAAAGATACTACTGTGATAGAGAAAAGCGCTATTGTGATGTTGATGATGGCAGGGCCGTCAGGGCAAAACTTGCTCTTCTAGATGGTTTAGATCAACAGACTATGGATTTTGGTCATGTCGCATACTCTTCCGGGTATGGATTTGATGCGAATCGTCACCAGGTTAGTTTCCCGCCTCAAACCCAACTTCTAAGAGGTCCCTCAGGCTAACCTTTATTGACTTGCCCTTTTTCGTCTTAACCTTGTCAGATGGATTGGGCTCTCATTGGGGATATCCCTTCTTGGAGGCTTGAGGATAATATCGTCCCGAGCGTTGAGAGCTTCTACGATTTGCATTATGATGGCAGCCCGAAAGCTCCCTACCCTGTCGAAAAAAGCTTCTTTAATTTCCTCTCGGAAACATTTGAGCAGGAATATTCTATTGATTTATCAGAAATCGACCCCCTGCGGAGGATACACGGTGTTGGGTCATATAGCGGGATCATGGACGGGACCGTATCTAGTGAAACAGCCTTTTTCCGTCTCGACGGGATGGACTCGGAGGAGTGGTTTTTTACACCACGCTATAATGGCGGTTTAGGTGTAAGAGGAGACTCTGGTACCTGGATTTTCGACGATTTTGGCAAGGTGGTAGGGCAAATAATTGCCTACAACTACAGAACGGACACGGCTTACTTCACCCGCATGGATTACCTTTTTGAACACATAAAATCGAAGACGAAAGCAGTTGAGGTTTATATCCCTTACAAGGGCGAGCTAGCCCGCTGGAAGACAGACGAGGCTCCTAAACAGCTTGATACCGCACAAACCGCCAGTGTTACGGATGCAAGCAGTAGCTACGTCGACAGCGCTTTCGGGACAATAAAAACAAACGATACTGACATAACGTCACCATTGGCCATCAGCGACTCGGGTTTAGGGTGGGCTGGATTTCACAAACAAAACTGACCTTTGAAAATGCATAAAAATATAAGTGCGTACATATAGCTTTTTGGTACTAGGTTTCTGTTGTGTATAATTTCTGGTTATTGGCGTCGCATTGGCATTAAATATTGCTGTCTAACCCCTCGGTACCCTGTAACCTCGGGATTCGAGTGAAGGGAAGAATTATCACAAGGTGTAACGGGTGTACCACTTTTTTTATAGGTTTGCTTTTTGCAATAATTTTATATTCCTATTTTTTACAAGTGCAGGAAAATCATACATACTAAGTATATACAATACAAGGTGTCTTTTTTTATTGTCGTTTCTTCGCCCCATTTCTTCTTTTGCTTTTTTGTCTTCTTTGACAGGTTGGTCGATCACCTAATGAATGTTATTCAAAATATTTCTAATATCCATAAAATTGTCGAACTTTGATCAAAAGGGCAGATCCCCCAAATAGAAATTAGAGTAAGCACAGTTGAAGCTTTAGTGCGGCGAAATCATGAGCTCTGGCCGAACTAGGGTATCAAACTGTCAGATGTTAGTATCATTCTGTTCGCCGCGATAGGAGATTTGGCACTCACTTCCTCCCCAGTCAACGCCTGCAATTCAAGGCAGCTTTCTTTCAAGGTTAGCCCCTTCTTGTGGGCATTCTTAGCAACTTTGCTAGCCATGTCATAACCGATCTTGCTGTTGAGACAGGTCACAAGCATAAGACTTTCTGTCAGAAGCTTAGATATGCGTTCTTCGTTCGCCTGGACCCCCGATATGCAATGATCCTCGAATGACACCATAGCATCTGCTAACAACCTTATAGAATGTAGGAGGTTTTTGGCCAGGACAGGTTTAAAAACATTTAGTTCGAAATGGCCGCTAGCACCGGCAATCGTAACAGTAACATGGTTGCCCATTACTTGAGCACAAACCATGGTCATGGCCTCACATTGCGTAGGATTGACTTTTCCAGGCATAATCGAGGATCCTTGTCATCGTGTTAGAAAAATCCATAGAGACCAATAGAGTTGGTTTAGATACCTGGTTCGTTTTCAGGGAGGCTCAGTTCGCCAAGTCCACACCGAGGACCGCTTCCAAGAAATCGGATATCATTGGCAATTTTGGTCAAGCTTGCAGCAAGTGTGTTCAAGGCTCCACTTGCCTCGACAATAGCATCGTGTGCTGCGAGAGCCTCAAACTTATTTGGGGCTGTCTTGAAATGGTACCCCGTAATTCGAGACACTTCTTCGGCAACCTTAACATCAAAACCTATCTTGGTATTAAGACCGGTGCCAACTGCTGTGCCGCCTTGAGCCAAAAGCGACAGACGCGGAAGGGTAGACTCGATACGAGCGATCCCGAACTCAAGCTGGGTAGCATACCCAGAGAACTCTTGTCCGAGAGTAAGAGGTGTAGCATCCTGGAGGTGGGTTCTGCCGATCTTGATGATCTGGTCGAACTCGTGTGATTTCGCTACGAACGCCTGGTGTAAACTTTTCAGCGCAGGAAGGAGCCTCTGGTTGATCTCGAGCACAGCAGAGATATGCATGACAGTAGGAAATGTGTCATTGGAGCTGGCGGACATGTTTACATGATCATTCGGGTGAACTGGGGACTTGGTACCCAGTTTTCCTCCAAGAATTTCGATTGCCCTGTTTGAAATTACTTCATTGGCATTCATGTTGGACTGTGTCCCGGATCCAGTCTGCCAGACGACAAGCGGGAAATCATCAGATGATATTTTGCCCTGGCCATCGATGACTTCTTGAGCGGCTTGTTGGATCGCATTACCAATCTTTTCGTCAAGGCCATATGTCATATTGACCGCCGCCGCCGCTTTTTTGAGGACACCAAAGGCCTTGATGATAGGCTCTGGCATTCGATCTGCAGGCTGGTTGATCTTGAAGTTGGATAGAGACCTTTTTGTTTCTAGGATTTAGCATTGCATCTCGAAATTGGTTCAAATGCAAGGGGGGATAACCTGAATGTTTGTGCGCCATAGTACCGCTCATTGGGTACTTCAACCGGACCAAATGCATCTGTTTCGGTCCTTGTTCCAGACTGCCGGCCAGCGCGAAAAACGTTTTAATCATACATCAGCTTGATGTTCAAGTGATTTATACATATGCGAAACTTTAGTGAGAGGTGATATACCATTGCGGAGGCAGATATCGAGAATAAACGGGAAGGTCGAGTTTGAAATCCTCCTGTCGACGCGAATTCTACTAACCGTTTTGTGGTCAGGGAGGGTTTGGAGAGCCTACTGATCAAGCTCATCCTTTGAAGAAGGAGAGGGGAGGGGGGTGGGGGGGTAGAAGAAAAGAGAGAGAGAAAAGGATAGTGTGATATTCACGGTCAACCTCGGCGTTGTGTATCGTTGGGGGTTTGGCACTTGTCGGTCCTTCCTTCTTTATATTATTTGGAGAGCGCCAATATCAAATTTATTCTTTAGCTTCGGCAATTTAGCGGAATCGGGACCCAGGTTATCTCCTCTCCCGTCAGCCCGAACATCAACCCGAAGTTAACATGAACCGAATATTTAAAAATTAATACTGGGTTTGGGGCTATTAAATTTAGCTAACCAAGTAAGGATGCAGATGAGAGTGTACTTTCATCGATCACTAACACGGCGCGAATACAGAAATTCGTCTACAAACACACAGAATAGGTACCTAGGTACTTATGTAAGTCGCCACGAGCCGCATCGATTCCTATACTTCAGCTTCAGCCTCGTCGTCAATCTCACCATCACCTCTTTCCAACACACGGGCTTTGCGTATAATGATTTTGGTCACTGGTCTATCCGACTCGTCCGTCTCTACCAACCCAATCCGTTGGACTATACTCATCCCACTTTTTATTCTCCCGAAGATGATATGCTTGCCATCTAGCCATGGTGTCGGTGCAAGCGTGATGAAGAATTGCGATCCCTCGGTTTTGGGCCCACTATTGGCCATTGAAATAATTCCCGCTCCGCTATGTTTTAGAAGGGGGTGCGGATCATCAAGTGGTTTTTCTCCGTATATTGACGAGCCTCCTCGACCGGTCCCCTAGATTCACATCATGATTAGTCTTCAATGCAGAATGCCTGGACGCGCTGAGGCCTTTGAGCATACAGTTGGGTCGCCTCCTTGTATCCTAAATTGCGATGCAGTAGAATAGGTTCTCGGTCAGCGTATCGTGGTAGGGGGCCAGATGGGCGGGTAAATCGTCCGGTTTAACATACATGAAATCCTTGATGATTCTATGGAACTAAGCGGATTGGCGTAAACAAGAGATAGTTAGCTATCTACCTGAGTACTTGAGGACCTATACCTATTCACTCATTCAGGTGCGTCAAAGTTTATGATCGTGTACATACAACTACGCCATTGTAGTAACCCTTCAAAGCCAACGTGGCAAAATTCGTGCAGGCCTACGAAGTCGTCAATGTCATATCGAAGGACGATGGGGATGGTGACAAATAGCTACCCGTGGCGCATGGTCGGTGTATAACTCGACAACAACTTGGCCCTACGATATATGTTCAAGTGTCAGCCCACTAAAATTTTTGAATCCCCCAAAGTATTGAAATGTCCATAGCACACCATATTTGTGTCGAGTAACACGTACTCCGCGTCTGCACCCGAAGCCATTTGGGCTTACGCTCTGGCCTCGAGCTCTGAATCCTCTGAATTCCTTCGGAACGAGGAGCTTTTGTAAATTTCCAAGAAAGCTGAAGGCAAAAAAATGAATATCAATATGTAAATACTTGTAGAAAGTAAGTACTCATAGACTCAATTGAAATGATTTGTGTCTGGGTATGTGAAAAGCTAGTCCGGAGCGACCACCAGGCCGTTAAAAAGCGATGCTGTCTTGGCGGGTTTAAAGGGAATAGCCGAAATCTGAATGGTTTCGAACATCCAACCCTCACCAACTTTCCTTGATAATACTACTACGTCTTGGAGGCGATTGCGCACACACACACACACACACACACACACACACACCACCACCACCACCACCGTGATCAATATACAATGGGTTCAAACCACTCGAGTTTATCGGGCACGCATGTCTTTCAAAGGTTTGCAGTCTGCATTCATATCTAACCCGACTTTCTGGGCTAAAGGGTCTTTTTTTCTTCTTTGCTTTCTTAGCGGGCAGGGTCAAATCGGCTTCAATCTTATGAATTCGCTTCAGCAAAGCCCTGAGGTATTTTGAAAATATCAATGCTCTCTGTGCTACCCATCGCTAATTTGTCTATCCCCCTAGTCCGATACAACACGCGAGGTACAATTCCGATTTCATCATATTGAGATTCTTTATAAGGCACTGACCCATCAACCTTACTTCGGCGTGGAGTAGCGATTAGCAGGTTTAGATGTACAAAAGCGGGTAACAGATGAACTCAAACGGCTACAGAACAAGGAGGATCAAATATCCAAGGCAATGGATGAACAAATAGGTATGATTCGGTAGAACCATCAAAGCCAGGAGGGTACCGATTGTCCGAAATGGTTGATCTGATATAACAACTTATAGTAGCAGAAACCGTAGAAGACTCACAATTCAATCGGAGCTCGGTTTCTCGTTCGATTTCTACATTGTCTCAAAAACTTCGAAATAAATCTGGACCCATCGATCAAAGCGAGGTAGTGAAAACGGCAGAGACTGCAGTAGTGCGGTGCCTCCGCTTGAACGACCGTCGACCTCTAGATTGTTGGAGGGAAGTGGAAGAATTCAAGCGGGAGGTCACTAGGTTGGAAGATGCATTTGTGAACAAGGTTGTAGGAGATGTTTAGGTTGTAAATTAACTCCGTAACCAATATGGCAAGGTCCTTGACGGGGAAAGAGAACGGATAAATATAACATGTGCAATTTCGACTTCCCTCAGATCCGCTATAAGGTAATGGTTCAGTCGGTCGAGTGCATACATCAGGTTAACAAGTCTACATGGGCGTCAGCTGATCGTGGGTAAGTGAGTGAAGATATCGTGCTGCTTTGGATGCGGCTAGATGTGCGCAGCTCTCTATTTGTGCTAACCCAACCTTCCACCCTCCTCTTTTTTCGATTTTTTCCACTCGAGTCCTCAATCCAGCAAGGCCAAATTCTGCAGTAGATAATATCGTTAGAATTTCACAAGCTTCGTCCTCCTCGTACGAGTCCGGGTCATTCAGTAGAATCGCCGTTTCATTTCTGTGGTCTTCGGAACGCGGCAGAGGGATGAGAGCGAAAGTCGTTGTAAATGGAAGTGACTGACGAAGCGATATCGGGTGACTGAGTGACTCGTGGCAGAATATTCGTTCCTCGGCTTGATTCCACGAGGCAAGTGGTAACCTACTCGATTTGATGGCTGCTACAATTGCATACCAAGCTGCATCAAGAATATTCCCATCCAGTGATATGCACAATACGTCGACGTATAGAGACCAATATCCTTTGATTTTCATCGTCGGCGGGAGACTGCTGTCACTGTCACTATCGTATATCCGGAGAGAATCTAAGCTGACCAGCTTTGTGACGTTGATGAGTTCGTGTAGCTGGTCGGAAAAAGTTTGAGCTAGTCCTCCCGGCGGACCAAGCGGGTATTTTTTCGAACACCCGGTCGATAGCTCAACATTCGGTATGATCAATCCGCCCCAGCTAGCACCACCAGCACCACGGGCACCACAAGCATGGGTCGCGGATGTTGGGAAGCTATGATAAGATTCAAACCTGGAAGGATCATCGCCAGGAGCAACAGTGAGGATCTCACCCCTTATACCACAAACCACGGCGGTGTCCCCGGCTCTCACGACAGCAGATCCGTGGGCATGACTGAGAGAGTTTGTTGTTAGGGTGAAATCGCGACATTGGGAAGGACTCCGTCCATTAGGACGAGTTGGAGGACTGTGTACGAGATGCCGTTGTAGGTACAAAGCCGGGGATATCTGGCGGAAGAGAGATGTTGAGAATGTCAGCGGGGGAGGCTGACTGTCGTCAGCACCGGCCTGTGGGGTTAGAATAGACATCTGTGATAACTGGGTGCGTTATTGCAGAGTATATTTGACTGGGCGCAGGGTAGCAGGAAGATAGCTCCAAGTAAGAAGCAAGTACTTTATAATTAAGTACTTTTAACTCAACACAAAAAAGTCTGGTTGTGGTCTAGGCACTAATTTTTTGGTGACCGTCTTGGTACCAGTGACCGCCTTAGCGCGTCTGGCTTCGAGACTAGGCACTAATACTAAACGGGTTAACAACACAACACAACACAAAATGTCGACAAAAGACTGTAAAATACAACACTTTGAAAATGTGTTGTTTAGTATATCAATATCAACATCAACATCATTTGCAATTAATTGGTGCCTCGAGCCTAGCTATAGTAGTCTGTGGTTTTCTAGGTAAAAGGAAACTACACGGCGCAGTCAGGGCACTAGTAATTAAATTTTAAGAATGTTTAAGTATAAGTACTTGTTTATACATACGTGTGCAAACAGAGGTAGTCCTGGCGTCGTGATGAAGCATATTAATTATTGAGAGTAGTATATCAGCAATGCCAAAGTACTTACTTACGTACTTACCTAAGTCAGTACTCTTGGTAATATTCAAACTATCTAATCCATACTCTGTAGAGCCACTCGTCAACATCTTCTTCGCCCCTTCAACTTCTACAACTTCTCAAACGTCTTTGGCCTCTTCACCTTCATCCCATCTTACTTTCTCATAAATCACCACCATAGTCACCTTCTCAAAAGGTGGCCGGAGCAGCAGCCTCCACGGGCAATAGCTATTTACTATTATCAAGTCATTTTCGACAAAGCATATCTCCTTCTGACTTCTTTTCAGTGGTATAAATATTCAGGACTCGAAAGGAAGCAACTGTATATCACAAGAAAAACAAAAATAAAGAACATACACCTCCTTCGCAAAACATCACCTCCATATACGGCAGACGACCAATATGCCGCTCCTCGAATCTTCCCCAGAGGGTAAATCTTGGCCACCCCCTTTAACAACCTTGGGTCCAGAACAGGTTCCTCGAAGAATAGCCAACGCACCACAGTCACAACAGGCCTATTACTTTACTCCTACAGCCCAACCTGTCACGAACCTCGGTATGACTACGTCTCATCCTACGTCTGTCACCATCGTACCACCCACTAGGAGTAGTAGCCACGAACATCGTCCGATAACCGATTCTCTCTCATATAAGTCCCCGGTTATTTTAGATCCATCCCTTCCTCTGAGCACCCCACACACAGATTTTAATTTTGCCAATAACCAACAACCCAGTTTCTTAAAACAATCTACCATACTTCAAGTTCCCAGTGCCCGGAGTCCAGCCTGGCCAATGATGCTACAGGAAATCCCTATTTCACCCAATATCAGCCACATGGTCGAAGGCGGTGGCCTCCAGACGCAACTTATTGGTGGGTTTGGGCCATATGCTGGGCCGATGGCATTCAGCACCGCCCAGACTTCAAATAGGTTTCCTGCTACTATTTCGGATAGCGAAATCCAACATTTGCAGAATCCACAGTCCATGCAATCAGCGGCAACCCCTCATTACTTTACAGCTGTTAGCCCGTTGGTCTCTGATTACCCTGGACCTTTTCAGCCCAGCTCTGTTTCCATCCCGAGCCCAGCCGCTGCTGATTACCCAGCAGTCTTCTTACTACAACCTCCGTTCAAAAATAACGCCTCCCGCCAAGAATCCACCGGGTTTAAGTCCCGTCGAAATACCGCGGAGGGCGATGATGAGAATCCCCAAACCACTCAAAACCTTGCTTCTCTGATAACCGACAACCCGACCCCGGATTATGGCTATGTGCAAGCACAAGCACATGTTTGGAAGAGTATTGCAGAGGACGGGCTCTCTAACCTCAACAAAATGACTCAAACATGGCTGAGATCAAACATCACATGTTTTGATGATGTCTTGCAACATATTCCTCTTGAAGAATTAGGGAAACAGGCGCTGATCATTCGTGAACCAGATTTACTTCCCCAGCCCAAAGGCTGTTCCTGGAATCTAGTCAAAATTGAAAATGTAAGCTCAGACAAGATTATCAACATGTAGGGGGCATGCAGGGTCTAACAAGCTTCGAAAGATACCATATAACCTCGACGATGACATGCTGTTCGAGTTCCTGGGAAAGTCACATGGTTTGGTACCGGAGGAGCATGGAGGTGTACATATTATCATGGACAGGACTACGGTACGTACTCATCTGACCTAGGAGCCCCACCCAGAGCAATCTATATAAATTTAAGGGTACTCTAATCTAGTTTTTGGCCACGCATAGGGGAAAACTATGGATTGTTTTTTGGAGTTCCCGTCTGTCGGGGTAGCTGAACGTTTTATACAGCGTCGTTGCAACAACAACCGCAGGTGTATCCTCGGCGGTCGCCACATATCCCTAGAGCTTGTTAGGCAGGGCGAACTCATGCGATGGCTATTCCCCAAGGTCAGAGGAGCCACATGGGGAGAAGATGGCGACCTTGTTGTTGGCGAATGGAAATCCTTTCATGCACCTGTTGAAATAGTCAGTAGAGAAGAATTAGTGATGATCCTTGGCCATGCGCGCACGCCTCACCGAGTGAGTATATTCGAATGCCCTACCATATTGCGGGGTGTGGAACTATGAACCTAATATCATGTTGCTTTATAAACAGTCGCCATTCAGCAGGAAATGTCTTCAACGTCCATACGAGTCTTTGATGAGCGTAGTTACGAAGTTTCCTTGGAAGGAGACCGACGATTATACTTTGAAGCAGCGGGATTTGATATTCCAGGCCGCCTTTGAAGCAGGCGAGCTGCTAAAACGCCAAATCCTTCGGGGCAAAGCAGGCCCGAATATTGACCTGAGGCTTTTGCGACGTCTTTGCCGCACAATTTCATTTTGTCCCGGATTCACCTATAGACAAAAATTAACATTCTTGGACGCAATGGGGATTACTACGACCGAATGCTTCACGATCCTCGGCGACTTGGGGATCTCTCACCCTCTTGCGACCCAGTTTCAAGCGCTAACGGTCAGGCCTGGTGCGGATTATGTGGCGGTCGAGGTTTGTCCATGTGTCTCGGCTTGTGGCGTTTTGTATAGCGTGGGCTAACGTTTGATAGGCTATTGCGAATTTGGTAGCGGATGGGGTGTCGCGGGGAAACGGCATCCGTAACGAGACAGATTTGGGTATCCGCCTTGGTCCTGGTGGCACCCGGGGATCGAATGAAGATGGGAATTGTGAGCTGACGATGAGGGCAGCAGCGAGCATCGAGTTAGAAACTGTCATCACTGCTATAAAGACGACGTTTGCGCCAGGGCGGGACACGCTAGATTTTCAAGGCCGAATTTGAGGATCTCGTTGGTATGCTTACTGACATTGCTCTGCTTTTGCTTGTTTCCCCAACACTGTTCACTGTTGATTTCTTATCTGATGCTCCTGCTCCACATTGCGACCACATGGGATGACGGGCATCGGTTCGCTTATTATTATTTCTTATACCTCTCCATCACTGTCGATGGACATAGTATGAAAGCGGCATACACCGAATCCATTGCTTCTTCAGGCCTTCATACTCAAAAGTAGCGGCGGTTGCATATGTATATTGCCCACAATGGGGGTTTCATCCATAAGATGCAATAACAATAACAAATTCTCGGATATCTCTAAACGAATCTCTGGTAATCAGGTCTTCTAGCTTGCTGGGTTACATGCATACCATGTTCCTTAGTGTATACAGCAGGACAGCAAGCACTCGGGCACTTATCACAACAAAGGATATAATTCAAATATTTAATGTATAGAAGAGGAGGAGAAGGGGGGGGGAAAAAAGGGCGCTAGTTGCCCAGACGGATCGAAGAAGCGAAGTTGGATGGGAAGGAAAAAGAAAAGAAAAGGGAAGAAGAAGAACAAGAAGAGAGTTTACAATGTCTTAGTTTGCTTTTTGGGGCTGTTTCAAGTGAGACATTCTCTGAGACACTGGACCGCAAAAAAGGCTTAGCTGGTCTCATTGCTCAGGCCACTATGCCGGGTCCATTCCATAAACTTTAGAGACTAGAGTTCATTCGGAATACGACGAAGCGCTGAGGAGTTTTCGGATATGGTTATACGAAGATTTGACCGTAGTCTCCAGCATACATACATACATACATCTATACATACATCTATACACAGTGCAGACAAATACATATGTGTATGTACGTATGTATGTATGTATATTACATAGTAGGTACATACGGACTCTTTTAGCTATTTACTGACAAACTTGCACGTCGTACGGTCCCCATATAAAGATGTTGGGGTGGAAAGGTGTTTTAGTAGGTTAGTTAATTAGGCGAGGATGTCTGCCTAGGCACATACCACATAGTACTCGCACTGTTACATAGTTAGGTACATATATACAGTATGCAAGTCTTGTACATCTTTATTTCCAGCGTACTAACAAAAAGGGTGGATACGATGGTGGAGAAACCGGAAGATTTTGGAGGTTGGAGCGTGGTGGGCGGTGGTGGTGTGGGTGGGTCGGGATTGAGCTGAGCGGGCTGGCTTCCACGTTTTTTATTTTGAATCGACTGGATTCTTTCTTTCTTTCTTTTTTTCTCTTTTTTGAGAAATTGCGTTCCCCCGGAATTAGCGCGCACGTGGTAGCTCCACTGGAACGGGGGGGGTAGGTGATAATGGCAGGTTTGGCCGAAGACGGGACCGGCTGACCGCGCGCACTTTTAATTTATTTTAATTTATTTTAATTATTTCGATTAGAGTACGACAGAGCCGATGAGCATGCTTGTAGGTATCAATCGCCAATAAATACATGTATATATATATATATATGTGTGTGCGTGTGTATGTATGGCTATGTATATTTGTATGTAATGATGGTGATGGTGATGGTGATGGTGATGATCGATAGTGGTGGTGATGACAGTGGTGGTGGTGGTGGTGGTGGTTAACATGGATGTGGCGACCCAGCCGGGTGGTGGCAGCGGAGAAGGCTTTTCGTGTGAGCAGCCAGAAACAAGTTGTCGGGACTGCTGATCGCTGCTGAAAAGGGGTTCACCAGATCTGGCTGGCCAGCCGGGCTCTGCGGCCTCAGCGGCGCTCAGGGGTTGTACATAGTATGTTCATATTATATTGCACTCGATATCAACCAGAGTTTGGTTCAGCCCCTCAGCCAATCACATCGCCAGCGTAGCGAGGACACACACGGGATTCCCCATCAAGAAATCGCTCGATAAGCTAAGGTTGCCAATGCAAAATTGAATGGGGACAGTCGTCGGTCGAGATCGAGGGGAGGAATTAAAAAAGATTTAATTGCATTGCATTGGGGCGGCTGATTCCAAAGTCCCAAATGCGCGATTCCCGATAGCGAGTATGGCATCTGCAGAGCTTCGTCTGGACTTTCTTCATTTCTTCTTTTGCTTTTGAGAATCCTTTTTATTTTCCATTTTATTTTTCTGATTTTTATTTTATTTTATTTTTTATTTTTTTAAAATGATTTTTTAAATGATTTTTTTATATTTTTTATATTTTTAAATTTGGTTTAACAAAATCCTCCGCCAGAAACTGAAAAAACACTGATGGATCCGTATGGATCGTATGAATGTAATGTACATCTTCAAATTAATTTCATCTCGTAGCCTCATTGCATAGAAACAATAGCCGATTTCCGTCCTGATATGGATGAGAGTTCGGAGTAATCCAGGTCCGCCTGACTCCCCTGTTCCGAACATTAACATTCCCCTGTGCTCTGCTCTGCTCTGACCCTAAACGGCGGTATCAACTTATGTACATGTACATGTACATAGGACACACATACATACTTACATACGCATATGTACAATGGAGGTTGTGAGGTTCTTCTTCATCTTCCTCCCATTCATCTTTTCTTTTTCTTTTTTTCCATCTTTTTCCTTTCCCTTTTCTCTTTTGTCATTTGGGGCCGGCCAGAACCCTCCAGGAACGATATTATACTAGCTGACCGACTTATACATAATAGTACAGATAACCAAACCCACACAACCCGAACTAAAGTCCATCTGTACTTACATCTATCCGGTCATCTTGGGAAGTTTCTAATCTCAATTTACCAGATCTTCCGTCGCCCTTCTGCCATGTGCCTACCTAAGTCTGTATGTATGTATGTGTGCGTGTGTGCGTGTGTGCGTGTGCGTGTGTGTGTGTGCGTGATTTCGGAGCTGAAATAGATAATAATAATAATAATACCTGTTCAGACTTCTACTCCGACCGACCGACCGACACCACCCTCTCTTCACGTCCTGGTATGTACTATGTATGTAGGTACTCTGGACCGCCGCCTTTTTCCATTGCCTCACCAAATCCCACATCTTTCAGATCCCTCCTGGGGCTAACTGGTTAAAGCATCCGTCCCTCACTTTTGGATCCTGAGCACGGAGGAAAGAAAGCCATCAGAACGTGGATAAATAAGCGTCGGCACTAGCGTTCGTTTCTCTAAACCTCTTCTCGCTTAGCCGTCTGCAGAACCGCATCTAAATCAAAACGCCGAAGAGAAATTTACCAGCGGAAAAAGAAACCATTGTCCAAAATCAGAAGAAGAAAAAGCAAGGCCGCTGAAAAATGGGAAGACCAAACTCCATATCAGCTTGGTTGTTGCACTAATGCACCTTGGATATGCGTGTGCATGGATGGGTATCATTTGATTTCCTAATGGTGCACCAGTCGTCTGGTCCTCTCTTTTTGCCCCACCAGCCTTTCCCTTGGTGAGGTTCGTGAGGTCGGGTCCAGTCCAGTCCAGTCCTTCTTTCCCCCCTTCCCTTCCCTTCCCTTCCCTTCCCTTTTTTCTCTCTCTCAAATGGTCTGCCCCTCTCGACAAAGCACTGCATGAGCAACTGACATGGATTGTATTGGCTTCCCGACAGAACCCAAATCTCGGGAAACATGTCCTTGTCCGTGTACCTGTACATTGCTCGTGCTGTCTGCCCCTAGACTGGCTTGGGGCAGAGGCTAGGGGAGCGAGGAAATAAGAAAGAAACGAGATACCATGCATTGCATGCACCGCACAACTATGTTTCTGCTAATACCCTCCTCCCTTTGGTTTTATATTACTTCCTCTACGCTAACAGTCTTTTCCTGATAGTCGATTTTGTGGTCGTATCCACTCCGGCGGGAGTATATATACCTTCGCCTGACTCCCACGCCGCCCAAAAAAGTGATGATCATCGTCCTGTCCTGACGAACTTCCTCTTATTCTTATTCTTATCCTCCTCCTCCTCCTCATCCTCATCCTCCTCCATATCCATATCCATATCCATATCCATATCCATATCCATATCCATATACCAATTTCCACACATATCTATCTTGACTTCTTAGGTCGATTCTATTACGCAGACAGGGTAACCAACTACTACCATATATATCCATCATCATCATTGCCAATTCCAAAGTTGGTCTCCATATCAGCGACCTATCGCTTCGGTCATCTCAGTATTTTTTGTTGCTACTGCTTCTGATTCCCTTTATCTATATACCTCCTCCCTGTCTCTCTCTCTCTCTCTCTCTCTCTCTCTTTTCCCCCCTCTCTCCCTCTCTTTACCTGCTCATCTGACATCTACAAATCATCTACCGTATACCCAAAAACAACAAGAGTTTCTTAATCGAATCGATTTTTATTCTTATTTTATTACCATTACCATTATTCTTGTTGCTTAATTGAAAGAGAAAAAAAAAAAGAGAGGCTCAGTAACAACAATCAATAAGCCATTGGGACTTCAATTCCCAATAATCACCTTCAAAACGGCGACCATCACCTATTCTACTTTGACTCGACAGACGCCTATCCTCCCACATCTCATACCGGCGTCCCCAGCGTCTTATTATCCAAGCCCTGCTCCAAGCAATTGCTCGGACAAGGTAGCAACATCACCCAACTTTCCACAGGGCCATTCGACACCCTATTGGGCTACTCCTGCATCAAACCACCCTCCAACCCCCGACATGACGTCGACACTTCCATTAACAACATCCTCCTATACTTCGCCCCCTCTCGTAAATGCCATGTCTACAATCCACCCCTTGCCATCGCCGCCTGCGAACGATGCAGAATTACCTAAACCGCATGGCGATGCTGCCAGTTCAATCCTAGCATCTCGGAGGCAGAATGTATCCTTACCAGCCTTCACCTTTCCCTCACCAACTCAGCGCACCTTTGGTTATGGGTTGCAGAGCCCCGCCCCTAGCTTATTGACACCGCCTTCAGGTAACGATCACATTGGCTCCGTAGACGGGAACAATACAGTAAACCACAGTTTCTGGGCAAATACTGCACCATCCCATGCAACCGCTTCTACAAATTTCCCATACGGTTCAGGATCGTCATCACAATCTACATATACAACAGCGCCCTCAACTGCCTATGCCAATCGAGGGATTGTTTCGCCTATAAGCTCAAGCAACCGGGCCCAACCTTTAAGTCCTCACCACCAAGATACAGTTCCATCTTCGGCGGGTCAGCACCCTGGATTCGATAGCCACTCTTATAACCCTACCCTTGCCGTTCCAAATCCCCAAAGTCATTCATATTCGCCAGGCTATCCTTATCCTACGCAGGCTCCTTTAACACCCGTGCCTCAAAATGCAATCGCTTCACCACACGATGCCTACTCCTCCCCTCCCTCTTCGCTCCCACCACCTACTCCGTCATCAGGGTATTATGCACAGCATAGCCCGACATATCCATATCATGGCCATCCAATTCCAGTTGGGCCTACCTCACCACCTGTAAACCGCCCAACTGCATCTACACCCTTATCTCATCTTCACCCTCTTCATGCATCAAGCCCTCTAGCGCATAACAGCTACCAACCTGCCCACCCTCGGTATCTTACTGCAGGAATGACAAATATGTATGCCCAACACGGAGCATCCATCATTGGGGGTCTAACCCCACATCTCGCCGGGTCGGCTCTTCAGCATTCACATATGCATCCATCGCAACATGCTCCAGTACCTCATCAAGAACGCCCATTTCGATGTGACCAATGCCCTCAAAGCTTTAATCGCAATCATGATTTGAAGAGACATAAGCGAATCCATCTCGCCGTCAAGCCTTTCCCATGCCCAAATTGCGATAAAAGCTTCAGCCGAAAAGATGCACTGAAGGTAAGGAATCTCTCCTAAATATTTATTTATTTATTTGAATGCTAATCGAGTCTGTCTTTATAGCGTCATGTTCTCGTGAAGGGGTGCGGTAACGCAAGCGCTAGCTCTAAACCGGCCAGTACTGGATCTTGATTTTGCCATCGGTTAAATCTAGGCTGTTTTATATGTCTTCTGCTTGTTTGGGATGCGCGTATTGCGAACCCGAGTTATTGGTAGTTTGCTTTCCCCGCTCGATGGAGTTTTAATACCCCTGTGTTAGGATATGCTTGTCGATGGCGTATAGTGGCTTCTTTGGGCATTCGCTTGGCATCTTTCCTCATACTTACCACGTACATACCTACCTTTTTAACCCCCTGTATATTTTACTTTTGGCACACGGATGGAGTTTCAGGCGTTTGATGGTTGATCTTCGGGAAAGGAAAATCTAATGTCCTATGACTAGTAAATAATAATGGCATATGTATCTATAGCAATAGCTGCAAAAGTGAAATAGGCTTCAAATGAAACGAGCAAAATTTTCCACTTCTCAATACCACATACTACATAGCTAATCCTGTCAGAATGCCGGATGTGAACTAGTTGTCTTCAATGGCTATGTAAGTATTTAATATATACCCGACTGCTTTAGCAGAAGGGACTGAGAGAGAACGCATGTAGATGCACACAAGGATGGGATTTTTGGTGGTGGGATTTCTCGGTGGGTTGGCTGGGCCGCTGGGCGTGCTGCTGCCCTAGAGATTTTTGCCAAGATTCCCAAATAGGCATTTCATTATTTCCTATTTGAGCCTTTTCTTTCAGAAACAAACCTACTCTTTTGAGATTTTCACAAACCTACTCTTTTAATCACGTATCTCTCTATCAATCACGTATCTCTCTATCAATCATGTATCTCTCTGTCAATCACGTATCTTTTCTGCTAAAGCAGCTTGCTCCGGGTGTGGACGGGCGAGTAGCGTAGCTACGGGGGCGGGAGCAAGGGAGGGTAAATGTGTGTCGCAAGACACCATATCTAGTATAAATTTGTTATTTACTGTTTACTGTTTAGTGTTAATTTTGCTTGGGCATCGTGTTGTGTTGGATTTCATGATGTTACACACACCATTTACATCACAGTTTGATAGGCTTACCGAAACACAACATATACAACACAATCTATCTAAGCAAGGCGTCTTAGTTTTTTTCAATGGTCATTAGACCCCTTGGTGATATCATGTTAAATAAATAAATACCTAGCGAGCCACTGTTTTTTGGGCAAGAGTTTCCTCTAAGCCTAGATCTATAAATTAGATATACCTACTTAGGCTAACCGAAACATCACCTTACCCTCTTATCAAATATTCAACTACTTAGTCATATCACAATCACACCCTAATCCACTCACCCTTCGATTTTTACCTGGCGGAAGAGGGGACAGACTCGGCTCCTTCGGGTAAAAGGACCAATCCACCCTCCAACCCTAGATATCCATCCAATAGCACAAAATGGAGAATAATAGTAAACCCCAAGATGTTGGCGAGACGCTGTTGACGGGTAAGAAAATTCCCTTAGCACGTGTGCCTAACGCTCCTTCTAACCTCGTACAGTTGGGCCCTGGAGACTGGGCAGAGCTCTAGGAGAAGGGGCATCCGGCCGGGTTTGCCTCGGGAAGCATCAGAAAACGGGACGGTTCGCCGCAATTAAGGTTATCAATAAAAACAAAGCACAGGGAACGACGACTAGCATCCAGGAAGCTGGTTGTGATATTCAGCATGCCATCGAAAGAGAGATCGTAGTCATGAACATCCCAACGCACCCTAACATGATAGAGCTGTACGAAATCTGGGATAGCCGGGACGAGGTGTAAGTTGAATGCACGTACGCAGATATTTGCCCCAAACCTCAAGCTGTATCTAAGATTAGTCGTGGTTCATTAGGTATCTTGTGCTCGAGTACGTTAGTGGCGGAGATTTATTGCAATACATGACCAAGAAACGCTTTCTACCAGAGAAGGAAGTTGCACGACTTTTCAAGCAGCTGATTACTGGCCTCTCGCACCTTCACCGGTTTTCTATATACCACCGAGACCTAAAGCACGAGAATCTCATGATGGACCAACATGGTAATGTAAAAATTGGAGACTTTGGCATGGCGGCGTTGCAGCCGGCCGGTAAGATGTTTACGAGTGCTTGCGGATCCCCCAATTATGCAGCCCCGGAAGTTGTACAAGGTTTGCCGTATAATGGCTCAGCCGCGGACATCTGGTCATCGGGGGTTATACTTTATGGAATGCTGACGCATCAGCTTCCGTTTGACGATCCGGATACATCTGCGATACTGAGCCGGATAGTTTGTGCGGAATACAAGCTACCAAGATCAATCTCATTTGAGGCAGGGGATTTGATAAAACGCATACTAGAATTGGATCCGGCAAAAAGGATTAAACTCGAAAAGATACTCGAACATCCGTTCATCACGAAGTATCAAAGCCTAGTTACAAGTGTTCCCCTAGGAACAGCCATTCGAAACCACACTATTCAGAACACCAGCATACACATAACCCTGAGCCAAGTCCAACGGGTAGATATGGATATCGTGGCCAAGCTGAAAGCGCTCTGGATGACTCAAGACGAAGCAGCGTTGGCGAAAAAAGTATTATTTCAAGAGTTAGTCAAGATTTCAAAACTGCATTCGAATTGAAGAAAACTAACCCGCAAACACGGCAGGACATCGCTAGAAAGGCTGTTTTACGACTTACTTCTCATAAGACATGTCGGAGGGCAGCCCACACAAGTTTCAAGCGACATCATTCTCAAATTGACCACTAATATTGTCCCTCCTAAGCTTGATCTCGATGATTTCTCTTTTACGAAAGTTGACCGGCGGACCCCGTTCTTATTTTGGGGAACGCCTATTCCCGTCGAGCTGGGTCCGAAACCTACAATCCAAGAACGGGCCCAGAAATTCAAAGATCCGAACTTCCCTAAGACCCTGGGTGACGAAGAAAGGCTATGTAACAAGACCTCAGGAAGCAATAATCAACCAGAAATCCATCATAGTGTGCAGTCACCTTTAGCACCCCTGATTGAAAAGACGAAGTGTGAACTAGAAGAATACCCAGCCCAACCACCACCACCACCACCACCGCCACACGCAGAAAACGATGACGGGGCCCAGTTGCACATTCAGCTTGTTGGAGAAAAAAAAAGTGCTCTTGAGAGGAGGGTCGGGCAACTAAACGTTGTAAAAGCATGTTTGGAAGTACTCTCTAGTCGAAACATCTATAAACGAAAGGTCCGAAGGAGTCAATCCCGGCGGTCTGTAATATTCACGGGTAGTCAACTTGGGGTAGGTAACGCGGCCTGGCACCGATTACCAGGGCTAGGCGAGCAGGTAGGTTACAACGCTAGAAGAATACTTCATAGTCGAGCTTTGCACTGGTGGTGATCTTATTTATGAGAGCTATATAATGTGCTGATAATATGATAGATCCGAAAAACCGATATTCCCGCGTCATCTATGGATGTACACAGGGTACTAGGGGGCCTACCGACTGTTGGACTGGAGAAACCTCAGGAAGGAAAGTTGGTTTACGAAGAAGGGATAGCTGAGGATGGGACAAAATACCCACGCCCTATGGGGAACGGTAGGAGAAAGTTTTTGATAGTAACCTTATTTTTAACATGAGACATACGTGCATCTTTTGAAGACGATTCTTTGGAGGTATATGCTAACTGATATCATGGTTTGTGCCAGGATCCCACGATGAGCGAGCTCTACTGGCATTGCTAAATCGCTCTCAAAGAAAGCAAACTGTTTTTTCCCCTGAGCCGGTCACAAAAACTCGGAGGAGGTTTAATTCCATACTTAGTATTTGGCAGTCGTATGGAGCAGGCCATGTTCGGATGGACGGCCAAAATATTGTTTGGAGAGATGCTACGGTGACAAAAGGTAAGTGATATTCGCCTAAAATAGCTGACAAAAGGTCACTAATAGAATATCCGATTAGTAGGGTCCAGGCGTCCGTTTGCTTGCATGATTCGGTTGGTAGAATTGAATGGTGGCACAGTTATCACTGTTTCTAGAGAACGCGGGCCTGCAGCAAGGCTGAGTGGAATTGTTGCCGAATTTATTGAGCTGCTATTCGCTCACAATATCCGAGGGAGGGAGGGATGAGGATGCTGACGGTGGGCCGATCCGCTAAGCAGCTGGTATGCTGGCTATCTTATGATTAAGATAAGATATTGATGAAATAGATTCCTACGATATTAGACCCCAAGAGAGGGATTGAACTGAAAATAGTAGTGTCTGTCTACTAGAGTAGCGATGCTGAATCCGGAATTCTGCGAAAGTTTTGCAAGCTGTAAAAGTGGGAGGAGGCTTGGGGCGGCCTTAGTGGCCAGCTCAATACAAGATATAGCGCACAGACATGATGTTGAATACCGTGACTCTCCACTAAATCTGTCTCCCAAGCCTTCGCCACACTTTGACATCATCGTCAGTTTGTAGATTTTACTGGGGATATTGGCCCCCATAACAATATATATATAACTCTTGAAACTCGGGGAGTTTATTACTTTCGCTCTCGGGGGCTCTGTCTTCGTAGTTCCTATGTGCTTCCAAAGAAGGGTTAGGTTAGACGGCACTTGATGGATGCTCAAATTGATGTCGCCGGGATTCAGGGTTTCTAGGACCGTCGAGATCGATTTCACTAGTGCATCGCTCGAGTAGCATTGCTTGTGCGGAAGTTTAACAAGCAGGCAACGAATCCAGTTTGGTGTCAGACACATCTGGGACATTATGGATATCCGATTCTTTGTTAAGAATATAAAGATTTGTTAGATTGAGCAACCCGAACTACAAGAGGATACGCACCTACATGATTTTTTTTATAGCACTGCAGAGCACCAATCAAGCACGCAAATTCGCGCAGACATAGACGCACCCAACAGGTTGACTTTGCCCCAGTTTGAGTCACCCACCTATGACATATTGGACAGAGACTGACCGCTGTGAGAATAACCTCTTTCAGGAAGCCCGCGTTAACGGGGTCACCGACGAAAAATTAAGACAAATCCTCATCAAGTACCCACCCGCTGAAGAAGGGTGCCCAAGGTTGAGCTGTAGGCAAAAGATAGCCATATTTGCCAAAAAAAAGAAAAGAAAAGAAAAAAGACAATAGACCGAGACCATTGCCGGCATTGTCTGAAGAAAAATGAAGCGAAAACTTCCTGTACATGAATATAATGTTCGAATGAAAATAATAAGACTTGTGCAGGGGCTATGCAGTCAACAAGAATGATAAAAATGCAAAGAGATCAGCTGTAATCCGAAATAACCGCACCATAATAACATAATTATCATCGATAAAATAAAAAAAGCAAAACGTCAAGGAATATCCAAAAGGACGAGGTGAGGGGTAAAACAAGAGTAGTTCTGGCCGGGTCAATGTGAGAAATGACTTTTCACTAGAGATGGATAGTGAGAGGCCGATAATGTCCCCCGAGATGGGTGGTTGGAATGGTGAAGTTAAAAAAAAAAAGTTACAGAATGTGCCACCCAGCCTATATCGCTCCTGTTTAGATGAGAAAAGACAACAATCAAGCATGACAATGATAATGATAATAATGGTAATGAGAATTATGAAAAGAGGGGGGTGGGGATGGGGATATATATATATAATATGATATAATATGATATAATGGCAGGAAGTAAGAGAAAAATAGAAGCCAATGGGCGAGCGGAGGGACGGATGGCCACAAAGGTGATTAGAGCCATTCTTTTAGAGGACTTGGATTATGTCTTGAGAGCTGTCCCTTTCATGTTTTGAAAGGGAGAGATTTAAGCATTCGAGCATCTACATCTGACCGGTGGGGAGGATTGGGGTCTATTAAATTGGATAGTTGCATAGGGTGTGATGGAGCAGGTGGGCCAGCGGATGAAGACCTTGGGGGCGACTGGAGCTGGCCAGCGGCTGGCCGAGAGGTCTGTGAGCCGTAGGGAAATGCACCAGTTTCAGAAGGGTAGCCCTGTTCTTTGCGTGACTCGCTCCGGGGGTCGGACAAACGTCGCTGTGGTGTAGAACCAGTCGTTTGTGAAGTTTCAACTTGGTTTTGGTTGTATTGGCGTTCATAGTCCGCTGTCGGATAAGAACGGTGCTGTTGACCAGAGGACGTAGTAGATGGGTATGAAACATTATTATAATTACCACTTCGGGATGGTGAGTACTGTCTGGGGGGCGGAAGGGTTGCTGGAGGCGATGCTGGCGGGTTTGCGTTTCCTCCTTGCCAATATGCAGGGTAGTCTCCAGCTGAGCCCCGCCTCTGTAGACTATGAGGAGGGTAATTGTTGGGCGCTAAAGGCGGCAAAGAAGGTGGACGGTCGTCGTAGGATCGGTTATATTGGTTGGTGTGGTTGGGGCTTGGAGGTCGGCCGTAAGCATGATGGGAAGGATAGTCGCCTTGCTGGGTCGATTGGGGAAGCGCAGCGTGAAGTGGTAGCGGTTGACCATAAGAACCGTATAGCTGTCCGACTGGGCGTGCTGGCCCACCCCTTGGTGGGATAAACCCCTGTTTCAGATGAGGGTACTGGGTGTGCGCTGGGACGAAAGCCTGTGCCTGTGATGATACTGGCGTAAAGACACATTCTTGGTTGAAGCGTAGGCAGTTCCCACATCTTCCATCTGCGGACGAATCGAATCCAGAGCAACGTATCTGTGGTTTTATTAGCGAGGTCTCTAAATATGAGGCTGCACATCTTGGCTCGGCCGAAAAGGAGAGCGGCGGTAACTTTTATACCTTTCGACGCCTGCAATACCTGCAGGCAATTGCAGTCCGTTGTCTTGGGGCTGGGGGTGGTACTGGAATCATTGGTTCTCTAGGCACCTGTGCCCACATTTCGCTGGGAGGGGGTAGCTGCTGTGGATACATTTGATCCGGAGGTTGGACACCATGAGAAGGCATCATCGTAGGGTGCATATTCCTATCTTCAAGAGCATGGCTCGGGATGTTCTATCGAGTATATTAGATGCGGTTGGATATATGTGAGGAGGGTTCACACCAGTGAAGGAAGTAACATACGGAATCATCACGCCCTCGATGCGAAAGGCGGTCGTCTGCTGGCGGCCATTGAGACCGCATTCTCGGGTCATCTTGGTGATTCCACGAATTTCGATTGCCGGCGTTCGACGGATACATGATGCCGATATGTGTGTTTGTGTTTGTATTTATACGGTATATCGTTTTCCTGAGCTGTACAGGATTTCTAATCCTTCCCTACAGGACCGCCCAAGGCGCTCTGCGCCGTCCAAAAGGTGCTTCGTCCCGGCCTTGAGACGAAACGCGTGTTCTGGTTTTTATTGAGCTTAAGCCCAAATAAATCGAAGTAGGATGTTGTGTTGAAGATAATAGGTAGCCCTACCCTTCCCTCCTTCCTTCCTTCCTCTTTATTATTATTAAATATATATTGGTTTTTCCTTCCTTCCTTCGCTATTGTTTTGGACGAAATAAAACGTATTGAATGAGAGGGAAGTTTGATGTCGGGTCAAAAAAAAAATTTCGATCCCAAGAGCAGGTTTCGAGTGTCGGAATACGGAGGAGGCGCCGAACAAGGAACAACGATGCCAAAGAATTCCAGTATCGAAGGACGTATTCCCGGGGAACAGAGGGAAGTGATGCGAGGGTCAATTGCCGGCGTCAACAAATGAGTTGGGATTGAGAGATGTGCTGGGTAAGGTCCAAATAACGTGACGTTGGAACCGTTTTTTTAGGTATTAGGAGCTACCGAGTGGATATAAATTGTCAAAAGTCAGCTATTATACTTCGTGGAGGACAAAATGACAATATCGTATTTCTTTTTCAATTTATGTTACAGGCTGTTGCTACCCCTGGGATTGTATGAACGTAGCGGGTGATAAGAAAACAGTAGCTCAATGGTGGTATATGTATATATATATATATATATTTATTTTTAGGTGAGGCGACGGGATATGATGAGAATAGACTCACAGAAAATGACGGGCGAGATGTAAGCGCGAAGGTTTAATAATTGGACGAAATGCGGGTAGCTGTGGGACAGTAGCAACTAGAGAGACGCAGGATGTTAGGAAGGAGATAGCTGTTAGACGAAACCAACCAAACAGGGTTTGAAAAGTAAGTGAGTAAGTATGTAGGATGGAAGGGGGAGAGAGATGGAGTGAGGAAAGGAGGAGGAAGAGGGAGAAAAAGAAGAAGAAGAAAAAGAAGCTAATGGAGGCAAACACCGAATAAAGGGAAGTGAGCAGGGAAAGGGAGAGAGAAAGAAGAGAGAGAGTGTGTGTGTGTGTGTGTGTGGAGAGAGAATGATGGAGTGAGTGAAGGAGGTTGAAGGACAAGACAGGTAAATTAACCAGACAGACAGACTAAAACAAAGGTCGCTTGGAAGAGAAAAAGAGAAAGAGAGAAAGAGAGAGGGAGGGAGGAGTGCTAGCAATGATGATGGGCAGGGTATAAGAATAAGGAGCGGGTTGACCGTTTCAACCGTGCGAGAGGAGCGGCGGCGGTGGTGGTGGTGGTGGTGGTAAGCTAAAGGTGGTTGTAGGTGGCTACGGACTGACCTGGAAAGCTTTGCTTGTCTGCTAATAGTTTTGTAGTTTTAGTTTTAGTATTAGTTTTGGTTTGGTTTTTTTTTTTTTTTTTTTTTTTTTTTTTTCTGGGCTGGAAGGGGGATAATATGCCGCGACGGGGAGGAGGAGGAGGGCAGAGGGGGTGGGGGTGGGGGGAGAGGAAAGAAAGGAAAGGGAAGGGAAGGGACAGAGAAAGAAAGAAAGAAAGAAAGAAAAAAGATGGGATGGAAAGGAAAGAAGGAGGAAGGGTGGGTGATACAGTGTGATAATCAAGAGCTATCGGAAAGAAAGCAGCGAGTAGAAGATATGTCGACAGGGGTTATGTTGGTTTATGATCGATTGTGTGAAGTTGAGAAGCAGATTGGAGATGTTTATTATATGTTTAAACAAACCATACCTGCAAGGTGGTTATGTTATGTAAGTCCAGTACTTACTTTTTATTTATTTATTTCCTCGAACCCACTAAGTTCGTAGGTACAAAAGTATATAGTTAACCGGCCGGTCCATAAAAGATTTAACTATTTAGGTAACCGGAGAGAAAATGCTTCGAAGGGATCGAAGAGACGGTAGTAAAGTAGGAGAAGTGAGGGGAGGAGGAAAAGAAGGAGGAGAGTAGGAGGAGGAGGAGGAGAAGGAGAGTAGGAAGAGGAGAAGGACAAGAAGAAGGAGAAGAAGAGGAAGAAGAAGAGGAAGAAGAAGAGGAAAAGGAAGAAGAGGAAAAGGAATAGAAACACCGAGGATGTAAAAAAGAAAAGGAAAAGGAAAAGGAAAGAGAAAGTGGGTGTGTGTGTGTGTCAGTCAAGAAGTGGTCAGTATGTAAGTAAGTAAGTATGTAAGTATATACATACTTACTTGGGGAAGTCAGTAAGGATGCCATCTCTTGATCCCTTCATCATATCATCTTCCATCATCTTCATCATCTTCATCATCATCATCATCATCATCTTCTTCTTCTTCTTCTTCCATTTTCATCACCATCGTAATCATCATCACCATCATCACCATCTCCTTCTCCTTCTCTCGCTCTTTTTCATTTACCCTTCATCACTTCTTCATGATCCTCTTCTTCTTCTTCTTCTTCTTCTTCTTACTTCATGTTTAACCCTCCTCCTCCTCCCTCCCGTCGTAAAAATATGATATAAAATTATTAACATCCAAAATCACCGCGCACGCACGAGCAAACGAGACGGCTGCGGGACAACCATCGCAGGGGCCAATCCCGGGCTGGAACCTCACCATGAAATTACTCCAAGTCTGGTTTCTTTCCCTTCCCTTCCTTTTCCTTCCCTTCCCTCCCTTTCTTTTCCTTCCCTTCCCTTTCTTTTCTTCTTTTCCTATCCCGGGGATACCTAATGACGATGATAATAATGATGACGACGATAATAATAAGAATAATAATAACGATGTACTCTTACCTCCAGTACTGTATGTATGTATGCATGTATGTATGCACGCATCCATCCATGGACGTCCCAATGACCAAAACCAGCCGAGTTTAAGGACATCCTTATCGACGCCCGGCCCGGACCCCTTCAAAGGCTTGCTCGATAACCATACTAGGTAACATGCGTCCATGTCTGTGCCTCTATAACTCAAACCACCACCACCACCACCACCACCATTTAATCTCGAGTAGGTATTGTGCCCGACTACTCAATGTACCCACTTACTTCATAAATACTGACTTTATAATTCCATCTTAACATCTTTACATACCCGCATTCATTATATTGAATATTGAATATTGAATATTAAATATCGAATATCGAATATTCATATACTACCCATGTGTATCTGCATGTTTGGGTTTGGAGGCTCCCGCATGCCAAAGCCACCCACGGCATTCTCGCCTTTCGGTGGAGACCATGGGAAGCCTCGCAATGGAAAGCGAGACGCTCATGGGAAGCCAGCTTGGTTCATCGAGGATGCACCGATTTTCCGTCCCGTCCCGTTCACCCGTGTATTGGGACTGGGACGGGCATCTGCCAATGCAGTACTAGGGTTTGTGCACTTAATTAAGAGACAGGCACATGGCCTATACCAGCAAGGATAACGCTGGTCCCAACCTTTTGCCTATTCGAGGGGCCCAAATCCGACCCTCATGCGCCCGATACCATTGGCACACAAGATATGTGCGTGCCGAAGCGTGGGTGTGTCCGCTTTTTGATTTTGATTCTGTTTTTTTTTTTGATTTTTGATTTTTGATTTTTTTTTCCCCCTGCTTCGCTTTCTCCCCCAATTCCCTTCTTTTTTTTCTTTCTTTCTTTTTTTCTCTTCCCCTTCTCCTGTCTACATACTAGTATGTATCAGCAGGTCACAAGACAAGGCAAACAAGCAAGCAAAGCAGGCTTTTTGGGTGGAGCCCCGGTTTGGTCAACCCCACCCTGCTGGAGCTCCGATTCACAGAGAAGCAGGTACTGCTCTGTACTCTACATATATGGATATATCCGTTGTCAAAGGCAGAGGCCACATATTTTATCCCCCTCGCAGAAAACCATAAGTCAGGGCGATTAACCTTCGAGATACGATTTATAGTTTCCCTCGAGGCACAACTGCGGTGCCTTTCGCTTTTCTGGCGCTTGGGGAGTTTAATTAGGCAAAGGCGCTGTCTACTTTGCCTGCTGTTACTGCTCACAGGATCTATTCCAAAAAAAAAAAACCTTTGGGTGTGACAGGTCAGCACTCAGGTCTGCATGATGACAATACGAGAAGCAGAAAGCTGATTGATGTCTATCATGGGGAGCTGAGAACATTCAGACCCCCTGTTGCGGCGAATGAGAGAGCGGGGACAAAAGAAAACATACATCCTGGAATTCCGCTCTGTCCGATTTGGGGAACCGCATGCATTAGCGGCTGCATGAGATGGAACTTTGAAAGTCATATGACTTCCTAGACATCTTTTTTTTCTTTTTCAAGTACCAACAAGAAGTCATGCTCTTGATGAACCTGCTCTCTTGATTGGTCCATCCTGCATGGTGTGATTTGTTGGGCGAGAATTCGGATATCCGAGGACGAGGACTTTACATGAAGCCGTTGCGGAATTGCCGCTGGGCCGTCGCCTGTGCTGCTAATCTTAGAAAAGGTACGAGGTCCGAAATCCACGATGACGAAATAAAATACAGGACAAACCAACTTTGGGATAAAGTTACGTAGACTGAAAAATATATACTTTTTTGAGCTTCAGATAAATTGACTTGCCAGGGTGTGCATATTCGAGCCTAAAGGTTCTGAGAAAATCAAAATATATATATATATATAATAATAATAATGTAAAACAGATAAAATATAAAATATAAAATACAAAATAAAGAATCTCGAATCTTATACCCACATTATTTCGGAGGTTAGTAGATAGAAGACTCACACACCCATTCTCAAGCAGAACTGGCCACATCAAATCCCAATCACTTGATCTGTAGGCCTAGAAACTCCCCAAAGAATCCGGTGTTATACTAACCACTACCGTTGGTGGTACCAGCATTAGAAACCCCTGGATCCGGCATCACGATGGAATTGAGATACGTGATCTATAACCTAAATCAGCAAAAGAGTAGAAAGCGACTAGGGCAAGTTGATGACATACGAATGGCTCCAGCGCACGGAAAACGTCCACTATAAATTCCATCGAATTCGGGAGCAATACTTCGGAGTCCTTGATCCGCTTGCCTACCGTGTAGCTTTTCAACCGGAGAAGGTCGATATCATCATGTTCTCTATCATATCCCTGAGCGCTAATGTCAGAACGTAAAACGAGATTATCAATTTGCGATCTTATATCTTCCCCCCGACATACTTTTGGAGCCGTCTTGAGCGCACCCTCCGAATTCCGCTCCAGGAAATTATTCACGGCTTGGTTTTCGATGGCCTTGGAGGACATACGCCCGCGGGTGCCCCCAGTATCCAAAAAATTGGCAAAAAAATCCCGGGAGACCAGAATGTCCTTTAATCCCCTTGGGTTGCGGTCTATTTCACGACGCATGAGTGACAAATGGGTCGCTTCTGGATGCCAAAGGCCGCCTCCTAAGTCGTTTATATAACCGATGGTACAGATCAGTACACGCACTTACTCAACAGGGATTTCTTGGTGGTCTTTTACCAATGAACGACAGGTCTCCCGGTTGGATTGAAAGATAATATTTCGCATAATGACCTTGTTTGCCTGTTCGGGAGAAAGCTACAGAAAAATACTCCTTGTAAGGAACCTTCGAGTTCGAGAACCGAACATCTCGATGTATCCGGAAAAGATTATGCCTTTCTAGGGGAAGAATTGGCACCGTCCAGTCAACTTTAGTGAGCTCTTCCTGTAGCGTGCTGCTGAAGGACTTAAAATCTGCCAGAGCAATCTTATAGATGCCCTTGTGTCCTATCCAGGAAGGTGTTATGATGTTTAGCCTAGAGACACGCTGAACATGAGAGTGCGCAAACCGTGAAACCAATCTCTATGGTTATTCTTGGCCAAATCTGCCTCTTATTAGTCCTGTGAATACCACTAGTCCAAAAAATGATATCAAGCTGAATTTCAAACCTTTGAGGAAACGAAGTGTTTCGGGGTTTAGAGTATGATCAGTGTATTCTTCAATAGCAGAATCACTCTCGGATTGAGTAGACGGCGTATCTAAGGCCTCATTGTCCGTCGATTCACCTGATTCCCCCTGATCACTTTCGTTTTGAGGACGGCTAGTTGTTTTTGATGTGCGGCCTCCGCGGCCAGTCTTTTTAACAACCAGTTTTTTGGTAATCTTGCTTGGTTTGGTTTTCGTAGACAATCTATGTGGCGCGGTGTTTGGCTTTTTTTTCGTTTTTTCCTTTATAGCCATGACTGTTTTTGGTGGCCCAATATATAAAAATGATGTATTGTATTGGGGTATGTATATGAGAACGGGATGAAAGGGAGACAAAGTAGGTAGCTGCTTAGTCTAGGTGGAGGTAGAGGTGACAGAAGCACACCTCGTCGTCCCAAAACGGCTAAGTACCGCCTGTGGATTATGTAATCACACCCTCCCCAAAAAAATAATGGCATTGAAATTATTGATTTGCGGACTTAAGAATTTACCTGTACAGTATAGCTACCTGTATGCGTCCCGACATAGCATACAAGCATTCCGCCCCAATCTGTGCTCGGCCTCTGTGAATCTGGGCTTGAATTTGATTACTCCAAAAAAGGGAACAGGCCCATCAAATATTTGGAGATAGCTGGGTCTTGTGGAGATAATCTGTTCGAATTCAAACATATGAGTTCGGAAAGGCTAAAACAGGAGTTCAACTCCAGGAAGAAGGGCATCTTAGGAGCTCTTTCATCTGGCACGGATGCATCCCCTAAAGGGAGTGTGGACAAACAAATCATACCTATTATGGAATTATTGAATTCCCATCCCGGCACAGTAACCACAAGCAGTTGTTCTGGAAGAGTGTCTGTGTTCCTCGAAGGCAGAAAACAGAGCTCCACCGCATCAGCGTCTCAGCAAGAACGTGAGACAGACGTCGCAACAGCAGGGGGTAAAGGTGGCGATGGGAGATGGCTCTTTGTCACGCACGATAACTTGTTAGACGATATTCTACAGGAGAGCCGGGATGACAATGCCTTTCTAAATACAATATTTGGCGGCATACCATCAGAACCAGCTGCCACACAGCTAATTGGCGAGTTATCGACTGGGACAAGATATGTCCATTTCAAATTTGAGCCAATGGTAAGTAAGAGCAACATGCCCCATTCAAAATCCCAAAAAGCTTTTCTTTCTTACCGGAAGCTAATCGTTTAAATGATACCGTCTCTAGATCCTCCATGTTCTAACAGAAACATTAGAGATTGCCAATAGATTGCTCACATGCGCAATATCCAGCTCCTTCCGAGAGTCTGGGATCGTCAGCCCTTTAAAAAACCCCATTGTCGCAATACGGACCATGGGATTAGCTTTTGATGCCCCTGTTGGAATCTATGATCCGGAAAAGAACGTGATTCAAAGGTTCATGGACCCACCAGGGCTCAGAGTGCTGGCGCGGCTCACGGGCGACCGCTTTCGAGAGAATTCTAGACGCATTGACTCCCTGTACAAAACTTTACTATCCGCGATGGAAGCACCCGAAACGCCCCTGGAGTCAAAGAAAACACGGGCTTTTAGGAAGAAGGCGGAGGGGATGGACAAAGGGAGGAAACTTGCCGCCACCCGAGAAGCTCGGGTTGAGACCGACCCGCTAGAGGACGGCATTTCCTTCCAGGAAGAAGTTATGTGACTACCGATGTATGCGTCTTATAGAATTTTAGAACACCCGAGATTTGGCGTGGATGTGCAATCCATGCACCCGCATCCGGAAGGGCAACCATAGTTGCCGCTCTCAGTCCACTGCGAATGACACTCTGTATGAAATATATGGCCGCAGAACAAACATGGCGTATAAAGGCCTTGAGAGAGGGAGGTCTTAGCGGGTAATGATCATCGAGATATGTACGGAGGAGCACAAACCTTTAATGACAGTGTTGCAAATAACACATTGTAGGCTACGGGTGGGTTGGTCTTTGCACACCGCGCAGCCGCTGTGAGGTCGTTTTGAGTTGGTCGAGGTAGACCCGCATTGCGGGCAGCAGCCACCGACGACTAGAACATTCAAATTAGTATTGTGGAATTCGCGGAGCGAGGTCAAGGCATACCAAGTCCGTCCCAAATTTTATCTTGTTTTCGAGAAAAAGTTTCTAGTTTGTCGAGGTTGATATCATTAAAAGCTTTCAGACCATTGAACTTGAGGATTTCTAGTCTCTGAAGTGGCAAATCCCAAGTATAAAGCATGTCCGCGTAGGTTTCTCGGTAATGGCGGAAATGCTGTTGCCTTGAATTATCAAGCAGAGGGACGCTCATGGCCCCCTCGTCATCGAAGTGTTCGAGATGATGGAGTTGCAGGTCAATTAGGTACTCTTCCTCGGTCTCGTCCCCTTCTTCAGTCACTATTCCCCAACCGGAAGTTTTTGATTTCCCGCGATTTTGATGTTCCGGGGCCCAACTAACCGTTGAGGATTGTTGGTTCGTTGCTGCTATGGAAAAATTCACATTCTGTTCCGGTGGTGGAGGCTTTATTTTCCTACCCGGCGGAGATGCCCCCATCCCGTTCAAGCCACCAGCAATAACTGCCCCGAGCCCCCCTTGTGATGTAAGTGCTCTTGCAATTCCTCCTGTGATGTTGCTTATACCAGTAGAGCGCTTCACTTGATTCTGACCACTTTGGTAGGGATGGTGATGGTTGTGAAGGTGTTCTGGAGACGAAGACATCGATTGAGCACCGCCCAAGTCACTATGGCCACGTATGACTAGGTTGGGTTGTGTAGGTGGCGTGCCACCGATAGAGTAGGGTGTAGTGGGGTCACTCGCAGATGCTACCCATGGGGTACCTGCATTATCGCCTAGAGACGAACTGTAGGAGTTCGGATAGGTGACAAGCGGGGTATTCGTTCCTGACAAATGCTGCGGTGATAGTGTAAATGAATCCGACCTTCGTAGTGCATTTATAAAACTGGGGTAGTAGTCCAGGGAAAACCCTGGGGATTTTAATGAGATTGGCATTTCCTACTCGACATTAGTGAACATTGCTGTTACCGTAGACCCGCCGTAATAAAACCAACCTTCTGGGACAGATGCAGGCTAGCGGATGTAAAGCTAGATTTGGCTTCCGGTTCAAGAAAGATGCAAGAGAGCATAGCAAGCATTTGAGGATTGAGCTTCTTTTCGAAATGAGAAATCCTTTTGGTGAGGTCCTGATTTAGCTAATGCGAATACCAGCGAAATCGTCCACAAACTTACAGTTTTTCGACGAGCCAAATTCCACCGCCTGGGTGGTTTCCCCATTTGACCCTCCCGTAGAACTCATCCTTCCCTGGGCCAGGGTGCTGAGGTGTTCCTGTGTGTGATCCCAAATTACGCCACTGTGGTGACACAACCAACATTGGATCCTTGCCAGGAAGGTCTGAAGATAGTTCGAGTGGGATTTCTTTGCAAAGTACTAATTCGGCTAATTTCCACGTATCTCGTATATCCCACTGTTTCCATGTGCTAGCGATCGATGCATTGTGTTTACAAACGTCAGTACCAGTGCCGTATATCGCGTAGTCTTCTGCTAGCTCCCGGTTGCTAGGAAGCAGGTGCGAATAGTCGTGGATTGCTATATAGTTTTGATGCTGTTTTCGAGACCCAACAGTGCCTGTAAAAGGTAAATCAGGTTTATTAAAGTTATGGGAAGTTTTGAGCTGGCTTGTCCCTGCAGATCTTTGGATGGACCGACCCTCGTTTCCGGCTTGCGTCGACCTATCCGTGGAATCGTTACGGTTCCGCGAGCTAGCTGTACGGAATTCATGTCTTTCCTTCCAACGTGCTACCGAGTAAACCAGTTCTTCCGAGGCAGAGGAACTCCCCAAGTCGCTAGAACCGGAACGTTCCACCTCATCGCCCGATTCATCAGCACCGGTGGCAGACGCTGGTCGTAGATTGCGGATGGTCGATGATTGCAAACGACCAAATGATTCAAACAATCTTCGAGACGATTTGTCCGCAAATGGGTCTCGTAGCCGCTCAGAAAAGTTCAAGATTGAAATCAAAGATTTAACAGGCTGTTCTTCTTTGGGAGGGAAAAAGCAGACGAGTTTACCTACTACTGGATTAGTATGAATTTTGAAAAGAGATGGGGGTTGGTTGGTTTAGGATCATACCGGTCTCGCTCCACATCGCTCCACAAGCCTTAGCTAAAGGCACACTGCCCTTATTGTTCTTCCGTATTAATTGTTTCAAGCCCGGAGGGCCTTGATCGGGGCCTCGAGCCAAAGCACTCCCGATATCTTCATCACTGCTACTTTCGTCTTCCGGGGCACCTGGGCCGCGTTTACCCCCCCAGTACATGGCATCTTCCGCCCTCTCGCCCAGCAGAAAACTCAAACAAGCCTCCAAGCAGAATTTTCCGTGCTCGAGGTAACTGTCGGCAATTCTCTTGAGCTGCATGTAGATCTCCTCTAGTTTATCATCCATAATTTTTGTTGTCTTCTCAACCTGGAATATTGGATTTGCTCCAGGACTGGGATAATGGGCTGGGAAGTGAACAGAGCATCGTAAAAAGACCCACTGAGAAGAGAGGCCCCAAGGGCCTGAGAATGACATCAGACAAGTTCTGTTATTGACATTAACCTTATCAAATCTTATCTTCGAAAACCGTAGCCCCACCAACGTAATTTCGTCAGAGAGGCTTTCTGGCCCGGTCCACCCAAAAGTAAACGTAGGCTTTATATTGAGATCGAAATTGCTGCTGTTTTCTAATTTTTGGCCTTCATCAGAATTACCCCCCAGGCCAAAGACACCATCACCACGGTGCTGCATTTTGATACCCTTCATCCATTGGATAGGATTCATATCTCTGTGTAGGGCTGTTGATTTGGTATTTGTCCTCTGTCCAGACATGAAGCTTTTGCCCAACCCATGCTGCCTGTTTGATAAACCGAATCTTGAAGCCGAAGAAACAGGACGGTGAGAAGGGGCATTTACTCTCAAGGGGGGTGCGATGCGCTGGCCGGCATCAGTGAGAGCACTTAAACGAGGCAAAGTGTGCAATTTGTCGTTCGATTTAATGGGCGGCTCTCGCCGGAAGGTTTTATACCGCGCGCCCAGCCTGGTCAACCTGAATCGCAGTTTGGCTTCAGGATCGTGGCCAATACCTTTCATTAATCGCAAAGGAATCTCCCATAGGCGTATCTCGCGATCCTTACTCCAGGTTACAAGCTGAAACTCCCGATCATCCCGATCTGGATTTGTCCCACCTCTTGAGCGCCAGAGAAACTCCTTTACGGGTGCGCTATGATATGAGAATTTAGTGACCGGTTCCGCATATGCATCGCCGGTGGCACGCCTGTCATAAAGAAAAAGTTCATTTTCCCCACGCTGGGGCATAGCCATGATCCCCCAGCCAAATGGTGTGTGCCGGGCCCTCCACACAGGATAACTGGTCCGTAGTATGCGTTCTGGGTCGCTATAGCCTTTGGAGTAATCCCAGAATTTGACTGCTCTGTCTAGAGAGCAGGTTACTATACCGGTCTTTCGCGTCCGGTTCCAGTCGATGCCATATATTTTTGTATCATGGGCTTCTATTGTGTGCAAAGGGAAAGCACCCTTGCGTTTATCCCAGATATGCAGGAGCCTGTCGTGTGAAGATGCAATGACATTTTCGTCTTGTCTATTGTACTTGACTTGGGTTGCTCCGGCAAACCAATCGCTAAATGTCAGGACAGGTCTTCGTGACGTCTTCATGTCCCATATATGTACAAACGAATCCACGGCACATGTTGCAAGATGGTCAGGGTTGTGAGCCGAAAAGTTGATGTCGGTAATAGCCCTGGAATGGCCGTGAAGGACTGTTTCTACTGCATTTGTCGACGGACAATTTAGATTCCAGACCAGAGCCTTTTGGTTCGAGGTGCTGACCACCCAATAATCACGGATCGCGAATGGGGACCATTGTACGTCGGCAACCTCCCAGGAGGAAAGATGCCTCAAAAAACGAGGGGGGTTGAAAGGGCTATCTAAATCGATGATATGAAGGCCGTCTCGCCTGTTTGATACCTTTAGCTTCATTTAAATATTTATCTCCCCTTTCTCCCTTTTGTTTTTCTCTTTTTTCCCGATTCATTTGATCGCTTTTTGTTTATAGTAATTGCCGGGAATTGACTTACGATGCAAGGACGACGTCTCTCCCACTAGGGCTTATAGACCTTTTTCAACAAAACCCTGTTACCTCTCATGTATCTCTGTGAAAGAGCCAGTATACAATGTTGGACTCACATGGCACCGACATTTTGCTCTACCCTGATTGTCATACTACTTTTGAAAGTCCCAGAGTCGTACGCGGAGCCGGCCTCGCGGCCGGCCAAGGCATCTTTGGGACGAATTGAGACCGAGTCCGCCATTTGTTAAGGTTATCGTCCGGTATCCAATATAGATTCTCGAGTGTTTTCCGTTTCCTAATCCCCACTAACTACTCCATATATGATCTCGTCGTGCGAATATGTTCGAAAAGCCCGATACAGGACACCGCCACACCGCCATGTGCATTGGTCGGGGATGTTCTATGTGGCGCAGTGGCAATTGTAGGTGAGCGTTATGCCTGTAGTGTAGATGTGAGTTACTTTGCAGTTGGATAAGGGGCATGATTCCATGTTAGCGATGGAGCAACTATACTTACCCTGCTAGTCGGAGCGTCATCTGCTGTTGACATGTCTTGTGGCGCGAGTTTTCGAAGGAAGAGTTGGTTCGTGCTGCTCAAGGGCGGCTTGACTTAATTCCCAGTTAGCCTGGGCACGTGCAGCGGTCACTCAAGACCACCCCCGCTACAAGGCATATGCGTACATCCCTTGCTCTCACCGGTATTTCCTACCAGCATCGACTGTAACTATCACTCAGATAAAATCCATCCAGCATCACCGACAACAAATAGGATTATCCATCCCAACTTCCCCATCGGAGATCCCAGAATGGCTCTCCCGAAACGTATCATTAAGGAAACCGAACGCCTTGTTGCAGAACCGTGAGCTCAAACCCAAATAATTATTTGCGCCACTGCTATGTTAATTTGATGGTTAATCCAGAGATCTAGAGTACCGGGCATCCAAGCCATTCCCCACGATGATAATCTACGCTATTTTGACGTCTCGATACATGGACCCGCGCAGTCGCCATACGAAGGAGGGGTATTCAAATTGGAGCTCTTTCTTCCAGAAGACTACCCTATGACCCCACCAAAGATTCGCTTCCTCACCAAGATATACCACCCAAATATCGACCGTCTGGGTCGGATATGCTTGGATGTTCTCAAAGGTAGCATTGAAATTATGATACTCATTGGACTAGCTCGACTGATTAATTTGCATACACTACAGCAAACTGGTCGCCGGCGTTGCAGATACGAACGATTCTCCTTAGTATCCAGGCCTTACTCGGCGCGCCAAACCCGGACGACCCGCTCGCGAATGATGTTGCTCAGCGATGGAAGGAAGACGAACCAGGGGCTATCGCTACAGGTGGGCATATTTCCTTTTCCTTTTTTTTTATTATTTTTTATTATATATATATATATTTATATTGGGAGAGGGGAAAGTTTTGGGCTTTGTGAGGTGCTAACTTCGCTACTGGATTTTAGCTCGAGAATGGACCCAGACACATGCTGCTCCTTAGTTTCGATATGATTTGGAGGGTATTCTTAATAGTTGTGAATGAAAATTAGGATGTTTTGTTCGGCAGAAACTAGCAAGTTTGCATGCGACTTGGGTCATATCAAGCAAGTTGCCACCCCCGTGATTGTTTAATCATTCTTCTCATTATACCCAGAATCGGATACCCAGATTCTATCTCCCTCCTCTCGTTCTGGTTCATGGTCAAAGGTTGGATATAGGAATCACTGCTGCTGCTCTTGATGTTGCTGCTGCTGCTGCTGCTGGAAGCTCCTGATTTTTGATTCGATTTCATCTCTTCGGGTGACGAGGACCTCTCTCGTTGAGCGAAGGCTAGATTAGCGTTAGCTTGCTTGTTTTCCTGGTTTGATACAGCGTAGATGCAATGGTGATTTTTAATTTTTATTTTGGCTTTGGTTGTTTCATATACCGGGATATCTTGAGAGGAAGGCCTTCTTCCTGGATTTTCTTGACCTAGAGCAGATAGATAACAATAATTATAAGTTCAAGGTACCCAACCTGGGTAGGGCGAGTGCGATTGGTTGAATATTGGTGCTACCTACTTTTTGGGACTCTTCAAGATTGGCGCCGACCCACGCCCCGCAGGCTGTGATGGCGGTGACTGCGATGGCCAGGACTGCTATTTTGGGATTGATGCTAGGCATGATGGCGCTGTTGACTTTGGTATTGGTATTGATATTTGATACGTAGTCTTTCGCAATGCAAATATGCAAATTGGTAGTAATTGGCAGCACTATAATATTGGTGTCTCTACTCACCAAACCTAAAAAACCGGATCACGTGATGTGATACCGGGAGGAGATCAAGTCGGGTCAGGTCAGGTTAGGTCAGGTCAGGTCAAATCAGATCAGATGAGATCAGGTTGGTCGGGTCAGGTGCGAGGAGCAGCAGGAAGGCCTACAGCGATAGATCTTGCGTCTCAGACTTTCTTCATTTTCATTTTGTCTTCCAGCCTCCCCTTTAGATTCCTTTTTTTTTTTGCTCTTCTGTCCTTCCATTCTTTATTCCCCCCCATCCGCTGTGCATGTTCCGCCGTTTGAACAGACACAAAGATAGACACAGACAGACAGATAGACAGACAGACAGACAAACAGACAAGCAAAGCAGACAAGGCGAACTGTGGTGAAATTGAGACCTGATTAGACTCATCCATCAATCATTCATTTTTTAATTAATTTCGACCTGGAGAAGCGAGGTCGGGGATTCGCCTCAAGGCCCGGGAACATTTAGGTCAGTCATAGATCCGGGAGGATATACCTACTTATCTTCTAGGTAGGTATACAGTCATGCAATGCAGTAATAGTCCCAAGTAGTAGTATGAAGTATGAAGTATGTATGTGTACATGATGTAAAAAGTGGAGTGACATGACCTGTGTTGTGGCGTACGCCGGACCCGGTCCAGGATCTACCGCTGCGTTCTGAGTCCAGAAAACACTTTGCTTTTTCTCGATGACTCAACACCGAACAGACTTCAGGCTCCGCCAGCCAGCCAGCCAGTTTGCCTCCGCTCGATGACCACAACATCCCCCCCATCTATTCGATTTTATTTCATTCCATTCCATCCATCTTCATATATAAACTGACTGGAGGGTTGCCCCGGGGCTAGTTTGATGCTAACTTGGTCTTTCCTGCAGTACAATAATCATCCCAATATCATTTAGCATCATCATCACCATCACCACCATCACCATCGTCAAACATCGACATCAACATCAACCCACGCTTTTCGAACAAAAGGATAGAATCACTCACTCACTCACTCACTCATCAACTCCGCCCGCCCTCCCCCCCAAAAAAAAAAAACAACAACAACAACAACAACGACAACAACAACCACCAAAGCCACTACTTTTACTATTACCACTATCACTCTGACTTTTACTACGACTATCTTGCATCATGTCTTTCTATTAGAAAATCAAACTATCAACCCAAAAACACACTTACCTGCAAACTAAACTCCGAAATGATTTTCAAACAGAGCACTGAAGTTCCGGTCATTCCAACTATTGACGCTCCTTTTGCCGCCACTGGAACAACTTCGTTTTCTATTTCCTTGTCTCTCCTATAACTGCTCTCTCTTCATCCTCACCTTTTGAACTCTTGCCTGTCAAAATCTAAAATATCTGATCATTCGTAACCGCTCGGTTCTCCTTTGCAACACGACGGGAAGATCGATTATCAGTCATTAGAGCACTGCCTTATACAAGAAGTATCTTTCTTTCTTTTCTTCCTTTTATATCTTCTATCTTATATCTTATATTTTCCTCGTCCAAAACTTGATACCTTTCTCTTCCTCTTCTTCCGTTTCTTCCTTTTACAGCGTTGCGTTTTTTTTTTTCCCCTTCCCTTTCTTCCGCTGTGTCGCCAAAAGTGCATTTTGGTCTTGGTTGGAGTCATATTCCTATCACCCCGGGAACAACCCTCCCAAGACGACATATAACCCTCCCGCAACACTCAAATATCTAAATCACGACCCCAGCTACCCACAACATGCTCCAAGGACCTGTGATATATTCGTCTCTCGACCATAGACGGTTTTTACCCCTTGAATCGTCATCGTTGTCATCATCATCATCGTCATCATCATTATCATATATATCTACGGCGTCACCATCATCTGCGTCGCACTCAAGTTATGATGATTCTATTCATTCGTCGCCACCATCCTCCTTCGACTCACCCACATCTGCCAAATTCCTAACACTGTCGGATCGTCTTCCTTCTTCCCTCTCAGCAGCGTCTTCATCGTTGTCATACTATTCCCCTGCATCTGCTGTATCATCTGCCACGTCTGTGGATATCGCGTCCCCTTACAGTAGTCTCGAGTCCGGAAATTCGTTAAGCGAGTATGATACCCCACGTCGCACTAATGCGGCTGCCGAAGCCGCGTTGAAGCACGCTTCGAATCTGCAAAGGCAAGCTTCCTCTGCCCAAGCTTTACCTAAAGAGCAGCTACAGAATCCACGACGAACGAGGAGACTGTTAGATACTCAGGATGCAAATCCCGTTGGTCCCCAGCTTATTGCCGCACCTCCACCTCTTGTTCGACAAGCTGACCGAAAAGTTAACTTCGTCGATAATCTCGTCGGTAAGATGACAATCCTCTCCGTTCGCCCTCACGAGCTCTAGTTGACGCCATGCCTTGCTTTTCGCGCTACCCGCCAAAAGACACCGCTGCACAGATTGTTGAGGCTATCTGGCCGTCGTCCATGCAGAAACCATGTGAACCATCCCTGGGTAGAGTTTTGCCTTTGCGAACTTTCATCCAAGAGACCCTACGGAGGTCACGCACTTCGTACTCTACACTGCAGGTCGCTCTTTACTATCTGTTTGTCATCCGGGCCTTTATTCCGATTGATGAAGCTGCTCTTCACCTTTCTGAGTCTTGTCCAGATGCTCGAGCCTTGCAATGTGGGCGACGTATGTTTCTGGCTGCTCTTATTCTTGCTTCCAAGTACTTGCAGGATAGGAATTATTCGGCACGTGCTTGGAGCAAAATATCTGGCCTGAACATCACGGAAATTAACACAAACGAACTAGCCTTCTTAACGACGGTCAACTGGAAGCTACATATTTCGGACCACATATTCGACAGATGGACTAAGATTGTCCTCAAGTGTACCCCTACGACGTCAATACTTCCGGCGAAAGCCTCTGTCCACTGCAATTTTGCCTCAAACAGATGGATTCATATATTTTCGCAATTGAATGGCTCGTTGGATTTGCTTATCCTCGAAGATATGCTCGCCGAAGAGTCGCCAGCCGTCCGATGCACGGAGTCTAAGCTCTCTAGCTTGCAAACTATCAACCCCGAAGATTCCGCGGCCTCTGTGCCGAACTTTGCTACAGCATCTGTATCAGGCAAAATCAATTCTATGGCTTTTGCTCTAGCAGCTCCTACGGTAGGCCGTGGCATGTGTAACGAGAACATGCCTACCAGATCTTCTGATGAGCGGTTGCCAGCTCGTTGTTCCCGCAAGTCCTCTTTGTCGGTTTGTGAAACCATTGATTCCTGTCAGATGGATGTCTCTGCGATCAATAGTTCGATGCCTACCTGCTCTTCTGCTCTTCGCAACTTAACACGTTCTTCGGACAAGTTGACGATAGTGGTTGATCCAAGGCAGCAGTTGAGCTCCTTAAGCAGAAGCACAGCCCCCGTTCAAGTAACACCCGTGCGGGAGCAAATCCTCGGAAATGTTCGCATGGGGTCAGGGCACACAATCCCGACGCCCTCTGCTGTATCTATGCCGCCGGTTTCTGGGAAGAATCGGAAGCGTGGCAATGAGACGCCTGTCGCATCTCGGCACCAGAAGAAACAAAGAGATAGGCACGGTGAACCCGACTCTCAAAAGGTGTCGGAACCTGTTGTTCCTTCTGGCCTCACCCCGCAGATGCGACAGATGAACACCAATTTCTCGATTTCGGGGAAGAAGGGAAACGGAATACGGATGAACATCAACCCCGGGCTCTCCTTAAGCAATATGGCGCATGGGCAAATGATGAGGCCAGGCACTGGCCAAAGGTCCATGGGACATGTTGTTTACGGCTAACCCCGGGGGGCCTAATACCCCGCATGAGCAATCTTGTGGCTCATACTCTGAAAGAATCGAAAATCCCAATTGTCGGATCAAGAGAGAACTTTTGCGCCAGCCTTGGACGCGCCTGACTCAGCATTTATTTGCCAATGTTGTGGCAGCAGCCTGGTTGAGACTTCTGTTCTGAGCGTATTACGACTGGCGGGGCTCAGGATTCTGATAGTGTGACTCTTAGACTGTTGATGACCAATTACAAATCCTAATAATCCACACCCTCCCCTCCCCCTAAGATTCCTCTGAATCATTGAATCGGGTGGGAATTCTCATATAATATTCCGATTCTCATTTGCTTTTTGGTTGAATGCATATGATACCCAAGCGGTGTTCTTGGCGAGGGAGTAATCGTGTTTTGATTGACAATATTACTTATTATTTATCTATTTTTGTTTGCAGCTATCTTTTCTATCTCTTGCCTGCTTCTTCAACCCGACCCTGTTTTTGTTCTCCCTGCAGTCTTCTAGGTTCATCGGAGTCACGGAAGGGATTTTTTTTTTTGGAAAGATAGATTTGCTAGTAGTGGCTCCCGGCCTGCAGTCCTATGTTATGGATCTCCAAAGGACTCTTGTATACGTAGTTTCCAATATCAAATATGACTTTAGTAACCGAAAACACTGTGATATTTCCTAATGCACAGACCTGTCGTCGTCGTGGTTTAAGTGAAGGAATTAAAAGTCGATCATCAATCGGAAGAGAAATCGAAGGATCAGTGCATATAATTACAGATGTACTGTACATAAACATCCTATGTTTAAGTACAATGTAGGTATGTGCAAGTGCAGAAATGCGTCAGCCAAATTTTTCAGAAAAAGAGAAAACCATCTCCCCATCGATTCGGCCACATCAAATATCACTTTTGAAAGTGTTCATCACGGAAACCAATTTTCTTTTTTTAATTTTTAATTTTTTTTTTTTTTCAATCATTTATTCTTTTCTGGTGTATTCCATTCTATATTTTTATAGGAAAAAAAAAAAAAAAAAGCCGTGGATGTATGTATGCACGTTAGTTAGGCCCGTCCCTTCACCGATCTCCTCAAACTACCTACCGTGTAGGTTCCGGCATGCCTGATTCCCCCCCTTCCCCAGAGTCGCGGCCCTTTTTGTCCTGGCCGTCATCGACTTTGCATCCGTCGATAGATACTCGACCAAGAGAGGCAGGATCCAGTTCAACAGCCTTGCAAATCACCAGGCTCCCTCCCAATGTGTCAATACGGGCCCCAACCAAGGCCAATGTGCACCTTCTCAAACGCATAAATTCACTCCTCCTCCCGGTGTCTTACCCGGAAAACTTCTATCGCGAGATCCTGCAGAATCCTGAAAGCGAAGCCTTGACCAGGCTCGCGTTTTACGATGAAGAATGTGTCGGTGGCATCAGGTGCAGGCTTGAAACCGCGGCCGAGTATCAAGCTGGCTTGGAAAAATTGGATACAACAGATATTTATGGTAGCTCTAAGATCCTGGAAGCAGTTGCCGACCATAAGGCCAATGGCAGTGGCGGTCGCAGGAATAGCGAAGACAATCACCCGAAAAGAAAAGTCTACATCATGACGTTGGCGGTGCTTTCGCCATACAGGTCTCTTTCTATTGGGAGTCATCTTTTAGACCATATCTTATCCATCGCGGCTAAGGAGCCAACCATCGATGCGGACCTTGCGTACGCCCATGTATGGGTGTCCAATGATGGCGCGCTGGAATTCTACCGCAAGCAAGGTTTTGAGGTGGACAGCGGGCCGATAGTGCGCAATTATTATCGTCGGCTCGAGCCTCGAGATGCACGGCTAGTGTTCCGGAGAATCACTTGTACGCGTTCCTAGATTTATAAAACCTGTCAAGTGCTGAAATAAAATGCACTGAAAGTCCTGCGCTGGAGTTGGGGCGAATTCTGTTGTTCGTGTGTGAGAACTGCCCCGTAGCTAGAACTTAAGTGCCAAGTAGGTAAGAAGCAAGTAATTCCCAACCAACCCATCACCACCACCACCACCACCACCATCACCACCGCCGCCGCCATCGGGACGCAATGGAATCACTAGCTACCCGAGCTGTTCCCTCGCAAGCTCGTAAAAGAAAATTCCATGAGGCTAGTCCCGCTAAACCCACTAGGGTGCCGATAGATCCCAAACGTCGAAAGCGTCAAGATGCTAGGGAAATTTCTGCCCAGACCGCAGAAAGTGCTTTCCGAGATGGCCAATTCGATCCTGTCTCCTTTGTCAACTCAAGAGAATATGAGATTAGAAGCCTTCTCCGCTCGATGAATAGTTCCAAGTAAGGTGCGTGATCCCTTGGGCGTTGTATTCATATAGCTAACACTCGTGGTGCTGGCTTACAGAAATGCGCAACGAAAGCGTGCTTTCCAAAGCTTACCTCGGGAACTGCGACGCCGCACTGCTGCCCACAATCCAAGCCGAGCTCCTAAACGTGTGAGGGAAACTGCACGTAAAGAGGTATGACGAATACAAATCTACACTTGGATGTTCGCGGTTCGCTAAACTTGCGGTTTAGTTGACCGAAGATAATACTACTGTTCGTAAAAAGCGTAGGGACTACTGCCCTAGTGCCCGGCGCTTAAATGCAAACCAGCTACGAATACTCTCACTTCGAAATAACAATTCTATGATTCCTAAGGCTGTTCCAGGATCCCGACAAACGGCTACAAGGGGGCTTGGAAGAACTCGATCATATATAGGATCGAAATCCTCCAGATACCGCAAACGACAGCGGCATAAAACATGGCTCCCAACCCATATATGGTGTGCCAAGCGAGCGCGAATGGTCCTAAAATGGGGATTCTCGCTTGTCGAAACTCCCAACCTGAAATGCTATCGCCCGACTTATCGAGCTGCAACCCGAGATGCGTGTATAGCCATCGACACAAGCTACTACGCTACAATATTATTAGTAGGGCGGGAACGAGATCTGAAGAAATCGTTAGCGAAGTTTCTGCCCCCTCTTGATCTTGCGGTGGTTGGAAGAAGTGTAGTTTCTGGTGAATCAGTTCGGTCGACTTGGATGTACGAGGAAGGCGAGTGGCCCGACAAGCCGCTTGCACCAATACAAATTTTCTGGTGTCCAATAAACTCGGTGGATGAGATGAAAGAGCAAGGGCTGCGTAATGTCGTGCTGAGAGTTCATCCTGCCTCGTGGGATGATGCGTGGAAAGTCGCAGCGGCTTCTGCTGCTGCCTCCGCCTGCGTTTGTAAAAACCTAAGGTTTGAGGTGGGGTCTATTGAGTTAATTGGGCCGCGAACTGCGGACATACTAAGAGCATTACTGAACCCAAATCTCGATCTCGACGGTATTCTTGTCGACGGGGTTAAACATAACAGCGCAAGAGACCCTAGACTCAGTTCCTTTCACCTCCGTACCACGATTCCATACCCACCCTCTCAAGAAAATACCACCAACCAAGCGGAAAGCTTATTTAGTGCAAATTGTCGAACTGCATCTGTTAAAGCACAAGTTTCGCAGAAGACTCTAAATTCACGAATCTCAAAATCGGTTTCAGGAGAGGCCGCCAAATCCGCTGCTGCTGCCAGAATTCCATTTGTCTTGATGCGAGAGATATTGGGCGTACTGGGCACACAATCTTCTTCGGGCCGTCCGCATTCCGAGATCCCTTTGTCACATCGCTGGAGCATCCTGCTGCCATGGAAATGGGTTCGGCCGTTCTGGTTGGTTCTTATGAGGATGCCAGGTGTACGATTAGGGGGGCTGAAAGAACTCGAGCAACTAACACTCGAAAGTGGCGTTGGCTATTTCCCGACTGACTTCCCTTCTACAAGCGCGGGAAGGGCAGAGGCTTTGGAAAGAACGCAAGCGCAGTTAAATCAACTTGAGCGTCGAAGTACGATGAAAACGAAGCCCTCAAGTAAAAAGAGTGAATCAACTACCTTGAGTAAGGGTGGTTATCCATGGGGTGAGGTGCTCGACGCAGGTCGCCATTTTACGTGCGAAGAACCGGGGTTCTGGCAGCTAACCCCTGATTCGGTGCGCCTCTTCTGGAAAAGCCCACGGAGTATGTTGCCAACGTCGATATCTTCTGGAATATTCACAGCACACATTAGATTATATGGACGTGGGAATATAGATTCCAATGCTTTCGTCTACACGTTCTCGGGGGAAGCGGCTAGACTGGTTCCACGAGTGCTACTTCAGCACGCCCGAGACGGGAACCCCATCGACAATGTTTTAGAAACATTGGACGGTGAAAATGGCCAACTAAACGGTATCGGACATAATAGTGCGCCAGCGTATTCTTTAGCTGGCTTTGTTATCCGCGGGAATTTTGGGTTCCGCCAGGCTCGGCCCGTCGCCATTGCAGCCCTTGCGTGGGCGAGAACCCATGAGAGCGAGCCAAGTGTTCATCAAGAAGACTGCTTTGGTGGATGGTGTATCCTGCAAAATACAGGATCTGGAATCAGGCGACTAGCCCAATGGAATGCGGTTTAGGGGGTTTTGCATGTTTCTCGAACCAATGGATCGAGTATATATTTTATCGTTGCTTGGCTACCTAGGCACTTAACATTGGTGTGGTGTGTAATGCGCTCTCTGACCTTGTTGGAAGCTTGAACGCAAACGGCAGCTCCACCAACCCAAAAACTATCCTAGAAGAACCAAGTCCTCTAAATATTACATCTCGCAAATAATCTTGTAGTATAAAATAATTTACCGATCATATCGCCTCCAGGCAACGGTACAAACATTTCCAAGATTATAGCGTTCGATTCTTAATCTCTAAACCGTCAATCTTCCGAAACACCGAGGAGAATTCGAAATGTCGAAAACTGCTTCCCTTCCCTCTGAAATCACCGCCGCCCTCCCGTTAGGGTACACTATCCGAGAGCTTCAAAAAAAGGACAAGGCGGAGGTTTTGGAAGTTCTAACGGTCCTTACCACTGTTGGTGATATTACAAACGCCGCCTGGGATGAGCGATTTGAGTATATCTCTAAGCATGACGACACATACACCATCCTATGCATTATCGACGACGAGGGGAAAGTTTGTGCTACAGGAAGCCTTATCATAGAACGGAAATTGTTAGTTTCAATTCTTGTCAGTGTTGAAATTTAGTGGAACTCGAGTGCAATAGCTAACAACGGGCTTGGCCTGAACTCGGGGGTGAGCAGCATCCGCAATTGTGGGCTTGTTGGCCATATTGAGGATATTGCGGTTGCAAAGGACCAACAGGGCAAAAAACTTGGACTACGGATGATCAATGCTCTGGACCACATTGCGGAGAAGGCTGGCTGTTATAAGGTTTGTACAAAAAAGTCAACAAGGAGCATTCGCACCCCGGCTGTTGGTGAGTATTGGGCTAACGTGCTTTTTTCTTGTTCACCAGTCGATCCTGGACTGCTCAGAAAACAATAGAGGCTTCTACGAGAAATGCGGATTCAAATTCGCCGGGATTGAAATGGCCCATTATTATAACAAATAAATTTATAGCTCATAGTACTGGCATCATGTTGGCGGTCCTTTGGGGGAAAAGGTTGTTATAGATTGGATTGTAGGTGGCGATAAATATAGACACCGTTTTTATTATTAAAGATTCTAATCACAGCAATGAGGATTGACGTGCCCGCCTGTAGAAATGTTTATCAAATCATATTTGTTAGGTTTGCTCGAGGCTATCTAACAGAAGGATACTCCCGGAATGAACCGTTGTCGAGGTCCTAGAGGGAGGAGGGAGAAGAGGATGAGGTGGTGGTGGTGGTGGTGGTGAAGTTTCGGCGGAGGATGTGAAAGTGCAAGGTGACAGGTCTGCGGATAAGGTTAAGGTATCGGGCGTATATAAGAGACACCGAAGTATAACAAAAAGGAGAACAAAGCTGAAAAAGAACCCCAGGAACCGTATGATAAGAAAAAAAAACAGTGAATTTACAGAGCGAGTAAGGTGGAGAACATTAGGAGATTATAAGAGCGAAGAAACGAAATATGAGCTCTTGACAGTTCATATGCCAAAAAACACAAACCCCGTCCTTGTTTCTTTAGCGTGTTCTCGCCTGAACCTTTACTTGAGCGCCCTTGGCTCCTTGTTTGCTGACTTTGGCAGCCTGACCGCGAGCAGCACTAGCAGCAGACTTGGCCTTCTCAGCCTTCTTTTTCGACTCAGCGGCGGCCTTCTTTTCTTTGCCTTCCTTGACTGCGGCGGCGCGGGCGGCGGCGCGGGCGGCAGGAGCGATCGATCGCTTTTCCTTGATCACGTCAAGAGAGGCTCCAACGATAGCCCTCTGGTGCTTGACGGCTCTTCGGGTTCGCTTCTTGGTAATTTCCTGTAGAATTCGAAGAGGGCAAAATCAGCCATCCGTTTTCAGAACTCTGGTAACATGGAGTAGGATCCATGGCAAATGATTTCCCCAAGCTGTGTTTCTTGCCGGTATTGTCGGGTATGTCGAAAGGTATTCCACTTTTCTACTCTCAACAGCCACTTGTTCCGATATATTTGCCATGGATCCATCTCTCGATAACCTTCTTCTTCTTTTTTTTTTCTGAAAAAAAGAAAATTCCGTCCTTACCTCAGAGATACCTTTCTTGTGCATCCTTCGGTAGAGGATAGTCCAGGCAATTCTTCGAGGGTTCTTCCTCTGCAAGAACAAACTTTCGCTCTTTCCATTTGAGAATCGGAAGCTCTTGCTATCACCTCTGACGAAGAGTTTACCCTAAACGATTGGCGGAAAGAAAACCGGTCCCCGCGTCAGCCCATATTCAACTAATCTTGGATCCTTTAATTCGAAGCATGTCGATACGGCGGAGGAGAAGGAGTAAGCACCTTTCCGGGGTAGATCTTCCGGGAAGAGAAAGAATCAAGTTCGACCTTCATTTCGTCGAGGCTGTCGTATGGCGGTTATTGTCGTGATGGTGCAAGGAGTAAATGGATGTTGGTGTTGATGATGAAGATGGCGGTGGTAACGTCGCTACTTTTGCTTGAAACCGATGAGTCTACGGGAGTTGTCCTCCCACACTCCAATGCCGAAAGCAGAAGTGTTTGTCAACGAGGGTCGGTGAGCCCTAAGTCACGTGAAGGCAACATCACTTCGTCAAACAGCAACACAGCAACGCAACTAGATCTGTTAATTATTTCATACTCCCTAAATACACCTCCATGTGCAACCTGTAATGTCGAAAACGCCGCGCAAAAAGGAAAGCTCATCTAGGAACCGGGAAAACAAGAAAAGAGGAGAGAAGAAAGAAAAAGCGATGGGGATGGCCTGAAATTTATGAATACATCGATGAAAAATTCATTATGCTCCCGCTGCCTGTTGTCGCGCAGCTTCAATATATTTCTTAAAATCCTGGACGTGGTTGTCGGCCACCCAATCCCCACTGTTGATGCAATGAACTTTCATTCGCTCATGATAGTCAAGGTCGACTAAGAGTTTAGGTGTTATCAGGAAATACCTAATATTGAAGGTCTCCGTTAGCCAAGTTTCAAACAGTATTTAGTAGGGTCTCTCGACATACTGGGATGTATGTTTCTTGCAGGCAATCTTTACCATCCGCTTGTGGATAAGTCGCTCGTTTCGCGGATCCATTCCTTGATTGATTTCGTCCACGACTCGGAAGGGTGCCCGAGCTAGCGACTGTAAAGCCATAAGGTAGAAGACAGTCGATACTGCTCTTTCACCTCCGGACTGCCTCTGAGCAGTCAAGACTTGCATTGTTTCTGATTCGCGAAACTTGACTAGAATCTCGATCGCCCAGTTTTCAAAATCACAACCATCTTTCCCTTCCTTTCTGATCCTGACGGACCCCGCACAACCAATGAATTCAAAACTGCGAGAGAAAGCCTCGCTAATGTTCTCTACAAGCTGGTCGATGCGAGGTTCCCAGCGATTCCGTACCCTTTTTATTTTTAGCTGGTGCTTGTCCAGATTCGCTTTCTTGGCATCCATTAAACTACGTAGCTCGTTGATTTCCTTCTCACGAGCTTCGTACTGCCTAATTGCATGGGGGTTTCCTTCATGGATCCCCTCTAGGCGAACTTCCTCTTGTTGGATTTCGGCCTTGAGTTCATCCACAGTTTTTCTCGAGTGGTTTTCTGAGATCTCCTCTTTTTCTTTGGCTGAAAAGTTCGCTATGAGGGTGCGGCATTGCGCACGGAGCTCGGCAGATTTACTGGATATTTCTTGGTCAAGCTTCCTAACTATAGTTGTGTAAGCGGATGATCATGAAGTGGGGCAGGGGGTACTGACGTTCTTCGCACTCTTCCTTCTTGCTCTCGAGGCGATTCTTAAAACTCTGGTTCCATGAGTTGTAATGTTGTAGATTCGAGGATAATTCTATGGCGTGAAGTTCTGCAGATGCCACGGCCCTATACTGAGCCACGTATTCACGAACACGTTCCTACCGTAGTTTCAGTGGAATTAGCATAGCTTTACTTAGTCTCATATCCAGTCTCTGCTCTGTCTCGATTTTTAAAGCTCACAGAAAATTTGGCCGCTGCAATGACACGATCCATGTTTATCTGCAAAGCAAGGGTTTCTTGTCTTGCAACCTTGCTTTTGAAGCCCTTCCCGGACTTTTCTAGAGATTCAAGAGTTTGTAGTTCATTGCCTGCATATCATTTTAGCATCAATGTCGTGGCCTAGAATGGTACTCAGCTGCAGACTCTCTTACTAAGAACGGTTTTTATTTTTTGATATTTGAGGACTGATTTCTGCATATTGTCCTTTTGTTGGTTGAGGGCGTTCTAGTCCATAATTAGAGAAGAAAAAACCAATTCTTGTCTCAAAGTGTAGGGCCCATACCTTTTCTGCGTGTAATGATGATTCCCGCTCCTCCAGCTTCTGGAAACTCGCCTTCCGAAGATCGATTTCGCGGCCTATTTCTTCAATCTCAACTTCCAGCTGGTTTTGCCGTTGCCTCTTCTCCTCAATAAGATGTCTCTCAACCTCGACCGTTTTGAAAAATTTCGGCTGCCCTATATGGGAGTTAATCTCTGTCTCTGCGGCTGGGTAATCCGGCCTTCGCCGTATCGACGTAGAGACACCGCCCGCAATCCATTTCATCATTTTTTCCCCTGTTTTCACTGATTGCTGCTGAGAGGGAGAGAGCTTGGACTTGGAAATTCCCTGCGGTACAACCTATCAACAAGAAATCCAATAGTTGGTAGCAAGACGAAGCTTCAAACTTACCACTCGATGGAGTCCGATACTATTACAGAGCATGCTAAGTACTTCTGAAGGGCCACTGATGAAGTCCAGAGCGAGTCCGTCAAACCCCCAAGTTGAAAGCTTGTCATCGAAAGAAAATTAGCTCAATTTAGCCTACATTAGATAGGGTGGGGGAATGTTTACCGACCTCATCTTTGGAAGCTATTCGTGGGAACTCTTCAAGTCCTTTTTCTATATACTTGATAGTAACTTCAGAAAGCCCGAGCCCTTTGTTATTCCGATTGTCTCCGTACACCGCCTCTATTAGGACGTCGAAATCTGCCCTGCTGGTGCATGTAAATGCAAACTTGTCGCCTGGACTAAAAAGGGATTCAATTTCGGCTTGATATCTAGGGTCTTTGACGGTGCATTCGACGACGGGTGGCCCATATACAGGCCCTTTGAACTTGTTTTTATTGCCTTGCAACCATGTAAAAACTGTGAATGACTCAGGTGAAACCTTCCGCAGTGCCTCCATTCTTTGCTCTGCGATATTATTCATTCGAAGTATCCTAAAAAAGCAGATGAAGTTAATAAATCCCTAGTAAGAATATTTGCTAGTCGATGTGTTAATTACCATTGATCTATTTGCCCTATCTCGCTCCGTCGTTCCTCGCGTCTAGTCTGAAGGGGTTCCAATGAGTTACGTCCTGCACTCAACTCGCTCCGACTTGCACGCAGTTCTCCATTAATCTCATTCTAAGATTTGGGATGCACGTATTAGAAAATGAACAGATAGATAGCACAGATTCGGGATGCAATCATACAATTTTACCATTCAATTCTGATACATCCAACTTGCCCGGGTCATCTGCGAGTGCCCTCTCATGCCGTGCGATCTGCTCTTTGGATTTTTCGATTTTCGCCTGGGGTAGGATTCCGTTTGATTAGCTTGCAGAACAGTTCATGGGCCGAGTGATATTCGCTAACCTTCCTCTCTTTCTCAGAATTGATAAGAATATCGAGATCAAATTCGGCTTTTGCCTCCTCCTCCTTTAAACCGGACACCCTTTCTCTATCATGTCTCAGTTCGTTTTCTAAAGATGTGAGATCCCTCTTTTCATCCTCCAACCAAGCTTTTATCCCTTTTAGTTGGTTCTCGACTTGCTCTATCTGTTTTGTCTGGGGCTCTTGTTCCTTGCGGATTCCCTCCAGTTGCGCAAGGCAGGCGTTGTACTGTTGTTTCACATCGGCTCGATGTTTCTTGATATCCTGGAATTCTACAAACGGGATCGATTTCTCCAATAGCTTGATATGCTCTTGAAGGGTTTGACGCTCACGGAGTCTAGCAACATCCCTCTCTAAGTTCTTTTGTCGCGCCTCCATCGTATTTATGGATTGACGGTCGTGATCAAGCCCTATTTCTAGGCCAACCTCCGAGGCACGGAGCCGCTTCAGCTCATCGTGGTCCTCTAAAACTTCAGGTGGTGCAGCAGCCCGTTGGGTTGCTCTTAGGAGAGGCACAGGGCCCAGAGCCGCAAACTCAACGACTCGATCCTGCGGAAGGAACTGACAAAGATTGTCAATCTGGATGTTTAAGAGCTTCATTAGCTGCTTGACTGCTCTGTGGGGTTGCTCTTTGCCTTTTCGATCAATACGGCATTAGACATCAACCTTTTTATTTTTAAACTTGAGCTAGAGTATTAACCTACCATCGATCCAATACCGTGTTGAGCCATCTCTCGTAATCATTCTTCTAACAGTCGGGTTGACTTCATCGGTAGGTGAGCCCTTGAGCTCAATTTCAATGATGGCTTTGTCGTTCCCGTTCTTGACAAACTCCGCGATATCCTTCGCTCTGCCAAGATGCTATCATTCTTGTCAATTATTTTGTTTCAAAGCTCGGATATGAAGGAAATACGGCAACGATGAGGTTGAGAGTAAAGTAATTATAATCCATACCTCTGGGCCGAATCCTAACCCTAAACAAATGGCACAGACCAGAGTGCTCTTGCCGGTTCCGTTTGGGCCGATCACCATATTTAAACTTGGACCAGGCTCGAATGTAACTTTGTTATAAGTAACGAAATTTTCCATATAGACCCTAACAATGGCACCACGGGCATGTGGGATTTCTTCGAAATTTTTCCTCATCTTATCTAAGGAATCTGCCATGCCTATTTCCGAGTCATCGGAATCATAGTCCTCAGCAACAGGAATGATAACTTCTTTGTTGCGAGAGGCATATTCGTCACCATCATCATCATCCTCTTCTCCTCCTTCATTTCGAGCACTCCCATCTTCGCCTGGTGTAGCTGGGTTGCTTCCTTCATCATTATTGTCGCCAGGGCTATCGTTTGTATCGGAGTCGGGTGTAAGCTTTCGTCTTTTACTTCTACTTGTTGTTGCAGTATGTTCCTTAATTGTCCCGTTCTGTTCTTCCCCGGCTAGAGGGCGCTTTGAAGCTATCGTTAATTTTGAATTCCTTCCTAGCGAAACTCTGGGAGCTGAAGGAGTATCAGGGGTCTCTGTGTTAGAGTTGTCACTATCCTGGTTGTCCTGACGCGAATGTTGAGATGATACGACGGACGGCATGATGGGTGGTATTCGATGAGGAGTTGTTAAAGATATCTAGATAGTCCGTGGTTGACGATACCCTAGATGTTCTACTGATCACTGCATGTTGGGGGAAACAAAGAAATGACAAATGGGTAGCCACCTAGCTACTGGTAGCTACCTCCACCTCATTTTGTGTTTCTTTCAGCCACGCGTTTGCCCCACCACGCGAATTAATTCTGGTTTACGAGATAAACCACGCGTGGTCACCACCCATTTCATTAATGTTAATCAAAAAACGCTATAACATTCCACTCTTAAATTTGTCTACACTAAAAGCTAGAATAACTTCAAAGCATATACCTAATTGGGGATATAAGTAAGTGCACTGGGTTAAGGTATGCGTCAAGTTGAAACCATTTTGTAATATTTGCTTGGCTAAGTTACTGCTTGGTCATCACTAGTTATAACCCATCCGATATAATTCTATTCTCCTTAATACAAAGAGCGTTTTTTGTATTAACCGTGTGTGCTGGTTGACTACGGAGAAGTCCTCTTTTTTGATCTAGGAGTCATGTCCAAGGATTTGTACAACAGAATCAGTGCCGAATGCGACTCACCTAAAAGTAGACAATTGGTTAGCGTTACGTCCAATAGTATCAAGCGGGCCTGTCTGCCTTACCTCCTCCTGCGAGTGTCTCTATTCTATCCCAGCCAACTTCGGTAACCTTCTCGTCGTTGAAAAACCACCATGTGCTGCCCTCAGCGCCCCCTCCACCTGCTAAACCACCTGCAGGTGCCTTGCCTTTACCCTTGCCGTCTACGTCTTCCTCTTCATCCTCGTCCGATTTACGAACGTAAGCACAGTAATGGCCTGAATCGGCCGAAGCACCCTGATGTGTGATTATGGCTTGCAGCTCATAAAGACCAGAATGGTTCGCCCCGACATCTGCGGATATTTCATCGTCCAAGAGAGGTGCGAGAGCCGTGTCCCAATCCTCCTCCTCTAGTGAGACCGCCTTGGAGGGCGTAGGGTCACCCGTTGCCTTCTCGCTATCGATATCCATTTTATCAGCTGCTCCTCTTTCTTCAGCTGTTGGCTCGACAAATATCGTTCGAGCCTTTCTTCTCTGTTTGCGGCGGTCTTCTTCGTTCCTATGAAGCTCCCTGAGTTTTTCTCGTACTGGAATAATCTTTTCCTTTAACTCGTCCGTACAGAAGTCGGTAGCGTCGAGATGGAACGGGAATGTAACCTTCCGCATAATCTTTGCTTTCTTGTTGATGTCCTTTTTCCAAAAGAAGCGAACGAAATGACACTAGATAGAAATTTTTGTTAGTCCACATCATCAAAAGAACCAATATCGTAATATTTAAACTCACTGTAAGATACTTAGGTAGCCTAGTGACTTTGGACGTTTTGGTATACATCGCATCTCGCCCAAGTTTTTCACTTCGTTTCTCAATGCTCTCTGTTAGACCAGCTAATATTCCATCCTTCAAATGGTTTATGGAAACGGAAATATGGCAGTTTAGCTTGAGAAATGTTTCCTCCCCTTCTTGCTCCGCTTCCTCGCTATCTTCGTCACATTTAGTGATAGTCTTCATCTTTCCGGCGAAGTACGTATCGACGAACTTGCGACTAGATTTTGACTCAGAAGGGGTTTGGCTGCTCGTGTCCGCGAGATTTTGCCTCAATGCGGTGAGAACCTGAGAATAGCATTCTTCCGCATCCTGTTGAGCGTAGTGCCCATGTCTATCCTTCTGATCGAACTGAGGGAACGCAATCCGAAGGGAGTTAACGAATTTCAAAGGAGGGAAACCTTCGGTAGTATCACCCATCTGCTGGAAAAGATCGCGTAGGCTTCCGGTGAGGTCGGAGTTGGATCCTCTGGAGAGACTCGAAAAGAGACTTGAACGGCTGATGGAGCTGCCACCGTCGCTACGGTACCTCTCGAGTTCCTCGTGTAGTTCTGGGACTGATCGAAGGGTTTGCAAAGTTGAGTTCATGTAACACGTATTACCAAGATTCTGTAGACCGGATGGTATAGCTCCTTTGACTTTTGCAAGGTCCTTCTCGGTCATATCCTCAAGAAATTTGATGGGTCCCGGTGCTTTGGCCAAACCAGCACCAAGAGGTGTACCCACCATCATGAAGGCGTGGCCGGGTTTAAGGTTAAGGGTCTGGAAGTCCGTATCATCCTTGAGCTGACCGCCTTTGATAAGGACCTTTTGCCGTTCGGGTTCGACGCCTGTAAGGGAGTAAAGCTGCGTCTTGAAGACTTCACCTGGCAAAGAAGTATCGAGCTCGAGATCGTACTTCTTGCCACCATGCCTGACAACAACTATCAACGATACGTTAGTTGGCAGGCCTTATTGTTTTGGAAAGATGGGGACTTTGCCGAACCTGGTATCGAAGCCATTTTAACTAATAGAAGAGAGCCAGATACTGGAGGGGAGAAGCTTTAAGTGGTGGAGGGGAAACTAGACGTTGTGGGGAAGGAAAGAAGAAGAAGGAAGTGCAGTGGTGTTCGTGAAAGCGTCAGTCGTAAGTCGTGTTACCTAAGCTGGCCGGGCAGCCAAGCATCCAGCACCGGAGCTTGCCCCGCCAAACGTGCGAACGAACTTACTTTATAATTACACTTCTACACCTCTCGCCTACCCGACTTAGGACGCTGCCTAAACGTTAGACACCGGAGCTCCGAGGTAGGTAAGTAGCTACTTATAAGCAGTACATAGGTAAGTACTTGGTTACTTTCTTACTTGTGGATAGGTACTTACTAGCTTACAAGCTTGACAGCGCTGCCAGCAGACAGACACCAGATCATATACTGCATCGATACCACGACCACCTCGACCGCTGCTAGTTACCTGGAATACCGGGGACACACGGACTACACCTGTTCCTATGATATAGGATTTCTAGAAGAAACAAAGCATAGGTCACCATCATGGTAAGCTTGGAGTCCGTAGCAGTCCGAATGTCCCGCGATGTTATGATGCCAACCCCGATTTCAGTCTCTAGCTTTACGTCCCTATCTCACCTGCGTCCGCGCATCTCTTACGGCTGCACTTTCCCTGAGTAATTTCGCGTCTCAGACCGTCGAGCGTCATAACGTCCCCGAAATCGAAGCTGGAAAATCCTCGGAGTTACTCCTGAATCCCCTTACCATCTCCCGAAACGAAAACGAGAGAGTTCTCATCGAGCCTTCGGTCAATTCTGTCAGGGTTTCTATTCGGATCAAGCAGGCGGATGAGATTGAGGACATTCTCGTCCATAAATTCACCCGATTCCTTACCCAGAGAGCCGAGGCGTTCTTCATTCTAAGAAGAAAACCTGTCAAGGTTTGTCGGAAAATATCTTCCGGGAGATTTTATGGCCATTCTTACACGGCGTTTTTACTTAGGGATACGACATTTCGTTTCTTATTACGAACTTTCATACGGAGGCCATGTTGAAGCATAAATTGGTAGACTTTATCATTCATTTTATGGATGAAGTTGACAAGGAGATTTCCGAAATGAAGCTATTCGTATGCCTCCTAAGTCTAGAATACACCGAAGTTGGACAATACTGACTGTAAATTCTTAGCTCAATGCTCGTGCCCGTTTCGTTGCCGAAGCTTTCCTAACACCGGTATGCTAGCCCTTCCTATCCTAGATGCTAGGTGTAGCCATAGAACATCTACTAATACATTCTTATAGTTTGATTGATTGGTTGGATTTTTTCACAGGATAGTACCGCTTCGAATACCACCCGCTCTTATAAGCATGTACCGCTAGTTATTAGAATACATAAATACGCCCCGATGAAAGACCTAAAGCTAAATCTGAAGATGCAAATTCTCCCTAGAGCAAAACGTAAAGGGAATGAAACGCCGCTGACTCCCGCCCTAGCAACGCTTGAACATAAAATTAGAGGATAGAGGTTGAAACGAAAAGAGAAAGGGAAGGAAGTTAATAGCAGATCTATGTGCGGTCTGGCGTCTGACGCTTCTCCTTTTTCTTGTGAGGCAGCCCTTTATTAGAAGATTCCTTCTTAGACGACTTGACCATACTACCAGGGGCCAGTTTCTTCATCTTTGGGCTGCCGTCTGGCTTCGAACTGCTTGACTTTTTCAGCTTTGAATCCTTGTCCCCTGACGGTTTTGGAGAGGCCTTTCGAGCGGCCCCACTATTATCTGAGTGTGTCTACTCCAACGAGTTAGAAATACCTGGTCCCTTATTGCGTAAATTCGCAACTATCCGCAGTTGATGAAAACTCACCTTCGTGTCAGTATTACCTAGTCTCTCCTTTTTAGTGGGAGTAGGGCTTCCCGCTCTATCCTTGAATTTGGAGACAAGGTTCTTGGTGGTGGGTGTGCCTGGGTGAGGAGAGACCCGAACATTTTCCATCGACTGGGTTGGTGTATTGCTTGTTTTTTGTTTCTTGTTTGGTTTTGTCGGGGTAGTAGAGGCCGTGTCCTTCTCCTTCGCTGTAGTTGGGTGGTAATCGATATCATACGGATCAACGGGCTTCTTCTCAACATCATCCTCGATGTTCTCCGCCTTTCGTTTCAGGAGTGGTTTCTTCTTTTTGGGCCCGGACCCACTCGACGCTGCGTTAGCCCCGGTCGAAGGAGCGGAAGGGGCAGGTGACTCTGGACGTGCAGAAGCCGTCGAGAGTGATTTTTCGAGTCTTGGGGCTGAAGTTATCGAGCCTTTTGGAACAGGCTCTCCGGCATTGCTTGATTCCCGTTTTGGTTGTGCCTTCTTAGTAGGAGGTTTTGGGTCGCTTTGCACCTTTTTCTTCTTTGGCGGAGGGGCGTTTTCTCCTTCCGCAAAGCTAGAGTTCGGACTATCCGGACTGTGGGGAGTTCCTGAGCCACTATCTCCATTATGCGAGGGAACCTTCCGATCTGTAAATCCCAAACATGATTTATGTTTTGAGATCCAGAGTTTAAAAGATGTCTCTTGGTTGCATGCGGGGCATGACAGGCGGTTCCCTTGTGGATCCTTTACGGGTGGTAGCTTTCCTGTTTCTTCTCTTATTATCGGGGTTGTTTGTCTTGTTGGTAGTAGGGTTTCTATTGCGAACTTTTGTTTGGATGTGACCTTGGGAACTTGAATGCTGCTAGACTGTATTGACTTCCCGTACATGTCTTGTCCTGTATGGTCTCTGTAAGGTGGCCTAGGGCAGTATTTACGCGCCGGTGCAGTCAAGGAAGTATCAAGGTTTTGTTGGATTGGATGTTGACATTTTTGGCAAATATTATCGTCAATAGGGATGCGGAGGGAGCGCCCCATGACGATCGCACTCAGGTGTTCAGGCTCCTCATTCCGTTTTGTTTGAAGTTCCTGGGTGGTGACAAGAACACCGTCTTGGGAAAAGAACCCCATGTTTGTTACTTTCTCGGTGCGATGAGCTTCGAGAACGATATCTTCGGTGACGATGCTGACGAGATCGGCGAAGACCCCTTTGATCTTATTCAGTAAGATTGACTGTTAGTAACCGCTAAAAGCAAAGAGGGGTTCTAGCAGGTTACATACAAGGTCCTCCATGGACATTTTGTCCCCAGCGCCTTCAGCCATAATGTGTGCGTGATGTGGTTGGCGTTTTGGTGCAAGATGAGGGGAAAGTCGAGTTTTAAGTTAGCTGAGGGTGGTGGGAAGGTCGAGGGTTGAAGAGGTTGTTGGAGTTGGAGATTAAAGGCCATGCGACCCGCCACTAGGGATTCAGTCTTGTAACCTCACGGAAGCACGTGCAACACACAACACACACAACACGGTAAGGTCGGGTTAGATTAGATTAGATTAGATTAGATTATCGAGATTAAATCAGACTTTTTTCAAATGAAATCAAATATCGGGTACCAGCGGCAGAGTACATTCATATCGATAATAAGCTATATACTTAGGTAGGTACTTATGCAAACATATCCAGCTGATCTAGAAATTTGGCCTCGACGTAACTCTATTACAAGCTTTCGGTCCTTAAGTATTTCCTTATTATTGCTACCTGTACAGTACATGTAGGAACCGAGATCTTCTAACCAAGACCAGCTGATTGCGCCAAGTCCATGGATCCAACATACCTGATGCCGCGTTTGTTGACGGGCTCTCCGAGAGACCACATACCAAAACTCAAGCTGATATTGTTGCTAGAGAACCAGCGGGTACCTAACTGCAGTACAGGCCGGTACAAGCGGTTATCCCTACTATCAACATTTCAAAGAATGATGTACAAAAACCCCAAAAAAAAAGAGGAGGAAAAGACAAAGGAAGGACAACATATTTTTGAGTCTTCCGCTAGTTTAGGCCCAGCCCTCCACTCAAACCTCACCTGCCCAGTAACCAACCTTCAAAGTTAGGAAAGGACAAGTAAAAAACGAATGTACAGAGGGAATATAAAAGGCAGCAGGCTGTGGAGGAAGTTTAACGTTGATTCATGATCATCCACGAGCTTATGCAACTAATGCTATCAGTGCTGCACCCACCCCGCTGCCGTCCTTTGCAATCCCAATTCTGATAGCTTCTTCAAGACCCGCTGCTCCAGCAACTAGAGGCTGTATGTCGCGCAGGGCCTCCCTTAAATATCGCTCAAACCCTGGGTAGTACTCAACAACGCTTCCATCCACACCAATATCAATCTTTTCAACTTCCTCCCCTTCTTTGGCTTCAGCCTTGGCCTGCTTGTAATTCTCGTAGGCTCCAGTCGCAATCGCCGTGGCGGCGATCGGGATAGCAGACAGCCGTGCAGAACGTTTTCCAATTCCGTATACCAATGCTTTAACAGCCATTGCATCACCAGTGGATGCCGCTGAAACTCCCATGTCCCTCTCTAGAAGTTGCTTTGTCAAGCTATACGAGCTTGTATAATCTGCTTGTATGGTGCTCAGCGCACTAGTATCTATACTCCAAGGGGTGAATAGTGGTCCGTTTTCGTCGATGCTGGTGCCGTGGCCCATATTAAAAAGCCCATCGTCCATCAAGGCAACAATGGCGTTTCGGAGGATTTCTCCTAGAAACATGCCGGATACTCTCTTTTCAAACATTTGCATTCCAGGATTCACCGAATTCTTGTCTAGAGCTCGATCGTAGGGAGTGTCAGGCAGGACCTTCATCGCGTTATCGAAGGCACCCCATTCCGTATTAATCACCATGACGCCTGATGAACTGTCGTATTCACCGTAGTTCTCGGTTTTATTGAATAATTTGGGTATTCTCGGAAGCTTTTCAACGTATGCGCCATTTGTTCCCGTCCCAAATATCGCGCCGAGAAGAGTCCCTGCCTTTCCGGGTGAGGTATAAGATCGTGCCATCAGTGTTCCCACGGTGTCGTTCACTAAGGCCACCACACGGACCGGTAAACCTAAGGCATCGATCTCCGTCTGAAGAAGTTCACAGACGTCTTTTCCGATAGCATCCTGGATGTCAAAACCCTTGGTCCACCGGATCAAATAGCCTTTGTTAAGTGCAACCTGTTCAACTGGGAAGGAAAATGTAAACCCGAGCTTGAGTTGGGAATACGAAGTTTCTGGTTCAAAGTGATCAGAATGGTGCTTTTTAACGAAGTCTTCGATCTGCTTGGCCAAAAAGGAGAAAAGTCCCTTCGAGGTCCCGGTCATGAGTTCCTTTGGTATTGGTGTCTTCGCCTGCGTGAGAGTAAACTTACTATCCCCATGCAGGTGGATAGAACAGACACGGAAATTAGTACCGCCGAGATCGACAGCAAGGTAAACTCCCTAATTTCCAGATGGATAGACAGAATGACGGTTAGATGCAAATCAATCCCGAATTTACAGTGGGTTTTCAGGGTGTATACCTTTTCGGTGCCATTCGGAACTGCAGTAACGTAGGTTGGGATCATGGTCATTGCCTGTTTGGGCTGCTTCAAGCCCTGCTCTGTAGATGTATCGTGAACACATCAGCTGGAGAGTCACCCAAATGCGCTGACAAGACTGATCATAAGGGAGGAAGCATCTAACCCATAAGATTCAAATATTCTCTAACACCTTTAGCAACATATTCAGGTTCATACACGAATTCGGCCCCGATCGACCTTGCCTTCGCGAGAAGAGCTTCTTCCCTATCTGAGAGAATGGACATTGTGGTAACAAGTAGGCCGTCTGAATTGTATTTCGCGTTTCTATTGGTATCTTGCAACTGAAATCTGAGGTCTGTCGAAGGACAAACACCAAATAGGGTTTCGAGAAGTTGAGGGTCTCGCCAAGGGAGAGATATCCCAGACGATAGCGGCGGGGTTGACGTATATTTTCCCGAATTTCTAAAGAATGGGGAAAAGAGGGCAGCTACGCCAGAGAAAGTCCCAGGAGAAAAGAAATAACAGAAGAGCAATGTAAATACCAATGCTAGGATGAGGGCCGCGAGGATCGGTTTTGAGCAGAAATTTGAGGGTCTAATAAACCTGGTTTGGAAGCAAAGGAAAGAACGACTGGAAGGCTTTGAGGAGTGAATTTTGATTGACGAGTTGTTGGAAAGCTAGGGAAACTAAGTGGTAGGCAGGCACCTGGTACGTTGGTAAGCACGTTGGTAGGTAAGTACTTAGGTACGTTGGTGGGTAGGTAGGTCCTTGGGCAGATTAGTTGTTAGTTGTTAGTTGGTGGGCTGGTGGGGGTTGGAGATGACGGAGTGGAAGCCTGAGGTGTGGTGGAGGGATGTGAGAGAGGTACGGAGTAGATACTGGGTACTTGGCCGGCGCCGGGGAGTGAGGAGGTACATGTGCTTGATTTTTGTGCTAAGAACTTGCCGATATACAAAGCCATCGGCGGCGGGGTGTTCGAATTAGCCAGCCAGCCAGCCAGCCAGCCAGCGAGCCAGCTAGCCAGCACCAGTTTTCCCGAACAACTTGAGAAAATTATAATTCGAAGGAACCGAACAGAAAATAAAAGAAAACAAAGGAAAACAAAGGAAAATAAAAGAAATTAAAAAAGAAATTAAATTAAATTAAATTGTTAACATCAAACAGTACTTGGTCAGGCTGCTTGGCTTAGAACTCCTACACAGTACAAAGAGGGGAAGGGGAGGGGAGGGGAGGGTCCGGAGGGGAAATCTCCGCATTCAAAAAGAAACATTTCACAAAATTCACGATTGCATTGCAATATCAAGGGCACTGAAGTATAAGTCCATTGCAGGTATATGGTAAGCACGTAAGTGCGTAGGTACTTCGTTCTCCTACCGGCGCTGATTTTCGACCGATATCAATGCAATTGCTGAAGCACACCCCTATCGAGATGAATTGGCACAACCAATAGGCTGAGAGTCATTCCGGTGGGTGCATGATCAGGCTGCGGGAGAATAATACCCTCGTGGGGCTTGCAGTATAAATCCACATGAAGTTCCATGCAAGTACGTACTTTTTAAGATATCGATCAGGACGTCACCTATCGCGCGAATAACGGCCGGCCGGGTTAGAATTAATAATAGCCGAAAGCACGGATCTCGAGCTACCAAACTCCGAGCGTTCCTTTCGCCAGCAAGGGTTCAAGAAGGGGAAGAAATAAGAAATTCTGTTCGAGGGTGAAGACTAACCTTGGTGTTGCTGGATACTAGGTACGTACTTATAATTAAGTATATACCATATAGGTACTTAAGTACCTAAGTGCTCACTTAAATAAGTACTTAAATACTTATACACACAAAAGGCTCTTCAGCAGCTGGATTCTCCCTCAATTCGATTGGATGGATTTCGAGTTTAGTGTCGGTGCTTGATGAATCGACCTGGTGGAATTCGATGCAATGTTTGCACCGTTTGTGGTTGAGATGATAGCTGGACAAGGGAATCTCTCCGGCTTAAATACCACTGTTTGGGCTGCTGGTAGTGATAGTTGGGTCAGCATGATGCAAGACAAGGGCACAAATAGTACGGATCATGCCGGTATTTTCTCGCTGGGCTAGCGTTCCATCAGCCAAACAAGTTTTAAATCTCGTCAATCGTCGATAGTTGGAATCGAATCTAGAAGCCTCACGGGAGTACCTAATGTAGCTGTAGTAGCTAGCGCCGGTAGGTATCATGTTGGTGAGCAACGCAACGGCAACGTCGAGTAATCAGAAAACATTAAACAGTCCCCACAAGTACCAGCCAAAGACGGAGATGTTCAAATCCTAGCGTCCTGGCCCTTGTTCAATGTGGCATTCGGTGGGTTGCCTGTTGTTGAGTAACCAAGTCATTGAATTGAGATTCATCATGAATTGATTATCTAATTCTCGTTACACTGCATTTGGGTTGAATTAGTCACCATGTGTTGGGTTGATGTCACCTCTTTACTCGAGTACTTACCTACTTAAGTATTACTTATTATACTTCATTAGTACCACAACAACGAATACCCCGAATCCTCTCGTGGACCCCTCTAGAAGTTTTTCTGCTATGAACATCGAAGCCCTCGATCAGACGGTGTGGGATGCCGTGATAGCAGGGACCGGCCTCCGAGAATCCCTCCTCGCAGCGTAGGTTAGAAGCCACTCGTAGCCATATTCCTGAAGCCGTCCCCACATCTGACCTCCTCTCCACATATCAATAGAGCGCTTGCCAGAGCGGGCAAAAAAGTCCTGCATCTAGACCAGAACCCGTATTACGGCGAAGAATATGCTGCGCTCTCTCTCGACGAGCTGGAGGCTTGGACACAGAATGTCAAGTTGAGCCACATTAGATCGGTTCAATATAAAACCTACCCTGTGCCGGAAGGCTCAGGCTTAAAAAAATCTCGCTCATACACTCTGAGTCTCTCTCCCGGTCTCCTGTACACAGCTTCTCCGATCCTTTCCCTACTCATCAAAAGTAATCTTCACGAATCTCTCGAGTTTTTAAAAGTCGGTGGATGGTTCGTCTACGACGCTGCCACCCCATTGTCCGATCCACTCAAAAGGGTGCCAAATACTCGGGAAGATATCTTTAATGACAAAACTCTAGACCCTCGGACGAAGAGGGTGGTTGTACGGGCTCTGAAATCAATGGTGGGGTCTGAAGGTGTTAATTTAGGAACGGCCGCGACATCGAGTGGTTTATCCCTGCAACAGTATCTCGAACAACCCTCTTTTCGTCTTCCTTCCTCGATAATTGTTGCTTTTACGAGTTTAACCCTTCTTCACAACCTTCCTAGTGAATTACCCCTCGGGGAAGCTGAAGAAAGGATCAAGAAACACTTCGATTCATTAGGACGGTTCGGCGCCGGGTTTTCTGCAGTAATCAGCAGGTATGCTAGCGGGTCCGAGCTCGTCCAAGTGCTATGTAGGGCAGCTGCGGTTACTGGGAATGCTATCTATGTTCTAGAAAATGGAATTGTTGATATTCAAGAACCTGGCTCGGTATCCCCCCCGATACAGGCCCTACCAAACGAAAGTACGGAACAAGGCATTCGCTTGAGCCTGAAAAGCGGGGATGTAGTTAGAACACGACATGTGGTTGGGACAGCCTCGAACCTACCAATCACGGCCCCTGCAGACCAAATTTCGTCAGAGAGTACTGGCTACTGGATGTCAATATATGTGGTATCAAGTCCTTTGAAGCAGATATTTCAAACTGATGAGCCCCCGCCAGCTGCTGGAGCCATCATCTACGTACCTGCAGGGTCGATCGAGGTCAACGGCTACTCAAACACTAACCCCATGTATGTAGTTGTACATAGTAGTGACACGGGGGAGTGCCCAGATGGTCAAAGTAAGTACCCCCAGCCACACCAATCGATATTTCTTCTGCTAAATATACACGTTTTAGGTATATTATATATCTCAATGAAAGAAACCAGCTCTGGCGGGGCGGAGTTTTTTGATGCTACTGTGAAATCCCTTCTTCAAAACCTAACGTCTCAGGAAAGTGGGGCCGATAACACGGCCGGCCATATTCTTCTCTCAGTTACATTTAAAACATGCGCCGATTTAGAGCCGCCAGACCAATCTTCCAGTGGAAGGGTTCATTTGTTATCTCGCCACGTCCCTATGATCGAAATCCCAGACTCTTTAGTCGAACAAACAATGGAAATTTACGAAAAAATTGTTGGATCGAGAGACGCATTCTTAGAAAAGACCGCCCCCCAGGAGCCTGAGCCCCCAGGAGAGAAGAGTGGGTAATTTTGAATATGTAGCTTCCTATCAGATTTTGGCCGTTGCATAGATTTGGGGCGGTTATATCTAGCTTTATCATATGTGTCATGCCACACACATCCTGCTCTCTGCTTTGGTATGCACCTGTTTTCAAAGTTAATATCTTACTGAGAATGCATTTTGTTCGTGGAGTAACGTCGTCTTGGTGTCGGTGCAAATTATGCTATAAAACAAGGCCTATAAGATTCTACACTTCATTTACCTATTCATTATATATTGCTGAAGCTTGAAGGTCGGTACGAAAATGCACCGTGCTTGATTGCGTGCGTGGGTTAACTTCAAATCACTTTGAATTTTTGCGTAAGATATTATTTCTAACCTTAGGTAACTTAGGTAAGTACTTAGGGATCCGGGTAGGTAAGTAGGTAAATGCTTGCTAACGATAGTACTAGTTATAGCCCACTTGAGTAAGCCGAAGTAGGTGCATGTACCATCGCAGCGAGACTACTCCAAATGAAGATCCGATCGGGCAGATGACGTCGGAATATTGAGCCCATAGTTTTGCTTGGCCACAATCGCGTTCCCGTCCGATACACCTACATAAAGCCCGGACAAATGCTTCGTTACTTCGACATGTTGAGTAAGAGGTACTTAGGTACCTACTTCCATGGATCTTTAAAGCTTTGGCAATCCTGATCCGCCAACATACCCTTGACCCTGTTTTTGTTTGTATTCTTAAGCGCAATATCAATTTATGTAATACGTACTTAAGTAGGTGATTTGTACACCATTATCATCATCATCATCATCATCATCATCATCATCATCATCACCACCACCACCACCACCACCACTGCAACACTGCTAAATACTACGCTGCATGCAAAAAATTCTCTCTAAATCGTAAACAGGCCAGGGCCTCCCAAGTCCCCAACTATCTAAGGAAGCCACACTTTGGTTTTTATTTAATTAACATACTCTTCACAAGATACATTTCCTTAGTAGCCACAACTCTAGATTTAGGGTCTGCACCGGGCACGCCGGGGACACCAAGGAAACCTTGTAGCCGGCAGGAGCAGTTCGGGTAATTCTAATATTCTGTTCGCAGCAAGGTGTCGAGAACCTCAGCTATCTAAAACTCCAAGTTGCCTAGATATCACCTAAAATATCCAAATTTATAAGTCACTACCTACTTAGCTTAGTACTTAAGTGGGTATGTTGCTTGTGGGGCCTTGAGGAGTTCCTGGAAACCTCGCTTGACGAAATGTGGAAGTCATCGGAAGATGGGATGAGTAAACTGTCAAAGCCTAGGAAGGGATCCTCGAGCTTAAAACTTTCTGATACAAAACGTCGCCCAAGCATCTTGCGCAAAGAGTCGAAGGAACCAGAGAGCCGAACTGATTCAGATGTAGGAAATGGTACAGTGCTAGGTGGTCATTTAGATTTGAAAAGGAGGTTTAGTTTGAAAGATGCTGTCCGTAGGATATTCAGCAGTAAGCAAGCTACTGAAAGTCCAAAGATACAGCAAGTGAGTACCTATATGCACGCATAAACTGGTCTCGAGGCTACATTACAATGCCCATTATACTGACAAATCTGCATGTCGGGTAGCAAAACACCATCTCACCGACCCAAATGAACAGCAGTACTCAATACCAGGTCGATGGAATATCCTTGACCCATAGTCCCATAGTCCGAGAGTCTGAAATAACACGGATGAGCGGGGAGCAACCAAACGGGCAAAACGAAACTAGCGGCGAGACTCCATATCCCGAACTGGCTGCTCCCCGGCGGGTTTTATCGATCGTATCAGATTCTTCTGCTTCGGCCGTTTCAAATGACTCTGTGAATATTGCCTCGACCGTCTTACTTTCGCCTCGTCCGATTCATCATATAGATAACCAGCATCAATATCCAAAGCAAGAGGGGAAAAGGGTGCTTTTTGAAACCGATATTTCCCTTCTATTCGATGGTGCACCGATATTTTCCGTAGATGAATCTCAAGGAACATATGGCCAACCTTTCGTTCGGTTTTCAGAGAACAAGCCCAGAATACCTTCGTTGAATCCATCATCGTGCGATGATGCATCGCAGATCGATCATCATGCATACCGAGGCTATAGTAACCGGAACATACAGGGGAGAAGCCCGACAGATTCAGAACACCATTGGTTGAATGGTCCCACTGAAACACCTTCTATGGCTTCGTTTTGTGGGTCTGAGCCCGGAAGTACTGGGTGGGAGTATTTTTTAGAAGCGCAGGCTGTGGACTATGAGGTACAAGAAGGCAATACCAGCGGGGAGATCGATGAATACGGAGTTGAATTTCAACCGCCCGATTCGATAGGGGTAAGATCAATTGACTCAACGACCCTAGTTGACCGATTACGAGATATTGGGAAATTTCACGGCCAGGCTTACAGCCTAGACAATGATGTTGATATCGAGGCTCGCTTTTTATACGGATATCTTTTTACCAAACTACTATACCCTGCACGAAAGCCCCCAGAAACAATTGACCCACGCGAGTATAGTCTCGAGAACCAATGTCAAGAGCTCCTCAAGATACTAGAAGCAAGGCATGTTTGGCTCGATTTCAGTCGACCCGAGGAGCGCATCAGACTGGGATATATCCTATATGGAAACGCTGGTGAGAAGCTGCTTCTTGTCCTCCAGATTCTCCTAAGTTGTGAACTTTGGTTACGGCTTAAGCTTCTACACCGTTATCAGCCTGAGAGGCTAAAGCTAGGATCCTTGTATTTCACGCCTAAAGTTAACTGGGACCTCACTATTGCTGAAAAATGGCTTGCAAATGTCCGAATTGTAGAACGACCTTTCACACCAAATTTCGAGATGTTGACAATCCCTCAAACCCAAAACGTTTCGAGCTGGCATCGATTCTTTCTAACGGATTCGGTTTCCATAGAGGATGCAGAGGATCCCCAAGAGGTAGATACTTACGATGCATTTTTCGTCCCTCAACATCTAGAACGGCAGCTCGATGGACTTTTACATTTCGCTCGCAAAATCGATTGGCCCGGTATTGAAATACTAGAAGGGGTCATAAGAGATCGGCTTCGGAACCCAACCGGACGGCATACACCTAGCAGTATGCTAGGATATAGAACGCCAGGGAACTCACCTGGTAAATTGACACCACGATCAATTGGGGGGACAGCTGGAAGCTCACACTTCGGATACTTTGCAAGTAAACATACGTCTTCCGCTATAGTACGAAACATGGGCGAAGGGGGATGGCTTTCCAGGGCCTATATGGCGGGGTTGGTTCTTCCCGGTGAAGGTCTATCCCATCTTTTGATGGGCTGCTTACTCGAGAACGATACCCTCGCTCTGAATGAAGTCGGTGAGAATGGAAGCATGTACGGTGGCATAATTCGCAGAACATTGGAATCGCCTGGAAGCACCGCTTCATGGTGGAGTATGAACAATATTGTCGGAAAGGTTTTGGCTACACGGACATCTCGAAGCTATGCCGGATGGGTTGGAAAGTGCGTTGGAGTGTACACAACCGAAGATACAACAACCAGCGATCTAACGGTTTTGACTGCAGTAGCGGGCGCTGCTAAGTTGGTTCGGAGTATCACAAAAAATGCCATGGGAAGTCAACAGAGGGAAGGAATGAAGCTCGCAGAACCGATAGGTTGGGTTGATGTTATCACAGACCGTCGACAAACGAAGAAATGGGTTCCTAGGCTACTGACGCCGGGGCGTGTGGAGCCCGAATCAAGTTTTCTAGGCCCCGTTCACCTTTCTGATTGCTCGGTAGGGCCGGAAGAACTTCGATATCCAGAAATCCTCCCATCACAGGATATTAAAATACAAATCATGGGGTTGAGGTTTTGGGGTGCTGGTGCCTTGGAATACACGACGAATCTCCCCGAGTCGGGACATGGTTATTATACACCGAAGGAGTGGGATCCGTCTCACGACATGACCCCTGCTTACCGAGTGGACGTTATGTTCCGGGTGCCCATTGCTGACCCATCTGCCGCAAGCTGTTTCGACAGCGTAGACGGGGATATCATCGGCATACTTCTGAAATACGAGTCTTCCTTCGTTACTTCTTATCCCTGTCATTTGCCCAACCCTGCAGAGTCCCTTGAACTTAATAAATTGCTATTCGAAAGCAATCTGACACGAGCACGAACTACGGCACATCCAATCCACCACTCCTACAAGTTTAAAGTTGTGGAAGCAACAAAACTACCGGAACACTCGCCGGCTCGACGTAATGGACGCGAAGACAAGGGCTATTTTGTCACAGTAATTAATGCAAAGTTAAAGGGCGTAGGGCAGGACCTTTACGTCTACGCAAAAGCTTGGTGCTCCAGGTGGGGAGTAGATGCTATCATTTCCCGAGAAAACCGTACCTGTCTTTCTTGTGCGATTCGGGAAGCATATGCTCTTGCGGTTGATGTTGTAATTGATGTCAATTGATGATCAATGCATACCTCATACTCTGTAAGTTACCGGTAACTTTTCGTAGGTACTTTATACCCACTGTTTATTTGGTTTCTCATCATCTTACCTGCACATGCATGGAATATCCACCTCATGAATATCCTAGTTTCATAATATATTTATTTTTTATTTTTTATTTTTATTCCAATTCGAATTCAAATTCAATTCTAGTTTGCATGTTGAGTTCGAATTCCCTGTGATCGAAATTGAATGTTGCACAACACAGAAAGGTCAGCACCGAAGGAACTATCCCCGAAAAGGGCAATATAACCCTAAATTTAGGACCGCTCAGCCGCAGGCGGCCGTGTGCATGTCTGCAGTGATTTTTTGATTGTGCGGCTGAATCCGATAGCTCCAGGATCTCCCAAGGATTTGTCAAATGTGGAGCTCGAAGAGCTAAGCTAAGCTGGCGGTGAGTTTTTAGCTCCACCTCACGATAACCTCCCTGTACTGTGCCCTATGAAAAAAATCTATCTTTTCACATTTACTCACTCACTCACTCACTCACTCACTCAGCCGTTGTAGTGGCGATTAATTGCATCTGAAATTATGGGAGAGAAAAAAAGAACTGGTTTCTTTGAGAAATAAAACGAGCTTTCTGGATAGTGTAACAGTTAACAGGTTTGTATTTGGAGAACCGAGATAATGAAATAAGTGTATGCCGAAATGTGACTCGCAAACTCCATTTTTTTTTCCGCTCATGAAAAAAAAGTAGTACATGCTCAACTAAACTGTAACAGGAAACCCAAGGTTGTAAAACAAGGTCCGAATGATAGTTTAAACCTCCTAAAGAAAGATAAAGGAAATACAACCAACAGGTATCGTAAACAACTCATTAACTAATAAACTGAAAAGGATGAAAAAGGAAAAGGAATGTGGATTATCTGCCCAAGCGTCTATTGCTGTAACTCTCTAGTGTGCCCCTCCTTTGCTTCCTCCAAAATGCTTCGCTCCTCGCGCTTATCTCTTAGCAAGACCGCATCTGGCGAGGCACTCTTCAACACCGATGGCAACGTTGAGTGGGATCAAGCTTCTGAACTGTTCGATATCACGGCCATCGACAACGATGTTTCCACCGACGGAAGCTCGGATGACGTCGCCTGCAAGTCTGAAGAAGTTATCGGCAACCTGGGAGGTACCGAAGTCCTCAGCGTTGAAACCAGCGACGAAGATTGTCTCACCACAGTCTGGGTTGAATTCCTGATGGATAGAACCCTGTGGGAAGACGTGTAGCTGGAAGGTATCGGCAAGGGAATTGACAATACGGGCGCCGTTCTCAAGAATCATAGAGGTGTTCAATCTCCCGGCAACTGGGACGTTCAACTCGGTACCACGAGGGTGGGTATGTGGGGTATTGAAACCACATGGGCCGAGGAAACCCATAGCCATACCGGAGCCGGTACCGATCAAGGCAGGGAAGGTTCTCCTGTTAGCCTGAACAACGCGACCAGCTATAAAGCAGTGAATGTTAGATTAAAACTTTGGATATGGATATACATGTTGTGATATAACAACTTACCATTACCGGTAGCGACGCTAACGCTGCCGGGGGGATTCCTGAAGTCGAAGGTGAAGTCGGAGTCCTTGAGGAGAGCGATACGATCTTGCTGGAGTGGAGCGGTGACAAGCTGAGCGATCAATTCCAAGTTGTTATATGCACTTCCTGTATAGGTCGGTTCTGCGGCCTGTCGCTTTTCGACCTTGTCTGGGGCCGGAGCTTGAACTGGAGCCGGAGCAGCCAAAACAGAGGAGGCAAGGGTGGCCAAGAGGGCAATAGAATGGAAATGCATTTTCGAAGATTGATCGAGTATTTATTATATATACTACTACTATGTCGAAGAACCCAAAGGTATCCTTTTTTGTATTCCGAGGAAGAAGAAGAAAGAGAAGAAGAACGAACAAACCCAATGAAGGAAAATCGTGAAGGAGAAGTATCGGAGGAAGCTTGATGCTTGAGCTGAGGATGAGAGTGATGATGGATAAGAAAAAAAAAGAAGAGTGCGGAGACTGGGAGTGACACCAGAATATATACAGCTGGAGCGATCTATTAGCTGCAGCCTCTACGCCAGCAGATTAGCTAGCTACTTACTTTTAGCTAGCTGGTACTTGCATGGGAGCCTTTGTGCTAGCTAGTATCAACGATCAAGGGCTGAGAGTAAGCATCTGCCCCGAATGGTAGTGGTGGTGGTGGTGGTGGATCTGTAGACTCGTCGGGACCCTTGCACGGTATCCTGCATACAAAGTTTGTACGCAATGTACATGGACAGGTACGGAGGACATGGAAGAGTATGTAGGTAAGCCTATCAGCTCGTAAAGCTAACGGGCATGTAATTGGACCCTTTTGCCTTGTTCGAGAGTTTCTTACAGCCCTCCTCGTTCCGATTCCAATTCCAGTTCCTTCGTTGTTTTAATTTTTCCCTAGTTGGTCGTGGGGCTGAGGCTGAGAAGAAAGAACTTACAGAGGAGCACTTGGATTCTGACATTGTGCAGATTTACCTACCTTGCTATTTACCGAACTCTGCAATGGATCGATTCTAAACTTGGGACTTCCAAGAAAGAGGGCTGACAGTGTGAAAAAAAAAATAAAAAAAATAAAAAAAGTCGGTCGGTAAGTCAGCCAGTTCGTTAATTTCAATCCCTGGCCCCCCCGGCTTGCCCAGCAAAGAATTGGTCATGATCCACGGCCATCATTTTGGGAGCCTCGAAATTTGTGTTTTCTGATCCTCAAAACCAGGCTCAGCCCTAACTTGCCCAGACTGTCGAAACGGGGCCCGCTCACTTTACAATCCTGCGAACATACATACATACATACATACTTACATACTATGTATGTACAGACAGACATAAAAGTACAGACTTACAGACTTACATGCTATGTATTATGCCTGTCCCGGTGGGCTGGAGTCTTGGCTGTCAGCCGCACATACATACAAATCCCATCGATTCTTGGCCCTCCAACAGGTATCAATGGAGAGAGCTAGCACTAGCTGTCGTGCTTATCCCTCTTGTGTAAGCTCTGCTCCCGTATCAGGTCTTGGTTTGGCTTGGGAAGTAGCCTGATTATTATTATTATTCTTCATCTTCTTGATCATCATTATTATCATGGCACTGGTTATGAGGATGATGATGATGATGATGATGATATGATATGATATATGTTGTTTTTCTTCTTACTTTTGAGACCCCGCGCAACTCGAGATCACGATCGATACGATCACTTCAATTGCAAACCTAGATAAGTACTTAGGTATTCTAGGCTAGCTATAGGTATGAGATACACACATACATACGTGTTTTACGATAGCTACCTAGGTACTTAGGTACATGTAAGAGTAATAGCTCCGAATAAGGTCTTTGTCTTTCTTCTTTCCTTTTTCTCCTTCTTCCTTTTTTTAAAATCTTCTCGCCTCCAAAATGTGAGCGCTGCATTCCAAATCATGGACCTCGCCAAGTGTGCAGGCGACTTCAGCACTTACTGCTTCTTATGCTAATTATTTGGAAGAATCCCGTAAGGATGTACATAGTAAGTACTATGTTCGGTACTATGTACGGTACTTCCTGACATAGTAAAATAACGTTGGGCACTTAGTTCAGTGACTGCACAGCCTTCCATGCACCAGTACTGTGTACACCACCGACAAATGCGACCAATCCAAACACATCGCCCAGAGCCCCACTATTTGGCATCACTCTTCTTCTGATCTAAAAATATGCTTCCATGTTATACTTTCCTTCCTATGTAAATCCATATTGCAGTACGGAGCACCGTGTTGATGTATAATCACAGGTGTTTGTTTTTCCGTTTTTCTGAATGCGGGAGACCCTCGGTTGGGAGACTAAGAACTTCACCGTCCGTTGAAGCTAGCTTCCACCCGGAACTTCAAACCTCGAGCTCAGCCTGACAGACACACACATACATACATACATACATACATACATACTGTTCCTGGTGCATATCAATTTAAATCTACTTCAAAATGTCGCTCCCCACAATCCTCGTTGTCGGCTCGCTCAACACAGATCTGGGTATGCATCCACCCGTCCGTTGTACCTGTCGCTGCTAAAAAAAACGTTTAAAATTTTGTCCCGCGAGGAGCTCACATTTATTTACCAACATCGAATATCCCCATGCAGTGACAAACACCTCCCGCGTACCAGATGCCGGCGAGACCATTCAGGCAAATTCTTTTGCAACCTTCAATGGAGGGAAAGGTGCCAACCAGGCTGTCGCTTGTGCTCGTCTCTCGCGCCTTAAAACCCCACAGGGTATCATTACCGCCCCTTCCGCCTATGTTCGAATGGTTGGCTGTGTCGGGAACGATGATTTTGGCGCCTCATTGAAGAGTAGTCTTGAATCTGATGGCATTGATGTTGGTGGGGTTCAGGTTTTGGATAATGTGGCCACAGGTGTCGCTGTCATTTTGGTAAAAACAAACGAGACTCTCCGCCAGCAACAACTGGCTATGAACACCCATTCCTTCTATATGATAGGATTTTTATTTTTTATTTTTACTAATCGTAATGAATCTTTATGTGATTTTATTTATCTATTTTTTTTTTATAGGTTGAATCATCTGGCGAAAACAGAATTCTAATTACGGCCGGCGCAAACGGACTATGCAAGCCGTCACCTTCTTATTTTTCGCCAGCCCCGGCGCTCCTTGTCCTACAGTTGGAAGTTCCACTGGACACTGTCCTAGATTTACTCAAACTGGCGTCCGAGGCTTCTCCACCCGTGCCAACTTTGCTCAACCCGGCACCAGCAGTTGAGCTTCCAGATGATGCATACAAAAGTATCTCTCATTTGGTAGTAAATGAGACAGAGGCTGCAATCCTCGGGGGCGAACCTGTACGGATCGGATCGGACACACAGATGGTCGAAGATTGCCAACGAGCATCCCAAAAGTTCGTGTCAAACGGTGTTAAAAGTTCGATCATCATTACACTTGGAGCTAAGGGCGCATTCTGGTATGACGCACGGTCGGGTGAGAACGCCCTGGTACCGAGTGAAAAGGTGAAGGTTGTAGATACAACTGCGGCAGGGGATACTTTCATCGGAGGTTCGTGCTCTCTGTTCACCAAGCTCTGATTTAAAAGCCAACTACTTAGTATGGGAACTAATATTCGATTTATCTAAGTTTAGCCTTTGCAGTTAAGATTGTCAACGGGTACGACGTTGCCGAGGCTGTAGCCTATGCCATCAGGGCGAGTGCAAAGACGGTCACAAAACAGGGTGCACAGTCTTCTATTCCGTGGAGGGATGAGTTCTCCTAAGATATTTATCTTCAGATACCAACGGACAGAGGGCATGGGTATATCGCGAACCCCACAGGGATATATCATGGTTCTGGACAACACCAATGCGCCTATCCGCCGCTATATGTAGCTTTCTAGAGTTTTTTTTTTGTGTAACCTGGTATGCAGGGACACTAGACTGGCGCAATACGTAGTCGAGACTTTCCATGGCTAACAGGTACTAACTACTCGCTACTCTGTAGTCGAGTGCTGGAGTGGTTAGTTTCACACTTATTTGTGGCATTTTGGAATTGCTCGTGTTGTGCTCGAATTGCCTAGGAATCTCATTCAGTCGTACTTACTACCTAAGTAATTAGCCCGACGGATAAAACATTTGGTATCACTTATCACGAGAAGTATACAGCATCTAGCTTGATACCTTGTATACCCTTCTGGTACCTCCCCTTGGGTGCCTAATGAGTAGTGCTAGTATCGTCTTGTTGGATGCCGAAACCCGAAACATCGTCCCGGCCAAAGAAAGGAGGTTTGAGCCAAGCGGGCCGTCGTTCTCTCGGCGGCGTCAAGGCATAATCATGACGTGCACCATCTCATGAATTCATATGAGCGAAGTCTTGGAATCGGCGTACCGGCGTAAAACTTTGGAGGCTTAGAGACTTAAGGGCAACCCCTCCGTATAGCCCGTACGGTCGAAAGCGGTGCCTTTTTGCAAAAACAGTTGCAAAGTTTGTGGACCTGCGGCTAAAACTGAGATCCCGGCAGCACAAAACCACCAATAACGGTCCGTCGATGTAGCATGGGTTCGCGGACAAGACCGCCTAGAATTTCGATCCTCTCATAATCTCATGTTGTTTGTGAATCTGCACACATGCTGAAGCCACTTTGAGCGTGAAAATACGATCTCAATGCTCTTCATGTGAAAAAGAAATTAATTTAAAACATCACCCGTTAATTAAGTATCGTTAGTATACATACACATGCGCTACATTTTCCACTGTTGATTGATTCTGCTCTCACAGGCCTTATACAAGGCCTAGCTCGTCTCTCGATTTCATGACTCGTGGATGCCCCCATTCTCTTTCTCCTCCTCCTCTTCCTCCTCAACCCTCTCCTCCTTATCTATAGCCTTAAAGTAAGCATCGGCGGAATGTTAACTTCACTGGTCGGCCGATCTTATTGCCCTATTTGAAGTGTGACCATCTTTGGGCTCACGGACGTCGAGACGACATCACTGGTCCCTCCGGCAGAGCTTTCAAGCTTTCGTCGCCTTATATTGTCTACTCTTTACCTATTCATCCACCACCACCACCACGATGGCTTCACTATACCGCCAAACATATATTCTGACAAAGAAAAATCTTCGTATTGTCGCGTTACGGCATAGCACCTCTACCATCTTCAGAGCCTTCTTTCTCCCAGTCGGTATGTAATTGGACCGAACCACATTCTATCATATCAGAGCCGGCGCAATGGCGCAGAAACCCTGCTCTTCTTGGCCTTGGATGATGAAATGGGGTTAGCATATTGACCACGAAGTGCAACACAAATCAACGCAATCTCGGTCTGGATGTGTGCACATTTCATGTGTGGCCATGCATGCGTGGGGCATTCACGTTACTTCGACGTTCTTAACTAACTGCTGATTCATAACAATATAGCATTCGCATGGTTTTTGGCCTATGCAAAAAATCTGTTTATCCCGGTTTCAAAATTCGGGTTCGGGGACCCCGCTCCTATAAGAGGTTTGGCCGACACAGTGGATAAGAAACTACTTTTCGTGGACAACAACCTAGGACCAATAGTGACCGACGTTATCGATCGAATTGTACAGCCTGTACGTGATGCAGGGCGGGCAGAAGTTGTAGTTCTTCGAAGTAATGACGAGCTCTTTCAAGCTTGCCGGCCTAATTTAGCTGGTCAATCTAATTGCTTTGGAGCTGTCGTATTCAACGAGTTTCCGAGCGACGGTCAGGGCAAATGGAACTACACGATCCGGGCAGATGCGGCCTTGCTATTTGGAGCAGTTAGAAGTGATAATCATGATAACCCCGCCCAAAGGGTGATTATGCCGTTACAACTAGGTACCCCTCCCCATATTATGGTACCGAATTCAGCTCGCTAACCTTGTTCTCACAAAGCTGTCGATAATGCTATAAATAATTCTACTGTGATACCTAATGAATTTCTTTATACGTCACTAAGCGAGGAGGAGCGGAAGGATCGTATTAGAACTCGCTATATGGGTGCACTGATAAATGTTTTGGCTGTCGCATTTTCAATCTCAATGGTGGGAGTTAGCTATCACTTGACAGGAATGTTGGCGACGGAGCGCCAAATCGGTATGAGCCAACTTATCAACAGTATGGGTGGGCGACAATGGGCACGACTTCTGAGTCACCATTTTGCCTTCTCCCTTGTCTATCTTCCCGGATGGATTATGATATCACTTGCATTTGCATTTGCAGTCTTCCAGAAAACCAATGCCGGCATTGTTGTCATTTTCCATATCCTTACAGGATTAGCTTTCAGTAGCCTGTCCCTTCTGGGCGGTTCGTTTTTCAAAAAAGCACAACTTTCTGGTATCACAATCGTCATTGGGTCACTCCTTCTAGCTATCGTGGCCCAAGTCGTCTCGAAGCTATCGACCGGCGCCACAGCCATCCTTGTAAGTATACCTGCATTTCGATCAGAACCATGGAAACTTGTAAGCTGACTGAGAATATAGGGAGTTTTATTTACACCCATGTCATACGTTTACTTTATGATACTTGTGGCTCGTTTTGAAAGAGAAAACATTGGGACGAATTTGCTCGAACGGGCTCCCACGTCGAAGCATACACTGCCTGGAATTGTTTTCTTCGTCTTCTTAATACTCCAGATAATCATTTACCCTATACTAGCTGCTTTTGTTGAGAGTTGGCTATATGGTACTGCTTCGCCTAATAGGACAATTGGAACGACATCCGAGGAGAATGCCATTGAGATTGAAAAGTTTACTCGCAAATATCCACCTAGCTGGTGGAGTCGCCGCTCCAAAGAAACTGTTGTCGCGGTCAATGATCTCTCTGTCAATGTTAGGAAAGGTTGCATTGTATCGCTTCTGGGGGCGAACGGGAGTGGCAAGTCTACTACAAACAATGCGATCAGCGGGCTCGATACGATAAGTTCAGGAGAAATTCGTATATCTGGTGTCAAAACAGACCTCGGAGTCTGTCCTCAAAATGTGTGACTCCCTGAGTTACAAAACCTGCACACGAAATTAGACACTATTTTTACTAACATGCTTCTACTTAGAACGTTCTATGGGATGATTTAAGTGTTCTTGAGCACCTTCGTGTGTGGCAATACTTAAAAGTCGGATACCTAAACACCGAAGAAATCGATGGAATCGTGAAAAGCTGTGATTTACTCCAAAAGAAAGACGCTCTTGCGAAAACACTCAGTGGCGGACAGGTAAAGCTAAGTCATACTTCGTCTTTTGTTGAGTTGAATGACTAACATTGTCTCTTAGAAACGTAAACTACAACTCGCAATAATGTTCATCGGTGGTAGCAAAATAGGGATCGTTGACGAAGCGAGCAGCGGTCTTGACCCCTTATCAAGAAGAAAACTTTGGGATATCATTCTGTCAGAAAGAAACAAACGAACAATTCTACTCACGACTCATTACCTTGAAGAAGCTGATTTCCTCTCCGACTATATCGTCATCCTTAGCAAGGGTCAACTGAAATGCACGGGAAGCTCCGCAGAGTTGAAAGCAATATACGGTGGAGGCTATCGAGTTCACTGCTTCGACGATAGTGCGCCCCCAATGATCGAGGGCATCCCGGGGAAACAATTATATGACCAGACAATATACCGTGCTGACGACACAATTGGAGCGGGTACTGTTATCAAGGCGCTCAACGACCTGGGAATGAAGGATTTCCACATCAATGGACCAACTATCGAAGGTACATATTCACGCGTTACTAATAAACTCGAATAAGCCGCTGACAAATGTTTTTATTGAAGATGTATTCCTCAAAGTGGCACTCGAAACCGCAGCAGCCAGGGTATCAGTTGCTGGCACCCAAGAGAAACAATCAAAGGTCGAGCTGTCCACTGGTAAACGGGTCGGTATGATCCCACAGGCGTTGATTATGTTTCAAAAACGTTTGATCATATTACGGCACTCCCTATTTCCCATGATCACGGCGGTTCTAATTCCGATCCTCGCTGCCGGGATTACACTGCGATTTTTAAAGGGCTTTGAGGTTGCTTCCTGTGACCCATCGGCAGCGATGAGCAATTTCGAAAACGTCAATATATCTAGTTTGGACATCGACGTGGACATAGTCTTTGGCCCCCCGGAATCTGTAGGGCTTCCGGCTGCTTTTAAGCTTCAAGAAGTCTTCGGTGGGTTTTCCGAGAGCCCAATGGCCGGTTCCGATGGATTCGATGTCCTAAGCCTTCTAAATAATACTCACGTGGTCAACTCGTACGATTCCTTCATCAGTCAAATTAGGGACAGGTACAAAGAAGTTTTACCTGGTGGTTTCTGGCTCCAAGATGGGGCGCCAACTCTTGGGTTCGTCGGCAACGACGGGGGGCTCTATAATGCCCTACTTGCGCTAAACATCCTCGACAACCTGCGTGACAACGCTACCATCATTACAACGTATACTAATTTTGATGTTTCCTTCGCACCCGGTACAGGGGACAGCCTTCAATTCATTACCTACTTTGCTCTTGGAATGTCTGTCTTCCCAGCTTTTTTTGTGCTCTATCCGACGCTTGAGAGACTGCGGAATGTCAGAGCTCTCCATTATTCCAATGGTGTTCGTGCCGGGAGCCTGTGGATTGCCTATACACTCTTTGATTTTATGTTCGTCCTGGTTATCTCGGTCGTTGTTACAGTAATCCTTGTGGCTAGTACAAGCGTATGGTGGAATATTGGTCACTTATTCGCGATATTACTTCTTTACGGCTTGGCTGCGGTCCTCTTCGCCTACGTTGTTTCCCTACTCGCCAAATCGCAGCTTGCAGCTTTCGCCATGGTCTCGGGTTACAATGCTGTTCTATTCCTTTTATACATGATTGGATACATGTCAGTCTTGACATACTCTCCAATTGCGGACCAGAACAGAAACATCATTATCGTCCACTTCGCCCTTTCAATCATATCTCCAGTACCAAGTTTCGTTCGAGGGCTCTTCGCTTCGCTCAACCTCTTCCAAATCGATTGCCGTGATGACGCATTCGTGCCTCCTCAAGATATTATTGCTTATGGTGGCCCCATCCTTTATCTCGTTATCCAGATCATCATCTATTTTTCGATCATGGTATGGTGGGAGAGTGGGGCATATCGGCTCGATACGAGACGAATCCTCAGTAAGACAAAAGATGCAGAACGGGATGCCACTGAAACAGATAAAGAAGTGTTTGAGGAATTAAAGCGTGTCGATAGCTCTACATCTGACGGTTTACGGGTTCTCCATGTCTCAAAATCATTCGGGAACGTCCAAGCAGTAGAGGATGTCTCTTTTGGTGTTAAGCCCGGTGAGATATTTGCACTTTTGGGGCCAAACGGCGCTGGAAAATCGACAACGTAAGTAATCTCTACACCTAGAAATATTGTTGACTGGAGAACAACATCGAGCATATTTTGACTTTTGAAATCGGATACTTAGTATTTCGATGATACGTGGGGTCCTTCGACCAGATTCAGGCGATATTTTTGTCCAAGGGCTCAAAATGCATAGTAAAGATAAACCCGAGGCGAGATCTCATCTAGGTAAGGAAAACTCTGTGCTGTATACACTAATATAGGGAACACGTTTTTGATAACATATTCATAGGTGTCTGTCCACAATTTGATGCATGCGACCAAATGACGACTCGAGAGCACCTGCGGTTCTATGCCAAAATACGTGGTGTCGTCGTAAGTATTAGTATACATATAAAGGCACGCATATATTTGTATTACGTGGAAGCTAATTTTTAAACCTGGAAGGATATCGATCATAATGTCCAGGTTGTCCTCGACGCCGCCGGACTAACAGAGTTCTCGGAGCGTATGGCCTGGAAACTTAGCGGTGGAAACCGGCGAAAGCTATCTCTGGCGATTGCATTGATGGGTATATACCTATTTGTAATACCCTTTATGATGTGCCCCATGCTAATAGTGAATGCTCTGTAGGAAATCCTAGCGTTATGCTTCTAGACGAACCTTCGTCATCTATGGACTCTGCTTCTCAACGTCTTCTCTGGAATATTCTGAGATCAATCGCTCCAGGCCGCTCCCTACTCCTAACCAGCCATAGCATGTTGGAGGTCGATGCTCTCGCAAACCGCGCAGGTATAGTGTCTAGAAAGATGCTTGCGGTTGGTACAACGGACTATCTTCGAGAGAAACATGGTAACCACTATCATATCCACATTGTGCTAAAATCATCTCCGAATACACCCGACGAGGAGATGGAGTCTGTGAAGTCCTGGATTTTGAACAATTTCCAAGGCGCAGAGGTGGAGGATAAATCATTCCATGGACAGACCAAATTCAAAGTACCGTCTACCATGAAATTCGGGGACCGAGAAGCCACGGCCGATGATGGGATTAGCAAAACGGACAGTCAGGAGGACAATAATAAGGCCAAACAAGGGAACAACACCATTAATACATTATTCCAGTTACTTGGTAGGTCGACAATCCTTCATACATAAACTCCATATATCAGAATAACTAACAGCGCAAATAGAGGAAAACAAAGAAAACCTCGGCATCGACTTTTATTCCATTAGCCGAACATCGATGGATGAAGTGTTCTTGAATATTGTTGGTGACGCTAACGTTATCGAGGAGGGGTATCAACTGGAACAGGAAGAGTCGAGGAAGAAGCCTGTTGTTAGATGGAGGGGACGGAAGAGTAAGAAAGCCGATGGTGTATAGCATTTTTTCCCCCCAACTTGAGTAATTTAGGATACTCGTATATCTATATATATCCATGAATTTCCTATCAATGTTCTTGCATATATATACAGCATTGGAGTTAGTTAGCCATGCAATGTACATAAATACACAAAGCTTGGGAGCACATTCAATACTCCCTCTTAATTTGATCCTGGAGGTTTCTATTTTAGTTTTACACCAACGAACCGCCGCGCTCTATAAATCTAGCCCACTGGAACCTTATCCCAACTAGAAAACGTGAAACCATAGATATTACAAAGCCTCGAAAGCTAGGTCACCACGACCAAGTTTCAGACTTATCTCTAAATGTGCCTAATATGAGTTTGTATGGACTTGAGAACTGCTTTGATTAACCTAGTAAATATGGGTGAGGTACCCATCCAGGGTGCACTAGGGTTGGATAGGTTGGCCCATGCTGGGACAGGTGATGTGTTTCTAAACTTTTCGGGTAGCCGAGGTGCCAATGGGCTCGCATATATGAAGATTCACATGGTATCGCAAAAGAAACAAAGTCGCATTTGTGTACAAAAAAATTTAATGGAAGAGGGGGGGACGAAGAAAGGGAAAGAAAAAAGGAAACAAGGAAACAAGGAAACAAGCCAGTTTGAGGGATTATATCTTTTGATACCACCACCATTTCTCTCCAAAAAAAACCCTTACCATTCACACCGAATTCACCCTTGTTCTTCAATTATCCAATGTTGACGTTCATTTGTCCTTTTTTGGGGTCGATTCTGCTTTGACTTGATCACTTAATTCGTCATATGCCCTTCCAAGTCCCTTGGATTGCTCCTTCAATGCATGGAGCTCAATGTCCTTCTTCCTCAATTCTTCCTTCAATCCTTCGTAATCCTGGATACTCTTGTTTCCGCTCGATCTCCCTAGTTTAACCTCCTCTTCGAGACGAAGAATATCGAGAATGAGAACGTAGGTGCGGTTGAGGATCAGGGAGAGAAATAGGGTGAAGCCGCAGAGGTACATGTTTCTCTGGGAGTAAAATTTTCGAGCTTGGACTTCGGTACGTTCAGGGCCGAGAATAGCAGCAGAACCCCCACGAGAATTGTTTCCCGAGGTGGCGTCGATAAGCTCCCGTTGGACACGGTAAACACGGTTAACCTGTTACAAAGAAGGTGAATAAGAATTTTTCCCCCTGGAGGCTATGTTTAGGATGAAATATAAACTTACACTGTCGATGAATAGTATGAGGATGAAAATGAAGGTTATTTTGAGACCATACTGGAGCTTCGCGATCAAAGGGTTTGTGCTGATGAAAGTGAACATTTGCCTTCTCCAGGTGAGAGGGAGCGGACAAATGAGGACCATGAAGATTCCCATCTCAAACATGAGGAGGGCGAAGACCTAAAGTTGAAAGAGAAGTTTTGTCAGTACTGGGTCCCACTTGATTCTAAAACCCAGTGTTCGCGTGCTCGATTTCAGCAACTTACAAGAGAGTAGTAGAGCGTCATCTTGGAGGGTGTCTTTCGGGACGCCGATGCTAGTATCTAAGGTGAAAGATTTCCCTTATGATGGAAGGTTGTGGTCTACGAGGATAATTTAGATAGGCTACAGGCGGGGTGTAGATGAAAGAAGGATTGAGATGGAGAAGAGGAGGGTCAAGTGCAAGTTCGGAGTTGGGTTGTTGACACCTGTGACACTTTTTCTGGTGCCTGGCCTGGTCTGGCTGTTTTGGCGGGGTGACGTAACCGCACACCAAAAACGGGCGCAGAGGCCTGCCAACCATGAATCACTTGCGAACGTACTGGCCGCCGAAAACACCACAAGCATTCCACCGCACTGGCATCGATAACCATCATGATATGACTACGTGCGATGGTTTCATTTAATTGACCGCGGACGGAGGGTATACTATATGCATTATACCTACTACTTATGTATAAGTGTCTACTAGCTACGTAATTCTAAATAAGTACATACACGTACACGTACATTCCTGGTATAGGAAATATTTTACAGATGGCTTTCAAGTCGGCCAAGATGCTCATCCACAACAGTCCATTCAGGCCATATCGCCCGGATTGCTTCCCAGATGTTTCTGAAACGGAAAGAAACTGGTGTTAGCATATGCTATGTAATTTTTCTTCGGGGTAGCAGGGGATTCACTGTGCTCACCTAATATAAACAATTTCAACCCCCTTCTTGACCTCATCCGGCAGCTCCTGTCCGTCCTTTCTGTTCTGCTCTGGCAAAAGCACCGTCTTCACTCCGGCTCGCATAGCCCCAATAGTCTTCTCGCGAATGCCACCAACTGCTGTAACTTTTCCCCGAAGAGACATTTCCCCAGTCATGGCTATCTGTGGCGAGACCTTTTGTCCCGAGAACAAAGATATAAGACAGATTGTGATCGCACAACCAGCCGAAGGCCCATCTTTAGGCACGCCGCCACTGGGGCAATGGAGATGAACACTCCTATTCTTTAAGATATCTTCTGTCGGGTCACTAGTAAGGCCGAGAAGTGTGGCGTTCGACTTCACCCAAGTAAGGGCAACCTCAGCGCTTTCTAGAAAAAAGTTACTGGTGTTAGTAGGTATCCATTAACATCATAAGATGCACGGTTACAAAGATGCCCACCTTTTAGAACCTTGCCCAGGTGACCTGTAAGATGTAGTCTTCCATTGCCCGGATAATCCGAGCATTCAATGAACAGGACAGAGCCTCCAACCCCGGAGCTGTACGCGACAAGCCCAGTTACAACGCCTGGTCGTAAATCTCGTTCCACAATCTCTTCTTCATACTTCTCAATCCCAAGAATATTCTCAACATCTTTTAATGTTACAATCGGTCTGTATTTCTCTAGATTGCTTTCGTCCCTAGCTTCTGCAAACTCTACAGCCTTTGCTCGACAGACGCTACCGATTTCGCGCTCTAGATTCCTTACACCGGCCTCTCGAGTATATGATTGTATCACTTTTAGAAGTACCTCGTCCGATAATTGGAGCTGCTCCGTCTGCAGGCCGTTGGCTTGGAGCTGTTTTGGGATAAGGTATCGGGAGGCGATGGCCTTCTTCTCTAGTGTCGTATAACCGCTAAGGTAGATCATTTCCATGCGGTCAAGAAGAGGCGCAGGTATCGTTTCCAACGAATTAGCCGTAGCAATAAACATCACCTTTGAAAGATCAAGGGGGATGCCCATATAGTGATCGGTGAAGGACCAGTTTTGTTCTGGATCGAGCACCTCAAGCATAGCCGCTGAAGGGTCGCCGTGAAAACTACTTCCTCCGAGTTTGTCGATCTCGTCTAATGATGCAAGTTAGATAGGTGATAAAAATACAGCACGGGACAGGCGGGCTTACCTAGAAGGATTACTGGGTTGACCACCCCAACTTTCTTCAATGCGCCAACAATGACACCTGGCAAAGCTGCCACATATGTCCTTCTATGACCTCTAATCTCCGCCTCGTCCCGAACACCGCCTAGGGATATTCTGTGGAACTTTCTCCCTAACGCAGTGGCGATGCTTTTTGCTAGAGAGGTTTTACCGACACCGGGAGGCCCGACAAGGAGCAAAATTGGGGACTTGTCTTGAAATTTCCTGGGCGCAGGGGTGATTTCCTTATTGTCTGTCGCTTGCACGGCAGCCGCTTGAGAACTTTCATCTTCAAGTTGTTTCTTCAGTCTTAACACAGCTAAATACTCGAGAAGTCTCTTTTTGACCTTATCCAAGCCATGATGATCGTCGTTTAGCTGCTTCCGAGCCCGCGATAGCATCGAAGAGTCAAGTTTGTCATCTGTGGTCTTGACCCAGGGCACTTCTACTATGTTTTCTATATAATTCCGGCAAACTTGGTACTCAGCCTGAGCAGGCATCATTCTCTTCAGGCGCTTCAATTCTCGCTGAGCAACAGTAGCAGCTATTGAAAAATGGAAAACACAAATTTGTTAGACGTTTCAAAAATCAATAAATACCTGTAGGAGGAACGGGCATACCTTCGGGACTCAGATGGCTCTCTTGAACTCTTTTTACTAATTGGCCATGTTCGTCCTCTGGATCGTCATCATCGCGAGATTGCTGGAACCGCCCGAAGCGCGGGGAGACCCTCATCAAACTAGTGTCAGGGCGTTTGATGATAACCTTCGATGAGTTTTTGAGCTGCTGTCGAACGGTCTGGAAGTCTCAGGTTAGAAATGGGCTGGAGTCGAGGACGTAACCGTTTTGAAGGCTTACATTAACATTTCGAGTGAGAACCTCAACTGCTTTCTCGAGTTTTTCGTTGACAGTTGGGGCTGTTAGCATTGCCAGCTGGTCTGCATAGCTAGCATCTACGACGCTGACCATGAAATAAGCAAGACCGGCAGCCTCAGAGGGGTCTTTGCCCGATACGAACTGGTCCGCCCGACGAGCTAGCAACGGCGGGAGCCCGGTACCGGTGCGCAGAGTCAATGCTGACATGCGAAGCAAAATGACAAGCTCCTTTGTAAGGGCCTTTATTTCCAGGAAGTTTTTTTGGCCTACAGCATCGACAGGTCCTATTTTTGGTCGGATTGGGGTTAGTATCATCAATGGGGAGGTAGATGCGATCCTTGATCATGATCATGAAGGTACAGAAGACGTACTATCCTCGATTTCTGAATAGTCCACATGGGCCTCAATATACGGGGTCTCTTGCATAACACGTCCAAGTTTGAACACCGAGATACCTTCTACGAGAACGGTTATACCCCCAGCGGTTCTTTCCTCGAGGCCAATGACCTTAGCAGATACACCATGAGTGAACAGGTCTTTCGGGCCTGGTATTTTCGGGTCGGAGGTAACGACGGCCTTTATGATCCTCTCTGTCATATCTTCTACACCAAAGGCCTCTCTATCCTGGGGCGATTCGGAGGCACCTTCAACGTGCCGTTGGTCGGCTTTATCCCGAATGAAGTGGACCTGGGAGGGAGCCTTCAGGGGTAGACATCCAACCAATTTATGGGCATTTGATAAGAATTCCTCAGCAGACTGGCCAAACACTTTCTGTAGCAAAGCAACAACATCAGGCCGGTCGGTGATTTGGATACGTTTGGTTACACCGGGAAGCAGGACATGGCCGGAAGGCAGAGGTATTATTGGTAGGACAGTAGCCGGTACGGAATCGGGAGCCGACATTGTAGACGGCTTGCGACCGAAGCCGCCGAGTAGTTTAAATAGAGTATCTATTGTGGATAAAGAACGTGGAGCGAGAACAAGCCTGGGGAGGCTGGCTTTGGCTGGAGTGTCTGCGGGTACGGTATAGCGGACTGGTGAGGATGGTTGAATGGTCGTACGAGCAAGGCTGCAGCTCTATATTTACTTGAAAGGTATATATAGTAAGTAAGGAAGTGCTTAGGTATATAATACAATAATATAGTATAATATAGTCATGAAAATTATCTACGAAAAGAGATCGTGATGTATGTTTTGCGAAGGAGTACTGTGGAAGAGGTGAAGGTGAAGGTGAAGTTGAAGGTGAAGATGAAGATGGTCTGCCGCGGTTGGAACAGGAGGAAGGAGTTGGACTGGCGAACGTGATTTGCCGCGGGAAGAACCGCACCCGATTGGACCCACTCGGAACCATCTTGCAATTGGAATGTATCTTCTAATCAATCTTTAGCTACTTAAGTACACAGTATTACTTAAAAGTTATTTACTAAATTAAATTAAATTATATTAAATTAAGTATACCTCTTAGTTATTACTACTTAATATATAATAGGCTCAGCTGTCTGTGTGCTGGCTGGTGGCTGTCATGAGCTGGGAGTCTGGCCAGGTCTGGCCTCTCTCTCTCGTTAATCCAGAACCCATGCATGGCCAGCCGTGCCCGCGAAAAGGAGTGGAGCATTTGGTCAATTTGAATTCGAACCCATCAACATTGCATCTACTTCTAAAGTAAGTACATGTACGTACTTACTTGCATACTTACATACTTACTCGGATAAGTCTATTGTTCTTATCCTTATTCTCGTCCATCTCGTAAACATCTCCGGACCTTCGTTTTGGATTAAGGATAGGTTGCTACTTAAGTACCCAGGTACCTCCTACATGCACCTTGACTTCCTAACCCCCTTGACGCCCATTGGGAGGCATCATCTCTCTATCGATATCTCCATCTCTTCTGTCTCCTTATAACCATCATCCTTCCCCTTTCTCAACATGCCTGTAAAGGCCTCCAGCACCATTGCCGCAGCTTCGGCATCTGTCTCAGACACGCCATTGGCCCCTGCCCATTTCCAAAAACTGCGGCAACGATGGAAGGCGACCGTCACTGGAAAACATATGCGCGTCAACAGTGATGATGTCTACTACGCCCTCTCCAAACTTTCTGGTACTGCAGAACAGTACATAGCCAACATGCAGCCCTCCAGGGTCCACATATGGGAAGATCTTTCACCAATTCACTCATCAGTCAACTTTCGGAAATCCTACGAGAGATTACGGACAATCGGTGCGTGGTTAACTCCCACATCCCTTTGGCGGCGTGGCGGGGACACGTTCGCTGATCTTGATATATATATGTACCTGTGTAACAGCTCAATCTTATTCCATACCGGGTAGCATCCACTACCACGACCTTAACGTCCAGGAGACCGTAATTCAAAGTCTTGATTTCATCGGCTCCGAAATATATAACGCCAGTGTCGTCCAAGCCAAAGGTGAAAATTGGTGGAATTTTAGGTATGATTTACCTACCTACCTGCCCCAAGTTACCTTCTGGAATGCTCAATGTTAATGCGATTGCTTGTACTAGAATCGGGGCACCATTAGCTTTAGTAGATATCGCTATATTGCTCTACGATGATCTAACACCGAGACGACGTCATGATATCGGCGCTACCATCATTAAAGTATTATACCTATCCGCATTCCACAATAAGCCAAACCTCAAACCCTAGCTCACATTTTTTCCCCTTGCCAGAACATCGGCAGCATCGGACAGCGTTCGCTCAAAGGCGCCAACAGAGCCGACATCTGCTTAGCATTAATCGGGGCCGGCGTTATAACCGACGAAGAAGCTGAGGTATCACGAGGGAGGTGGTGTCTATCTGACAAGGAGTATGACGGAGAGAACTCGGTCTTCGAACTCGTCCAGAGTGGTGAAGGGCTTTACGAAGGTGGAAGCTACCTTTCCCATGAAATATTTCCTTACAGCGGAGGTTACGGCGTACAACATTACTATTCGCTATCGAAGGCCGTGAATGTCCTCAGCAAGTCTCCTTATCACATCAACAGCACCGAGCTAGGGGTAACATTCACCGCCATCAACTCGACATTTTCTCCGGTGATGTGGCGCGGAATGATGATGGGCCACATCCGAGGGAGAGATATTGCCAGAAAATCCGAGCCAGATGCCTTTTGGGGCAATTTATTTCTTCAGTCCCTTCTTTACTTCGCAGATACTGAGCTAGTCCCTCTAAAACACAGGAGATTCTTTAAATCAGTGGCGAGAAGCATATGGGAGGCTGCCCCACTCCCTGATCTGTATGGTCTTAACATTACCCAGGCTTTCGGGATGCAAAAGGTCCTCGAGGAAAGGATCCCGCCAGCGGCTCCTCCCATCGGGACATTTGCTACCCCTATGTCTGATCGTATAATGCATCACAGACCTGAATGGGCCGCCGCACTGGCGATGTCATCTTCTAGGATCGGTAGGTACGAGGCTCTCAACCATGAAAACTTGAGACCTTGGTACCAGGGAGATGGGTTCCTATACGTCTATACTGATAGAGACCCGCTGCATTTCTCTAACGACTATTGGCCGACAATGGACCCCTACCATACTCCTGGAGTAACAAACGGGCAGAACCCTCAGAATCCTCCTGCCTATAAATTCACTGCTCACAGGGACTGGGCCGGCGGATTGGACTGGAGAGGAACTCATGGATTGGCCGGATTAGATGCCTTATCGACCGATAAAGGATCGTCGGCTAAGAAGTCTTGGTTCTTCCTCCTGAACAGCATCATCGCTTTAGGTGCAGGATGTGCCGGCTTATCTGGAACTGAAGTTCATACCACTTATGAATCGAGGAACCTTCCTTTGTCTGGATCGAACTTCAGCATCAACGGAGAATACCAGATAATGAACCCAGGGTGGATTAAACCCTGGGAAGAAACTCACGCACAAATCGATTGGGCCTACCTAGATAGTTTTGGCGGTTATGTTTTTCTAGATAAGGAGCCCATTTCTTTCAGACGCGAGCAACGCAAAGGGAAATGGACCGATATAAACCAATATCCAGATTATCTTGGCTTTAGCGACCCTATCATGAGAGAATATCTGACCATCTACAGAAACCATGGCATTGACCCCAAAGATGGGCGTTACGCTTACGCCTTGCTCCCGAGTGCAAGTTCTGAAGAGACTCGCGAATTCGCAACAATGCCACCCGTCAACATTACTCATAATACTCCAAGGCTTCAGGCCATCCAGTTTAACAATACCGTCATGGCAAATTTCTGGTCAGGTGGAACAATCGGTTATCTGACAGCTGTTACGCCATGCTCAATCACGTGGGGTTACAGTGGTGTTGAAGACAAATACCTTACCATCTCAGTTTCCGACCCTACGCAAAAAGCCACAAGGATTGTACTATTCCTCAATGACCCTGATATCGGCGGGGTAGCAGAAAGAGATGATTCGATTCAGTTGCGCTGGGGAAGGGCTGGACAAACAGGCTCTGTTACAATAACTATCAACGTCGAAGGAACACACGGGAAGACTCATAGAGTAAGTTTCGAGAGAATCAGCTGGCGAGGAACACTGGAGAGTTTACCATGGAGGCCACCTGTGAAAGAAACGACAACATCAACTACGACCACGGCCTCACGCCGCGTCCGACCGGTCGCCACCAAAAAACCACTTGTTAATAATGCTACCGTTACGTCCGCGAAAATTGGCCACAAGCCGGTCACAGCTAAACAGAAGACCGGTACTGTTAGCCATTCCAGTGTCGGAACAGTCAAGACAGTCAAACCAGTCAAGCCCAACCTTAAAACAGCAGAACCCAGCCCCAGGACGTCCGGGTACAGCACCGGGACTCTCAGATCTGAGGCCGTTACCACATCTTCAATTCCGAAAAGCATACCATCCACTATCTCACTAAGCAGCACCGCAAGCGTTGATAATTGATTATTTAGTTAGGTTTTGTTCTATTCCTTTTTTGGCGCTGGTATTTTGGGTTTTGGTTTGAATTGATATCTACGGAATCATATCGGTGGGAACTCGGTTATTGATAGGTACACCCTTGCTTCCTCGCATCCTAAAAAGTTTATTTGAAGCCCTGTTGTTCCCCGCACCACGGATCATTGGCGATTTACAGCATTGTAAATTTCAGAAGATACCCATGTACAAAAAAAATTTTTTCTTTCTTTCGTTGAAGTATAATGCGTATGTCCAGTTCTTGGGAGTTTTTTTAATATTTTTTCTTTTCTTTCGTTCCCTTAAATTCTCAAGCATGACAGGTGCTAGCGGAGACAAATGAATGTTACATAGGACGGCATTAAGCAAAGATTGTTCCTCCATACATCGATCAGCTACCCGCTTGCAAAGTTATTTTAGACAGATCACCTGACAATCTAGTTGACTTTCGTGAGTTCCGAAGAGCGGCGCGCACATCCACAAGATTGGAAGGGATTGCATCGTTCAAATTGGCCGTAGTTTCCACGGTGCTGCGACTACACACATGCACACAACCAAACTCCGTCGCATGAACTTTCCCTTCAAATTTAGATGAGTCCATACTCGGGTCTAAGGACAAAGGAGATCAAATGCTTTGCGGGTAATTACCCTTAGATCATGAATGCAGGGTTCATCATATATACCGGTGTATTGACTCGAGGCCTGAATTCATGAATGTGCTACTAGCTATCCCCCAGACCAATCCCTCAATAGCCATGTCTGTTCCTAGAAGAAGAAGAAGAAGAAAGAAAAAAGAAAAAGGAACCTAGTAGCTATGGTTTCCGCTCTGATTAGTTACCTAAGCTGTCATGCTTAGTAGACGGCCTTCAAAGCGATCGGGAAAACGAAAAACGGAAACGAGACTACCAACCTAGGCTATAAGCTACAAGGCGCCCAATTAAGTTCCACATAACGCCAGGTGCGCAGGTTTTATCCTAGGCAGAGCTAGTGAGGGCCTAGTTACCTGCAGGGCTGCAAGTTGAGCTGCGAGCGAGAGGCTCCTCGGAGCTCTAGAGTATAATACAAAGTACGTATACAACCGAAACCAAGTTTTGTTCTTTTTAAACTTATGAGCTGCTGACGACCTAGCACAATCAGTTTACTGAGAATTAATATAGTGTCCAATAGTGCAGATTTGGAAACTGCGGGTAGCTGTATCACGGGTGGGGCACATGCTCCAAAGAAAAGATCAACTACATTATCAGCAGGCTTTCTCGAGAAGCGGAATAAGAACCCGACTATTATGTATGTACATCTATGGACGAACAGAACCCCCCTCCTTTTCACGCTGATTTGGGGGCCAAGGGGAGGAAGGGCGGACGGAACGGAAAGATCTGAGAAAAAGGCATATATTCGTGCAGCTTGAAGATAGCTAATGGCCATATGGTATAATTAGAGCCGACCAGGCCTGCGGGTCCCATCAAATCTGCACGGATCGCATTGATAGTGCGTTCATGCATGCCAATCTTGTCGCACCACCTTGACTCGTGATGGTTATCAAAAGCAAAAGGCCCCTGGGACTTTCAGGATGTCGACAGCCTGCCCGGAAACTTCCATCAAGGAGACAAGTGGCTAAAACAGGATTGCAGACCAGGAGCTTGAGCATCATGAAAGAAAAAGAAAAAGAAAAAGAAAAAGAAAAAGAAAAAGAAAAAGAAAAAGAAAAACCCCCGAAAAGAAGAGAGAAAAAGGGCATCAAGATTAAGATACCAAGATACCAGAGCTGCTTGCTAGCACTGTACAAGTAACAGGACAGGGGACATCAACAGGGCTTCATGTCGCACACGTATGCAATGCAGGCACCAGGACATGACTCCATGATCTTCGAACGTTTAGACTAGCCCAATATGCACGCAGGCCAAACCATGGCCGGTGAAGAGCTGTAGAGTTTCGAATCAATCACAAGCTCCTCCAAGGAATGGAGAGCTGATTTCGAATACCTGAGGCGGGAGGGACCCCGGCGCCAAATTTTCGACCAGACATGTCAGTTCACTCTCAAGGTGGCCACGGCAAAAGCAAAAGCAAAAGCAAAACACCAGGTATAAGACAACAATCCCCGATGGGGATATTGTTCACGAGCTTGTAATATATGCGATCAACTTCGCCTCTTCCTTAATGGTCCCGACGAAATCAAGGGGCGGCTCGGAAACCTTTTCAATTTTTCGAGCTTTGGGGATACTTAATTGTGTCCATAGGAATCACCACGCCGGTAGAACCGTTCCATGCCCGAGTATCGCTTTACAAGAACAAAAGAAAAGAAAAATAAATTGTGCTCGATCATTAATAGAAGTAACGAGAAATACGACATTGTCAAAAAAAGAAAGTTCATGAATTTTCTACAAAGAGCTTAAGAGAAACTCGCATAAACGTTGAGCCCCGGTAGAGACTCAAACGCTCCATATGCAACTAAAGATAAAAAGGTATACTTACTACGTTACCCTGTTTTATGTTGCTATAACCGACCACTTAAATGCGATCGAACCTAGTTTCCAGGGCACTTTTAAACGGATTCGCATACGTATAAAAACGATAAAATTTGATGGCATCCAGGGTGTGCAACTTGAAGGTTAGATTGTGGCCAACCAATGGCCAACCAATGGCCCCAGACCATCCGGAAAGATGGACAAGGAGTGCGGAAATGGATATCACAGATTATCTCCAGGTAAAGATCCTTATCCGTTCCCGGGGAAGGGCTGAAAGCGGTTCCCAAGGCATGACTAAGTACCTCATCTGACGATGTATCCTTCTTAAATGGCTTATCGATGCGTATCGGAATGCAACATGATTCAATTCATGTTATCTAAGAGATATTCGAAATCGCGCATCGGGGTGAAGTGTCACAAAATGATAGGGCGAATAGTCCAAGGATTTTGTCCTTGGAAAAAAAGAAAGAAAGAAAGAAATGAAGCCACCGACCTAAGTTCAAGCAGTTAAAGGGGGGGTGGTGGGAGGGGTACTGACCATACATTGGGGAGGAGAGGTTAGAAATGTGTTGTTTGTGGTGCAGAACACATAGTATCTGCCTAAGTACTTAACTAAGAGGTACCCAATATGGAGTAACTACACTTCATACTAAATATAATACAACGGTCACAAGAATGTGGAAACAACCAGGAAAGCCCGGAGAATTCGGAATTGGAGGTTCATTCTATTCGCCGGTGACAAGGTCTCCTGCATGGCTGATGGCTGATGGCTGATGGCTACCAGGTTTTGAGTGAGTACATACACTTAGTACTTACTTAAGTATTACCCATGGGTGTTCGGTGACCTCCTTTTTGCGACTAGGCAGTGGCCTGATGCCTGGCGGGCTGCAAGGTACTCTATTCGCTAGTTAAGTTCTAGATGTACTATGTAAGTAAGTACTTAGTATCTAACCATCAGCTTTCATGCACGGTGTGGTATCATGTACATGTATCATCATGTATCATCTCGGGTAGAGGCAGGCTCAAGGCTAAGTAAGGCAGGGGCCTCGGTTGGATGAATTTCGTGGGAATATGCCCTATCGGAATCGGACTCTTTTCTTCTTTTAATTTTTCTTCTTCCTCAGTCGAATTGTCTCCATCTCCCGTGTAAATATACGTAAGTAAGTAAGTAAGGAAGTAAGTATGTATACATCGATGTCTAGATGTCTGGATGTCTGGATGCTTGTATGTTCGCTTCTATTCTTGTGCCGGACCTGAGACACCAATACGAACCCCATCCCTACTTGCCTACTGATATTTCCACCCTCTCGAGCTGACATCGGGGTCATCATCATCATCATATTCGCCATTGCATTAACTCCTCTGTACCTAGGTACATGTACCATCCTACCCCCCTGGTTATTATCCCCCAGTATATTTAATTTATCGAGTGTGTTGGCAGGGTACAGGCTCGGTCCCAAACGCCAATTGCAAACTAACCGCGAGTCGACACAACTAACACTCTACGTAACCACTACAACATCCCATCAAACCTCAGCTCAGGTAGACACGTTCCGTCTCATCTTCGAATCACATAGAAGCAAGACGAGGATATCTTGCAAACATGTCGCGCTCTACTATCGAAACGGAGACACAAATTTTAACCAACTTCCTCCTTTCCAATTCGACTTTTCCTGATATGGTCGACTTGAAGACCTTCCGTTCTCTCTTTCCCAAGAACCTCCAAGACCACCCTCATGTGAAGCATCTCTACAACCACCTAACCTTGAAACACGCTGCTACCCTTGAAACCGTTCGCAAGAACATCGATTTCGAAGCGAAGATGTCACACCAGCTTCTCAAACGCGAGAGACGAGAAACAGCTAATCAAAACCGGGATGAAGACGCGGAAATGCTAAACCAGACGGACATTAATAACGTGATGGAGGTATACGGGGAAATGCCGGCTCCCAAAAGCAATATATTGCCCATCGAGGACATTGTCAAATCGCTCGAGGTTGCCAATCAAAAATTACAGATGGAAATGGAGATTTTGGACGAGGATTGCGAGAGATTGACTCAGGAGATCAAAGACATTGTCGGGGACCTAAGTACCCTCAAGTTTGGGAGCTTCACGGGCGCAAATGAAGGGCTCGTTGATAGTGTCATCGAGGACCTGGCAAGACTGCAGGATACTTGCGATCAGGTGGTGAAACCTGCCGATTGAGATTTATTGAATCGCGGGACCTAGCTGCTGATCACGCTCACAACCCTTTCCCGCAGAAAAATACGCCGCTGGGATGCGCAATTGCGTATCCTTCCTGTAAGGGAGACCTGGTCAGCCATCGCCAAATATAATAGCCTGGCGAAAACCTGTTGATCAGCCACTTTCATTAGCCTGGCGATTCGGGTGCAATGAAAAGGCTAGAGGCGCAAGTGCATTACTCTGAACATGTATACATCTACGGTACCGCGGCAGTCGCCGTTACAACATGTACATGTACATGGGCACCCACACTGAGATCTGTACGTGTACGTAAAAAAAATAAAATGAAATGAAATAATGCGCATAAAAGAATCTCTACGCAAGTATATCTCCACGACCTGAACACCAGTTGATACATCTTGCTCAGAGTTGACTTCGCCTCAATTACTCAATTACAAGATGGTCTGCAGGGCCACAGAGAATGTCCACAGTAAATGACGTCGCCGCACGTCCCGTCTACAGTCAAAAACGAAAACCGGTTCCCGTCAGTTGAAAGTGGGGACGGCGCCAAGGATCCGAGAAGCATGTCTCACTGTCTCGTTTAGGATTAAGACAAAATGTCTTACCTTCCCTTCTTCCGTCCGAGCCATTCATTCGATTTAATATAGTTATAATGGAACCACATATTATCTGGCAGTCGTGTTCGGATTTCAACTCGACTGGGATAGATCTAAGAAAAGATCAGCTCAAACAATGATCTTTTGGGCTCAGGAAGCAAGGGAATGGGACTCAAAATGGTGGGGTAATCATAAGGCGACCGTGAAGACCACCCTGCAAGCCATGCTTATTTTTATTTTCTCGACTTGCCAGGTACCAATTTTGACCAATTCGTTGACACATAAATCACCGTTGGCATATGCCGTCAGTACCCTTGTCTTGTAGAACAGCATTCGTTTATGTTTCAGTAGCACATTGCGAGGAATGGCCAAGGATTGTCAAATCTGTTCATGCGATATTGTAAATCCGATTCGATTCTGGTGAAAACCCTTGCCGACCAGGCTACGAAGCGAGCAAAACTTAACAGCGATCATCTGCCTAGTAGCAGCTAAGGCGCAGCGAAACGATGGCTTCCTGGTAGAAATGGGAAAATGGCGTGGTGACAATATGCGAACCCAGCGTTGTAGGCCTAGCCCTTCTGGTGCCTTGAGGAGGAAGAGGAGGAGGAGGAGGAGGAATGAAGCAATGGCTTACCGATTCCGCAATTCTTTGCTAAGGCCCTTCGTATACAGTGCGGCTAGCGTTCATCATTATCTATTGCTGCATACAGTATACGATCAATACATAGCATCGAAAATCTCTAATTACTTAATTAAATGCATGTATGTGGGTGGTCCAGTGCCATGTGAGGCATGTATGCACGTATGTACGTGCCCCTTAAGTTGCAAGCTTGATAACAGCACTTCCGACTTGATATCACTAAGTGTAAGTAATAATGTTAATTTGCTGATAGGGAACCAAAAGGGTTATCGATAACTATCCGGGCTAACAAGATGAAATAAACCGTCCTCTGTATACACACATGTACCCTCTTATGTGAGGCAATACCGCAGCGGTCTCATCAAAACGCCGATTTCCTGGGCTACATAGATCTACCTAGCCTAGTCAGCAACATCCGCTATACTACTTACATACGGGATACATCCAAAGTAATGGTTTGGTCGCCTTTCATCAAGGACGGCTAAAAGGGAAGAAATTGGCCACGGTAACGGTAATAACGTCGAAACTTATTACCACACCAAGCTTTATCATAAACCATCCAATCGTCAATCGAATCAGGCACACAATGTTTTCCTATCAGCCAGCAGTTCGTGGCTCGGGGACATGCGGGAGGACCCCGCTTTCGGTTACCAGTCCAGCGATACACCGTAATTGGCCAGAGTCTGACAGTTCCAGTTGATGACCCGGTTAGGACTACCTGTAACGGAATAGTCATTGATCCGTTAAGTGCAGGAAACTTGGTTTGGGATGGGTGCAGGGATGCCGTGATCCAGGTGACCATCCTTCCCGGGACGCTATTACTGCATCCCGGGTGACTTGCACCTTCCGCGGGCCTCACAAGTGCGGCGTATGGTATGCAAAAGAAGGCTGAAGCGAGGCCCCGAGCGTTAATAATTCGCCAGGGCCAATTCATCGCGTACCTTGCAGATTCGCTTGGGGCTAATCAAATGTCGCCAACAAGCCAAGGTGACAAACAAACCCACCAAGTGAACTGGTGTGATGGTGGCTGCAGGGGTCACGATTGTCCTGTGAGTGTGTGTATCAGATTCTGTGGAAGACGGAGCTTCTTCTCGAATGTTTCCCGATCAGTATGGTAGATGGAGGAGCCTATTTCCAAGTATTTTCACCTTCCAAGACGAAATTAAATCTTCCCAACTGTCAATTTCTGAGATTACAATTGGTACCTGAACTTTCCCTGATATGACAACCCCACAATCTAGTGAAACACTAGCTCCCATCATGTCAAGCAGGATTGCGAAAGTTAAGTTTTTTTTTTATATCGATGACACCCGAACATTCGCCCAGATGCTACGTACGAGATATAATATGATGCTAAGATATGATATATATGATATTAACTATGATATATCCCAGGATTAATGGATGTAAGTTAAGTAGGGCCGGTAGGTACTTACATGTTTATAACATAAATCGATCGCTCCATGAACCATCGTCCCGTATAAACTAGATTCATATCCTAAATGTGTTTGCTGTCCTTTTTAAAGTGTTTCACTAAGCGTGAACCTTCTTTCAAACTTTGAGGTTCTACGTATGCAATGCCCGGTTAATTATTCCGAGAGTACTTTAAAGCTTTGATTGATGTGGGCCAAGTATATGATATCTGTGGTACCATGGTATCATACATCATTCATAAGCTACGTTCCAGCATCATGATAGTATTTATATTGTATTACTAGGTTACCCGTAAATAATAACCCATGTTCGAATCCGTGGCCATGTCATGATCATGATAATATTGATTATATCGATTGTACGTACGTACTATTTATAATTATAATTTATGGCATCCGAAATATCCGTTGCATTGCAATGCGCCAACACAAAAATATCCAACAAACCATCAGCTTCACATTCGAAACAGACTATACCGGATCTTAGTTTACGAGACAAGGCTATACCATATTTACGACCGGTCTAATACTCGCTTGGAGAACATAATGGCTGGTTAGAGTGTTTGCTCAGCTACCCAAGCTTCGTCCCAGCCAGCTTGGCACTTTATCATTCCTATTACGGCGATATCTCATCGTGCCCTGGCCCGTCTGGCGCCGCCAGGAGGGTGAAACATGAGATTGATGATCCTACAACGTTCACCCCCTGTCCTTCGTGTCAGAGCAAATGGCTCTAGAAATATCGACGCTCTAGAATCATTTCCATGATTCTCAACCGCAATTTCGGGCAATAGAGCTTGGTATGTACATGTGGGGACTTTGTCGTCTTTAATGGGAAAAGCATATGCATATGCATCAGCGGCTTGAAGTCTACTAAATCCCAAATTCTACCATCGGTAGGTCGGCTTTGATGTACGCTTCCAGCCCGCATCCACAATTCTGCCAATCTCGTTTTAGCACATGCATAATTAATATCCGTTTGGATGGACCATTGCAATCCATGATCCATGGGGCTGTACCCGTCGAAGGTTTTCAAATCCAACCGGGGTGCGCCGCGCTGTAACTTCTTGGTAACAAATTAGGATTCCTAAGCTGCTGTGGCGAGTTACTTCTGCGACAAATATGCATGTGCCGATCTTATTCAGCTGAAGATAGAGCCCGAGCGGGAGGGAATGGTCGTCAACTGTCACCATCTTGTGCTCCTTAGCCTTGATACATGTAGACAGGGATCTTTGCGTGTGTCGCGGTTATCGACCTTCCCAATCCTGCACGGTAGCGGTGTCATCTGAGCTTTTCTCCAGACTTGAGGCTGCGCCCAATTAGTGTAGATTGTCACGTCAAAACTGATTGCTTGCATTTAGAATGTTCATGTATGTCTAAACCCTGATCCTTCCCCCTTGGTGACATGCCCTGCAGAAGAGCTGTATCAATAAGTCTACAACAGTGGGGGCATTCGAGTACTCGAGTATAATGGCCTGAGGCTATGCATATGTTATGCTGGCGATGCTGGCAATGCTGGCAACACTTTTGCCGGTTGTGCATAAATCAATTTACAACAAACTGCTATTTTAAAGACTAGGTTGAATATTTCGATTTCGACTTCGGATCAATATCGCCGGTTCCGAACGGAATTAAGTCGACACAACGGCACCAAAGTTTTATCAGGGGGGTTGCTCCGAATCAATTTATCGACGAGGAGGGAAATAAAATAAAAATAAAAATAATAAATGTCCGGACAGGTTCGCGTTCCTGCTGGACTGGGACTCGACTGGGAAGCGGGTCGACTATCGGGGTGCACTGACAAAACGGTAATATATCACAACTAGCACATACAACGGTATCCACAAGAACTTCACGCTACTGCAGGTACCGAAATACAAAATTTCTGGGCGTCAGTCCAAGTTCCTCAGGTTTATGCAAGCAGAACTCTATACCGTTGCGAGGTTTCATCTACATGGGACCGTGAGTCCTGTGAAGTAGGAATTGCTTATGTCTTTGGCCGTGGAGCCACATTGACGACATCTCGAGTTTGGAATCGCTTTGATGGTCAGGTGGCAGTACCCATAATTTCAAGGGATCCATACATATGCATAGATAAGATTGCATGAAATTGCCCCCCCTGGGGGACCCAGACACCGGTTGCTCTGCGAGCAGGAAGTCGGCGGTATCATCATTGCTACTGTATGTGTATAGATCGGTTAGTATAGTGTCAGGAGTCCTTGACCTTGATATAGCTTACTGTGTATGTATAGGAATCAATCAACCCGATAAATGTGAAACGACCGATTATCCAAAGTAGATACCGGAAGCGTTAACAACTTGGTTTTATCCTCTACTGCTGCATGAAATCCGCCTCCTGCAGATGCAGGTACATGATGGGGTATCTTTTCAAAGGCTCTAAAATCCCAATTCTATCGCCTACCACACTGGCAGTATTGTAGTTAGTCAAGTTCGAAATGGGACAACCCCTGGATATCGATCGTGATGCATTTTGATATTATCGACTTTGATATATCTGACTTTGATGGAGCATGGATGAAGATGAGTTAACTTCAAATAATTACTACCTGGTTACATTTCACTAATCAAAACCCGCACCAAGCACTAACGCATTCGCAAAGATCGAGGGGATGTAGATTATTAGGTAGTCCCAAGTTGATTTAGTAAGCTATCCGATATTTCTCGCCCAAGCTGCCAATTTCGGTGTTCATTATGGGGCGGACAGGGGACCCTCCTGTGCCCCATTTTGCTTCTTTTACCAGCCATTCTTATGGCGAGTGCGCGTTGACCCCCACAAATACTGGCCCCCCGAGATTCATCTTCAAGTATGGAGCAGTCGACCGTGATTGATCCCGGGAGGTACCCAGTTCGAAAGATACCTGGACAATGCTCACCAAACGTGGGTGCTCGGTAGCCGTGGATTCGAATGAATCGATCGCCACACAACCCATTTATGCAAATATCCTGCTAGATCGACTGACGATTCGAACTGCACATAGTCCACATTATTGCACTTAAGAAAATGATTTCTGGATCGATCCTGTTTTGAGGCGGCTCGACACCGAATTGCTTTTGCTCGATCTTCCTTTTCGCACGATGTTGGTCCAAGTGCCGGGCAAGGAAAAGGTCCCTGCGGACGGTTTGTCCTCGAAAATCTGCCAGCAGGAAAAGCCTTGGAATGCGGGAAAACTTAATCTCAGACACAACGACAATACAGAAACCTGTCTACGATAGAGAAAAAAAATTCTTTTGTTGTTTCAAAATTTTCATGATCCAAAAGTCTATTTCTTAGCTGGAAATCGTGGGATAGATTTTTGAAGGGCAGAGTGGCATATTTCCCCAGGTTATGTTTATACATACATACACATATGCATTCGTACAGGCAAGGCACACAGCACAGCATGCAGTTTTAGCACCGTCTATCAGTTAGAAGGCGGGACGACGTATTAATTGTGCATTGCATTGCTCGTTTAATGAATCAGATCCTCAAACTCGCCCAAGGTGTAGAGCGATGGAATCGACCGTTTCGAAGACTGCATATGGAGCCGGCCGACGTTAAATGTATGTATGTATGCGAACGCCCACAGGCCATATTGGTTTGCATAATTCTTACCTTCTTCGATACTTACGTACGTACTCTCTCTAATGTGTGCTTTTGGTTCCCGACCGACTGACTTGCCGTAGTGTTACTAACTTGCGCATACTTTTCCATCTCTATCGACATGTCTGGCCAGGGCATGTAATTAAAGTTTTTATACGCTTATACTCGAGGAACGGCATAGCACGGCACATGCGATTCACGTGGATATTTACATGCCAAGAGTTCCGAGTAAGCCGGTTATCAGTGCTACCTCTGCGAGCTCGTTATGTTCCTTATCCATGGTTCGGATAGTTCGTCATGGGGATATTTTTATGAAAAGCTTTTTGGGAAGAGTTTTAAAACCCTTTCTTTCTTTCTTTCTTAGCTAGTGATGTATAAAAAAAGAGGCCTTTTAAGCTCTTTGATCTGATGGGCTAAGCTTGCAACCTGGCACTAATTCGATGATTCCTTACCTACATAACCATATCGGAATCAAAACAAGCCATGGGTTTGGAAAAGCTGAAAGAGCCTCGTGATCGTTCGCGTTTCATCGTGGGCTTCGAGAAAGAAGGGAAGGGAAGGAAAACCTCGAAATATTCTGCTTTTTGAAACTTTACAGTGGTACTTACCTAGGTACCTAGGTAATCGTGCTTGTAGGATCCAACGATCCAACCTGACCGTTAGCCTGGGATTCGACACCTGCGGGGCATTTTTGCTTGCAGGTTTCCCTCTCGCAACCTGAGACAGCTCTAAACCTAGGCCTTCGGCTGTAGCTCCGCTCCCTTTTTTTTTTTTGTCTTACTCCGTTAACCTTTTTTCCCTATCACATTTTTTTCGAGTCGGTTGGCGAGAATTACTTAGTTAATGTGAAAAAAGCGACCGCACTAAAATAGAAGAGGGGTTGGGAGTACGATGCCATCATGAATTGTACAGAGTAGTGGGAGAGATATCGGACAGGGTGTCTTGGCCTCGCTAGTGAACCTTGCAAGGTCCCAGGGTTACTATCACCACCATGGATGTGCATTGATCAGTGAAATGTATGGCAAGTCGTCATTGAGCGCATTCCATCCAGTGTGTTTTCCCTATCTCTGTGGTTTCCCCAAATTTTGATGAGGTTCAGATCATGAAGGTTTCATTTTGATCAAAAGGTTTAAATGGGGTAAGCTGGCAGATTCATGTTATGATTGCTCTTTTGATAGTGATATACATAGTATATATGTACTATAGTATTGAAGCGATACTAAAACGAGCACGGTCACATCAGCAGATGGTCAAAATTAAAAATTATTTTTACAAGATTTTTTATTTTTTTTTGGAATCGAAAAATGCAGAAGAGGAAGTAATCTTTCGACATTTACCTATTTGGGAAGATGGTGATTCTCAATCAATTTCGGTGTGGCATACTGAGCACTCGTTTTGTACTTACATACAATGCAATACAAGAAGATCGTGCGGTGCAGATTTCTTCTGCCATCCGCCGTTTTGTATGTATGCACTCCATACATAGTAAGTTAATGTTGCTAGCAATCGGGTCCGCCCAGGACGAGAGACATTGTATTTCGGCTCGGGCAATGACAGAGGAACAAGAAGAAGAAGAAAACAAGAGGAAGAAGAGGATAAGAAGGAAGAAGCAAAGATAGACTCCCAGTCACGACATGCAGCCTCAGTATTTGCTTTTCTGCCTCACGACTCAAGCTAGTGCGAGAGAGTGATACTTTGAAATGTGGCCCTGAATTACGACAAACCTCGCGCAGATAGCGCAGAGGGTGGGCGAATCTTCAGGGCTATATACATAGTGTATGTAGGGGGGTGGTCGTGACCTAAAAAAAAATAAAAAAATAAAAAACGGGAAAGAAGTGCTTTTTTTAATTTTAGTGATGGTGATGGTGGATGGTGGTGGTGGATGGTGGTGGATGGATGCGAGGATGTCTCTTGATGCGAGGTGTGTGTACATACATAGCTACCCGCCAAGCCAAAGGAAGAAGCAACCACGACCGCTGCGATTGCAATGTCTCTTGTCTCTTCTCTTGTCTCTGCGGCATGGGCAGCACACCAGAACCCCACACCACGCTGCCCGGCATGGCTCACCGTTGGGTCGTTCCTGGACTGGAATGGACTGGGCGTGTTCGTTAATTTGCTCTCTTCTGATTCTGATTTTGATTTTGATTCTGTGCGGTGTGGGCGAGCGAGTCCAAGCTAGGACGCTCTTTTACGGGAAAAGTTTATAACATCTTCATGTCCCCCATTCTCTAACCTCATTTTCCCCAAGCAGCTTCACTGGCTTGAACAAATCAGGATCATTGCGCTTATACTAAAGCTCATCCTTCTTTCCATCGACCTCTCTTCTGACATCTTCATCTGTCAGTTCCATTGCATCGTGCAGAAACACCAATAAAGACACTGACATTTCTTTTCCCTCCCTCACCTCACTCTATTCCTTTCTTTTTCCTTCATTCCCTCTTTGGGCTCTTGAACTTCCTTTATAATCCCTACAATCAACTATAACATACATACATACACACATACCGTCAGTGCCTACAGAAACAAGAATCCTAGACGGCTTGAGCCATCATATCATTATCTTCTATCCAGCCATTGCATAGAATGCTAGCTGTTCAGGCACCGCCTAAGCCTATCAAGATGCCTCGTGGTGGAAATTCCAGAATCAAGGTCGACGATAATACTCCAAGGGCAACCCAGGATTGCAAGGTTTGCAACAGAAGACGCATAAAGTTAGTTTTTTCTTTCTTTATATTCTCTATTCTCTATTCTCTATTTTCTATTGTTATTATTTTTAATTAGCTTTGCTCCTTTTTTTTTGCTCGTTTTCCATTTGGCTCTAATACTAACATACCTACTTCCTACCATCAGATGTGACCGGGCTCTACCTACATGTGGCAAGTGTCGAGGAAGGAATCTCGAGTGCCCTGGATATGGCCTCGTCCTTAAATGGGGCCAGGGAGTTGCTAGTAGAGGAAAGCTTGCCGGCAAGTCATATCCCATTAGAAATCCGGAACATGCCATCGCCAGCATGTCCAAAGAAAATTCCAATCTATCAATGGCCACCCCTCCAAAGTCTACAACCACATCTCCCAGATCGAAGACACACAAACAGGAGCCATCCTTTAAACAACATGCCCCAGCTCCACTTAAACAACAACCTACTTTTTCCAATGTCAACATCGTAAGAGTTGACCTGTTGAACCAACCGGACGCCGATGCCGATTTCGAGGAGGAAGATGGTCATTTGGGTGGTGGCTGTTGTGGTGGATCGGTTGATACTACCGGAGGATGGGACGACTGGCTGGTGCAGAATGGAGGGGGGCTGAATACCGCTACTACAACTGCTAGTGGCCTCGATTACTACGATAGCAAGCCAACAATGGTGCCTTCTCCGCCAAGTTCGGTGTACAGCATGGAGTACACGCCTCCACTACCGGATTTCGATTTTAGTTATGACCTCAACTCCCAACTCCCAACGATCCTCCAGAACAACTCCGTAAGGGAACTCATTGCCCATTACGACCAAACATTAGCAGCAATGATGGTATGGATTGATACTCCCAGCAACCCTTGGAGAAAAATCATGATTCCACTCGCCATGCAATCGCCTACTCTACTTCTGGCACTATTGGCGGTGTCAGCCAACCATCTATCTGCACAGAATAGTGGGAACAACCCAGCATACTCATCCGCAGCTACGAGATATCGGGATTCCTCTTTAGCTCTAATTACCAACCGTCTCAAGATTGAAACACAGACTCTCGGGTACCAAAGCCCTGACCCGACTTATCAGATCAGGGACAAAATGGATTCCGATGCTACTTTGGCAGCTATAATCATGCTCACAAACTTCGAGATGATTGGTAGTCAGACAAATGCCTGGAGGACGCATTTGGATGCCGCCAGGACAATGATCAAGCTTCGGGGAGGCGCGACTCAAATTGCCTCAGAGGACGACCAAACCAGCAGTTTCTTGCTCTCACAGTTCTTTGTTATTGACGTGCTCGCATCCACCACTACATTTTCTAATGATGATGCGAAGGATTTCGAGATGCCAGTAAACACTCCAACTTCCGGCAGGGAAGAGCTTTTCGAAGACTTCCTCAAAGTCATGCATCAAATCACACGATGGGAACGACAGCTTTCTAACCCAGAAAGGACGCCGCCATCGATCCCCCCGCCGGAAGCTATCCAAACTCGGTTCGAGAGTGCAAGACAGCGAACTGCTAGGGCATCTGCCGCCTTCGCTTCGGTTTTGACCGTTGAACAGAAAGACGATTTTAATCATCTAATCAATGTCTACCATCATTCAGGTCTACTCTACGCTTGGAGGTCTCTTTACAATTTCCCCTCAACCAATCCTTTAATAACAACATCAAAGCAAGAGCTTTATAGATCCCTTCACTCAATCAAGGATCAAAAGCGATTTGCAGTTGATCTGGTTTATCCTCTTTTCATTCTTGGGACTGAGAGCGTGGGCGACGTTAACACCCAACAATATGTTCAATGGAGAATGAAAGAGGCTATGGCTGTGACAGGTTTCAGCAACTGCCTCGCCGCCCTTGCTTTCCTTGATGCGTACTGGAGTGAGGCTGGTGTTGAAGAGAGCTGGGTATCTTTTGCTAGAAAATACGGTGACCAGGGCCATCAGTTTCTCCTCTACTAAGTACCCCATCTCGTGTATTTCCGCTTCGGTGGATAATTTGATATTTCTCTTATTCTGCATACCAACGGTGTGAGTATTTATCGTCAGGAGTTTGGGTTCGGCTGGTTGTTTTCTTTTAGTTCTTATTTCATAATGATCCACTTCCCTTTCAACCTGGCGCATTGATGCACCCTCTTTTTCCTTTGGATTCTTGATGCGGGCATTTGTATTTTTTCCCTTCCTGTCAGTCATGCCCCAATATTCTAATGGCTAATGTCCCCCCCCCAAATTACCTAAACAGAAATACCTTCTATGTATATGTATATTTTCTCTTAACCATTTCGGATCAACTGTCTATATATTTTGTCGGAATTGGGTCTGGAACGACGTCTCTGGCACGAAACGTGCGGTTTCCCATTCAATGGAGTTCGAAGTTGGCTGTCTTTTTTACATGAATGGTGTGGCAATCTCGCTCCCAGTTTAAGGGTTTTCTTTTTTTTCCTGTCTGATCGATACTATCCCTTTCTTACATATTATCTTCTGCTTTTGCCTTGGGATCATCATTACTGTTTGTATGTACATAGAGAGAATATCACGGTCGTTTACGGTGTATTGCATTCGGAATTTTCAATGTTACTCTTCCTTTCTATCCATATTGAATAACCACATAACGTATTTACTTTTCCTCTCGCTTGATCAATTACTCCAGTTGTATATACTTAAGGACTTACTTAGTATGAGGTGAAAGAGTTGTATGCATGCATGTGCGTTCACACAGCATTAATTTAGCAGGTACTAGTGTAATAGGCATATGCCTTAAGTATGCTTCCTAAAATATTTCCCACATGTCCAGACCCGACCCTCCCCCTTTTCCCTCTTTTCTTTATCAACATCCTCAACTTAAGCTCAAGTACTTATGAATCGCCTACTCTTATGCGCGACTGGGCTTACAAGTGAGTAGATAATACATACCATCGAATGCTCTCTTGACTTTTATTTTTCATGAACCCCACCACGTCAGGAAACCCTTCTGAGCCGGCTAAATCCCCTGGTGCGATTCCGCAACGCGATAGCCAATATGATCTGTTCCAATTCGAAAAGTTGCCCGAAAGTTTTAAACCCGGGCTTCTCTTAGAGCTTCGAATCACCAAAGTGTAAAAGGCCTGCTGCGTAGGATTCTCGGAACTAGGGCCCGGCTGAAGGAGATGCGATGCGACTTCCCCTTACTTCTATACATCTAGATCCTAATACATGCATCAGACGTATATTACCAAGTATACATGCTTATGGGGTTGGATAAGGAAGTCATACGTAATTTTTGCAGTGCTCAGCTCCGACGTCCTTCGCGGAACGGAGTCTATTTTCAAAGTTCCCACGATCTCGTAACGATAATGCTAGTTAGCCACGCCGCGGCTGGCTGTGGCTTTTAAGATTTTGGAGCCTGGTAAATACATACCTTGTAGAATCCGCAAGGTGGGATATCCATTCCAGCAGCGATCTCGACAAGGTGGTCCGAAAATTCGATCCTGAACATGGATCCATGGCTCGATGGGCCTTGACCCTCGCTTCATTTTCTTTGCAATTCGTCAAACAGCCGAGACATCCTACACAGTACACAGTACAGGGCTCTAGGGTACCAAGGGTATATATATTTAAAGTTAAATATTTAATTTAGCTGAAGTCTTGGTGGTTCGGTTCGTCGTATTTTCCGGTCAGCATGCTGTCTTGACCGCCACGCTAGGTTATAATTATATGGAATGAACGCTATGTTCTAACTAGTCTGGCGTAGTTAGGTTTTTGATCGATTGCGTATCAGCCTCATGCAAAATGATTAAGTACTCTTTGCAAGTGATATCATGTCCCAACCAGAATATAATTTTTGGATATGCACCCTTCGACCGCTTAGTATAAACGTATAAACGCTTCTCTCCAGATCGAATCTCAACTTTGATGGCAGCGCTGCAGTGGCAGCCGTTGTGTGAATTTGGTCTTTGCTGGTGCATCGACCCTCGCTTGGTGCCGCCAATAAGAAGTCTTCGCCTGAGCCCTTGTGGTGCGGCCCTGCTCCTCGATAGGCTCAGTCGACCGGGGAAGGGCAGGGCCGGGCTCTCCATGCCGGACTTCCACGAAGCTAGGCTGTCCTTGGAACAGTTCTCGTCAAATCGAAAATGTGGGCATGTAACAATAAATGCATGATATGTAACAATTCCTACTTGTGTGCATGATCGATAGTTGATTATGGTATCTCAGCATACATACATACTTCCTTACTGACTTATTATTTATATAAAACACCAGCCTCCTCTGGTCAATCCTAACAGGCCTCGCTAATGGCGGCAGCACGCAAAACCGAGTATTAACACAGAAAAATTGGATTCTTTCCCAGACACTTTAAATTTGCGCACTGTACTGGTGAGGTTAAGAAAGCGGGTCGGAGCCCAGAGCGCACGCTTTGTGGCGTCTCGATTAGCTCAAAGAAGTGGAGAATATTCAGCCACTTCACGCGTGAAATGTGATAATCAGCCAGGAAATAACTCAGAGGGCCTCAAATAATCACAGACAGGGAATCCTCGATCATAACTAACTATGGACAAGAAGCAGCCTCACATAAAAGTAAGTATCAATTTGAACCTAATATTTGACGTTTTAAAGTTTCTGAACTGGAGCCAGAAGCGGGGTACCTAAATATTAGTTTGCCGAAGTTTTCCCACCAAGCCAATCCCCAAAAAGGAGATCCCGCCATCCAATCCCAAGGCTCTGGTGGGAAGGTATGGTCGAGCGCCTTGGCTTCAGTCGAAATCGGGTGGATGGGTGGGTCTAGGCCCGGATTGGTCTAGTTTCAATCGAGGTGCTTGCGCAGCTTGCGTCTTTTCGGCCATGAAGCTCTGCAAGAACAGCCCGTGGTCACACCCATCAGCAGTCTGGATTCGCCGTTTTCCACCTACTGTGTACATAGTACATACTCACTTACTCACTTACATACATGCAGACGGTAAGCAGCTAACGGCGTTGACACCATCACTTTGCCTTTGGCTTGTTTCCTCGCACTTGCATCAAAATAATTTCCTGGTGCCGCCGCAGACTTTTGAAGCTCGCAAAACTGCTAAGGAGGGAAACGCCCATTCGGACAGCGTTTCCAGACGAATCAAGTTTTTGGGGGTCTCGCCCGAGATCAAGGTTGACGGGAAATAGTGATCATGATCTGGGCTAGTAGTGTTTACTCGGCTGGCATATATTCCGGCATCGGTACTTGTTACTGCTGGATCGAAGCTACGACGCATTCCAGATTTGCCAAGAACGCCATGCTGCACAGTTCGACTCTCTCATTTTAACTAAACCACGCCGGTTTCCGATCTTTGACCGTCCGATTCCGTGGCCAAAACATGGCCTAAAATCTGCGATACGATGCCCACTAGACGATGCCTACTTACTTACTCACCCTCGTCAACTTGGTATCTTTATCACCTCCATCACCTAATGCATCCATATGTGACAAATATTTTGTTCAAATGACGGCAAATTTTGGATGACAAACGTACTATTCAATTCGGTGGCTTGCGCACGTATGCTCGATTTTTTTTTTTTTTCTCCCCTTAGGGTGGGCAGCACATATGCACACATGTGCTTCCTGGGATTGGCCCGAGTTATCAACTTGTCGATAAAAGCTTTGGAACGTGAGTTCTGTCTAAACTTTCTGTTGCACGTAGTAGGCTGTGATTCTGACATGGCAAACATGAGCTAGAGGGACGAGGGAGGCTGACCCCTCTTCTTGGTATGAAATATTAATGCGGCCCTGGGTGCATACGCTCTTGAGATAGAGGTAGTCAAGTTATCACTACGCAGACACAGTCCGCGAATATGCAATAATAGGGTTTATAATAATTGGTTTGTCCTTTGGAAAAAGCCTCCTGTCCCTTGTCGCCCAAGTACTTACTAGCTACCCTGAACTGCGGAATGGAATATGCATCTTACTACAGGATCCTTGGATTTTAAAAAACGTCACTTCGACATCATGCCCTTTTTGTCTTCTATTTCTCATGACTCCTACTCAATATATCGACAGGCTGTTTTTCAATAACGACATGACCTGCTCCTTAAATTAAAACCTTGAATGTATTTATTGACAGGTTGCATATGGACCTTTAACTCTCTAGCGTTCTCCTCGAAACGGAAAGGAATGCGACAGAACACTTTGAATCAGCAGGACCAAAAACGATATTTTTCAGCTGACCGCTGCAGCTTTGTGGATCTAGTACATAGTATCTATCTCCCGACATACAGGGAGTTCCCAAGTTACCGGAACGAAGGTCTTCTTAAGACATGTTAGTGACCGAATTGGGCCATGGACCGGGAACCGATGGTTATCCATAGAATCGACCTGCAAAATACATACGATACTGGACCCGAGTTAATGTCTCACATGATAATCGTAGTATATCCTCAGCTGGTACTCGGATTTGAAGCTAAGGCAAGGCAGCTTGATGAAACGGCTAACATATACCTATGAAAGAACCCTATTTCCTTTCCATCGTCTCGATATCGCAATTTAGTACTATGGTGTGGCTAGCGCGATACTCAACAAACCAGACCACTCTGTTGGAAATTGTGCGTTGTCTAATAAAAATGCCACACAAACCAACAACAATGGCAACACCTCTTTTGCGTGATATCACGGCCTTGTTTTCAGGTACACAAAACCATCCCTTGAGCTGGGGTTTGCATCTGCGAACTCATATCAAATAAAGTTTGCTTCCCCTTTTTCTAACCACAATGAGGTATAATTTGGAGACATGGGACTCGTGATGATAAACAGGGTGATATCGCTGTTCTGGACCCGCAGACCAGTGGGACGGGATGGAGCTCGAGCGGGGTCTAGGTCCTGGAAATGCATTCCGGTGAGTGAGGCATCGAATCGGTCTTCGGCTTCTCGAACCCTGGGGATCATCAGGTACATTTTCCGAGTTCACGGGATGGCTGAGACAAACGTGCATCATGCATCATAACAGCTTGATCTTGATTGCAGGAATGGATGCACCCATGGTGGGGTTTCAAGGAACTGCGTCAGTATCGAATCGTGCATCCATTGGAACAGATTGATATAGAAACTAGTACTGCAGAAAGATAATCCGAAAAGAGAACAAAAACGGAGAGGAATATTGCTAGCTATTTTATGGGGACGCTGAAACTGATATCGTTAAATCCATGTACAAACTCAATCAAATAAAAGGGCATATGATCAGTTGCATACAAACGTGACGGAGTGATGAAATGGCTAAGCGTTCAAAATAACAAAAGAAAATCGTTACACCCAACCGAGAAGGGCCTCTTGATTGCCTTCTTTGGCCCAACCTTGAGCCCGCTCGCCTCCGACTGCTAGTGCCTTGCTCTTTAGCGTATCAGTTGCGGGTCGGATGGTTGCCTCGAACCTGCCTCTCTCAATGCCCCGAATCTCAGAATCCCGTTCCTCGGTCTTAGTCAACGCTTCAATTTCCCGGGCCTGAGACTCTCTCAGCCTGTTGATATCCTCGATATTCTTTTGTTGGTTTGTCGGGTTCTGCTTGACTGCCTCTGCCTCCTGTGCTGCATATCTAGCTTTGATCGTGAGTCTCGTAGCCACATCCTTTGTCTTTTGAAGAGCCTTCTGAGAGTCTAGAGAAGATTGGATTGCAAGAGCTGCGGTCAAAATTTTAGATCGTAACCACAAAAGCTTTCCTTCCTCGGAAAGATCGAATGGTCGGGTATCTTCGCCGTGTGGGATAAGGAACTCGAGGCGACCACCGTCCCTTGTACCAGCATCGATAGCTCTAACAAGTTCAGTTAAAGCAGCGGTCAATCGGGCAGTTTTGTCCTTTTCACGAGCGATGACCTGGTCGCAAATCCCAATGATGAACTTGGAATAGCTCCCAACTCGCTTTTCTTCCGCAGTCTTGTTATCTGCAACCTGGCCAGCGACGACACTTTGATTCCAGGCTTCGATTTTCTTCGCCTCTGCCGCATCATTAGCCTCGTAAAGAGGCACCGTCAAGCTGTACATATACTTCATGCTCCTCTCCGTCAAAAGGCTTTCCATATGATTGTGGACTGTGGTCGAGAGATCTTGAACAGCAGTCAGGAAGCTGATGACTTCTAAGAGCTCCACCGTAGTGAGAGTGTTGACGCTATCTTTGACGAATTCCTCGACACCTTGCTTGACCGTATCAATAACCTCACCAGATTTCATAAGCTCTCCGTACGTAGCACTGACGACATCACGATCGAAACGCTCGTATGCATCCAAGCCTTCACGCTTGCGGATTTCACGCACAACATTCTCGGCGTCTGCTGGGTTACGCTTGCCCCGACGGCGACGAACCTCGTCAACCTCAGCTTGGATTCTACGTTCCATCTCACCTTGATTTACAACAAACGTCTGGCGGTTCCTTTCGATAAATGCCAAATTTGATGTTGCGGCAAATGTCTTCTGGAACGGCGCAAGCTTGGCTGCAGCAGTGACTTTAGCAGGTGGAGGCGGGTAGATCAATGGTAGCAATTTACTAAGGTCAAGCATCGTGACCTTCGGGGGGGCAGGGGGTTGAATATAAGCCGGTTGTGAAGCTGACCTCTGAGCTGATGAACCTCCATAAATATCAGTGCCACCTCTAGGCTTCGCAGTGAACTGCTCCGAGGCCCTCTTGTTCCCAAAACTCAGGCTATCAAGATCATCTGCCAGATCCGTAGCAAATTTCGGCCCTCTAAGCTTAGCTTCGCTCACAATCCAATCCCTAAAGACTTTGTGTCGCCTGGTCTCAAGATCCTCTGGCTCTGGCCTACCGAGAGTAGGAGCAGCTGTGGGAGATAAAGAAGCCTCTTTCTCAAGCATGTTCATAAAATTTGCAATCCGCTCCGCATAGACATCCGATGGAGGAAGGGTGAAGGAAAGTTGCTTTGAAGGCTTAGGGGGGTGATTTGGTAAGCCCGGTGAACTTGGTAATTCAACAGCATATGCCTGTGGTTGAGGTGGATTGACCGGTGGAGCGGTCGCTTGCTGCGTCGGAGTGTATGGACTCGACTGTTGTGTAGTAGGATATGCACCCGGCATTTGCGTAGGAGGGTATGCGCCCTGTTGTTGCGCTGGGGGGTAGTTACTACCTACCTGCTGCGCAGGAGGGTAGGCATCCTGTTGTTGCACTGGGGGGTAGGCATCCTGTTGTTGCGCGGGAGGATACGAGCTTTGCTGTTGCTGTGCAGGGGGGTAGGCACCCTGTTGTTGCGCAGGAGGGTACGAACCAGGTTGCTGCGGCTGTAGAGGAGGACCAAAGGGATGGTAGTTTGAATCCGCATACCCTGTAGCCGAGGGGATGTTGGTCTGTTGTAGATGTGGCGGGCTCTGCGGGTGTGTGATAGGAGCGGCAGCTGGAGACCCATAGTTTGACACTCTATTCCGATCTGGCGGGGTGGCAGTTGGCTTTGGTGGGCCATAGGAAGAGGAAGGGAGAGGGGCTTGCTGCTGAGGCTGCTGCTGATATGGGCCTCCTTGCGGTGTATATGGTCCGGTGGCCACAGGTGGTGAGTATGTGGCTGGTTTCTCAAAGAATTTACTAGGACGTTCATAAGTGCTCGGGGTGGAGACGACAGAATCAGTTACAGATGGAGCGTAATATGCAGCAGCACTTCCTCCTTTGCTATCATGGGGAGGAAGAGTGGTGTAACTATCAGCAGTCGATGGCCTATAATCAACTGGGTCTGGCCGCGGCGCTGTTGGTAATGGTGAGGGGAGTCGATGGGCAGGCGGTGATACTGGTCGCTGGTCTGCATTGTTTACAGGCTGAACCAAAGGCGATATCACGGGCGATGGATGTGGCCTCACGCGCAGTGGGGCTACGGTTGGTAATTGTGTCGATGTCACAGGCTTTGGAGGCTGGTAAGCCGTGTAAGGCCCATGTGGTTGACTGGGTATCACTGAGTCGGTCGAGTATGCCTGCTGAACGGGGGGCCGATACGCCTTCATATACATAGCCCAGGAGAAAGATATTTAGTCACTTTCAAATCGATATATTCAGCAGTTTCGATCTGTGCTTTAGATACCTTATATGCCCCGGAAGAAGATTTGGGCGACGGCGGGTTAGCCTTAGTGCTCACGGGTGAGGTCGTGGTCGGCGAGGCCCCAGGATAGTATGGAGTATACGCCGGCTGGCTCGTCGAAGGGGGACTGACAACTAGACCGCCTGGCTTTGCGGCTGGTAGCTGAAGCGTCGCCTGTGTACATTAATTACGAACACCAGGATCAGTATTCAAATACCACTATCGATAACGATATTTTATGAAAATGAAATTACTTACACCGGAAGGGCTTCGTCCGCGAGCGTGCGCCTGCCGTTCGGGTGAGTTATCCCGAGAGTACGGCGGTGATCCGGACCCTTTATTATCTCGCCGATACTCAGGATTGTAGTTAGACATCGTTGGGACTATCTATATCTTAACTACCTTCCGAGGGCGATAGATCTATAGATTTATAGATGTATATGGATGTAATGATGTAAGACGACCAGGTGCACCAGTGTAGGATGATATGGTGAACAACTGTCGTCTGCGCCGGGCCAGGTATGTCAGTCTATTACCTGCCGTCTGAAGCGGGGCTCGAAAGCTGCTAGCCCCGCCATGGCCTTGGATGTATGACCTAACGAATCCATGCATGAAATTCCCTGGCACAGAAGATGTCGACCGCGCGAGCATCCGCAGGATCCTTGCTTACAACGCAAACATGACATCTTACTCAATTGCAAACACGCAGGACGTTGCCTTGTTATTTTTGGTACTTAGCATTGCTTTATATTGTATTGTTTTGAAAGTTAGGTTGCTCGTAGGTATTGCAGCTAGGAAAGTTTTAACAAGTACAAGACTTTACAAGAGCATCAGGGCGCCTACTGCCCCAAGAGATTTACCCAAATTTGCAGCATCACCATATTTATTCTGATTTCGGCAAAATATCTGGAACAGGGCCGACTGGCGTGATTGACTATAAGATGCGTCGTTAGTCTTTAAACTGTGCTTTGCAACATTTGGTAATCTGCATCGGTTTATAATACTTACGAAGGGATTGATCTGAGTATGGCTCTTTGTGTAATGCTTTTTGATATGTTCAAAATTGCAAGTGTCCTTGAACGCTGGGATGTCCCAGTAAAGGTGCTGCATCCACTTGTGAATCACTGGATAACTGTATTTTGCGGAGAACCAATTATTAGTTCTCATCTGATTTCCCATGCCGCACTCGGTAGTGTTTAATGTAGTTGGATCAGAATACTTACTCGTGGCGGATCATTTTGATATTACATTTGAAGTGCTGAACATACACCGGATCAAAGCGAATTATTGTCGGGAATAGTCTGATATCCGCTTCCGTGAGGGTCTTCCCGAGGAGATAAGGACCATCCGACTTGTTCAAAATATCCTCTACACGGTCGAGGGCTTCGAAGAGTCTGAGAACGTTCCTCTCATATGCCTCCTGAGTACTAGCAAAGCCTGACTTATAAACTCCGTTGTTGATAGTGTCCTAAAGATAGTATACTGTAAGATATGGAACGGTTCATTAGGGTATTAACATGACGAGGGGGAAGGCCATACATAAATCCAATCGTTCATTTCATCAATTTGTTTGGCATGCTCTGGCGCATAGAAGTTGAGGTTCTTATACTCGTCTGCAATGAGACCATCGAATTCGGTGTAGAGCATGCGAATGATCTCACTGCTCTCGTTGTTGACAATAGTTTTGAGCTTCTTATCCCAGAGGACGGGAACGGTAAAACGTCCGGTATAATCAGGATTGACAGAGAAATAAACCTCTCGCAAGAACTTTGCACCAACTAGGTCATCTGGGCCGGCATCCGGGATTTTCTCGTCGACTTCTGCGAAGCGCCATCCCTCTAAATGATTCGTATTTCTTTAGTATTATACGCTCTGTTCTCCGCACCAGGGCTTACTTACTTTCTCCAAGATGCCAATGAACGACGCTCTAATAATAATGGAAACAGTTAGATGTGTGGGTTCTTGCAGAGCGGAATTTATACAGTTATGTTATACTTACGACGGAAATGATATCCTCCAGGCCTTTAAGTTGACGAACGATTAATGTTCTAGTAGCTGTACCATGGTATTTTAGCAAATCTGACCATGGAAAATAGGGTAAAATCTTGCGAGCATACCCCAAGGACACGCGTAGCTGACGTAGAGATGGTATCTCCCTTTTTCTGCTGGGAATTGTGCATCTGGATCCAAGTTGGATATTGGTTAGTACTTTAATTTCCGTTAATTTTTTTCACTGTATCCTTCATTGGCGCACCTGGGGCAGATGAAATTTGGTCGCGAAACGACGACTATAGATAATGAAGTTTTATTAATATATCGGTATATTTCATTCACAATAGCATTGATAAAGATACGTATATGGACTTTGTTACTTACAGCCTGACGTCTAAATTCTCCATCTTTCGATGCCCAGGAGGTGATCTTGGTATCAGTCTTTTGTATTTGAAGATACTACAGTTAGCAAGTTCAATTTCACTTCAATCTTCCGCATGGAATGCAGCCCGTCAAGCGTTATCTTCAAGTTTTGATTGCACCCTCCTCCCACGCCCACATACCCACAAGGCCACGAGCTCAGCAAGCGAAGGAGAAGAGCCGTTGTACATGGGCAGGTAATCACTAGTACTCTCGACTCCAAAGCTATGAGAATGCTGGGAACTTACCGACATGGTTCGAAGTTGTGTAAAATTCGAATGAATTGTAGTATCAGAACCTCTCTTCTTGTTCAAAAATCGGGTTGTGTTGGCGGTTGTGGTTAGCAGTGCCGATGACGTTGTTCGCGAAATCGAATGGATGCGAAGTGAACTTTTCAAAGAACGAGATATCGCTCTAGATATAGATGTCAAGTTTTGGGACATAAAAAAGACACCTTTGTAACTCTACACAGAAAGTACGTTATGTTCTGTTTTATATATCGTGTACCGATTCATCTTAATATTAAATTGAGAAACTCGACATTGCAAGCCCAGGCCGTAAAAGGCCCCGCACCAAAGTCGAAAGAAGCCCGGATTCCCTTAGTCATGATTGTTAAGGTTTTGTGGTGTGAGCCTGACTAACCAAAATTCGGGCAATCTGACTAACCAATCCATCCGTAACCTCTTTACTAAACCTGCTGGCGCTGTTGACTAATCACTCCTGACATGGTACTTACTCAAGTGCTGACTTGGACTCGGTCTAGCTCCAGCAAATTGTCTTGGGATCACGAGTGATGAAGCTACGAACGCATCTTCGTTTCCCATGCTGACTGAACTACCTAAGTCTTTACATTTGGCCAGGTCGTTCTAACTTCTAGCTGCTTAGTAGATACCTAAATCTAAATCTCGGCCGACATGGCGAGGGGAAATAAATTTCAACGATGATAGGCTTCCGAATTCCATTTTTTTGGTTTTTCTTTTTGGTACCTAATGTAATCCAATTAAACTAGCAACTGGCTATCAACACTGCTTATATCTTTGGGATTTCTAGGTCCCCGGGGTTGTTCTATTATGCAGCGCTTATCTTTCAGACGATTTAAGCATCTTTGGTCTTGACACAGATGAATGGGACTTCAACATCTTCCCCGCTCTTGTCATCCGCGCATATCTCAAAAATCATATTGCGTCGACCAGCAGGGACTGGTTTCTTGCTGACAAGTTCTACGAGCTCCGACATCCTATTCATACTTGGTTAATGCACGGATTCTATTTTTAAAAAAAAATGATATAGAGATTGTTAATTGGCAAACTTACTTCAATGGATATCGCTCTTTTAACTTGGCAGCCGGGAAGAAAGATGCATACAGCAAAGCATTGCCGTAGCTCAACATGGTAATATCCAATCCCTTGTTTTCGAACTCTGCAAGAAGTTCCTTAAGCGTGAGGTTATGGTCAAAGTCGAATCTGTCCCAGAGCTTGTCGACCTCCGTATCGTTGTATTTGCCTTTTGGAGATGCAATCGGCTCTGAGAAACCGAAGAATGGCAAAGCCAGATTGATGAATCCGTTCCTGTAGTCATCAAGCTTGTCCTTGCCATCGATGAGCTTGTAAAGTTCGAGAACTACAAGTCCGGTAACGAGCGCAGTCGTTGTTGCGATGGCTGGAATGATTTTACCAGCGATGAGCTATAAAGTTAATCAGTAATTGACCCCCTTTGATATCTAAATTATTTTGCGATGTACCTTAGTCTTGTGTCGATCTGCAACTTGAATACCATAGTTGAGAGCTCTCAAGTTAGAAGCAGCGGTGATGAATGCAATGTGGAAATTGGTATCATCATCCTTCTCAAATTCTGCAGGAGTCAGGCGGTACCCAGCAAGAGTAGCCGGGGCAGGCAAGCTCTCGACAATTTTGGAGAGCTCGTCTTGATCAGCGAAGCCAGGCCCGGCACTAGCATTTGGGTCGGGATCGCTGTCGTTCGCCTGTATTTTGATGCCGGTTTGGGGTTTGAAATCAGGAATCAACATAGAGTCTAGGACCTTGCGATACAGGTTAAGATCTACAGAGCCCTTAAGCCCGTAGTTAAAAGCATGAAGATTTGCGGCGGCAATAATGAAATCCTGGTGTTCTTGGTTATCGAGATCGAAAGCTAACGGATCAGGGGCACGCTTGGGGCCGGACCAGAATGGGGTTCCGGAATTGGTGACGGAATCCTTGGGGAAGACGTGGAGTAGCTGTTGGATGTCATTGTTGTAGAGCTTCTCGAATTTAAGCCTACCCCATTCGATACACTCCTCAAATGTCAATGGCTTATCGTTGGCTAGATAGTCTCGGATAGTTTCAAGTATTTCCTTTTGATTTCCTGACTGTTTAAGTGTACTCTCGATGAAACTTGGTTGCGAGAGGTATAGGTTAACACTCTGGGGTGGGTTAACGAAAGCTGAATCGAAGACTTCGCGCCCCCAAGCGATTGTATGTTCAATCCTGTTCGGGAAAGATTTGACGGTACACATGGGGAACGACTTTTCGGGCGGATCCTGGGATGAAGAGTAGGACTCTGAGAGATTAGGAAGGACAACTTGGGTGTTACCCTTAGTACCAAGGGTACCACTCTCAAGAAGTGGCTTTCGGAAGAAGACACATCTTCTGTCAACATAGACACGAGCTTCTACGTTGTCCAAGGCATTGGTAACGCCATCCAGGCCTTCCCAAAAGTCCTCATTGAAGGTATCTTCTGTGTCTTCACCAACACGGTCTCTCATAGACGTGATCTTGCCGTTCAATTCAGGGTTCATCACAGCGACTGCGGCAGCTGCACATTCGCTCTTGAGCTTCCCGACGTCCGGCGCCCTGAAAAGAAACTGTCTGTTAAGGTTGCTTCTCTCGATGGAGTCCATGTCGGTAACGTGAATGCTACCATTTGGCCCAGTAGCAAGACCGATCATGGCCCAATTCTTGAGCATTTCACAACCAATGGCGCCGGCACCGACAAGGAATTCCTTGGTATTTTGGATCTTTTCTTGAAATTCCTTCCCGAAGACGGCGATTTGAGCATCATATCGAGACCCAATCGGCTGGCAAGATTCTTCCGTTCGACTAGTTGACGTCGGCAAGCTCTCTAATGAATCGAAATACATGAATTGCGTTACCGGCGAGAACTTTCCAGAAAGTGCCTTGAGAGCCTCCTGAGCAGCTAAGCCTCCAAAGAAGGCCGCCATAGGCGACAAGTAACCTTGAGCCTGATATGAAAGCTCGGTGAGGAGTTTCTCATCAATTTCCTCCGGCGCACCCTCTTCGATGGTCTTAGCAATTTCTGCCGCTAGCCCAAGGACCTCCTTTGCATCCTGATCATTCATCGGCCGAGGAAGTCGACCTCCGTTGGCGGAAGCAAATTTGGACAGGGCCTGGAAACCAATGTGTAGCTGGATCGGACGATCCCATTTGGCGAAGTCGGAGATCAGAAATTCCGGTTTCACGAGTTGTTCCGCTAGGGGCTTGAAGTTGAGAGTCTTGGGCATCTTAACCTGCTGGAACAGCCCACCCTTGGTATATTTACCTAGGCCTTCAACAGAGCCAATAGAGAAGGTATAGGGTCCCTTGACTTCAACTTTCCTTGGGGTTCCATCGTTTACCCCGTCCATACCTTCAACTTCGGAGAATGTGACATAGTCGCCATCTTCAAGTCCGTGCCTAGTCTCATCTAATGCCGTGACAAGTCCCTCCTCGTCGATATCGGATATAATTCCACTGACTGGGGTCTCCCCTGTGGCGTCGATAACAGAGAATCCTTCGCCGAAATCGCAGAATATACTTCCAAACAAGCCACGGATGTCGGCGCTGATGAAGTAAATCTTGTTCTCACGACAGAATTGATTGATCTTCAGTTGGTCATCGATGGAGGTTTCGGTCAGAACGACGACCTGGTATTTAGACAGGGACTGAAGGTCACTAGTGATGTTCTCCGTGTGAACGCTAACGGGGACGTATGTGTTAAGCTCGGCGAGTCTCGGCTGAGTGGCGTCCGCTCGGGACTTGCCAACGTCCTCCTTTCTTAGGAAGAATTGGGCAGATAAGTCGGACAGCTCAACGGGGGCGGGGTCATAGACTGCCATCGCCTTGACGCCGGCCAAGGCAATGTTTTTGGCTTGGAAGCGTTAATTTCATTACTTGTAAACTCTCGGATACTAGGAGTAGCTAGCTTACCTATCTCCACACCAAGACCTTTCAACCCAACGACGAGGACGTTAGAGTTGGCCATTCGACGCATGGCCTCATGTCCGAGGACATAACTAGAGAATCCCACCTATTAGCACCTAATATGGAAGCATACAAGGTCGGGTAAGGCATCGTACAGCTGTCGAGAGTACAAACCCTCGTCAATTTTCTGGTCTCCCTCCTTCTCGGTTTGCATTTTATCCTGGATTGCGGGGCAACACCCCAAAACACGTCAGCTCTGAAGCTTCGGAACAGCTCCCGGGAGCGGAATGGAGCAGTTAAACATACCGCCATGGCGATAACCTTCTTCGGACGAGAGTTCGAAGGACTCGACGGAGCAGAAGGAACCTCTGCTTTGCGTTTCGACGACAGTTTGAAGGCTTATGCGCAATATAGGGCCAAAAGAGATGTAGGAAACTATTGCGTGATTCCGTAACTAGCTGCTTAGCCCTCGATAACAAAAGGGAAGAAGTACCAAACAAAAGATGGTAGTTCCTAGTCGAAGATAAGATGTCTACCTACGGTGTGATGGTACAGGTGGTAAAGTAGCGGTTGGAAAAGTATGATGATGGTGATGGTGATGGTTATGATGGTTTATGGTGGAATGAAATGTTGAGACGTGACGAGTGGGAGGAAGTGGGATGGTTTTTGTGATGTTGGGTTGTTGGAGCTTAGCGGAAAGCGGGCGGCGGTCAGGTAACGTGAAAAGGTGGGCTGCCACCATCAGCCTCGCCCACCTTCATGTGTGGTGAGCAGGATCTGATCCCGTCAAGTTCCCCACCATACCAAGGCCTTACTCATAGCTCTCTGTAGGAGGTACTCATTCTATTTGGACCGAACCATATTTCTAATCATGCCGCCCGGATCCTATCCACCACCTATGTCCCAAATATTATGCCACTAACATCATACTATCACGCACAAAAGAGTTTTGACAAGGGGCAGAAGGAACACTGATTCTTCATGACGTTATGAAAGTCAATATCGACTCACTTTTTGATTCGATATAATGAGGCTTAAAGGTTGGTATCTAATAATACAGTCTAGCGAGAATCGAAGTATGGTTAAGGACAAGGACAAGGACAAGGTAAAAAGCAAAGGCAAAAAAGCAGGAACGGAGACAGAGACAGAGACAAATGCAAAGGGAAAAGGAAAGTGGTTGGGTCAAGAAGGTAAGGCAAGGTAAGACGAAGCAAATCCTAAATGAACGTCAGGCATCAACAGAACAGAGGCCGAGAATGAACAGCCTAGATGTACAGAGCATAGACCTGATGGAATTCCTGCCTTCAGAAAGAAAAAAACGCCACGGGAAGAATATCAAGGAACTATTGCGGATGGTAGGAAAACGGTGCTCGCGGGAGTTTGTACTACAAAACAAAATGCCAATCGAAATGGATAGAGAATAGACGGGTTTTCCTTGGTCGCTTCATAGCTAAATCCAGTGCTGAAAATATTCAAGTGGAACAGAATAGGAATTGGAAAATATGAGGTTTGTTTGGTACTAAAGGTAATAGAGAAAATATCATAATGCTGATGCTTCCGCCGAAATACAGAACACAAAGGACAAAGGAAATTTTGAACGAGCAGAGAGGACCGACGACCTTTGGAAGAGAAAGATGTCTATGCAGAAAAAAGGAGGAGGAAAGAGTAAACGGAGAAGAAGAGGAGAAAGAAAAAACCAGAGAAACCCCGCTAAAGTAGCTCAATACAAAAGGGAAACCGAAACAATAAAAGAAAAAAAGAGAAGGAGAGAGAGAAAGGAAAATGTAGATGAAAATGTTTTGTTTTTTTTGGAGGGGAATGGAGGAGAAGGGAGCGCCTATGTATATATACGTATATATATATGTGAAATAAACCTGATGGGGGTGGTAGGTTCCTTGATTGATTGTGAAGAACGAACGGGAAGATTGGATATCTGAGTTGAAACTGTTCGAAAAGCCGCCAACGTCACGGTCATAATAAGTTGGTTTCATGGTATCGTTGGAAAAACGCGATATCTTTTGAGATCTGCAACACTATCGACGTGCCAGTGACCAGGCGAAGGTTGAGATCCTACTCATCATCGTTTTCGCTGTCCGAGTCGTCGTCATCGTCATCGTCATTGCCTGACATTGTCCACCCGCTGTTCTTGAACTCCTCGACTGCCTTAAGCGATTTTTGAAGGTCGGTCTTCAACGTCTCGACCTGGTTGACATCGGGCTTTCCCTTCAAGAATAGAAAGCTCGAGACTTCGACGATTCGGAGAGATTTCTGCAGCATGTTATCCATGCTTACCAGCAAGTTTCTACAAGCCGGATCCTTGGCGAACATGACAATCCTCCCTTCCCGTTTCATCGATTGGATTTGTTGGGACATCTCGAAGACCATGTCAGTGAATATTTTTTGAATCTCGCCGTCGTACCAGATCGGATTCCGTGATTTTTTTTCCATGAGGCTCTCGAGAATGGTTTTTGCGGACAGTCGACGCTTTTTGGCGGCCGAGGTGGAGAGGGCATCGGACGATTTGACGCTGGTGTCGGTTTTCAGACTGTTTGCGGATGGCTTCGTACGCAAGGGCAATGGGAGCGGTACCGGGGCAGCTATATCACTCGAAACGGCGGCGGCGGCGAGAACTGGTTCCTTTGTCAAGTGTACCTCACCGGCTGTGGCCAAGGGTGGTGTTACGAGGGTGGGTGGCGTCGTCGGTGGGATGCTCGCGACAGAAGTTTGAGCGGTTACCGGAGGTCGAAAAAGGCCTGTCGATGGGGAATCCAGGGCGGGTGTCACGATTCTGGGAATATTAGGTGCCGAAGAGTCGACATTCATCACATCAGCGAGGTCAGGCTTGGGAGGTTGTGGTTGTGGTTGTGGCTGTGGTTGTGATCGTGATTGTGATTGTATATCGAGGTTATCGAGTTTCCTCGCCGGTGGTGAAATAGGGCCGGACGATTTGATATCGGACGGAGGCTCCACGATCTTGGGCATATTGGTAGGGGTGCCAGGTCTTATCCTTTCGTTGGAACCAACGGATTTTCCCGAGTCGTCTTCGGCCAGAATTCGAGAAGCCTCCTTCATCACGACGTCTTCAGCTTGTTTCTTTCTCGCAGCGAGTTTGTAAAGTGGCGTTTTATGTACCCTTTCATCACTTGACGCCGGATCTTCCGGCTTCGCCCTCTTCTGCTGTTTCACAGCGGCCTCCCTTAACTTTTCGATACTCTCCAACCATTTCTCCGTTGTCGTGGTGAGTTTTTCGAGAGCGGCCAGATAGGTCGGGCCGGTCAATGATGACGGACCGGCACCAGGTAAGGAACCGGTTACCCTGACACCTGCACCGGCCATTTTTACCCTCATAGCGGCCGCTCGGGCAGCAGCACTCATCGGTCGACCATAACTGGATATTCCCTCCATTTGGGAGCGCGAACGTGTTGATGCGTATTGTTGATGTTAGTGGTAATGATGATGATGATTGATGATTGATGTTTTGTTGGATAGATGGACGGATGGACGGGGTGGTGGTGATGATGATGGTGGTGATGGTGAAGAAAGGAAGGAAGGAAGGGAGGAAGAAATGAAGAAATGAAGCGAGGGAGGATGTGGAAGAACCAGAAGAGGAAGGATGTTGAATGGGTCGGGGAGGGTTGTCGAGGGGAGGTGTTGAATCAGGCTATATTGTTCCGATCACACAGGACAGGCGGGCAGGGCAGGGCAGACCTGACGGGCAACAGTTAAGCCAAGTCAAGTTGCACGCACGTACATGAGTAAGTAAGTAAGTAAGTAAGTAGATACTTAAATAGAAGAGAGGATGCAGGAAATATCAGATCGAGACGAGATGCAATGGCCCTGGATGGTTTGGTTTGGTTTGGTTTGGTTTGTGAGCGATAAAAAAGACAGGTAGACCAGGCTGTTCGTATGTTTCGGGGGGGTTGAATGCAACGTGCTATGTTGTGCTTGATGTGCTGTGCTGTGCTGTGCTGTGCTGTATGTATGTATGTATGTAATGTATGTAATGTAGGGAAGCAATGTAGGTTATGTTGATGTTGTGCTATGTTTGGGGGGGGAGAGATAGATGCAGAGACCGGGACAGGACAGGACAGGACAGACAGGGCGGAGGGGAATGAATGAATGAATGAATGAATGGATGGGAAGGGGAGAACAGAAGGGAAAGGGACAGCCGACTGTGGTGAGGGATAAAACCCGGCAAGCCCGTTTCTCTGCTGCAAAGAATCAAAAGCCACCCCGGCAATTCAAGAACAAGAACAAGAACAAGAACGAGAACAGTACCCAAAACGAAACCAAGAAAGAAAAAAAAAAAAAAGTCAAAAGTCAAAAGTCAAAAGCTAAAAGCCAAAAGCCAAAAGCCAAAAAGAAAAATGCGAAATGCGAAATGCGAGGGGATGCAAGAGTACCACGACTCAGTCCAGTCTGATCGGTCACTTATGTATTATGTCGCAAGTTGAGTACTCTTTCTTTTTTCTTTTCTTCTTCTGTTTCTGTTTCTGTTTTTTATAAATTATATTTCACAGAGCAGGTATATAAGTGAGTATGTAAAAGGTAAATAGATAAATGGGAAACTATATTTGGTCGGGTGGTCATGGTCATGGCCATGGTTTAAAGGGGGACCGTTCACCATGATATTATAATATACGTAAGAACCGAAGCAAGAAAGCTACCTAAACTACTAACTAAGAAGTACCTAGGTAGAAGACGAATTTTAAAAAGTGGATAGCGTCACAGACACAGACACGGACACAGACACGGACACCACCTAGGTAAGTAAGTACATACTTTTACTATCAGTTGCTCACCTAGTTACTAAAACTAAACAAAGAGAGAGAAAGAGAAAGAGAGAAAGAGAGAAAGAGAGCGAGAGAGCAAGAGAGGGTGTGTGGGAGTGAGAGGAAAAGAAGGCATCGAATTGTGCTCTAACGAACTAGGCGGGAGAACGAGACCGCACCGTTCCCCACCCAGCATCCGCATGGAATCTGCGCTAGCCAGCCCGAGCCTTGCAAGCCGCTCTTGCAACCTTGCAACCCTTGGAGTTTCCCCGTCTCACTAATCTCGTTCGATGCACGTCTTATTACATCCACTCCTTGGTCCATTTGAATTTGAAGGCATTTCCCCAGGCGAGTCTCTTTCTCCCAATAATTGTGACGATATATCCTCGACGTGCATACTGACATACATACTATGTACATACATCGATGCATCCACATATTGACCCTTGGGTACTTACGATGGAGGTACTTATATATGCTCAAGTAGTATATAAGTACCTAGGTATATATATATATATATATATATATATATATATATATATACTCTAATGGGTTTGGCTACAATTATCTACATATAATACATGTCCAACCGCCTGGATCATAACCCAATTATGTAACATACACTCGGCGAGAAACTTCACAGAAGATGCTCTCACAATCACCTGTTTCTCATACCTCGTACATATCTCTCTGTGCTGTTTGCACCTCGTGGTACAAAACATACGTGAGAGTGAGAGTGAGTGAGGAAGAAAAGAAAGAGAAAAAAACCCGAGAAACTAATATCAATCCAGATTCCAACAGTAATGCTTAGCACCAATTGGTGCTGAGGCCAAGCTAACTCATTTCAGCAGATCACCAAAGGATATCAGGAAAAAGCGTGGAAGGCGGATCGAGGAGGGAAGAAGCGGAGAGGGTGGAGCTGGGTCGAGACGATTGGAGCAAGGACATGGCATTTTCATTGTCTGAGACGGAATGCCTGTTGCGAGACTCACCGTCAGAACCCTAAATCAACAAGATCTATGCTGGATGGAATGGAATATCCATAACCTACTTACATACAACCCGGGGAGAAAAGAAAAGGAAAAATTTTTATGAAAAACAAAACTTCCGACACCGACATCTCCATTTGCGGCTGTTGCAATTCGCCTTCAAACTACTCCGTACGAAATTTGGCGCATCCAACCTAAATCTGGAGACCGAATAACATCCACACATGCTATTGCGTGGTTCGTCTAAAACTCGATTCTCCGTGGCAGAACCCGTCGTTACTTTGGAGAAATAAATTACGATTTGGGTCGACTGGCATGAATTTCAAAAGCCATTTACCGAGAGAAGCGAGCCGATCCCGTTTGGGTAAAAAGTTCCCTGACCCTCCTTTCTTATTCTCGTCCGAAGGCCTGTCATGTGCGGGTGTGGGGGCCCCTTCCGAGTGGTCAGAGCACAGAGTGTATCATCACCCTGTCCCCACTTCTTGTGATTTGCCCAGACTCTGAAGTTTGCCGCTACTTTCTCCCCTTCACAGTCGACAGACGCGAAGACGCAAGAACACGTATCGATGGTCGAACGCTGGAAGAATCCACGGTGACAGCCGCAATTGACTTCACTTCGTCTATTTTTCCTGCACTGCGCTGCGCTGCACTGCACTGCACGAGATATATACATACATAGTACGTACATACATACATGCAGCATCTTCCCTACCAATTTGTATTCCAATCGAGGTCGATCACATCGTATAAGATGTGGAGCAGGTTAAAATTAACAAGGCCTTTTGGAAGGAGCTGACGACTCTAGCCAGACAACCTTCCTGGGGAGATATACTATGTATGCACCCAGACGAGCTAACGCAATAGTATACACTTCTATGTATGACCAAGGCCTCGACCTTCGAGCCTCTTCCCCTCCCGGTCTCTAAAACATACTTTTAAACGCAGATCAGTGGTATCGGTAATACAATTACTTCACCGCTAGCCTATTCCGCTAGGCTTGAGTAATAAGCTTCTCAAGCCCGTGGCCCGTTAACATCGACAATTAACTGTTTGAACGTGTTTTCCATTCAGAATAGGTGCCTAGAGGATGAGGATACAATTGATGATGCTAACAGCTCAAAGCCCTACGGAAACTGAATCCGGTTGATCATGCACTGTATTCCCCCAAGCTTCGCATGCAGATCTCTCAAACAAGTGCCAAGGCCAGCTGCACACCTGAACATTGTGACCTGTTTATGCAATTAGCAAGGGACTTCCAAGAGGCAGCGATTTCCACCATCTCCATAGAGAGTGGAAGAGCTCACATCTTTCAAAGAAAATTTCTCAAAAAGGTGGTCCTTTTTTTTTCTCTCGTTATTTGCGGGAGGAATAAGTTTGGTAAGGTAGCCGAACTCGGGAACTTGCTTGTTTGAACTGAACACGGAAGGGAAGCGGATATCCGGATAAGAATAGCGCCTCAATTCCAACCGAGCCAAGTCTCTTCCAAAGATGGCAGGCAATCGAAGTCTGCCTTTCCTTACCCTTCCCTGCAATACCTGACAGGTTCCTTTTTCTTTTTGCCTTCCTGTCACGATCCGTCGATTTTAACTCAGTGCAGCTACCCAAAAAAAAAAAAAAAAAAAAAAAGAATTGCCAACAAACCGTTTCATGAAATCACCCTCACCCAAACCTTGCTCTATCGGATAATTCGATTTGATGAATATGAAACCGATCAATACTACGATCTACAATTATAAACTTTTATGAGTAAATTCCGTCTAGTTTAAGACGTTAATACCCGTCATCGCAGGGAATACTCACTTTAATCGGCGAAGCTAAATGAGGGACTTGTATAATTGGGGCTCTAGATTAAAATACCACCGCTAACAAAAGCGTTTTCGTATCGCAGCCCGGTTACAGAAAGTGACAATCGCCCTACCTATTCCATTCGATTCAATCACATTGATGGCGACATGTTAGCATCGTTACCCTTGCTAACAGAAACATCAAAAGAATATGTAGTTACTTAAGTACATATTAGGTCGTAACAAAAAATAAAAAACTACCGGGTATAGAGACTAATTTTTGCCAAAGCCGTGCAGGGTCACCTATTTCTTGCATACAACCGCCTTACCCCACCAAAAAAACGAAAATAGGGAAGGGCAAAAAAAAGATCTGGTCCTATTAGAATTGTTGAAAGTCGAATGATCCCTCCGTTTCACCCAGTGTGATAAGTTTTCACGCAGATGCATATGTAGAACGCATTCAATGTGATTTCTCAAACGGCGCATGATCATAAGGCCCAAGCCAAGACATAGTTATCCATTAAAGTGACAGCCGGGCTGAGCCTCGCTGAAAAGTATCGAATGCAATACACAAGTATACCTAAATGACAAGAAGAAGAATAAAAGGATAGCTTTTCGACAACGATAGAACCCTTGATTTGAAGGTTTGAAAATTTGTGTTAAATTACATTTAAGAATAAAACACATCTCCAGATTAGGCAATTTGCTTTTTATAAAGTATCCAAATCAGGCAAATCGAGGACGACATGCAACACCCCAACACACACGCACACACATGCTGGTATAGCCTGAGATCTCATCACAGGGGCTGACGCAATTCCCTCGAAGCAAAAAGGTATGTACCAGGCTCCCTTGGTTTCGTTAATAAACCAATCCATCGAGCCTTTTGGTTCCTATTGGGCTAAGGTTAACGGTTGGCTCTGCTGTGCAATACGAGCCTGCACAACACCTTACATGCGAAGAACATGGGCGTTAAGATGCATATGCCGTTTAAGGCTCTTTGGCATCTTAGTGAAATCTAAACGTTATCCAGTCACACTGCATTGTCCAGGTGTTCTCTTCTTACCGTGTAATTTTGTCGCAAAATTACAGGCTGATCCCCGCCTAATCATTTATTAAAACTCTTAGCGTTAGCACTTCACACTATTCTGTGGTACTATATTCAGGTTCTAACCAGGCCCGATCCCGAACTAAAAAGTTATCACAATGCTTAAAGTTTAGGAAATGGCGAAGTAGCCAATAAAGCGCGACGATTTCGGGAGTCAATGGAACTATTTTCGATATAGGCTACATCTCCAGACACCGGTTGTCTCAATATATCGCATGAATTCACAGGATGAAGATAGCCGACTAGCAAGTTTTCGGAGCAAATGTGCAGCAGCCGTGCCAAAATCTCGCAGACCTCTATTCCATTGGACTCGGCTTCGGAAAGCGGCCTCTGAAGACAGCCCGCTATTAGACGCTATGATATTAAACTAGATCCTTCTGCCAGACTCCTCCGTCAATTATTGTACCCGGAACGGGTTTGCATAGGCGGCTGCCAGTTGGCACAGGAAAGAGGGGTTAAAATCCAAATGTGAAAGAGTGATATGCAGCGTAGTCTGAGCCAAAGGAAATTCGCGCTGCAACTGTGGGTCTACCGACCCATTCAAGTTTTTTTATTTATTTTTCATTTTTCCGATGCTGTGCCGAAGTAATCTCTCCAGTAAATATCTCAAAAAGTAAAAGTAGTCGAGCTCAGAACACTAGAATGGAAAATTAGGAAATGATACCTCGTGACCCCCTTCCAAAATATGATGGATATTTCCGACTACATGCATTCGAATAAATCCAAAAAGGATTATTCCGCTTTCGTTATAAAAATTTGAGGAGATCACTTTTGGTTACGGACGGACCGTATGCTGTCGATCTAAGACTCTCCTTATCTACCGATTCCCCACAGTCTCGCTAATAACAGGAAAATGCGGGGCGAACTAAAAAAAAAAAAAAAAGACTCCGTAGGATTGCAAACGAAAAAAAACTTTAAAAAGTATGAAGAAACGAGTTGCCGGCACTCAGAATCGAACTGAGGCTGTATCGGGAGTGTATTACCTTTCGGTCTCCACAACGATACGTACTAACCACTATACTATGCCGGCTTCGTTAGAGATCGCTATTCTAAATTGACGTAATAGACTCATCTAGCCTATCGGTAACTAAACTTAGATAATGGGACTGTTTAATGCCCGAACACCTGTGGCTTGAGGCATACAAAATCAAACAGATTCATGAGACTGTCAAACAGTCGGGATACCATTTAGTTGTGTTGCATAATGTGGTATTTTGACATCAACGCAAGTCTCGTAACTAGCAGAACTGGCGCTTCCCATCGAATCGATGCATCGCATCAGAGATAATAAGCCCTTTGCCAGCCGAAATCAATAGCGATGAGAACAGCCTTCAGAATTGAAATAGGTGGATTACTTATCTACATATTAAAACTCTTGAAATGATCTAATCTCTGTCCCTTGAGTAGTCGGGTGTGAGTAAGCTGATTCTAAATGCGCGCCTGGATTCGAGGCCGGCCATCTTCCCTGCACATAACCTGAAGCATATACTGCACTGTAGTTATATATTAAAGTACACACGCTTAAGAGCAACTAGAAGCTATAGAACAATTGTAAGTGTCATGTCTTTGTTGTCTTCATTTGCGTGACGTTTTCATACTGCCAGCTTCAAACAGCTTGGGGTATACTGGTGGCAGCACTGCCACCATGAAGACACAAGCCCCAGGAGCCCTACAGACGCGGATATGTACGTAAGTAAGTAAGTAGCGTTCGATAACCGTCCACAAAATTAAAACCACCTCACCCTACAGGCCCACTTATCTCGTCTACCTCTAACTCATCATCCATCAATCATCATACCTCGATCCATATGGCCATAGCAATGTGGATTTACTAGAGTGCCATCAGAATCAGGCTCCGACGAGACTATATTATATCAAAATATATCTCACACCATGGCTTCTAACTATGGCTCTTCTATCCAAATTCCTGCCTATTCCCTCCCCGTTGGCACAGGATCGCTCCCTTTGCTCCACGAGCAAACCCATATCGACAAAGTCCGTGAGGCTATTTCCAATACGTCAGACAAATTCATATATAACTACTTTGTTTCCATGGGAGAATCCGCCATCACTATGCAATTACGCTTGTTGGCTAAGAAAGTAGGTGCTGGTAGCATCACATCTAACAAGTCCTGGAAAGTACTGCTCTCCCAACTCCCTATAGATAGATCATTGCCCTTTATCAGTAGCGAATTGGCTATCTTCTGGCCCCCGATGCTGGTTTCGCCCTTGTATACTTTCGGACCATCTGAAACTGATAAGCTGACATAACCGCCCGCAGACTATTCGCGACACCATTCTGTCTGAAGAACAACTAGTCATCCTTTCGGAACACTATCGTCTACGTGAACATCTTCTCCCGGATCACAGGAGACGCAAGCGATGGATGAATACGAAAGCCTATACCTCAAAGCTCTTCTTGGTATACATAGCCGGATATATACAGTCCCTCAAGCCTAGATCCCCATTGAAGTGGCTGAGTTGTACGATGGTCGTCCTTATCAATGGTATGATTGACGAATGCCTCGACAGAAGGGTCCAGATCGGGGTTCCAAAACTTGTACAGGAGCTTCCCGATGGTTCAATGGGTGCAAGTCCTACTAGTAGTCAAGAAGTATGTCTGTATTCCCTCATATAATCCCTAATTGAACAATAGAGAGTAACCAACGATGAGATTTAGAAATCATTTACTACCTCGGACGCCGCTGAGACCAACCCTGTAGAAGGGCCTAGTAACCGCCCGACTATAAACCAGCTACTAGAGCAAGGGTGGAAGTATTCTGAATCGATGGTAAACATTTCAGGTCGGCCTTTCTGGCACGTTGTATTGTTCACCGAAAGTATTGAGCCTATTTCTGTCGTGAGAGAAACTCTAGACCAGGCCAAGTACGAAGCCACAGAGGCGGCAGGAAAGCTATACTCAAAAGATTCTACTTAAGGTTTTTTCTATTACTTCTAACCCCGCCTCTATCTTTCTTCTTCTTTCTCTTCCCTCGCAAGGTTTTGCAATCGTTTAAATGAACCTCAGGACCCCGAACCATTAGTATAAGGTTTATTATCCATGTTTCTATTATTATTCCCAACGATCGTACATGTGCACATAAATCAAAAGACGTCTATATATATAAAGCACAAGCACATCGCTAAATGGTGTTTAGAACCACACATGAATCCCATTTCATCCGTATAACTTTCAGCCTCAGTTTTTCAACTCCTCCTCTGTCGGGCCGAATTGCAAGACCTTCCCGTACCCTAGCCACCCGAAAAACTCAATCCCTAGGCGTACAAGCGTTGGCATTGGTGGAAATATTTCTTTCTCCTTCTTATTAAAATGCCTTAGCTGATAGGATGTCCCCCAAACCATCCCCTGCTTCTTAAGTTCTTCGAAAACAGCTTTCTCGATTTTATTATTGCACTCTTCCAGAACCGTAGGAGGCACTCTCCGTGCGTATAAGGAGGACAAAGTCTCTTCTTTCTGAAGATGGGGAAGCAAGACTTCTATCAGTCGCTCCGTGGTGGAGGAGATTTCCTCGCCTGGCCATGCGGGTGAACCTTCGCCGCCCTTGAGATGCGTTTCCGCAGTTTTAACATACTCCAAGTTCTGGTGAAGTAATCGCTCGATTTCTTCATGCTCGTGGCTTGACTCTGTAAAGTCAACGTATGGTTTCATTATGGGGAAAAATATTTCCTCTTCGTGATGATGATGACCATCCAGGGTTTCGAAAGTCATTTTAGCATATTCGAGGAAGGCGGCACGTTTTGTAGGTTCGATATTTCGAGCTTGACGGGCTACTGCGCGAAGGCTACGGCGGATAAGGCTATGTATTGTGAACAATCCAACCAGAAGTGCGACTATGTAGAGTTTGAGTCAACTTAGTATACGTCCCGCCCGAAATTCTCTATTGCCAATTGATCAATTTTAAGGAGGAGCATACCGACGGGGTCCTTCATGTCAACTGTAGCAGCGCTCAGATTATATTTATCAATCTTTATCGTCTCGACCGGTTCCGGGAATTTGTCGGCGTTCAGGTCATTGTATTCAAGCACTTGTTCCTTTGAGGCGGCCATGGTGTGCGTATCAATACTATAAGTACTAGATAGATGCGAAAGATAAAGAGTATGCCGCTGTTTTGATATGTATCAAGTTTTAAAGCTGATAGGGAGTTTAAATTCCAAACTTTCGATTCCGACTATATATATATATATATATATATATTGTTTGATATAGAGGTATATTATAATATTCTGAAATTCCAAGATGCAAACTGCCAATTTCTATTCCTAAATACAATTTATGTGTTTTGCTAGCAGGTACGCCTTTTATATAATTATTTGCTAGCAGGAAACTTATGTCCATTGATTAACGTTAAGCCCCATAGCACAGCCATGGAAATTTTTGATCTCAGTATTCTTAGTTCTCGATTGCGCAAGCGAGGTTACCATGCATGCTCTTGCGACGGCTTCCCTACAGAGTAGAGTTGCTTCCAAGAAATTACCTGTTTCGGCATTCTATACGTTGCAGTCGCTTCCCAGCCCAAAATCAACCTGGAATGGGTAAAGTATCCCGACTCTTGGCCAATTGGTCATGCCCAGGGCTGAGAAGCGGATTCGCACGGAACATGCAAGCTGACTCAAGGCATTAATCAAAATCAGAGGAGAACAGTGCTTCGGCCCATAGGAAAGCTTGGATTACTTTGTCATGGTCTGTGTGGACCGAGGTCTAGTTTGGCTATGATGTAGAGCTCAAGCTTTGGAGGATCGATTAATATTGGGTTGGATTAGAATACTAACTCGGGGTTTTTCATCCCGCTAGCATCGCCGCCTTGGATTTCAAATAGTACGAGATGTGGAGATTGCGAAATTTATGGCAATGCTTCCCGTTCCCTCCAAGCCGGGCTTGCGCTCGTGCTTGTGAAGCTTGAAAATGAAAATACATATTATATTATTATATCGCATATACTGTATTGATATCGCTAGCTAGAATATGTCCTCCAAGACCCCCCCCCCCCAAGACGCCTTGATCGGCTTAAGACAATTTTTCCATCGTTGCACAAGGCTCGAAACGGGTGTCGGTGACACAAAATCTGATTTTTTGTACTACCTCAGATCGTGTGTTGATGTGTTGATGTGTTGTAGATCTAACCGCATGAGGAAAACGACCATAACCACCTGACCTCAGCATCTCCACTCCGCTAAGGCTACCCCTCGTTGCCTCCACGTTTCTCGAGGCCCAGAATATCCTGCCCGGCATGTTTTCTCCCTTCTAACAAACAGAAAATGTTCCTTTTCGCGTCGCCAATTCTCCAAAGTTGGCCTTCATCCGTCTTAATCCGCACGGCCGGAAGCTAACTTAACTGTCATCCTTAACATCTGTCAATTTATTCTTACCCGCGAATTAACCTTATTTCGATGTCAATGATGTTCAATAACCATGTGTCTTTTTCGACCCCGCAACACTTTTTACTTGATAGTTTCTTTCGTTCTTAATTCTTGATTTTTATCGTTCTTACTGTCCATCCTGCATAGATTACGTAAATACTCAGGGCCGTAACAACAGCTGGGATGAGCCTGATGTTCAACCTCCTCGCGTCGAGGATTACAGAGCGCTCTTGCAGGTAAAGTTTGATTACATCTGGAGCTTTAATGTCTCTACCGATCTAGCCTTTATCAGGACATGAAGAGTATGCCTGACGAAATCACTTTTCATAAATGGGCAGCACTGAAGCCTTTTCTTTCTCTTGTTGGATTCAACACCCTGTCCTCTCATATGATCTGGAGCTAGCTCCAAGCCGGATTCATTCATTCCTGTTGGAATCAATATTTCCCGGTGTCGGTACTCTCAGTTCGATCATGATCGCTACCAGGGGGGGGGAGTATAGGGTCCTTCCTAAAACCCTCTCCTAGATATATCCCTAGGAATATACACTGGAACATATTTTTAATATAAATATAGAGTAATCACTTAGTAGCCTTATTCGTAGAAACAGAAAGAACATCACATCTGTGCAATTATGATACCATCGAGCCCTCCTTTGAAAGGATCACATTCCGAAACGCAGGGCGAGTGAAGAGAGTGGCCAAAGCAATTATAAAGATCTTCTGACGATAAAATTGCCCATGTGCCTTAGTCTCCTCGCTCCATTTCTTCCATAGTTTGCATAAAACAATCAACGGAAGGCAGAAAGAATGCTATCGGGATCTACAAGTTGTAACAGCGGATCCTTCCTCTAGTCGCACCTGGAAGACTAGTTCATATGTAGACCGAGAGTTATAGGAATGCAAGGTTGCACAGGATGATACAAAAAGTTTGTGTTTTCGAACATAAGACGCCACCAGCCTCTGGGTCATGGGTCGTAATCATAACTTGATCGGGCTCGGACGGGCAACTGGTCTCGCTGCGGACGGCCCACAATTTCACCAAAGGAGCCAATAATACATAACATCCCACCTATTCATTCGAGCATGCATTTTATAAAATCCCAAGTTCTCGTGTCTGGCAAGGTTTGTTATAAAAACTCTTTCTATTAGTGGCCTAGAGCGGAAATGCCGTTCTCACTACTCGAGACAGCCTATGTGTCCGGATTGTCTGACTTGAATGCAAACTTTCAGGATACACGGGCTGAAACGGTGAATTGTCCAAAATTAATTTCGTAAGCCGATGTTGTCTTTCTTTTCCTGTCCAAGTGTTACCCCGCCTTGGTTTTCCATGCTGTTGTCAATTCTGATCAGATCGAGATCTTAACTTTGCAATTGCCGCATACAAGCTATCACATTTTAATATTTTCCCATTCACACACACAGGATAGAGTTACTACAACATCTCAACAAAACCATACCGTACGAATATGATAGATGATAACTATTGGGTAAAGATAAACTCGACGGGTGCTTGATTTCTGCACATGCACAGTTTGCTCGAGTTATGGAGGCATACATAAAAGTCAAGTCAACCAGAAGAAAGTTAAATATGTTATGACTATATACTAGGCATTCCCTGGTTAGCCGAAATAACACTCCCCGGTCTCCCAAACAAAAAACAAAAAAACTCTTCAATTAAAAATGTGATATAACTTTAACTTTTGACCCACAAATATTAAACTGTCTTTTAAATTCGATCCATTTTAACGAATTGCCCGCTACGTAGCACTGCGTTAAATAGAGAGAGGGTCAAGGGTATGGGGTATGCAGCTAGAGTGGCTCTGCATGTTAGCGCTCCCTCGTGAAATGTGAAGGGAGGGCCAACGAATGCGTACAGGCCGGTGAGGGGCGGGTTTAGACGATCGCGAACATCGGGGCGCATGTACGTGCATGGATTCAAATATCAGTAAGGGTACTAGACTTGGCTTGTTCAAAGGACAGGCCCGAGTGTTGGATATCAAAAGACAACAACAGGTTAACTTTGCAATTTTGTCTATATATAAACCCGACAAATGGAAGGGCGCAGGAAGTCTCGATCTCGATCTTGTGCGTCTGGTTGTTGAGGGCATTTTCATTAGGGTGAAAATATCATCTCCTTGAATGAGGGCTTTAAACCAAAATCGAATAACGTGAGGCATGCGGAATACTTTTTCGTTTAGACAAAAAATTAAGAAGGAACTTATATACGGCCGGCTAACGGTCAATTAAATCTCGCGAAAACAGAATGATTTATTACGAGTCGTATTGTTGGAATATATATTACAACCATGTATCCATCGTAAAGAAAATAGTGGGGATGAATCTACAAGGTCCTCGATTTGGCCCTTGCGTCGCCGGGTTCGAGCATACGAACATGTCACTTCGCATTCCACGGCACTTCCTCGGAAGGAAAGAAGGAAGGAAGGAAGAAGGACTAATTCCGCTACCCGGGAGCTGGGCAATAGACTTCGGGGTTGATATTTTTACCTTAAAGACATTGGATTATTAGGCCAAGCTAAGGCACAATTCTTCTCTTCTGGCGGAAGATGTACATATATTCTGATAAACGAAAGGCCCAGCAAGGGTATGCTGTCGAAAAAAAACACCATGGATATAGATACAGAAAAAGTTCAAGCGCTGGAAAGGAACCGCAGCTAAAAGAAACCCAAAAGAAAAACTCGCTAATATGCAGGATTCAAAAATCAAACCATATTACATGAAAGAATGATAAAAAAAATAGAGGATAGAGAAATAGGGTAAATAAACAAAAGAATAAAAACAGATACCTAAAAAGTTTGTGGCCACGGTAATTGGACTTGCTAGAATGGAAATGAAATATTATAGACATGCAGGTTTCACGGGGCCAACATAGTCGTCTTCGGCGATGTGTCCAGTGATTGTTAATAGCTCCTTGATCATTCCCTGGTCCCCGTTGCAACGCTTATTGATGAATTCTTCGAGTTTGAGCCTTTCTATACCTTTTTGCTGCCGGTATCTCTGGATGGCTGCCCGGAGGCGTTCGTTTTCTTCCTGGAGTGGCGATTTACTGGGCATGGCATAGCTGGGTTCCCGTTTTACCCTGGGCTTTCCCGATGTACCGTTATAATAAGAACTGTGTTTCTCGAGCATTCGCGCCCGGTACTCCTCTATCTGTTCGTCGGTGTCTTCTTCATCTCTCTTTGGGGTCTCGGCTTCGAGAGGCGGCCCAACAGAGATATTTGTGATGCTGCCAGCTCGGCCTTCTCGAATGAGTAGACGATCTATTTCCGTTGTTAGATCTTGAAATTCCAAAGATCGTTTAAATGCATGGTAAAAGATCTTTGAAGCTTACCTCCTCCGGCGGCGAGCGGCTCTGGGGCGGTCCTCAAGATATCTGGAAATTGGGGCCGGGAGCTGCCTGGGCTCCCCGACCCTCGTTGGGTTGCGTTTATGTCTGCATGAGGGGGGCCGTTTAAGATATGACCTGTATGCAAAGGAGGAATAGAGGGCAGTTTATTTTCATGGCCCCCAGCTCGCCGATCAAAATCCTGTTTCCGAGAAAGGTCGTCCGGCCTGTCCCACCTTGGTCTGTCTAGTTGAATATCGGTGAGGCGAGGGAGTTCCCCAAGCCTGGGTAGTGTGTTTTGCGAAGAGGATGGGTGTTCCCATTTGATGACTGGCTCTCTTCCTTGCTCCTGAGAGATAGGTGAGTGGTGGGGTGCAAGATCACGACCACGGGACTCAGATTGTTCGCCATGGAAAGATAACGGCTGTCTCAAATTCTCAGAGCTTCTCCTAGCGTTAATAGAAGAAAATCCACTTGGGCCAACGGGCGAAGGTGGGTATCTTGAAGGCCCAAAATCACCTGCTCCAGGTCTAGAATCAGGAATCGACACACTAGGAATCCTATCAGGCTCTGCAGCTCTAGGTGGCCAAACGGGGTCAGATCCATGTCGGGAAGATGATAGATTGGAGTTATTCTGAAGAGCAGGAAGCGCTGGTGCCGCATTCCCAGAAGACACTGGAAGATGATGACGATGTAAAAAGGGATTGAAGTTAGTTGTAGGACTTTGATGAGAGGTTGGCTGGGCCCCGGGAAACGGATTGAAGGCTGGATACGTGTACACAGGTTGAGGTGGCGGGCTATTACTATCTTCCTGCGGAGAGTCGTCGAGAGAGTCTCGCCGTGGACTGAGTCTTCTTCTCTTAAGAGAATTTGGAGAATGATAAACAGATTCAGAGTCCCTGTAACCATAGATTAATGCATCTTCCTCCATTTGTGCTTTTGTCCGTCTCCTGCGAGGCCGTTTGTCTTTGGCCCCGGGAGGTCGGCCATAACGCTTCCGCGAGCGGCCGTCTTCGTCTAGTTCACTACCTTCACTAAAAGGCATAGAGGGACTATGCTGAAGGGCTGTTGGGGTTGTGTAGCTAAACGGACGAGGTAGAAACTCTTCTCTACGGCTCGACATTGCGTCAGGGGACGGGAATGGAGACTTCATAGGCTGTGACGGCGGATTACACCCCGGTTGAAGAAATGATGATGATGGACGATGATGGTGATGATGATGGTGAAAACTTGGGAAAGCACTGCTACCATGGGTAGACGAAGGTGCTAGGCTGGGAAGATGCCCATTCGAAGCATTTAGCTGCTCACCCACAGCTGATGATATGTTAGGTAACTTTGGTTGTTTTTCATCCATGATAGCAGGACTATTAGGTTTCGGCCCCCCACTGATTAATCCAACGGTCATTGAGGAAGATGCTGCGGTCGAAGGGGTTGTTAAAGCAGATGATGATAGGTTTGATATTGAAGGAGGAATGGCAGTAATTAAAGATATAACTGGCTTCTCTTGAGCTGATATACGATGAATAAGTCCAGGGGATCTTGACGGTGAGCAAGATATTACAGCTTTTGCGGATGTGACATTTTCTTTCGAACGTTCGCTGTACTGTGGATAAATGTCATGATCCTTTATATTTCTGGATGGTGTCGAAAGTAGTGATATTGCGTTGTTAGCCGTGCCGTCCGTGTTGGTGTTGGAAATAGCTTCAACCAGAGGGGCCATAACTGAACTCCCTCGACAGGAGCAGTAGCAGGAGCAGGAGCAAGGCAGGATAGATGATGTTGACAGGCTATTGCGGACGCTCTTATATTAGTAACAGTGGCAGAGCTGTATGAGCAGAAGCTGTCAGAGATCGAGACAGATGAAGAATAGGTATATAAAATGGGGTAGAATGGATGAAATAGGATAAAAGATAGCAAGATATATATGTGTGTATATATCTATATATATATATGTTCCCCCTCAAAATAAGGAAATAGGAATAATAAAATAAGATTAAAAAGGAAAGAAAGAAAAACCAAGCTCAAAAAGGCGGAAAAGGCGGGCGACCCTATATAGGTTTTGTCTGAAGTCGATATCGGTGAAGAGGTTTCGATTTGTCGTTTATACACCAAGCCGGCTGGGCTTTTAAAAATGAAATCGAGATTTATAAATTTTATAACTGGGGAGAGAGAAAAAAGAACAACTGGGCCTACCTACTCTTTATAGAACTAGCAGCTCATCGACCTGAATTGGCTGGGAATTAAAAGGAGGGCTACCAAACGGTTGCAAGCCTGCTAGCTATTTTAATCGGTGTCTTAGACGGGGAAAGAAATCTGCGTGTCGAGATTTGGGCCCACTATTATAATATAATATGTAGCGGCGGCTCCACTTTTTTGGAAATGAAGAAGAAAAAAAAAAAAAAAGGTAAATAAAGAAATGAATGAATGGGAAAGACAAGAATGGGAAAAGAGGCAATCAGCAGTCTAAATTGGATCAAGACGAATAAGATCTTGGTGATAGTGATGGGGTCTTGATCAGATCGCAGAACTGCAATTGCAAGTATGTTACGGGGCGGTGGACTGTAAAATTACCAAAACCACAGGCATGGATCCTAAGTGCTACCGAGATCTGGTCTGGGAAGTGCCGGCGTGGTCCGTGGGTGGCCCAGATGTTCGGGCGAGCCAGGATACTGGATGAAGGTCCTTTCCTTAGAACCAACGAACGAATGTAGGAAACGAGGTCTTTGCTTTGGCGGGATCTGGATTCTCCTGGGCTCGAGGTGAAAATGAAAATTGAAAATGCAAACGAGAACGAAAATGACAGTGGATGTCCAGTGCTCCGTTGTATGTTATGTAAGTAAGTAAGTAAGTATGTATGTATGTATTGTACCTTGCTGTCTCGCTCTCTCTTTGTCTTTCCCTCTGTCTTTCTCTTTCCCTCTCTCTCTTTTTTTTTTTTTCCTTTCTTTCTTTCCTTTTCCCTTCTCCCTTATTCTTTCTTATTCTCGTTTATTCTTTTTCTTCTACTACCCTTCCTCGTGAATTTTCTTTTGGGATCGTGGAGTTTGTCCTTATGTAATATGCAATAATAGCCGTCCTGAAGAATGAGCGTAAGAGAAATCCGTAACGTCGATTGGTAGAATGCTGTCTGGAAAACCGCTCGATCCTAGGCCGTTGAATGCTAATTCGACTCTTTCCTTCCTTCCGCCAAATGCTGTAACGTTTTTGTTTGAATGTTTAATATCCTCCCCAGACGCTATACCTACTTGATGCGGGACTCTTTCTCCCTCTTTCTCTATTTCTGCAAACTAATCGAAAAGACCGACCTTCGAGGGGGATTAACGATAACGAAATTGAAAATAAGAATAAGGGCAGATTGCATGCTCTAATAATAACTGTAATGTAATAATCCCAAAGTACACCCGCTCTCTCTCTCTCTCTCTCTTTTTTTTCTTCCTCTTTCTGTTATCGTTTGTATTTAGTGGTGGAAATCGAGTTGTGGAACACTGCCGCTTTGACCCCTTCTTCTTCCCTCAACAGGTCTCTCCTATTCTCCCAAAGACGACGAATGTATCTTTTTTTCGCTCTGGGTCAGTCGACGATGAAGGTTCGTTTTTTTGCCTCTCCTCCGCTAAAATTCTGTTGATAGAATTCCGTTGGACCGCCTGATGTTTAGTGATACATCGGCCTTCTAGTTAGAAATTAAGTTGTGATCCGACCTTCTGAACGTTCTAGCCTGTTGCAGGTTTTACACCGTTGCGGAACGAAAGATAAGAGGGTCTAAGGCTTGCGGTATCATCTGTCGACTCAAAATTTAAATAGTAGGGACGTCAAGCGAAGACTAGCTGTCAAACTTTGGCTTGACCTTGCAAGGACCTTTGAAAAACGGATCGAAACGAAGACCTCTTGGGGAATCTTTGACGGCTGAAGGGTGCAGGTGAGAATGGAAGCTCTGGAAGAACAAGCCTAACTTTTCCTTCCTCTAACCCCAAGCCATGGAGGGAGCGAACGAAAAAAAATAAATACACAGAATGGTCTGTTCTGGATTTCTTCTGTGTCCCCACAGCGGAAATCGTTCATAAAATGGTCAATAAGACTACTATATTTGCAAAGAAAGAGAGACGGAATTTCAGTCCGTGTCAACTTAGGATCCGGGACTTTGTGCCCACGAGAGCAAGGACCCACTTTTCCAATCGGTTGAAACTCTGGATTCTAAATAGCCTAATGCCTGAACCAGAATTGAGTTTTCTGGCGCACAGTCCTCGTTCGGTCTTCGAAGTGGTGCAGGCGGGGAACCATTTTGTGCAAAACGGAATTAAGTAAGTACATTCTCAATTAATTCATCCACGTAATGAATATTCAGCTCACCATCGCGGAGTATCGTCGAGATGAACTTTTTCGGCAGTATTGTGCTTACTCGATCTACAAGACTCTCGGCTTCACGATATCTCCACTCCGCTGCGCAGCCGGTGTTACCATGTTCGACACGTGGATTTGTAAAAAATAATAGTAGTCATAATAATAAAAATAATAAAAAGAGTAAAATAAATAAAAGGTAAAATACAAAAAGGGATATATCCATACCTCTTACAATTGATACAAAGTTATATACATTGTAAGCTAATTCGTATGCCAAGTGAGGCCGGTTTTCAACCATGCAACTAGCGAGCCGTTGTTTTAAAACCTTGTGCCCGGATACACTATACTGTTCCCTTTTCCGCTAAAAACTTGTAAAAACGATTTTAAATACAATTGTAAATTTGTGTTAAAAATTACTTGAAAGGTAGACCAACAGTTCGACCCTGTCCACGTTCAGGTTTCTCACCACACGGAAGAATTGGTGTCAGGGTCCCATGCATTGGTCTGTCCAGCGGCACTGTTTGATTGGACAGGCTAACTGGAGGAAGAGTTCCTGCTGGGGTCGTCGACTCCTGAGATTGGAGCCGTCTGAACTGCCAGGATAATGTTTTTTTTTTTGCCTTCTATTAACATAGAATAATGCATAAATCGTTATTACCGAATCCAAAAGGCAAGTATCTCGGACGAAGTGGTTTCTAGAATGAGGTTTCTACTCGTTAAAATGTGTCTAAGTCTCAGATAATACATGTACATCGCCGGTTTTCAATAGACAGCGAGAAGCCGATGCATTGGCTGAGACACTCCCATCAAATCAAGAAACATATGCGAGAGATACTATCCCGTTCAGCTAGTCTTTGACGTTATAACGTAATCAACGTTAGGCTACAAAACCTCCGTGGCTAATATATAACTAATTCAAAATCGCTTACAGGTACAGAGTACATGTGCATATATACATATGCATACTACATGTAAGTACTTAAGTATAGTATAGTCTAGTATTCAATTCAATGGAAGAAAATTAATTACAAACTAGAGAGAGTATTACACTTTTACCATTAGCTCCTGTAATGGAATAATGGCAGGGCAGCAGTACTGTACATGGTACGTTATGATACAATCCTTTCCATGACCCTTCGTGCTACATCGTATACTAGTATGCAATGTACCTGGACTAGCGAATGTTAACCCGGCACCCGGAAAGCCTCAGACCATGGTGGATTGTGAAATCTTATTTGAGGCAGCTTCGGAATATCCCAGGTCAACAATCACTAATATCTGAGTCAAGTAGCGAAGCCATAGCTAGGTATTGGGATCGCAGGATCCCCGTTTGCCGGCTGCCATGGCGGCCTCAACCAAGTTACTCCGAAAGCCACGACATGCTAACCTGTTTAAACGTTTACTCACTTGCCCTGTTACATATTCAGGATGTTGCACCAAGAGATCCAAGATGTCTAAGTGTATATTTCATATTTCGGAGCCATGAGAGGCCGAACCACTGGGGCTGATGCGCTCGATCTCAGGAGGCGAGCTCAAAAACCTGGAAATGCCTTGGATATTTCCCACGAGGCGAGATCAAGTCTGGTAACATCTCCGTGGTTCATAGAGGCATAATCCTCTGCCTAAATATAAAACTTTCTCAATTCCAGAAGCAGTGCGGCAGGTTCATTTTAACTGGTCCATCGCAAAGCCACATACCCTTAATCCACGGAAACACTCAGGATCATCTCGAATTCTTAAGTCGCAGTTTTTCGGATAGTTTATAACTTCGGTGGGTTGACAGGATTATCGGACGAAATCGACCGTCGGATAGGCGCAATGGCCCTCTTTCGAGGTCGGCCGCGCTGACCCGGACTTGTAATTTTATAATATCGACTATCAGCAGAGAGACATGTGTGTACAAACATCTAGGGACTTAGACATGTGAGATTTTAAGCCGGTCACGAGATTTTAAAGTATGAAATCCGACTTTTTAAGCGGAGCAGGTACGTAAATATTCCAGGGAAATATTTTAATCCAGGTTTTTTTTTAAATCAGCCTGATCGCGACATGAGGCCAAGTTGTGGCCGAGCCACGGTAGAGGGTTCCACGACTGGGGCCGGGCGGTTTGTTAGGGCCATTCCATGCTTCCAGACTAATTTTCGAACACTTCTAGAGAATGGCTAAGGCTATCAGATGCCGGCATGCAACCGGCAACCCCTCGATCTTCGAACCGCATTTGCCGGACCACGATATATAGCGAATTCGAACAGGAATCTCCCCAGAAATAAAATAAAAAATAAAAAAGTCACTACAGTAGTACTCGAGTTTCTGCATATAATATTTTTATTCAGCCGGAAAGTTTTCAACAGATTATACCTCGTGGTCATTGACTGTACTGTCGGAGCAAACTGGTGGGGGATTACGAAAGGCCTCACTCTGCGTGACACCCTGCAATGTAGGGATATAGCCTATTATCACGTTCCAATACTGAAGTGTCGCTTGCGCACAGACAGGCCTCAGCCGGATCAAACCTCTTTTATATTACTCGGTACATAAGATAATAGCTATAGGCGGAATAAACCGAGGATGATTTGGCCCTGCAAGTTGTATCAACACTGCCCCGATGAAGCCTTTACACTAGAATAGTTCAAATTTATTTAGACCCCATATGTTTGGCTAATGTACGCGAATTCGAACGCGGTAGCGCTGCTTATGTAGCTCGACGTTTAAATTTCGTTTACGAACACGAACGTTGCATTTTAATGCTACCATTTTTCTCGCCACTTAGCCTACACATGCCTAATATAAAGATGCGAGTTGAAGGTGGTAAAAAGCCCCCAATAACGGAACCGGACTTCTTCTTCCGAGGCTGGGACGAGGTGTGCCGAATATCTCAGATAGGTATTTAGGCTTACGAAAATGCGGTTTCGGGTGAGAATCCTGTGCCTGTACCTGTACCTGTACTAGCTATGAGCGCACTGCACTGCTGAGAAGTCTGCAGTGCTCGAACTGTAAACGGACGATGTCCATGATCCTGGTTACACAGACCGTTTAGCCTCAAATAACACCACACTATAGTGCACTAATATAGCTATTATAGCTAACTAATAAACACCTCGTCGTTTCTGATCAATCCACACCACAGCCGACAAACTAGCTGTGCACGGATCCTTTAAAATCTGGCTCAAAGCTATACCAGACACTATATAGTTGTTTTAATATGCGGTGTGGGTAACCCCGTCGGTAGGAACGATTCCGTCCGGCAAGCCGAGTCCTGTTATCTATGGTTTTAGCGTTTTACCAGAAGCTCCCAAGACCTCGCGACGCTTTTCGAATATTTTCCTCGGACTCCAGTTTGCTAGGATATTATAATCGGCGCTATCGTAGCTAAGGCAAGACATTTATCTAAAACCTTCATGTGGAGATTCTTCCACAAACCTCCAGAGGCCTGCTTCTCTAGCCGCCAGTTTCACAGCGTCAACTTCCGGATCCGTAACCGGACGATTGATCTCTGAGTACCTCATACCCCCCGATTTACCTCTGTTCATCTTTCCAACGTGCGCTGCGGGCCGGTATTGCTCCATAACATGTACATACGTGTCCTTGCTCACGTGCTCAGCTAAATACCTCATAATCTCCTTCCCTTCTTCGACGTATGTCGGCATAACCAGGTGCCTGACGAGGAGTCCGGTTTGCGCAATCCCATCAAAATTAAATTTGAGGTCTCCGACTTGCCTATGCATGATTTTTATGCTCTCTCTCGCCGTCTTCGGGTAGTCTTCTGCTTTTAGGAGTCGCTTCGACGATGTCGGAGACGATAATTTGAAATCTGCGAGGTATATATCCACAAGCCCGTCCATAAGAGATAAAGCCTCTGGGGAGTCGTAAGAAGACGTATTGTAAACTATCGGAATCCTCAACCCCATAGGGATCGCCGCAAGGATTGCCAATGCGACCTGTGGAACAACATGCTCAGGTGTGACAGCATTGATGTTATGTACGTTCCCTGATAGCTTGTGAGTAAAAGGTACAATTGATACACTATAGGTAGTCTGAATTATATTTGAGGTTGTATCGTCCATTTTGGGGCCTTCGATACGAACACAAAAAACAACTAGACCCCTGGCAATAACCACCCACCTAAGTTTTGAAGCTTAACAAACCAGTCTGCTAGCTCGTCTGGCAACAAATCGAAACCGGCTCGTTGATGAGAGATATCGTGGTTCTAATTCGAGGAATAATAAGTTGTCGGTTAAATTCGAGAGTTGTAAAAAAGGTCTCCCCGGATTTTTTATTGATCGCATGGTTTCAACCGGGAACAAGGAAGTTCTACCTGACAAAAAGAACATCGAAGGCTACACCCTAGAATACCAGAAGCCCATAAGGTATTATTATTTTAATAGGCATGTTCCGATATATATTATATTTTCGAAACGAGGGAGGTGTGGGTCGATTTTTTCATACCTGAGAAAAAAACGCTTCCGCTACCACAGGTTCCCTGAATACACGGTTCTTCACCAAAATGAGGTGCTATAGCTTTTAGAATTAAAATTTTCCGTCCGAGTTAGAATGAGGATCCTTGATAAAAGTATAAATTGAAAGGCTTGGAATCGGCTTTTGATGGACGGAAGCTGTATCGTACTCGAAACTTTGGCCTTCTCACCAACCATGCAATACCCTGTTTCACCAGCCAGGCGGTTGACATTACACATGCGAGGGCAAATATTGCATTTCCGTAAATTTTCAATAGCCTGCTCCTTCTTCCGAGAGATCTGAGCGTCTGTAAGCAGTTTATATCGTGGGATATAATTGTCGAGTAAAAAGGCGCTGGGTATATGAGCCGCCCTGCGGGGTACCAGAACGCCAGGAAGCAGTGAGCAAGGCTGGTGGATAATTCGAGAGGGAGAACGGAACATTGGTAAATAGATTAATTTCGTCGGTGGCTGTCGACATGACCTGAGGTCGGGCACGCAAGAAGGCCGGAATTCGCGGAAATTTGGGTTGTAAACTCAAGGAGACTGTAATCGATTGGCTAAACATAAACCTACCAAATCATTGGGCGTTCGGTAAAATATAAAACAAGTATGACCTCTTGTTAAATCTATAACACAGTTAATAGACATGAGCTCGACCTGCCTATCGACGGTTGAATGCGAATGACAAGCTGGGAATCGAATCGAATCAATTGCTATTAAGCCGGTACTTGGTTCGGGATCATATAGTCGGAACCTACAACAAAAACAACGCAGAGAGGAGGAGGAGCACATGCATCCAGGTTCAACTAGGGCCCCAACTAGGGCTACGTAGTCTTAAACCCAGGCGCTATTGAGGCAAAATCTACTATGTATCAAATACTCTTAAGATCTTGGAAGCGCAGAGGCGTACGGGTTTGAGCCCAATGAAACCTAAAAGGTTACCAATGTAGAAAATTCGGTACAATTTGTTTCCATATCACATCTTTGGACTTGCAATTGATTCCGTTAGGGCGTGGGTTTGGAAAACGAGATATGCAGATACTTGACGACCTGGGAGAGACCTTCGGAAACCGGTCGCTCCTGGGATGGGATAGAAATGAGACTATTCTCTTTATATGTTGGGGGTCTGGACTTAAAATTCACGTTCAAAGAATTCCAGAAACTCCTGGGGAACCTCAGTGTGCATCGGACGCCTGTATTCAAGACTAATCGGATAGCGTATAATACAACTTGCAATGCAAATTTTGCAGGCATATAGAGGAGAAATCTAACTAATGGATGACAGATCTCGCAATCGAGGTGCAGGAGACAAAAGGGTATCATATTGCTCATATGGTGGGAACTCCATCAATGATGGGTCAAATAAAAAAAGGTCGTGATCGCAAATTTATAAGAAATAGTATGGCATCGGCTTCTTCGATGGCATGCCTCTCGAGTCTTGAGCCGCCGCTTCAAACACTCTATATCGTCTCCCAGGCCCTCCACGCTTCATGGAACCCCCCATATATGTGCTAGCTAATCTTCTTGTGTTCTCTCGGTTGAAGAGAACTTCTTCACCTCCGCTTCTCAGGACTGAATTCGAGTTATCTTCTCCGAGCTCGAGTATAGCGGCAACGTTGCCACATCGGTAGCAATAGTTTGGGGCCGACCAGACTGTGACTATGCTAGAGTCAAACATTTCTTTAAAGCCTTCCATAACGAGTTGATGTGCTCGAGCTATTAAAGTGAGATTGTTGAGATGGTTGAACTGCTTGACAATATCCGCCCCAAAAAGAAAACCGGCTCCTCGCGGTGATAATCCCCATCCGTCGATTTCTATTAAAATTAGCATTGGACCATTTTCATAAAGAGTGTATTTGGCGGCCATAGATTTACCTTCGGGGTCACTCCATAGGAGATCGCACATTGCACCATCGTGTGGAACTTCTTGTTTCCTGTCCAGGAGTCGGATTTTATCAACGGAATCGATCAAGGGGCTGAGTCCTCCATGAACACATAGCACGGCACCACCAGTGTTCGCAGGGGTATTCGCATTCGCAATGCCCCTGCTATTGCCACTTGCTCCAGTGCCCGGGACACCCGTTAGTAAGGCGCCAGCAGGACCTGAACTTGACAGGTGAGGGAGTGCGGATGGTGTAAGGTTTGTGGAATTGATCATCCCAGCGTCCCTTCGAGACATCTGCCTTGTAACCACTCCACCGAGCCCGATAACTTCGATTTCAACTTCATCTTCTGCTTCTCTAACCTTGGCTTCGGCGTCTTCTCCGTCCACTAATCTTGTTGGCTGAACAGAGGAACCGGCACCAATCACCAAAGCTCCAAGGGCCAAATAATCGAAGACATCGCAACAATATCGCCAGACATTTGCCGAGCCGTACTTTCTTATACATTCGTCGTAGAACCCATACACAGTAGTGATTTGCCGTGATTCGTGGTTACCCCTGATGAGAGTAATCCGATCTGGGTAACGGACTTTCAGGCAGAGTAGAAGAAGGAAGGACTCAAGAGAGTAGAAGCCTCTATCCACAAAATCACCTAACGCGAAAATTCCTTATATTAGAATATGGACGAACTCTGGTACTTCAAAAAATGGATGGGGGTTATTTACCCATGAACAAGTAATTCGTATCCGGACAATCACCACCAACCCGGAATAGTTCCATCAAATCGTGAAATTGACCATGTATGTCACCGCATATAGTAACTGGGGCATCGACGATCTGAACATTTGCTTCTTCGATGAGAATCTCTCGGGCTTTGAAACATATCTCTCGGACCTGGAGTTCTGGAATAGGGCGACATTGTCGTAGCTGCTCGATGGCTCTAATCGATGTTCAGCCTCGTCTTCTATCACGTATACAAATGACTATATATGAACTTACCTATCTAAATCACTCATTTAACCTGATGTATGGCGAGGTTGCGCCGCGAGGATGAGGTTGCGGTATGTCAGGCGACCACGCTTATCAACGAGTCGCGAACCAGGATCTTTCGCTATACTTAGCGTTCCGGCTCTTAATTAAGGAAGTTCGTTGATACCGGAAAGGGCGAGCGTATGCGTGGGTAGAACTACGCAACCAGGCGACCAAATGGATGTATGCTGCGGCGGGGGGGTTGGCGCGATGTTAGTTGCCGTACATAGGTCGCGGTGGCGGCGGTGTTCTGATGATTGTGGAGGGGATGGGCATGTCCAGCTGGAGTTTATGACGAAAAATGAGGTGGCCGACTTTTCCCAACACGCGCTATGCCGCCACAGCACAGCACCACCACACGCTGACCAAAATGCATGATCCTGGCTATGACACCAATCTCAACTGCAACTGAAGGCTTTAGCTAGGTTGATGCAGCTAATGAATCCTTGACTAGCTACAAAATGCCTTAACATAACATCTGTGAACCGGTTGAGGGTCTCCAGTTGATATCGACTAATAAGGCGGCTTACAAAATTAGGTGGGGCTTTATCCATACAGATACCTATCTATACCTGCTTAATATAAAGGGAAATTGCGGCTGCGCTGGGTTAGTGATCGAGACGTACCTGTGTACCGGCAAGTAGGTGAGATTATAGATATAATCGGTTCCCAAGTTTCGGATTGAATATCTACGCTAACGCTGGGATGTCGTCACAATATAGCTTACGCTAGAACCCGTATCGACGAGATCTCGACGTTAAGTCACGCCGGACCAAGATGGATGCAATCCCTGAAGACCGAGAAATCAAGGCTTTGAAGCATTCGAATCCCTTGCTCCAGGATATCAACAACAGGCTACCCGGGCTTCTATGGGATATACAAGATGGAGAAAAGAGACTGCGGCCCCGGGTAAAAGTTGCTGATTATAATCATATTATTGGACGGGTGTGTACTGGTTTTCTGGTTCCTCTCACTCAAATGCGTATTATTTAGAAATGCCTAACTTTTTGAGCGTTAATTCCTTGGATAGCTCGAGTCCTTTCAAGAGTTTCCTCAACTCCTAGATCCAATCCTAGCTGGTTGTATGGAGAACCTAACATCGGCTTTTTCTGTGTACCTGTCATCAGAAAATGAGAGGTTCAAGCCTGCTTCAGACGCGGAAGAAAGAGTCGCCGTCAACACTCTTGCAGCACTTGGTCAGCTACTGTATGTTTGGATGAAGGTCAGAGGGCCCAAAGTTGTCCTACGCTTCCTCTATAACGATCCAAAATGGCTTGAACCAATGCTGGGAGTGTTTGAACAGACGAGTAAGCTAATCGGGAAAACCGATAAATCAGCCAATGTTCTTAATGATGTGGTCGAGGAAACATTTGAAGAAGCCTCGGGGCCCAGAGCTGACGATAAGAGTGGTTTACCATGGCATTTGAGATATGTCACGTTGATGTGGGTTTCGCATCTACTATATACCCCATTCGACCTGGTAACTATTGGAGATGAGCCCGCGGGGAAGCCCCCGGTTCCATTGGTCGAGGTGCCTGCTTTGCCAGAAAGGACACCGGAAATAGCTAGACGAGTTATGAATGTGGCTTGTTGCAATATACATTCTCCAGGAAAGGATCGAGAAGGTGCAGCTGCCGCTATTGTTCGCCTTGTGGTTCGAAAAGATGTCTACGAGCACCTTCTCAACTGGTTCGTGGACTGGGTCGCGAATATTGTCGGCCTCTGTGTCAAGGGTAGCTTGAGAGAGGACAGCAAGGGAGTTGCGTATGTTTATTTTCTTCTGGGCTTATTGGGTGCCCTATCTGGGATTTTTGCATCTGGCGAGAGGTCTATCGTTGGCCAGCCTGATTTACTACAAAAGGTATATGATAATATCATACGAGAACTCTATACCGATGAGTCAGGGTTGGTCGCTCAGAATGCTATGCTACGGAAAACGATGTGCAAACTATTTCGAAATATATCCTATCTATATTTACCCTTACCAGGGCAAGTAGAGACTCAAGACGGCCCTCCAGAAGAGGTCGAGGAGATGATTGACCAGTTACTTCGACTCCTCGACGACAGAGACTCCCTTGTTCGCTATGCAGCGTCTAAGTCGCTCAGTCTGATTGCTTTACGATTAGCAGCGGCTGACAGGAGCCAGATATTCGAAGCAGTAATCGACCTTTACGATTCGGACGTGCTTTATCCTAATAGAGCATTGACAAAACTTGACCCGAAGAAGCGACACCAAAAGGACCTTTCTCAAGTTTCGGTGCACCTTTGGCACGGGCTTACTCTGACCGTAGCAACGTTTCTTCGCTTCCACGCAGCTACAGTCCAGATGCTTCCAAAAGTTTTAGACTGCATAATTACGGCATTAGCTTTTGAACAACGAAAAGCCACATTCGCAACTGGTGGCAATGTTCGGGACGCTGCTTGCTATGCCGCGTGGAGTTTAGCAAGAAACTATAAAACGGAAGAGATGCTGGCGGGGCGTCCTACACCTCCTCACCCAGAAGATGTTTCATTACCACAGGTCTTGGCGCTAGAGCTTGTGAATGCAGCCTGTCTTGACCCAATTGGTAATATTCGACGTGGAGCTTCCGCAGCCCTCCAGGAATTGGTTGGCCGGCATCCCAATATGATTAAGGATGGTATTTCTTTGGTCCAAGCGGTGGATTACTCGGCAGTAGCTCTTCGGAGTAGAGCTAGTACAGAAGTTGCTTCAAAGGCTGCTGTCCTTGGAGGGGCCTGTTACTGGGGCGGTTTGATCAAAGGTCTCGTTGATGATTGGCGTGGTATCGGGCTCCAGGATTCCGTTGGTAGGACCGTTTCTGCAAAAGGCATCGGCGAATTGTCAAAAATTGGGATTCTGGACCTCAATAAGCGGCAGGAAGTCTGGAACATCACGAAGGATATCATCAACAGATATGGCTCGGGGGCGTCTCTAGATATCGAAGTTCGTCATGGCAGCTGGTACGCCCTAGCCGATATCATATTTTCTTTGATAAATGCGCTCGAAAAGTCAAACCCGGGACTCTTAGTAGAGATCTTGTCAGAGATGAGAGAGAAGACCGGTGTCTTTGATATATTCGACAATGTCAAACCGAGGGATTTCGTTCACCCAGTACTCAAACCGGAGATGACATGCGAGGCTGCTGCCTACCTAGTAACCGCACTATCTGATGCTGCTAAGATCATGTACGCTCATGGTCTCCCAGACCTACCCGTCCCGTTGCTTAGGCGCTATCTCTGCGTTATAGATTCAGCTCTTGAAAGATGGGAAGAGAATGTCACAACAGTTGCGGTCTATGCAGCAGAGCGGTTTTTTCTTCATATGAATGATAGATATCGAACCGAAATTGTCAGACTATGGCTCGGAAAATCTAAGGCGAGGACACGAAGAATTCTTGTTGTCAAGGCACTAGGTGCTGTATTTAGGTTTTTCAGAAACGACCAAGAGTGGCCTAGATTATCGGGTATCCAACAAGATATAATTGACGGACTGTTGATTGTTAGCAGGTCTCCGCATATTGAGATGCGTGTGGCTGCAATTTCTGCCTTTGCAGATGGTATTTTCCCGGAAGGAAGTATGTGCATTAGGATACCATTCCCCCTGCAAAGCTGCTAGCTAACAACCAACTTAGTTACGAACGAGCACATTCTTCAAACGATTCACAAATCGCTAATCGATTACTCCGTGGATTCCCGTGGAGATGTGGGCTCATGGGCTAGAATAGAAGCAATACGTGCTGTCTTATCTCTTCATACACTACATCCACTCGATATCCACACCCTAGACACCACATCTCTCAACGTATTTCATAAAATCATCGGCTTATCGGCGGAAAAGCTAGATAGGGTACGTCTAAAAGCCTGTGATGCTATTTGGAAGCTTACTACCCAGGAACCGCAATGGGGAATTATCTTCAATGGTATCACTGCAGAATCCAGTTTTTGGGTTAATTGGGACGAGTACTTCGAGACAACTGTCAAAATTTTGAGCATACCGTCTGTGAGGGAATCATATCTAGAAGGATACGCTACTAGTGCCGGCGCAGGATCGGACAGCGTGATGAGGTCCAGTACCCGGGCGATGCAGAAGTACTTAAGTGGATTGCCACCCTACCCAAACTCCGATGGCGGAGTTGCACTGAGTGATATAGTACAATCCTGGATAACTATTGTTGAGAAGGCTATTGCTGGCAGTGATGATAGGGTTGTCGTTCCCGCCTTAGCCATGCTGGGTGGTTGGTTTGAAAGTGGTTTGATGGAGAAGCTGGGAGATGGAGAATTTAGGTTTGCAAGCCCTACAATATATATTGATAATTCATCCAATAGACATACGTGTGCGAGTGGCGATACTGACGAGTCTTATAATAGATTTCAGGCCCTGTTTTCGTTGACCCAAAAGGCTCACCTCAAGTCATCGAATGTTGCAAAATTGAGCGGTGCTGTTAAGATTTACAATGGGCTAGCGTCCGTAAAATCAACGCGAACATCCTCAATTAAGAAATTAGTTTCTATGTTATTACACCCGTTTCCAAAGGTCAGTCAGCCCAGGTATTCCTACTTTGTCCGATGATGCAGGGGCAGTCTTGTTTTGAGTACGGTTTGTACCTGGCATTTTCCGTTATCTTGAGATATCATGGCCATGATTTTACGCCCGCGGAGAAACAACCTTACTAACGTCAACACAAATTCCCCTCGCCGAGTGGGGGATTTGAATTCGTCAATATAGATACGCACTGCAGTTTCTGAAACCTTGTACTTGATAATATCCTTGGAGGGAGACCAAGAAGAGGCGGAAGTCTTACTCATGGATGCGAATTGGACCGACCAACCCAAAGAGTTAAAGGCTACCGTAGAAGAGATCAAAGGGCTGCTTGGGATATAAATTTCGTGGAAAAGACTACGGGATGTTAATTACAGGGTATCAAAAGACGCCAACTGAGTAGATAAAACAATATGCATATATGATTGGCTATTGACCTTGATAGGAAGCCTTAGGATTCTACGGCGATGATAAATTTTCATAGCGGTAATAATAGTGGTGTTGGTGGCAAAAAATAAATAAAGTATGCTATACTAAAGATATCAAGAAAAATGAGAGGAAGGATATGATATACAAGAATTATACTCTATATAGTAAAATAATAAAAAAATAATGCATATTTCCCGGCTAAAAACAAGCAGTAAAGACAGAATTGATTATCGACCCCCAATTTGGCCCTTCGGAATTGGCCTAATCCATGCAGTAACGAGGTTCATACCGATCATAACAGAGCCAATGATCCAGAATACCTTCGGGTAGTTCGTTCCGTTATATCGGAAGATAACTGCAAATACGATACCGCCCAGATTTCCAAATGCTCCAACAACTCCAGATAAAATACCGTTAGCATGGGGGTGGACGTGTGGTACAAGAGAAAAGTTAGATCCGTTGCCCATTTCCATTGGGATGGCGAGAAGGGCAACAAGCCCCACTAGCGTAGGGCGGTGGTGAGGATCAAGAACACCAATTGTAATAGCAAACACACCAGCGAGAACATTGAGACCGGTGTTGAACAATTTCTTGACCCAGAGCGAGGGCCATCTCTTGTAAAGAGCGTCAGAAACGAAGCCGCCAAGGGGACGAGTGACGACATTAAGAAGACCAAACATGGCGGCCCAGTTTGCTGCACCAGTTTGGCCGAGTTCTGGGAAGTTCTTAAGATAGTAGGCGCCGAGGATAGAATTGATAGCCAACTCTGCACCAAAACTGTTAAAGTAACCAAAGCAAAGATTGAGTGTTTCAAGGGACAGGACGACCGGAGCTGCTTCTCGAAGTGATGGTTTTTGGATGACCTCATGGGAGGCGACAGCCACAGCATCAAGTTGTGGGTCTGAAGCAACTTCGATATCTCCCTTCTTTTCTTTAGAAATAGAACTCTGTCGACTGGCCTGCGCTGCAACCGAGGGTTCGATAGCATCAACAACCACCCCTTCACCCTCTCCAGTGGTATCGACGCCATTAACGATACCACGGTTCCTCCATGGGCCGTTAGGTGTATCTTCTCCCAAGGCTAGAATTGCGAGAGCCATTGCCACAATGAGGATACCAGGGACAATGTAAGAAACTCTCCAAGCAACGTGGGAGGAAAGACCACGATCATGAACAAATGAGTCATATATAGCTGGCATTACAAAGTAAGTAATACCACCGCCAGCATTGCCAATGCCAGCTGTGACTGCGTTTGCAGCCCCGACGACGTTCTTATCGAAGAAGCCGGTGGACCAAACTTGACAGGGAACGAAGGCACCACCGAGAATACCAATGAAAAATCGAATAGCCATAAGTCCAGTGGCGTTCTGTACGGTACCGGCTAAAAAGGTAGGGATAGCGCCAACGAGAAGGGTCCCAACGAAGACATATCGAGGACCAAACTTATCGCAGAGAGGGCCAACGACTAGGCGGACGAGTAGAGTGGCGGTCAACGCCAATACATTTGAGTTCGCGACTTCGGCGGGTGATAGATGTAGGTCCTTTTTGATGCTGACGGATAGTAACGGCGAGAAGGCATACCATGAAAGGAATGCTATCATGAAGCCGAAAGTACTAAACCAAAGTGTTCGGCCATATTTATCAACCTAGTAAATCAACGTTAGTAACGTTTTGTTTTTGGTGATGAGGTCAAAACATATAGAGCTTACTGGGTTAAGGAATGGGATTGTCCGGGCCTTTTTATTGATCGGATTGACTTCCGGAGCAGTAAACAAAGATTTGAGTAAAGCCATTTGGTTAAAAATATAAGAGATATTCTCCTGCGTAGGTAACGATAACTTGGCCTATTGACTTAGGCTGTTTTACCGGGAGTAGGGTCGCTATGGTTCTGGTCCTTTGGTAACTTAGTGTATGAACCTCAACTAACTTTACGGTAGGAACGTATTCTTATAAACATTTGCCATGTTAGCCCGTTAATTCTATATTGGTTCAGCGCCTGCTCTGGGGGACTCGAAACATATTTCGAATAGATTGTTGGCCACGGAGAAAATCTCCAGTTGCTCGACAGTAAAAGATTGGACTGAAATCCCAGGTTTCTGGAGACACTTTCCGGTGGAGTGGGGTTCTTTTCTTTCCTCGGAAATTCCGAGCAATGTCGTTATAAAAAGGTTTTTGCTGGGGTATATGGGTGGGATGCCGGTACGTAACCATAGTATATACCATGGAAGATATACTTATGTGCGCATTTCAGGCTTACCTATATGTACTAATGAGTGTCGAGGCAAGCGGTTGGGGTTTCTAGAAGAGCTGCGTTTGCCCCAGGATCGGTTTGTCTATTCCTTGCCGCGAGACGGTCTCGGTATCAATCTTGCATTGATAGTGCTAATTCGAGGCCACGGGCTGAGGAGCGCTTTGCAGGAGCCCGGTTCCTGATATAACTGAACTAAGCCAGTCGTGTGATGGCAGAAATACCAGACGCTCCTCGCTAACAAATCATGGACACGCGAATCTGCCTTTGTTTCCCAAGGCGAACAGGCCAAGCTGGGAAACCCCTTTGTCGGTGAACCAGAGATGTGGTGATATCGCATGCGCGGTCTGGTCTGATCTGATCTGGAAAAAAGCATGTTCGGCGGCGTGGCTCGCTCATAATCCGGCACTTGGCAATCTTGCAGCTAGCGACCCGAGACTTGGGGTTTACAAGGCCTTATCTTTAGAACGCCCCCACGCCCATGCCGACTACCATTCTTGGTATGGATGTGTTGGATAGTGTTTTGGTTCTTATCGGAACCTCAAATGTCGAGGGTTGTGATCTCGCCGTCAAATTTTATGCTTATTTCAACATTGTTAGAGAGCGACCCCTGGTAGAAGTTTGTCCATTGCCTCCTTATCGACGATACTATTTCGGGCGGCCGTAAGCTAGTTATCTTTTCCCGTCAATTATTACCAAAGGGCGGGCCCTATCGGCGATAGAATCTGGAACAAAGGACCTAATTGTACGACATTAAGTGCAAATGCGACAAAGTTGAGGTCGTACAAGCAAAGTGTACCAGATTCAGCCCAATATGTGCACACACACACACACCCTGCCAGTCGAAGGTAATGCAGACAGTGGGTCCGGTAGCTTCGTTAGGGGTGATAAATCCTATCAATCGAATACCAGGTATTTGTAATGTTGAAGTAATTATTCCGCATCAGGGTGGAGTATCGAGAACGAAACCTCTCCTCGTGGTAGCCGGTCGGTAGATAAGGGCGCATGGAGAGTGGGTCATCGCCAAATAAACTATTTCCTCGCTTTGAGGAAAAATAGTGGGACAACAGTCTGCCAATGCAATGCAAGATTTTGAGATGAGATCCGGGATGATGATGACTGTTATGACTATATTCATCCACATTGTTGATGACGCCTCATCCATTAGTAGTCGCTCCGAATTGCGCGTGGTTCGAACGTCGATTACACTTGGGAGGAGTGTGTGAAGGCCAAGGAGCCATGTTCGATCGATGCTCGAAATTGAAAGATCGCAAGACTGCGCAAGGTTGATGTGTTGTGGAATGTGTTGTGGTGTTGCATTCAGGAATATCCCAACACAAAAGGCGGCTCAGGGACAGCATCATCACTAAATTAATAGCTACGACTTAATCAACAGAACGAAACGAAACGCTGCCGAAACGACTCCTTATTAGCTATTAGGTATCGGCGACAATATCTTCCTTTGGAATGGACAGACAGTACCGACTTACTCGGGCTTCCTTTTTTTTTTTTTTTTTTTAAAACATTCCAGTGCCAGAGCTAGAGATGCCTAGCCCGTACTGTAGTATCCCATCTGTGCAAATCAATCAACCGAATTCATCGATTGTCGTTTGACACTTTACCAACTTTCCCCAGCTGGTTAGCGGCTTCAAGAGGGGCTGGCCAAACCATACTCTGAGATTTGTGCTAAGGTATCGATAGTAGCCGGACCCTGCCCGCCCTTGCTCTCTTTTTCTGCTGAGTCGCTTAGGTCCTCGGAGATGCTTTGACTATTATTCATATTAGAAATCTATGGATTGGCCGGAGTCTGATTTGCTCGCATGCACAATCTCGGTCGATAGCCTTTGGTCCTTATCCTTTCCTCCAGTTTACGGAATCTAATCGGACCCTGTCAGGCCTTATTGCCTTCTTATCAAAGCCATGCCTCAGGCCCAGAAGCACTTCAAAGCTGAAGTGGAGGATCTAGACCTACCTGTCGATGAAACCTTTCGGTCGACAACTTCAACTGCCGCCGGATCAACTGCTCCGCCTACGTCGGGTTCGAACACTCCCCAGAAGAAGAAAGACGATGATCCCAATCGTAAACGCCGGAAAGTTGTCAGCAGCGCATGTTTAGCCTGCCGCAAGCGAAAGTCGAAGGTTTGTCGAGATGTCTTCCGCCTCCCGCCCTAAGAATGCCCTCAGAAATGCACATACCCGGAGGAAGTGGGAATAGGTCGGTTGAACACGCACAACATAAAATATCAAAAACTGTTTCCATTCAAAGGAAGGATTCTGATATTATACCGTTGTTCGACTTGTCAACTGAACTGCAGGTATTGATTATTCGGTAGTAGTGGCGTTGGTGGTGGTGGGAATCAACTTGATCAATTTACCAATACCAGTGACGATGCTGAGATTCTTTTTTCTTTCGGTGCTGTGATTGCAGTGCGACGGAAATCTACCGGCTTGTGCCGCCTGCGCTTCAGTGTACCTCACTGAGTGCATCTACGACCCGTCATCGGACCACCGCCGGAAAGGTGTATACAAAAAGGACATCGATAACCTGAAAACCCGGAATTCGACATTGCAAACCCTTATCCAAGCGATTCTCAACTACCCCGAAGACAAAGTCCTCCAATTGGTTTATGATATCCGGAACTGCGAGAGTTTGGATGATGTTGCAGCCAAGATCATGGCCCAGGCCAATGACGAGAGCGGTGCTGAGGATGAATCTGATCTGGAGGAACGTACAGGATGGGATGATACGTTTTCTGATGCTCCGCCAAGTTTGGAATCCGATATATCCGACAAAATCGGGGCCTTGAGTATGAACTCCCACGGCCAAGTGAAGTTTATAGGAGCGACTTCAAGCCTTAGCTTGCTACCGATGGGTATGGCAAGCAGCGCGATGACTGGTGATGCGACAGCGCTTCCCGAAGACCCAGTGGCAAATCATCAGGACCCAATGACTTCATGGACAGAAGTCACCAAGGATAGAGACTTGGTGGTTCACCTTATGAACATGTATTTCACATGGCATTATCCTTACTTTACGACACTGTCGAAACGACTCTTTTTCCGAGATTTTTTAAAAGGCAACCCGGGCAGAAATTCTCCAGAGAGCAAAACCTCACACTGTACGCCATTGCTCGTCAACGCAATGCTTGCGCTTGGTTGCCATTTCACTACCGTGCCTGGGTCCCGAAGGAATCCTTCAAAGCCAGAGACTGCCGGCGACCACTTTTTCCAAGAAGCGAAGAGATTGATCATGGAAAACGATGAACATGAACATCCCAGGCTGACCACTACACAAGCTCTTGCTCTGATGTCAGTTAGAGAAGCTGGGTGTGGCCGGGAGGCTCGGGGTTGGGTATACAGGTAAAATTTCCTAGCTCAAGTAACAATCTGGATCTCGCTCGCTAACTGCTTTGAAGTGGAATGAGTTTTCGTATGGCCTGTGACCTGGGTTTGCAATGGAATCCTGATGGCTTGCCCGGTATGAGTGACGAGGAAATCGATGCTAGGAAGATAACATTCTGGGGTTGCTTCCTGTTTGATAAGTACGATATGTATCGCTTCAACTAAACAGCATGGTTGTTAGTACTAACATTCGACTAGATGTTGGAGTAATTACACTGGGAGGTTGCCACAATTACCGAGCTCATCAACAACGACACCCAAATATGATGTTTTTCCAGACGAAGACTCAGAAATATGGACCCCGTACACGGATTGCGGACTTACACCTGAGTTATCACAACCGGGAAGAACAAGGGCAGTGAATTCTTACCTCATTGGTTTGTGTGAAATCAGTAATGATATCCTTTTGGGCTTCTACCAGCCAGTGAGAGGTGGCACAACAAAAGAGCCCAAGCTAGGGAAAGGTCGAGGTGGGAAAGATGCCGAAATGAAGAAGCTCCTCGAATTGTATAATCGACTAGAGGAATGGAATCAAAAACTGCCCGCAGAAATGGTGGCGAAGGAGGGCGCCTTGATGAGCGTTCTGTTGATGCAGTAAGTTGCAGGCAATTATCCGTGGGTTACTATATCGTTGCAGCACTAATCCCCGCCTTAGCATGTTTGGCCAAGTTCTATATCTGCTGTTATTTAGGCCATTCCTCAAAGTGAATCCCGGGTCTGCATCGTTTCCCGCAAACCTGTCGCCAAAGAGAATATGCATCAACGCATCGACGATGATATCCAAGCTGCTCCGCCTTTACAAGCGAACATACGGCTTGAAGCAGATATGCAATATTGCGGTTTATATTGCCTTATCCGCCTGCACAATCCACTTGATGAATATGCCGACGAAAACGGCAAAGAGGGATATTGTCCAGGGCGTTAAGTGTCTTGAGGAAATTGCAGAGTATTGGTTGTGTGCTAAGCGAGCCCTGATTATCATCAAAGTAATCTCGATGAAGTATGCGATAGAGTTGCCTCCGGAGGCAGAAGTCGTCTTCTCGCGGATAGATACGACAGGCGAGATGTTTGGATTTTCAGTCAAGGATTTGTTCGGCACGACCCAAAAATCCGAATCCCCACCACAGCTCACAAAACGTCCTCCTTCCACCCGAGCCCCACCACCGGGAGCCCCACCGGGCCCTGGCGCCACAGTTGTTATGCAGCTCACATCAAATGCCAAGCAGGTACCAACGCTAGCCGCTACAGAGTATGGGAGCCCATATGTCAGCTCGGGGGGGTCGATTATCGCGTCGCCACCTCAGATAGTGCCACAATCTGCCCCTCCAATGGCGCAGACGATCCCCACATCTAGTCTTTTCACACCCTACTTTGATCCGGGTGCCAGCCCTGCTAGTTCGTATGGTAGAGCCCCTGCTAGTACAGGCTCTCCCCCACAGCCGCCAACAGCTGCCCCCGCAGTAACTATCGCGGCCAATAACGCAAACAGCCCGAGTATGTATTCAGGATATGGGCAGCTCGAGGATCAATCGCAGGACTGGTGGCTTCGAGATCAGGCTGAGCTCGCCCAGGACTTTGGAAGCTGGGACTTTTCGTCTCATGGTACGATTAGTCCGGAACCCTTCGAGACACAATACTCACCAGCTCCGCCTATATCAGTGAACGTCCAGCCGTATGTGCAGCGAGTTCAAACGACAGAACCTCAGCAGCAGTCGAATTTCCCTGCGGCAAATGGCTACGATCCAAATATGTACTGGCCTTAGAACATTATTTTCCCGCCTCATCTAATGTCTAGTCGGTTTCAAAAAAAAAAAAATCCGGGTTATGTCAGGCGGTTTTCGGTGTTATGGCGTTTGAGTATTTTCGGTATCGCAAGTCTTATCAACCGAGTCTTATCATCCTTGTAGTGCGTGAGTAGATTGATATATTTGGGTATACTCTAATCTGGTAGTTGGTGCATGGTATTTGAAAAATCGAATTGGCAATACTGATTACATAAGACATGTCCATACACTCTTGGCAGCCCAGCCAAATCAATGCATATAGGACCCAAGTACCTGTGTAGCTCATAGAATCGTGGGTGTCCGGTACTCCGGGTTCGCATGGCTGAGAAGCGTGTTTGCTGTAGTGAGTTCTTGCTTTCTGCGAACGCCATTGTTCGAATTGTGGGGTTGGGCCGGGGCTCTGAACATTTTCTGCTAGTCCTGGATATCATGGATATCGCAATTTGGCATAGCGATGTGGTGATTTTTCCGGACAAGGGTGCTTTGGCTACTGGAATAAGAGTTACCGTTTCCGACAGGTTGGATTAAAAAGGATAACAATCAAACTGCTGTTGCATGTAGGCGGGATTATACATTTGACGTATACGCGGGGCAGTATGGAGATCTTATATATGGAATTTTAAACATCCGCTATGTAACAGGGCCTAGACAGACAGCCACTTTCCCACCGAGAAGATCGCGCATCAGAACGTGCAAAAGGCTCCCCATCCGCGGAAAAAGAGATATAACAAGCACCACCACAATTTCGGACGAAAAAAGACCGCAGTAGATTCGGTTTATTTTTAATAATCTGTATGTAAACTGTTAAGTAATATTCCGGTACAACACTGCCGTTTTGAGAGTTTCTGTGTGTCACAGAAAAACCACCAAACTACAAAAACAACAAGGGCAGCTTCTTGGCTCTTCTGACGACAACCCGAATGTTAATGTCAACGGTCGGAACGTGCCAGGTAGATGCAAGGTCCAGAGCGTGCAGGATTCGATGTTGACGTAAGTTGAAGGGCATCTCCGAGGCCGCCTTGGCGGGTCTTGGGACATGCCGTTTATATTCGAAGAGTCTATTCGACGGTACGTCTACGTATAGGAATAGGGGATGTAACAACACTCTACTTTGTGGCGTTTTGCAAGAATATCTTCTACAAATCTAATATTATGTCTCTGGGCTGCAGTAGGACGTTGCAGATTATAGATTCCCAGGAGTATAATATTCAAACCTACATGTGATTGCTTGAAGATTGTTATAAAGGAGCTCAGAACAAGATTTTATAATTGTATAGGTAACCGTGATCGATATCGATATAGTCCTATAATTATAATATTGTTATACACTGATATATATACATACATACTATACACAGCCGCTGCGGGTAGCAGCTGGACTACGCGAACCCCTCCCATTCGCTCTCACTCTCCTCGTCACTCTCCTCGCTTCCTTTGATCACCCTCTTCTTGCTCATGTCTACCGCTGCTTTTCTCCTCATTTCAATCTTCCTATCGTACCCACTCTTCGTGCTGATCCTGCTCTTCTTACCGTCCGCAGTCCCTGCTCCCGCTCTTCTCTCCTTGACTCCCTTCTTCTTCAACTCCTTCTTATCCTCCTTGGTAGTCTTTGGTAGACTAGTTAACATCCATTTTTGCAAGCCTTCTGCCCCCCCACTCTTCTCCATTACACCTACGATGCCCCTCACATACTTAACATCCTCTTCGGTATAATATGTAATTGCCATACCGCCTTCCCTGCCGGCTCTACCGGTTCTTCCAACGCGATGGATATAACTAGCCACACTAGTGGGAATATCGTAATTGATTACAAGATTCACACCCCGGAAGTCCACTCCACGGGATAAGAGGTCCGTAGTGATCAGCACCCAAATTTCACCGGCTCGGAATGAGTCCATGACCTTTGATCTCGCGGTCTCTGAGAGGTTCGAATGTAACACCGCTATTCGATTCGGGGTTGGTAGATCGTACATAATTTCTGCATGTAGTGCTTGGGCACGAGGTATCGTTTGTAGAAATATCAAACATGGTGTTTTTAGAGATGAGCTGAAGAGCTGGCGAAGGGCGGTAAGTTTGCCTCGTTCTGTGGCGGTGTAAGTTATCGTTTGGCGGATGGTTGGTAGAGAGCTGTCCTTTATTCCGGCAATTAATCTAACAAGTTTTCGTGTTTTATTGCTGCTAAGAACAGACGAATGGGAGGATATTAGTTTTGTGGCGAGTGATTCGGAATTGGAAGGCATTGTCGCCGACCAAAATGAAAATGATAGGGAAGGGGATGTAAGGTGGGAGATGATTGAGGTTGTTTGGGATAGAAACAAGTCGTCGAGAAGAACGTCAGCTTCATCGAGGATGATTCGGGACACATTAGAGACTGGGAAGAGATCCGGACAGAGTTGAATTGCGTGGAGAAGGAGGAGAGGTGTAGCCACCATGATTTCGGATTTCACAGCGATTCCCTTTTTCGATCGGGTAACAGACCCATTGGTTGTTTCAATATCGCTGTCGTCCTCCTTGCTATCATCCTCACTAGATTCAATATCCTCGTCCTCGTCCTCGTCCTCATCCTCATCCTCGTTCTCATTTAGGGTATCCCTTGTCCTCCGTCGCTCCTTAGGTATTAGGGTCTTTTTCATGCCGACCACCTTGATACCAGTTCCTAAGAGTAACTTTCTAAACTCGTTGACGATTTGGTCTGCTAACTCTCGAGTAGGCGACAGAACGACTACTCGAATACCCTTCTCATAGCTATCACCCTCTTCATGTTTCGTACGGATAAGATGATCGATGGCCGGGATTGCATATGCTAATGTTTTTCCGGATCCTGTCGGGGCGATGGTCATCAAATCTAGGCCACACTCCTCCAAACCGTGCACTAAGTGACGAGTTCCGTCGAGGAGGAGAGGTAAGCTTCCCATCTGTACCTCTGTAGGAGCAACAAAGTTCTGCACCATAACATTCTCATACAACCGCTTCGAGATATTATAGTTTGTACGTAGTTCTTCGAATGTTTGTATCGGGGTAGGGAAAATCTGGTCTAGCTTTGTGGATGTTGGGGTTTTCGGTTCTGCAGCTTCATTGTCGTCGTTTCCAGCTTCTTTCTTCCCCTTCTCCTGGCCTTCTTTGACCCTTTTACTCTTCTTTGTCGTCGCATTTTTTGAAGCAGCCCTTCCGGCCTCAGTTCTGTCCTCTTGTCCCTTTTCCAGCGCTGCCTTTAGTAGCTCCTTACGGGACCCTAGTGTCGCGAGGATGGTGTATTTCAGTTTGTGCTGCTTCAATAAGGACCTGACCTCCGCGGGATCCAGTGTATTTGGACCATTTGGAACCGATACAATATTATCAACTGCCTCCACCTCATCGCGCTTTCGTTTCTTGCTCTTTTCCTTTCCTTCTTTGCCGTTCTTTGTGGTTTGTTGTTCATCGGCCTGTGGAGGCGCGGCTACTAAGGTGACTGGACTCCCTGTTGGTCCATTGGCAGCATTTGCAGCAGCTCTTCGTTTCTGCTCCCTTCTCCGGGCAGCAGTTGTTAATTTTACTTCAGCAACAGGTGTCGGTGTAGCTGATTGCTTTGGTTTTGGAGGCGCTGTGGCCTTCGAGACCGACGTTGATCGCGCGAGCAGGCGTAAGATGTCTGACATTGCTATATTGATATTGATATTGATATTGATATGATTCTATATCACCATGTCCATAGTTGGACACCTTGGTCCCTGTGTAGTACCTTTGGAGAATGGTGGTGATGATGGTGGGAGTGGTGGTTGTGGAAGAGGAAGTATCGTAGGTTTAGCGTCGCAGATTAATTTGTATTGCAGCGCCACATGTCTATTTGTCTTATAATACCTGATATCATACTGCTCTCCTTTACTCTTCTCGACTTCTTACTAATACCTATTCCATATAACTACATTCACGAAGTACATCTAGATATATATTTACTTGAAAGCAATTACCCCGGGATTCATCTTTCTTCCTGTGCTCCCTGGCCGACTCTAGATCCGTTCGTTATCTGCGTGTAAAAAATTCACTCATCAGCCACAGCCCTCTGGCGAGCTTTGAAATTTTTTCGCCAAAAGTTCGGAAAGCGTTCGGCAGAAAGGAGACTCGACTTTCGTCTTCGAGTTCACGAAACTTGGAACATTCCAACCCTCCAAACCATCCAATTGCCATCCTCCTCTCCTCTCTTCTTCCTGCTCCCCCATCGACGACCTCCATCGACGGCTTCATCTCCCACAATGTCGTCCCTAACCCTCCGACCGCTTGCCAGACGGCACCACCAGATCATTCGTTCCGCTTTCCGACGTTACGCCACTGAATCTGCCGCCAAATCCACAGCAGAATCCGCTGCCTCGTCGGCCTCATCGGCTGCTTCCAAGGCCCAGGAGACAGCCTCCAATGTCGCTGCTAAGGCACAGGAGATCTTCAACAAAGGAGTTGCCGCCGCCGGTCCAATGGCTGCTAAGTTGGGTGAAAGCATCAACAGTGCACCCTCTAGCAGTAACAAGATTGTCGGCGCTGTTCAGGGTATGCCTTCGACTGATAAGCCAACTACCCAATCATCTTGAAGGTTCCGAACTAGACGGCTAAAATATATGATATTATAGGTGTGATCCCTCATGTAGTCTACTACTCTAAGGTTGCTGCCGAGCTGGCGAAGCACATTTACCGCGGACAGCAGATGAGCCCTCCGTAAGTACCACCGATAAACAATACATCCCACGATATATGTAACAGAAAAATGGCGGATGCAATACATAAAAAATGATGATTACGATTGAGTACGCTAATAATTATTTTTAATCGGGCTATAGATCGTTACAAAACCTTCAAACTTTCTATCGTCCTTATGTCGGACCCCTCCTCAACCCATCTTCATGGTGGGGTCACATCAAATCCATCCGTCCCAGAATATCCGCTCTCCCGGACCCGGAAACAGCCTACCGAAGCGTACAGGCTACTTCGAGGAAAGAATTGGCTGGATATGCTGTTCTGGCTGCCGAGTGCCTTGGATTTTTCACCGTCGGCACAATGATTGGAAGGAGAAAGATCGTGGGGTACCGTGGTGGGGTTAAGGAGCACCATTAGACGGAACAATTGTTATGGCAGGCCCATATCATATCATCTTCTAACCCCTCCGAAAAACAAAAAAACATAGATGGATATGGCCAATTACGAAAGTATGATTTTGAGAGCGGGACGTCGTATTGAATATTCATTCAGCACGTCCCCCCCAAAAAGGAAAACGAGGATAATCATACATCCCTCGACATCATAGGCAAAAAGTTAATCTTGTGAACGACATTCGATATGGTTGTCTTTGATGATCCTGTTTAAATTTTCGTTTATAAGCCAGGAATAAAAGCAGCCTCTTCAATAGTACATAGTAGTGTTTTACTCTCCCGTTGTCTTTATTTTTTACAATGTTTATACTCCGGGTTCATGTTTATATCAATCATCCCTTCTTCTTCTTCTCCTTCTTCTCCCTCTTCTTCCACGTCTTCCTCAGCTTCTTCCCAATGATTTCCCTTTGGACTCTTTTGTACGATATAAAATCACTTCTTACACATAGAGTTTTTCCTTTTCATCCGTCTGTCCATTCATCCCCCCCGAATGGCCACGGTCCTGTATGCCTGTGGCTCCGTCTGGTCTGATCGAATCCCGTTCCATCCAACCCCAACATTATCTAACGGTCACATGTGTTGGGATCCTGAAGAGTAATTAATCTCACGTTCATCAGATCATACCTGACCGTACCAAATTATCAGCAGCAAGCCAAAGGTAGTTTTTTTTTTTTTGTGGTTCGACCTGCTCAAAAAATCAAGCTTGGCTGCGTTCACATGGCGAAAAAGTGGCCGCGGCATTGTTCCGGTGTGCCTACCAAAAGTCTAAGTCTCCTTCCTCCTTCGTCATGTCTTCTTCATTCGCTTCCCCGGATTCAACCACAACCACATTCTCCCTCTTTTTCAAACTGTTCTCCATAAAACTCAGCTGTCTCCCGTATTCAATACCAGTTAGAGGTATACTTCTAGAATACGGACACGGCCCTGTCTGCTAGAAGATGCGCTAGGTCACAGTGCTACACTCGCCATAGCGCTACACAAACATCACTATTACTAACAACTACACTTTACGGCCTACAATACCACTTAAGCACCAAGAACGTTAGCTCTTCTGGCCCAGGTATCCAGGCCGCGGCCGCTGGTCGGACTATTTTGCTCTCCCCGAGAGCATAAACCGGGTTCTTTGATTTAACCATGGCTGCGCAATCTACTTTACGTACCCGGATCTCTAAGTTCCTCGCCGGGTACTTCCGTTTGCTCGCCCAGTCCCCGAAATCCCAGCGTCTAGTCAGTGCTGCGATTCTGTGCGCTCTTGTTATCGCAGGATTCGACAGACGCCGGAGATGGAAACAGCAAGACGAAGAACAAAAGCGTGGGAGGGAGCTAGTTCGACGTAATTCCGGGATCATCGGCAAGGATGGTACCTACACCATTTATGTCCCGCATCCAAGGCACGGCACCACGAAGGTTGTTATAAATCCCACAAAGAAGACAACATTCGAGGCGCATAGACGGCTGTTTTTGAGTGGACCGAGAGGTAAAGGACAATATGGTATGTTGAGATCTATATCATGACTTCTATCATGTATCATGGTCCCTCAAGTTCAATGGCTAACTGGTGGATGAATTATAGTATCCGGGACCCCACCACCTAATACAAAGCCCGGTCTCAATCTCGCCTTCTTACATCAGTTCCTCTCTCTTCTTTCTATTTGTCTCCCTCGCATTGATTCTCGTGGTACCCTTCTTTTGATGCTTCACACCATCGCTCTAATTTCTCGAACATATTTGTCTCTTGTAATTGCTCGTCTTGACGGTAGTATCGTCCGCGACCTCGTCGCTGGAAACGGTAAAGCCTTCTCCATCGGTATCTTAAAATGGTTGGGCGTTGGTGCGGTCGCCAGCTACACAAATGCCGGTATCAAATATCTCCAATCCAAGATTTCGATCGAATTCCGTACGAGATTGACAAGATATATCCACGACCTGTACCTCAATGACCGCCTCGGCTATTATAAACTTACAAATCTTGATGGTGGTGTCGGCACCGGAGCTGACCAGTTCATTACGACTGATCTCACACGCTTCTGCGACGAAGCTTCTGCGATCTACTCTTCTCTGGGCAAGCCTTTCCTTGATCTCGTAGTCTTCAACTGGCAGCTCATGCGCAGCCTTGGTCTGGCTGGTGTGGGCGGTCTTCTTAGCAACTACTTCCTCACTGCTTATGTTCTCAAGAAATACTCACCGCCATTCGGTAAACTTGCGGCCGTGCAAGCTAAGAAAGAAGGTGAATTCCGTGGCCTCCACTCTCGCTTGATCACTAATGCAGAGGAAATCGCTTTCTATGGTGGATCTGAGATGGAAGGCGTATACCTCCACCGCGGTTTCGGAGAACTCAAGAACTGGATGGAGAACATATATAGCATGAAGATCAGATACAACATGCTTGAGGACTTCATTTTGAAATACTCTTGGTCCGCTTTCGGATTCGTTATTACCTCCCTGCCGGTATTTATGCCCGCATGGGCCGGTCTTGGTGGTTTACTGGAGTTGGCAAGCAACAAAGAGGCCCCCTCAGCCGACCATGAACGCCGACGCGGCCAAGACCGAATGAAGGGCTTCATCACAAACAAGCGACTCATGTTAAGTTTGGCAGATGCAGGTGGTAGAATGATGTACAGCTTCAAGGATCTCAGCGAACTCGCTGGTTACACTTCGCGGGTATACACATTGATCTCAACTCTTCACAGAGTTCACTCGAATGCCTACCAAATCCCGTCGAAGGGGCATGCGGAACTATACTCTATGGCCGACGTCCAGGGTACAATTCACAAAGGCTTTGACGGTGTCCGTCTGGAAAGCGTACCAATTGTCGCACCGGCGCTCTATCCACGAGGAGGCGAGGAAATCATTGAAGATCTATCGGTCATCATTAAGGAAGGTGAACATCTCCTTATCATCGGCCCTAACGGCTCTGGAAAGAGTAGCGTCGCTCGTGTTGTCGCTGGTTTATGGCCCGTCTTCCGTGGATTGGTCAGTCTGCCACGGAACAGAGGCGAGGACGGTATCATGTTCCTGCCCCAGAGGACATACCTTTCTATGGGCACGCTGCGTGACCAAGTCATCTACCCGCACACTGAAATGGATATGAGGACTTCCACCAAGAACGACGCAGAACTTCAGAGGATTTTGGAAGCTGTGAGGCTAGGTTATTTGAGGGATAGAGAGGGCGGCTGGGACACACAGAAGGATTGGTCTAACGTTCTCAGCGGAGGAGAAAGGCAGAGGATGGCATTTGCTAGGCTGCTGTACCACGAGCCCAAGTATGCATTCGTTGACGAGGGCACCAGCGCGGTCAGCAGTGACGTTGAGGGACTGTTGTACGAGACGGCAAAGGAGCGGGGCATTAGTAAGTATTTTCCTCTTGTTCTGCGTCAATTACAACTTATGATTGCTAACAACAAAAAATCATAGCTCTGATCACCATTTCAACTCGTGCTCAGTTGAAGAAGTACCACACCTACCAGCTCCGCCTTGGTATGGGTGAGTACGGCGCTGAATGGGAGTTCGACCGGATCGGCGCCGAACGCGAGCGAATGAGCATTGAAAAGGAAATCAAGGAGCTCGAAGAGAGACTCGCTAAGGTTAACGATATGGAACAAAGGAAGCAGGCTATTGAAGCCGAGTTGAAGAACGTTCTCATCGAAGGCGGTGACTTGGGCGTTGTAGAAGCTGAAAGTCTCCCCGACGAGGAAGAGGAAAGTGAGGAGGAACAAGCACAGGGACCTGAAGTCGAGTTCGTACCCGTGTTAGAAGAAGAAGATTATGCTGCCTCGACTAATGATGATGTTGCTGTTATTGACGACGAGAGCAGCAGTGGTTCGGAGGCTAAGTAACCGGGACTCTTGGTACGCTAACTTTAAGTACTTACTTGGGGTGGTTTGGAGTAATATTTCTCATCTTTCGAGATTGATTGTCTATCTAGAAACGGGCGATGTCGCGCTTCTTTTCATTCACATCTGTATTATATACCCTGTATTTCTATTTCTATGTAGAGGGACCATACATTCTCAAGCGGTATATAGAATCATCATGGATATCAAATCCTACAGCCTTCGTGCATTTTATTTGATCTGTTAGGGAAAGCATGCGACAAGCATACAGGACTCGTTTTTTTTTTTTTTTTTCAAAAAAAAGTATTGCAATTGCAGGCTGTATTCATGTGATTAGAATTAATCCTTTTCATAAGATTCATGCGACATCGAAATCGTGACAAATATTTTTGGAATGAACAAAAGAGAGAAAAACGGGATGTCGTATGGGTATCTGAATCCCTCCCTATGTTCCCACAACCCCGAAAGAAGAATACCACCGAAAAATGCCACTTAGCTGTCATGGCAGAGAACGAATCAGAAAAAAAAGGTGTTCATATACAGTCGGAAATGTACTGGACATTCATTTCATAAGCATTCCCACATAGATATTCTTTTCGCCTCTACCCATCGATATGATTTTTGTTGCCTCCAATAGGACCCGCTCTACAAATTATATCAATACGCCTTCTAGACGTCTAACACCCTACCTCGGTGGTTGCTCCTGGAAACGATCGCTGAATGGATTTCCGGGCAGGCTCTCAGCACTTCTAGCCTTGATAGTTGGTGGACTGGTTGGTTCATCCTGGTACGGTCCCGTATTTCTCGGTGTATCTGGGCTCCTCATGGCTCCCATTTCCCAAGCCGCAGCCTTAGTATCGATTTCATCTCTATACCCTGGCGGACGGTTTGCACGCTGTCCTCTTGCACGTCGGGAAACATAACCACCTTCCGCCCTCTTTCTGCGCATCGAGGGGATAACAATTCCACCAATGGAACGCTTATCCTTATTACAGAAATGAAGACCAGCGATCACAGCGACGATGAAGAGAGCCGCTAATGGCAATCCGACAGCCAAACCAATGGTAGAAACCGGTGGGCGTACCGAGGGTTGAGGGTGATGGATTGGTTCTTTGGAGATCCTGACCCAAGGACCGAAACGGAAAGATTTTTCCGTGTTGGCGAGGACGCCGATTCTCTTCATGGACCAGTGAATGACTACGCCTGCTGAGTATTTTTCTGGATCAACATAGAATGTGATGAAGCCGATTTTGTTGAGTGTGACGCCGGACTACAACGGAGAGTTAGTATTTTTTCCTCCATCTTTCTTTCTTTAAAACCGAACAAAAAGTGACTCGTGAGGGGAACACATATTTCGAAAATAAGAGGGATACTCACATCGAAGGCGACACGTCCCCGTTCTGGGAACTCAGGATCCTCCTGGTAATTGGCCATGATCTCGACAGTGTTATTGCCGCCATCTTCACCCCAGTAAAGTGGATCCCAAGTGACATAATACCTATATGGGACGGCAAATTAACAATTCCATTCTATAAAATTTATTGAAATGGATGGTTACTAAAACGGGACCATGGAAAGAGAAATACTTACGTTTCTCCGAGATATAAATTTGTTTCGTTATTTGGTAGACAAAACGGCGCATATTTTCCACCACCTTGGTACCTGCTTGCGTCGCAAGTGGGGAGGAAAGAGGTTGGTTCACCGTCCTCGGATTCAGCAGGTCCGGTATGATTCGGATCCGGGAGGTTCACAGTTCTGGTCATACCATCGCTTTCGGTGGTCACTCCAGGGACAATTGTTGAGATCCTGCCATCGGTCTCATTGACGGAAATCCAGGCAGATGGAGTTGCTTCGCCGGTGATCGATGATTCAGTTCCAGTTATAGAAGCAGACCCGTCAGTCTCTGTTGGAGAACTTTCGTCGGTGGTTGTTTCCGAAGAAGTAACAGCGGCATCAGTTGGGGAGGCATCAGTGGATGTGGAAACCTCAGTTCCCGTCTCGGCGGGGAGAGCCGAACTATCTGTTGCAGTAGGGATGTCGTCGGTTGAAGCTGAGGGATATCCATGTTAGACTCGGTTTCGTTTTTTATTTTACCCCAACGGAAAAATTCAAGTCAATTGAAGAGATCGCGAGGAAAGATACTGCGACTTACTTGAGAGATCAGTGGAAGTTTCGACGATTTCTTGCCTGGGGACGACGGCGGGGATGGCCTGGACAATGGCGCAGAGAAGCAGCACCGGAGCGAGAGTGCGCTTAAAGCTCAATCGAACCATATTTGCGTTGGAGACAGTGCAGTGCTAAGATGGATAAAAGACGACTGAAGTAAATGAAGGATCTGGGCCTTAGGGAACCATGCGATTGATATATATTTCCGGGCAGGGGAGGAGGGGTGAAATATAACGAAGTGAAGTGAAGAGGAGGAGGAGGTTGAGGATGAGGATGGGGGGAGGGTGGGAACTTGGATGAACGAACGAACGAACCGAATTGCCCCAGCTTCTTGTGCGAGCCAAGCACAGCAGAATCAGAAGCGAGCGGGCAGTCCGGGATGCTGGCTAAAGTGGTTAAAATCCCGCCCGGCAAAACGGTGCGAATACATCTATTTTTACGAAGCATCTATCGAATCATACGCATCATATCATATGCTATTTGTTATTTTATTATACCATCTGGCAGACGACTCGTGGGCGCTATCTTGGGAATCAACTAACTGTGGGTGACAATTGCAATTGTTCGTGCCCGCATACTCCTCAACATCATACGTTACCTTACTTGCACTATACTAGCATACGCTATCATGGCTAGCTGAAAATCGGAGCTCAGAAATTTTCACTAGGCTCTCGCTCGCCGGCTCTAGTTTTTATCAGTTGGAACCTGCATATGCCTCGCTGCCAAGGTTATGCAACTGCGGCCTTTTTGTGCGACACCAAACCGCATTCGCCCGTCGATATCCTCCTCAGTTGGAGCTCCGGATCCGGAAGGAGACGGGTTGGGGGCATACTTCTTAGCTTAGGTACCTGGACTTGGTTATAGGCGCGGTACGAGGCTCGGGGATTTCAAAGCAAAGACATCGATTGATATCATAGGTTGTATTTAGGTTTTATATTTTATATATTGTACATACATATGAAATGCTGGAATTCATCGGATTTTTCTTTCCGGCGCATCGATCCAAATAGGACATCGCATTGCATAAGTACCTAGCTTCTGTATATAAATGTTCGTGCATGGGATTGGATCCAGATCTAGTTAGTATACTGCTTTTGCAGGATCTTGGATATCGTCTCCAGTTGGATGTTGCTTGTCTATAGAACGAAACTTGTTAGCCTTCTGTAACGATCATAATTATATCAATCTGGGGATTCGAATTCGTTCATCCAACTTACTCCTTCATAGATGGCACCGATCTTACTGTCCCTCCAGAACTTCTCTGCTAACCCTTCTCTAACAAATCCCATACCACCCATCCATTCGACGGCTTGCCCGGAAACCTTGCCTGCAACTTGCGATGCATACAACTTCGCCATAGCCGCCTCCATCACAAAGTTTGCTCCAGCGGCCTTTGTCCGAGCAGCATTGTAAACCAACGCTCTGGCCGCTTCAATCTCCAACCTGGCCTGTGCGATCTGGAACCTCAAGCCCTGGTTCTCACCGATCAACTTTCCAAATTGCTTTCTATCATTCCAACAGTATTTGACTGCATTTTCCCAAGCTCCAAGAGCCAATCCGGTCATCTGAGCACCGATACCAATTCTACCTTCATTCAATATTCCGATAGCATACTTGTAACCTTGACCTTCCTCACCCAAAATATTCTCCTTTGGAATGTATAGGTCGTCGAAGTTCAAGACGCATGTGGAGCTGGCCCTGATACCCAATTTCTTTTCCTTCTTAGCTATCGAGAAACCTGGGAAGTTCTTCTCGGCGACGAAGGCGGTGATACCCTTGTAGCCTGCGTCCGGGTTGATGTTGGCGAAAATGATGAAGATTTCGGATTCCATGGCGTTGGTGATCCACATCTTGGATCCGTTGAGGACATAGCCGTCGCCCTTCTTGACGGCCTTGGTTTGGAGAGCGAAGGCATCGGAACCGGAGGCAGGCTCAGAGAGGCAGAACGATCCTAACAGAATTTTTAGATATGATGTATATGGATTATTAAACGAAGGTTGACAAACCACAGCTCTCGGTGGCAAGACGTGGGAGGTACTTCTCCTTGAGGGCCTTGCTACCCCATTTCCTGAACGCCTGGGCTACGAGGGTGTTCTAAACTCGAAATTAGATATCAAATATTGCTTAAAGGCTGCATCGAGGAGTAGCATTCTTACGTGAACGTCGCAAAGAACTGATACCTATTTGGCAAAACTGTTAGCATCAAAATGGTATCTAGGAGTCCAGGGATTCTTTAAGCTGCGCTTACACTTGGATCAATTCGTGCCAGTTCCTCGATAGCAACAATGGCGGCCGTAAAGCTCATACCACTGCCACCATATTCCTCCTCGATTTCGATACCCATGAGACCTTGCTCGAACAAGCCCTCAAGAACACTCTTGTCCAAGGTCTCGGCCTCATCCATATCCCTAACTTTAGGCAGAATCACGTCATTGGAGAACTTCGAAACAACTTCTTTGAGCATGTTCTCTTCTTCGGTAAGATGGAAAACTGGGGTGTTGTGGACATCGTCGGTGAACGTTCTACTCCCTATACGTCAATAATTTGACATCTCTGCATATAGAATATGATTTAAAGTACCGAATCTGTCTGCCTGCGTTCAATGTAACTGCCGGCGAAAATTGACGAAGAGCAGTCGTCCTCGAAGCTCGGGACAAAGTTGAAAGCGCGGGGCGCAAAGCTCGAAGTGAGGATGCCATTGTGAGAAACTTGGCTTTTGTAATTTTAGCAAACTGTAGAAAGAGTATCGAATTGTCAAGGGTACGACGTTGAACGGAGAGAGGTCAGAGAAAAATTCAAGGCCCTGCTAGACTATTCGCCCACAGTACACAAATCAAGAACTTATGATGCTGCGCAGGTCACTAGGTCTGTTTGGGTGGTCGGGTTCAATCTTCACATGCCGAGTGGCCGTGGCAGTCGGGGAAAGTGCAATGTGGAGTCGGCTGGAAGCGGCCAACCGGTTGCTCGCTCTCCTGCCGGACTGAGAGTGTGGGGGAGCTCCATATCTAAGGACGTACAATATCGATACCGATGTCTCGGAAGACACAAAATACGTATACTCGGAGTCGAGTCCTGATATTTGACGTAGCCAATAGAAACTGATACCGATAATACATGTACTTGTGAGTGTAGAGAGATATATCAGCCCGCGCCAATTGGCGGGCGTGAGCAGCTTAGCTTAGTCTACCTTCCGAATGGTATCTCCGTTAAGAACGATTTGGGATATTAAATCCGGTTATGGCCGATAATTCTTTTGAAGAAAATACAACAAGCAACACGCTTTTATGAAATCTGACAATCCTTCTTGCTTTTAACTCAAGCTTCTGAACAAATTTAGGCCCAATATTGGAAAAACTGAAACACTAGGAACGAATATGAACTCCGTTCAGAATAGTACAACCTTAAATCTGTTTATCTCGTCTAAGTGTTAGGTCGTTGTTAAGCTTCAAGGGTAAAGATACCTAGATATATTCCAAGTCCTATGCACTTGTCCAGAAAAGAACACAAAGATGATATTCTTTGGCTTCGAGGCCAAACCAAATGGTTCTTTCCCCGATTTTCACAGTATCTTCCGTAAAACTTGTCTATCCCATTTGAGAACCCATCTCGCGGTCGAATTTCGCCGAAAAACAAGACAAGCCTAAGTTCTGGGAAAAACACCCCAGTCTGACATGGGATGACAAGCAGGGATTCCTTTCCCCCAGGCTATTTATCTCCCATGGCCATGTATCCAAACAATTGCAGCAGCATTGTCGCAATATAAAAGCAATGGCCACCACCACCATATAATCCTACGTACGTCAGGCTAAAACCCCACCAGCAAGCCCTACCCGGGCCGAAAATCTGCAGCATAAAGTAACAAGCGCCCTCGCCTTTTTTTATTTTGGCTTTCTTAGCTCTTTCTCGTCCACATTCTGCGACAGCTGTCACAGCTAGTTAATTTAAGCATGTTGTCATCTCTCGGAGGCATTGGCTCCATGGCTACTTAAACAGCTGATGGACGGCTTTTGGGCCGATGCAACCTAAGATATATTCCCCAGTCCATTAGCCATGGATACGCAATCGAAGGCAAAAAGAACGCAGAGCAATTCCTTTAATCCGTCCACGCTGCTATACTCTAGATTGTGGGGAAAGTCAGCATTCAGGAACCCGGGAATCTTTCATCCTTCCATCGATCTCTCTGGCAAATGTTAGCAAGCAAGGGACATCGATACCCCCAACACCTGCATAGATGTAGGTACCGGGGGGCATGTCTATACCCTCAAGGTAGATCCGGAATAACTGTTGACTGTTCCATACAGGCTCTGATCATGAGAATATATCATGTTACCATGTCGATATTTTACAAATGCTATCCAGGCTAGCTAGCTAAAATAGTTTGAATGGATTACACGGACCAAGTTGTATATTTAAACTACTGAATCATCCCGTGCCAATGCGTACCTGCAATTGCTTGGTTTCTTTCTTTCTTCCCCCTTAGCTATTGATTTCCGGTTAGAGTCGATCGGTTTCTTATCAGCATATATACCTATCCCGTATCGATAAGCTTGAAGCCTGTATATTCAGAATCGATCTTAAAAATGAAGTCGACACTTGCCTTCGCTGCCTTCGCTGGCCTCGCGACCCTTTCCGCTGCTGCGCCGTCCCTAGATAAAAGAGTTTTTGGAAGACACTATAATGGATTCGACAGAATCAAGTATCTCTTCGTCTTGTATGTACCACCCGCACATACGTAGACACCCCAGAGACCGAACGATTGAACTAATGTATCTATGTTTCAATAAAGCGGCGACTCATACACCAGCACCGGCTTCAACATGACCAATGGCTCCCCCCTGCCATCGGCCTCAAACCCAATGGGCAACCCCCCTTTCCCAGGCTGGAACTCCGCCAACGGACCAAATTGGGTCGACTACCTCACCTTCACCTACAATTCCTCGTTACTCCAGACCTGGAATCTTGCCTATGGTGGTGCCACAATCGACTCAGAACTCGTCCGTCCATGGCGCGACGATGTCCTCTCCCTCAAACAACAGGTCCAAGACCTCTTCCTCCCATACCTCAGCGTCCCACCCCCACGAAGTGCTCACTCTGCCTTTCCACGCTGGAAATCAGATACCTCTCTTTTCCTGACCTGGATCGGAATCAACGATATCGGTAACTCATGGTGGAACCAGAACACCACTTTCCACGACGTCCTCCTGAACGAATATTTTGATCATATGAACTCGCTTTACGAAACCGGTGCTAGGAACTTTGTCTTCATCAATGTTCCACCAACAGATCGTTCCCCCCTCATCTTGGAACAAGGCGATTGGTCGACTTCAACACTGAAGGTCATGTTGAAGGACTTTAACGATAAGTTGACGAAGAGGGTCGCCAAGTTTGAGAAGGACCACAGGGGTACTTCCACATGGTTGTTCGATTCCGTTGGAATCTTTAACAACATCCTCGACCACCCCAAGACCGCGGACTGGACTTTCAACAATGTGACCGAGTACTGTGCAGCTTATCAGAAGTAAGTAGAAATAGTAAATCGAATATGCTTCCGCAAAATTAGGCTTGCCATGCTAACTTTGAAATATTAGTGGAACTCCTGAATGGGATACATTCGACCCTGCTTGCGTCTACCCTGTCGACGAGTACTTCTGGTTGAACTCTCTTCATCCAACTCACTTTGTACACAAAGAGGTTGCCAAGAAGCTTGCAAAGGCTTTGTAAGTGTAGTTATACAATTAAGGTGCCGAGCACTGGGTCATGATCATGTATATATAGTATTATCGGTATGGCAATTTGGCTTTTAATGCTTAGGATTAATCTAGTCCTTCAGTGGCACTGTTGAATTGAGAAAATTCGAAAACTCGTACGATTATAACTATTGGTAAGAAGGGGTTTCATCAGATGCATTATGGTAAGATATATAGCAGGTAAACCAATCCTGACCTCAACAACCGCTTGCGATATAGTTGAATGAAAGAAGAATGAACCAGAACTAGAGAAAAAAGGTAAACGTAAAAGCTTAACAAGAAAAGAAAAAACTCCTAAGAATATTCACAACGAATTTATTACGAAGGACTACAAAGTTGTAATAAAAACGAACTCAGAAAAATAACCCCGGCCTCGATGCTTCTTAGAACCAATTATCATTTGGTTTCTGTGGGTGCCCTTGTTGCTGCCCCTGTTGCTGCCCCTCATAGCTGCTTGACCTCCCGAATCCGCCCCAACTTCCCCCGTTCTGGTTCTGCGGTGGATACTGCTGCGGGGTATAACCCGGAGGAGCGGTAGCAGAGTGCTGAAGCGGGTAGGGCTGCGGGGTCGTAGGCCTACTTCCTCCAGCCACGCTACCTTGAGGTACCCACAATGTCTGTTGGCTTTCATTCTTCTCAGGCGGGTAAACGATATTCCCATGTCCACCATCCGATGCAGCAACCAACTGGCCACCACCTTTGACTTTTCCTAGCACCATACCCTTTGCAACCGATTTAACGACAGCACGACGAGATACACCGGTTGCGTCAACATACACTAGACCCACGTTCTTGACAGATGAAGTAAGACCATAAGCCACTTGTCCGGCCTCGTCGCCGTATCTGTGTTTTACAACTGTTGTAGCAGCATTACTTCCACTATGGAGTAAGTGCTTCCCAGCGGCATCAATACCATCCGCCAGAGTCGAAAATGCAATCAAGCTCTTATTCAACAATCCTGGCTTGGTTGGAACTTTCTTTTGGAGCTCGTTGCCTTCTCTATCCACTTTACCCGCCATCTTGGCGCCGATGTTTTGTGCAACTTCCTGAACTTTTCCGATTGTCTTTGATGACATTCCACTAGCGCCGTGTGTAAATGTATGGATCTTACGGACTCGTTCGTGGGTTGTAGGGTTGAAGGTTAATGGCTCGGCGACAGGATTTGTTTTCTGCGTGAACTTTTGCGCACCACTCTCCATAGCTGTTGCCGCATATGTAGCGGCCGTAACGATGAATTTGGAGGCCCAGGCAGCCCTTGAGACGATAGTAGAGCTTGAATACGCAGGATGCTCAGCGGCACCAAAAATATCGTCATGATTAATCGGGGTAACCGGTTTAATAACCAAATCGTGAGAGTTTGGATCCGTGGGAAGGGAGACCTCGACAGGAGCTAGGGTTGACAAAACTCGCGTTAGTGAAAGCTGCCTCACGGAGACGCTCTAGAACTAGTACATACCTTTGCTACCGGGCTGTACACCCTGGCTTTCTACAACATTAAACCCTTCACTGAGCTCTCCCACAATTCTACCATCCTGCTCATCGACGAGAACTAATCGTCCACCTTGTGGTGCACGATCTGGAGCTGACATTGTAGGGACGCCATAGCCGTACTGTTCGCCAGCCATTGCCCCACTCCCAGGAACATACCCACCAGCAGCTGATCCTCCCAGATCCCTGGTAGTAGCACCTTTCTGTTTCGACCTTGAAGAGGATGAGCTCTTCTCATTGTTACTGGCTCCATTATATCCATAATACCCATCTGCCGAGCCTCCTGGAGCACTATAAATTGGGACAGGGGCAGGACTCCTCGACCTCGACCTCTGTTGTTGGTCAAGCTGTGGCGGCTTTGCATTTTCTAAGAAAGCAGTACACTGCGCCAGGATTGTTTCAAATGTATCGATGTCATCTTGGCTTCTATGTTCTAGAAATTCAATGCGTGTGAAGCAGTTCCCTAGACCGCCATCGAGGTCCAGGCGTGGAATAAGGTAGGATCGAGGGTATTGGCGGAATATTTTTGTGGTGGCAGGAAGTGGTAGGTCGAGGTTTGGAAGTTGCTGGACGTGCAGGTAGAAGTCCTCTTCTTCGGTAGGGGTCTCAGCAAATGGATCGACGATTGTAGTGGAGACCATCAACATAGTCAGCGGAGCGGGAACTTCATTCAGACGAGTCTCATTTCCACTGGCAAGATGGTAGACGTTGATTGCAGGGACCTCGTAGAGGACCTGAGGAGGGGTTCGTTGGACCATTTTTGTAGGGTATTAATTATGATTAGGAGTGAATGATATGATATGTAGGCTATCTATGCACTCGACTATGGAGGTTAAGGTTAGTGCTGGAGCTCATTCACAAATTCAGCGCTATTATGGATGCTGTAAACAGGATGAGTGTAGAGATAAATCTAGCTAAATGATAGAAGAGAGAGATGGGGGGGAGAGAAGAAAGAAGGAGAAGGAGAAGATGAGTGGAAGAAGTGGAGAGTGGAGAGCAGAGAGCAGAGAGCAGAGCAGAGGTGGAGGTTGAAGGGGGGCCGAGCATGCAGCTGCACAACACAGACACAACAATGGCGTTGTATTGGAACTTACCAAGATGGGATATCGATGGATGGTATGATATCAGATGAAATCCCGAGATGAATTTGAAGCTTCAACCGGAAACAAATAAATAAAATAAAGTAAAAATATGTATATGTATATGTAATACCAGCTGAAGAAATAGAAATCGAGCGATGAGGGCAGAAGATGAAAGATGTAAAAGGAAGATAAAAGATAAAAAATCAGGTGAAAAAAGTATGTCCCGCGAAGTAACGGACCAGACCAAAGAGGGGCCACAGCACAGGACTACTGATTGTTCGGTCGAGGGGTCGCAGATGCTTTAAATATCACACACACTGCAAACCAGGAACGGCCGACGAGGGACTCGGAGAACGAAAGAATTGGCCACTCACAGAACCCTCCTCTCGATTGTTTTACCCTTAGTGAGACGGTAAGTATAGTAATGTCTGTACCTGTACAGTATCAGATCAGTCGGTCAGTTGCTCGCTCGCTGGAAAGGTGGTCCCAAATTTCAGGTCGGGTGCATGGGTCCAACCGGGCGCCAAACCAGGGCAGCCAATCAGCTGAACGGACCCACCTGCTCACACCTCTTTGATGTCCTTGAGCTTTCAGCTGGGATGAGAAGGAGCAGAAGCCAAAAAAGAAGCGTGCGCTTGGTGGGGAAGATTCACACTCGGGGTATTGCGTAGACGCCACAATGCCTGTTGTATTTATATTGTATGTATACCCTCGAGGTATTGATCCGTATTACGCAAGCTATGAATAACATCTTGCATGTCTTTAGTCCAATCTGGTTGAGCCCGACCCTCGTATTGTGCGACTTTGGCGGGTGAAGGTTATTATTAATATCAGATCATCGATCAAGAGCGAATTCGTGAACTGTACTCCGTAACATTCAGCCGATGATAGATGCCGTAGCTGGGGATGGTATTGCCACATGGAGTAGCTCGATGGGATGGCAAGGGTGTCCAACTGTGGCTGGATTAACCTTAAAAGTGACCGGCCAAGGAGCCTTTTCCTTTCTGGAACCATGTCCTGTGCAGCTGTGGCGAAGTACTCGATGTTGCTTGCATCCTTGGGCAGACCTCCAGGCGGACAGACGTCAGAGTCGATTTCGCTAATGCAGCAGCATTGCATTGCCATCGGCATGTATCTTCTGGGAATGAAAAATATTAGAATCGAGCTGTGTACATTTTAGTAATTGCATATGTAATTTCACATGCTATTTTCCCGTCCAAGCTGTCTTTTTTGTATTCTATTCTGTAGCTGAATCCTATATTTTAATATTTTCTCGATTCGCAATGAAAATGACGGCGGACGCGGACTAGCTAAGCGCCAACAGGCTGGACATTCGTAAGCACCTGCGTAAGTACCATTATGTCAACTGTATGATCGAAATTGTAAACCAATATTCACGTGAACATACCTTTGATAATACAACGATGGCCACCGCATTGGTTCTTTGCTTCAGATCTAGACCTGGGAGCTAGTCGTGACCGATCGAGTGGTGTATAAGTCCTGCCTTGTAGAAAACGTATGCCCCACTATAGTAATAGCTCACTATAAACCCATATTATATGCTATGATCGTAATCACAGCCAATAGTTGTTCGTGCACGAGCCTTCATCATAAAAATACCAACATAGCCTTGAATACTATCCAGGTACCCAAATATCCTCTTCAAGATATCCACGGGTCCTCAAGACTGGAGACCCATCCTTCCGGGATTTCCAATATATTCTCAAAGCCACGGTCAGGTTCTGGGTGGTCAAATATCCATCGAAAGACCTCGTATCTGATACTCAACGGCAGCTTCCCAATTTCAATCGCAGGTCGTCGATTATTCGTCATATATATTTCCTCCAATTTGAATGGAGCTTCATCTAGAACGTTCAACTCGGAAGGAAGGCATGGGAGAGAATGTTGCGGCTCTGGTGATTTAATTGCAGTGTAGGATTGTTCAGATTGCATCGTTCGCGATGAATCAGAATCCGGGCTGGAACCTTCCTTTTGGCTGGTATTGCTTTTATCGTTATCAGCACCTTCCTCTTTATCGTTCTCCTTTTTTATATAATCGTTCGCTTCCAAATAGCGTTTATCATCCAAAACTTCTCCAATATATTCATTACTTTTTTTCCCTAAACGAAACTGGAGTTTGGGTGGTACGGTGATCCCATCATATCCTGTGCCTTCGGATACCTCGAGCAACTCGCCGACATATATCGAATCTCCTTCGTCTGATGGGAACAGTCGGAATTTATATTGCTTGTTTGCCATGGTGTACTATGCCTCGATAACGGAAGTAGTTACTTGGCTATTCTGTATTGCGGATGGAGAGGATAATTATAAGTATATGATCGATTATGACCAAAAAGATATAAGAATAGGTATGTATGTACTTACCTAGGCAATTTGAAGGGAAATGGGGGTGGAGGTTTTTGTTGATGAGGAAGATGATAGATGGTTTTAAGTTTGAGGGATACCTTGTAGATGCTCTTTGTGACGTCTGAGAACGAGACCAATATTTACCTACTTAGTAATTATAAGTCAGCATATCTCTGAGGGACAGCCCCGAGACCCGCCGATCATGGAGATGATATGCCAACATCATCCAGTCCAATCCCATGAAACCACCGACGTGACACCCAGTCACCAAGTGCTTAGGTACTTAATCGAGGTATCTTACACAGCACTAGTATGTATACTAGCATTTGCCTAGGTAGTTTATAAGATAATATTTCATTCCGTGTAGAAGTCACCCAAGGGTTTATCAAACAGTGCCAGTGCACATCATACTTGAATATGTCAACGCTGATGTAAAACACTCTCTCATTTATATATACGTATACACCTGTCTTCTTCTCTTTATTCATAAAAGAAACCCACAAACATACAGCGCTCCGTAGATAATAGCATTAATAATGTGAAAAGAAAGGAAACATAAAGAAAGGAAATGTAAAGAAGGAAAGTGAGGAGGTATTAGATAGGTGGTATTCGTATAAAAACATTAGAAATAAAAGTCGTAACGAATGGTCATACGTATTCAGGCGATACTATCAAAAAGCAATCCCAACTTTTTCTTTTAAATTTGTTCCTCCGTTCCCAGACGTGTATGCATGGGCACTTCCGTGTTCGTGTGCCTCTTTTTGTTCGTGTAAATGAATGCCCGATATAAATATAAAAAGAGTCGACTCCTTACCGTGAAAATATACCGCCGGTCTAAATGCAAAGAAAAATACCAGCCCAGAACGCCCCGCTGAAGCAAAAAGACGAGAATAACAACCGAAATCAAAAGAGGAGCTAAAAATAGAATATGTTACAGGTAAACAAAGGACTCCTCGAAAAACAATTCCAAAAAACTCAAAGGGGTATAAGTGAAGCAACGTATATGAAAGAGCAAAACAAAAAAAAAAAAGGAAGAAAAAGAAGAAGTGAAGAAAGGAGGAAAGCGAAGGACCAAAGAAAGAAAAGGACGGAGTGGTGAAGAAGAGAAAGGGTGAGCTACTCCAGTGTCGATGTACTAGAACGATAACACTCGATACTCTGACGCCGATGCTAGTCTTCGTCAACTCCGATAGTATCACGGTCCTTGTATTTCGATACAACAGAGTGGAGTTTAGGTATCAGTTCCTTGATCCGGTATGGCTTTGATACAACATCATCCTATCAAAGTATGTGTAAGCAAAGAGTTTTACCCATGATTGGGAAAATATATGGATATTAGTATTCTTACCATTCCGGCAGCAAACATCCTATCAATCTGGGCTTGTCGTGCATTCGCTGTTACCGCAACAATCGGGATATGACCGAGAATTGACCCTTCTGCTTGTAATTCACGGATTTGTTTGGAGCCTGTTCCAAGCAATATTAGCTATTTGTATAACGACCAAGTAGAGGAACTACGCCCACTTACAAGTAAGACCATCCATTACCGGCATCTCAACGTCCATGAGGATGAGCGACAACTCTAGCGCATCCTCTCGCGCACCCTTCCAGTAAACCGATTCTTTGATCATTTCCAAAGCTTCAACGCCATGGTTCGCCACGTAGGTCGTACATCCCGAGTTTTCTAAAGCCTTCCTCAGTAGCTTCTGGTTCACTAGATTATCCTCGACAATGAGAACTTTATAGTCTAGACTTGATTTCCCGTCAGAAGACTGGGAGGGCTTATGAAGCTGGGGTCTAGCAGCGTTGAAGTCCTGGTCGTTGATTGGACTCGAAACAGCAGGGGAGCTTTGGCTACTTTCCTTTCGTTTCGAGGTCCCCGTAGATCGAAGGACGGGTGCTTGCGGGATTTCAATTTCAGGTCGTGAACTTCTCCGGCTCTTGACGTAAAAAGAAAAGCAACATCCCTTTCCAGCTTCAGATTGAACACCAATTTCACCAGACTGTAAATGCACAAGCTCCTTGCAAATAAACAATCCCAACCCACTACCACCATACGAAACTTCGGTCTTCGCAGTGGCCTGGCTAAATTTCTGAAAAAGGTTTTTCTTCTCCGCCTCCGTGAGACCCTTGCCCGTGTCGAATACAGAAAATGTAAGGAAGACCGATTCGCCATCGCCCCATTCCGGACCTGTTGTAAGGTCAGCTGCCTTTCGTGTTGAGGGGAAATACACGAGCGAGTTTCTCCTGTCTTTCGACGATGGTCGTTTGACTGAACCTCCCATAGTGACAATAATTGATTTAGACGGCTCAGTTCGCAGAAACTTCAAGGCGTTGGTCAAAAGGTTAATCAAAACCTGCAATAACCTCGCAGGATCCAATTTGACCCAATCGATATTAAGGTTTCTGTAAGAATCATCAATCTTGAATGTCATTTTGGTCTCACTAGAAATGGCCTCTTGCTCAAACATTTTGAAGGCCCGCTCGACCACCGCAATCGGCTGAACATCAACAGGTGTGACGGTCAGCAAGGCAGAATCAAGCTTGCTCATCGTGAGAATATCGTCAACAACTCGCTTTTGATGGAGTGCGCAAAGTGATATTGTCTGCGCGACGTCAATACTTGACTCGATATCTTCTAGTAAGTCTTGGGACGATGCGATTTCCCTATACCGTTCAAGAGACCCGAGAACAGCGTCTGCACCCTGAAGGATAGCAGAGAGTGGATTTCGCATTTCATGACTAGCCATATCGACAAAGTTATCTTGTTGCCTCTTCAACTCTACAACTTCCTCCACCCGGCGCTTCTGTAAGTCCTCCGCAAATTTAGTTTCCGAAATGTTGGTGATCGAGCCAAAGACACCTAGTAACATGCCATCGGAATCAAGCTCCGGGCTTGCAGAAAACAATGTCCATCGGTCGACCTGTTCTCCCAAGTGGTTCGGGAGCATCCACGGAGTCTTCCACCTAAACTCCCATGTCTTCCTCTTTTTCCCTCGGATGACCTCGTTCCAATTCGCCTCGGTTCTCGCTGCGTCAGCGGGGTGAACACTTTCTAGCCAACGAGAAACGTCAAGGTTCCTTGGATGGCATGAAACCTCCGAAAACATGTCGTTGTAGTAGCTGATCTTGCCTTGGAAATCTGCGATGAAGACACCAACAGGCGCAAACTCTGCCAGACGAGTAAACTTCAACTCGGAATGCTCCGCCTCCTTGGATTTTATAGCGAGCTGGTGTGATAGCTCTACCCTGTCTAGCGCAGCCAATCTCACCGCCCTCTGGGCTCGTCGAATCTCTTCCTCGTAAAGAACAACGCTCGCTATGGATGTGGTAAGCTGTCTCGTCAAAAGTTGAATGAAAAGTCTATAATCCTCGTCGAATGGGCGTCGAGGGTTGATCCCAAGGACAAGGAAGCCAAGCGGTGTTTCGGAGCTTGGATTGATCGGACAAACAACCGTGGATGTGCACATATCTTCTGAGAAACCTTGGATATCAAGCCCTTCCATTAGATCCGCCGGCAAAGTTCCAGATTCTACATTCAAGAAAATATTCCCTTCTATCTGCAAGGCTTCCCTAAAAGCGATCGAAAATCCTTCAGCATTCGATTTGAGGTCGAGTATCGCAGGCGCTGCAGGATGGCCCTCCGGAACACCAATAGTTCCTTCTAGCGAGTATACCCGCGTGTTCGACAAACTCGATGCATATGAAGACGAAACCTCGCTATCCGTTGCGTCAGTTTTCTTACAAGAATACAGCATGGCAAACGGCGCGTCCCACGGGTTCGTCTCCAACGCCTCCAGAACATGCCCCCAGAACGACTTGACATCCCTTGCGCTCCCACATCTCTCACCAACCTCCCGCAACGTAAGCATCCTTCGTTCAGCAATTACACGTCGTGTTTTCTCGAATGCAGGATTGTGCAATCCGATCGTCGTCCCATCTTCACCAATGATGGGGCATATCGACCAAGAGAAATACGTTTCTTCCCGGAATCCATTCCGAAGAATGAACAATCGATCGTCTTCCTTGTTGGTAGGCTTGCCAGTTCGGACCGCCTCCATAAAAAACGGTTCGATAGCTTCCCAAATTTCGGACCAGCCATCCTTGTATTTTCTCCCTAGCAAAGACGGATGCTTCGCCCCGATTAAAGGAATATAGGCTTCGTTGTAGACGATCGAAAATTCGGATCCCCAGTACATCGCGGCGGGGTGTGGAGATGACAGAACCAAATTGATCATGGTACGTAAGCTTTGGGGCCAATCCTCAATTGGCCCAAAGCCAGTCGAAGTCCAATCCACAGCCCTTACCAATTCAAGGTGCGGATCTGAAACCACCTCAGGCGGAAGCCGGCTCCAGTCGAAGAATCCATAATCACTTGGTAAGTGTGGACTATACACCGTTGAAACCTCAGGATTATGATTTGTTTGGACAATATCATCGCTGACATCCATCTCTTCGGTCGGAGATTTGCTAGCTTCCTCATCTTCATGTACAAGAAATTCTTTAGCCTGAGGAGATTCCGGCGCGGGGGTGGACGAAGGGCTAATAACCATGTCCGAGTCCATATCCTTCGCAACCTGAGTATAATAGTTAGGAACGGGAATAGCCTCAAAGTACGAAGATCTAGGAACACGTTCAGCATCGCCGTCGCTTGCCCGCCCTATGCTTATGCATCCGGGCGTGGAACATGTATCTTTGAGTTGCCCCATAACGCCGATGGAAGGAGTTCCTGGATCTGTAACAAAGGGTTGCGCATCGCTTACTAGGGTTGTTGCGTCGTCTTCATCTCGAAGCGATTCTGTAATTTTTGCGACTTCCGCAGATTTTTCCCAAATATGAGGAGGGCATATCTCCCCTTTGCTTATGTGAACCCGATCAGTAGTCGTAGATGGCAAAGGGACGCCACATATAAGAACCATTCTTGAGCCATCCGAGCAGGTGAATGCATTTTGTGTCCACAGGATCCCGTCTGGACATACATACGGCCGACATTTACCATTTTTGGTACTCGTGTTTGAAAATGAACTGGATATCCAACGATGATACCGAGGATCTGTTATATTGAAGGTTGTACTATGATAACCCGATTCGACGGATGTTGTCGAGAATGCAGCATCTGGAAGGATGGAAGAAAACGCATCGTTATGATAGACTACTTCTAGCTTAAGTTCATGGATTGTAGTCGACGATAACTGAGACTCTTTTGCAGTGGTTGTCGAAGCGGTCCCTAACAAAAACGTTGGCCTGGGGTCATTGGAAATAACTTCGAGCAATTGAACACTCCGAAGATTTGTAGGCGGCGAATTCCTGATTGGCACCGCCAACGACTTGAGAAGTTGTGGGGAGACCTCGGCGGGAGGAGCTGCAGTAGGAGGGACGACATTAAGCGGTGACCTGCTTTTGATCGGAATGGAAAAGGTCTGAACACTTGGAGCAAGCACCATATCGTACACTTGGCAATTGTTTAAAGATTGTTTTTCCCACTGCTCACGGAGGGCGTCCGTGAAGAATGTTGGCCGCACGGGCGATGCACTAATTGATTGAAGCGGAGAATAGAATTCGTCTGCTCCTCCAGCCGGTGTAGAATATGATCTTCCCTTTAAGGCCGCAGGTCTAACTAGTGAACGCTGTGAAAGATTGGGCGAATGGTCGGGAGTATGAAGTGATGCCGAGGAAAGGAGTTCGGCGGCAGAAGTTGCAGATAACGAATGTGAGTGTGAATGAGAATGTGAATGGCCTTTATGAGTAGCAGGAGAGGGGGGGTTAGGAACAGGAGAAGGAGGAGCGAGGAAGTGGATCTCTGGAAGGTCGTAGTCAAGACGTCTCCTTCGCTTGTGCAAGTGATGGTCGTGATGGTCGTGATGATGATGATTTCCGCGGTCGTAGCTATGACTGTGACTTTGGCTATTATTGTTAATATTATTATTATTGTTGTAATCGTGAATATTATTGCAACTATTACTATGGTGATGGCTAGAGGAGGGGGTCGAGGTTGATGAGCTGTTGCTCAGAGAGTGACGGTGGAAGCCGTTGGGGCTGGCATTATCAGCATCGCGGTTCGGATTCAAGAGTGACGGTGACAACAGTCTAGCATGTATACCACTATTGGCAGTGATAGTTTTGGTGGTTGGAGGTTTTGCATGCGGAATATGGACTGGAGTCGAGGCACGAAAGAGACTGGGTGGAGACCGAGATGCTGGTGTTGGAGCGGAGGAGGAGGGACAGTGTGTGTGACCATGTTGCCTTGGGAAACCTAAATTTTGGCTCGGGACAATAGCAGCAACAGGCCCTACACCCCTTCCCCCATAGCAGGAGGATACCACAGTCGGGCCAGAGAGTAACATGCCATCATCATCGACCGATGCGTGCAAAATTGCTGGAATCGGCCGGCGTGGTTGTTGGGCTAGACCAAAGCGACGACGGGTTGTTTGATCACGCAGAAGTTTCCGATCTCTGGCCCGCCGCTGTCGCAGCCTTTCCCTGTCGGCTACATTTGCATTTGCATTTGCATTTGCAGTTGCATTTGAATTTAGATTTGCATTCAAATTTGCATTTAAGTTCCAACTAGTGCTGCCGCTAGCAATGGGTCTGGGTCTGGGTCCGGTACTGGTACTGGCGTTAGTAATAGCACTCGTAGTATTAACTCTCCTTCGAAGTCGAGTTCGGGCTCGCCCATGTCGGTGGACTCCGGCTGAGTCGATACAGCATCCAGGCACCGACGAGGAGGAGTTTAAAGACGACGATGAAGATGACGATGACGATGTGTATCCCGAAGAGAGCCCGTCCGAAGTATCATCGTACTCTTCCTCTGTTATTCCCTGTTTGATCCCGCCGTAGTGGTTGTTTGTGTTTGCATTTGTGTTTGCGTGTGAATTTGCAGCTTCCTCCTCCCATTGGTCGTCATTCTTGTTGTATTCAGCCGAGGTGAAAGAAACAACGCTGAGCTTTCTTGTCCGGTTGATCGTAGCAGCAGCGACAGCGGCACCATCATCGCCATCATCATGAAATTCGTCGCATATCGGAATAACCTCAGATGGAGTTGGGGTTGATGTTAAGTTTGATGTTTCAGCTAGATGGGCGATGATGTTGGTTGTTGGATCGTTGCTGCTCTTCCTGGAACTGACAGCACTAGAGCTGCTGTACGACAGCTGTCTGTTGCGCAGGCCCTGACCAGGCTCTGCCATATTTACCTACTGGCCACTTGATCCGATCTTTTCTATCGATAGCAGGTCCCGACAGATAAGAGAAAAGAGAAAGTAAGTAAAAAGGGGACCCTGCAGATGACAAAAGTATGCAAACAAAAGAAGAATACTAGATCCTTGAATTGAAAAGATACAAAAGATAAAGAGATTTTTGTTTTAAAAAAAAAAAAAAAAGACAGCTAGACGATAGATGGAAAGAGAAGCTATAGGAGAGTGGTCGTATAGAATAACGCCCACGAAAGGAAATCCAAGCACAATGACGACTGACTTCCTGCACCTGTCAAAAAAATGTATAATTTAATTTGAAAAAGAGAGCTAAATCCCGATTAGAATTCGAAACAGAGAGAAGAAACTATAGTCTACCGCCATTATTTCCCCTTCTCCTTCGAAAGATCCGAAAGGCCCCACGGTGAATTAATCGAATTGAAGGGTTTTCGGTGAGCCAGTCGAGCGTGCTTGCATGTGGACATGGAACATGGGGATAGCCATGCGCAGGCAATCAAGCATTTCGAGCATCTTTGGCTGGATTCGGTCATACCACTTGACGGTCCAGACCGTTATCGACTCCGGTCTTCAGGGCCGTTCAGGGTCTGAGGAATGCTTCGGGCATGTCTTTCCTCCCCTAGCCTGCTCCACGTAGCCGGATCCAGAACTGCCTGGTCTCGGCATTTTTTTTATTTTTTTTTATCGTTTTTCCCACCCGTCCTGCTCGGCTTTGGGAAACCGAGCTAGATCTTGGAAACTTAGAAATATCGGTTCTCAATGGTTCTATCGAAAGCCCCATTTTTCCATTCTTTCATCATCCAAGCCTGTGATTGGTAGGAATATTGGCTCCGATTGATTGATTGCACCCTGTTGTTCGCGTGCTGTGCGACTGTTAGATTAGCTAACAGGTTAGTCAAGTTAGTGGAACTGCTCGCTTCATCATCTTCATAATTAATGGCGAAAAAAAATAAAAGTAAAATAAGATAAAAAGTAAAATGAAAAAAAGCACAATACGATAGCAAAACAAGAGGCCCCGGAGGGGAATGCAAATTATAATATTAGAAATTAAAATGCAAGAAATTATGCGACGCTAAAGAACGGGTCCCGAAAGACTAGCATCTAGAACAAAATATCGATATATAATGACATCATAGAAGCATGTAAGTACAGACGCCGTGGCTCGCCTCGAAGACTTCAGTAGCGAAGCCAATGCAAGGGAGACTGGAAAGGGGAAAAAGAAATTTTTAAAATGGAAGGGAGCAAAGTTATGTGTTAGCTTGTCCTTGAAGCTCCATAGCTTCAGGCCGCGAAGGAAGCTCTTGAGCCTCTACGCTTGGCGGCTTGTACTGGTGCATTTGATATCCATTAAAACCTCTAGATATTGTATATGGAACTCCATCGAATTGGCGATTACCCTGCTGTGGGTTGAATTGTGCCGCAGGAGGCAGAGGAGGCAATCTCAGCCCATCATAGCGACATGCCCTCTGGTTGAAAACCAACCAGCCGATACCAACCCCTATCAGCAGGGCTAGAATAGCCCCGACGACAATGCCAGCTATTGCTCCACCGTTCAACGGGGGAGTTTCCGACGAGCCACTATTTAGTTCAGATGTGGCGGTCGAAATGTCTGAGCTCGTAATGCCAGGGTCTATCGAGGTCTGAGTGCTCAGGGTCGAGGCAGGTGCGGTCGTGGTTGTCGACCTGGCGCTACCGCTGACCAGCCTGGTAGTCCCAAATACCACCTCCGGGATCAATTCCGGTCGAATCTCACATCTGACCAATTCTCGGGTATGGTTGAAATTTGTCGCGCATCCCGTGAACTCTAAAAGTAGAAGATACGTGGAGTAGAAAGTAAGATTATGCAGAGCAAATATAATAAAAATCTTATCTGAATCCGGGACCAGAAAAAGTCTGTGATTCTAGATTTTTCCGTCCGAAGGGGGGAAAGTGTGGAGTACGGACCTGGACAACATGCATCGGGATTGCATTGGACACTATTGGTGGCTCCGCAGGTGCTGGCGAGGTCGGCGAAGCATGATTGGTGCTCGGTGCAACAGAAGCCGTATCCAAAGATGGAGACGCATTTGGGACGGGTCTCGTTGGGGATGATGCCTTAAGCTTGGGTGAAGAATTCCCGTCAACATGTATACTTCTTAACCTATGCAACCAACCACACAGGCTCATGCGAAGGGGATTGAATATAAAAAAATACAAATACAAATACAATTAATATATATAAAATAGGCTCAAGCTTCAAGTAGGTATGGATGGTAATTAAATAAATAACGCACAGCAGAGGGTGTTACTGATGGAGTTCGGCTGGCATGTTTCGGAGTATCTGCCCGGGAAGGCCTGATTGCAAACATCGGAAGAATTGTTGCTCTGGCGTTTTAGCAGCAGAGCCTGCTGGAGAGTCGGATGTTTATTGACATCGAAGGCATCAATGGCAATACGACCAGTGTGCTTTGTAATTATAAGAGCAAAGGTAGTCGGTGTGAATATTAATTGCAATTGCAAGGTTAAGCTTAAGGCCAAGAGGAAGGGTGCCGACAACAGGCGCATAGTTCCGTGCCAACAGCTATATACTCGTAGGTAAGTATATATATGTAATATGATATAACTGATTGATCCCAGGATGAAACTGTCCAGAGTCGTGCCGTTCGTTGTGTAATTATACGATTTAGGAATAACTCGTAGTACTAACTCGAAGCCGTAAAATTTGAATGTGACACGTTATAATTAACGATACCGATGTGAGGTCGTCTGTGATACTTATAGATGTGGCCACAGATATATACTTAAGTACTTATATATTTCAGAGGCAATGCAATACAATGAATAAGAATTCAAGCATTGCAACCAGCCCGTTTCAAAAGGTAGTTGACCGTGTTATAACTGATATGCGGGATTCCTTCGAATATAAAAAACTGTTACTCCAACTCGACGTTTGTGCTTCGCTGTCCATGTTGATTGTTGTAATTGAGAGGTACTACTAGTATACTAACTGAAGCTGGTTCTACAGACATTTACATAGCACATGTAGTATACCTATATAGTAGGTAATTAAAACAATATAATATAATATAATATAATCCATATAATATGTGCATTAGCCTCTCTCTTTCTCTCTTTCTTTCTTTCTTTCTTTCTTTCGATCTCATCCCCTATTCCATTGATTACTTACTTACTTACTTACTGCTTGAGTACCTCTCACTTGTGTTCAAACGGAATCCCGGGTAATTTGATTACGTCTATATAAGGAAAATTAAAATATATAAGGCATCTTCCTCACATTCTGTATTGTAATCGCCCTGGAGGTTTCGAACGTTTCACATCCATAGCATTTTTATATACATCGATCGCTGCAGATAAAGTATAAGTAAGTAAGGTATAGCTATAGAAGGGTTCCCCACATTTCGGTCCTGTCCTGTTTGAATCTCGTACATGTACGGGACTATGTATGGCAGCCCAGCCCAGCCCAGCCAGCTAACACTATAGTACTAGTACTAGTACTAGCGACAAACCTTACGGAGGACCTTGTTCGTACTAAGTTAACGTTAGAATCCACACTTAAGTCTCACCGGTGTAAGCAACACCACCACCACCACCACAGAAGCGATGATTCGCACCTTCACCCAGTCTCGCTCCCGTCAACTCTACCTCCTCCTCATCCTCCTCGTATTCGTCTTCTACTCTCTCCCGTCCTCTCCGACTGCTAAATTAAAATCAGTCGACCTTTCGTCAAAACGAGCGTATCCGCCACGTGATATCGTTGTTGCAGCTTTGAAACACGACGACGTCTCCTGGATCGACAAGTTTTTAGCGGAATGGCAGCCACGAGTCTATATTACCGATGCAGCGCTGTATTTCGACAAAACGAGCTTGACCGTACCGAGGAACAAGGGTCGTGAAGCGAATGTTTATCTGACCTATATTATCGACAATTATGACAAGTTACCCGATTATATGGTCTTCATTCACAGTCTCCGGTATCAATGGCATAATGAAGATCCAATGTACGGTTCGTCTCTTCTCTCTTTCTCTCTCTCTCTCTCTCTCTTCCTCTCTTTCACATACGCCTCCAATTCACTAAATTTCCCTGTTTCCGACCGTGTGTTAACTGGAAATTCAATTCGTAGATGGCGTTCCTGTACTTCGTAAGCTTCGATTATCCTACGTTGACAAGGCTGGCTTCGTTCCTCTTCGCTGCACGTGGACCTTGGGTTGTCCCTCCGAACTCAGACCTACAAATCCATTCGCAACCCGAATTGACGACCGTTCGCATACCGAAGAAGCATATGCTGAAGCATTTCGACAATTGTTCCCCAACATGACAATACCGGACGTCGTGGGTACCACCTGTGGCGGACAATTTGCATTAGCAAAATGGAAGATCTTAGAGCGTCCGTTGGAGGATTATGTGCGGTATAGACAGTGGCTCATGGATACCCCATTGCCAGATGCCATCAGTGGGAGGATCTTCGAGTATTCATGGCATAGTATGTCTTCCAGTCCCTTACACAGACATGCAGTAGCAACAACCTTCGACGAACTCCTCCTTTTTTTTCCCTTCACTTTTTTTTTGCTAATTCGTTTTTTTGCAGTTATGTTTGGAAAGTCATATGTCAACTGTCCATCTGCCAAAGAATGCTTCTGCAATACCTTCGGACTATGCGACCTGGAGTGTAATTCGGAGGGTGAATGTGAAAAGAGGTACATATTACCTTTGTATGCGGTAATGCCACCTGGATGGCCCCAGTACGGCCCTGGGACTGACGGGTGGCCGGAAGTAGGATGGGCGGATGGGAAGAAGAAGAAGAAGTAACCATTTATTGGGTTTGATTTTTGGTATTTGACCTGTCTTGATTTGCGGTAGTTATTTGCAATATTTGGGGTCCGGCGTTTCCTATCCGTTCGGGTTGTTTGCTTGACACATACTCGTTCTAATAGCTAATGAAGTCTCATGAAGGATCAGAAAAATGTATATATATAGTTCATATTCGATTGGCCATAAGCAGTGCGCTACCTAATGATATGGGTCCCTCTCTCTATGCATGCATATCCAATTCCGTGAAAACACCGCGTAGATGCAACATTGGCAACGCAAAGACCAGAGTTAAGGTGGTTTGAGATAGTATTCTTTCTTGAATTTTATTTATGGATACAGCCGTGGTTACAAGCAGTGATATCTAGTGCTCTCAATTTGCTTTCTCACAATCCTCTTTGGTCCTGGTTCCCATTCCTACAATCTTCCAAGTCTCGGAGTTGTGAGACCTAACCGCCCAATCGATTTCAAGGTATAACCCGGAACTTGATGCTAGCTCAATTGCCCAATGAGTCCTATATTCCGAGGCATGTCGTAGATATGAGACTACCTACAACCGAATGCGTAGTTGAGCCTAGCCGATATGTATTTCGTGCACAGTATAACTGATTTAGTCTATCGATACTATTCATTAGGTCATTTCCTAATTTTTGACATTGTCTTCAGGTTAGTGGTTTGGATCCTGAATCACTTTAACTGCGAATGAGATAGTTTTGTTTCAATCTGAACATCAAAAACCCCTAATTTCGAAGTCCTAAATCTTTATGGCGTGGTTTAGTGACACCAGACTCAAAGATATACACTGAGTCGAGGACGTCCGCCGTAAAGTATCTGGTGGTAGTATAATTTAAAAAAAATGGACTCGAATATCTCTTGTCCTAAATCGCTAGTCCGACTGGGATTAGAATATTCATGCCTCCCTTTACGACGTCTGGGAAAGAGACTAGGATATCCCACAGTATTTCGAAGAGCGATTGATGAGGCTCCTTAGTTGAGGCTCAAAAGGATCTCGAAAATGTGATATAGCAAGTGCTTTCGAACTTGTTAGAATTTGGGATCGCTCGAGAAGGCTTTTGTTTTATATATCCTGTTCTGATAAAGGCGCAACGCTAGAACCGTCTACGCATCAGCTCTAGGAGAGTAGCTGCAGGAGTCTACGGTCGATCAAAGGAAGGCATTTAAATTGATGAAAGCATTGGCGTGTGAGCTCTCGGTCGCGAGGCGGACGTACAGGGTGCATATTGCCATAGATGGACCGCGTGTCAATACCATGATACTATATACTGTGGATCGACCACGTGGGCGCAGATAGATCAGAATCCGTAATTTCTGGCGAGCCGTTTCTATTTGACAAGCCTGAGAGAAAAGAGAAATCAAAAGATCCCGGCGAAAAATTTATGAGTGAGCTATAGCTAGCCCTTTTTTTGAATTCTTGTGAGAAGGAGCAATTTTTTGAGTAGATTGCGGCTCTGCGCGGCTCTTTTTCTCTTTATCAAACGATTAGGCTGTAAAGTTTGCGGTTGTGGTTGCATTGAATCTGGTGATACAGACAAGGCTGAAGGGTTTCGTACTCAAGAGCTCCCCAACCTAAACCCATACACAGTAATTTAGGATTCGGGAAGGGAAAAGGGTACTTACCTTGTTCTCGTACTTGTGTAGCAAAGCGAAACCTGTATACTGCTATCGACAAGGACAGAATTACGTCGATTCGAACGTATTTGTAGTGAGGCTGTTTGACCGAACCGCCGAATTTAATTTAATGTAATTGCCACAGGCTTTACTCCCTATTTGGAGATCGTTCGCCTGAGTATTCCCGTTTGCCTTTGGAGCTACCTCTTGCTTTCGTCGATGATCTACTCAGAACACGGGGGCAGTCGGGATCGCATTGGATTCTCTCTCATGACATGGCCTCAGCTTTATTATCATGGAATATTAGTAGAGATCGGCTGGCGGAAGTTCGAAGGATTAAAATCAAAACAGGGCCGGCGTGTAAGCTGCACTTATATTGGAGGCTGAAAGTGCAAAGTATAGTGCAGGCAGGTGCAGGCAGGTGCAGTCGTCTGACCAGTTATCGTCGTAAGGCCTAAGCTTCTCGAACTCGACTAAAATAAACTAGCCGGGATGTCTGTGAGTACATATCTGGGCAGTGGCAACCCTGGAAATTTGGACCCTGCACAGTACATGTAGATGAGTACCAAGCTTGTACAAACGGTTATAACATGGCCATGGAAATATAGGTACGTACCTGTGCTAGGGAAGTAGCCTAGTAGGTGGTTCTTGGGGGGTTGAAAGAAAGGAAGAAAGAAAGAAAGAAAGAGGACTCGATTGAATTCAAGATACCTTATAAAAGGTTAATCCTCTTGCCCGGCCGCCCTTCCGTTTCTTCTCTTCCTCCTCCTCTTTCTTCTTTCTCTCTCCTCCATAACCCCCCTCTTCAATCAATCAATCAATCTATCCATCTATCCATCTATATATATATTCATCTACCTATCAATTTAATTCGGTATCTCTATCCAGACCCCCTATTGACATCGACGTCGATATAGGTAAGAAAAGTCAAAATCACGTACCATCTCGATATCCATCTCGAGCTTCGAGTCTCCCTTAACTTCCTGATCGAGCTCTCATCTCAAGTTTGGATGTAAGGGTCCACTTGTGTTAGCGAGAGAGCCTCAATTGCCCATTGCAGCATTGCATCGCATCGCATCCCCTTAACCTTATCACGATATCACCATCTTCATTCCTTCCAAACCAAATCACCATGGAGGAGCAACAAGAATCTCCTATATCTGGAGTAAAACCCACTGTTACATCTTCAAGAACCGTTCCTCCTGGGCAGAGCCTCATTGCAGAGCGACGTAGAGTAAGTTCTTGCTCGTCATCCTTTCACTCTAGCTGCTGCTGCTACTGCATTTTGCTGACCTGCCAAAACAGAGCAAACCCGATATTGTTCTGCGATCCGAAGTTCCTAGAATCAGTTCCGGACCAGCTGAAATTACCACACCTGTATCTGCTACCTTTCGACCGAGAAGCGATTCACTCATAAGCATTGAACATCCCATTCTAGAGCTTCCTATCGAGGAGTCTCTGTTATCGCCCGAGACCAAAGATCCTCATCCCGACTCCTTAGGCCCAACACATGATGAGGTCGGAAATAGACCCATTGAAGCTCCCCTCACCAAAACTCCGACGATTGAGCTTCCTTCCCTAATATCTACCATTCCAGTGAAGCCTTTGCCCGAAATAGTAAACGAGCCACAGGCGACCATCTCTGCGGCCGATAAGGAAACGTGGGATCGGACACTACCACGTGTGATTCGTGGTATTGTCTCTATCAGGGCTACAACCGTTCGGCCGTTCGATACCGAAACTGCTGGTGATTACACCGCAACTGGCTTTGTAATTGATGCCAAGCGTGGTCTCATTCTTTCGAATCGACATGTAGTCTCACCAGCGCCGATCACGGCTGTTGGTATCTTCTTCAACTACGAGGAAGTCAAACTAGCGCCAATCTATCGAGACCCGGTACATGATTTTGGTAAGCAAATACAGCCATACAATAATTCTTGGTCACATTCCATGATTTTGTCAAACTAAACGATTTATAGGAATTTTCCGTTATGATCCGGCAGACCTGAAGCATATTACCGCAACTGAGATTCCTCTGAGACCCGATTTAGCCCGCGTCGGCCTCGATATCAAAGTCGTTGGTAACGATGCTGGCGAGAAATTGTCTATCCTGGGTTCTACCCTGGCTAGGCTGGACCGACCCGCCCCAGTATACGGTTCTGACATGTATAATGATTTTAATACGTTCTACTTTCAGGCCGCTAGTGGTACCAGTGGAGGCAGTAGCGGTTCTCCTGTTTTGAACGTACAAGGTGAAGCTATTGCTCTCAATGCTGGAGGCAGTCGATCGTCTCAATCTAGCTTCTATCTCCCATTGGATCGTGTTGTCAGAGCTGTCGACTTGATCAAACAAGGGAAACATGTTCCTCGAGGAACTTTGCAGACCGAGTTTTTCCATCAGAGCTATGACGAGTTGAAAAGGCTTGGCATGTCTGATGAAAACATGATGGCCTGCCGTCAAAGAAATTCTGAGGCTACAGGGCTCCTTACAGTCCGTATGGTATTGAAAGGTGGCCCGGCCGCTAGTCCCCAGCCAACAAATGCTGCAAATAATACGGAAGAAGATCCTAATATTCCCATCAAAGGCCTCGAACCTAGTGATATCCTTCTCACATGTAATGGGAAATATATTACCAATTTTATCGGGCTCTGGGAGATTATAGACGACTCAGTTGACAAGGAAATCACCTTAGAAGTCTACCGTGCGAAAGTTCTTCGAAAGTGTACTCTGAAGGTACAAGACTTGCATAGCATCACTCCTGACCGTTTCCTCCACTTTGGAGGCGCCATCTTCCATGACGCTTCTTACCAGGAGTGTCGTTGGTATAACGAGGCAATTGGAAACGGAACTTTCTGCGCATCTTCGGGCTTCATGATGTGGAACTCCTATTCTCGTGACTTCCTTGTCACAAAGGTTGATGGTAAACCTACACCAAATCTCGAAGTGTTCATGCAAGTCATCAAAGAAATCCCGGATTACAAGCGGATACAGTGTATGACAAGGGGTCTTGGTAAATCCGATGATCAATTGTTAATGGTCGACATGGACTGGCACTTTTACCCCTCCAGCTTGTTTGTCCGAGATGATGATAATGGTGTCTGGAGAAGAGAGGATATCTCGCCTCCGGCAGCTGTCGAAGATGTGAAGGCTCTTGCACCCCCACCTAGAGATGGTGAAACGGATTCTGCTATTGATGTTGAATCCGTTCCTTCATCGCCGCAGACTCCTGAGACGGAGGCTCCAACCACGGCCCCCCAGGAACTTAGTCCGCAAGTAGAAAGCGCGGATGAAGATGCAGACGAAGAAGAAGAAGAAGAAGAAGAAGACACACCTCTTGATGTCGCTATTGAAGAACTTAGGTGCTCAATGGCCTACGTTAGGTGTTTCCTCCCGCACACCATTTACGGCCATACTAGCAACCAAAGCTACAGTGGCGTTGGCCTCATTCTAGCCGTGGATCCTATTCCGCTCGTATTTTTCGACCGTACTTGTATTCCTACCGACATGGTGGACATTCGCCTGACTATAGCCAACAAAAACATTGCCGGCCGTATCGTCTACATGGGCGACTTCGTCCTCCTCACATTTGATAAGGCGCTTCTTCCAGAGGGTAGCAAGATTCTCATTCCAGAATGGGATCCCAAGCCCCTCAAGGTTCGCGAGTCGGTCAAGATCTTCGGCTTGACTTCGGATCAATTGCTCAGTACGAAGGAAACTACGATCAGCTCTATTGGTACGAATTCGAACACCTGGGCATGCAATCCACCTCGCCATAGATTGATAAACACGGAAAACATCTCAATTGCTGAAGGAGCTTCCTGCTGGGGTGGAGTAATTGTTCGCATGGAGCAATTGAAGAGCGTAAAAAAGGGAGAAAACGTCAAGGTTGCTGCATGGATGATGACTGTATCGTCGCAATCGAGCGGAACTGATTCATACTGGACTCAGGGTATCGATTTGCATCGTTACGTCCTCCCCATCGTTAGAGAGATTGAAGAAAAGAAGTTGGCAAGGTATGATCACTCGACCTGGGATTTGGGCTTCGAGTTTTCGGACGCGGCTTTGCCGACAGTCTCCGCTATGGGATTGTCACAGAAGAGATTCAATGACTTCGTCAAACAGGCCAAGAAGATAAGGGGTGTTGCTAGGCCCTTGATTGTTGAGACGAGGATGCAACCACCAAAGACGACGCTTACAGAGGAAGAAGAAGCAAAGGGCCTGAAGGTTGGTGATATTTTGCTAGAGATTGATGGAAAACCGATCTATAAGGTTGCTCAACTTACGGAATTTAACTTCGAAGGACGGGAGACAGCTTCTGTTTTGGTCTTAAGGAATAGCCAAGAACTTTTGTTGAACGTTCCAATTGTGAAAAGTTGGCCAAATACTGGCGATCGAGTGATTCAGATCTTTGGGGCAATCGTGCACGCTTCACATGCTGCTGCGATCGAGCAAGTCGCCAAGACAGCTAGAAACGTCCCATTGGACTCTGAAGGTTTATATATCTCTGGCGTAAGCTATGGGTATGTCTTAAACCCCTTTGATTTTCTTTCCTTCGGAAAATTTTACTGATAAATTGCATTCTAGATCCCCTGCTCTTGACAAAATGCGGCCGACTTTCTGGATTTTGTCTATTGATGATCACCCAGTTTCTACCATCGACGACGTCCTTCAACTTGCACGAGAGAGAAAGTGGGCGCAGGGCGAGTATGTTCGCATCAAGCAAGTTAATAGGGTGGGAATTACCAGTATCGCGTCGGTCAAGGTCGATGATCGTTTCTGGCCACTATACCAATGGAGGATGAGCCACGAGACTGGAAAGTGGAAGATGACAAAAGAAACCGGTTTACAATATAACAGTGAGCTTTCTGACAACGGAATGAAACGGTTCAAGGACAAGGCTGTTCCATCTCCTTCTGCTTCGTCGGGGACCGTTTAGATTGCCTAAACCATCGTGTGGGGGAGCAACGAGCTACCGTTGACAAGGAAGGCGGTCATAATCGCCTATGGCCAAAGGAAATTTGACGATTTACGAATGATGGAAATTCTGCAGCTAGACGATATAGAGGAATAAATGTTAGTTTCTCCTGCGATGTGAAAGCGGTGAGGAAGTTAGAGGTGTATTGGTTTGTTGCTCCTCCTTTTTATCCCTGTTATTTTTTGTCTACGAAATTGCTTTCGCCTTGTGCTTTTGGGGTGTGTCCCTTTTGAGAATTACTACAAAATTGGGGATGGTCAAACTGGGGGTGTATCTTCGTTTTTTTTTTGAAATTGCTTTCTTGTGAGCGTTCACCAGCGATTTTCTATATGTCTGGGAAATGGGTGGTGTGCGTTTGGTGTGCTGACTTACCTAGACTTACCTCTTTTGCTTACTGGGACGGATCTAGGGAGAAGAAGAAAATCATCTCAACTCATGATCAGATCTCGACTCTTTGTTCTGCGCCTTTTCTGTTATCTTTTTTTTTATATTGCGCTCTATGGTGTGAGTATTTTATTGTCTGAAGCGGGAGGCTTAAAGTGGAGGGGTGTGTGGCCCATTCAATATTGATTGAGTGATACACACACTGTAATTTTCTGTATTTTTAGACACAAACTGTTTATATTTTCCAACGATGCGCTGCTCGACGTCTTAGAGCCTTCATGATTCATGAATATAGGAAAGGATAAAAGAAAGACAGAAAGGAGAAAAATGATTGAAATTCACAAAAAAAAACATATGCTGTGGTATTCGAATGCCCACTGCCTGCCTGCATCTCAATAACATCTGTTCTCGTTCGTTCCAGATACCACGCTATTTCGAAGATATAATATACATAAAAAAACAAATTACCGAGTCCCAAATTCAAGTATTGAACAAACCAAGTCTATACCGATGAATCTAAAATGCCGTCGTGATCAACCCGGCGGAAAGTCAAAATATAATTTCCTTATGCATGTGGAGGGTTCTGTTTATAGCCTAGCTGGCATGCGACTGCCACCATCCAGTCGAATGACCTCCCCGTTGAGGATGGTGCTTTCAATGCAAGCAACAGCAACCTGCGAGAACTCATGTGGCTTGCCAGGGCGTTTGGGGAATTCCATGGATCTATAGCACACAGCGTATTCAATGTCAGTCTCATCGTCACAGTAACCTCATAAACCAGTGTGTATAAAATGGGAACATACCGCATCAGACTCTCTTTAACCTTAGCCGACATCTTCTCGGTCATTGGACTATCAAACATCGATGGCGCAAGGGTCATAACTCTAACTCCATAACGGCTCAAATCTCTAGCCATCGGCAGCGTCATGCTGACAATAGCACCTTTACTGGCCGAATATGCAAGCTGTCCGCTCTGTCCTTCATACGCAGCTGCAGAGGCAACCATGATAATAACCCCTCTCTCACCATCCGGCCCTTCCGGTTCGACCTTAGTGAGATACTCGAGTCCGTTACGAATCAAATCAACAGTTCCAACAACATTGATATCATTCACAAATTTAAACCCATCGAGATCTATGGGACCTTGACGTCCGTATGTCAAAGCCGGATTGGCGACACCAGCGGCGGCAATGATACCGCCTAATGGAGCCTTTGATGAAACGGCCCATTCCGCAGCAGATTTTACGCTCGAGGCGACTTGTTCGGTTTCTGTGACATCTGTTGAAAAGAATTTGACTTTGGAAGGGGATGTTGAGGAGATTACTTCGTTTGCGAGGGATTCGTTAAGATCTAGAATTGCGACGTTGCCGCCTTTGGCGACGATGTCGAGGGTTGTGGCTCGGCCCAGGCCGGATGCTCTGGATGTTGGTTAGCTTTAATTTTTTTATTATCATAAAGACAGGAAGGATGTGGTTTTTCTTACCCGCCGGAGATGATGAAGGTGCGGTTTTCGATCTTCATTGTTTGAAGCCTAGCAAGTTATTATGGGGAATTGAAGGCTGTAGGGAAATATTTCACGGAAGGTTGAGGGTTGATTAAGTTTCGTTTCGTTTGGTTAGGTTTATTGCTTACGAAATTGAGGAATATATGGATGTCTGCTTAAGGCAGCTCGTGATGCAATAGATGCGCCGGTTTCAACCGAGGTAAACTGAAGTCTGGGGAACTTACAGCGGCATTACAGCGGGCGTGAGCAGGGGCACATGTTTAAGTTAGCTAGCCGGGTTCGCCTGCAGTGCACAACCCTAGTTAGGTAGACTGGGAGTCGCTTCCTGGCGTTCGCATGGCCATGGAGCTCCACCAGACTACCGGGTAATCAATATTGCAATGGATTCCAATTCAATTCGTGATTCTCAATTCTGGCTCAATTCGTGCTAGATAATTATTCTGATACTAAAAAGTTTAAGGGTACGAAGAGACCTCTAATGCCGCTGGAGTACATTGAGGAAAGGATAATGTTCCTTAGAACAAAGGTAAAACAAAAAAACAAGATAAACACGGGCTAGCTCCAAAAAAAAAAAAAAAAAAAAAACCCCCAATGCTCCTTCCTCCGATATGAGAAATGTCGTAACAGAGCTCGTTTTCAATGTTTCGTTTTGGAAAGTCCATGTATTAAATTCAATATCCGAGTAGAATTTCTTCGTGGATTAAGGGTGGAGGTGATGGTACTGCAGGTGACTTCTTCTCAACAGCACGGAAAGGCGCTGAGATGATACCAATGGCGTGGCAGTAGAGCCCAAAGTTCCCGTGCATCCCAATGATTTCGTGCCCCTCAGGACACATTACTGTTTCGTATACTAACCGTGGTGGACACTTACCCCGGTGTGTCGATTCTGCCGCGGGCGGTGTTAGGGGTAACATTTCACCGTTCTCGAGAATAAGCTGGTGGGGCTTTTTGTTAGCCTAATAAGCCTTTACAATGGTGAGAGATGCATATGGGGTTTCTATACCTCTAAAGTCACTATTTGAGGTTCGCCACCTTTGTTGCGCCTGGCTTTGATCGGCCAGTCTGCAAGCTTAACATCTCTTACTGGCGTTCCTGGGGTGGAAGCTGGGATCCTCTGGAAGATATCCGGTACCATTCCGACCTACACATCCTTATTAGCACCACCTACTATTCCAAACTTTAGCTGTGTGTATGAAAAGACTGTTTACCTTCAAACCAACCATCTTCCGCTCCCTGAGTTTTAGAGGATTCTTGGTAGTGCTACAGAGAGTTGTCATAAATCCAGTAGTTCCTAGCCTTACAACTTCTTGATTTCGTAAATGAGGACCTGCTCGCTTGTCGACTTTGATAAATTGCGTAAATTCAATCCCATGGATATGGATCAGGCGGGTCGGGAAACTGTAGTATACGTTGATATCCATTAATTGGGGCTTATTAAAAGACGCCCACAACCGCACTGAGCCGATCTGGGCGCCCACTTTCTTCGAAAGTACAGCATCGCCTGGCAGTTTATCCGTCGGATATGATCCAAGCCAAGGTAGTGGTGGCATAAACGGCCTTCCATTGAAGGTTTTGATTTCGGCAGATGGATCATCTGCATCGGTGTAAAGATCAAGAACTGGTTGGACAGAGGTCTGTGGAGGGGGGAAAGCAAGCTCTGAATAGTCAACCATCGCGAGGAGAGCGTCTGGGTCAGGTGCAGCGACGACTAGCATTCCAAGTTTGAAATCAAGATCTACTTCCTGGAGCCAAAGCCCAGCGAAATCATACCCTAGCGGTGGCCGGATATCAATAAATCCATTTTCATCCCATTTGAAAGTTCCCTGGACAACGTTGGTTTCTAGTGTAGTAGCAGTTTGAACCCGAAGGTTGTTTTGATGGGTGTCATAAGCATCTTCGAGAGGATGGCGAGTTGAGGTTTGATAGTTGTTGTAATCGGAGCTTTCGTCTGTTGAGTAACTATAATCTCTCTCCGCAGGCCGAACTTCGTCTTCGAAGATGTGCCTCCATGATTTTAGGTCCCTGACAATTTCGTTCAGCGGCGGTAGACCAAAGCCGGCAACCTCGATACCGAATAGAGGTGTCGACCTTGTCTGAACGTCCCCGGTTTCCGGGTCCACGCGAACAGTACAAAACTAGCATCAAGTTAGGAAGTGCTTCTAAGGATATATTTGTGGAAAAGAATTGAACTTACGTGAAAAGAAAAGTTGGTACCAGGGCGATATCGCAAGGCAAAGATTCTTTCCCCTTCTTCTAAGTGGAAATCCGCACTCGCACCGATGCACTTCCCGAATGACCTTGTTGCACCAGATTTGTATATGAAGCTCACACCTCTAAACTGATGGTCAAAGAACCCTCTGATAATTTTGATTTGATCAGGTCCGAAGTCTTGGCTATCTGCGGGGTCCGCGAATACTTGTATTACCGACAATGGTCGGTTCAAGACGCTCCAGCCAAACGGGATGTACCGAAGCTTTGGATCGGGCTTTTCTGGGAGAATATCTTCCTCTTGTTCGCGCCAGATAGGAGAGATCCAATCTGACATATAGTCGTACGTCATTCGGAGGCCAATCTAATATCTATTAGCCCAAATGGTCTACCTAAATTCTCTTGCGACTGGACTTACGAGCTTCTTCTTTCCGGAGGATTCGAAAAAGTGGCAAGTACCACCTCGCTCGCCTCCAAATATCTTACTGGTTCTTCCTTTATCGGTTCGAAGTCTTAGGGCAGCTATTACGTCTGCTCCGCGGTGCCCGAATTCGTTTACATGCGACTTACTAACCCGGGTCTTATCAGCGCACCAGACCCATATACCATTAATCCGTTCGCCCTTCTCAAGTTCGAAAGAGCCAGCGGCGCTTTCTTCCCTTAATTCTCCGAGGATTTGGGCTGCTCGCGGGCGGAAGCCACCACAACCATCTTCTACGAGGTCATCGTTGTGATATTCGAAAACAAGTCCGAGGCCATTAGCGGTAGGCTTTGAGTAACCGGCGAAGAATGGCATCGTCGGCCGACAAAATACCCTGATTTTCGCAATTGGGTCGTCAAAGTTGACTTTATTAATAAAATCTTTGATTATGTCATCGTCACTATGTCGTTTCCAATACCTAGCCCTATCGAGTTGGGAGAAGCAAGCGATAGGACCTCCCGACTCAAGTTGATCGGGCGACCTTAGTTGACTTATATCTCGCGCCTCAAGGACACTTTGCTCTTCTGCAGACGGTGTTTGAGTTACGATTCCGAACGCCCTGCGCCTCCGATTACTGCATCAGTAAGATTAGTTTGGTCGGCGTATGGAATACCAGAATACTTACTTAAGTCCCTCACCCAAATAGGGCTTACCCTATAATAGAAAATAATTAGAAGAGGCAAAGAAGTAATGAAGGAACAAAAAGACAAGATATCTTACGTCAGTACACCCGAAGAAACCGGTTATCAAAGACTTAGAATCTGTTTCGAAAAATTCATAGGCAGTCGATGCTTCCTGCATATCATCAAGATCCGGTTTTGTTTCTTCGGATCTGCTAGAGGACATAGTCGGAAGGCCGAGGCCGAAGGGGTCATCCCATATATCAGGAGATGTTACACGTGGTGCGATATCGTTTAGGAAGGCCTCAAATGAGTTTTCCCTAGCTTGATTGCTTGGGGTTGCCATAGAGATACTACTTGCCTCGCCTTCTTCCTTCGTGCTATCATCTTTTGTGGCAATATCACTCTTCGCTGCTTCGTTGGCTTCATTTGTGACAGATGATTTATTGCTCTTTGGCTCATCTTTACTACCCAGTGGTGGAGCGAGGCTTGAGGAGTCGCTTGCTTTGATCTTCTTGATTCGGACTGTTCCTCGAGTTCGCCTAGATGCAGAGGGTGTGGCACTAGACTGAGCTATCATTGGGGGTATTATGACTGGCAAAGCACCACTGGGGGGTTGTGAGCCACTCTGGATCACATGAGGTGGTGGTGGTAGTGAAATCGGGTGCCCACCAGGGCTCGGAAGCCAGTAGGGCAATGGGGCAGGGCCTGCGCCATCATCGCCGCCGGGTGGGGGGGGATTCCCACCGCCGGAAGGGTACACTCTAGGTACCCTTCTCAATCTACGACGTGATCTACGCCTAGTAGTTGGTGGTAGACAGGCTGGAAACTCGATCTTTCGGCCAAAGTTGGTAATGAACTACAATTTCTATTAGTGATACTAGAAGTTCAATAAATGTAAAAGCTCTTACCATAACACCAAGATAGCTCCGCTCGCTAAGGCAGAGGTGATTCGTTCCAACGCGCACAATACGCTCACCGCCTTTACCGTCTATCGTTGCTGCGCAGCTGAGGTAGTGTAAATCTACACCACCACGCCTAACCTCAACATATCTCTCGAGGGGTGGTATGCCTTCGCCACGAAGTTTGCACTCCTTCACATCTACTTCGTCCATTTCGTATGTGAACTCGAATCCGGAAACACCTCGCGCAGCACCATTCGTATGGCTTGCATAAAATGCTTTAACACACAGCAATCGCCTTAAGTATTTCTAGACCCAAACGTTAGCACAAAATTTCTACATTTAAATACTGTTAAATGGCAGATATACCCCGCCTGGACCTCCAAAGTCGAAATACTCCATGACCTAGATGTTGTTAGTATCAAAGGAGATCATATTAGAGGAAATTATTCTCACAGTTAACTCATCTCGGTTTCTTGGAACCCTCAACGGGGGAGTATTTGGTGGGGGTCCAAAGTTGGGCCCATTCCAGTATGCATGTGCTTCCGGGGGGATTGGCAGCCCTGCAGCCAGGAGGGCATCTTGCAAGTAGGTTCTTGGAAACGCAAATGAAAGGTTCCTAGCAGATATGGTCACATTCGTGGTGTTGTCTTCCCAATAGTGGGGTAGCGGGAAGTAAGGCCGCCAGCAATATCGGTCGACAAGGCTGGGAACTCCGTCAATGTGTTCATCGGGCTCGAGAACATTGTCGGTAGCGCCAAGAGGAAGTGGTTCACAGATGGTTTCCTCACCATCAATTACAATTTTCGCATAATCAGATGGTTCATCAAAAATAGTAGCTTTCCCCTTACCCTTGCTTCGTTTTGAGGTTGTCTCGTCATTTCGGTATTCAATCAATGCAATTGATGTGAAGCGGAGAGTGCCCAAGCCAACTGTGATCCCACCAATTGTCCATTTCGTTGGTGAGACTGTAAGTTTGCCTTCAGCTGCTGGGTAGGAAAAATCAGAGTAATAGTCATGGACGGGGCCGATGACTTTGAAACCTTGAGCTCGGCGTTTAGCAAGTGCCGTGGTTTGCTCTCCGTGTTCATGCTCATGCCACATGCTCCAGCCGAGTTTTGATTCCGTCATTGAAGTCGAACTCCCGATCCAACGGGCTTCTTTCCACGGTGGGTGGGTGAGTGGCTTTAACCTAACTATACCAGATTCTGTTACGCCCACCATGAACCCAATCCAGGTGGAGTTTTCTGGCAGCGAGATAACTATCTCATCAGGCATGATATAGCCAACTTCACCAAGCAACACCATCGGCGTTTCCGTCTCGTATGTCTCTTCTTCCCATAGCCCGGGCAATTGACCCCAGAATCTAAGACCACAAATGTGTTTTCGATAGTCAACTACGGCTTCTTGCGATTTGTCATCTGCTTTACCAATAAAGCTAAAGCCAATCCTCATAACGGTGGCATTCGGATCCCATGTGCACTTTCGAGCACAATTCTCGATGCAAGACAAGGCAGAATGAATGAGCTGTCTTTGGTCAGGGGGTTGTTCTTCCAAGTCTCTTGTTCCCCTTTTCACATTTGGCCCTCTATCATATTGATTCAAAGTCAGCAGATGATTCACGTATGTAGGGGTTTTAGCATTGACTCACGCAGAAATGGTTTTTCGGATGCGAACTCGTGATCTCCCTCTGAGCGGCAGCAGTCTAACCTGCTGTGCCGACAAGCTCGACAACCCAACTGTGCTGGGGATGGCTGTGGGTACAAATAGGCCGCCTTGCTCGCCTAGATAATAATGTATACCCTGTCTACTGTGTGGTAGATTGGTTTTATCAGCTATGACGGCTGTGAAGTCGTCAAGAAGTGGGCTCAATGATGGGTATTTGTCAAGCTCCCCACCAAGAAATGAAAGAATTCCAGTGTAAACATCTCCTCTCAATGGTGTGTCGACGAGAAGTGCAATACGGTCTATCAGGGGTTTTAATATCACATGTATACGGAGTCTATTGGCTAGGCCAGGCGATAGCGGGTACCGAGGGCATATCCGGTTCCGATAAAATCGACGCAGGTGTCGGGATCTATCATAGCGGACTCGCTTTTTGCCGTCTTTGCTCTCAATTCTCTCCTCATCTGACTCATCCTTGGCTGCTGGAGAAACCAGGAGTTCTTTTATTGAGATATAAAGACGCTCCCAATCGATTTTTCCTTCAGTGGACCGGGCTGCAGCACTTTCATATACGAAGTGCATCTCATGGGGATCCTTAAACCTCGATCTGAAGAATGAGTTCGTCAAAGGGGACTCCGCGATCGATCTCACAGCGAGGCGAAGGTTGGTGACATCTTTGCTTCTTAGCTGGCAAAGCACGATATCCAGGATTTCGTTTGGGAGTTTACTAAACAGATCCCTCGGGCCTTGGCCTTGGGAAAACTGATGCTGCAGAGAATGATTCGAAGCAGATATTAAGGGAGGATCGTCAAGAATTGCTTGTAGTTTGGGGACCCTTAGTGGATCTGCGGCAATATATGGCAGCATACCCCGACCCCCAAACGCTTTGCTTATTGACATCATGCATGTTAGCAAACTTGATCTGTAAGACAATTAAGGATATCATATGAACCTACCCATCCAAGAGTGTTCTTGTGCTTGACCAACTACTATGATCGATAAAAGAAGGGAAAGTGCCATCGCTGATGGATTGGCGGAAGGGTGACGCCCCATCGTCCCAACCTGAGATATCGCCATTTCCAAATCCCTTGCGAACCAAACTTAGTATTTCCCACAACCTATCTCTCACTTCCGGCTTGACATAGTATGCTCTGCGACCCTCGCTCCCGTCCTTGAACCGGTCTGGTAAAAGAGTTCTGAATATCTCAAAGCATTTCGCATGGAAGACAAAACCACGGCCTGATGTATTATCGAAGGAAACGTAAGACGTGAATATGCTAAATGTGTCATCAGGGCGAGCCTGAAAGTCTGGGTCCGAATGAACAGCAGTTGGGTCGGTCGGGGCCGTTAACGCTCTCGCATTGGCACTTCGCGGACCGAATAGGCCAATTCCTGTAAAGAAAGGGGAGACGGCACTGTCCTCCCCCAAATCGGATGCTGGTGATATGTCGTTGTGTGTACCACGCGAGTCTCGCAGAGCTCTGAACTCAAACGCCCAAGCAAGGTCGTCAACAGAGACGTATTCTCCGGGATATCCACCATCCCATCTGGCGTCTGGGTATGGTTCCTTCGGATGAGCTCTCGTTCGGTACGCTGCTAAGACAATGCCGCAGAAACAACAATGCGATTCGAAATTATGGTATTCGCCGGTCGCCATCTTTGCGCACGCGGTGAAGGATCACGGCCAGCGCTGCAAGTGACCCTTCGTTGGTGTTCCAAAAAAAAAGTATGGTATTTAGTACCAGAATTATCGTAAGAGCATTTGGGCTTCTAAAGATTTCGAGGAGAAAAGGATCCAATCAATCTCAGACTCAGGACAGGCCGGCTAGGCCGGTCGGATTGCCGGTTTCGTTGGGTCAGATGAGGATTACACAACAGCTCTGGGATCCAGCACAGGCACGTCCAATTGCGGTATTGGATTTGTATTTGGAGAGTTGTTGGATTTGGAATTGAAGTTATCCAGACAAGACCAAGACGACGGATTGATCGATCATTAGTAGCTCGCGACCGTCTATCAGTACAGGACGAAGCCGGGATTGGCCAAGTTTGAATGTTTCTGTTGGAGCCAGTGGATATTGAATGTTGGATGTCTGTTGGAAGGTGTCGAAGCTGGATGTATTGTTGGCTGTTGACTGGACTTGTAGTTGACCAGCCTCGTTCATATTTCACGCGAACCGAGCCGAGCTAACGTCCAAAGCGAAGCATAAGGCTGAGCTGCATCGCATCCATTATAGCGATCTAGCCAGCATCCATCATAACAGACTCTAACTATTGCTTACTTGTATCAGCCATTCCCGGCATTGATCCCGTCAAGGTCTGTCTTATCGATATCATTGCCGCGTCCCAAATCGCACACGGGGTACACGGGCGTACAAATGCCGTGGCATACCGCGAATTCAAACTGGTGGTTCGCATAACTGTTGGTATTTACGGCTTATCCGCGATTCGATAGGTGGATATTACGAGTTAGTCTCGTTCAACCCCGGCACCCTCTACTCAGGAACAGAACGAATTGCCCCTGCTCTTTTGGAACTAGAACTGGAACTGGAACTGGAATTGGAATTGGAATCGGTGTTGGTGCACGCCGCGAGCATTCGACAAGGTTGCAATTGAGATTTGGGGAAGGTGTGGAGCCGCAGTATGTCCAACTACTCCCATCATTACCAGTAACATCAACATCATTACTGCTTCCAACCAACCTTTTTTTTCTTCTTTCCCTCTTTCTCTCTTTCTTGCTTTATTTCATTCTATTTCCCATTTGTCTTTTCTTGCTTTCCTTAGGCGTTTTCAGACGTCGCCCTGCTAATAAGCTGGGTATTGTCGACAGTGGCTCTCTTTGGCTTTCCATTTTTCCCGGTTCCCGAAAAATCCAAAGTCGACGCGAATCATGGTCAGATACCACCATCCTCTCAACAGGCGTCGTTACGCCAGGAACGCTTATCTTAACTCCCCTCACGATCCCTTAGGGTTCGGAGCAACTTTGGTCTCACCGGCTCTTGCAAAGCCCGAAGATTACATCAATCACGCTGCTGTTTCGCAGTGGCTTGTCAGTAAGCGTCAGAGCTACCGCTCAAATCTTCAGAATGGTTATGAACTATGGGCAGTGAACTGTGTTACTGAGTACTTTACACCCCCACGGATGTCGCCTGTGCCGGGTGATGAGGATTATGACGAAGAAGATCATAAGGATTCGAATGAAGAACCTATTGATGACAACGATCGTAAAACCGTCAGTGTCCTCTTCTCTAGGGGTGCCCACAAACGATTCTATCGTCGCAATGGCGGGATATATTCAGAACTTCGCCAGAGAGGCGTTGCCGATTTTTATTCTTCGAGGGACCAAAGAGATAATCGTATCAATGTCACAGTCATGTCACTCGATCGAAGTGGGAAGAATGCGATGCTTGTTCAGAAGTACTCGAAGTCGCGTGCCGGTATGGTGGACATTGCCGTTATGGTGGACATCCCAGGGCCAGGGAGTGAGACATGGGCGAAAGAAGGCGGTGGTGGGTGGTGGGGTACTGCAAGAGAGACGGAAAAGTTACTAGCTGTAACCTGCCGACTCCGAATGCAAAGTTCGCCAAATGGGTTGGGTGTGCTTTTTGGTCTTGTCACAGGAGGTAAGTATGGCGTAGCCTATTCTTTTTTCTTCAATTAAACATGCTGACCAGGAAGGAACCCGGGTGCGATTTTTCAAATGGACGGACGATAAGAAAGAGCCCGTTGAAGGAAGATTCGAAGATCTAGGTTTGTGAAAGCAGCAATATCTACAATCACACTACGAAACAAGTTTGTCTAACAAAGTTTGGGTGTAATAGCTGTCCTTCTCGGGCTAACAGATGACGAAGAGGACTACGATTCCTTTTCTGACGATGAAGATGAAGAAATGAAAAATGGGTGCGAAGACGACCTCGGCGCTGGCTCCGAGCACGACCCAACAGTAACCAAAGGGAAGGGCAAAGGGAAAGCCAAAATCGGCGATTTCGAACCGACCCAGGAAGACAATGGGGATCTACAGTCGTCTTTTAATTCCGATGACCCCCCACCACATCATACTTCGGCCGTATTTGTGCCAGACCCAAAGGATCTTTTTGACATACGCCTACCGCCTGAGACATCACGAGGTGGCTACTACGATATGCTCTGGCAAGGTGACAAGTGCAGTGCGATGTTCCATCATATTGGAGGCTGGAAGGTGGATTGAACCATAGCTTATTTTACCCTTTTTTCCCTTTGATCTTAGCGATTTTGTATTCATAAAAGATCTGTTCTCTATCAAGTCCAAAGCTCTACTTCCCTCCACGCACCATCTACCTTTCCGAGGTTTTCCAGCTGCTCGTCCTTCTCGGCATCGCCTCCAACTGGTACCCAAGCCGTCTTAGTTCGCCCTTCCAAATCTAGGTACTCAATTCGCGTCGGCTCGATAACGGCGACCCGGAAATGTGATAGTGCAACCGCTTCATCCAATTGGTCATCCCCAATCGGCCTTTTGGGCGCCAAACCACCATCACCAAGTTCCTTTGGAGTGCCGGGCAACGGATTCCTGAAAGAACCCCGGAGTACCGGTGATAAATTTCCAAAATGCGCCTTGTATTCTTTTGCAAAGTCGAAGTCGCTCCCATCACCCCCACCGTTTCTTGATATTTTTTCTATCAGCCATTTTTTGGTCTCCTTAACTCCTTTATCTTCTGTATCCAAATCTCTTGGTAACACAAAACATCTGCCTCGTATTCTCCATTGCTTGCCAACCGCCGGATTTTGGTCAGACGGTACCCAAAAGCAGGCTTCAACAATATTGGTAATCGTCGGTAGAGAAGAAGCCGCAACTCCCTCAACCCCGCCGAGGTCTCTAAACTTCTCCGTTCTTTTGTCTGTCGTGAACGCTATCAGGTCTGATTTGAATCCTGTGTTACTCGACACGGGATTGTACTTGTTGAACGGGAGCTCAGCATAGAAGCCCCGGAAGGCGCTTTGGAAACGGAAACAGACCCATCAGCCTACTGGGGTCATAAAATATACGGAATACCTCGATATGAGGGGTAGACTTACAGAGTCCTGACATGGGGAGCTGCTATACCCCCTGTCTGCGGCGCTGTAGCCGTAGCAAAAGCGAATGTTGGACATGCCAATGTCTGAACGTGAGCATTGAATGCTTGCTTCCAGGGATTGGCCGACGCCATCGTGTGATCGTATTCAAACCTGCTCTTAGGACTGCACTTTATAACCCGGATTTTACTTTGCTTTCGATATACGTATATACCATGAGGGTGTGGTATCCTAGCGTGGTTAAGATGCCTAAGCTATGCGCGCATATGCATGCCGAGACTGCATGCAAGGGCGGTTCAGGGAACTCTGGGAATCAGAACAACACAGTTTGGTGTGGTATATTGGATGCCAATCGTCCTCTGGAAGCAAGACGCTCTCCAGCCGCGAAGTCAGGACCCACTTCTTCGTTACACAGTGAAATATGCAAGCCTTCGAACTCCCGCCTCCCAAACAGTACCAAGTACACAGTACCCGGAAGCCTTGGTGGGGCTCTGAGACATTGTGTTATCATTTGATGCGTATTTCGAACCTATTTTATCCAGCAAGCAGTACAGCTATGCGCGTGCAAGCGAGACATTGGACCAACCTTCATATGGTATCGAGCCGGTCCACAATATTTGGCATGTCTGGATTGTATAGGCGACGAGACATACATGCATATATCATGCAATAGTACTAGGGTAATATATACTTCTTACGGCTGAGAAGATGTCTGTTCATCCGATTGAAGGTACTGATTTTGAAACAGCGTGTCGCCGACGCAACTCCAGGATCCACCTTTTATACGTAGAAGATTGTGATATTCCATCCTTGGACTCAATTAACGGTAGGTATATATTCTACGGCTAGGCTCGTTTCTTGTTCTGTTTCTCCGCTGGGGCTAACATGTCTTCTTCAATTTAATCGTACAATTACAATATTTCTCAATAATTTTACCAACCATGGATTCAGAAGTTTGTTCTCATATCGCTAGGTGGTTCTTGGTTATCGTGTGTTACCATGCATGTACTATACGGGCTGATGATGGTAAGAAATGATTAAATGCCTAACCAACCCTGTATCTTTTTTACTTGCGCCCTCCCTTTCGTAACGTTGCACGTTGGTTGCTAACAATAGTATTATATTATATTAAGGCGATGAGTTCAGTAATAATCTTTTCAGCGACCTCGCACCGCTTCTCGCACTATTCGGTGAGCAGGTTGCAAAACAGTATCTTAGCCAGTCATTATCATGGCTTGATTGTGTCATTTTCGCTATGGCCCCTCTCGGAATAATCACAGCTATAGTATCGGCTATCCGAGTTGCGGGACCGGCCTGGCTAAGAGCTGCCATAGGAAGGGCTCGAGAAGTTGAGCGTGATGCCGAGCTAGAGGTCATGTCTAGCACATCTGAGGATGTCTGCGAGCTTTGGAATGGCAAGAGGGTTGTTCGATTATTTGGCCAGCCCAAATTCACAGAGATATTTTGGTTGGAAAAAGTGGGTTCAGACTCACAGGTTCAAGTGTGTGGTGACGAGACAAGTCCCAGAGAAACATCCGATAGGGCGAGCGCGAGGACCCAATCGCGCATCAACAAATTAATGCGGATATTCAAAGATAGTTTTGAAAGACGTCTTTTTGTGACGCCTGGGCACGAGACCAGCTTTGAATTGAAACGCCTAAGCTTCGGGACATCGAGGTTTAAAGGATGGCGTATGAAACAAGAAAATCTGAAGGAAATAGTACCAAAAAACCTGGTGGGTACCTTTTTCAGTGCTCGAGAGGCTCGAGAAAATGGGTTCATCTACCAATCTCAATACCCAGAGGCTAAACTTCTATCCCTTGAAGACGCGGAAAGGTCAGAACCCACTGTTCTACCCCCAACAAAACCGCCTAATATTTCCCTAAATCTTCTGGGCGATCCAACTTCTAAAGTTGAACTGGCATTCGTTGCCCTTATAACCACTGTTTTACAACTGGGTGTGGTCGCATTTCAAATCGCAATCACATACCTCTCCCCACTTAATCGAGGCTTTACGAAAGGAGGGAACCTACCACCAAGTTATGCGTGCCCTCTCAATGTGGCTGGAACATTTCTTGTTATAATGGGAATGTTTATATGTGCTATGGTGGTCCAATGGAAATCAAAGGAGCACATTTGGTATTTTAGGGATATCAGATGGTTCTCAACGCTTCCGATTAAGACTAGCTTGGATCCAACATAGCCAGGTAGTTGCAGACCAGCAGTTCGATAGCTACTGCCTCTATCATCCAGAAAAAAGACGAAAGGTGGTCTATTCGAATTTAAACAACGGTTTTAAGACTCAAAGCTTTTGGACGATCATTGGATCTTTCATCTCTATTATGGGTTTCGTCCTCCAATTTACCGGATTGAGAGGCATGAACTACTCAGCGAGTTTAGTCCAACTAGGGGCCATAGCAATCGCAACAGCCCTTCGGGTTATGATCAGGAGACCTATCAGTGACAAACCAGAGACTAAAAAGCTTTGCAATACCGACGTACACGAGTCGGCAGCAAAGATTATAACTAGCTGTACGAATTGGCGTGTCAGAAATTTGATAGATACCCCGCGTAGCTCAATTGAAGAATTTGGAGGGGACCTCGGCCTCGGAACCGTCGATGCGATGCGCAAGCTCCAGGAAATTTCTCAGTGGCCACCGGAAAATACGGCCATGAATAAAAGAGCAGAGTCCCTCATTCGTGCGATCCAAGGCGTCGTCCAGTACCTTCATCATTCCGACATAGTACTAAGAGAGGAAGCCAAAAACGAAACGTCGTTCGAATTCCGAATCCCTGTTACTTATATTTCCAAAGGGGGACAGCTTGGAGAACCAAAAATGGGTGTCATCAAGATTAAAATGGAAAGAGGCCACATGAGCCCAAGCAACAGCACCGGGTTCGATTGGGAAATTGATCAGGCAGCGATCAAAGCAGTTCTTAAATTGTGGGCTTCTGGCCAAAAAGAAAACGAAGCAAATTCCGAGTCCAGTGGTGCACGTGAGAGCTTGATCCTCCTAGGACCTCGATCGGAGCTCAATATCCTCGACTATGAGATGTTTATTAGCTACAAGACCCCATGTCTTAAGCTAGAAAATGGTTTGGACGGCCTTGAAAAACTGGGGCTTTATCTTCCCGAGAGCCGAGTGTTTGGATATGTTGGCACCGATAGGGCAGAGGAGCACCTGGCTTGTAAAACCACTATGGATCTTCATAGCCTTCATGCAAGACATATCCTAACTTGCTGCTTAAATCAATTATTTGCGAAGATAAAATATTTGAAAGAGCAAACAAGATGGGCTCGTATAGTCTCTTCGTCTGAGATGTCTGGCCCCGTAATCCGGATGGAGAACAGCCACTTGGATGCAATGACCGAAATCCTACAAAGAAGCGGCACAGATGGGACCTGAGAAGAACATCTCATGGTACTTGTTCCTACCTTACAGAAGAATAGGAACCTCCTACGAGTATTCGATGCATTTTTCCAAGTAATACAGGACGCAAAAGTGGCCGAGTCGACGGCTATTCAGCCTCAAGTCTCCATAGAAGAAGTCTTCCGTACTGTCATTTATGCAGTTAGGAGATTTCGGGAGAATAACCATTGGCTTTATGTTGGTGATACTCTTTTCGGGTTTCTTCAGTGTTGCCACTTAGTCTTTGGCGATGAACATAAGTGGTCAAAGTTGGCACATTTGCTCGTATCTCAAATTTGCCGCTCCATTGAAGGCGAGATATATCATGAAATCGGATTTCAAGACGAAGGCGATCGTAATGGGGAATATTGGTATAGAACTTGTTCAAACTGGACGAAGCACTTCCAGGAAGCTTTTGGGAGTCAGTCCTCTCTTGCTCGGGAGATGTCTCTAAATTCTGCTTTTCTCAGACCAAACGCCTCCCGGGCCACTGTGCCTGCAACTCTACCACAAGACGACCCTAAAACCATAGCTATAGAGCTTGCCTGGAATGGGGAGCTTTTACCGAAAAAAGACTCTATAACCGCAATTCCCTCCTCGACAAAGTTTCCCACAGTTAATAAATATCAAGGATACCCCGAAGCACTTCAGAGGCTAGTCTGTGCGGAAGACCCTAGGGAGTCATTTGAGGATTTCATCAAACCCGAGCCCTCCTTTGGATCTGAGATTACTGAAACCCGTGCTAGCTCTGAGACCAGCGTCTGGGAACGAGACTACTCTGAGACTAACGAAACCAAAGTCAATTTCGAATCAGTATACGTAATACAAGTGCTTAACGCCGCTGCTGATTTGGGAAATCCAAAACTAGTAGCCTTATGCATGGCAAAGCTCACGGACGCATTCTCTAAATCTATCTTATCAACTGATAGCTTAGTAATGGCCCTAAAAGTGGCGGCCTCCGCTGCTGTCAAAAGTCGACATGGTGCCGTTATCGACCTAATGCTTTCTGCGCTGGGTGGGAATAAAGCAAAACCACTAGAAGAGGCACTAGCTCCATCAGGACTCAACTACTTACAGAAGTTCTTCAACCCTAGCCTTAGAATGGCCTGTAAGAATGGTGCTATTGAGATTGTACATTTGATCCTAAGCGGCGGAATCGATCCTAGGCTTGACGGGGATTTTGAGTCTCAACCCCTCTACCTAGCTGCCCGTGGCGGCCACACTGACATCATAACCCTTCTTTTCTTCTATGGTGTTCCATCGATATGTGACGGGCCTGAAGGGAAAAACACATTTTTGCACCACGCTGCTCGGTATGGGATGAAAAAAACACTTGAGTTTGTGGTTTCTTCAAAGTTAAACCTTCTCTCGCTGTTATTCATCCAAGATGGTCAAGGAAATTGCCCAGTGGAAACCGCTATCATTACCGGCAATGAGCTCTTTGCGATACAGGCATTCGAGGCTATGCTTAAAAATCGGCAGCGGTACTTTGAAGAACCAAAACCAGATGCAGGGAAGAACCACGGGCAATCGCTTCTTCATCTTGCGTGCACACATGACCTCCCGGAGTTAGCAAAGGTTATTATCGCCTATGGCTTTCAACCCCATGTGGTCGATGAACGAAATTGTTCCGCTTTCCAAACAGCAGCAGCATATGGCAGCTGTCAAGTTGGCAAAGTGCTGCTTGAACACGACAAAAAGCGGTTCGTTTCGCAGAGTATGAATAATTCTCCAATACTATTGGCTGCGGAACATGACCGAACACTTTATGTCAAGCTGCTGCTTGAAAATGGTGTCGATATCGAAGTGCACGATCTAGTGACCGGATATACTCCACTTTTAGCTGCTGCAGCTCATGGAAGAGTCAATACAATCAAACTACTCCTCGAGCGAGGCGCTAATATTCTAGCAAAAGATGGGAGAGGACGAACTTTCATGCAGATTTTAACTTTATTCAGCACCCTAGGCCTGGAGGGCCTGGATATCATTTTTTACAAACATGATGCAAACAAAGAGCGCTTAGAACTGCCCGACTGGACACTCGTGTTGACCGCGATGGCCTCCGATCTCCCCTATACGAACCTTATGTGGATATTCAAACGAATCGATAATAACGGAAGGTCTCTACGCGATCTAGTACCAGATGCCAAGGCGGGGGGAATATTATTATCTACCATGCTCAAGGACTTTATGATATCTAGGCTCAACGAAACAGAGAAATCCTTGACAAATTTATACTTTAAACCTTATGCCAACGAAATAAAACTTATGCTCCCTGAGGCGCCGGCAGATATAAGCCAGGGTTTTAGCAAACGGTCAACTAGGGGGTTTGAGGATTGTATCGATCTGGTTCTCAGGCTACTCAAAAGAAACGATCCGAGTGCTGCCGCTTCAGCTTTAGACGAAAAGGTTTATCATGATCTTTTAGTTTATGCCGCGGGTACAGGGTGTGGGTATGCTTGTGAACGACTCTTGAAATACATGAAATTAAATTCCCACAAGGAACAGCTTGAAAGAGCGCTCCATCTAGCATTCTACGGGGGCAGACTCGATATTGTTAAAATCCTTGTCGATGCTGGAATTCAAACCAACAAAGCTTTCCAAGGATCCGGTCTGACTCCGTTATCCCTATTTCTTCGAATTGTAGCTGTCACTCGGAAAAACCATGGGTACCGGTGGGAAACAATTTCGTTCAACGATAGTTTTGATATAGGGCCTGAGCCATGGGGGAGTGATATCGATCTTCTAGAATGTTTAAATCTTTTTCTTAGCCCTAAGATGGAGGTTGCTCCCACCCCGGAAGAATTAGAAGACGAGCAATCTCTCCTCCACCTTGCGATTATGTGTAAATCGCCAGAGGTTTTTGCCACGCTTGTGGCTTTTGGCGTAGAGATCAATCTTCCCAAGGGGGCTAAGCGACCAATTCTACACTTTGCACTCTCATATAAACCCACAGACCTAAGCTGGATACGGATTCTCTGCCTATACGGAATCGATGTTAACGACGTAGATAGGAACGGGAAAACTGCCCTTTCTATTGCGATTGAGGACTCGAATACGTTGGCGGCAGAAGCATTAATTTACAATGGCGCAAAATGGAGGCAACAGGAGACAACACCAGAACTCATAGCAGCTATTAAATTTGGTAGCTCTTCCCATTCGTTATTCTCGTTTCTATGCAAACGTCGAAAGATGAAGATGCTTGCGAAAGAGTATCGGAAATATATCAGCAGCCCCATGGCATATGGCTCTAGTCCTATACACATTGCTGCAAAGTATCATAACGACGAGATACTTGGGTTTCTTTGGTTGGAAGGGGCCGATATGCATGCTAAAGACAAGCGAGGCCGCAATGCCCTGAGCTACGCACTTGAAAGCCGATCAACAATGCAATTGCTTTTAAACGTCTGCCGGGTTGACCCGAACGAAAGACAGTGTGATCAAGAATATACCGCCGCCCATATAGCTATCCGCACTATCTTAGATCCCATACAAATTGCAGAGACCCTGCATGTTCTCTGGAATTTCGGCGCAGACTTTAATTTAAAAGATAAAGCCGGTAACACACCAGCCAATTATATCACCTTTGCTAGCCGACGCCCAAAATTACAAATCCGAGCCGTGGTACTACCTAGCAAGGAAACTTCAAATGTAGCATGGGAAGAAGACCTAGATCTGAGTAGACAGTTGGAACAGGTGTTCGATAAATATCGCTCAGGTGATGGCGGGTATTCAAGGAAAAAATGAAAGGCCCTTGATCGAGCTCCAGCTGTGTCCTGGTCAAACCCTTTTTAAATTTTATAATTGAACCTGTAGGTTAGACGCACTGTCCACTTTAGAGGACTCCGCCGATGAACCACGTAGATCTAATAAATTAAGCTGTTGTCATGTAATTTGATGCTCTATAAAATATTGAATCGTCCCATTCCAATCATTGATGGCTGCATCTTTAAAGCTTTAGATCTATAGATCTCCCTCATTACATTACAACATACAACATACTACTCAGGTCGACTCCAACCCTGTCAACACAAAATTAAACAGAAGTCTGTTGTATTTTTTTGCGGTGATTCTACAAGTAGCATGGCTTCCCAGGTTGTCATTGCTTGCTAGCCTAAATTTTTAGAAGGAACAACCATGCATCGTTCGACCCCTCGGACAGCCCAGCCGGAGGAACCTATGACGTCCTCGCTCCCAATTATTCCTTTCCGGCCCTGATGATCCGGGGTGCATGACATGGCTCTGACATAGCAAACACCGTCTACCTACTATAAGTATTATATATTGACGGCGAGCATGTGGAAGATACACCGAAATACATCGACTAAAAAGAAAGTTTAGCTGCATGGTGGGGTCTCACGACCACATGTCCGATTTCGTGAGCAATATATTGTCGAGCTTGCTTACTGTCCTCGTACATTCTATTCGTCCCATCTCCACTCCCCCTGCACTCCTGATTCGACTCCTGTCTATCGGCCGGCTGAAAAAGAATAAATCAATCTAATTCCGTCGCAAGTTTTTTTTTTTTTTTTTCTGATCATCCTTTGGTCCTTTTTTCCAACTTGCGTCTTTTTCCTCTCTCTTCGTCTTATTTTTTTTTTAACAAAAGCAGGAAACATGAAAACGCGGGTTCCCCGCATTCCCCGTGACTTTATAGAACGGAGTAAGCCTCCGCTATAACAATTAATATATCTAATACAGACAAGGGAAGTGCTGGGGGGTTTTTGATAAATCTTCCTTGTTGCAAAAAAACTCGATCGTGGGTTCTGATGTAGGTGGTTCGTGTAAGACATATTCGATATTCGGTAACCGTCTAGGAGCTTCCTCATTCGCTTCCTCAGTTAGCAGCTCCCTTAGCCACATATATTTGTAGTCTCCATTCGGTACCTCTTTACCATTTCTTGAAACTACTACAAATCAATTTTTTGGGGATCATGGCATCACTTGATGAGACCGAAGGCGATATCTCGCCTGTTGCAGATTCGCACCAGCTACCACATATTTTTATCATCGCGGGGCCTTCCGCAACTGGAAAATCTACCGTCGCTCAAGCGATAGCTGAGACGTTTGGCCTCCCAATGGTCGAAGGTGATGATTTACACCCTCAAGAGGTGAGCTACTTCGTAGCAGTTTCTTAGTTTTTCTGCCTTGAAGAACAAAGCTGACTGAGGATCGATATATCCTACTCAGAACATCGATAAGATGAGCCAAGGCCATCCTCTCACAGACGATGATCGATGGGACTGGCTCAAAACCGTGGCTTCGGTATCAGTGGATACCTCTAAACCTCCTACTTCACCTCCACATGAACTTGGCGGCGAAAGACAGTGTCGTCCGGCATGTATAACTACATGTTCCGCCTTGAAAAGAAAATACAGAGACCTCCTACGTTCGCAGCTCTCTGGGCTAGAAACTGCTATTTTGCATTTCATTTTCCTGACTGCGTCCGAGGAGGAGCTGCTTAGAAGGATTGAGGAACGGAATAACCATTTTATGAAGAAGAATATGGTACGGTCTCAAATCGTTACCGCTGAGGTTCCGAGAACTTTGGAGCTAGATGGAGAAGAGGGATTCGAAGGATCTGATGGGGATGGTGGAGATCTTGAAAACGATTGTACGGTTATCTGGACTGACAATCTTTCTCAAGATGAAGTTGTAGAGAAAGCAGTGGAGGTGGTAAAGCAGTTAATGCTTTCGGATATCGGAACTGAGATTGATGGTCTTTGAAATCTGTATTATGTTAAGAGGGGGGTTTTGGAGCTTTGATGTGACATGTAAGTTTTTGGAGGAGCACACTAGTTTCATATACAGCGAGGTGCGTAGCCATGGTTGGTAACTTATTGCTTCTTAATGAATATTATTGGGATAATTTATGGTGCACAGTATGAAATGAAATTATTATTTATGATACCTATCAATAACCGGTTCCTATTATGTGAAATAGCACATGGAATAAAACTTAATACCAAGACTCGGGGTATATATAAGAATCCAACATGAGTAATTCAACCTGATAGAGGAGTTTCGCGTATTCGACCTAATATATAGAAAAGCCAAAATATCCTCCCTAAAGCATTGTCTTGTACCCAGACATAGACACCAAAAGTATCGAAATCCCAAAAGCACCCAGCCCCGAACGCCTCTATAACGCCAGTTAGAACGCCAACAAAAGGAAAATTTCCTGGTAAGCGAGTGTTAAGGGCTTTTTAATCGCCCAGCCGGATTATGATTATATTATGAAATGGGTAGTATATCGATCTTGGGTATGTGGTAAAAAGAAAAAGGTAACCAATCCGTTATTAATCACGGTTGGCTATGGTATGATATGGCGAAGATATGCAAGTGGATTTTATATCATCTAATTGCCACAGAGTAGAAAGGAGGCTGTTCGGGGATAATTGTTGCTGAATGTCGGGATGAAGATGCGGATGAAGTTGACGACGAAGATGCAATGCTCGGACTGTGATGTAAATCGATTTGATCATAGGGAACTGGATCTTCTGAAGGCACAGTTCGCTGTCCTGGTTTCGCAATAGCTGAATATTCTGGAGGCAGTTCATAGAGCGGCAATGGGTCCTCGTAATCACGAGAAAGATGGACTGGAGGAGGCCTATGAGAAAGAATTTTAGCCACAAAATCCTCAAAATGATCTTAAGCTGTATTGTGCAAATAATTAGAAACTTACTCTCGTAGTCCGGACTCCAAATCGTAATAGTCTCCTCGCGCACGACCACTCCTTGCCACCCTGCGACCTCGATACCGCCGTTCTTGCATTGAAACCTCTCTAGCCACGCCCTGTTGGATAGTTTGAGTCGTCATCCTTCGGGCTTTTGACAGAGTGTAATTGATATAAAATGCCCGGGCCATTAAGACCGTCAGACCGATCCCGAGCACGACGCCTAGGCTGAGTAATATAAACTTTGTATTAGCGTCTAAGCCCATATTGAATATATCGCTAGATGAAGTTGCGAGTCCATCGAAATGTTGGAGTCGCAAAGTAAAACTTTAAACCAGCAAAAAAAAAAAAAAAAAAAAAGCATTCACAAGCGAACCGAAACATCAGTGAGGAAGGGTAGTATATACGCTATAATCTCTGTCATCTTTCTCTCCGTCGCAAGCGACTCATTCAGGCCGACGAATACCAAGGAAAAATGACAAATCGAAACCCAGTGCGCCAACTGAGGTCGTCGCTTGACTTTAAACGTCGAAGTTGCGAAAAGCGAAAGAGAAAACTTACTAAGATGCGATTTTCATCAGGATGACTCGACGAGATGATTATATCTCGAAGACACCATTAATGCACTTGGATAGCAGAAGACGGGATCAAGCTTTTGAGACACGGGACTCGTTGGTATGGTATGGTCTCGAGGTCCAGTGCCGTTCTTTTGACGTTTCTTGGCTTTTTGTTAAAAAAAGAATGGTAGTATATAGTACCGCTGTTTTCTATGAACGTATACTTCTGATACACCCCCAAAGGACCCTTAAATTATGTCCTCGTGCAGATTTAGCGATGGATTCGGTGGATTCGATATTTTAATTTAGTGGTGAGCCGTGAGGTTGTGGATATCGATAGCGTTGGTACCAGACGCCTGCAGCCAGCCCATCGCACGTGGCGATTTAGCGTTAATGTTGATAGACCAGGACGCTGATAAATAGTTCATGTGGCCAACCTCAGAGTCAAAGATTTGACCCAGGCTAGTCGACTACAGGCCCTTCGATATCTGCGGGTTGGTTCGGTACAACCAAGAAACAGATTAAGCGGGGAGACTAGAGTATGACCTCTTCTTGTAGGTAGTATACACCAGAGTCAAAGGCTGTCGATGCATCGATCGTCGATGGACTAAATTTCGAAACTTCGAACCAGAAGGAACTTGAAGGGAAGATTCGAAACCTTGGCTTAGCCTCATATGCTCCAAAGTTAAATCATTTAGCCACCTCGAAACCTCTACAACTGGCTTTTACAGCCCTTCCACGGTAAATTCGACGTTCTGCAAGCAACTTTGCGCAAAAAAAACTTTGGTTGTTATAAGCTTCCTCGTGCCCACCTGCCACCATGTGCCAAGAGACCGGAGATCATGTTAACCGTCGATAGTGGGGTGAGACTTAGAACTGATGTCAGGTTTGCGTCAAACATCCAACAGGGCAACATACTGAGCACTACTTACACGGACACGTCCCCGGACAGCTTGGATTAGTATTAATCTATCAAGTTAAACGGGAAACGCGTTAACGGGAAACGGAAAGGATTATAATTAATTACTTAAGTAAGTAACTAGGAATTTATGAGCGACAACGGCGATATGTTGCTGACAATAGTACTATAGTCCCAGCTACCCATGATCCATCCTCAGCTACTATCTGCTTATGTATACCTCGTAAGCACTGGCCTGTGGGTATCTAGAAGTATATCCGATTCTCGTATTCGAAGTCAACGCATTCTGACTATATTTAGTCTTAAGACAATTAAGGCTAGCGAGAGGTTACAATAGTAACTATCGCTACGACAGCCAGCTGCATTTACTTAATGTTGCGGGAGGTTCTACGAACAATGGCTCACAGCCGGCATATCGGGCCATGTAAAGTACTGTCAAGTACTTGTCAGCTCGTGGCTGTAAGGTATCGTGTATATGCTTAAGTATATGTACCTGTGAAGATTTCGGGTGTGTCCGCTAACTAATCCGATTCGTGAGACTACTTCATTAATTGCAACTAGCTGAAGCCCAAACGAGGTTCTAACCAGCCTAACTATTGGTCGACCGAAGTGTGTTAATATCAAGAGATTCATCAATTGATGAATATCTCCAGCTCCGGACCAATACGTTTCCGATCATTCATATTTTCTACAAAAAATGAAATTAAAGTTACCTCTGTTCGTTGAATTAAATTGAATTAATATCGCACACTTCGACAGTTCTCATGCAAGTAAGTGCATTAGCTATCTGCAAGTGGTGGTCTCAATAGCAAATATTAATGAAGAACTCATAATAATATTATTAATGTCTATGATTACGCACAGGTTCCCCACAGAAGAAGGTGTACCGAGTTCCTGTCAGGACCAGGCCAGTCGAATTTCGAGCGCACAATCCGGACATGGCCTGGGAAGGAAACTTTTGTTAAAAAAAGGGAGGGAGGAAGGGAGGAAGAGCAAAAAAGAGAAAGCTTTAAAAGCTATGGTCTGCGACATTACGTCACAGTGCAGGCGACCAGGTTCAGCTTCCCCAGTAGACCTTCATTCCAGCCAATCTCTCGACAGTCGCTGGTTCGATGGAAAAGGTCAGCCGACCGCGACCAGGCATCCCCATAGTATCAAACACAATTATGATCAATCCGTTGGGCCCCGATGCCCAGAGAGTTTTTTTTTTTTTTTTTTTTTTTTTTCAAGTGTTTGAAAGATGAAGGAAATTCGAATTCAAGGCGAAGGTGCCCTGTGCGCCCTGCAATAGGCCTGCTGCCTTGAAGCCGTAGACGATTTAAGTCAGATTAGGATTAAATTAATTAATAGGTAACGTGATGAGAGTGGAAAGAATCAAAACACCAGTGCGAACACACTTTTTTAAATGGCGCGCCCCGTGCAAGCTTGATGTCAGTGACTACAATTTGCACTGAACCTGCTGATGAGATCTACTAAGTACTTACATATGTAATTACTTTGTACTTGCTGACATACACGGTAGGAGAGAGTCCGCTTCGAATACTAGCTTAATTACCCAAATTTGCAAAAGCAAGGCTGTTCGCCCAAAGGCATTTTATTGGGCACGCCGAACGCCCTCCTCCTTTCTCTCAGAATCCCATGCAATAGGTCATAAGCCTCGAGCTCGTCTTGCATAATTACTGGCAGGCAATGGTGCGGTCGGTAGATAATCAGCATACCCGTAGGCTAGCTCGTCCGGCCCATGCGAGAAGTGCTTCCTTACCCGAGGGTTTACAGGCTTTCCTATGGACTGGTTATGGTGGTTCCTTCCCGTACACGGTATCCACTGGTTCTTCGAGTTCGGTTTAGCGAGTTGAAGGCTTCTTTGGACGCTACTGGAGCTTGGAGGACTTTTGGTATCTGATTCGTCTACGGCTTCTGGTTAGCCGCCCACATTTCGACAGGGACCTGAACGACTCTGACTTCTCATTTGCTGCGGCGGATTGTTCCTTCCAATTCCTAGCAATGACCTTTCCTACTGTGGTGGTATAAGCTTGGTCTCAGATCAGCTCAGGAAAGATGCGCAGAACTTCCCGCTGCCGATGCAGATGACCGTCGCCTTCAGGTACGGAACTTATTAATATTAATATTCCTAAATATGATTGATTCGATTCATCCTTCTTCGCTTTTTACCTTCTTCTCCTCTCTGAACGGCCGGAAGGATCGAATTTGTAAGAGGATTATGCCTAATCGAGACATCCTGCTTATCCGCGACGACCGCAACGGCCGGAGCTATAATATTGTATTACCGAACTCTAACAGAGAACGTGTGTGCCCCGTCCATACTTCATATATTACTAAAATACTCAAAAGCAAGGGCCTGTCCAGCTAAGGCTTGAGGGGGGTGTGTTTTTGCGAAAACTAGCTGCGCCTTTTGACCTTTTTCTTTTCTTTTCTTTTCTTTTCAAGATTCCCGTCTGGTGAGGGAAGATGCAACGGACGGGATCGCTTAATGTGCGATCGACTGGGTGCATATACAGGAAGTACGCCGGCCTGTAAGTTAATATACTTTCGTATGTTAATATCAGTGTATCCTGTCGAACTAGACCGTGGGAATCTGCCTGAAGACTCCACTTCTGTCCCGTCTCTACATAATCGTCCAAGAGTATCTTGTCACCAGAGTTCCGCTGCGACCGGGGCGAGCGCTCTTTTCTCCTCTTCCTCGATCGCATGAACATACCCCGGTCAATTGTTTGCGAGAAAGGAAAAAAAAAAAAAAAAAAAGTGCAGCACTCTGTTTCTCAAGAAAACTTTTTACGAAAGATACCGACGCGATAGTTAGTTAGTGCCATGCATAGTAGTATTCCTAGAAACTTGGTTCCCAAAAGTCCTTAGGGGATAACTGGATATAGGATAATATACGTATGAGTTCATACGAGATCCCTTCGAATTCAAACTATCACAAATTGGCCTGCGAGGGCTTATGTAGTAGTATATCGTAATACCACCCTTGCGCTTTCCGTATGCCCTCAAAACCCACATCTCACATCCTAGCTGTTACCCCTCCCCCCCCGCCTAGTTTGTTGAGAATTCGGTTTCCAGTTCGCAAGTTCCTCTTTTATCGAGTCGGCCCTGCTTCGCCTGCTCACGCCTGCTCTTTTGCTTTTCGGGGTGTTTGTCTCTGTCCACCCTTCCGCTGTTGAGTCTTCGCCTTCAGCTCCTCCTCTTCCTCCTCCTGTTTCCCCCCCTCCTCTGCGTCGTCTTCCTGTTCCCAAGCATTCGACTGGTGTCGTTTCTGCGATCATAGTACCCCAGGAATTGGTATCAGAAGCCAGAAAAACGCCATAGCTTAAGCCATACCGAACCCCTCCACCACAGTCCGACACTTTGGAACATGACGAAGGTTCGGACGGAGAGTGTGATAGACTGACTGCATATGCATGGTGGGGTCGGACAAAAAAAAAGAATTAATCAACGACCTTGTAGGAAGGAACCAGAAAAGAACCCACCCTCCTTAAGCCGGCTAGAGGGGTGGTGTGCGACCTGATTTAGCTCCGGTGCCTCACAAGTGACTGGCCATCAGGTCTTTTTTCTTCCCTCTCTCTTCCATCGCCCTCATTTGCAGGCGCACCTGGTTTGTGTCGATTTCAGTCAGTGAACCCAGACAGGAGTCGTGAAAGAAGAAAAAAGCCATACCAAACTTGACTACATCCACCCATCCCGCCGCGCAGGACTGCCCGACAGAAGGAAAGAGTCTCTAAAAAAACGGGCTGGGTCGCATGGGATAACTCGTGAAAACGGTACCTTGCTTTTATTATATATCCCAAGGCCTTGCCCGGCGCCCTTCTTTCCTTCTTTTGCATATTTCATCTGAACATAATTTGTTTGAATATTCATCTTCTTCTTCATCTTCTTCTGATTACCAGTATCATTATTCTCCGTCTTGTTTGTTCGTATTGTCGTCGCACCATTTGTTGGAATCGGACCAGGAACGCTGTTCTATTCGTCAGCCATCCGCTTTTAACAGACCAACAGCAGCGCTGCTATAAAGAAACATCGTCGTTCACGTTTCAGAGCTACATTCCCGAACCCCGAGCCGCTTTGTGGGACAAGACGTTTCAGGATATATACCAGGCTGCTCGTTTTTTATAAAGACCCTTTTGTCTCTCTTGATGCTTCTTGAGGTTTTTGCGTAGCAGAAATATCGACCACAATAGGCGGGGTTTGAGTTCACCTTGACGTTCCGACTTCGACTTCGACTTCGACCTCATCCCCAACACATTCCCAGCTGGACCCGCATCAAGCATACCTTGTTCACAATATTGCATCGTACTAAAGACCGTACCGCCGGGGACTGAACTGTTATTTGGGAAACTTCGTCGGATATGTTGGAGAGACCGTGGGACGCAAGTTACGTTCCAGCGACGGCGTATGGTGCACAAGTACGACATAAGGTTCCCAGCACCAGTAGTCATGTACATGTCTATGGCGCACAGTATCCGTCGCAGGCGCAACCTTCTACCTACAACAGTTCATCATATGCCACCTCTTCACAGTACAACAATAACATTTACAGCTCATCATCATCGCACCAATACCAAGCTCCAAGTTTACGCCATTCGAAAAGCCAAGGGAAATCTTCAAGCGGCTCGCAGTTTGTTCGTAGGAGGACAAGGAGAACAATGAAGGCCTTACCCGACGATGTATTGGCAAAGATATTTCGATATGCTAGTCATGATTCCCTCCATTACGATCGTAAGGGCCGGAGCCAGATGATATACGGCAGACATACTCTGCTTTGTCTTGCACTCGTTTCCAAGCGGTTCCACTGGATTGTCACACCGCTCTTATACGAGCGCTTGGAGATACACCCTCAGAACGAAGCCCTCGTCAGGGAAACTCTTATAGAGTAAGTCGGTTTAGCTCCCTTTGTTTTTTAGCCTTTAGCTTTTCTTTGTCACACAAGAACTTTGACCGACTAATACGATTTATTATCTTGCTTTCAAGGGACCCGGCTCTCACAAAGCACATTCACCATTTGCGGGTTCAAATGCCAAAGAGGTTTCGTACCTGGGTAATGAAGTACAACTTCTCACCTATCAGCTTCGAGCTTGTATCCAACTATGGTACAGACTTGGACATTCTACAGCATTTCAAAATAGATCCTTACAGTCTCAAACGGCTGCACATCGGAGACACCATGAGTGTCGATTCTCGCATGTGCAAATATATCGCCAACAACTTTCCAAAGCTCGAAGACATCACCATCGAAAGCCCGGTTTCATTCCATTCCCAGTGGAACTCCGACGGACTGGTAAGAATAAGCTTTCCCCGTTTAAATTTAAATTCCTCGTACCTGACATAGGGCGCTAATTTACATTCCTGTACACAGGAGCGGACCGTTTCATTCTTCTTCCCACTGCGGAGATTGAAACATCTTCGGCTGCACGTTAATATGAACCCCAGCCGCACCGCTAACATTCCACCGGAAAGTACTTGGGCAGATCTCGTTCATTTCCTTCCAAAGGTCCCGGAAAGGCTTCAGACCCTCACTTTTGGGTCCTTGGGCAAGAACGAAGAATACGTCTCTGTTTCGGATTCCCTCGTCAGATGTGTTGCGTACTCTAGTAATCCGCCATCTAAACGCAAGGGCGACAAAAGGTTGAACTCAGACGGCGTTTGGAGTGGCCGTGGCTCGAAATGGTGGAAAATCGAAGTCCCTGGATATCTCAAGGACCGAATCACGGTCCTCGAGCGCTGGGGCGTACGACTTAAACTTGATGAACTCTACCTCTACTAAGATAAAATTCTATGATTCCTGAATAAGCGACCTACACCACCGTACCTTCATACGATCCTGTCATTATCGAATTCTGCAGTCCTATTTCCGGAACATGCGCACCTTACGATTGATAACGGCTTTCTACGACCCCTTACTACGGCTGCTTATACGAAATATTAAGACTTTGACTCGAGGCAACTCGAATCTAATCATATCCGTCCAGCGACACATGCACAGCAAATATTAGCTGCTCTCCTTTCTCATTTCTTTTGTCTTTCTCATTCCTTTCTATTTCTATTCTGTATTAACGCCCAGTCTCCCAGTCTCCCAGTTCCCTTCAGCCTGTCCTTTCCATTTGTGCATGGCGTTTCCGGTCCAAGTTAATTGATTTACACCTGCCCTGTCGGATATCTGCTTTTTTTTTTTGCTATTCTCGCTTTACCACTAGATACGCTGGCGTTTTTGAAGCGATACGGTAATTTACTTTTCCTCAATCCTTTTTATTGGCGATTCATGTAGCTAGCTTTTTGGAGGTTGCTTGCTTTTCCTCTCGTCATGATGAAGATACGTACGGCGTTCAAGATACATATTCAGGAGTCTTTGAGGAGTTTTTTTGAGATTTAAGTCACACAATATCAACATGAGCACTGGCTGTTTCCTCATATATTTTCTTTTGTTTCCTTTGTTAGATCGTTCTTGACTTTTTCGACCTTCTATGGCAAATATTTCTGCTTGACCTCTTCTGTTTTCTGAATTCTCAAATGTTCCTTCGAAAGTATATATTTGGGGACCCCTTTTGTATTACCCTGATAATGGCCTCAATCATCACTCTTTGATTTTTACTTTTATTTTTACTTTGACTTTTACTTCCCTTACATTTTTAATGAACGGATATATTTTATTCCCCGAAAGTTACTGCAATTTCCCTGCTTTTTTTTGGAGGAAGTTTCGAAGAGGTGCAATGACCTTCAATTCAAAAAAATTAACCCCCCCCCCCCTTCTCCAGAATGCCTTGCCATTGCAGATGGGTCGACTTACTCACAGAATGACATCTTTTTTAGCTCCAATTTTAGCTTGTGATCATGGCCAGGGGTGTAGGGTGGGGTGAGCATGGGGTAAGCTTCACACCCTGTAGCTCGATTCGGACAATACCACCCCTTGTGATAGGTTCATCTGCTTACAGGTTCAGAAACCTCAAAACTGCTGACGACTTCTTTTTTCGTTTTCCACTTGTTTCTTCAATTTCTCTACCTATATACTATGCTAACAGCTAACAAAGGAAGTTGAATTGGTGTGGCCTCGCTGATGGGAGGGTTGCTAGGTTTGACATCTGTCTGGTTCGAGAGGCTAGAGACTATACAGGAACCCGTGTACCCGTGCTCGCAGTAACTTTGAGCTAAGTACGAGAAGTTAGGACGAGGACCTATGGTTTAGGTAATCGGATATCGCGCAACGATAGAGAGAGTAGTACTGTCTATCCTTTTTCGAATAAGGAGCTTCCCGAACAACCTAGCTAAGCAGCTTAGCTAGTGGCTAGCCAGTAGCGTTAGTCTTAATTTCAAGCTAGTTATCGATATCGCTGCGAAGACCATGTATGGTATCATAACCTCGATAGCGTATAAAACAAAAAAAACTTATCTTGATATGATATCGATATCGTTTAAGCGCTACTATCTACCTAGTTAATTAACCCCTCTCTTCAGAAGTTCGGCCCCGCATCTCAACAAAATTGTATTCTATTTTATTTTATTTTTTACTCCTCTTCCTGCGTGAGATCCCAAGGTAACCATCTGACCATTGACAGAAACGATGGAGTCCAAGCGATGTGCAGAATCGTGCACGTTAGCGTACATGATGTATATGTATATGTAAATGTATATGTAATTGTGCTGCAGAATGCAACTCTACAAAAGCCCGCATGCATCTGCTATAGCTTGAGCTACCTACACTGTCAGAAGAAAAGAAAAAAACAGGAATCAAATATTCAAAATCCGGGAAGCGAAGAAAGGATTTTTTTTTCGTAGAAGAAATATTTTAGGAAATCCAACATCATCAGGTACCAGGTACACTCCCGTTCCTTTTCATGATGTTCAACGGAATTTACCCATTTTTTTCTATGTTTGACTCATCTTTTTTTTTTGGATTGAAAATAACCTACTTAAGTACAGAGCATGGATGAGAGATACCCTTGCTCGCCATGTTCTCTACCGAAAACATCTTTTGAGATTTGGTCAGATGATCATATGACCGGGTTTTTGCATTACAAGTGCAAAGTTGAACCTTCAAAACATGTTTGCAACTTTTGATCAATTCGAATATACTAGAGACTCTACTGGTCTTTATACCTGGATCTAAGTCGGCACTGTCTATAGATGATACTTCCCTTTCATACCGAATAATATCGTAAACTTTCCCGTTTTCTAACCGTTTAACTTTAGTGTATTTTGATAATAGTACATAGTATACACCTGATCACAATGTCGTTTACTAAAAGTTAGTACGTTTGATTGCATGTATCGATTGGGACTCCGCGGAAGGTTTTGAGGAATTATACGAACCGATACTTTAGTATAAGTTTTTCTTTCGGATTACTTACCAGATACTTAATTAGTAGGTAACAACGGTACATGGCGACCGCCGGCGATAGTTCTCAACATGATGATGCTAAGCTTATTCTGCTGAGTCATCCGTTGGATTTTGTTCACAGCAACACGTTCACAATGTCACAATTGTCTACGAGGTCGAGAATACGAGGAGCCTAGTCCTTAGCCTGAGAGCAGTGTTAACGAAAAAAAAACATTAAATTCCTTAGACTGAGCTTGTTAATAGTTATTAAAAGGAATTAGAGCTAGAGGAAAAACAGGAATGAAAAAAAACAAAACAAAACAAAAAAAAAAAAAAAAGGAAGAAAACGTTTTTAGAATCAATATGCCCCCTAGGTTTTAATCGTTAGTAATCAGATTTTGGTTTGGGAGCGTATAGACCTGAGAAAGAACTCACCTTGCCTCGTAATTTTATTCTTGTTTGAGAACCAAGGGCGGCAGTGAGAAAATAGTAAAGGGGTCCCCAGGCCCTCTTCAATGGGGTTGTGATTGCCCGGTATCCGCCTAGAAAGTGCGGAACTCCAGACCAGCAAGCTCGGAGGCGGCGTCATCCTGCGCCTCGGCGTAGAGACGCCCGCCCCAGGCCTCTCCCTCGGGGGCCGAGACTTCGGAGTCGCCTCCGAAGTCAATCAGCATCCCGGAGGAAGCGCCGGGAAGCGGGGCCTCGGCCTCGGCTTCGGCTCGGGCGAGCCCTTCCTGCCACTCGAGGATGTGGCGGACCTGCTCGTCCGTAAGGGTCCGGACGTCGACACTCTCGGTGTCCGAAATGCTCCCCGTAGCCTCAACAGTGGCAGCCCTCGTTTCCTTTGGAATGGCGGAAAGACGGGCAACGAGCTCTGGCGAGAGGGGTGGCAATGGTGGCGGAGCAGGAATTCGTCCACGAGCTTGTCCTATTGTAAGTCAGCGTCAGGGTTGCAAAGAGCGGATGCTGGGATCTGGACCTAAGAACTTACCTTGGGCTGCGGTCCCCTTAATAGTCGCAGCTGGCGAAACAGTTTGAGGAGCCATTGACGAGGCTCCGGCGACGCTGTCAACTTTGTTCCCGCTTGGAGTGCTGGCAAACGGGTCCGAGTCGTCGAAGTGGAATACCGCAGGTGGTCTAATGGTCCCGGGGACCTTAGGAGTGATGGGGGACGAGACGCTATTTCCCCAAGACTCGATCTTGATCAAGTGCGCCAATGTCACCGGGTACCAGGTTACTGGGCACTTTGGCTCCATTGGTGGAGGATCTTGCATGGTAGCTGATGAGGTGCTCGGGCCAGCAGAATTGGTGGCACTAGATTGAGCAGCAGCGACAGTATTGGCCCCAGTGGTGGGAGCGTTAGTGGTAACCATAGTGTTTTTACCGACTGGAACAGTAGAAGTAGCAACAGTTTTGGTACCAGTTGGGGCATTAGTGGCCCCAGGAGCGTTACCAGTGGCGGGAATGGTGGCACCGGTGGAAGCTTTAGCAGTAGTGGCACCGACGGGAGCTTTCGCAATGGCTGTATTAGCGGCACCGGCTCTAGCAGCGGCGGTGCGAGGAGCGGTAGAAGGACCGGCTCCGGCAGCAGGGAGACCCTTGAAGTACTGTTTAGAATGGGAAAAATGGATAGATTAGTCATTGAAGTCTCATAAAAAAAAAGATGTAACGATAAGGGTCAAGATGCAATGAAATGAAAAAAATGTCAATCCATTGGCTGGATTAGACAAATAGAGCTCCTTGTGATGCATACTCCCGTGCTCTGGTTGTTTGAAGCCATGATTATGCGGGGGAACCAACCAAGCAACCTCGTCAATTGCATATAAGAAGCCCACAGTGGAGCAAAACAATTTGACAGGTGAATATGCTAAAAGTGGGGCTTCTAGTGAAGCTAGTATCAAGGGGGCAAAGAGAGCCGTGATGATGTTGGAGGGAGATGAATGAACAGGATGAAAGCAAAGATCTAGCAGAGCGGGAGGATTGAGGGGAGGGGGGGCTTTTATAGGGCAGCTCAGCGCAGAGGGTTTGAATGAGACGTTATTTGCCGCAGGTTGCCATGGGGGGAAGAGCGTAGGGCCAATGCAGCGACATCCGAAGGGGAGCGCAATAGACAGCAACGAACTGCCAGAGGATGCGTAATCCAGCAGAAGCCCTCTTCGTGTAACAAATTTAAACGAACAATCTAAACGACATCGCACTTACATGGTCAAAGGTCATTACAGCATCCGCCATCATATGTTGACACCTACGACGGAGCTCGAGCGACGCGACATTCTGCCATTTAGTGTGACAGATGGCCTTACGAAAAGGCTTGTGATCGAAGTGATTGTTGTAGCGGTTCCAGTATAGTGCGATCAACCTGTTGGCTCCGAAGGACTGGGTTTCGAGGAGTCGGGCGAGATCGGTATGCATGTTTTCGTCGTCAGAGAAAGGAAGCCAGGTTTCACTGCTGGCGGCACGGAAGTTAACCTAGCGGTAAGGGAAGTCATATCAGTTCATCTATTCAATAATCGAAACTCAAGCCGGTTCGACAGCTAACAACCACTATACAAACTAGGCAATGGGGTCTTGCACTTACTTCTGGATACCCGGAAGGAGAATTCTTGTCATTGACGTACAAGATCATTGATCCGGTGTTTTCAGCCCAGTAAATAGTAACGTACTTGCTGTTCATGCTGAAACGAACCATGTGACGTCCAGATGGAGTTGGGAAGATAACCTCCAAGATGTCACCCCGTCGAGCAATCAAGTCGATGCGCTGTCCTCGACGGCCACGAATGTTGCAGGTACCGGTGAAGCTGATCATCTCGTAGCTCCTCGTGGCAAGCGCCTGTGGCTGCTGGATCTGTTCAGTGGTCATAGTTGCAACGGACTTTTGTCAGGAGACGTGCTATCAATGCTGAGACTTGGAGAATGGATTGAGGAAAGAGGATCAATGGAACAATGGGATGATGATGCTATCAAGAATTGATACGATCAGAGGAAGTGGTAATGGATTGGTTCTGATGGTTGGTGGTTGAGATCTATGTGGTTTAGGGGGAAAGAAGAAGGAGGTGATGGTTGGTTGTAAGGAGGAGGAAGAATCTGAGGATGTTCTGTCCTGGGAAAATTTATATACCAGAAATTATCGGCGACGGGATCAATGAGCGTGGCAGCACAACCGAAATATTCTGCCAGAACACAAGCTCCACAGTCAAACCGCCCACGACACCGATTCAGACATCACAGTCTACATATATTACGAGTCACCATTTATGAACTGCAAAGAGGGACCCGGTTACGAGACTGAGACGCTCAAGTGAACGTCGAACGTGGTATTCTGGGTGTTGCATCCCGAATAGGGATTATTCCCGTATACGGTTACTGCATGTTCGACTTGTCTAGCCACACGGCACACGCGCCACATGCCACCCGATTTCTCTCGATCCCCATGGCGAGATCCACACGGGACCTGCATCACCGACGATCGAACTCGAAGGGGAACTTGAAAGGAATCCGCGCCGATTCTATTTTTTTTAACCCGAAAAAAGCAAAAATATAAGCGTCATGTATTCGCTGAGATGACGGGGTATCCGTTTGCCTATTCTGCAACTGTATGACACTCGAGATACCTGGGATGGCACCAACATTAAAGTTAAGGTTACTAAAGCTATTGCAATGGCAAGGAGTACTTGCTCCAAATACCAGCTTACTACAATACGCATTGCCTGACAGGCCAAGACGGGGTCATAATGTAGGGTGGAGGATCTAGTGGACGTTGTGAGAGGCTATGCATTGGCTTTTGAGGCCCTTATATAAAATGAATTGTTAATCATGCGTATGCCCTGACATACAATTTACAAGTGACCTTAATTAATTAAATGACCGAGACAATATCGCGCGATCATATATCGTCTTGTTCTTTGTTTGCCGGCTCATCAAAACCAACATTCGGTTCGCACCCCTTCGAAGAAATTCACGATATTCGATTCGGCGGTCAGCCTGAAAATTGGATCGGAACACCCATTCATTCATACTTCTTATCGCCATACTAAATTCTCGTTTTGAAATTGAAATTATTTTATAACTGCGGGAGTTATATCCACAATCGCTGCAAGCTCAATCCTGCGAGCTTTTCAATATAAAATGGCGGGCCTGGAATACGCCTTTGTGTTCGTGGGCCCTTTCTTAAAATACTTAATAGAATCATAGCTACACCGGAACTTTTAAAACACCTACTCAAGTACCTACCTAGATAAAGGATAGAGACTGATTATAACCCTTGGCGATGATTTTAGGCATGCAAAATACACCATCCCAGTAGCTATATTGCTCACAGTTCTTCTCCAGCCCTTCAAAACCAGCGTAGATAATTACAAGATAACATATTTACTCATCGTAAGTAATCAATTCGAACTAGTGCACCCCGAGACTAGAGTAAACGTTGCTAATGAACTACTAATTATTTGAAATTCTAAAGATAGCTATAACGGCAGCGACACCATGGGACTCTTATCTCCTCACGAACAAAGTTTGGACCTACCCAGAACATGCTATCATCGGCATCACGCTTTGGAAAATACCTTTTGAGGAGTATTTTTTCTTCGCAGTACAGACATATATTACCTCACTTATCTGTATACTTGCAGGAAAATCTATCATTCCTACAGCTTTTCTGCCAACTTTGCCAATAACTCCATCGTCTCCATCGATCGAGGAAGCAAACTTAAAGCTGCAGAAGAAAAAACACCTTGTTCAGAATGATTACAAACGCCTCAGGCGTATTGGTTTATTTGGTGCGATTTTTATTGCATCTCTGATTACCATTGGGGTGAAACTAGTCCAAAGTGGTGGCCAGGGTACATATATGGGATTGATCCTAGTATGGGCCTGTCCCGTTATTTTCTTTCTTTGGGGCTTATCACATCAATACATTCTTTCAGTCCCGCGTAAAAATGTTCTGATTCCGATATTACTACCTACGGGTTACCTTTGGTTTGTTGACTCCCTTGCATTGAAGAAGGGGACTTGGGTTATCAATCCTGAGAAGAGCTTTGGTATTAAGCTGTGGAAATATTTGGATATCGAGTAAGAAACTATTGTCTTCGACCTTTTACTGGATTAGGACAATCTAATGCGGTTTTTATTTACATTTAGGGAAGCTTTATTTTTTCTTATGAGCAATATTCTGATTACTTTTGGTCAACTGGCTTTTGACCACACTTTGGCTGTGATCAATGGCTTTCCAGAGATTTTCAACTTTGCGATCCCTTCCTGGCCATCACTTTTTATCATGATTAGAGGATTGGGTATTTCTGTTAGAAATTACACACCTAGGCGGGTATCAAATCTCAGAGATGCGATTTTGAAGCTTCAAAATAAGAGTAGAAGTTTCTCACTCGCGAGTAGTGTATTCGAGGGAAGGCTTAGGATCGATCTAGTACTATTGTAAGTTTACTTTTTCAAGATACTTAGGAGACGGTGACTAAAACGATCCTGCTCTAGATACGCATTCTGTCGGAATGCAGATGATTTAATAGATGAGGCTGAAAACAGAGAAGAAGCTCAGAAGGCTTTGGTCAAATTATCAGATGCTCTCTCGAACACTTTTTCGTACCGTCGGTCCGAAAAGTCAACATTCAAAATTCAAAATAAACTTAAACCACCTATTTCTATGCTTTATAACCTGCCGGAGGAAATGGCATCTTCATTGGAGATGTTGCCTATTGAAGCTCTCCCTATCAAGCCAATACAGGGACTCCTGGAAGGATTTGGAATGGATCTACAGTTCCCATCAAGCGACGAGAAAGAAAACAAAACAATGCCCGGCGGCGAATTCCCGATCAAAACAGAATCAGACCTCAAACGATACGGGTATTGTGTAGCCGGTACCGTTGCAGAGCTACTCCTTCACCTTGTTTTCCACCATTCTCCCACGAAGAATATTGCAAAGAAAGAACGGGCAGAGATAATACAAGCCGGTGTCAACATGGGGATAGCGTTACAATACATTAATATTTCACGGGATATTGCTAAAGATGCACTTATTGGACGGTGCTATATCCCAAGTGATTGGCTGGCAGAATACAACTTGACTCCTGCAATGGTGGTAGAAAACCCCGATCGCCCCGAAGTCCGAATATTAAGGAGGAGACTATTGAGAAACGCAATGGAAATTTACTACCAGAACAGAGGGGCGATTGAGAAATTACCGACGCACGGGGGTGCAAGGAAAGGTGTTAGAGGTGCTGTCGAGAACTACGTAGAAATCGGGAGGGTGTTACTCGAACGAGACGGAGAGATGCCGATACGAAATGACGAGACAGTTAGTAAATCGAGAAGGCTTTGGGTGTTTGTTAAAGCACTTTGTGCATGATTCATGATCCCATTGCCAACATCTAATGTTAATGGTTACGTTACATGTAAATAAGTTCAATCAGTTCAATACTTAGGTGTAGATGTTTAGACTAGCTTATTAGCTGTTTCACAATCGATCTCGCAATGTAATTTCTAATATACATTGGAAATAAGAGCACACATCTTCATGAATTTACCAAAGACTCGATTTCACGAACGTAACTTAATAGTCTCTGCGCCCCATGAATCCAATATCACCTGTGCGCAATTCGAGTTACTCAGCTGCTGCACTGCAATTGGTTATGTAACTTTTATAAAGCAGATAATTAGCGCACATGGCTTAGCTGCCCGGCCGGAAGTACAATAAATTCCGTGACCCGACGCCTAACGCTTCGGTTGATTATTCTAGAATACGACAATTGCAAACGTTTAAACTCTAAAAACCGATGCGCCTCCTAGCTTTGTGTAATCAATGATATCATGACTTTACACCCTGGACACTTAAATGATGTATCCATGGCGTGAGATATATATAATTACCCTTGTACGAGTCCGTCACCCCCCGTCGCACCAGCCACACTTTCACCACGTTTTAAATTTCCCCCCCTTCCCTGGAGCCGGTATTGTAAAATGTACCGGGGGTAGAGTATACCTTCTCGATCGCCATGTAATGCAGAAATCGTCCGATCGGTACCAGTGGAGGCTTAGACGGATCTCGGATTCCGAAAATCATTCTTTTCTCGGTTTTCTTTTGAACCGCGCAATAGGCATTTTAAATTTACCGATGAACGAAATCTCTGGTGGTATTTGATGAGTAAGTCAGTAGTTAGTGCAATTAATGCGATTGGCCACGTTGAGTAGGACGCTATCCGGATGAGTGTTGACGTCGTCGAGTTGATGGAACGGTTCTAGCCTGACCAATTGAATATAAACTAGCTCCGATGTTAAACAGCGTAGCGTGCATTTTGAAGCTTGTATTCGACCGGCGCGGTGTAAATATATCTTAATCGACGCTAACATATCGATCTGGCGGATTCGCGCGACTAAACTAGGAAAATTATAAAAATAAAATAAAAGAAAATAAAGTCCGAGATCGAGACAAGAAAGTGATAGCAACGTTAGTTTCCTATAGGTGGGTTCGAACTTGGACTCGATTCTATATTATGCAAGGCACCACCCCGCGGTTTACGTAGATACTTAGGTATCTTTGCTGGTACTCACTATATCTGCCGGTCCAACAGCCGATCGATATAATATAATATGACCGTACAGCGCACTTGAAGCGAATACAATAGAAGTATTTTAACATCTTGCGGTTAACCGGTTTCTCTGGGATATTTGAACCCACACGTGTATACCGAAATCAATATTTTACCACCGCCTACGATAATTCAGTATTGTAGCTCAGAATATCAAGATCTTAAGATGCCTCATCAAGGGCTCCTCGGGATGGAGAAGAAATCAGTCGTCATCATTGGTAATAAACCACAGAACCCAACACATTCTGACTCGCGATAAAAGACACACCCGAACGATGGCTTATCAGAATTATAGGTGCCGGCGTAGGAGGTTGTGCCTCTGCTGCACGTTTGGCGAAAGCGGGGTTCAAGGTCACCGTCGTCGAGAAGAATGATTTTACAGGTGGAAGGTCTGGATTTCATGAACTCTTAAACCGGCGAGATAAATTAATAAACTAATATATTATTGATTCAACCCGGACAGATGCTCCTTGATATACGATGGCGAACATGTAAGTTTATATTCGTTCTTGTAGCAATGGCACAAATACAAGATCGATCGATATCTTAGGACTCCTCACTGATAAACCCAATTCTTTTTAGAGATTCGACCAAGGGCCGTCTCTTCTCCTGATCCCCGAACTATTCCATGAAACTTTCGCAGATCTTGACACCACGATGGCAGAAGAGGGTGTTGAACTCCTCCAATGCAACCCAAACTACCAAGTTTTCTTCCACGATAACGAAAGAATTGTACTTTCGAGCGATTTGGCGCAGATGAAGCCTGAGATCGAGAAATGGGAAGGGAAAGACGGATTCAAACGCTATCTTTCTTTCTTGGCCGAAGGGCATGTGAACTATGAGTTTAGCCTCAAGAAGGTTTTAAGAAAGAACTTCCCGTCCTTTCTGAGCATGATGCGGCCAACTCTATTGAAGGATATCCTTGGGGTCGCAATAGCCACATCTCTAGTAAGTTGTTGATAAAATTGACTCTAGTTTATAAAAGGACATGATATTAATTTTTAATATATATATAGTATACCAGAGCGTCAAGTTATTTCTGGACGGATAGGCTGAGAAGATGCTTTACCTTCGGTTCGATGTACCTGGGAATGAGTCCGTATGACGCCCCAGGAATTTACTCTCTTTTACAATATACAGAACTTGCGGAAGGTGTCTGGTACCCCCGTGGTGGGTTCCACAAAGTTATTGACGCTATCGTTAAGATTGGCAAAGGAATGGGCGTAGACTACCAACTGAACTCGCCCGTTTCGTCAATTCTCCTGTCCGAAGATGAAAAACAAGCTGTTGGTGTAGTATTGCAGTCCGGAAGACACATCCAAGCCGATATCGTTCTTGTAAACGCAGATCTGGTCTACGCATATAATAATCTCCTCCCGGAAACGAAATATTCTAGAAGTCTAACGAAACGTCCGGCTTCGTGTTCGAGTATATCTTTCTACTGGTCTATGAACCGAACGGTCGACGAGTTGAGCGCACATAATATCTTTCTCGCAGAACATTATCGGGAAAGTTTTGATGATATATTTAAGGAACTCAATATGCCGGATGAGCCGAGTTTTTATGTTCATGCACCGGCGAGGATTGATTCCACCGCTGCCCCGGAGGGTAAAGATTCAATCGTGGTACTTGTACCCACGGGTCATCTCAATGATAATGACGATGGGAAGGGATTCAAAAGTACAGATGACTGGAACAAAATTGTGAACAGAGTCAGGGACTTAGTCATCGATACAATTGAGAGGAGAACCGGCGCCAGGGATTTGAGAGCTGCAATTGCATCTGAACAAGTGAATACTCCGACCACGTGTAAGTGTCTCGGTAATTATAATGTGTCGATTGGAAACACTCAACTGACAACCACCTTTTATAGGGCGAGAACGTTTCAATCTCGAAAAGGGTGGAATTCTTGGACTGACAATTGACTTTTGGTAATTATAAATTATCCTTTTAGTAACTTCTTAAGTAATTGAACAATTTAAGAGGCTGATTCGTCATCAGGAACGCCCTTGCCTTCCGACCGAAGACGAAGCACTCGACGATTTCTGGACTCTACTTCGTTGGCGCAAGTACTCACCCTGGTACTGGTGTGCCTGTTTGCCTAGCTGGAGCGAAGATTACGACAGAACAAATACTCGACGACTTCAAAGTGGGGAAACCATGGTCCCCGGCTACCCCACCAAACACACATGCAAAACAATCGGGATCTTCACTAGATATTGAACGGATTGGCAGTATTTCTGGGTTGGAAATATGGCAGAGGATTATCCTAGCGGTAATTTTGGGGGCTTCTATTACGATTATCTTGCAGAGAATCTTCGGGTAGTCTGTGTCATGAAGTTCAATGTTCCACCACCGGCCGTGTCTGTATGTATGTACAAACTAGTAGTTATGCACAAGTAATTGTTCCTAGACCATGGGTTATAATATATGCCATTTTCCTGTTTCATTGCAATTGCGATTACACCTACTCTAGGGTTTGTGATTGAACTTGTAAGCACCTGGCAGGTTTAATTAGTAATGTTCTGTTCTCGAAGCCACCGGCTAATCTAACGGTCATTGTGCATATATAACCGACCTGAGAGCTGCCTACTTGGGTAAACAATCGAATTGGAAGTGGAGAATACCAGGATTTGAAGTCAATAGATTCGTACACCAAAGTAGTCTGTTTCGTACTTTGTACTCAACTTTATAGTAGTTCTGTACATAAAATCGAATGATTTCAAGCTTCGGCTGGCCTGAAAACCCAGCCTTGGAGACGGGATGTAACGGCTGACGAGGCTCGAGCCTTGGCAACATGGTGGGCGATCCCACCCGATCGGTCCTGCAAGATGCTGCCACGGCAGCGCAGTTGGCGACCATGCAACCCGCCCAACGTTCAGATGGATGCACAACCGTTTCGAGTGCTGTCCATGCGCAGCTTTTGCATCACAACAACGCCATGCATTTTAACACTTCATGACCTTATCATTTGAGAACATCATATCGAATCAACTTACTTCCTTCTCGAGTATCAAAGCTGCACTGTGAATAGCATGTCCTTGCGGGCGGTCGGTCGCTTGGATCGGGCTCGGGATATCCGGTGGTCTCGTGGCATCAGATCTTCCTTTGATCTGAAACTTGGAGGGGTGAAGCCGATGATGTCTGTCCCAAAATCGAAAGAATCCTCTGCACCGGGGCGGCGGGATGAGTTTTAGTTCGAGGCTCTCAACAGCGGGATCCCTGCAATATGTCAACCAAATAGCGGGTCCTTATCATCTGGCAACTAACGGTCTAACTGATGAGGGAATCGAATGGAATCATGCATGACGAGGAATGCAAATAAGTTGTCCCGCACTGCTTTGCACTTGCAATATTTGCAAGTTTTGTGGCTCTGCGCGGATAAGTGTGGGCTTCGTGAACCATCTGACTGCTAAGAGACCTTCTGACTTGCGTCCTACCTCCTTGAACTCCAGCAGAACCTGCATCCAACCGTCTGGGTTTTACTCCCTACTGAGTTTCTGTACACAAATGCTACATCAACTAGCTTGCCCAGCGGAAAGTCGCACTGTTGCCAATATTAACTTTATATAAGTGAAACGGCACCCGGCGGGATACACAGCAGCAGGACTCTGGAGGACAAAGGTATAACATCGGAGTTACTACCCTCTCGGAAAAACCAGTGCACCCTCCAAAACCCTTACCTTTCATCTAGTACTTAATTTTTATTTTTTGGTTCACCCGCTGAAAGTTTTCGGGGTGTTTTTTTTTATATACTTAATTTTCTTAGACGAAGTCACACTTCTATCGTCACGATCATGGAGACGGTGGGAGAGATAGACCGCCAAGACGAACGAACACCATTGCTTCAGCACAATGGCTCCCAATCACCACCAGAATATCAACGTCGTTCTTCAACTACTAGCAATGTGACGAATCCTCTGGAAACACCAATTATCGACTGTGAAGCTGGATCTTCTAGTACCCATAACACTTCCCGTCGCCGCCTTGTTATCTTAATCAGCTTCGTCCTTGGAATGTTCGTGTTAGAATCAGGGGACCAGCTTTTAAAACCTGCTATGGTCCGGATATACGAAGATACAATATGTAGGAATTACTATGCTACTCAGCAGCACGAACTGTTTCCTGCTGGCGAGGACGTCCCGGAAGAAAAATGCAAAATTGCACCTGTTCAGACAGAACTAGCATTCATAAGAGGGTTAGAGCCAGTATTCGATGCTATCCCAAGTATGCTAACCCCCCCGTATCATGTCCATTTTGCAACTCTGTGCAAATAAACCATTGTGCGAACAAGTATCACTGATTTGCACCAACTACTCTAGGTCTCCTAGTAGCAATTCCCCTTGGAATGATTGCTGATAATCAAAAAATCGGACGGAAGCCTGTTTTCCTGGCTGCACTGATGGGTCCATTCTGCCAAATGATTTGGGCCATCATCGTTAATAGATTTTCGGATATCTTTCCTATCAGATTTGTATGGTTCGGATCACTGTTCCTCATCACTGGTGGACTTAGTGTAATCAATGCACTTCTATACACAATGATAATTGATGTGACCACCCCCTCGGAAAGGTAAGTAACCCGAGAGCCATGAGCTTGATCGTTGAGAGAGAAAAACTCTTACTAATATGTATGATCGGAACGATAGGGCATCTACGTTTTTTACGATGCAGCTTGTCGGGTCATATGGTCCGGGACTTATAATGCCATTGATAACAACTAAGATTATGGAAAGTTCAGGAAACTGGACGTCTGTCGCCTGCGGTATATCTCTGGTGACCTGCGGCTATATCATGATGTCTACAGTCCCTGAAACAATCAATTTTCACAATTCCGATAAGGATGCTCAACCTGAACCTACCATAGATACTACAGCTGCAGAATCAGATAGCATAAACTCGGAATCCACTATCCCCCCCGAAAAGCAAAGCATCTGGTTACGGTGTAAGGCTCAACTCGGTGAATTCGTCGACTCCTCCAGCTTTGTTTTTCACAGCCCACACCTTAGGATTCTCGTCTGCTCACTTATGATGTGCATGTTATCTCTCACCCGCGCTCTGGAAACATTATTATACTACGCATCCGCTCGATATGGAATCACTATTGCGAAGGCCAACCTTTTAAACACAGTTAATGCAGCTGTATGCATGAGTGTACTTTTCTGCCTCCCCTTCGCATCCGCATACCTAACTGGTACGATCGGCATATCCTCTCAGCGCAAAGATCTATTGATAGCGCAGATTTCTGTTGTACTTCTCGCAATTGGATGGTACATCGTCGGGCTAGCACCTACATTACCGTTCGCTATTGTTGGATTAGTGGTATACACCCTCGGATCAGGGTTTAGCGGGAGCGTGAGGAGTTTGGCTGCGAGTTTTGTGGAGCCACATCACCAAGCGAGGTTGAACTCATTTATCGCAATTATGACGGCCATAGGGAACTTTGTGGGGTCACCTCTTTTGGCGGGGTTATACGGTTGGGGAGTTTCGACGGGGAATCCCTTTTGGTTTGGTCTACCCTTCGTGGGGCTTGGAAGCGTTTTTGTAGTAGTGGGGTTTGCCCTATGGTTTAGGTTGAAGTTACCTGAGGAAGGTGGGGCGGTTGTTGTAGATGAGGATGAAGAGGTACTTCTTCGCTCATAGATAGGTACCTAGGGACCTACTTACCCAAGTATTTAGTACCTAAGTACTTTGTGGTACTTTGCAAGTCTGGTGGGTTTAGCGGGCATATCAAAGCAGATGAAGGGACCCCGGCTTTGGTTTCTCGGTTTATTTTTATGACCATGATGAATTAATTGAGCGTTTCTTTTGGATGCTTTTTTGCTTCGTTGTACATGTTATATACCCTAGTATCGGCGTTCTCTGGGTTATCATTGCGATGTTGATTGATTGATTTTTCATCGGTATTGAGTTTTAAGAAGATATCTCGCATTAGTATAGTTAGTACGATAGCTACATCAAAATTAAAACCATCAAACAGGATCAAAGTTGAAGTACGTATAGATTTCGTCTCTCAAAGACTTATGCATGGCATAAAACAAGCCAGGACCAAACATTAACATGATCGATCATATCGATGACTCTTCAACATGTGATCGATTTATATTATCGTATACCTCCTTCCCTTAAATTAAGCCTTCCGCTTCATATAGCGTAAAAGAACCAACGACATGCCGAACCCCCCATTTCCCCTTCCCCCAGATACGTGTATATGTATATACAGAACGCTAATGATATCAATAAAACAAATGACTACAGAGAAAAACCCGATGCTAAAAAAAAAAAACCGATTAACCCGCATAAAGACTTTTTTAAACCAGATACCAAATGCACGGCCGTTAGTTAAGATAAGATAAGAAAGAGAAAAAAAGAAATTAGAGAAGCAAATGCTAGTTAGTTGGTATCATCAATTTAATTTTTCAATGAGATTGCAGATAGATGTGTATGCGGAGCAACAATCTAGCACGTTGATCTGATGGATACAGTAAGGACATCTAAACGAGCTGTTGCCTCCTGCCATCTTTCTGTAGATATCACTGGGTGGGTCGTGTAACCTGTTGCAATTGCAACATATGACTAATATTTTTGTAAGGGTCTTTGTGACATCAAGCGAGATAAGTGAGCTGTTTGATGTTCTATGATCCAATCCGAGTGGCTCCTTGAGGCGTGCCGATGGTAGAACTGGCGGGGATGGCTCTGCTGCAACCGGGAGACGGCCTGGAACAGGTTTGATAACAAGCGGGGCCACGGGTATGATTGGTGGCTGGACTAGAGGACTTGAAGGGGTAGGTTGTGGTGGAGGGACAAATTGAGCTTGAATCTGAGGTGGGCTTTGTGGTTGAAGTTGCGGCTGTGGCGAAGGTTGAGATTGGAACTGTGGCGAAGGTTGCGGTGGGAAGTTGAGTGTGGAAAAACTACCCTGCGAATTGCGGACGGTATCCCAATCTTCCCGCTCATGGGGAGGCGTCATTTCACCTAACTGTTTTCGAACTTCAGCTGAAGAAGGTCTCCTCCTGCGCTCCAACGGCTTCTTTTCGTCTAGAAAGATACTAAGGTCCGCAGCAAGGTCGTTCGCACGACCTAGCGCGAAACCGCTTCCAAGTATATGAAGTGGTTCAAGCCGGTCCACAGATGTTGTCGATGTGCTTCTCAGGCTCGATGCATCTGTTCCTGCAAATCTCAGATCTGGAGATCCCGTAACCGAGAAAGTGCCACGAGGGAACCTTGGTGATCGGGGTGTTGAAGCCAAATCACTCTCGGCTTCCATAAGCTTCCGTTCGAGTTGTAATCGCTGCCTTTCTGCACGTTCATGCACTCGTCGACCTTCTTCCGTTAGCTCGAGATTCTTGGATGCTCTCTTTTGCTCCTTTTCTTTCTTCGCTGGTCTTCCGAGAGGGGGGGACGCGCTTGAACCAGGGGTCGAGAGACCGCTCGCGGGTCGAGATCTACTTCTTGTCTCATTCTTCTTCCCTCGGAATAACTGCGACAACCAGTCTGTCCCTTCGGTTGGCTCCGACGTAAGATTATCATCCATGTCGTGCCTGACGAAATCTTTGAAGATTTCAGACATAGATGGTGCTCTTGGTCTAACCGGGCCGGTTTCGGCTGTTGTAACGCTCGTCCCAAGTTTTGATTTCACCGACTTCTTGGATTCTGCGGTAGTTGGCCGTTCCACAAATTCTTCGTCTGACGATTCTATCGCGGTTTCTGACCTTATTGGAGGGGGCGTTGATAGACCACGGACAGATTGAATTGATTCAGGTAGTGGGGGTACAGGAGGAATATTTACTGGAGCAGAAGGCTCTGCGTTTGTGGTGGTGGCGGCAGCGGCAGCAGTAGCGACAGTAGGAGGATCAGCTATGGGTGCTTTGTAGCTGACCGGAGGGTATGATTTATGTTGTTTCACCAATGGGGGCTTTGAGAACCTTTCTTGGGTATATTTCGAAATATCAAAATTCTTTGCTGAAGGGGCCTCAACTTCTATAGATTTTCGGGCAGCCATCGAGTTCCTGCGAGACAGGTCTGAGTCCGATGTCTCTTCTCCACGCTTAAACATGGATCTCCCGCGTTCCGGTTGGGATTCTTCTACCGGAGGCTCTATTGGGCTGACTTGCTCGCTCTTGGTGGGAACTGATACAGTAGACAACAGTCTCAACGGCTCCGGTGTTGTGGCTGTTGAAGAACCAACAGATTGGGGGAACGTGTATCGTTTGTAGGCCTCCTCTTTGGTTTCCTGGATATCTTCTACACTTAAATCTAATGGTTTCCGAAGTATGGACTTTGGAGGAATAGTTGATTTCGCTCCTTGAGTCTCTGGTGTTGGAGAACTCCTCACTTCATAACTCAGCCTGGAAGGCGTAAGTTGTGGCCTAGCCGTAGCCTTTGACGATATAGAAGTCTCCGAAGGCGACTGAATTCTACTATAATATGCTTCTCTCGTCGCTTGGGCAATAGCATTGTACTCTTTTGCTTCCTGCGTTGTAAGGCGGGTCTCAGAAGTGCTTCTACGGTTTTCCGTCGCCGGGCGGGGAGCAAAAGGCTTGGTTGGGGGCGCAAAATCCAGATGTACAAATGGGGTACCAATCTGCTCTTGGTTGAGAGCCTGGGATAGTGGAACTGTGCTTGTGACATGGGATTTTGCCGCATATTTTGGTTGGTATGGCTGAAATCCGGATTTTTCCGCCGGCTTGTCAGCGGGCTTCTGACTCGTAGCTGAATTGAGTGACGTTGTACTCGAATTTCCACAAGATGTGCTGGGCGGCGGTGTTACGAGGGGAGATTGAAATGGCTGAACTGGGGCCTTCGTCGGTACAGTATTCGGAATTGCTGGAACTGCTGGGATTTGTTCGGCCTGTGCAGCAAGACGGGGAGACGATGTAACGGAATCTATAGGAGAATCTAGCTGAGCTGTATATCGCGGTCTATGGAACCCAATAGGAGATGCGGTTTGGCTGGCTGAAGTCTGTATATTCAACGGTACAATTGGCGAAGAAGGCGCTGTCGAGAAAGCCTGGCCTAATCCCGGGGAATTTGGATCGTAGAAATCCACCAAATTTCCTAGAGATGACGGAGCATGTGCAGCAGGCACCGCTACTCCTCCTCCAAGCATTGTTCCAAGGCTCGAATTCGACCGTCCAGCAAGAGAAAAAGGTGGGTTTGGATGAGGAAGGTCCCGTGTTGGCGTCATAGGTGCTGGTGTTGCACACGGACTGGCCATTGGCGATGCCGGATAATTCTGAATTCGCGAGAACGAGTGGGGGCCATGATGAGGCGGTGGAGGAGGAGGAATTGGGATCGTATTGAAGTCGATTGATGCATGCTTTAGATCAATGCTCTTTCTCTGCTCCGGTTCTCTACTCTTATTCCGCTTCTTAAGTTTCCCTTTCAGCGGAGGCTGCCAACTGCTCCTTCGCCTGGCATCAGGTTTCTGTGAAGTCGGAGTGGTCGACATAGTTGGAGACTGCGGACTGGCGACTTCGGATTGGAAAGTTGAGGTTGAAGTTGAAGTTGGAGTTGGGGTTGGAGTTCCAGTCAACAATCCGAGAGACCTCAGTCGACGGCGTTCTTCTTGACGTTCGATTTTATATTGGTGGCCGCCCACAAAACCAGTGTCCCTTTGCACGTAGGGATCTGATTTCTGGACCGACCGACTAGATCTAGAGCCAGGGCGAGAGCTATTTTTGCTATCGTGGCTAATCTCTAGCTCCGAAGGAGAAGGGACGGACTGAACCGAGACGAGCAGGTCGGATGTGTCGAGATGGGGGGTTTCGGGGAGGTAAGGTGCTTTCATGGACACGGGAGGGTAGGACTTATGGTGATCCCGTCCCTTGCCAATGGTCAACGGCTTAGAGGTAAAGCTTGCGAAGGACGGCATGGTTTGTGCTAATGCGGGATCCCTAGGCCCTTTAAAGGGACCATTGGTAGGATCAAGAGGGATGATCTAATATACAGTACCACCTCTTCTTCTTGGTAGTAGTTCTATAAATGTTGTGATCAGTTTTGTTCTAGTTCGACTAGTCGGGTTTGGGCTTGTCTTGATGTTTTTGGTAAAGCCGGGATGCAGGTATGTCGTAACAAACAGACTGACTGGAGGAACTGCAACTGGGCGGACTGGACGGACTGGAGGAGGGAGGGATATGTATAACTACTCCGCCAGGACCGGGTGAATTCTCTATCAGGCCACAGATCCTAACTATTCAAGAAAGCAATAATTTATTTTTTCCCCGATCTCGCGATCCCCCAAATGGCTGATCTGAGGTGGTATCGGGCGCTGAAGGCGAGACAGATGCTTCGCGTTACCAATCTCCGTTCAGGCTAGGATCAAGCGTCTGGATATCATGGCCGTATTGATCCCTATTATGTCTAGGCCCGCAACTTGCAACTGATAAACTTGTGACTTCCAGAACCTCAAATGCAAAACCGGTTGGCTAATTCTTGGTTCGTGCGCGCGCGCGGGGATGCATATGTTAATGCCGGCCGTGCCTCAGTCAGATTCTGTTTTATTCGTCCGTGGCCTGCAGCACCTTGCTGTTTAAAATTTGTCTGATTCTCTAGGATATCTTTAAAGATTAGAATTACGTCGTCGAGAACGAACGAAGGGAAGTATGAAATAGAAATAGGAATAGGAATAGAAACAGGAATAAAAATATATTCTTTGTCTTCGAGCAGATGGCGAGGATGATGATGAGGGGGGCTTTTCTCATAAATATCGTTATCATCAGCTGCAAATTTACATATATTAATCGCGATATTAAGCCTATTACATCGTTAATGCGTTATGGCTTTTTTTTTTTTTTTTTTTTTTTTTTTTTTTTTTTAAATTCAGCGAGAGAGGATTTAATGTTATGCTACCTGACCAAAGGTCTAGCATTTTCCAATATACCTGGAACGATGTCTCTTCGATCGAGCTCTTGCGTCTCTGCTCCATGGCCCTAACCATGATCGAGTAAAGCGTCTTCCCGTTTCTTAAAATGGGATACAAGTTTTTTCTTTCTTTCGGGAAAGCAAGCCCCTGCCGACGAATGACGCTGCCCAGAACCACCTCGTCAGTCGAGGTCAAATCAGGTTGAAGCATTGGGAGGTTACATTCGGTTACACTACTCCACGGAACCACAGTGACATGTTGCCTTGTATACTTACACACCTGGCATTTGAGTTCCCCATCTGCAATTTTCGACCGATGATGCGATCTAGGTACATGTTAGTACGTACAGCGGCACATCCTCGTGGACAATTATGAATTACCAAATATTCCAGGCTTTCCCATATTCAAAAGTCAGCGAGGACCCTTAAGCTTTGCTCCCAGTCCTCTTATTGGGCATCATGTCCCAAACGCATGAAAATTAATTCAGGTACGAGGAGGAACGATGTATCAGTAGCCCGCAGTGAACACTCCCGATCTTTAAAATCTCGTACAGCGTGCGTCCGAACCCATGCTTGGTAAAACCTGCAAGTTCAAGGAAGTGGTTAGCGACTGCTAAAGTTCTGGCCGCCGCTGCCCTAGACCACCGCTCGCAGTCAACCGAAAAGTGTTAAAAATAGCAGCACGGGGTTATGAAAAAAAAGACTACTGCCTTACCCATTGCCCCCTTGAATAAAAAAATATACCCCACACCCTGCTTGGGCATCGAAAATATTTCCTGCTGCTGTGCTGTACATACAGTGTATGTAATGTACTGCTGGTATTGTATGCATGTGAAACCTTCCAACCAACCAACCAACCAACCAACCAACCAACCAGCCAACCAGCCAACTTAACGAATCTTTAAATTATAGACCGTTGTACAGAAAAAAAAAAATTGGGTTCTAGTTGGCATGTTGTTGGCCACGAGAACACACCCTCGTGGAATACCGATACGGATAGAATAGATGCTAGTAGGTTTTAAACTCCATGATCAGGTGCAAGGGTCGATCAACGGCGTGGCATCCTTAATATTAAGATCAATATTGATAACGTTGTTCAAGGAGATAATTGATAGTTTGGACCCTGGAATAATTGATCCCTGGCATAAAGGCATGCTGCTCGGTTCCTAAGTTCACGGAATTGCTTGGTTTAGTAACAAACCCGATGTGTGCATTCAGGGCATGGAATGAAGATCAATTCTTACCATTTCGACTTGTCTCCTATCTCCTTGGCTTTGGTGGATTTGATACCGGCTAGGTCGGCTGAGAATAATAGAGATAACAAGAACAATATGGTACTATTCAAGATGGGTTAAGCCGAGTTAATTGAATTGGGTTGAATCGAATTGAATGCTGGCTCAAGGTACCTCGCTGCATCCCCAAGCGGTGCAAAATCCAACAGATCCTCGTCGATGTTGTTGGATGTGCAACGCACGCAGAACTATATAAGTTGGTCCCACGTTTCTGTTTCATGCTTATGTCCCACACTCTTTTCCATGGATCTATATCTACCAATATTTTAATACTACTTAAGGACTTAATTATCTGTTTAAGGAGATACTCTAGGCAGGTAAGTAGGTAGTTTAATGGAGTGTTTAAAATAGACTGCATTCATGACATGACTAGCCAAATTGTTCTTGAGTATGCAAGGTTTCTGTGAACGTATCTCCCTTCAAACTAGACTGCGTGTAATTACACCTTCAAATCATCAACTAAGTACTTATGTACTCAAGTAATTAAAGAGCCAAAGCATCAACCCAATTCGCCGGCCTCTTCCTCACAAGTCCGGTCGCTTGAGCCACTTCGGCAGACCATCCGAGAAGATCTTCCTCCTTACCCCATTCGGCGAGACCCATGAGAGATACGGGTAGGCTAGTATCATCATCATATCCAACAATTGAATTGGTCGCCGGTGCTCCAATGAAATTCCCAACGGAAACATACTTCATGCTCCGGATGCTCGAGTCACCGTCACTCACACTATACACCACGAGGCAAATTAATCCTGGTTACGTATAGTAGAAATATTCAACGGTGGGTTATCCAATACATACCCATATTTCAAATGGCCTTCGTTGATTTCTGCCCCCACGTCTGGTACAACAGGAGTGACAATGATCATTCCAGGGTGCTTCTGCCACACAGATGCAAAATGGCTCACCATCATGGCACGGACTCTATTGGCTGCGAGTAAGTCGATTGCAGGCGTTTGAGCTGCAACAGAAAACAATACACGATTAGGTGCGGTGAGTCCTGTCACATCCCCATTCAAAGAAGCCGCCATATCAGTGATAATGCTCAGACCGTGAGCTCGTCTACAAGAACCAAAAATTGGCAACGATCAGTAAGCTCTTCAAAGAAGCATGGTTGTTCAACTTAGACTATATGAATGACTTACCGAGCGATACTCAAATACGGGATTGAAGGAATATAAAAAATTTCATAGCCTTGCTTCTCGAGGGCTTCTACAGCAGGCCAAACGATCTTATGAACTTGTGGCGAGCAGTCATCAAACCACTTCTTGTAAACTCCGATAAGCTTCTTTTTCTGTGCGGTAAGTGGTGCCAGGGGATTTCGGTGCACCGGAAATGAGGAGGAAGTTGCCTCTCCCGGATCTGGCACAGCCATGATTCTATATACAATCTTCAGGTCTTCAATCGTACCACACATAGGACCGGTGACACCATTCTATTTTCATTTATGTTGTCAGCTTGGCTGCTCAAAAATGTTACTATAGGAAGATAGCCATACTCCAGGAGTGAGATTGGGGGTTGGGGATATTGAAACTCTCCCCGCGGATGGCTTCAATCCGTATATACCGCAATAATTTGAAGGAATTCTATAAATGATTAGTCCTGACTCGACACTCAATATATTTAACTCTAAGCTTCAATATCGAATTCCCTCACCGGATCGAGCCACCACCATCACATCCAACGGCGATTGGGACTATACCCGCGCTAACGCAATAGGCTGAGCCACCGGACGAACCACCAGTGTAGAATTTGCGGTTATACGGGTTTCTGGGCGTTTTACCCCGAACAGGATTGCAATTGGTCGTCTAATCATGGAGCGAAAACATTAGAACCAAACATCTATCGTCGCCTGCAACTCTCCGTCTTGAAAACTTACATCACTGCCAACTTCATGCATAGAGACTTTCGCGATCATGATCGCCCCTGCATCTTCGAGTTTCTTAACGCACCAAGAGGTAGAACCCTCGCCTTTGTCGAAAACTCTCGCACTTCCACATTGTGTGAGGTATCCATGCATATAAACCTCATCTTTAACCACGAAAGGAACGCCATCCAAAGGCCCTAGTGTGGCACCAGTAGCATAGCGCTTACTTGATGCATCGGCGGCAGCTAGGACGAGATCAGGGATAACTTGGCTGATCGCTGCTGTATGTGGTTCCTGAGAAACAATATCCAGCAATCTTTGAGCAATTTGTGTGGGAGTCGCTTTGCGCTCAGAGTACAGCTTGACGAAGTCAGCGGATGAGTAAAACGCCGTATCGGCTGGAGCTTGAACCGCGTCCAATTCACCAGAGGCAATGACATCGTCAGGCCCCTTCGGGACTATTGACGGAACAAAGCATGGATTCGGATAGCGCTCTAAGACCTTAAGATTTCTGAAAACTCCAAAATCGGCATTGGTCCAGAATAATCGCTGGATAAAGCCAACATTGGAGATACTGTGGTTTTAACACCAAAGGATTACGCGTATACTCATTAGTTCTTAAGTACTCAGATATGTATTTTATTTCGGCGGAGATGACCTACACTGCCGATAGAATTTCAAGTGTCAGACCGGACACAACAGGGTTGTTTGCTGGAGGGTTTGTGTATTTGGATTCCTCCGTATTTTCTTCCAGTTCAACTGGATCGGGGTAATTGAGATAACGCGGGTTTGAATTTGGTGCCATGGCTAGTATGTGATTGATATATCGATATTACCTCTGCAATAATAGAGCTCCGGCCTCAAGATATCTATAAATTTAACTTGATTGGCCACCGGATACTATGTTGTATTTATGATCAAGACGAGATCAAAACGTCTCATAACCAGAATTAAATGCAGCTGATCTGGGCGAGAATTGACAGTACGCCACCAACGCATTGGCGTACAGTTAACTGCAGTTTGGCAGGTTGGATGAGCCGAGGATGCTACATGTATACATGTACATGGGACATGGCACTTCGCACTTGCCGTATCAATAATTCTCTACACGCACCACTTTACGAATTTATCCTTGTTATTTACGTAGGTTGTCGGCCTGAACGATACCGAGTTCCGGGACATGATTGAAACTGGATTCTTTGACCAGCCTCGTAGATTTTTGCGTAGCAGTATAGGCTGGAATATATATAGTATCCGAGCGCCAGCCATTAATAAGAAGTATAAGTAAGTATGTACTACTGTGGCCATATATGGCCTATATTTTTATAATTGTGCTTTCATCTCCATTGAGGGCCGGGCTGGCTATGGTTGAACCGCCAAATACCAAGTATATACAACATATACAATATATCGCAAATAGAATAATCTGTACAGCAACCCCGCTATGACGGTCATGTAATAGACAAAAACGAAAACAAAACAAACCCCCTTACCATCGATCTTCCTATTTCCTAGTCTCCTTTACAATTGTGATCTTGCTATCCGCCGTGACTTGTTCCTCATCGTTCGTTCGGGGCATCGGACACTTCCGGCGCTTCATCGTCGACTTCCCGTCGTCCGCTGCCACCCGGGAGTCCACCGGACAGGGCAATATGTGAGGTGCACCGACTACGAGAAACGATATAATAGCCGTCGTCGAGAATATGGACGTTGTGAGCATCGACCGGGGAGGATGGATCCGGAACGGCATTGAGGAAGAATTGGGAGACCAATTGGTCTGATATCAAGTAGACTTCGAAGAACTAAGGACTACAGAATAGGTATATTAACATCCGGCATTCGATTATACGAGTAACTGGGGTTATAACATGGGGATCAGAAGGAAAAAAGGATATCTAGGTGGGTGGTATTTACATCTTTTGAGGTCTACCTCCACGTTCAACGTCTATTGCATCGTATATGAATGACGAGAGACGATATCAATCAGGAGGATTGCAAGGTAGACGGAGGAGGGACTAGTCCACCGGAGAGTAAACCCAATCCGACGAGCGAGGGAGGCCTGGGGGAGGGGTGGAGTGGGATGTCGTTGCGTGTAGTTGGGGAATGCTGTGTGACATTGTGCTGCCCAGGTTTTCTGACATTGAAGTTTTCCGCTCGATCTTATTGGCTGGTGTCCCAAATAGGAAAACAACGCAAATCAAACAGCAGATGGCTTGAGTTGGGAGAAAAAGACGGCCCCGAACATGCAATGGAATGATGTATTGTATTGCACCCACTGTATAGGTAGTATACAGGTGCATATACTTAGTACTGATATGTCTCATAAACATCAGTAAGAAGTAAGTGATTAAATTTTAGTTTGTGAAGAATGTTCTGTCTTGGAATAAGCCAGATAGTCGAGACCGACTTCTTGGGTTTTTGGATCCAGACGGCTGGGGCAGGCTTCAATCTCGGGACCGCTGGAACTGCTATTCAGCCTATGTGAAATACATATGTACTATGTAGGTACGCATTCAACGTCATAATATCTAAGTATGTATGTCCACGTGTGTATATTGTATAGGTACATTACCTACAGGTGAAAGCACATGTGGATGTACGGAGTACTCCCGTGCTATTATCATCGGCATCCTTCAGCCGGTGGGCCACATTCAGCATATTTGACGGAGTACTGCGTCCCACTCGGCTGTATTCCAGGTGGTGTTCGACTTAGACATTCAATTAAGTAACCTTTACATGATACTGCCACCCCCATTGACCCCATTGAATCGTCCGGTAGTGGCAAATAGATAATCCGTCCTTTGTGGAGAATAATCGATGTAAGTCCTATGTACGGTACTGGGGGTTTCCCTGAAACCTCCCGAGAGGATTTCACATGTCTTTGGCTTTCGACTACTTTTTTTTTTTTTGAGATCTAACATCGTTCGATAGTCTCGCTTGCAACTGCCTTCGAACCCGACACGGAGGATACCCCTACCATTTCCACGTTTAAAGCCTCATGCAAAAAGGAAAGAGCTCCAGAGGTTCTGAGATCGTGTCAAACACTGGTACTATGGACGGAGCTGTCCACCAGTCTTCTCACACCAGTCTTTTGAAATTTTATGCGTCGAGCTAGCTCAACAGAGAAGCACACGACCCATCGTCCGTCTTCATTTGCAATATTTGCATCCTGGGTGCCAAGGCCAATGGATGAAGGGTCCTCTGGCATTGTCTCTGGCGGGAAATAGGTCAAGGGTGCTGGCACAAGTCTCCGTTTAAGCAGCTCGAGCTCAGAAGGCATAAACTAAATCGTTTAACGGGAACGATTAAAACGCTCATTGCTGGAGCTCGACAATCGGCGAAGCTTACGGACTACACCTGGTCCGGGACCTTTTTTCGCAATACATTGTCCTAATGTGAAAGCCGACATATGGGTAATCTCGGGATATCTGAGCACTGAGGACCAATGCTAGCTTGGCATGGCATGTTTCTCGGGGTCTCGACCTGGGCCAACTTCTGCGGTAGTTCGAAGGTTATGGTGCCGAATGAACATGCATATACAGGTACGATGTATATATTGATTACCACATGGGGGTAGTTATAGTATCTGGATTGAGTGGCTAGAAAGGAGAGTTACGCATGGCAAATCTCTTTCCAGAGCACATCATGATACATATGAGGATGGGCCTGAACAGGCTGTTTGTGAAACTTCCCTCGTGGCCAGTGGCGGCATTCGTTTGTGACAAGACATGGCGGATTGGCCTTGCATTAAGCCAAATGTCGACACCGGTACGGTGGAGTAGGTATCATAGATCCGAGGCATGCAGCCACAAGACGATCAAAAAGGACTTCAGAACTTTAAAGTGCTCCCCAGGTTGACCCGTTTAGGACAATATACTGTTTTTGGCGCGTCTGTTTCACTCGCCCTACCAACTAGCTTTGGAGCAGCCTTGCAGCTTGCTGGACGAAGAACACCCGTCGATGGTATGGTTTGGGCTTCCCTTTGCGAGTCAGAGAACTTTATACTCCCCCAGTGTCCTTTTCCGGTGCTTGATGTGCGACAGCCGCCCATAGCTCGAGGTAAGGGTAGGTCAAGCGAGAGTTCGGTATTTCCCGCCGGAGCTGCCTGGCCTGGCGGGTTAGATCTCATTAGTCTCAGTGACGAGGTAGTATTTATTTTCCACGGGCCGGATTGTCTGTGAGGGCGAGGGAGAATTCGAGAAGAGGTTGCAATTGCAATGTGGATGTCTTGATTGAAGCCACCAGCGCCATGACCGTCCGCCCGGTGGAGCAGTGTAATTGATTTGGTCGGGTTTAACTTGCTATGGACGGTTTGGATTGAATCAGAAACACCACCACAACCACTAACTCTATCACAGGAAAGATTAATCTTATGGACAAGAAGCATTCGATCGAAGGAGCATACTTTATTCTTAAGTTACTCTTTAACTAGCTTAAGTATGCTGCCGGTTTGAAAGGGGTCCCACTCCCAAGGTTCACATTACGATAGGCTGTCGCTCTTACTTTCCTTTTTGTCTTCTGCAGCTCTTAAGCTTGTCCTCGACATTCAAACTGCATTGTCACATTCCGCTTCCTCATACATACTTCATACATATTAGGTACGTACTCGAGCTAAAGGCTTACAGACCTTCCTGCGTCCTTCCCCGGATCTCTCACGCCCGCACCACACTCCTAGCTTAGCCTGCATGATAATATGATATCTTGTGATCTGGTCCGATACCTTTTATCGACTTTTTGTCTGAGCTAAGCCTGGGGGTTGTGGTGCACAGGTACAGACTTACACACAACATACTTGCAGGCCCTTACTGACTTTATGCGAATTAATCCAAGATCCTAGCTGGAGTTTGGATGTGTTCGATTGATTGCTGTTGCTAGCTGTTCCTGTTGACTTGTTGTTAACGTTGCTTGCTATTGATTCGGTATCGATTCATTACGTACGACGACCCCCAGGCTGCAGGATCAGTCCATCGTCTTGACATCGTTTCAGGGACATATATCCGCCGGATAAGAACTAGAATTCTGCAGGTCCAAGCCGGGATATCTATATTTCCGCACCCACCACGAGACACCGCTGCACACATATTTGATACCGACGTACTGCAGAGCAAAAGAGATCCCTCGCTCTATCAGAAGCCGTTAGCTAGCACTGCAGGTTGTATCTTGCCTTGACCTTACCGATTCCAATTGCAATCTCCCCCCAAATCCCTCAGCGACATAGCGGACCCGACTCGTCGAACGACGACGAACCTCGCTTGAATTCAAATCCAAATATTACTAGGCCGTGCATTGCATTGTACCGTGCAGTTTTACCGAGGAATCGAGGGTCTAATACGTCCGTCGAGGCTCTCCCTCTCTTTCTCTTGCTCTCCTCCCTCTCTTGCATCGGTGGACCTCAATATCAGATTGTATCCACAATACTGAAGCGCCAACCGTACGCACGGGCTTTTCACTTAACTGGAAGCCGCAGGGTAATAATATCTGATCAATCCCGTCCCACGAAGCCGGCCGTGTGTCAAAAAAACGGCCGAACCGCCCTACTCCGGGGATAGCTTGTGCCTTCTGGGTATTCGGAATTGTTCTGGAAGGCAACTTTCAGGTGTTTGAGAATACATTGCGACCAGGTTGCGTTACCAGCAAACTAGCTTGGACTGGGAAGCCACCAAGGCGGCTAGCAAGGACCTACTCGGTCGTGTCTGCACACCAGCCTAACCAGCCTGCTCGAGCTCTTCCTCCTTCTGACCGGATCAAACTGGGGCCATTCTCTTAAAAGTACCTTTTCCCTTCAATCCGTTGTTTCGGTACCCAAACTCCACTCAGCTCTTCTCTTTCCTGCCCACATCATTATTCATTCATATCTCGAAGACGATATAGCTCCGCTTGCTATATCCTCATATCGACCAACAAGGCATCCTAGAGCGCTACAACTCGCGGCATCTTTCATAAATAGTCCTTTCAGTGCCACCTCGGCTCCTTCCAGCCATTGATTTCACAATTTCCCGGCATCTTTCTAATCCTACCAGACCCCGGACCGTAGACTCGAAACTTTTTTTGGCGTGAAAGTTGTCTCCTCTTTCGATCCGGTTACGTTAACATCAAAAGCTGTTGCCTCCCACTTCGACCAACACCGCTATTTCCGACTAGCCGCAACAACAGTTACAATAGATCCTGTGAACTCTCTTGGGCGCTGCCTATCCAGTAACCTTGCTGACTCACGAAACCGTCTCTTGCGGAATCTTGGTAATCTTACCCTGAACACTAGCAGCAGAAGATTACCACATCGGATACATCCTTTATATATTTTATATAAGTATCGGACTTAAACGCCGACTTGACCCTATCTCGAACCAGACCACAATCTGGATATCAATCCGCCGATTACAAAATTAACTACCTCTATATCCTTATACATACTCAGAAGAACCTCGAATAGATCGCCGAATTCGCGGGTAGTAGCGACAACAACTTTTTTCCGGCATCTTCTAAACTTAAACCTGCTGCACGTTTGCGAACAAACGACAGCGAAAAGATATAATGGCTCCCGGCCCAATAGATATCAGACCGTCGGCGCACTCCGCGGTTCCGATTGCTGCAAACCGTCCCAACTCTGGCGGGATCACCTCTAATCTTACCTCTGCCCTGCGAGCAGCCGGAGAAGCGGGTAGACAGTCCAATTTCAGTCCTAGCCAGCCCTCAAATTTCACATCGGCAGGGCCCCAGTTTGAGCGGGGCTCGATTAGCCAAGGCATAAATATCGGAGGTATCGCCTCGGCAGTAAACCACAGCGGTAAATTCCAGCGACGAGAATCCCAGACCGGACCAGGAGGCTCCCTCGTAAATGGTGGCATGAGCTGGGGAGGAGTAAGCGTCGGAAGCTGGATTCGAGATGAGTATGTAGACACCCGAGATTTCCCCCTTCCTCATCTTTTAAAATAACCCATTTTTGGGCATACCAAAATACAAGCCAATATTTTAAACCTAACTCCTATTTACCATAGTATCATCATGACTGGGACATCACCATTTTCTTATCAATCACCATCCTATCACTCGTCATCCTATCTTCCAAAGCTTGAGGCAAATTTCTTCCGGGATTTCTCATGCTGTGGCAAGACGCTCCCCTCGCTACATGATCTCTTGCAACACTACGAGGAGGTCCACGCTTCTCAAACCGGGGGACATGTGCAACTTCCAGAAAATGTCCGGGAATTCACCAGGAACAATAGCACGGCATCCGTAAACCTAGCGGGAAGCATGTCCGCGGGCCTAAGCCGCCTAGTCCAGCAACAGCAACTGCACCACCAAAAGATGGCTCAACAATCGCAAGGGCAAATCTCGATTAGGAACGATAGGCTAGGAAGCATGAGTGCTGCTAGCGGGGGAGGCGTGGATGTTGCCGAAGAAATGGAGATGGATGACGACGACATGACCCCGCCACCAAACATGAACCAGATGATACCCCAGCAGGCCGGGCTCAGGTTATCAACGCAAATGCCGCCAAATCTCATGAACAATCCTACAGTTTCTTCTGTTAACACCCCGAACATGCCTAACCCGTCAACACCCGCCACTGATCGATATAGATCTCCGGATTCATCCGGCCCGGGTACACCTGGCCCAACCGATATCAAGAATGAACTTGAAAATCTATCGAATTTCGGTGCAATGAACCTGAATTACATGGAAAACGAACTAGATATGACAATCAACGACCCCGGAAAGCATCTTTTCAACCCCATGGGTAACATGGCCCCCCGTGCACCGGGATTCCCCCAAATGAGTCTACAGCAGTTGAGGGCTGCGAGGGAAAATGAACTCGCAAGGAGGATGAACCTCGAGGGCTACATGGGCAACAATGTTCCTGGAGCGAGCATACCTGGAAACGAGGCTCTTCTACAGAGCTTGTGGGCGATGCAGGAAGACAAGCCTTACAAATGCCCGGTTATCGGATGCGAGAAGGCATACAAGAACCAAAACGGGCTGAAGTACCACAAGAATGTAAGTTATACAGTCCCTCCAAGTGTAGTTATACATTGATGACTAATCTTAAAAACTTCGACAGCATGGCCACGTTAACCAAACGCTTCACCAAAACCCGGATGGTACATACAGCATCATCAACCCGGAAACATCAATTCCCTATCCCGGAACAATGGGCATGGAAAAAGAAAAACCCTACAAGTGCGAATTTTGCGGCAAGAGATATAAGAATCTCAACGGCCTGAAATACCATCGTGCACACTCGAATCACCAGTTCGCAGCCGGCCTCATGATGGCCGGTATGGGGGGTGGTGGTATGACGCCACTTGACGATGCCATTGGCGAGGACTACTAAACGACAGACGAAGCACGGTCAAAGGGATTCCCCATATTATTCTGCCTTAATTTGGCAAATTATTTTTGCGCAAATTCAGCGAGCCTCGTCATAGCCGCGGACTGTTTGATTCGCCCACAAGTCTCATCTTCGGCTGCATCGCATGCTTGCTATTTGCCACCTGCTTCCGCATGACCTATTTTCGCGCGAGTATCTCTACTCAACCTCCTTCTCCAACTGACCACAGCGCGTCCTTATCCTTCCTGTACAGCCCCCACATAGACGCTTTTAATGACTCCACTTTTCACATCACCTCTCTTCCAATTGCATTCAGATCGGGGGAGCCGCTTCATGGTAGCTCGCAGATTGACCAAGTCTATGGTTCATCTTTACTTCAGAAATCTAGTTTCTAGTCGTGTGAAAGGGGGCCCATAGTTTACGATTAGATGCTTACTCTCAACTTCATTTGTTTCTCTTTCCGAGCCTGCAGTTTCATTTTTCCCATTACCGGTTAGAAATCTTGTTTCCCCTTGCACAAAAAAAAATTGATGGGCGTTTTCATTTGCTGTTATCACCACCTCAAAAGAATTGTCCATGGTCAGGACAGGAAAGGAGTTTTCTTATTTTCTTTTATCTATTTTCTTTTATTTTGCCCCTTCTATACACCATTATCTAATGCACCAGCGCGACTGCAACACTATCCTTCAGGCTCGTCTGCGTGCTTTTTTTTTAGAATCAGATCTTGTCATCTCGGCCAAGTTGGGTTGCTCTTGTTCGATATACATACACTTGGGGTGGAGGACCTGTTCGAAGTTTTTTTTGGCTCGCCTTTTGATTATTTTGTATGACTCTCACAACAAAAACTGATGGAGTTTCTCATGTTCATGTTTCCTTTTTTATTCTTTGATATCTATCGCCTTTCTTTCTTCCTAATCTCACAAAAGTTTATTTTTGATGTTTAATTGGAGAATACAATCGATGAATGCAATACAAAAGTCTATCTTGGTCAATCAATCCTTTCATGAAATGTTTGGTACTTAGCTAGGTCGCTGCTATGTTGTACTCTTTGGACATTTATCTTGAGAATAACGTGATCGAACTAATATCATAATTATCAGTGTTTTTACTGCTACATATCAAATGGCCGCATTACATATTTCATCGATATTCCGTTTGTGGTGGACGAGTACTTAGGCTGTCGTAGTTTCGTTCTCCAGGGTCATCTGTATATACTTTGCAGTTTATATAATATGCATACTTGACTAAACCTGGTCAAGTACCTAGACACATTAAATTGTTCTAAAACCTCCAGGCCCCTGATTTGGGAGCCCTTAATCTCGAGTCACTTAATGGTATATACCTAGGTGGGCGTTATCTAAAATTATACCAAATATGCTAAAGAAGCTTCAAAAATAATTCACATTTTGGAACTTATGGAAGTAATGACATATGTGCGGCCATATATGATTATGAGTAAAGTTACAGATGCCAAACGTTAACGATTACGAAGCCATAATAATACAGACAACTACGCATCCCGGATGCCGCCGAACGATGGGGATTAATAGAGGAAGTTAGTAATTAATTATAAAGTAGTAGGGAGTGGTCTAGGAAATATCGAAATAGGGACGCCCATGGCTCAATTTATAGGCTTTGCGGGGAACACCTCTTTCCATGGATCCAGTGGATACTGTCGAGATATTATAACTAGCATAGAGGTCTTAGATCTGAGGGCATTTCATACCCTCTAGTCGTCGACCTACCTTGAATATTATCCTAAATATTCACTTCCTAGCAATATAATATATCATTACCCGGATCGGACTTGCCTAGTCAACCTATTCATGTTCACAAAATTAATGTTGTAATTATATATATATCCATACTTTTTTTTACACATACACAAATATAAGTTCTTGCATCAAGGACACCGGTATCAAGGTCACTTTTTAAAAATCCTTACCAATGGTGTTGGGTAATCAAGACTCGAAGGCTACGGTTTCCCATTCCGTAAATTACAATAACAGCGAAATACAATATGATTGATTGCCTATGGAGTTAGGTTTCGACAATCTAGTAAATGTGGGGCGAGAGTGTAGACTCTAGGCCGATACTGGTGGATTTTATGACTGTGAATAGTCAGAAGCTGATAAGAATTCTTGTTAACGTTCTGATATTTCAATGCTTCCAGGTCCGGGTACGAGACAAATTTCAATGCCAGAGACATAAGTGGCGAACACGATGATAAAACACTTCTTCTTCTTCTTCTTCTTCTTCTTCTTCTTCTTCTTCTGCTCAATCCCCTAACGGCAGGCGAAAAAAGGATTGAGGAAGACGGTGACTAGCTACAGAGCTAGCCATGTGGAGATCGCCCGGTTCCCGACTACATTATAAACCCTGAGGACGAATTTGCGAAGTTGATTCTTGTCACCTATGCTAAAAAGTCGGGCAAAACTAACCTTCACGTTTTATTGCGGACAAGATCTACTCTTTGGAAGCCTAAACACTCTAGATATTGTATGCATCGAGAGAGTTATAGGGTAATCTGTGGGAAGTCAGGTTCGTATTCATAGGCCGAGATCAAAAAGCCGGCCTCAATGTGGTGCTTTCAGGAAACAAAAACTGAAGAATGGCAATATGGATGTGAATCATAGAGTTGTAGTCTAATCTAAGATGGCCTGGGGTGCTGCAAGGGAGGCGGTCCCCGTTCTCGCATGAGGGAAAATATAGAAAGGCGTTATTTCACAGGCCACATAAATATTTGCAAAGTGTTAGATCTATGGCCATAAATTTTAGCTAGGTGCCCCTTCGACAGCTTTAGCTTTGCGAAGATAATGCTTCTACACATGTACATATATTACGGGTGTGTTCGGGAAGTTAGGAGAAAAGCCCTTGTGAGTAAAACTGATAAAATGTAAGTGAGTTTGGGATTACGTTAATTTTGTCAATTAGGCACTAACACCCAGTGCCTAGTTTAAGGATATTGCTAGGGTTATGATCAAGACCAACTTCGGTCTTACGTTCTAGTTACGAGACCGCCTTGGTCTATAAAGGCACATCGTGTTGTTCTTTGTTGCATTTTACACTCAGCAGGCCTGGGGTGAAAATCGATCGATCTTGTCGATCAAAAGTAAGCACCTAGCTTAGGGAGTACCTACTTAGACTATGAGGGATTTGTCAGTGATATGTACGACAAAGACTTTTTTGATATCTCCGACAGTAAATTTGGTCATATGCCTGTATCCCAAATCCATTAGCCACCCTGGTGCCACATCTGCATGTATACGTTGGTGCGGCTGGAGAATCGGAAATATTCACAGATATATTGATTAGGTGTATTTGGGTAAGTTAGCATATATACTTACCTAAGTACTTACATATATGAATCTGGGACAATGATGGTGTGACAAACGTATTATGCGGGCTCAGTCTGCGACCAGTGGTTTTGAACGCACGCTAGAAATAGCAGTCGTCTAACCGATGTCATTTCGGTCTAATATACCCAAGGGTATGTATAACATGTTAAGCACTCATGCAATACACCATCGTATTATTTTCTGTGTGTCTTAATCTTAATTAGGAACTCGCTTGTAGAGAGGTGGCTGTGGAGGCTAGAGCTCTCGCCTGTGGCTTGATCATTTTCCCCGAGAAACGGTCTGGATTCAGGGCTGTGCAAACATCTGGTGTTCATGGAGTATGACATGAAGGGCTTTCGAATGCTAGTTGACAAAGGATGAAGTATTTTTCTTGATGAATCGTCCGATGTTGATTCAATTCGTCGTCACAATACGGTCATAGCGTCGAAGGAGCTTGGTCTACGCAACCCAGGGCATAATAGTGGCAAACGTTAAGCTTAGCTAGCCCGAGGTACTCGAGAGATGTCTCACCGAAAGAGCGACAGCTTTGTTAACCATTTTATCGATACGTTTGTGGGGAAAGTCGGGTGGCCCTTCCTGATATTGATACTCCATGTGCGTACCACCCGCAGATGCATAACATATCAGTCCGGACTCGTGCTTGATAACATTCTCAACTCATTAGTCAACTGGTTGGAATTGGCTCGATCCAGGGAGTTTTTTTTGGCGATGCGCTCCCTTGGCGATGCGTGGGAAATTAAGGACCAGCGCCGCATATCCCAAAGCGGTTCCTCCAACATCATTATCGACGATGAAAATGTACACCCAAACTGAGGCAAAGTTAAGGACAGTCACGCGAGTCGCTTGCAGGTTGAAAAATAGCTCTTTTTAAGAATCAGGAGTTTTTTCCCGCTCCTCGAAAAGAAGTTGAGCCCACCCGAAATCGTTTTCGGGATCGATATTGCTGTTGTTCCAACGGGGAAGTTTAATGTTTATCGAAAACCAGCCCTGCTAGCGACACCGAGAAGATTTTTTACTTCTCAAGTCTGTGAACTCTATTCGCGACCAGGTCAGGGTTGCCTGCATGTGTGGGCTGCTGCAAGACGTGTTTTTCTGTGAATGACCATCGGGTCAAAAAAGTGGCTGACATCACCAGCAAAAGGGCCTTGTCCCGTCTATCCCTCCTTCTTGCATGCAAGCGACAGATATATGAAGCAAGGAAATGGTCAACTGGAATGCTTGATCCCAAGAGGTAGGGTTATGTAATTGAACGATGATCAGTTGCGAATTGCAATCGGCCAAAAAAATCAGACGTCGCACTGTCCCGTACCACGGTGCCTGGATCTCATTAATAAATGACAATGGGTTCTTGCCTTGGTTAGAATAATAAACTTCTACTTCTATTCCTTCTCTGCCACCATCTTTTCCTCCCTCCTTGCATTCAAATCTCCAGAATCTGCCTATTAATGGCCAAACGGTTAGCTTCTGATCATATAGGATTGTAATTTGACCCGTGGTGGTGAGGCCCATTGGAAACGGAGCGAGCGCCACCAGCTGAAGGCAGTCGTACGTATCACCCCACCGTACATGTAGCAAGACACCGGCCAGGTTTCGTCGCGGCGTTAAGCAAGAACAAACCCTGGTTTGTGATAGGATTTGAATCTTGTGTTTTGACGTGCATAGACCGGCATTTTCCCCCACTGTTTGGGCTTGCAGCGGCTGGCTGTCTCTTCAGTTCACTGGGTATTAAATCCCAAGGTCATGTCCAATGCTAACCAGCAATGCCTCCTTCCTGCACAGGCTTTTTCAAATTCTCCTCGGACAATTCGTAGACGGTCTCGAACGTTGGCTGTCAACAGTACCCCAGTGAGTTCTCAGTTCGGGCATCTGCAGGTGAGAAATCGAACTTCCCTTCCAATTCCCTTCCCTTCCCTTCCCTTTTTCTTTCTTTTTTTCTGGTTTTTGTTTTCGTGGAGTCGAGTCGGGTGCACACTCGTCCAGGGCAAGATCGATAGCTTGATAGCGCTGGATGCCTCTACTATGTACTGGCTGGGCAGGTAAACACACGCCAGGAGAGGCCAACGTCAGCCCTGTTCCCTGCAACAACACGCATCTTGGCTGTGACATAATGCTGCTATCGTCTTCAGCAAGAATACAATATAACCACCTACAATTCCCCCTTCCTTGACAATCCTTATCATTCTCATCAACCATTGTTTACAGAGATTTCTAATAGTCCGCGCACCTAACACTAACCTTGCTACTCTCCTTGATATTAGACTCTCCTATTCCTCCGTCGGTGAACGGCAAATCACCAGATCTCCCCCAAAATGGGTTACCATCACGATGTCTTCCACCGGCTGGTCAAGCGTGCCACACAATGCGGCAATATCACAGACCCGAATAGTGATCAAAATATTGGATCGGCTACAACTCAGTCGAACTCGTTATCTGGATTCTTATCTTCATTTATCATCAATGGTGCCATCTTCGGTATAATGGTCATTCTATTTGTCATCCTACGAGTATCACAACGTCGTCAATATGCCCCTCGAACATATGTCGGCGCCGTCAAGAAAGAGAAGCGACCCGATCCACTACCAGATGGTATTTTTTCCTGGGTTGGGCCATTGGTTGCTATCAAGTACGTATCTATTTCAAGTGATTTAACTGACTGTTGGGAGAGTCGTTACTAACACAGGCTTGACACAGCGAATCGTATGTCATCGAGAAAACATCCTTGGATTCCTATTTCTTCCTACGATATCTCAAAATCGGCATTGTTATGACCCTGGTCGGTTGCCTTATCACATGGCCTATCCTCTTCCCTCTAAACCTCACAGGTGGTGCGGGGCAGAAGCAGCTTGATAGTCTCGCAATGGGTAACGTTAACAAGGCAACTCATAAGAATTGGTACTTTGGTCACGTCTTGGCCGCCTATCTTTTCTTTGGCTTCGTCCTGTTTACTATTTACCGCGAGATGATGCACTTCGTTGCTGTTAGACAAGCGTACCTTTGCTCTTCAATGTACGCCAACAGAGTCTCCGCTCGTACCCTCCTAGTAACTTCGATCCCAGACGACTACCTCGGTGTCCCCCAATTGCTGAAACTATTCGACAACGTCGCTCGTATTTGGATCAATACGGATGTGAAAGAACTCGAGGAAACTGTCGAGGAACGCGACAAGCTCGCTATCAAGTTGGAAAATGCCGAAATCAAGTACATCAGAACTGCAGACAAAAATCGCAGGCTCGCTATCAAGAAAGGCACTGCTGGCGACGCCGACGCCGAAACTGGGTCAGTCGGCGCCAGATGGGTACCAGCAAAGGATAGACCGTCGCATAAGCTCAAGTTCCTCATTGGCCAGAAGGTTGACACCATTGATTGGAGTCGTACTGAGTTAAAGGCCTTGAACACAAAAATCAAGGATCTCCAGGAACGCCAGCGAACGGATCAAGTCAAGCAAATGAATTCAGCTTTCATCGAATTCACTACTCAACAGGCTGCCCAAATTGCGTTCCAGTGTCTAGCAAGCAACCTTCCTCTGCACATGGCACCACGATATATTGGAATTACTCCTGACGAGGTTGTCTGGTCCAGCTTACGGCTCAAATGGTGGGAGAGACTTGTGAAAATTACTTTGGTCACAGCGTTTATTGCAGCCCTCATTGTTTTCTGGTCTTTCCCGGTCGCCGTCGTCGGTACTATTTCAAACATCAACTACCTTACCTGTCAACTCCCTTGGCTCGGGTTCATTAATAAGATCCCTTCAGCTATTCTGGGAGTTATCACTGGTTTGCTCCCAGCCGTTATGCTGGCTGTCTTAATGGCGCTTTTGCCAATCATCCTCCGCAGTATGTCTTTAGGATCCAACTTTCGCGGGAATCCATGACTAACCATACTTTTTTTCTTATTTTAGTGTGTGCCCGAATCGTCGGAAAACCATCCCTTTCACACGTCGAGCTCCATGTCCAGAATTCGTATTTCGCCTTCCAAGTCATCCAGGTCTTCCTTGTGACTACACTCTCGTCCGCAGTGGCCTCGTCTATCCAGAGCATTCTTAATCTTACCAGCCCTTCTGCAATTACAAATTTTCTGGCTACCAACATACCCAAGGCATCTAACTTTTATATCTCTTACATGCTTTTGCAGGGATTGTCCGTTTCTGCTGGTGCCCTCCTCCAAATTGCTGGCTTAATCGTCGGTAAAATACTCAGTTTTATTCTTGACAGCACACCTCGTAAGAAGTGGAATCGATGGACCAAGCTCTCTGGGCTAGGATGGGGAACTGTCTTCCCAGTCTATACCAATATCGTCGTCATTGCTCTAACATATGCCACAATCGCCCCGTTGATTCTTGGATTTGCAACCATCGGCTTGACACTCTTCTACCTCGCATACAAGCATAACCTTTTGTTTGTGTACGACAACAGCATTGATACAAAAGGAATGGTTTACCCTCGTGCTCTCTATCAAACCCTTACCGGTGTTTACCTCGCGGAAATCTGTATGATTGGCTTGTTTATTATTGGCACCGCTCCGGGACCTATAATTCTCTCCATCATCCTCCTGGTTCTCACCATCCTCTTCCAAATTGCCCTCACAAACGCCTTCGGTCCTATGCTAGAACCTCTCCCACGAAATCTCCAGATTTCGGAGAATAACCCCGCTACAACTAGCGAATCGAACGGTGATAAAGCCGCTCCTACAGCCCTAGCTCTTGAAACGCCCCCTAAAGTTTCAATGATCAAGAAATTCTTCCAACCACACGTCTACGCGACATACCTTTCCGCTAGGGCGCTAATCCCTCAGAATGAGGTGGAGTATACTTATACTTCCGAGGAACGCGAGAATGCCTACGTTCACCCAGCTTTGGCTGCAGGAGAACCGGTACTCTGGCTCGCCAAAGATGAAGCTGGTGTCAGTGCCGAGGAGATAGAGGGATGCAAGACATTTGATATCGTTGCCAGCGATGAGTTCGCCTGGGTTGACGAGAAGAGCAAGGTCCAATGGGAACCTGTTGTTGACGACCAGCAGGTCAACCCACCAGATTACGCGGAGAAGCAACCGATGTAATCGATTCCTTGGCCAGGCGTTTTTTTTTTAAGCAAAAATTTTCTTCCTCTCACGTTTTAATGACTATGATATTTTAACTTAAACCTAGGACGTTGACTCTAGGCCCACAGGCAGTGCAGTATATGCCTCTTTCCTGTGCCGGCTAGCTAAAACGCTGAATTCCTGGGCTTGCTATTGCTTGACTTTTCCCTCCTGTCTGCCCGCAGAGCTGAGATACATCCACGCCGTTTAAACGAAGCGTATGCCCCTTTCCTTCGGCCGAGCCTTTTGTTTTTCAGCGTCATTTAATGAAGCGCTCGAAATTCCTTGTTCACTTATCCGTACACCATAGCTACCCGAAGTTAATGAATATTAATAATGAATGAAACAAAGAGCTCCTAGCTGTCATATGTATGTTCCCGTGAAGACCTTAGCAGCAAGCAGATGCCCACTCCCGCTCCCGTTCCCATTACTGTAAGAAAGTAAAGTCACACAATAAAATGATTCAATTAGCCTGAATGTACGTAGAACACTAAATAGATAAGCTTTCGGCATTCTAACGATAGTTTGGCGGGAGGAGCCTTTCAGGGTTACACTCGAGGTACCATGGTTAGCTCCCTAATGCGCCAATGGGATAGGTGGAGGTAGGTTATTCCGCCCCGACGTTGTCTTTGTAGGATAGTTAAATGCCAACTCATTTTAGCCGGGCGAAACAGCTTTCGGCATGGTAGCGAGGGGCCAAATGGCGGGGTAGACGGCATGGCAGGGTCCCATGGCCCAGTTTATAAAGGCGACTCGCGGAGGGGAGTCTGGGTAATTGTTATGGTATCTACTAACCGCTAAGGAGTACATGATTGAGGCCATAGTGGTCTGTAGTACCATAGATAAATAACGAATACGCAAAACGTCTTATATTGTTCTCTCCCAGATCATCAACGGCACCATTTTGACATTCAGGTGGCATCAGCATTCCCAGTCGCGCCGACAGACACCCTTGGAATAGTTCCCTGTTGTATTTCAACTTCACAACGCAAGAATCATATATCAAGCTCTCAAAACAAAAAATGGCGACACCGACTTTAAAGCCTAATGTTGGTGTATATACCAACCCCTCACATAAGTTATACATCGGCGAGGCTTCTCCAAGCCTGCAGGAAATCGAGTCTGAGCAACTACTTCAGTCCGGAGAGGTAGTACTAGAGATGAAAGCTACAGGAATATGTGGCAGTGATATTCATGTAGGCCCCTTTGAAACATGGTGCATCAGGTGCTTGCATTTTGTTAACTGAGACATAGTTCTGGGAACATGGCAGAATAGGACCTACCATGGTTGTTGAAGATGAGCATATCCTTGGCCATGAAAGTTCGGGCATCGTTGTCAAAGTGCATCCAAGTGTTTCGCATCTCAAACCCGGTGATAGGTAGGCACGGCCCAATTGGTTTGGTCATTCTGGCATATGATTCAAAGGATGATCTGACGTGAGAACTATCCATGTAGAGTTGCAATCGAGCCCACAATCCCATGTGCCAAATGGTACGTAACAAATTTGCTGAATCCCCATTTCGATACAATGTTGGCGATTGTGTTAACAGGATCTGCCGTGCTTTAGCGTTCCATGCTTAACAGGAAGATATAACGGCTGCGAGGATGTACTTTTCCGGTCGACTCCACCCGTCCCTGGTCTGCTTAGGCGATACATTGTATAACTCCTCGGGAAAAATAGCCGATTTCTCTTGTAAACACTAACGAGGCGAGACAGGTTCACCCAGCCCAATGGTGCTTTAAGCTTGAAGGCTTATCGTACGAAGAAGGGGCATTGCTGGAGCCAATATCTGTTGCACTTGCTGGTATCGAACGAGCACAGCTGAGACTCGGAGACAGCTTGTTGATCTGCGGCGCGGGGCCTATTGGGCTCGTCACATTGCTCTGTGCCAGAGCTGCTGGTGCGACGCCGATTACGATTACAGACATCGATACGTCCAGGCTCGAATTCGCAAAGAAGCTAGTCCCATCCGTCAATACTTTTCAAATCCCCCTCGGTGGTCCTGACACTACCCCGCAAAATCTTGCAAAATCGATCAATGACTCCTTTTATTCCACGGCAGGACATCCAGATGTTGCTATCGAATGTACAGGTATCGCATCATCAATCGCTACGGCAGTATATGCCTCTCGGTTTGGCGGTACAGTATTCGTTATCGGTGTTGGAAAAGACGTCGTCGAGATGCCGTTCATGGCATGCAGTGTTAAGGAAGTTGACCTTAAATTCCAGTATAGGTATGCCAATCAATGGCCAAAAGCTATAAAGTTAGTTAAGAGTGGCTTGTTGGGAGACGTCAAGATGTTGGTTAGTCACAGATTCACCCTGGAAGAGGCAGAAAAAGCGTTCGAGACGGTTAAGGACAGGACGAGCAAGAGCATCAAAGTTATGATTACCAATGAATAGTCCGGACCCCGCCCTCTGGTACCATGATGGACTTCGGTTACCAACTAAGACATGTATTCCTGTAAATGCAAGTGTCGCATGATTTGGGAGCGTTCAAATGATTTCATGTATAGTTCAGGAGTTCCAACAATGTCTCCACCAAGTTGATCAAAATGTTTCAGGAATGGCCCACCGTCAACCAATCGAGCCCATCTGCCTGTACTAGATAGTTGGATGAAATGCCGAATTTGTAAAACGATTTAAAAAGCTAGAACAAGTTAAATGCAATTAGATCTAGGTCAAATTCCTTGATTTTGAGGTAACTCCGAACTGAGATCACATAATATGACTAAATATATCAGCGTCTCGGCGTCTCTGCCCACTACAGTAGCAAGCATGTCACAATGCAAAGGCATCTCAAATGGGCTGAGAAGATCTACCCCTCAGCCAGTCCATGTGATACGAACATCACCGCGTAGCGCTAGACTACATTACAACAACATTCAACACAAACTACTCCTTTACTCAAATTTGCCCAATTAAACCAGCCCTGTCAGGTAGCATCATGCATCATGTTGGGCCTTCCACAATTATATAAACAAATTTCGGATCTACAGGTTGCCACTTTTAAGTGTTCCGGACCTATGTACTTGACCTACTGCATGTCTATATGTTTATATACTAGTATAAATTGTCTGGTATTATTATTAGTCCGGACGTTTTACGATGAGCTCGGCAGGCCGGCATTTGCCACGAGGGCGAGATTAATTAATATCTAATCTGATTTTTAATGATAGATTTGTTTGATAGATTATGCAAATCATCAATTTAAAAACCCCCAAGGATAAAATTTAGAAGAGGCTTATAAGGTATCCCGAGGATAAATTGTAGAATGCATGTATATATATTTACTAGGTATGCTGACCTCGGTAAACCCCGAGAGCTTGTGGTTCCGACAAGATACGATATTCTACCCTTCTCCACCCATTGCTAGATCCAACCTCCAATCCATGTAATCCCCAGGTTCGCGGTGATAAACCATGGCAGTGTGCCACTGGAAGGATTTACAGTTGGAGGAGCTGTAGTTCGTAAACTGCTAGCCCCTTTCCAAGTTGGGGAAACCCCTGCAGTCGCCTGCATTCTAGTTGGAACTACAAGCACAATTGCGCACGAGTTTAATATATCGAATGTATAATCTATACTCCGAATCCTGGCACTTTGAGGAGCTGCGTAGGCAAAAACATTGAAGTGATTATCCCTGCTGATGAACCAACATTAAATACGAAAAGCAACTGGGAAACTCGAACTACTGCTACTATACAGTATATTCCTGCCGGCCTGATTACTTGAACCATAAGATGAATAAACTTTTGAAGTTCTTAAAACCTACTGTTCCGGTTAGGCAGACATTTGGCACGTCCGGGCGTCCGGGCTGGTGTGGAGGTCATAAGGTTAATTGCATATAGGCGGACGGCTGTTTAACGTTTGGTTCTTTTGATTTTCGTGCTGGGATGCGGGCAGCCGGCCGTTGTCTCTATGAGACTTCGATGTAGCGACCCACTGCATTGCACTGCATTTGCAGTGTATTGTACTGAGATCTCCACAACCTCACAGGTTTCTTTTGTTGACTTCTCCTTCCACCCACTTCTTCCTCATCCTTCGCTTCTCCTTCTCACAACCATCTACGCTCACTAATTTCTTAACTACGCACGTTAAAATTCTCCCCCGCCCCTCTTACCCATCTTCTCGTCTTTAGCGAAAGCTTCCCAGTTCCTCGGATAGCTGCATAAGTCGTATACCGCCTAGCCGGAAATCTGATAGACCAACTTCACTCGCTCGTTAATACACGTGAGTTACTTTTTCCGATCCAGATTTCAATTCCCAATCCTTGTTTTAAGTTCTTATCTGTCGCTTTGGCCAACTTCTTCACAGGTTCGCTTGTGGATGCATGTCTGAGTCCATTTGCTCTTTCGACTTGGCCGAGTCCTGTGTGGCGGTAGACTTCAAGACAAGATCGTTGATACAATTTCTTTCCATGAAACCTCCCCATCCTTCATTTATTTAGTCACCAACCCCTTCTCTCGCTCTCGCTCTCATCTCAAATACGCTCCTTCAACCACGTTCACCCCTCACCCTACTCACCTCTTCCTCCTCCTCCTCATTATCATCATATCACTAACGTGTAGCCCTTCCTTCAGACTAGGACCGAGAAGCCTCTATATCAATTCCTAAACTCTTTTCTTATTTTTCAATTCACCTCTTTTTCTAATCTATTCCAAAATTTCCCCTCCAAATTATCTATAAAAGAGCTCTAGGATACAGGGAAGCCATTGCAGCTGTCACCATGGGTGCTATCACCGATATTGCGGCCGGCTTGCTCCAGCCTACTTGGTTCAACCTGATGCTTCTGATCGTTCTCTTCTTCGTCCACAAGGAAGTTCAATTCTATAGATACAAAGTAAGTCTGCCAATTTGAACTTCTTCCTTCCATTGCTTCCCAAAGCAATATTACCACAACAATCTTTATCCGATTTGTTTTATTCAAATGGTCTCTAACCTAGTCTAAATATGTAGGTCAAAGTCCCAGTTGTTGGGGTTCCCTTTCCAGGCTACATTGGTTCATGGCTCGGAGGAATTTGGTTCGTCAGATTCGGTCACGACATCGTTCGTGCTGCCTATGAATCTGGGAAGTATAATGTCTTCCAGGTGGCTATGCTAGAACGCATGTTGGTTGTTGTTTGCACCAAGGAGTTGATGGAGGAAATTTGCCATGCAGACCCTACTCAACTGTCATTCTATGCCAACGTCGCAACGGTATGTATTCTATCTGGGAGTAACTCTTCAAGAAAGAAAAAAAAACTAACACTATATATGTAGGACTTCCAAGTCAAGTATACCATGTCAAATGAGGTCCACACCCATACCTGGCATATCCCATACATACACGAGAAGTTGACCAAAAAGCTCACCAAATCTTTGGATGTGGCCATGGATGAGATGATCAATGCTTGTGGCTTGTTCCTCGGCACTACTAAGGGAGGAACTAAGCAAGTCCCAGTTATGGAAACCTTCTTGGATATCCTCACCCGTATGTCAAACCGTTTCTTTGTCGGCAAACCCTTATGCCGAAACCTCGAGTACATCAACACAGCCAAAGAATATGCCAAAGATGTCGCCATCTGCGGTTTCATTATTCGTGTCTGGCCAAATATTCTCAAACCTTTCATCGCTCGAATGTGTTCAAGCATCCCTAACAACCAAAAGATTGCCTTGAAACATTTGGCTCCTATCATTGAGCAACGCCGCGACAAGATGGACTTGCTAGGAAAACGCTGGACAGATCGCCCTGTAGGTTAAATCTGACTAGGTCTATAAGGAATAACATTGGCTAACAGTTCTTATAGGATGATTATCTCCAATGGATCATGGAAGGCGCCGTCCAGAATTTTGGCAACTGTGAAGACACCCGAGATATTATGTTGCGTCTTATGTTTTTGAACTTTGCAGGTAGGTTTAATATAGTCGTTCCTCCAATTCACTACGTATTTTTTAACAAGCATCTACAGGAAATCACACTAGCTCCGAAACCTTCTGCATGGTGCTTTATCAGCTTGTCAATCGCCCAGAATACATGAAACCGATTAGAGAGGAGGCTGTTGAGATGATCAATAAATACGGGTACACCGCTCAGGCCTTCAACATGATGTCCAAGCTTGATTCTTTCACTCGCGAATGCACCCGATATGTTTCCTTGGGACCAGGTAAGCTTAAAAATACTTCATAAGGCTCTACCCACAACATACTGACAGTTCTTTCTATAGTCATCATTACCCGTACCGCATTGGTCCCATACACCTTGGGAGACGGGACTTTCCTTTCTGTCGGAACCCAAGTCTGCATGCCCCACCACTCTGTTCACAATGACCCCAATATCAAAATCTATGCCGATCCCACTTTCGACGGGTTCCGATTCCACAAAATCCGCGAGGAGATGTTGCAACAGAATCCGAAAAATACCCAGGCCCATCGTACCGAGCTTTGGACTGCCACCTCTACCCAGCAACTATACTTCGGCAATGGTCGCCACCCATGTCCCGGCCGTTTCTTCGCCTCTCTCCAGTCAAAAATGATTATTCACTACATTTTGACCAACTATGAGGTTAGCACCGATTCGGAGTCTCAATACAATCCGCATACGTGGCAGACCATGTATATCCCAAATATCTTCGCCAAGATCAACTTCACACGACTCACGGACCCAGAAGAGGGTGTCGAAGAAGAGATTAAATTTGATCTTGCCTAGACTACCATCGACTTGAATAATATGTTGTGCGATTTTAGTGAAACGTTTTTGTATCACACACACAACCCAATCTCCACATAACTCGCATGTTTTGTTTACCATGACCGACACAACGACATCATATTTGATCCCTTAGCGACCGATCATTTTCTGCATGGGCCGGTGTTATGCTTTGTCTTTTTGATTTGATTTTTTTCTTCTCGTTTTACCCCGGACCAACTACAAATGATTTCGACTATCTTTACCCTTGTCACGATTCGTCCTGATACCTCAGCCATGTACCCTGGCTCCAACTCCGAATTATCTTCGTCGATTAAAGAAAGAAATAAAAAAGGAGAAAAAACCAACTGCTTGGCTATCTGCTCCATATTGCAATGTCTGTCTACCCTGTTTATTCTTTATCATGTTCGTACGATCGATTGCATTGCATTGCCTTGGAGTTTTCAACGGACTTGGTGTTTTCTCGGACGTATGCTTGCTTTAATGTTTGTCTCAATCAATTACTTTAATACTTTTTTTGTTATATAAATTATAATAGCCCGCACGATACAGTTTTTAGCCAACTGTATGGTTTGCGGTGAGTTTTTATATCAATGGTAGCAAATGTAATACAGAATCTGATCAACCCCCAGGCTTGTGCAAAAATCTAGATACGACTAGTAGAATGACGGTTATGACCACCAATCTACTGCAGGGTCTAGTATATTTCATGGCTTATCTAGTTATCTAGTTACGGATGGAGAAGGAATGGAACTAGCTGTCATATGCATCGGGGCTTAATTCCCGGGACGTCCGGAACGATACATCGAACTTGGATTGTTACACAACGGTCAATGTGGTGATTTGCGACGTCGATGTGTTGTCGTCCCAAGTTGGGAGTGGTGACAGGGGTATTCTGGCAGCTGATTGGCCCTGCTGTTTAAGCGCAGACTATGAAACATCTCCAAGAGATAGCGCCAACCAATACACTCCCTCGCACCGTTTCTTCCCCCGGATGATGTCCTAGCAAATCATCATACTCAGAGCCCAGCTCACGACCACGAGAGGCCCAATCCAAAAATAATGCGGATATGGAAAGAGCCGCATGGTTTATCTACTAGACCGACCAGGGCCCAAGTTCTGGTTGTCGAAACGCGTATCAATGACTGGATCTTGGGCTACCACCAGCACGCGCCCGCCACTGAACCCTAGCTTCTTTTTTGCTCCTGTTGAAATGCCGATTACATAGGTTGGGTATTAAACTCCCCGGCAGCGAAGAGACTGGATTTATCGTAATCTCGACTACTGGTGCCTGGGCTTTGTACTTTCCAATAATAAGTACACTTATTGGCGGGTACCAGAGTAATAAGCTCAAGTACCTATTCTTAGGATGACAAGCTTACGAACTCACGGATTCGACATGCCACTCGCGCCTGGGCTAGGAAAAAGTTATGGTAATTAATTATACGGTTACTATGAATACACACATGCTAATCGGAAAATATTCTGAAGCGTTAACAATACCTACCTGGCGACTTTGATACGGTTCGCATTCCGAAGGGTGGGGCATGCCATACAGCACGCCTCGCTTGATCAGGAACAGGTGGTGGCCCTCTCTCACTGGGCGAGTCGCGCATCTGTCGAAGGATGCATGGAAAGCTTGTCATTGGAAGCTATAGGGCGACAGCTCAACTTAATCCTAACAGCGGGTTTTCAGGGCAGCTGTCTTCGTTGGTCATTTGAGATATAAGTTCGAAGTGTCGCCCCTCTCAGTGGTTCTTCTTATTCTCTCCCTCATCCAGTTCAGTCTGATACGATTTTCTTTACTGTTTCGTAGCCTTTTCCTTTCCTTTATTTCCTATTCTTTTTTTTAATCTTCATTCTTTTCAAACAAACAGCTAGCTGTTGAAAGTGCAGAGCACTTGGTTTCTTATCAGATCTCATATAACTATAACTATCTTTTTTTCTTTTTCTTTACTACTTTCTTAGTGTTTTTTCTATCTCATTTCTAAAATTAAGATCAAGCCTTTTTGATATCAGAGAGCAAGTATATACTCCTATACATATTGGAAAGAGAAAAAAAGAGAGAACGCAATAGGCTTCTAGAAAGAATTATTTGTTTGTTTGAAGAATCATATCAGAAGGAAGGAAGGCTCCAGACCTCATCTCCTAGACCAGCTATCAACACCAACCATCACCAACCATCATCGACCTCACCAACCTCACGAACATTGATAAAACCTCAAAATGATTAGCATCGCCAGGTTCGCCAAAGCGGCGCCATGCACAAGTATGTAGTAAACCGTCTAGGAAAACATCAATGCAGGGTTACTAACCAGCGGTTTGCATATAGAACCACTCCTTGGTTTCGCCTCTCTAGCTCTCATGATCGCGTTCATCTTCTCCACTGTCATCGTCACAGCTGGAAAGCAAGAAAGCAGCAAGGGACTATACATCGTCTCTTTCGAGTATGATGTCCCAGCTAGCAATAACAGACTCGTCAGGCGTCAGCAGGATGACGATGAAACCACAACCATTGTTCAGACTCGTTCCGTTGCTACGATCTCTCAAACGAGAACCGTTGCACCAGAACCAACTGAGGATCCAGCTCCAGAAGAAAAAAAGGAAACCACTACTCCTGCTTCTTCCCCCATGCCAACGCCTACTCCAAACCTCAAGCTTCAAGAGAAATTTAAACAAGCAGTCGAATCCCTTATTGAAGACGACAAAATGAACGCCACTATCCAGTTCAACCACGCTCGTGTCAGCTACAGCGGAATCTGTGTCGAGGTTACTTCTATGGAAGGAATCAAGGGTGCCCAATGGAGATGTGGACCTGTCAATACCACTGAAGTCCTCGGAGCCACCGCTGGCGGCGATCCATTCGATCTCATTGGCGTTGCCGCATTCTTCAAGGATAAGATTGCATTCTCCCTTCCATGGTGGGTCGCAACTGTCTGCTTGGGTATCGCCATGTTGTGCCAAATGTTGTTGATGCTTCCACTCCTTCCTATCCCACCTGTCGTCCAGAAGGTCACCGCCGTTCTCGCCCTCCTTGGATGTACCGCACTTCTTGGAGGCTTGGTCCTACAGCACGTCGCTGCTAACACCGTTGCGTCGCTGTCTCTCAAGTTGACCATGGGAACCGTCAACGCTCACGTCGGAAGAATGAACCAGGCTCTCGGATGGACTGGTTTTGCTTTGTCCCTGCTTGCAAATATCGGAATCTGGGTTATCGTGGCCGCTGAAATGGCAATTGAAAAGGGAGAGCAAATGATGAACCATGCTACCGACGCCGCTATCAACAAGGTTGAATCAAAACTTCCATATGGCAACCCCGGACAGAACAGGAGCTTCAGCGGATCGAGCACCGCTAGCAGCGGCCTCGGAAGGTCGCTCAGGGATAACGGTCCAGATGTTCTTCGAGGATTGGCTAAGGCCAAGACAAGGGGCGAGGCATTGAGTGCTGTCGCTGGTGGATTTAGAAATGAGAAGAATCATCAGCCCCATAACATGGTCTAGATGGGAAAAAGCTTAAACAAAAGAATCAAAAGATACCCCCGTCAAAGCTGAGTATGTGGGAAGAGTCTATTAGCTATATGATTTTAGCATCCTGGATGCCCTTGGTTCATTCCTTATGTCATTCATTCATTCATTCGTTCATTCATTTTATTACAAAGCATTGCATTGCGTGGACTGGGTCTGTCTCTCTCTCTCTATATATTTATTTGTTTCCTTTCTATCCATATCAATAAAGTCTTTCCTAATTCCGAGAATTTCGACGGTCCTTCTATGTTCCTATGAGTCTCCAAAAACCTTGAAATGAAAAAGTATCTTTGCATTTGAGCTCCAAATGAGATGTCAAATTGTTAAAAGCCTCTCTTCTCCCTCTAGCCGTTGGCCGTAAAGTGATTAAGAAAGAAACATATAGGAACTTCGGCTCAAAAGATCATTAACCCGAATAGTAAACTATGTCCCCTCTGACGTCGTAGATATACGCCTAGCTAAGTGCCTCTGGAACATTAATATTACCAGCTAGAGCCAGGATACTAGCTCTTCGTATTGATCGGCAGTGTGTTGTGGAGTTGGATATAAGAATAAATATCTGGAGCTCACGCACATAACCCTGGGCTTCCACCCTAGCGATACAAAAAAAAAAAAACATTTCTGCCCCTCCCCAAGACAGAACAGGAAAGGGCAAAAGTACATCAAATACAGAGGATTTGCTACTAAGGAGTTATGGTATAATCCAAATCTGGGAATTGATCATGAGCACGGGTCTCGCCGGTCCACTTGATTCGTCCATGAGAGAGGCGTAGTCTGACCTCTGATCCAATATGGAGTTCGGATAGAAGACACGGTATACCGGATGCCTCCCATACGGCTTGCCGGGGTGCCGACGATCAGGAATTTGCCGACGGCAAACCATTTTCAATCGAATCTGGTGGGTCAAAGGATGCTAGCTATGCAGCAGATGCATTACTAGAGAAACACTGCTCGTGTTCCTCAGCATATCATATTTTGCATGTGCAGTTGAATTGAAAGTCGTGGCATGAGAGGATAGGACAGTCCTTTCCTTTGTGCAATTGTGAACCATCGACACCGAGTTTTTTTATGGGAGCAATCCGGAAGCCGTTACACAGGCGGCTTTCCGGCGCTGTGACCTAGCAGCGCACCTGCCGGTGCGACAACCATCCATTCGGCAGGAGGTGTGGCCTCGGTCCAGGCTGGTCAAAAAAATCCTTTTCGTTCCAATGGCCCCGAGTCTTGGCATGTCAAGCTGTTGAGCTGTTGGGAAGAACCAGGGACGAGAACTGGCAATGATCAAGCTAGTCCTATGACAGGAAGTTCACTGCCTGGTAGAAAACGGTAGACCTCTTGATCAAGGCTAGTCGAAGCTTTTTTAAACCTGGAGGCATGCATCGGTTTTAGTCTAGTTGCTTCGTCTACCCTTGTCAGCGTGGGATGTCATTATCAAAAACATATGTATCGATAGGGTTATCAATATACCTGATGCTCTAAGAGAAGAACCCCCAGTGTTCATACCATCCGTATATTTATATCCGTTGAACCAATGCATTTCGTTTGCAGCGATTGCGGGATCGTGTGAGCATCCATACATCATGCATGACTGAAGGTTAAAACAAGCGAATCGGTTGGCTCTGTTGGCTATTCCCACGAAAAACCATAGTCCCTCGAGGGCATGCCACCTTAGAGAGCACCTTGCATTAAAAATGTTGGATAATCACGTTTGCGTAACAAGGGAGGCCATTTTCTGGCTTGTGAAAATTTTCGTGAGGGTGGCCCTGGGATAATTCTTATGCCCACTTGGCAAGTGAATCGAAAGCTGTCGAAATCCATGAAAGGGACAGAAGGGAGAAAGAAAGAAAGAAACCGAAACGGCGTGGGGAGACAGAAGCCTAAAAACCGGAGCTAAATAAAACTGCCAGCCGCCTTTCTACTTATGCTCACACGACCCTCCCCCATGGTAGCCGACAATCTGTAGAAGGCCCTTCTCCTCTAGGATATTTTTTCAACCTACATTTGCCCTTGATTTTCAACCTCAAGGGCTGTAGAACGACTGTGGGATTTCCATAACACAAGTTTTCGAGTGTCGATACCCGTATTTTCTCCCTGCTGGCTCGAAGCATAGGAACTCGAACCATGGCGACAGGCCACACCTCTGCTGACCTGCCTGGCACGGCCAACAGCACACCCCAGGTGCGGGAACGGACGAAATCCTCGAAGAAACAGCAGAAACCATCGCCCAAGCTTACGACGGAGACTTTGAGTGATGGTGATTTGAAGCCGAGAAGTGAGATTGAGAAGGAAGCTAAGACGTATGGCCGGACTCCCGATGGAACTGGTAGGTCACACAGCTCAGCAGCATCCCGTCAATCACAAGCCGATTGATCTATGGACTCGACCAATTGGGAAATGTAAAGAATGCAACAGCTGACAACGCATCTCATCTCGACAGTCTTTGTCGTCCCCCAAACTCATGATATGGTCTCTACCCTCCTCTCGCCCAAGGAACCAAAGAATCTCTCTGATCTCCTCGTTCTGGGTGTTTTGGCGTTCCACATAAGCCTATTGTTCATCCTCCCGCAATGGTCCCTAAAACCAGTGTTTATGTTTACGTTTCTCTTTTGGCGGGCCGGATACAATCTTGGAATCGGCCTACTCCTCCAGTCTCAGAGCAAATATAAACAGCTCACACACTGGGCTGCCAAATACAAGCTATTTGACAGAGAAGCTCACCCGGTTCTATACGACTTTATCAAACGTGAAATCTCAACGAAGATACCCTCCGAAGACTATGACTTTGATAAAGCACCACTCGAATACAACACTTGGATGGTGTTCCGTAGGCTTGTGGATCTAATCCTCATGTGCGATTTCGTGAACTATGTGCTATTCGCCTATGTTGCCACTGAAGTACCTACCAGCCATAAGATGTGGTTGCATGTCTGCAGATGGGTCGCAGGAGTGGTCTTGTTCGTGTTTAATGTCTGGGTCAAGCTGGACGCACATCGAGTTGTGAAAGATTATGCTTGGTGTAAGTTACCGCCTAGATTGTGACACTAGACGACGTCTAAACTGACTCGGATATAATTAACAGACTGGGGTGATTTCTTCTTTATGATTGATCAATCCTTGACTTTTGATGGAGTTTATGAGATCGCACCACACCCGATGTACTCGGTAGGATATGCGGGGTATTATGTAAGTTTTCCACGACTCCCCTGGCGGCAATTACGACTCTGCTAATACAATTATTCACAGGGAATTTCACTTTTCTCTGCTAGTTATACCGTCTTCGCTATCTCTCTCATTGCTCACGCTGCCCAATTTGCTTTCCTCGTCCTTATCGAAGATCCACGTAAGTTTTGATCTTCAATCTCCAACTTGATTCAAAGCTAAATGAACCTGCATGTAGACATCCAAAAGATCTATAGCCCCCCTCCACAGAAGCGCAAAGCTCCTCAGAAGCCAACTCTTATCATCGAAGATAGTGCAACCTCAAGCCTGGCTAGAGATGTCTCTCCCCCACCCTCGATATCCTCTTCAGATTTCCCCGAGCCATCTGAGGAACAACCAATCATGCGCCCACTTGTTGGCTACAAAAACTTCGATTTTGTTCGAACTCCAGACCTTCAGCTTCTATTCCTAGGAATCTACATGGTTTCTTTGGCCCTCTTGGTCCCTGCCACGCCACTTACTCAGGCCCTATTCATTTTTCACGCATTATTCTGGAGGCTATTCTACTCGGTCGGGCTTGGAATCATACTCAATCTTCAAAGCGAACGCAAGTCCTGGACACGTCACTTCCTCAAATACGGTGAATCGTTGGATGAGTCGTGGAGACAATGGAGAAGTCTGTTCCACATGGTCAACTGCATGTGCCATTTAAGTTTCGGGGCCGCCTGCTGGAAGGTATACTCGCCGCCAGAGAACTGGTCTACCGATATGGCATTGTTGAAGCATATGCTTGGATTTGTGAGTTTGATCGAAGTTTACACTGGGAGGGCACAGCTAACCTTATTATCCGTAGTTGCTCGTTGCGCTCCAGATGTGGGCTGCAGCTTCGATTTATGATAGTGTCGGCGAATTCGGCTGGTAAGTATTATGATTCAAACCCCGATTTTGACAGATATAATTGACCGTCCCTGCAGGTTCTACGGTGACTTCTTCTTCGACACTCGCCCAAAACTCACCTATTCTGGCATCTATCGTTTCCTCAATAACCCAGAACGTCTCTTCGGCTGCGCAAGTGTCTGGGGCCTCGCTCTAGTCACCTCGAACCCAGCAATTTACCTCCTCGCACTACTAGCTCATATTGCCACCCACCTCTCAATCGATTTTGTCGAACGCCCCCATATGGAAAAACTTTATGGAGATCTCCGTCAGGATGCCGGCGTAGCCAAAACCTTGAAGCGCGCTGTTCCGGGGGGCCTCAACGACCGCCTTCAAAGAATCCAAGGATCCCTCGATAAGGTTGCAAACACGACAACCGATCTCGTCGAAGAATTCCTAGATAGAGCGATGAAACGTCTCTCAAATAACGAAGAAGCCAATACCCTCCTCTCTGACACCCCCGCGAGAACCGAACGTCGTCATTTGAGCTTCCCAACATCATCCCGCATCCTCTTCTCTGGAATCACAGCCAATGAACTTTCAAAACTCGATTTGTCTCTTTATTCCATCTCCATCCTTTCCGCAAAGCATTCTCCAAAGCCGCCGGGCTCTGCCATCGACACATTCTCGCCACTCTCGGTATCATACGGTTCTGCTGTTAGGATCGCTTGGACAGCGCCCAGACTTCACTCTAAAAAGGATTGGATCGGTCTCTACCGTGTAAACGACAACTCGAAGCGTGCGGTCACTGGTACCGCTTCTATGGGTCGTTGGACAGCCGTATCTCGTGGCGAGTATCCACAATACGATGAAGAGTCAATTTTGATCTGCGACGCCAAACAACCGATCGATGAAACCCACGATGATGAATATGTCCGTGGTGAAGCCATCTTTGAGGGTCACAGACTATTCTGGCATACTGGAGTCTACGAATTCAGATATCATCACGGAGGCAGACATAACGTCATGGCGATTAGTTTACCATTTGAAGTTGTGGTTGACAAGTTTGATGAAAGTTCGTCTACACCTGGAAAGATTATCAATGTAGATGAGATCTTAAAGCCATTGGTTGGTGTTGTAAGAGATTGTTTTGATCGAAAGGAAGATTTGGCACCTGAGAGTGCAGATGATGAGTTTGGAGAAGTTGCGGAGATGAAGTATGCGAAGAGGATTGTGTATGCTGTTAAGGAAATGTATGGACACCCCCCCCCCCCCAAACTCCTCCTTCTTGTCTACATAATACTTTATAGGAAATCATTTCCTTTGCTAACATGACGGATGTAGGTTTGGTCTGGACTTGGCCCCCGAGGTTGTCAGGGCTGACGGTACAGTTCGTAAATTGGCATGGCGTATTGTTAACGCAAAAAGGGTTTTGGTGAGTAGCCAGCTTTCAACCCATATCTATACACAGGATGGCAATAACTAACATGAACCCAAAATAGGCACCTTTCAGCTTATCCCGATCATCTCCTTCTGCCCCTTCTTCGCCCATTGAAGCATAGCCATCGAATACGTCTTGTCTTAAGCAACAGTGTTCTTGTTTTGTAAATATAGTTGTGTGAAGTTACATGGCTCGCTCACGCAGGTGTAGTGTTAAGAATAAAACTTAGGTGTAGTTATTGATTACCTTTGTGCCTTCCCCTCTTTCTTTTTTTTTTTTTTCCGTCTTCAAGTTCGCCGCCAAGTTGGGTTTATACTCGAGCTCGAGCGCTCCTAGAAGATATCTGAACAAAGGAAGCTTATTTTACGAAATCGTTTCTGTGCTCGAAAGTCTGGGAGATATTCCATGTTATATATTAACATTCACCAATTCCATTCCACCGAAGCCGTAGGTCTGCCAATATAAATATACCTGAAAAAACCAATCCTACAAAGAAGTCCTTCCACAAAATGCCCAATGTTACAAAAATCCAAAGTTAATAAAAAAGGAAGTAAAGGGAAGGGAAAAAAGGTATCGAGTTTCAATGTCGATAGGGAAAAAGAAGTCCAAAATATGCATGCCACCAAATCATACTCCATGCGCTAAAAAGGTTACACAGAGGTGTAGAAATTGAAGGAAAAAGGGAAATGAAAACAGATCAGATACATAAGGAAATGTTTTGTTCAAAAAGTGAGAGAATATATCCAGGTTGATGACAGTAAGGAAAAGTAAGGAGGGGAAATTATGGGAATGTAAAGCAGATATCTACAAGGACCGAACGTTCAATCCAGTATAAGGAAATATTAAACGTATGTATAGTATATACGATATTAGACTTGCGCGGGCGGGTGTCCTTCCATAGATATCAACTGCGAGTAAAAGGCTAAAAGAATTTAAACCCAAGATAGCTCAAGATTTCTGCAGGCTACGCACGGGGGTGGAGTTTCGTAACTGAAAGATAGACTGCTTGAACGGCCGTTGGAAAGGTAATAAAAATAAGAGAAAAAGGGAGGGGTATAAAGGAGACAAGCAGTCATCGTAGGAAAGCAGGTTTGCTAAAATCCGCATGCTTTTCTAGGTTGAGGTTGTCGTGAGAATCGTTAAGGGAAACGCTGCATAGCGAGTAAAAATAGGTTCATAAATTTATGAAAGTCGAAGCTTGTTAAAGATCTGAGAACGAAATAGGTCGTCGTAAAGACTAGAATATCAGATTGAGAACGTGTTTAGGTGTTATAAAATCGAAAGTGTAGAGAGATGAAAGGGGGTTGGCTGTCTCAGAGCAATCGTGACGTTCTCACTGGCTGTTTGTGAGAGTCCTGGCACTTGATACCGTCGGGATTTCTGAGATGTCTGATGTCGAGTTGAAAATAACTCTCTTTTTTCTTTGGCTTTGGGATTTCGAGCTCACGATACCGCCCGGTAGCGGTATTGGTTCGACAACATCCTCGAGGTCGTTGTCTTCGCCCTCACTGCTACTGTCAAACCATGCTGTCCACATTGTATTATTCCTACTCCTGGACCTGCTTTTGTTCCCTTTCCGTTTTTCAAGTCCAGCGGGAATACCGAGTCCTCGGCCTCGACTATTCCTTTTCTTATCCCAACGCCGACTTTTTCGATCCCAACTCTTAGGTCTTGTTCGTCGAACATCGGTGCCACTGGCCATAGTGGCAGATGCGAGACCGAATATTCCTGAACCACGCCTCGAAGAACGTCTACTACTCGTAGAAGGATCTCGATCCTGATCCCGCGATGATCTTGTAGGTGTCCCAGGCGGTGATGGTGTTGCAATATCAGACCGACCAGCGAATCGAGATCGATTGCTCGAGTGCCCTGAACCAACTGTTCCAAATTCTGGTGGTGGGTCTCGAGCAGATGAAGACGGGCCCGGTTTCGCACCTGCTGCTCCGGCGCCGAAATATGTACCTTGAGGAAGTGAGTATATCGGCGGCGTATCCTCAAAATACATAGTATTATTCTGCTGGAAAATGCTTCTGGGGGGCTCCGGCTGCCTCGTTGTATCCTGGATGACAGCGGAGATATTATCATCTTGTACAGACTTGTCAGAGGTCGAAAGAGCCATCCCGATTTTAGAAATACGGTCGGCCATAGGAACGGCACGGTGGAAATGTTCGCCCTCGTCGGATATATTATTTAGCCCAGGGCTTCGTGGTCCATCCGTGGACACCGACTCGGGCCTTAGATGTCTAAGATGATGAGGGATGGTCGCAGAATCCTGCGCTGTAGACCTTCGAAACATCGCGATAGCATGCCTTTTTTCAGGCTCCGAAGTATACGTGCCATTGGGGCCTAGTTTTCCATAGTCGCTCTGCAATAACCCTTCCTTCGATTGCGAGGTCCCTTTGCTTAGCGACCGGCTCCGGGCATGCGATGAGTCGACATTGATATCAGGGACACCTCGCGATGTCGCTTGAGGTGGCTGCTTCTCATTTGGTCTCCTCGACCCTGCTGTGCCATATGCGCCGTCTTCGCCATTTTCACCATACCCTCGCTCTATTTCGTTTACACCTTCAGGGTCCGAGTCTTCCTGTGCCTTATTCCCTCTTCGACGAATACAGTATCCCAATAAAAATGCAACAATAATAAGAAATATTGCTCCACCAACTATTGCAGGGACTAGAGCTTTGGTGTCGATTCCGGGGCTGGAGGACCCTGATGCGGTAGCTGTTGTTGAGGCGGGGCCTCGTTCCGCTGTGGCTGTAGGCGAGGGAGTTGTAACCGTCCTTCCCATGCTGGTGCGCACGGTGGCGGAATTCGGAACCGACGTCTGCATCCCGGCGCTTATAGATGAAGTCGGAACTGGCTCGGGCTCGGGCATATGAGTATTGGAATCATCTGTAGAAGGGTTTCGCTCTGGTTGAGAAATAGAAGTCGAGGGGGGAAGTGTTAATATTTGTGTGAATGTAGCGGACGGCGTGGCCAATGTCTCTGTGAGAATTAGGGTGGTAACAGCGACTCCCTCTGGGACATCCTGCCGCGGTTGTATATGTTGTTGTATTGTATCTCGTGCTTGTCGTATACTCTTAACTCTCAATTGCGATTTTCGTAGTAGCCGTCTAGGTAGCTGCAGCATCGAATCGTCACGAGCCGCGGCGGTAGCCATAGAGTTCTGCGACAAATCAAACCACCTGATTGTCGTCTTCTCTTTCCCCTCTCGAGCTCCTTCTCCCTTGACTTGCAGGCGACTGTTTGTTCCTGCAAGCCAAGAAGCAGGAACGGCGTTATGTTCCTGAATCTCGGGTAACTCGCTTGCTTTTGTATCTAGTTCTTGAACCGTCTTCTTCCTCCTGCTCTTCTAGAATTTACCTCGTCCTTGTCCCCAGAAAGACCTGTCGTCCAAAGGTCGTTGAATCCGGATGGGTCAATGAAAACCTTCAAAACAAAGAAGAGAAGGACAGTCAAAAGATTAAAAGACCTCAACTATTCAGTTTTCCCAAGGAACAATGGCCCAGGCACACACACACACACACACACACACACACACACACACCACAATTTCGGATTTCGTCTCTCTTTCGGTGGCGTGGTGCGAAATGCCCAGCCTGACTCCATGTACGCTTTGACAACGAGTTCCCACGTTCTTATGTTCCCTCTGCTTTGTAAAAAAAAAAAAGAGATCCTGAAAAACGTGCCTTTCGTACCTGTACAAAAGGTAAGATTTAGCCGGCCGGGGGTCGCAATCGATGGATTTCCTGGAATCCAATCGTTTGTAAAATCGGTTTGTCAAGTCTCAGTCGTGGTGAACACAATGGACACATCGAAAACCGGATTCGCGGAAGGTTTTCAGTTCTTTTTTAAAAAAAGGAGTTCGGCAGGTCCAGGAGCCCGCAAGAAGCAGCACGGTTATTATCATTATAAACAGATGATACTTATTTCGAAATCTGCATGCGGGTGCGACTTGTGCGATTGTCCTGAGCGAAATCAAAAGATCTCCTTAGCCATATCCTTTTCACAGAGAGGGAAAGGTGGACCCACATTGATAGTCTATCTAACCAATCTGACTGTTCTTCGTGACCACACCGAACCACCGACTCGATCCGGGACAGGGAACGTTCAAACTGTCAGGGCGTTTTTTTTTTTTTTTCCTTCTGAGAGGGAGGCGGACATGGATGCTTTTTCCTGGGGTCGGCCCATCTCGCTGGGAGAAATTGGCTGAAGCCTTTCAGCTGCAGTGCCGTTCTGACAGGGGATGATGTCTTTGATTAGTTCCTCATCTCTCAGAGCCCCTGCTGCAGATATCAGTTCCCAATGCGATTGCCTATACGGAGTTGTATTAGGTACGAAGCTTATTTGATGGCTTCGCTATAACTCAGCAAACAAGACCCAGAGTTCGTAAAAAATAATTGATTGAACAATGCAAGAACGTTGGCATCACAGCGATCGTCAGCGTCGCATTCTCGGATTGGGAAATTACCGGATAGGGCAGGAAATACCACGCTCAACACGTTAATCAAGTCAAGTCGCCGCATCGATATATCTGAAGTTATGGAAACCACTATAATATATCTGTGCCATGGTTTGCCTCGTATATACTCGACACCATCGCTACGAATTGTCCCTTTGACAAATGTTTCCTGTACAGGTCAATCATTTCTATTCCGCAGCCGCGATATCGGCTCCGGCTGCAGCGCTGCGTGCGAACGAGTGTGCGTGCGTGGCCATGTTTTTCCTGCAAGGTCCCAGAACCACATTGGCGGATTACACAGCCTTTTCTTTCTTTCTTTCTTTCTTCACACACACTCGACCCAAAAAATATTATTCTGTCCCGGGTTTTCCGACTGGTCTTTTTTTTTAAAAAAAAAAAAAAAAAATTCTTCTCTTTTGCCGCATAGGAAAAACAAAACCCCTTCTATGTAGTGGCATAGTGTATACATAGGTACTTACAATTTGGATTCTGTAGTATAGCAGGCATCTGGCCTGTTAAGTTGCAGATGCATCGTAGACATTGAGAGAAGCTAAACCAAGATCTTTCAAAATATCCACTTTAAAAATCGGTCCAAATTTCCGCGGCACCCTGCAAGAAATATCGACATGTCACATCTCTCCTTTCTCCACAAGGGGCGTCGACTAGACCGAATCTCGCCCCGCTCTCATGATGCCATTCACACTTCAGTTGAAACAAGTCCACTTCAGCACTGATGTCTGGGCATCTCCCTGCTTTCAGATCCTTATCTCTCCCAAGCCCGCCATGGCGGCATGTTGGCAAACATCACAGCCTATGTGCAACGACCACAAGCGCTCAACAATATTACTATACAATTATTTTTGTCATTATTTCGTATGCTACGTTTTTTGTTCGAACGTTCACGCCAGAGTATGCAACATCCTTGACTTATTTTGGGGCCGATTTTCATATTGCAAGCGCAATGACAAGTACACGTTGCGAACGCCAGTCGCTCTAGTTATCGCCAATGTTCCAAAATACAACATTCCAAGAAAGAAAGAAAGAAAGAAGAAAAAAACGATAAAGAATCCATAGACTTGCAAGGCTTTTCTCAGCTGATAATTATGGTTGTTGCCCAAACTTTAGGCTTTCCATGATTGCCCGTTCAAGTTCATCTTGTTCTGCCTCCTTTGAACTAATTGTTAAAGTATTTGATCAGCTACAACCCATAGAATAATGACAGTTTGCGAAGAGGTTTCTCAAAAGCTTACCTGCCACCGGGCTTGTAGTTAACGCCATAAACTGAGCTCGCACCACCATCGTCCTCCCTTATCGCAAAAGCTTTATACTTCTGCTCCGCCAGGCTCATCCTCATGACGTACTTCATTACCGTTTCTTCTTCCTCTTTTTCCTGTCGCCGCCTTTCCTCCTCTTCCTGGGAAATTTGTAGAGCTTTCTGTAGAGCATCATCTACATCACCGGCCTGACTCCCCCCTTCCCGCTTCGACATTTGCAATGCCAGTTCCAAATCCTGGTTTGCCTCTTGATGAGGCTGGGCCACATTCTTGCTCTCTTCAATAGCCCTTGCGAGTTCATCGGGATCAACATCATTGTGAACCTGCTTGGAATGGGACTCAGCGAGACTCTTTGTAATTGCTTGTTGGATTGCTTGGGCATGAGCATCTTCATCTCCTTGCGGTTCGCCAGTATTCGCAAGTGATGCTGTAATCGCACGCCTCAGGACAGTGTCATCATCTTCCCCAGAATCTTGGTTGACAACTTCTGCTAGTGAAGTCCTGATTGCTTGCTCAATCAATTGATCCTCATGTACATTTCCTCTTGAAGTCTGGCGGACAGATTCTTGAATGGCCCGCTCGAGCTCTTCATGATTCTCCACCCCCTCTAATGTCCGTTGAGCCGGTGGCTGCGACGCCTGTTGTACCAGCCCAACATGGTCAGGGGACCAGGCCGGCGCTCTTAAGTTGTAGGTAGGTTGACGAGCCGGGTACCCCGCTACCGAAGCAAGAGCCTCTGTCGTTTCGCGGTCGAGCATTGGCCCTATTGTTGGACAGTATCGGTTTTCTGGTGCATCTTCAATCTCTTCTTCTGCTCTGGTGTCTTCGTCGGCGGCAAGTTCGACAGCAACTTCATCTTTCGTGCCACAAGTAAAGTTCTTGTTCTTGTTCTTTTTTTTCTTGTCTTTTTCCTTCTCCTTCTCTTTTTCTTTCTCCTTCCCCTTCCCCTTATCCTTCTTTTGTTTTACCCTACTACCCACGCGCTCCACATTCAATGCCTTCCACCGTTTAAGCATAGTTTCCAGCTCTGACTGTTGGAACGTCCTCAGCTCCTGAATGCCCTCAGTGATTCTTGCAGTCACAATATAGCCGCTAATATCTGTATGTGAATGTTTCCTAATTTCCTCATACAGCCCTTTGAACGTGTATCCAGTCACGCCCCAAATTGCTGCCCCAGGCTTCAAAACTACACCACCGATTCCCTTCCCGAAACCTTTCCAGAAACCTAAATGCCCCTCCTCTTTAGCTCCCTGGACTGGTTGGGTTACAAGCCCTGCTATACCATCGTAAAACCCGAAGGCAAACTCTTTACCAGCAACTTTAAGGCCACTACCCATTCCGGTAATTTTCTCTTGCTTTCTGACTGTTGTATCACCATACAGCAGTGGTGCATTGTGAAACCCTTGAGCCAATGCAAGTGTAAAATCCAATGGCGATTTCATCACAGCTCCCGCAATTCTACCAGCCCCTTTCCCTGTACCAAGCCATGCCTCGAGATTGACACTTTCTTTCTGAGAGGCTGCCAGCGAATCCGCGCTTGGTGTGGCAGACCTACCGGCCTCTGGGACTGATTGTGAAGTATGTTCCTTATGAAGCTTATGGGTTTCTCGGCTATCCGTTGGGAATGTACGCTCTTTGTGGAGTTTACGATGCGGCGAGGATGACCGTGAGGATGAAATCCCAACAGCCTGTGGTAAGTCGGTGCTAGACCTCGTCACTCTAGCTTCTGCTCGGGCATCGCAGGCCTCACGAAATCGTCGAATTGGGGAGTTAGACCGTGACCGATGAACACCACTTAGAGCGGATCCCATAACAGCGCGGTGGGATGATACACCACTCGCTCCCGGGGCTGATGTCATCGAAGGAAAGCTACTTGTGTGCGGGATTGGGTTGCTCGTAGGCTGAGGGAAGGTAGCCGCAGATGGCGGCGGTGGTGGTTGGGAAATAAATTCTAGAGAGTCGTTGGACTGCAATGATCTTAGCTCAGACCTCGACTCAAAACTTGATAGTGATGTAATTTCAGCATCTCTCGAAGATTCAAACGAAGGTTTTCTACTATGGGTCGCCGATGAAGAAAGGAGCGAAGGTTGATTGCCAGACCCAGACCCAGAGGAAGTCGGGGGAGCAGTTGGGGGGGCAGTTGAGGGAGCGGTTGAAGGTGCACTGGCGATTGAGCTAGAATCTGCATTAGAGCCTATATCATCCTTTGTGGTAACTTGTTTTGCAGCCTTGAAGATTTCTCGGGGGAAATCGCCGACACCCATTACGACGCTACCGATTGTACCAAGCAGCGCAGATGTTGCACCAGATATGGGTTCAATCGGTCCAGTTGCTGTTTGCCATTCTTGATGCCGACACCTGAAATGAATATTAGTAATGGTCGAATTGTTTCATGATAAGCATATCCGACTTACAATTTAAGATCACTATAATATAGGAGCCCTTGTGACTGAAGGAACGCTGCTGCAACTGCCGACAGTCTAACCTCTGTTCGTTTTATCCTCCAAACTGCTGCTCGCCTAGGATCAACCATACATCGAAGCTTTTGCTTGTCCAAGGAGGAATGGAAACTATCTGCTCCAGTAACCGTTCCAGCTTCCTGTTTGACTTTTTCTGCGATTTTACCCGCCGCTGTCTGTGCTTCAGGGCTTAGTGCAAATTTGATCGAGGCAGCAAGTATTTCTGCTGTCATTTCCTTGAAAGGAACAGGAGCTGGTCCGGCGCCTGCACGGTGAACCATGGATCCCCAGAAAGGTTGGTCTCCGAAGAATGGAACGATAACCGTCGGCTTCCCAAGCGCGATACCAATGGCGGTTGTGCCAGCTCCACCATGATGGACGACACAAGCGACCCTCTTGAAAAGCCAATCGTGAGGACAATTTCCTAACATGAAGACATTTTCAGGAATTTGCAAAGAATCGCCTCCAAGGCCTCCCCATCCCTTAGATACCAAAGCTCTGATACCTGTTAATCGAATCGCCTCAAATATCATATTAGTAAGTGCGTTCGGGTCGTCAACGACAATAGACCCAAATCCGATGTATACTGGAGGTGGGCCAGCATCTAGGAATGCGGCGAGATCTTCGGCAGGAGTATAATTATTTGCAAGATCTAAAAAGTAGAAGCCCGAGATCTTAATGTGTTCACCCCAGTCCTGAGGTTTTGGAATCAATGCCGGGGACCAGCAGTATGTGTGCGGCACTCTTAATCTCTGAATCATACCCGGCGCCCACATTGTACTAACGGGATCCAAACCAAGTGTCTTTTCTCGAAATTTGTTAACTAAATCTCCTAGGCCTTGCCATGTCATCATCTCGACCATTGTGTAGGTCAAGAAATTCGTAATGTTGGCTTCAGTGTTTGAGCTTTTGATATTGGCGAGAGGGTGTGGGAAACTTTGGGTCGGTGTCCAAGGCATACTATAGATCTTGTCAGCCCTTTAAACTCGATATAAACCCACAAGCTAGGGAAACCTTACGTGAACATTAGATGTAGAGGAATGGCCAATCTTTCTGCGCAGTGTATATGGGCAAAACTAGGTGGATTCGCGATAATTGCATCCGCAATAAAGACGCCTTCTTCGCTTTCCTCGCCAGTGTGCGGCAATAGGTTTTTCCGATGCGTCAATCCGTTCCCACCCTCGATACAACTTCTCCAACAACCCAATAGCATCTCGTACATAGCCTTTCTTCTCTTTCCGACATCACCTTGTTTCAAACTATCCCACCCCGGCATCAATCCTGGATTCTTTACCATGAAAGCCATGAGCTCGGCAGGATCTCCGCCAATGGAGAAAAATTCAAGACCATTCTCCTCGACAAATTTATGGAAGGTGGCATGCGTCGCTATCCTGACTCTATGGTATGGAGGGTTGTTTTTTAGGACCTTCCCTAGGGCAACAAACGGTTGAACATCTCCTCTCGAGCCGATAATTTGAATGACAATGTTGAGTTTCGGGACATCTTTGCCCTGGAGACCTCTAGGGACGTTCGGTTCTGGTTTGATCAGAGCCACCGGAGGCTGGATCTGACTAAGAGTCCGATTTAGGGCCGGGAGGAGGATATTGGAAAACTTTCTTGAGCGTTGGTTGATGCTGATGTCGATACGACCATCGTCTATGATTTTTCACATGGTTAACTTAAATTACGACATCAAATAGCACTCGAAATACGGCGATAAGTACCTAAGATCCGGGCTTTACTCGAAAGCCCATTTTGATCGATTTCGAGGTAACTTTCACCGACCTCACTATATGCTGGTGGAGGCGCCGTCTCGATGAAGTCATGGCTCACGGGTACGGCGAGGCCTTCGTAATTAACAGAGCTTCCAGCTCTTGTCGAGAGACTGGAAGCAGTAGGCGAATCTAAACCAGTATTATAATTGTGAAGGTCTGAGTGCGCAGTTGGAATTTGGGACAGCGGCTCAGATGGCCAGCCATTGGAGCTCGTTTTGACGTCAGGTTGATAAGCCTCTGTAGGGAAAAATTGACTTTCGCCCGGCAGTTCTGGTATGTAATCTGAGTACGACGGCAGCGGGGTACGAGTACCATCTTCGCCATCCGAATGGTCTTGTGGAGTATTGGTTTGTTGCTCCCGGGAAGAGCCGGGGTTAGAGTTGGGGGTTTGGCGGTTGTCAGACATGGTCGATAGAATGTCGACTCGAGGCCGCCGAACAGGCTCAGTCTAGATCTTTCGATTAGGTTGAAGCTATGCAATCCTGGGCGAAGGAGCCAATTTCAGGTAAAGGCTTCAAGCCCGGGCGAACAGTGTTTGGGTATAGCTCCTGGTATTGGGAAAGAATGTCGATGTATTCCGGCGGTAGTTGCGTTTTAAAGAGGGGTGTCGCAGAAGAATGCGAACGAGGGAAAGGTTCGTGATAGACTGCCGTATGTGGGTATTACAATCGAATTGGTCAGATGCCGGCATATGCCATATACTATGCGGTACCCCGAACCGAGCTCACCGTTCTTGGAAACAAAGCTTGTTAAACCCGCCGATCTAAAGCGAATTAAATATACACGAGTATATAAAATATATGTGAATGTTGATATGTAAGGATGTAAGGATGTAAATAAGTACTTGAGTAGGGATGCACAGTGGAATATATCGAACGTGAACTAGGCACTGTCCGGGGATCTGGTGAAGCTAAATATTCTTTCTTCTCGCTGAGGCTCCGGAATGGGGCACCAACGAAGCTTATACCTAGTTGCCCCAATTACTCTGTAGGTGGGCAAACCAGTTGTGGGCGGCAGTCGTGTTGTCTGGACGAAACCGCTTGTTTCTTTACGAAACGGGCACTGCACGGCGGGACATGCAGCCTGCCTGCATGCTATGGCTTTGTCGAAATACGATATACGAGACGAGAATAAAAAATTTAAAAAAATAAAAAAAACTACTTAGGTAAGTATCCGCATTGCAGGGCCTATTCTATGACTAATTAAGTACTTGCTTAGACTTAGTTGGAGTCTCTACTGGGTAGTCTTGAACTTTACTCTTGACCTTCGACTTGCTGACGAAAGCCTCCCCTCGGGAGACAATCGCGAGACGCGCAGGATACTAGTATTACGTGTACTCAATCGACTGCTGGGTCTACCGAAATTAGAAGCAATACCTCCAGACCAATTAATACCCGTTGCGCAATCATGATCAGGCATATTCTGCTCTGCACAGTCAGGATCTTCCCATGGGCATGTGTTTATCGAAGAAGGGTATATGGTCCGTCAAAGTTTCCGTCACCACTTGCATTCTCCGGATAATATGTAATCCCAAAATAGAACCGGTTTATATTCCGCTTCAGGGAATTAAGGTTGAATCAGAATGCCTAGAAATTCGGTAAAGCGACAAGCGTGCAGATTCGGCATTGCAAGGTTCACGAATTCAAAGGAAGAACAAAGCCCCAAGCAGAAGTTAAAGAATGTTGCACCCTCGTTTGTATGAAGACTAATTCTGGATTCGTACCACGGTCCTTTTCGAGAATGTCTATAAATCGGAATGCATATTCTTTGTTTAATTAAATTGGAATCTGCCTTGTTAACTTATAACGTAAACGGACCATAAGGTTTTATTGATTTATGGCTCGGATGTATCTCGATCTTTCTGAAGAATACATCTGCTATAGGCATATTACTTGCGGAGACTATAAATCGAAGTTTCAATTGTTTTACTTGGGCTCTGAGATCCACATATTAGATAAGTACTTATCTACCTAAATATATACTCGTACAAGTACTTTGAATTCATATTCTACAAATACTTATTTAATATTTACTGACTTAATTAATTTATCAGCGTGATCTTGATGTGTATCCGGTTATAATTATACTATCTCGCGCATTTATAAGCAATCGCGAGCTCCGGATACACGCAATCGAATAGGTCCGTATAAAGTATAAATAAAGTTAACGACAACGTTAACGTTATCATCGCTCCAAGTTGCATGTATTTGATTGACGATGATGAATATTCTATGATCGAGGCACATTGACATTTTCTATGACCGACAAAACTTGCGACTGCCTTGAAGTGCTTACGTCAACCCCTTCCCCCTTCAGCCTTCCGACATCCGTGCCCACGTACTCTCCATGTTTGAGGCGTTCCACGTTTTGGTGGTTCCCATGGAAGGATCGGGCCCCAATGCAATGCACATTGGCTTATCTGTGACAAATGTCTTTGGTCCATAGCATAGCCATGTCGCCTCTCCTGGCCATGAGCTCTATACATTCCGAAGCAAGTACTTACCTAAAGCACCAGACCTTCTTAGGTATACACGAGTGAGTGCGTTCCAATGCAATGCACGATTGCATAAAAGGATTCAATCCCGACCATTCTAGCCTGACCATTCTGGCCTGGGTCGTTGTTAGCGAATACGAAAGGTTTCCCGAACCCCCCATCCCGCACCTTAGCTTCTATATACAGACCTCCGGACCGGTTCCTTCGTGCTGACTTGACTTGACTTGACTTGAACAGGTGCACCGCATTGCACATTGCACATTGCATACTTACTAACTTAAGTAGCTTAGGCCAGGCACCTGTAGCCATGTGGTTGCTGTCTTTGTGTAACCTCTGCCATGTGTTGAAGCCAACGACACGCAACACAAAACACGTTTCTCACAACACCGGCTGCCCAGAAGTCTTCCCGCCTATTCTTCCATACAATGCATTGCAAAGGCTGCACCGGGTCAAACTTGGAATCCCCCTCGATTCGACCGAGGGTATTAATTCCGTTCTGATATCTTAGCTTAGCAGGCACATCAAAGGCACATGCTCCCAAGATTTCTGACATTCAAAGCTCAAACACTGCCCCTCCCTTCGCTTCGAAGATGTGCCCGTCACCATTTGCTGTTTCGAATTCCTTTCGTCTTGGGATAAGCTTCGGTTTCGAGAAGCCTGGAAGCTGCGCTGAGGGCTTTAACTACTACTAATCGAAATCCTGTCCCGCCCGCCCGCACGCTCTGACCCTGCAACGGCATAACCGTTAATTGGAGCTCTCGCATGGCATACCAGGATGTCGATGTATCGCGAGATCGTCTGACCCGCTTCCCGCCCACCACTCAGTTTCGCCTTTCTATGTAGTATCTCTCCTGTCGCCTTCTGGAATTTGGCTTAGCGTGAGACAATCCGTGGATCGAACAGTGCGCAGAAACCTCTCGGTGGATTCCGAGACTGACTAGAGCGGATTTACGGATTTTTCTCCCCCCCAAAAAATCAAAAAGTGGATGGGAGGGCAAATTCGCGAAGCTTCGGAGGGATATATAAGCGAAGTTCAAATCCGTCAGTAGTTATCCCCTGCTAGTCAATTAGATATCTCGGAACTCGCTTTATTCCGCATTATACTATCCAAGTTGTTCCTCGTTCCTGAGCTTTTCATAAACTTTATTTTTTATTTAATTATTTTTTTTTAAAAAAAAATCTCATTTTACTATACTGTTCAGCTGGACCTGAGCAAAGCTGGTCTCGTTTTCGCAATCCGAACGTACGCGCGTTACCAAAGTTTAAGCTTGATTCTTGAATTCAAGACATTGAACGAGTTAGCTGCGCCATGTCTTTCAAGAAAGATGCTTCATTCTGCGTCCCTCTATGGATCAACGGGACTACTCTTCGCCCCGAGGATTCGCCAACCTACGACGTCACTACTCCCCCATCACAATCTTTAACATGGAAAGCATGTGCTGCGACACCGACTACTATAAATGAAGCGATTCAATCCGCTTCCCGAGCTTTCACCTCTTGGTCTAAAACACCGCTATCAGAACGCCTCTCGATACTTTCAAAAGCTGCTGATATCCTTGAATTGAAAGGTGACGAGGTTCAATACTACTTTGAGAAGGAGATCAGCGGTACCGAGGCATGGTCTTCTTTTAACCTGAATTTCTGTGTCGGTTCTTTGAGGAGTATTGGAGATGTACTCGGGGACACTTTGCGACCTGAAGTTATCAAAGGGAAAGATGGGATGAAAGGGACAATTGCTCGAGTACCACATGGAGTGGTTGGCGCTGTCTCTACATGGTATATATATTTTCATATCATAAGATACCCAAGTCACGTTTTGACTGTATTGCACAACCATTATCGTTTCTAACAAGAGATCCTAGGAATGCACCTCTAATTCTCGGCCTCCGTGCATGTCTCACCCCCATAGCCGCAGGAAATACGGTGGTCATGCTGGCCGCTCCTCTCGCGCCTATGACCCATTACTTCATAGGTCTTATCCTCCACGCCGCAGGTCTCCCAGCCGGTGTACTCAATGTTCTCCCCGCACCACCGGCTCCAAACGATGCTGCCGAGGTGGTAGAAACCCTACTTAAACACCCTAGGATCCGTTGTTTAAACTTCACCGGTTCTACCACCGTAGGGAGGAAAGTCCACGAAGTCGCAGGGAGATATGGAAAACCCGTAATCATGGAATTAGGCGGCAAATGTGTGGCCCTAGCTCTCAAAAATGCCGACACAGACAAGTTGGCCCAGGAGCTCGTTGTCGGGGCTTACCTCAACTCCGGGCAGATTTGCATGTCTACCGTAAGATCCTCCCCGAGCGAGACCAAAATATCGAGATTCGTGACTCCCATACACAATCTTGCATAGCTCTTATGTATTGGCTAACCCTTCAAACAGGAGCTCGCTCTGATCCCCTCCAGACTCGTCCCCACTCTCATCGAAAAGCTAATTTCCACAATTCCCAAAATACTCCCACACCCCAGACTCCCCATCATAACCCACCACTCCAAACAAAAGGTGCTAAAACTCATCACCGACGCCGTCCAAAGGGGTGCAATAATCCACTCCGCCTCCATCTCATCAGACGACCAGTATTCTCAACTAGACTTCCTAAAAGAACTCGCCGAAGACACAAATTCCTCCTTACCCCCCCTGTTCTTAACCAAGGTAACCCAAGAAATGGAAATATACAATACTGAATCATTCGGTCCCGTATTCTGCATCCTCGAATACGAAGATGACAATGTAGATCAGGCGGTCAAAATGGCGAATGACCTAGAAGTTGGATTATCAGTATCCATCTTCTCGGCAGATGAAGATGAAGCGATGAATATTGCAGGAGAAATCGATTCCGGGTGAGTCCCGAGGTGCTTACTCGCAGGGGGCGGTTCCCCCCTTCCTAAATGGCATTACTAATCAGAAAATAAAAAAACCTTATAGGGCTGTACATATCAACCACATGACGGTTTACGATAACCCGGCGTTCCCGCATGGCGGAGTCAAAGCTTCTGGGTTCGGTCGTTTCGGTGGGAAATGGGGTATCGAAGAATTTACTTATATCAAAACCATTACGGCTGCAATTTGAAAGGTTTTTGTAGAACCATGTAAATATTTTTTAGGAAGATAGCTGGCCTATCGGATGTCTTGGAGAGTACCAAGAGTGAATATTGTAAGATCAGTTATTAACTATTAATTAACCTAATGCTTTGCTCGCGGTAGTGAATTAAAACAACGAGCCTCCAATTACTATACCAGGATAGATATGACTCCTCAAAGCTAAGCAAAACATACAAACGACAAAGAGGAGGCCTTCGATGTAGGAAATTGTGACAGCCTACTCAAATACAAGTAAAAAAGGAACTATAGAATACATTAGGACATCAATATTACGCACATCTAAACGTCGATTTCCATAAAGAGAACAAGATTCAAAGGAACGCCACGGTAAATGCACGATTATCCACGCTGTGCTCATGCTGGGAGGGAGAAGACGGCAAAGTACAGATATAGCAAAACAAAACGAGGCTGGTTTACAAAACCAGAGAAAAGAAAGCTCGTCATTATAGGGTCGTTAGGAAGCCGAAGAGCAAAAAAGCAAGACCAAACACGAGTCGTGATCACATCAGACAAAATCCAAAAATGCAATGGATATAGTAAGAAAATGGCGTGGTACAGAAATTTGAAAAAGGGAAGGAAAATGCTGCACATCAGATTATAGGAAAACGCCCTCGATAGGCTCCCAAGCCGTCTGCGAAACTTTGAAGGCATCGAGGGCGTACACCAACCTCTCCATACTCATTCTCACCCCAGAATTAACCACTACGGGTGTACCTCCGCCAACTTGCAGAGCTTCTAGGCAAGGATATGATCTCAGGAGCCAGGGTACAAACTTAGAAGATGGAAACTATAAATAAATATCTCGTTAGTCGGATCCCTGATATAAGCCACACAAGGCTGCTTTGCAGAAAACCCCACAACGCAACATAGGGCACAACTTACAACGTCCTTGGCCCTCATTGCTTGTAATTTTGCGGCATTGGCCTCCCGGTCCAGAGGAATCGACATGGAATTGACATACTCGAAGGGACGTACGGCGGAGACGTGAAGGACTTTTAAAGCGTGGTAGCCTTGGAGGAGTTTTTCGAACGCTGGATTGTCTCGCTGACGCTATATAGCGAAGAGGAGTCAGAAACGTTAATCCTGACAAAATGGAATGCGGGCCTTACCCATAATAATCTCCAGTACCTCCAATCCCACGGGACATGAAGCTCCAGGTGTCTTAGATATTTACACCTTTTGGGGATTTCGTTGATCTTGCTGACCTCCCATTCGATCCCCGGGGTGGTGCATATGCCTGTGCGTAGTTTCACCAGTTTGGGTAGCATGACCAGTTTGATATCCACATTGGGAAATTCAATGTCGAGTTCGGTGAGCTCTTTGCGGTACTTCTTGAGTAGTGCAAGTTGGAGGTGGCTGCAGTCTCGTATCAACAGTTTACCGTTGGATCTATACTCGTAATCGTATAAAACCCTTTCACCAGACATGAAATCATTGGTGACAGTGTCGGGATCCATACTCCTCAGGGTCGAATACTTGTTGAACCTTCCGTTTGAGGGTGAGTCCAGAATTGTTAGGGATGTAACCCGTGGAAGGGTATGACCCTTTTCGAAAAAATCCCACATGCCATCTGCATCTAATCCGGTAACACGGAAACAAAAATTGCTTCTATGCGCATCGATCAACTCGTGTATCTCATGTAAGAGGTCGGTCTCATAGTCCTGTTGCGTTTTAGTCGCGGCCGCCAGTTGAGCCCCATTCGCAGTAAAAAGCAGCGGTGCCGCGGCGGTAGCGGGGTTATAGACCGGACGCATCCTTAAGGATAAATCATTTAGTGATGGAGCATTACGCAATAGTTCCGTTAAGTCCCAGCATATATTCGAGATCTCCTGATACGACTCAAATATCCAACATTTCTCGGAAAACAAATTAGGGATAGTAAGAGCCAAAGACTTTAGTCTGTTACCAGCGAGCATCTGAAGCGAGAATTGACTGGATTCGTCTATCAGCGGCGGAGAATACCATGATTGATCCGATCCTGGGCATAAATCGAGCTTGCGAAGCGTCGGGTGCCGTCGAAGGGCAAACAGAATAGCAGTATCAATATGGACGCTCGTAGACCACCTGTCCGCCAGTAGTTAGAATAATTCCCAGTCCAAGAAAAATAGACTAGTGTTTTTGATGCGGGCAGTACGAGACAAGCGGGCTGCCTGTACCGAAAATTTCGGAGGGGTAGCTTACTCGAAACTTTTAAGATTCATAAGTCGAGGAAGGACGTCGACGACCTGCGCTCGAAATCGTGTACAGAGTTCCGTAAGATATCTAGCTGACGCATCCGTCGGCCCTATCGGAGATACCGGACTAGCAGTAGGACTTGTTCCTCGTGATCCAAATTTACTTGTGCTAGAAGACGATATTCTTAAACTTTGCACGCAAGAAGCGTGGTGTCGTCTACGATCCATCAATACCCGAATGGCGCTGCTGAATCGCGCGGGTTGGGCCGATTTCGTCCTAAGATTGACATTTCTCCACAAAAACCGTGAAGCGACATCGTACATTTCTTTATCGACGAGGCATAAGGCTAAAAGTGAAGTTTTATCATTTTCTAACTATTGAAATATGCCAAAAATGACCCGGAATGAAGGGTTTTGTTGTTGTCAGCCGCGGCTGGCTCTATATTCAGAATCGCAAGGGATGACGATATGGGAATCCCTTATCGAATGACGGGAGCGGGGAACTTACGTAGTTAATAATATCATGCCAAATATCATAGTTTCGAGGCACCGAAGCCATGATGTTTAAGTTCAAGGACGCAAAATCGTCAAAGATGAAGGATGGTTCGGCAGGAATAGTGCGAGGTTGAAGTATACTGTAGAAGGAATGCTGCCTAGTCTTACAATCTCTTACCGCATTATGAAGCGGCCTTGGTGAATGTGACCATGTGAGACTTCGTAGGCTTTGGATCTTGAATGCTGGATCAGTTGCCGCTGCTACAGCTACCTCAGGACAATAATATGCCATTTTCCAACCCACGAATAGTGCGCGTGGTGGGCGCAAATTGTGGTATATGCAAGGTTTGATGCGTTTGAGGGTGGATTGGGAAATATTAAATGCAGAGGTTACAACGGCGACCTGTTATATCGAACCGAGGTGGTTGCTGAAACCTATTTGGACCTGGGTGCTCTGCTTCGTTTAATGAGTTGCAGATTTCATGGAAGAAGCCTATTACGGATTCTGGAAAATTGCGAAGTTCTATATACTAGATAGTCGTACAGTGATGTTGTATGTGTTGAAATCTGTGAAGTATTCGAAGGTCAGCCAACAAGTCAACCTTACCCCCAAAGAATGTATAATCGAGAGCGGACTTGAGGAGAGAAGACAAAAACTTCGATAGGCAGGCAACAATACTTACGAATGAGGAGTGAGATTAAAACCTAAGAAAATACGCAAGACAGAGAGGCAGCGCTCAGCTTTAGGCAGAGATGTTCGGAAATCAACCTTATAAGGTCGACGGATAACTCGGTCCGCAAACGATATCTATAGTTCCGCTGATTTAGATACTCATTTCGAAATAATCTGATCAATGTTATGAAAGGTCGTTTCGAAGTTCAGATCCGAGTGTGGGAGGCGAAGAGCAAAGCCTTAAAAATATATAAATCTTCTAGAACCACTGAAAGAAGTAAACGAGCCAAATATCCCAACAGGGCAAAGTCCCAAATGTAGCAACGTTGATGTCGAGGCTAAGCGTATTGTGCCCGGGCGCACGTTTATAGAGCTGACAGGCGATCCTGCGGCAAGCTGCAAGGGGCAAGTGGAGGATGCATGAACAAGGGGCTTGGGGAAGGTCGAGAAAGCCTCTTTGGTTGCTTTAACGTTGTGTATTCTGAATAGAGAATTCGGGGCAGCGACCTGGGATGAGATCCTCTTAAATCGCTTCGTTTGGATGGGTCTTCAAGCTCCCTTGGGACCAGAGCCATGGTGTTGGGTGATCAGAAGCAGGCAAAGAGCACACTGCGAACCGACTTCAGCCGCACAAAGCATGCTGATCTCATGTGCGACTCAAAAAGTAGTAATGAGGTGAGTAGCCCTAGGATAAATGGTATCCTATGGTGAATTGATAATTTGTTATCCGGTCCTTTGAGTCGGAGGATTTGTACGCATAGTTGGGAAAACTGTAGCTGACGACTCTCGTGCGATCCTTCAACCGGGCTAGGCGCCGATCCAGTCGGGTGAAGCCGTATTATCTTGCTCGTCATTTCATTTTGTCTTCTCCCTGTGAATAATGGAGAGCGAGCAGGTTGAGCTGAATCAGCACGCCGACGGACGCACGGGAGCCATAGGTTCCCTGGTACACATGCAATGTTCACTTATTGTAGCGGTGTACGCCCTGGCCTGTGGATAAAGCGATCAATGCGATACAGGCAACCAACAGCCAATAGACCGGGGTTACGGTCAGCTCGCCACCACCATGTATATCTAAAGGGAACGGGTCAACAGTCCCGCAGGTCCATCTGGGATTTAGATCGGGAAGCAACTGTAGCCGTAGGAAGACGATCCGGGTGTCCCTTTTCGTTCAAGTTACCCACATTGGGTCATGCATCGAAAATTTTCGCTTGCATGACACTTCCCCTTCTGGATGTCAAGCCCGGCTACACCGTCGCTAGAACGCTTTGGATGTGGCTGTACATACAGCTGGACGGTGGTTTTTGTGAGACCTACTAGTTAGCATAACTTCTGTGCCTGCAGAAACTGTACTCCATGAAATGCAGATGTCGACGGATGTAGACGCACGCCTGGTTAGAGCAACATACTAGTAGCTGACAATGGACCCAAATCATGCGCGATTGCATCAGCTGTGGATATCGTCGACATGGCATGCGTATGAGCATGGTGTATGAAAGGTTGTTGCATATTGAGACCGCCGATATCCGGATTCGTGTCAGGCTATCTTCCCGTCCAAAAGCTTGGACTTAAGTTTGATGTCGATGGATACGAGCAGACTGGGCCAAACTAGCTGAGGCTCAATGCATTGTTTCATCCGAAGAACGAATCCGATTCGCATGTTTCTCTGCCGCATAGGAGCTCGTGTTCATGAGCTCAAAGACGGCGGTCTTGCCGCAGTTTCATAGTTGGTACTTTTTAAGATCATAGTTTGTGCGATAGTACACAAGAAATCAACCCAGAAGTTGTCTTTGGGTTGACAGACATTTAACACCGCCTCAGCCGATTGCATGCCTCCATCCCCAACTTTAATTCCCCTAAAGACCCCATTTAGAGTAGCTTTTGCCATCGAGGAGATGTATTCTTCTGGATTGCTACGTGGAGCCGTTTACTTGATTCAGCAAGTCTAAGTAGGTAGGTACTAGTTTACTACCTTTTACTCGGTCCGGTCATTACTTGCCAGTGTGCCTTGGTTGATCCACTGAGGTTGTTGACACCAAGCGAAGTGGATTTGGAATTCGGATAACGCCACACAGATTCATTGCCATCACAAGGAAAGGTGAAGAAATCATGTTCGTGTAACTTACCAAAGTTACCAGAGTTGCACTGCCTTTTTGGCTGTTTCAGTCGGCTATGAGAAAAACGAAGCTTTATTTTGATCGATCTCCCCAGCCTGCAGCCCAAACAAGTATGAAAGTACCATAGCGGTGAATTGGTGGTATTCATGGGATGGTTGCAATTGGAAGACATATCGGGCTATAGCCCCTGCTCTTGCATAGGGCGAGACATTTGCTATAGGCGAGGGACAATATTGTAACAATACAGAGTACAGCTAAGGCTAAGGGCCGTCCCGAGTATAATTCTCCTAAAGTTCAAATGTGCAGTTGCAAGATGTTTGGTTTCCGGCCATCCATGTTCTACTCTTAGCCTTCTGCATCAACGGTATCATATGAATTACTCTGCAGAACCCGAGTTAGTAAAAACCACCCATTGTCTCAGATAACGCAATCTATTACGAGAAAACATACCTTATGCTTGGGCACAAACTTGAAGTCCTCGCCCGCCTTCCCCAGGAACATATCACTAATCTTGACCCAGTCCCGGTAATCATCACTTGCCAACAATGTCTCAAGCTCATTCCTACCTTTGAACCTCGGCGGCCTATCCTGGATCCGCGGAGGTAGAACTTCCAACAGCCCTACGGGGACATACCTATGTGTGAAACTCAAATACTCGCATAGGAATCGGCGAGTATTGTTCACACCCATCTCGTCGCTACCCCAACAATCTAATCCATACTTTGCGAACTGCTCTACGTATGCAAGGCGCTCAGTTGCAGTTTTGTCTAAGTACTGTTTCGCATGGATCTCTTCAAAGATCCAAGGTTTCATGAGAGCTCCTCTAGCGATTAAGACAGAGTCCACATGACAGTCATCCACAGCACGGTAGTAATCCTCGTAAGAGTAACAGTCGCCGTTGCCGATAAAGTATGGAACCAATCTTCTTGATTCACTTTTTTCTTTATCGTCTTCGGATGTATCCATTGCTTCTTGCTTCTCTTCCTTTAATCGATGGATAAGAGCAGCGCATTCAGCAATATATCCCCAATCAGCCTCACGAGAATACCGCTGCTGCCTGGAACGGCCGTGAAGAGTAATTGCCGCAACATCTCCTTCATCAATCAACCTTCGGATAACCTTCTGTGCAACTGGATGTTTATCGGAGCATCCGGTTCTGATCTTGACTGTAATAGGGATCTCACCACTCACATAGTTCATACCCCGCATCATCTTGCTTAATTTCGATTGCTGCTCCAGGAGTGCTGCTCCGCCCCCGGGTCTGCAGACAAGATCTATTGGGCATCCGGAGTTCATATCAATGAGGTTGAGTGATGGACAATAGTGTGCGAGCACTTCTGTGGCTTTCAAGGCCTCCCATGGTTTTTTGGCGGATATTTGCACGCCGAAATTTTTCTCTGAGCTATGAGCTCGAATAAGTGCCCATTCGCTCTTCTCACCCTTGATCAGGGGAATAGACATAGCCATTTCTGAATATGTGATGGAGGCTCCGAGAGTGGTACACAACCGTCGGAAAGGAAGGTTCCCTGTCGTTGTGAGTGGAGCGAGGAGTGGGGTTTCAGCTGATATATGGAGTCGTCGTTTCTCGGAGGGCCTGAAGCGTGCTTCTCGGTAGGATGCATTGTTGTCTCGCCTCTCCTCCCCAGATGTCTCGTCCAGATACTTGAGAAAAGGGTCGCTCCTTTCATAGGTAAACTGCTTACGGCTAAGAGCCCTTTTCGTTTCTGCGGATATTTCGTTCTTGAGACTACCTGCTACGCCTTGTGCAGCGATATACTTGTCGTATTTGTCTTCATCGATGATGAGCTGCAGCTCCTTTCTTGTAGCCCCTGTAGTAGGGTCCGCCGACGGCACCTCGACGTCTTGCATATGCGATTTGATCCATTTACACTTCCAACCAACGGGACATTTCCCTATGTCAGCCCACACCGGACATACAGTGTCGTTCAAATTCTCTCTCTGATCAAGGTATTCTCTGATATCGTGGCTTTCGCGGCACTTGTCCCCGAAGCCACAGTCTGCTTTTGAGAATTCGTTTACCAGGGCACGAGAGCGGCATAGCCCGACATATTCACCGTACTTTCCGAATCGTCGGGCTTTATTTTGTCCCGTACGAGCCTTCTTCTCGGCCTTGGTGAATTTGCGTCCACCAGCTGGAGCCTCCGAACCATCAATCGTATTGGATCTTGCCTCCGCAGCATCATCGTCCGGAGCCGGAGGGAGTGACTGCACAGAACCTGGTTGCAGGAGATACCTAAGGTCCGAGAGGCAGTCAGCTAGGCGTTTTCACTAAACCGAATACTAGGCTACAGTGACGTACTCTACTTTGATAGGAGCAATGCCTTTACGCCTGTCCAGGGAGCTTGCTTGATCGGGTTCTTCAGTTTTTAGTTTCTTTGATGCTGGACCATCGTCGAAAGCCGATCTGTTGGTAGTGGCGTCTGACGCATTCGCAGGTGATGGCGACGCAGGACGCTTGGTCATATCCCCAGTGGGACCTGTGCCCGACGGGGTTCCCGCCGGATCCATGGTAGTCTACCTGGAGATTTGAGATTATTGATTGTATAATGTTTGAGTTCAGGCGACAGTGACGGGTTTCCAACGGAGTTTGGAAAGGTGAAAAGGTGAACAGCCGACATGAAAAAAAGTCGTGTTGTTTGATTGGACAATGAGGCGAATCGATGTGATAACTAGCCACAGCAACGACGGGCTCGTGGCTGAGGGAAGACGTCGGTATTGTGGCGCAGCCGACCAGCACATTTGTGGCCTAGTGTGATCGGAACGTGGCTTTGCGCAACTCATTTCCACCTACCGTCGTCCAGCGGATAATGATTGATCGATGGCGTACGGATATCGCCATGTTGACCGCTATCACTTGAATCAGGTTGCAGATTATAATTACGATGTTCTCCGCACAGAACAAACTGGCAGACAGACCGAAGGTTTCATTACTAGTTACTTACTTAGTAGGTTGACAATGCCCCTTTTTGTTCTCTGTGGTTTATGCTGGTCGACTCAGGGTCACTAACCTATGTACTTGCCTACATAATACAGAGGATATGTCACATAACTTTCCCAGGGCCATGGCAGGCTGTAGCAGGCCGCCAGAAGCCCTTTTGCAGTTGCAAGACTTGCTGCCAAGGATTGCAAGGTGATAGGCTGTTGAAACGCTAGAACCGTGCCGTTACCTCCTTTCTTGCTCAAGAAATGGTACATGAGTACGGAGTACGGAGTAGTCATCAATCTGTGCACTGCGTTTCTCTGGTGGATCCCGTTTGCAAATGCTTTGCTTACTTTTTCCTTGCCAGCGGTGCCGGTCTGCAGGCACATGACGTCTAGCTGTGTGAAAAAGACGGGACGAAAAAAGAAGGAAACGCGGTAACGATTTTTGATGTGCAAGAGGCCATCCATCGAAAACGGGATGCCATCATACGAAGCATGGACTTCTGAGATGTCGAGCTCAACTGTCACTTACGGGCCGGTATATCACGTTGGAATGACCTTCGATTGCGGGAGTGGGCACACCCTATCAATCAATCAATCCATCAATCAGTCAATTAGAATGCCTCTCTGCACGGATTGTACGCCATTTGAGAGGGATGCCCGTCAAATCGAAGGTTGAAATTAAAATTTGAGGCTCGCGCGATGAGCAGCCCTGATCCCGGGGCCTGTTTTGGCCTAAGCCAAACTGCCAACACATCCTCCCACACCATCTCCATCTGCCCCAGAAAAGATACCTCGATCACGAACGATGACCATATATCTCTAACGTTCAATTCGAATAGGTCAATGTACCGTTTATTGGCTTGCTGATGCTGATGCTGATGCCGGATGCTCAGGCGAGTTTATTTGCTGCATCAATTATTCGCAGGCAGCTAGTCATGCATCCCCAGAGGATGGTTGCCCCCCATCGTTCCGTTAATTTCCAGTGAATGCTTGCTGGCCGGGTACATTTCTCGCTACGGCTTCATATACACTACCCCAAGGTACTTGCAGTTGCAGAAGTACTCGCATACGCATTGCTGTAAAACATTGCATAGCAGAGAGTAAGTGAGAGAAGAACCCGGGCTGAAATCTGCATCTTGCTGCGCTGTCAATCAGGACGGGAAGAGAGAAGTGTGAGAAGAAAAAAATTTCCTCTACATACTTCCTATCCTTCTTCTCACATCATCCATTTCTTGTTCCCTTTTATGCCTCTTATCGTTCTATATCACCATTTTTTTTACATCGTCATTATCACGCTTTCGATTTGACAGGACGTGCTACATACTACGGACGTACACAGGTGCCTCTGACATATTCCATCCCACATAACACATACATCGCTTCACCATTCATCGGACGGAAACAGCGCATCGCAGCAGCTGCAGCAGGGCATTCCTCGAATCGGCTTGTGGGTTTTGAAAAGGAAGAAGCAGAGTTTTGGACGGGTGTTTTGCCGAACAGGGCTGGTTGTCACACTGCGGGAGGCAGATAATACCAGTACTCACAGCGATTGAGATTATTTTTTATTTTATTTTTTTCCCTCTCGACCCCCCGTCATTTGTCTCGATCCAACTTGGGGTATTGGGAAATATCTCGTCAAAGCAAGACATACGAGGTCCGTGAAATTTTACCATTGTCCGGAATTTGGCATATTGAATTTTGAAGCCGAGAAGGAGGATAGTCGGAGAAGGAGAGGACATACATACACACATACATACAGTATACATGTAGTAGTATGACCTACTTACTTTAACTACTAGTCCCGTCTCGACTGTTGTCTCCGTATTACCTGCATGAATTGTTCCCATCTTGGATTCTCTTCGCGATATCATTTCTGTCAAGTTGTCAAGAAACTTGGACAGTGTTCGTCAACTTCAGCGAAGAGCCCGTCTAGGAGAGGGATTTTTAAGGACTAGCGGCCTGAACCTGACCTGATCGAAGTTAGTTTGGTCGTTTCCTCTCCCGCATATGTCCCCTTCACATCGTTAAGATTGATTTGATTGTCTTGTCCTGGGCCAGTTCTGTTCTTGGGCCCTTGTTTGAGTCTGCGCGGTTAGAAGAATAACAATTCACCTTTCTCTCCATCCGTCAATCACAGGCCCGGTCCATTCACTCACTCACTCTCTCGCTCCCTCTCTCCCTCTCTCCCTCTCACTCTCATTCACTCCCTCCCTTTCCTCGGACATATTTCATCCTCCTATCTCGGAATTATCAGCATAATTATCATTGTCGGAATCAGGAGAAATAACAAGAGCGGGAAGAAGTTATCGCCAGCTGCTTCACCATTTCCTCGACGAACCGACCTGGCCTGTTTCAACTCGCCCTTTCCCAGCCGCCACTGTAGCGTAGCCCGGTCGCGAACGGATGCCCTTCTGGAGCCAGCCATTTTAACCAACTTTTTTTTTTTTTTTTTTTTTTTTCTTTCTTTCCTTCTTTCCTTCCCTTCTTGAATTTGACCAGGGACAACAACAACAACGAGACAGCCACTGTTCCAACAACCCGCAACAAACAACAAAAAACAGATTTGATTTGATTTGAACAGGACAGAACAGAACGGGACAGAACAGGACAGAACAGGACAGGATTGAATCAAACCGAACCGAACTCAACTGAACCAACCAGAGGGAGACCGAGTGTGGCCCTCTCAACCCGGTCTCTTGCTTGATACACACAGACAGACAGACACACCAAGCACTTCTTTATCAGCAACAATCAACCATCATCAACCATTATCATCGCCAACAACCATCTCCACTTTTCCCCTCCCCTCTTCAATAATCCGGGTCTTAAAGTCCACATGGACGTAATACCGTAGGGTTTCGTTTCTGCCTTCGTCTCGCTTTCCCACTATCTCCTGTCAGCGTTTCGATCGCCGCTCTGCCCCTTTTCCCACGCGATTTGACATTCTGGGGCTCTGTCGCGAAATCTCCAAAAAGGCTTGGTTGTCATTTGTTGTCTTCCCCCCCCCTTGACATCATTCCCTCATCCTTTTCGCGATTCCTTCCTCCAAACTTCTATTCTGTAAATAATGTCGGCAGCGACATATCTACAGCCCGTAATGTCACAACCGACCCCCGCCTCGTCTTCGAGACGGCCTGCTCACCGTCCCACAACTTATTCTGGTGCCGGAAATTATCAATCTCAACAACCCCCACAGGCTGGTTCTACCACCAGCTATCATCATCAACCACCAATTCAACCACCACCTAGGACAAGCTCTAATCGTCACCAAGGCGGTTCTGCCAATCCTGCATTACAGCCTGTTTCCGTAACCACCAATTCGTCCAAAGGATCTTCCTCTAGAAATCAACAGAATGATGGCAGCCGATCAGGCTCTCGCAGGGATGGGGATAAAAGAGCAGTATCCACAAATGCCGCCACTGGTTCCTCTTCTCGACAGGAAGGGACTGTTCCCGTACGTGCCGAAAGCACCCGTGAGCCGCCTAGAAGACAAGATCAGGAACAGGGAACTACGTCGAATCCATCTCAACCTGTTCCGCAGCAGCAGTCACAACAAACACAACAGCCACAGCAACCACAAACTAGGCAGGAAAGAATAGACGCTGCGCGTGCCGAGAGAAACGGCAATGCCGCCTCGTCAAGGAAAGAGACACGATTTGGCAATTATATTCTAGGCCAGACTCTAGGTGAAGGAGAGTTTGGTAAGGTCAAACTTGGCTGGAGGAAAGATGGGGGTGTTCAGGTAAAACAAAGGCGACATCTGCATTCTCAATTGAATATTCCTAACTTATTGTTTTACAGGTTGCCATCAAATTGATAAGACGAGACACTTTGGCACCACATCCTAATCGATTGTCTAAGATTTATCGTGAAATTTCAATTCTTCGAACTCTCTCTCATCCGAATATCGTCAAGCTGTTCGAAATGATTGAGAACGAACGACACATCGGAATCATTCTCGAATACGCTTCAGGGGGTGAATTGTTCGATTATATCCTTACGCACAGATATCTCAAAGATCCACCAGCCTGCAGGCTTTTCGCTCAGCTTGTTTCTGGGGTTGGCTATCTCCATAAGATGGGAATTGTGCACCGAGATCTAAAGCTCGAAAACCTGTTGCTTGATCGAAATCGTAACATAATCATTACAGATTTTGGATTTGCCAATGTTTTCGACCCCTTGGACGATATCGGCGAATACGAAGACCGTTTAGATGATCCAAATGTTTTGAAGGAGCTCGAAAGGGGCGTTGGGGAGGATGGTCGTGGCCGCCGTGGCGATTTGATGGCAACCAGCTGTGGAAGTCCCTGCTATGCAGCCCCTGAACTTGTCGTTAGCGACGGCGTTTATACAGGGCGAAAGGTCGATGTCTGGAGTTGTGGTGTCATCTTGGTATGCCTGCCCCTCCCTCGAAAAACCCAGTGGGTAATAGTTTTTGGATACTGATGCACAGATTTGGTAGTACGCGATGTTGGCTGGATACCTTCCCTTCGATGACGACCCGGCAAATCCGGAAGGGGACAATATCAACCTTCTGTACAAGTATATTGTCTCGACCCCACTAACCTTCCCAGAATATGTTACACCGCACGCTAGGGATCTTTTGAGACGGATCTTGGTGCCGGATCCGCGGAAACGTGCAGATTTATTTGAGGTTGCCCGGCATAGCTGGCTCAGCCCATTTGCAAATGTCGTTGGGTTAATCACGAGCTCGACTACGACGACGCAGGATATTATGACGACAACTGTCACTAGTGGTATGTTTGCTTTGAGTCTCTCCAAGAAATGTTAGATTAGCATATCTCCAAAAAACAAAAAAGAAAAAGAAAAGAAGACGAAACAGATAGACCCCAAAAATCCGTACAAGGTACAAGAAAGCTAACAAACTTACGTATCGGGTAGATGCACAAGAGCAACCAGTTCTTACCCGATCTGCCTCTGTCCGCGAGCCGTCTACAACCACTCACGTTCACGCTTCCCCACAGAGCAATCGACATCAGGAACAGTCACCATCATCCAAAGCTTCCGGTGACACAAAGCGAAATACCGTTCAGGTTGAGTATGTGCAACCAAAGACCCAAACAAAGCGGCAGCAGGCAGCATCAGAACAAGAAAAGGCGTCAAAGAAGGAACGAACCCCCGTTATCGAAGAAGCATCAAGTTCGAAATCGAAGGGTAAGGACAGGGAACCGGAGCAACAATCACAGCCTTCATCATCTGCAGCTGCAGCTAAACCGGCTGTCCCGGAAGAGCATCGCCACGTTCCTGTCAATAAGTCCTCTACATCAGGGGTTCCTCGTACACAAGCTGTGGGATCGGATACTGGCAAGTTGCCAACAAAGCATCAACAACGGGCAACGAGTTACCAGGGCCCAAATCCCCTCCATAACACTACTAAGATTACTGTCGGCGTACCTGTAATCGAGACACACCCTATTCCGGCGTCTCAAACCCAAAGTCGACCTACTACAGAAACCCGGGACACTCAAACGGCTGAGTCCTCGCAACCCAGTGTCGCTGCACTCCCTGTCCCACAGACTGGCAACCGCCCTACGTCCTCAGAGACCGCAAATTCGGCAGTGTCGCGCTCCCAATCCGTTCGACAAACATCTTACACGAGATCCAACAAGAACTCCGATCCAGTCGTTCCACAACCACTCACAGTTCCAAGCAAAGTCCCTCAACCCGTTCAGAAGAAGCCTTACACAATATCGAATCCAATACCCCAGGATCCGGACGCAATTGGCATGACGATGTCAACATATGCTCCTGCCAATCCTCGTGAGTCCGGTTCTGAGTTGTCTAAGGGACACAAGAGGGCCAATACTGTCGGAGGACCGAGTGCCAGCGCAAAGATCTTTGATAAGATGTTTGGATCTTCAGACAAGGCTGGAGCTCAGACCGTTCAACCTAGACCTTCTATGGATCGACCATCTGGTCAAAACAGCGCCGCCCAAACACCAACGCCGAGACAGTCGATTGAGCAAGTCGGAGGTAAATACGAGACATCAAAGGGGAAGCGAAGGTTTAGTCTTATCCCATCTTGGGCCCACAAGAATAGTGATCACGGGAGGAAATCAGGACAGGGTAAGCTCATTAAGCATGATCGTCGCCTTTCGCGGTCGGCTGGGAACGCAACTGACCCTAAGGGTCTCACAGCTCAAAACATCGATCCTCCCGCATCCTCCCACACCACGAATGGCTCATATGCAAACATCAATCCGGAGCCTACTAGCCAATCGCTAAATTCGCTTCCTCTTGCGAGCACGAATAACGGTACAACTGGCTCTGCCACCAACGTTGCAAATCTAACTAGCAAGAATCGTAAATTCGGGGACGCATACTCGCACGATGGCCAAATGTCCGGCAACTCTGGTAGCACGGGAGCAGCAAGAAGAGTCATGGATTTCTTTAGGAAAAGGGCCATTGGACGAAGCAAATAGTCTCCGCTTCTCCACACCCAATCCATGCCAGTCCAACGCTTCCAATTTGCATATTCTCTGAGGACATCAGAAAGGCGAAGAGCCTTCCTAACAAGACTAATAACCCAACCACAGCTATACTCCCTTCCGCCTACCTGTCCATCTACCTGAGAACCCTCGTCAACTAACGACATTCGTTTCTAAATAATATGTGCGACCTCTAATTTTACATCTCGTGTTCGAAACGCCCTATTACGATACTTTTAATTTAGCAGCGGAAAGCAGTAATATCATTTTTGGATTAATTCGGAAACGATTGACGACAGGCCTGCCAGAGATTCTCAACACCTCTATTTGTAAATCTCAGTCCGAACCTCCCTAACCTCTCGAATCTCCTCCCCTCCGCTTCTGGGGCGATTCCTTTTTACCTCGCGATAACCGCTCATCGTCACCAGTTTCTAGCAAAAAAGGAAAGCGCATTGTTGTGATATCTTAGCGGGGATGCCCTTTTTTCTCCTTGTTTTTTTTTTAAAGCACGGTTACCATTTTGACCAATTGCGAGCGCTGCATGCCTGCATTCCATCGTCGACTTACCCCATACCTGTGTTTCCCATCCGTTCCCCTAGTTGCCTGATTACGAGCTTTAGAGATGATTTTCCTTTTTTTCCCCCCGAACATCACGAACGCCGATTGTCCTTTTTTTCGTTTCGTTTCTTTTCTTTTCGGTCTCCTTTAAACTCAATACTCGATCTTGTAGTCCTACTTTCTTATGCTTGCTTTTCTACTTCTTTTTCTCTTTCTGTCGGCCGGAGTATCGCTATTACTCTCACATAGCAGTCTTTTTTATCTAACTTTTCTTTCTTCCTTTTTTCCTTTGATACAATGGGAGGGTGTTAAATCATATTCTACTCTTTTCTTATTCAATTTTCATTTCATATCCCTCGTTCGGATGCGTGTTAATACGATATACACCAATATATTCTGAAATGCATTTCCCACCCTCCTCAAACCATTGAACGATATGCTCCATGTTCGATCTCAGCTACAAATTCTTGAATGCACTGTTCACTCGTATCTAAAGCTATTCATATTTCTTTTACAAATTGCGGAGTACACAATGTTGACCTGCTGACATGACAGTATTAGACCAGTTTGAAAGCCCTAAAATCTTCCCGTTCAGTTTATTTTATTTTTTATCGTTTCTCTTCGTCTCGGTTTCCTATTAGGTTGCTTTATATGGCATTTTAATCTTGCCGAGGAGTGAAATGATATCGTATGAAGGAGAAGGGGGAAAAAAAGACAGACATATACATGCTAAATATCAGTTTTTTTTCTTCTTTCAGTTCGCTAGACATATGTCATTATACAGATATACATTAATCAATCACTTATAATTTTACAATTACTTATATGCTAAGCTTCCCACGATAGCGCAAGACGACAATTCGTTAGAGAAATATCTAAGTAGATTTACCAGACGTCAATTTGTGATAATTTTAGCCATATGCATGAGAAGGGTTTAAGACAGGCAAGTAGGAGCCTAAGTATTTACGTCTATCAAAAGGTACTTCCGTCGTCGATCGTTCTCAGTTTGTTACCTGATATCGGTTTCATAACCCAAATTTTGTCTGAAATGTTTTAATTAAGCATAAGAAAGGGTCCTTTTGGTTTTATATTTTGGGTTTAGTACGCCTGTTAGCAAGCTTATTGCAAGTTGGGCTCGTCCCGATGATAACCTTATATCATATCAGGGTTTTTCAGTGGAAGATCGAGATGGATGGATGGATGTCGCAAGTAATTTGGCGAATTTGCGAAGGAGCTCGACGTTGTTTTTTTTTTTTGCCTCCAACAGATTTCAGGCAGTCATATATGCATATTATAATAAAAAAAAAATTTTCTCTTCAGAACCGACGGCTCAGTAGCGTAATACCCGATGGTTTTCAGTCGCATAAAATAAAGATCTATACTAATTATAACTACATAAGTAGATATTTTAAGTTGGCGGTGTCGATTGAAGATTTTTTTTTTTTTTCTTTCGGCGATATATAGCTGCATTTGTATGTGCGAGCGGGTATGGTTAATATTCCTTAGCTATGTAATATTCCAAGCTGTAGCTCCGGTATCCCTGTGAAAAGAAGAAAGCTTTAAAATATTTTCTTCTTTCAAGGTTTTCAATATGCACATGGGACTTGTATGTAAGATAGTAAAAGTACTTCTTACCTCCAGAATCCGCATGTTCTGTCAGCCAGTAAGTTCTAGTTCCTTCGCCGATGGGCCAGTAGGCGACTTCCCGGACGGACCCATTCGACCTGCTGCTCGGTTATGTCCTGCAGATACGGCCTTGACCTTGTCCCTTGTTCTTTTTTTTTTTTCCTCTTCCCTTGGATCCTTGACATAAACTGTACGTATAGGCCCCATCTATCAACTTAATCTATCCACACTTATCTTTCCGTTCGGTACTTTCTCAAGCATCTTGCGAAAACTAATGGTTACATAGCAGTCTGGGGACCAATGGTACATGGTCATTTTGATCGCTTTTTTCCCTGATAGGTCTACCAAACGAGCAGGGATATCTCCCCGGTCCTCGGACCATGGACGAATGACAGCCGGTTCTCCCCCACGTCGGGTTTCTGTCACACCATTGGTTGAGTAGAGCTCATCGGTTTTCGATTTCGACTTTAAAGTACTTTTGGTCATTCACTTTGAATTGAACATGCATATGGAGCACGGCAATGGATATCGGTCGAGAAGGGTGAAAGGATTCCGAGATTCTGGATGCGCGATATCAATTTTACAGGCAATAAAAAAAATTAAAAAATTAAAAAAACGAAGAGAAAAGAGCGAGGTTGAAGTTAGACAAACTAGAGGCCGGAAAGCAAAACGGTCATATGAGGGCATCTCTTTTTGGAAAAGTTGATAGTATCATATCATCTCCACATTTTTTTCCCGGGGCCTTGTTCTCTTACCCGTATCGTATCATATTAGTTAAGATATTTGACTTCGATGCGGAGATATACCTTTCGCATTCGTAGATTGTATAGAAACCCGGGAATTTTGCGAATTGAGAACGGCAAGCAAGCATGGAATTTGGGGGGCGTGAACATACATACCTACTTAGATAACCGTCTCTAGATCTAGTCAGCATGCACGAGCATGAACATGAACATGAGCATGAACAGGGGTGTGGGGGAACCGATATGCTAGGCGTTTCCGGCCGAAGAAAGATAAGAGGGAACTTCGGATTCTAGACTGAAAACTGGACAGGACTTATCATGAGCTCGACCTCTTTTTCTCTAGTTCGGCTGGAAATCCTGAGCGGGAACTTCGAAGGGGTGTCACACTAGCACTAGCAGTTTTGGGCAGAAGTTTTTTGAATTGAGCACAGCCCGTCGGACTCATCTGCATCCCGGCATGGCATCCATCCTTACTATTGGGGATTAATATATTTCCTGTGCTTCCTTCCCCTTCTTATTTGTTAGTTAGTTTCCCTCTCATTTGTTGGGTTATTACTTACATCATCATCATCATCATCGTCGTCATTTTACTACCTCCTACCTACCTAAATACCTACTTAAGTACCTATCTAGCACTTGAGTAAATAGTTATACTTTAAGTGCTTGGGTAATCAATCAATCAATAGACTTAAAATCAGACGATGCCATTGCAGTGATCGGTGCAGCACTGCGATCCAAATTCCAACAACCCGCCACAGAACCTACGACGATGTCAACACAGTTTCGTCCATCCCTCGCCCGCCTCTCCAAATCCATCATCCACACTGCAACCTCAATTAACAATAACAATAACAATGACAATATAAACGTTGAACAATCCCACGACCATTACGCTCGTCCTCCAAATAATCGCCACAATAATAACGACAACGACTCTCCCAAAGCCTCTGCCTTCCTTTTCCTAGGCTTAATAGTCTCCATATTCCTGCTAGTTCTAGCATCCCATTTCTTCTACTTATACGTCGTTCGTAAAGAACCGTATTATTACAGCGTACAGTCTGATATCGATCCTACATTATGGCATGTGGAACGGGTAGTACCGCTTCGAGAACGACTAAGGAGATGGCGTGGACACCCCAGGAGCAATAGTGATGTCTTCAGAGATGAGGATTTGGAAAGAGTCAGGACGGCTCTTATGGTACGTGGGTGGAGAGGAAGGGTTAATAGCGATGGAACACCGAATAGAAACCATAGAGTGGTGGATGATAGAGCTGCTGTTGGCTTCGGAGCTGGTGGGAGTGCAGCTTGGGGGTTCGTCAACGGTAGCGGGAGCAATACTGGTGACGTGGAGTATGGCCCCAGGCAATATATCGAAACAGAGGATACACCTTTCTGGAAGGAGAGGAGGTGGGGGTATACGAATTACGGAACTTACGATGGGTTTGGAACTTCACCCGGAGAGAGAAGAAAGATGATGCTTCTGGCCTTTGGGGATGGACCAAGGACCCGAGGTGGGAATGTTGTTCCCGGGATGAGTAGTAGTCGTTGGCCTACGGGAGCCGTCACGCCAGAGTTTGGAAGCTATGGGAAAATCTCTACAGCTGGTGCCGGGGAGACCGGTGGCTATGGACTCGCTGCGGCGTTTTCGTATCACCCGTCGCCGAAGAATACACATTTCGTCACCCCGCCGATTAGAGCTTCTAGTAAGATTCTAGAAGGGTTGAGGCATACTGGGCTACGATATAAGACGGATAGAACTGCCAAGTTCCCGGATGATGAATTACAAGAGCATTACCAGAGCCTTTGCGAGTCTGAGGATGCGGCTAAGAAGGAGTTGGAAGAGGCGAGAGATATGGCCGCCGTGAAGCATACATATCCTTCTGCCGTTGAACAAGAACCCGATCATGCGCAAAGAGTTATCGAGAAGCTTACGGAATTGGAGAAGAAGTTGCTACATGCTGTCAAAAGGAGAACATTGTTTGCCGATAGATTCGCCATGAGAGAGAGCGAAGAAGAAGAGAGGGGCGAGTCCAGTCGCGGACCGTCAGTGTCGGAACCTCCACCACCCTATACGGACATCGACGAGCACGGACTGCATTTCGATGAGGATCACTAACGTTAGAATTATGATCGGCCAATATATTAAATCTGGCCGTCTTCTTTGTTGCGTTTAACGTTTGTCATTTTTGATCACATACCTTGTCTTTGCTATTGCATTTTGGTTTACACGCCATGCTTCTGGGAGCGAATCTGGCTACTTTTTTTTTGCTTTGATCTTACGATACCCATGGATAGCACCTTTTCATTTTCATTTTCATTTCTCACATCTTTATTCTTGTGGTTTTTCTTTCCTATATATCAAGATTGCTTTCAGTTTATAACCCTCTTCCTAGATGTATATATCAATGCTTTCATGCAGATATTATAGCTTAAATAATGAATCGAAAAACGACTATCAAAACAGAAAAGCAAAGACCAATACCGCTAATAGACGCCTAATGATATTTGCAAAAAGTAATGACGAACCAAGGAAAAACTCTTTATAAGCATTAGCGACCCCTCATAGTTCACCTAGCGGCGACAGTGGGGATGGCAGAAGACGTGGTGCCGGCGAGAAGGAGGAAAACAAGGTATGCCTTCAAACACTAGAAGATCACATCCTTTTCTTCTTCATCCGCTAGTATATCTGCAGGTTCATCGCTTCCTGATATTGTTAGTTTTTCGCCTTCTTGTTCGCTTTCTTGTTCTTTTAGCTTCGCACGCTCGGCCTCAGCTTCATCCAGAGCCTTCTTCTTGTTGTTTTTGACTTTCTTGAGACGATAGAATTCTTCTCGGTCACTAGATTTAGCATAGATTAGCTTCTATTGTAAATTTTAGAAACTGTTGTTGATATATTGACCGGGACCATACAGTTCATCGAGCTCGGAGTTAATATATTTGATAGTGTTCTCCGTTCTGGGAATGATGACGTGCTCAATGGCAGCGACACGGCGGTTGACAATCTAAAAGTCGTCGTGTGAGCAATCATATGTCCATCTAAACACATCGAGATGAAATACATACCTTGATCACATCATCCAATATCACGAATGCCGTCTAAAAAGAAACCAGCCTTAGCATCCCCATTGGAAAGAAGTAATACCACCAGAATGCCAACCTGTAAACTCGCCAACTCCACCAAAGTCTCCACGGCCTTCCCATAAACATCTCGACACTTCTGCACCTGCTGCCCACCCCTCCCCAACCCCGTCAATCCAAAGTCGTTATTCTCTTCCGTGATGTAGCTCTCAAAAGCCGGCAACTGGACACCAGAGACGTTTTCCTGTTTCGAGCGTATTCGAAAACGGGCGGCTTTGACCGATTCCTGGACTTGATAACCAATTTGTCCACCGGTAGCATAGGTGACTTCGGCGAGGGAGAAGGCTGCAATTTGCATCACACGACCCATTTTGCGTTTGGCTTCATCGATGCGGCGGGTAATATCTGCAGGGGGGATCTTATATCAATATTTGGTCGTGGTAGGTATTTCCATAAGAAGACATGATGTATTAGGTACCTCGGAAACGTCTACATAAAGAGAAATTCAATATTATTAGCAATTGATGAAAACAAAGCAGGATCAAAACATATCATAGATTGGGAAGAGCATGACATACTTTGTCAGAGCCTCGGACTTGCGCTTCAATAACGAATGACCGGTCTCAGCGCCCTTAAGCTTGGCCTTCATGATACCAAGCGACTGACGGGTCGGGAAGACCGCCTCTCGGTTCTATCGATAGAAGAACAGGTATGGTTAGTATATTGCAGCTATCTTGTACTAAGTGAAGAAGTAACGTACTCCTGCACCAGACATCGTGGGCGGTGGTGGTGTGGGTTGTGGCGGGGTGGTTAGTAGAAGCTGGGGATTTGGTGGGTTGAAGCTGTAGATAAGTCGTAACCGTCGATAGGTCGTTTAGCTGTGCTATGATGCAAGGAAGTTGGCTGCTCGCAGGCCAGACAACCAAAGCAAGCGCGTCGGGATTTGTTAGTTCCTCAAACTGCGCTGCTCAGTACGGAATCGGCGCAAATATCAGAACTGGGTAAGAATCTCGCCCAATGTCGGTAACAGGCGGACAGTTTCAGGCAGTTCTAGTCGCGCCAGGTCAAACAGCACCTACACCAAAACTAAAAAAAAGTCTTGACTAACTTGTACACGACCAGTCACTCTGGAACCGAAAGCCTTCTTCTTTATTTCTCGACGAATGACGGCGGTATACAAGCAATGAGGAGGTAGTCTGGGTCGCGCAACCTCCATCTTCCTTCCAACGTTCCGTCCATCCACCAATCCACCTATTCGATACATCGCGATGCCTCCTAAGAAGACGAAGGCCGTCAAGGCTGAGAAGGCTGTCGAGCAGCAGGCTCCAGTGCAACCGGCAACTTCTGCGCCTAAGCCTGTTGAAGTCCCGGCACCGGCACCGACGACGTCGAAACCAGCCCCTGTTAAACCTCCAGTATCCGTCCAAGAGGTCACCAAGAGCCTCCTCGACTTTCATCTAATCGTACGTCTCGAAATCGTTCCGTAGTCAATACACCACACGGAGGAATACTGACGGAATTCTCGAATCGTGTTTCCAGACCGACGAGGACGTGCTATTCGAACAGGATATCCAGCGAGATAAGGAGCCCGATGTCAAGACATGGCTGCAGTATATCAATCACAAGAAGAAGAATGGGAAGCTGGCGGAGTTGGTGTTTGTACGTTGCGGTCGACCTGTTCTTTTTTGTTGCTGTAGGGAAAGTGTAGCTGATGGAGGATCGTATAGGTCTTCGAACGGGCCATTAAGGAAATGCCTAGATCGTACAAGATATGGAAGATGGTATGTCACCCGGACACGGCTATATGACGAAGTCTCAGTTTTAACATGATCTCTTATAGTACCTCGATATCCGCGTAAAACACGTCGAAGGCCTCAATCCCTCCAAATATGCCGCCGAATATGACAAAGTAAACGATTGCTATGAAAGCTCCCTCGTCCTGCTCAACAAAATGCCCCGCATCTGGACAGATTACCTCACTTTTCTGCTCAAACAATGCAAAGTCACACATACCCGCCACACCTTCGATCGCGCTCTCCGTGCGTTACCAATTAGTCAACATAATAGGATATGGGAACTCTACATACCCTTTGCGAACTCAGCGTCCGGCGATACTGCGGTAAAAATTTGGAGACGGTATATGCAGGGCCACCCAGAAGATGCGGAGGAGTTTATTGAACTGCTACAAGAGGTTGGGTATTATACCGAGGCCGCACAGAAATATATTGATATCCTCAACAACCCGAAGTTCAAAAGCAAAGCGGGGAAGAGCAATTTCCAGCTGTGGATGGAGTTGTGTGAATTGCTGGAGCACCATGCTAGGGATATTCAGGGCCTACGAGTGGAAGATATCATTCGGAGTGGGATCAAGAGGTTTGAGGATCAAAGAGGGAAACTGTGGACATGTTTGGCGAATTACTGGACGAACATGGGCGATTTCCATAATGCGAGGGATGCGTACGAGGAAGGGATTACCACTGTCATGACAGTACGGGATTTCACTCAGATTTTCGATACCTATGTCGAATTTGAAGAAACAATCGTCGCGGCGGAAATGGAGGCTGCCGCTGAACGACAAGCAGCAGGGACGGTAGATGCTGAAGCCGATCGGGCATTGGATAATATGATGATGAGGTTCGAATACCTAATGGACAGACGGCCTTTCCTCGTCAACGATGTGCTGCTACGACAAAATCCAAACAATGTCATGGAGTGGGAGAAGAGGGTTGCATTGTGGGGGGACAACAAGAAGGAGGTAGTGCAGACCTATACTGATGCAATTGCGGCGATACAACCGAAGAAAGCGGTAGGCAAGTTCAGCGACCTATGGACTAAATACGCCAAGTTCTACGAAGAAGGCGGCGACTTAAATACAGCAAGGATGATCATGGAAAAAGCAGTCAAGGTTCCATTCAAGACAGTTCAGGAACTCGCAGAAATGTGGGTTGAATGGGCAGAGATGGAACTGAGAAATGAAAATTTCGACCAGGCTATGGATATCATGGCGAAGGCCACGGCTGCACCTAAGGGATCTAGGGTGGATTACTTTGACGAGACACTCACGCCGCAACAGAGAGTGCACAAGAGCTGGAAACTATGGAGTTTCTATGTTGATTTGGTAGAGAGCGTGGGGACGCTGGCGGAGACGAAAGCAATTTATGAGCAGATATTCGAATTGAAAATCGCTACGCCACAGACTATCGTCAACTATGCGAACTTGCTGGAGGAGAATAAGTACTTCGAGGAATCTTTCAAGGTAAGTATCGGTTTATCAATTTATTCTATGCGACGGTTCGCTAATTAAAGCTTAGGTATACGAACGAGGCCTCGATCTCTTCAGCTATCCAACGGCCTTTGAAATCTGGAACTTGTACCTCAAAAAGGCTATGGACCGCAAGATCAATCTCGAACGCTTGCGAGACCTATTCGAACAGTCTCTCGAAAACTGCCCCCCGAAGTTCGCAAAGGTGTTATATATCATGTACGGCCAACTAGAAGAAGAGCGGGGTCTCGCCCGACATGCAATGAGGATATACGAACGTGCGACCCGAGCAGTTGCCGATGAAGACCGCTTCGAGATGTACGAAATGTATATAATGAAATCCGCCAGCAATTTCGGCCTCACATCCACCCGACCAATCTACGAACGCGCCATCGAGGTCCTGCCGGATGCGGAAGTCAAGAGCATGTGCCTCAAATTCGCGGAGATGGAACGAAGGCTTGGAGAAATCGACCGTGCAAGAGCTATCTACGGTCATGCTAGTCAATTCTGTGACCCGCGTGTTGCGCCAGAGTTTTGGGAGAAATGGGAGAAGTTTGAGGTACAACATGGAAATGAAGATACCTTCAAGGAGATGCTGCGGATCAAGAGAAGCGTGCAGGCGCAGTACAAGTATGTTGACTATCCTCCCCAGCTTCGTTTTTACACTATGCTAATAGAAAATATAGCACCGACGTCAATTTCATTGCTGCGCAGGCGGTTGCCCGTGGTAAAGAAGCAAAGGGTGCTGGGGCGCCACTCGATGAGACGGATGGGAATGCTAACGGGACCAAAGACGCCATGCAAGCCTTGGATAGAGAGCTTCGGGCACCGATGGGCTTTGTGGCAGCGAAGAGCGGTGGAGTTGTTGGCGGACAAGGCGCACCGAAGCCGCAGATTACTCTCCAAGCTACGGCCAATCCCGATGCCATCGATATCGATATGGATGAGTAAGGTGGCATTCATATCAGTCTTCCTAGGATACGATGGCCAATAAATTTATCCACAAGCCACTCACAAAGACAAGGTTACAAACACACAGTTATTTCTTTTGTTTTTGCACATTTAGCTCATTTGTTCTAGTACCTTTTTTTCCTTTTCTCCCTGACATATCATGGTGTTTTATATAAATAGGAGTTGGGCTCTCTCTCTCGTTTTATTTTCTCTTTCCTTTGTTCGAAAAGAATGTCGAAGGCTTTCTAATCTGTTCTAGATATTGGTACCTTCGGGTTTTATGCACCCCTCTGAAAAACTGTATTATAGGATATCCGATATCGATCCCCACGCTCGACTCAGGGTCTTTCTCTTTTTCCATACATTCGCTAAATTCGATTTCAGTGCGGATTGAATATGTGAGGCTTTCGTAGATCTACTTAACAGCATTACATTCTGCAACCAATGACTTTCTAAACGGAATCAAATGACTAAAAAAAAAAAAATTGTATTTTAATAAACTTTTAAATTTGTGCAACCCTTCGACAGTCGTTGCGAGTGTCATTCTGCAGACTCTAAACGTTTGCCGTTGACCCCATCGTGCTCAGTATATGATACATATATATCAGCTGAAACGATGTCACTACTTACGCCTTGCGATGCGGTACATATACATATCAACCAATAGGCGCGGGACGGCGGCGGCGGCGGCGGCATTTTATTTAGATGTATATCACATATAAATATATTTACTTAGGTATATATATGGGGCTCGGTGTAGCCTTGCGCTGAGATGTTTGAATGAGAAGTCCAAAGTACACCATCCGGTATCCGGCTTAAGCTTTAGCCCACATTTTTTTTGCTTAGAGCTATTTATTCATCACTAGTATCTTAGTAATTTTGAAGGTGGCTTTTTCATCTCGATTCCCATCTATACATTTTCGAATCATCCTTTTAACGACTTTAATTTGATTACTACAATTCAGGGCTTTGTCATCAGCCCCTGCCGACTCAACGAAATCGAAGATATCGATCGATCACCCAGCCTTACAAGAAACACGAAGCTTAAGCTTGAAAGGCATAACTATAACGACAACAAAATGCCACCTAAAAGAAAGCCAGCGTACGTATGACCTCCTAATATTACAAAAAAATCTTTAAAATTAAATATAGATAATATACAAGTATATAAAGTTAATACCTAACAAATGCCTTAGAAACGTGGTCGAATGGACCGAAGAAGAGGAGAGAGAACTCGCAAAGTTGAAACGTAAAAAGGAACAGATAGAGAGGAAGATAGCAAAGGCTTTAAAGGCCCAGGCCCAGCCTGACGCTACTAGTGCAGAGCCAAGTTCGGAAGCTATGGAAATTCGGGGTGGGGCCCAAAAGAAGACCTGAGTATTACTCAAGGTGGCTTCGATTTGGGGGTGTTTCTAGTACTAGCTATATTATTCTTTGATGGACTATTATGGGACTGAGACATATGAGGATCTTATTATTATCATGTATCATGCATCCGGTATTATGCAGCCGGAGCTGGAGTTTCGGCGAGGGTTGAATGTCACTAAGCTAAAGCTATGTTACAAGGCAAATATAGTTTATCACCGTCATGTCATTACACACATCCCCCCCTCGTGTTACATATCAATTTCTATACTATTCCTCGAGTCTGTTTACTAGCACCATGCACAGCAATTATAGTGATAGTGATAGTGATAACTGGCTAGAGTCAGAGGAAAAGAGGTCTACGTCAAATAACGACGGGCCTGAAATCCAACACTTGATAGTCCAACTTTGTGCGTGTGTAACCTTCCACAACACGGAAATTCCGAATCCGGCGAAAACGAGGGAAAAGTATGGGGTATCGATCTGTCGATGACCTCATTCTGGATCATGATCTCATTTTGGCGTAATCTACTTTCAGGGCCCGTCGATTATTATTACTAAGTGAAAAGAGAGAAAAAAACAAAAAAAAAGTTTATAATAATTATAAAAGCCTCATATTTCCCCCGCAAATAATATTCGTTATATTATAGTTTTCTCGTTAATAATTATTTTTATTACACCATTACACTACAATATACCGTTCAATAGTCCTCCTCTTCAGAAGGCAAACTTAAACAATATTACACAAATTTTATATACAAATATAGTACTTCACAAGCATCTCATAATGGATCAGTCGTATGTTTTATCCATGATCTGCCTACTCAAGTAACTTAAAGGTCTTCGCTAACCCTCGTGAACGTAACTACTAGAACCCAATCTTCCGCCGGACATGTCTTCTCCGCAAACCCAGGCCCCGTCATTCCAAGCGAGGAAGTTCAGCAAGAAATGGCCGCACAAGCCCAAAGCTTCGATGCTGCTAGAAAGCAAGCTCAGGCCGCCGAGAAAGCAAACCAGGCTACACAGAAGGAGGGTGATAAAAAGGATACCAAGGAATCCAAGTCGAATTAAAAGGGTTAATAGAAAGTATTTGGTCAGGTGGGAGGGACAATAGACGAATAATACTGTTGGTTTAGACGGAAACGAATCCTGGGATACAGAAATGGCATCATCGGAGTACAACAAACTTTTGTATTACCACTATTATTTTTGAGGCAATAATCAAAATACCCTATCGGTGCCATTCAGACAGATATCATATGCAAGTGTGAATTGCCTAGAGGACTATAGCATATACCGTTGTTACGTAGTTTGATGTTTAGGACTCGTATCAAGACGTCGTCTTGGTGGTACCATAGATATAGTACATACCCAAGCGGGCGTTGGAGAGGCTGAGCCTTGTTGTAAGGTTGGATAGGTATGACTTAGTATCGCCGAGACTGCCGGGCCTTGTTGCGTCGACGTAGACGGTCCCAGCCTAGGCACTGGCCGAGCGAAATCACATGATCATTTTGACCTTCAGAATGGGTCCAATATAAAAATCCGGGGACTTTTCACTCGGTACCACATTGTGCAAGAACCAATCCTACAAAGTGCGTGAAAATTAGATATTTTGAATCGTCTCATTCGGGCCAGTTTGGGCAATCTGAAATCATCAAATTTAATAATGCGGTTGAGGATTTGATTTTTGGTGGGAAGCGTAGTTTGGAGGGGCTATCTATCCCACGAGACTACGCCTTTCTGCCCTCGAGACTACGAAATACGGTGGTCTTGTATGAGAGCTTGCAGGCCCGCCGAGCACGTCGTTGTTTTGGAGGTTGCGGGTTGGTCACGTGAGTATTTTGAAGCTCAAAATTGCAATAAGAAAAAAATAGATGATCAAATCGTGTGGAAAGAGGAAACGTATTGTACAAAAAGGAATCTTTCAACCTTCGTAAAAATAATGTATTCTGAAGCATCTAATTTCAGCGATTCTAACAAAATCCGAATCGTAGAATTTGGCGGGATATTTCAGGATTTAATTTTTGGAGATGTTCGCCCGGCGTCACCAGGTGTTGACTACATGACTTATTTCCAGATCACATGATCCTTTTGGGCTTCAGAAGGGGCCAATATAAAAAAATCCGGGATTTTGACATATTTCAATATATTGAAAGAACTAATCATCCAAACCGTATGAAATTGAAAGATTTTGAATCAGAAGGCGTGGGCGAGTCGACGCAACTTGGATTTACGAATTTTGGCGGGATATTTCACAAGTTGGATTTTGGCGGGGATTCTCATGCGAGCATCGGAATGTGGCGATAACGTGCCTTGCACAGTCTTGGCATCTATTCCTCAGATGTTGTATTTTGGTCTGATCAACACAGAATTGTCGATATATTGGTCTGGTAGACTGGTCATGTAACCGTAATATACAATGCCTCGAAGGCACATCACATCCTACGTAAGTGATATCTTAATATTTGGTATTTCCATGCCTCTATAGTTTTTTATATCTACTATATGAAGTATCTAGCTCAGAGGAATTCTGTTCGGATATCAATGTAATTTACAAGTTCCATATGCATGTCCACTTCATCTTAGATGTTACTTGTCTTGTGAGGTAGATAGCCTGTATATCAGATATCAGATATCAGATATCACCAGGTATATTAAGTAAAGAGCGTCAGAAGTCATATCACGCCATGACGCTCTATTTCAATCATCTTGCCCGAGTTTCTTATAGGACTTTGAGCTTTCTCTCCATTCCCGGAATTTATTCTAGAGCTCCCTTTCCCAAATCTTGTTCTCGAATTTCATTAAACTGCATTCATCCTCACCCTCACCCTCATCTCCATCATTCCTGTACCTCCATCACTATCATCATTACCATACCTTCAATCCATCAAATTTATTTCTTCACGATGTTACGATCTAAATCCAGAGCCGGCTTGGGGTCTGAGAGACCCCCAAATGATAAGGCCCAAGGTGGTGATGATAATAAAGAGAACAAGGAAGAGAACGCGAACAATTTGCTTCCTGGCAGCCCTGGTGGTCTTTCTATGCGGTAAGTTTCCAGTATATGCTATTTTCCCACCAACACAGAGCCCACTCTGTTCCCAACCTTCGACTATTTCAACAACCTCTCTGCTGTCTTTCTCTCTCTCTCTCTCTCTCATCTGTCAACCTCCGTCTACCTCCCACATATCACCTACCACCTACCATCTACATCTTACTGAGCATCCTTCTCTTCTAGCCACAAAATAAAACAATCCTTTACCAACCTTGCTTTGCGTCTTACCCCCAAAGAGACGAAGACCATCTTTCGCAAGCCATCTCCCTCTGCTCAAGCTTCAAAAGCGGACACAGAAACTGCAGCTACAGTTCCTCTCCCAGAAAGCCCACGTTCTGGAACACCTCCTTCGAACACCAATCCTTCGCCAGCAGACTCGCCAGCGAAGTCACCAAGCAAGCCAAAGAGATACCTCTCGTTCTCATTCACTCCTGAAAGCAAAGACAAAATGGACTCAAAGGCTGCCAAGTTTTTGCTTGCTACCGCCCGCCTGGCTGGGAAGGACAGCCAGAAATCCGACTCTACCGCTAAAGGCAAGGGAAAAGCCCCTGCCCGCGACGATGTTGAAGCCAAATCACCGGCTTCTACTAAGAAAGAAGAGGTTGCTGGCCAAGCTGCCAGTACTTCTCTTCTCCACCCTCCCACTGCTACCTCCTCCCTCTCCACCCAAGGTGCTGGTAAAGAAAACCAGCCAACGGCAACTACCACCAACGACAACAAGGCCAAGGGCATGAATAAGCTCAAGGCCAAAAACAAGAAGAAGCCGGCCACTCCAGCCACCGCCCCTCAAGCCGCCACCACCCGCCCACCGACTCCCATCCCACGGTCGGTCCTAGCTCTCCCCGCCCCGGAGCCCCAGGAAGGCAGTGATCTGACCAACCAGATCACTAACCTTCTTGGACGTCTCTCGGCTGGGGAGACTATCGACTACCAGCTCAGGAACCCAGAGGGGTACGTCGATGACGACCCTGACTGCCTGGACTTCCTGGACGATCCAGAATGCCAGGAGATCCTGGGGAATTCCACCCCCAGGCTTTCCTCGGCCTTCAATCGTTCGGGGAAGAAGGGCAGGAAGTAAGTCATCATCGATGTTCTCTTCCGGGTTCCTGAGCGGGATTAGATAGTCTCGTTTGTTTTTTTGTTTGTTTTTTTAATGATAATGATAATGATAATGATAATGTTTTTTTTTTAATGATTTTGTTTCAGTCCATGTCTTCTGTCCCATTCTATCATAAAGTTTTTGATATATCTCCTACCCCGACTTCTTTCTCTCTCTTTGACGTTCCCGAGCATTCTGTACACCTTGATTCTTAACTGCTCCTCAGCTCATCTATATATTCTATTTTCTTGCCTTGCCTCTTACCGATTCCCCGCAGCGTGCTTGATTCTACCAATTACCACCTACCAATGTCCATACAACATAAAAGTTTCGACGTCGATGTATCACACATCCCACAAATCGCGAGTTACAATACCATTGTATATACATATACCTCCCTCAAACGTAAACCCTCCGATACCGCCATTATCTAGATCACCGAATAGAAAGCTCCACCTCACCCACTCCCCTTTTATCACCAAAAAAAAACTAAAAAAAAAAACTTAAATCATGGTTCCACCTGATAGATATATCGTAAGTCAAGTTCCCCATGATTGTATTATCTAGAACCAAAAAAAAGTATATACAATAGCAAACCCGCTTAAAGCTAAGAAAGCTAGACAAAAAAGCATTTACCTACATTCACCCGTCATTCCGGTGTAACCAAGCCAGGCCGAAGGAAAAGCAAAAGACCAGCGATATGAGTATACAAACTGCATTGTTATCCGGCATCGCGCATCCCATCTAATATATAGCTCGATAGATAAATCACATAAAATACCACCCTCATAACCTCCTCCTCCTCCTTTATCAATTTCTCAGCATATATCCACTTCCTAACCTGCAAGGACAAGAAATCCAAAGGCCTCTCCAAAACTATCCTCAGTTCCAATTCCAATATCAAAACCCCCCCCTCAAATATATCCTCATTAATTCAAAAGAAAGAAGAGGAAGTAGAAAAAAGGGCCAAATATGTCTCCCTCCAACTCTAAAACCACAGCAAAGCAAACCACCATCGTCACGCCCCCAAAGGACTCCAAAGAACCCGTATACAACCCTAGAGAACATAAAATGACCATCCCAAAGTCTCCATACCCTCAAAGCCATGAATCTCCACCGAAACCTTCTCTTTGGTAACTACATAATCTCCCTCGTAGCGTTCTATGTAAATGTAGACAGAATTTGGACTAATTTCGAGTCTTTTTAATTAAAAAAAATCAGTGAAAGGTTCGGATCATGCATCGGCCGTAGTTGCGATAAATACATCGAGTACACTGGGCGTAACCAATCCATGCGAGATCAGAGGTTTTAAAGGACCTCGATACTATTTATTTTTGTTACGAAGGGAGACTATTATAAGGAGGAAGGAGGGACGTGCACGCGTGGGTAAATTTATTGATAGACAGTGGTAACTCAGAATAATCCTAACACGGTCCCATAATGTTCTCCATCACATGTATGGTATATTCAATATTAATAAGGTATAGGATTTTCTCGTGGATGATCGATCTTACTGTTAAGTCTAGTACTTTCTTAGTTCTTAGTGTGATTCCTAGAGCCATATGGCCATAGAATCAGATTATCGTGATCGATAAGAGCTCAACTTAGAGGGTGAAAGGCCTCCCCGCCAGAAAATCCTAAGCAGTATGGGCCTTAAAATATTTTCTATCTAACAATAGCCTTTTCAGAATGGTAAATTGTCGTCCCAGGTTAAAAAAAAAAAAAAAAAAAAAAAGATGAAATGAAATAAAAAGCTGTAGCATAATGCACAAAAACATTTAGATCCCGAAATCCGGAATCATCAAATCCCATTCCTTTTGGTTTGCTCCAGTAATAATGACAACAGACGTTAGAAAAACACAAACAATACCGGCATACGTTAATCAATTAATTAAAAGAGACAAAAAGAGTTCAAGCACCAAAAAAGAAGAAAAGAAAGAAACAAAGCGCAAATCTTAAAGAGTACTGTTGTTTCCGCTCTGCATTTCCCCCATTCCATACTGCCTTTGTATGTTCTTTTGTCATAACCACTCTTGTGGAACAGCGTTGACAAACATTAATGATAATGGGAAGAAAAAAAACTTGAAGGATAAAGTTGGTGGCATGCTAATATTGTCTCGGCCGCCAGAAGATCCAAAAGTTAATGAAGGGTGTGAGAGAGTTCTCAGACCTTCTGCGGGGATGGCGCCGGCGAATTCTCGATTAGTCGATCCATCTAGGACTGACTCTTTCTTCGCTCTCCCTTCTTTCCCTTGCTGAGCTTCTCGAACAACTCTGTTCGGTCGTTACGCTGGATATGGCCGTCGCGGCTGGGAGGAGTAGCATGGATACTGCCAGCACGCTTTTGGAATCGGGATGGGGGTACTTTGCTCGCATCCCACTCCTTTGACCTATAGTTGAGGGCAAAAACGAAACGAGTTAGTTATTGTCATCATCATCATGACGTCATTATAAAGCGGCTCTTGGTCGACAAGGATGTCTTCCACGAAGTATTGAAACAAAGCATCATGCAAACATTCTCATGAACATGGTCATGATAATATAGCAAAAAAAATAAAAAATTCAAAGGTATTTGATATCAGGAATTCGGAAGGATATAATTTGCAAAAAAAACTTACATTCGCCTGTCTCTTTGTTCAATAGGTACCTCTTGGATGCCTTCAGGTCGGGCAGTACCAAACATATCGTACTTGAAACCGGGCTCTCCAAACCCTGGCTCAGCGGAGCCGCTGGTTCGTCGGGGAACGTTGTCGTAGGTAGGGCTGACAGGGGATGAGGGCTCTTCGAGGGCTTGAGCGTTTTGGAAATGAGGAGAGTTGGCCTCGGGTACTATCTTTGCCTCGGTATTTGCCATATTTGTATTTGACGACTTTAAGAAATCCATGATCGAAGAAGCACGGGTAAGAAGAGGTATGTTAGGACGAGTATAATATAATGTAGAACCCGAGAGGAAGGGTTCAAGAGGAAGAGACGGAGGATAAATCGAAAGTGATAGAAATCTGAGGGGAAAAAAAGAAGAAGAAGAGGAGAAGAAGGAGAAGGAAAAGGCCCGTGTGTAAAATACCTAGGCTTAAGCTTTCAGAGGGAATGGAATGATATTCGCAGTCGATTATAGACTTTTCAAGGTGTGTAACTGTAACTTGCGGGTATTGTGTGTAAGCTCTGAAATCTTGTGTGATTAAAAATATCAGAGTTCAGAATGAAAACATCAGAAGGCCAGGCCAGGCCAGGACAAGACAGGATTTAAATAGTCTCGACGTCTGGCGAACGTGAACAGGGCAGAGGGGGATAGACACCGCAAGCGTTGGAATAAAAGCAAGCTGAGATGATGAGGCCAATCTGAGACTGTTGTGACTGTACCATGACATGACCAAGGATTATACCTACTTGAGTAAGAAGTAGTATACAACCTACCAAGGTATAGCGGAGACAGAACTATAGTCTAGATAGTCTAGTCTACCGTACTGGTCAGGGCTGGGGAGGAGGAGGGGCGATCAAAGAAGCAAAGTAAAGAACCTAGCTAGTATACTAGACTGGCTGGCTAACTCTGAAGGGGACTTACCGAGCCTTGTCCTTTTTCCCTTTCCTTTCTTTTTTTAATTTTTTTAATGGAATATTGACTCTACTGTCTGTAGGATTGATTCTTTCGGTATGAGTACGTAAGTACTTAGGTATATGCACTGGTCTAAAACGAGAGTGGCTCCAATGCAATGTTGGAGGCAGTCCGGATTGAATCGACTGGTGGTGGTTGGTGGTTGATGGTATAGACTTCGATTGAGTAGGTAGTACTTGTATAATAGGATGTTAACGTTTGGGAGCTGATGTAAACGGAATGTATCCCGAGAAGGATGATTACAAGATCTTAAGAAAGAGTCGATATGATATGATATACTATAATATGATATATACTTCTATTCAATTCCAATGATAAGTGATAGTTGGTTCTGATGTTCTGTCGGTCAGATTCGAATTAATAGACAATCGATAATATAATTGATTTGGGACACGGCAAACACCCGAATACTCTTCGCAAAACATGCACATGCCGAGGATCCTGGGATATCCTGGGATATCCTTGGAGCCTCTTCTTGCTTTCTCTTTCTTCTAAGCAGTTACGGTCAGTCACAGATAGTTGCATTGGCATTGGCATTGGCATCTGCATCTGCATCTACATCCTCGTCTGCATGGTATGTATCTATCTGCCTGCGTTATCAGTCCAGTAACTACATATGTAGTAATTAATATCGTATTCGTCCCTCGCGGCCTCGTTCTAGCCGCTAGTTTAGTCTATACTGCAGTCTGGGCTTTCTCTCCGAGCCAGTAGTCCGAGTACATTCCGAGTACGTATTCCTACTTCGTTACTATCCAAACAAATAGCGTGGATCTAACCTCAAATGATCAATGAATTGCAATTGGCGGGCTACAAGCACAACGGTGTGCCTACATGAACGGCCTCGCCTCTCTCTAGCTCCGTCAATCCATGCATCGTGCATATATACCATCCAACCACATCGAAGCTGAATGGCTAAAATACCCCGCCAAGCCCAGGGAAAGACTGGGAGAAACGAAAAAGAGGGTGGGGCTGTCGCATTTTGCAATTCAGCACCTCTACCTCCGCTCCGTAGGTACTCGAGAAAGTACCTATCGATACCTTGCATCGACCCTCTCAGAGGCTAGATTTACCGATCCAATCGTTGAAAAGGATATGCAGAGGTTAATTCAGTTAATATATGCGATCCCAGCTATCGATGACATGATTACACCTTGGACCAACAGTCAATCGACAAATCTACAAATCATCTAGTACCGGTACTTCTTTTTTGTATCTTCTCTTCTCTTCAAAATATCTTATTTGATTGTTGCACTGCATTATCATTTATCATATCTCCATGCCTGTCGGTGCAGCATTCGTAGCACTCGCGCATTCCTTTTTTCTTTTCTTTCTTCTGTCTTTCTTCAAATATTTCAGCTGGCCACAAACACCGACGACCCGACAATGCAATTCTGCCGACGAACTAATCGACCCTTTTCTTTTGATTCGAAAGAAGAAAAGAAGGGAAACCCTTCCTATCTTGCGATCTTCAAAAAAGCTAGCTCCAGGGCAGCTGCTAGGAATGGGAAGCTTAAGGAAGGCCAAGACACCCCAGCCCATCACACATCGAAATCGAGAGACACGTTCAATCGACGGTAAAGAAAGAGCCTTTACCCCAAGATTCAAACACCCGCACTGGCCAGTTTTAATTTACAGGATTTCACGAAGAGAGGCCAAGTACGGCACATCACGAGGCTTTGTGGGCCTGGTGGCGATCGATCGAAAGGTTAAAAAGGTTCACCAACCGACACACTCATGTAATTTCATTATAATAGTATACAGTACCGACCTTCACTCAAGCCGACAAGGAGTGAAAAAGGAAAAAAAGGAAAAGCCAAGAACATTGGGCATATCTCCGCCTCTGACGTTTGCATCCCCGGAATTCTCAGAATCCTGCCAACTAGCTAGTGATAGCTCGGCACTTTAGCTTGATTGACAGTTTGTTCCGGTGGCAACTGTTTCTGGCCCCCCCTCGTCGACGTGTGAGTAAGAGGTGCATGTGTAGCTCTCACGATACATGAAGGTAACCGCCAAAGATGGCAGGTATTTTTTATTTATTCATTTAGAGTTCTTCTTTTTGCACTAGGAACGAAAAAGCTTGTTGATGTCGAAATACCGGCATGCTGAAGTATTCCATCTATGTCGGCCGGTTCAATCTAGGGCACGAGGCCAGTTGTGGTTGTGATAAACAAAACCTTCTTTAAAGCCATCCACGGTTTCAAATTCGGCGCTCATTTGGAACCCGAATTCGACATTGATTCAGCCGAATGGAAGGAAGAGGCCATGTGAATCGGAGCACGAGGGTAAAACATGCAAACGTCGATCGAACTGCGCCTCCGTTTTCTTGTGGCATGTTAATTTATCGATATCTAGTTAATTGATGTCCCGTCGTAGGGACTACCAAGCTAGTAGGGACTAGGGGTCCGCGGGTCTTTCGCGGGGATGGGTGCGCACGGTAGGAACATTTGCCTGGCAAACTTCTAGGCTCGAAACTTATATCGTCATTCCCCCAACTTTTCTTCGAATACAGCACCGTTAACGCTGCACTATGCCTAACTGAAGTAATTTCTATAATCCGGAAGGAGTAGAGGAACGACAATGATGAAACAATCCTAACGAAGCAGGTTCTAGACAAAAAGACGATGCCATAATCCGCTGCGTATCGAAATTTCAGGGATTACTTACTAAATCGCCTTGGAAAAGGGTCCTTTTTCGTATTGATTCGATTCGATTCTTATCTAAATCCGAATTATATTCTAGCCTCCCGTCCAATTTCCCTAGCTTGTCCGTTGAAAAACATTCTTAAAGAAAACATCAGACGATAGCTAGAAAAGTGTATACTTCACCGTTTCTTTTCCTACGGTAAACAATGAAACCGAGACATCATAAAATTGGATCGATTGATAATATCTCGGACTCCCACAAACCCGGTACCGCGGCACGCGGAGTATCAATCAATCCATGACAACTAGCTTTGATAATCTGGCAAAAAACTACTCAACCGCGCATGCCCCGACTTAAAACAAGTTTTATCGTGAACGGTAATTATAACCTCAGCACTGCCATCACATCTACGTATGCCATTCTACACAAAATATATGAGGCATTATCTATGCATGCTCAATATCAATATTACCAAGCCGAAGCATAGCCTCCCTTAGCCATAGTTAGACCAGAAGGAAAAGCCTCAAACCTATTTTTTATCACAACTTAAACAAATATAATGTCGTAAAAGAAACTTTAAAAAAAAAACATTTGAAGAAATTATATTTCGCTTCGCTTAAGCGCACATGCCTCCCTATCCCCGTCTCCAGAAAACGTTAAATCATACTCCCCACCTCTTGCATGCATCTGCAGATCATGTTGTAGGGCCTTATTTTCTTTTCTTCCCTAAGATTGGCTCAATTCAGGGACGACCCGACAGATCTAGAGAGTGACTGATGTAACAAGGCGGGAGAAGAAAAATGCCGCATTGGTTTTCGTTTCTAGTCTCGTGCCTCTTTACAATCGATCAATGAGTGAGAGATTTATGATGATTACTATTATTCAGGTCTATATCTGTGGGGTATGTATCTATACATGTGATAGCTCGAGTGATAAAAAGCTAGCGAGTAGACACTGACGCTATGCCTCTAGTATATCTAAACAAGCAGGCTGTGTTAAGGGACCCCCACTACTCTCCTCACTATAATTGGGAAAGTGGGATGTCTCACTGCAACCCCCCCTCCCCGAAAGCAGGGACACCTCACAAGACTTCTAACCTTGTAACAATAAAAAGCTTATCGAAGAAATTGTCCCCGATTCCGTCGGTAAACTCTTTAGCTTGTAGATGACTGTAGCACAGACTCCCTCAACTTCCGCTTGAATTCCTCCAAGGCTTCCCTCTCTTCCCTCTCGATCTCCTGATCGAACAGTTCCCTCCGAAGTTTCGATGCTCGTGTGATCGATACATGGCTCCGAGTCTGCCCATCAGGCTGACCGGCTAACCCTCGAAGCTTCGACCGAAGTCTACCCTGCCTTGCGAGCTCTAACATCTGCTTGGAATCAGACCCGGGATCTTTAGCTCCGAACTCTGTCTTAAACTCGTCAGGAGTCTCATCCTTTGCTGCCCCATCAGCTCCGGCATTCCTAGCAAGGGCTCGGAGGGTAGCATCCAATTCAACATGGACGGTACCTAGATCTGACTTTGCGGTGAAGAGAGAGTTACTCTCCATCAAAGGGTCGTGTGACGACGCAAAGTTATTGAGAAGAGGGGCAGTGAATGTCGAAACCGGAGGGACAAGGAGGGGTAAGACTGCCTCTTGAACATCCTTCAGCTGGACCGAAAAGGAAGGTGTCGTCATCTTCCAAACTATTTTATCATTCACGATTAGCTTCCCGATCAAACCCAAAATTCTTGTTTGAGCAAAAGATCATGAACAATTAAAAGTAGTGAATATAGGTCAGAAAAGCCGGTTTACTCCTCGCTCATACACTCCGATCGTACACACCCAGCTCCGACGTTCCTCGACGACCGACGAACCGGCTGAGCTTCCGATACAAAGCCCTGCGTTTTGCTCTGACTATGGTACCCGTCAACGCTTCAACCAAACCTTCCAGAATCATAAGTCCAACTCAGAACCCGCGAGCCTCTCAGGTTCGGATCCGGGTACCCACTCCCATGTTATCCGTCCTCCCATAGCCACAGTGAGAGAATACTGCGATGGTCGGGTAGGGAGCTTGGTAGGTACCTGGTGAGGGACATCTAGTTGGTTGGTGAGGCTGACGGAGCGAGAGTGCAGGGTGGAGAGAGCATTCGTCGAATGGATTGACTAAGGTGTCATCATGATACACATAGGTGGTGCTGGATGTTTTTTTTTTTTTTTAAGAGAATTTGATGATTGTGGCTAACCTTATATGGGCACAGCAAGGTGGGAGGGTTACTGTTGAAGACTTTTCCAAAGTTAGCCGATTCCTGCAACTAAAAAGAAAGAAGCAAGTATATAGCATAGTGAATGAGGATTGGTTAAGATCAGAGATTTTGTATCGTTTGGTATATCGTTGGCTTCAGCTTATGGTTCAGAAGCAGAACTGTATAAAGATTTGGTTCTCATCATAGGAGGGAAGTGACAGGGCTTTTTTTCTTGTTCACACATTATAAGGAATTGATACATACCAAGTATAGTAACTTTCTTCTATCGATACTCAATCGAGCATTCCGAGATGAGATTCTTCAAGAGTGTGAAGAACCTAATCCTGCAGCGGCTATGTCGACATCGCTGCTGGCAAAGACGAACCTGTCGTTGATTCTGTTAGTCCAAGCCCCATAATAAATCATATAGTATCGGGAAGAAACAAGAATCAATGTAAATATATTGATAACAATCAGATGGTAGTGCATGTATTGGTTCAATGGCTCACAGAATGCGAGAGTCGCTCGCCAGAACGTGATATGTGAGAATTTTCCTCATATGATAACAGATAGATACGATACAAAGTAATAAGCAAGGAGGAGTATTCATACCTATTCGCGAGAGGACCGGAGTCGTTTTCACGGTCTGCGAGGAGAAGTCGGTCTCTGAGATGTGGAAAGAAGGTTGATGGTGAAGTGAAGAGAAGAGAAGAGAAGAGAAGAGGAAAGGAATTTTTTCCTTCTCAAGTAAACCACAAAAAAAAAGTGCAACCACACACAACGCGCATACCCTGCAACCTCCAAGCACCTGCTCTAACGCTATCTCGCGAGATATCTCGATTCCCATCAGTATCATCTTTATTCATTCACAATGGCAGCTAAAGCTCCAGACAGGCGGCGAAATAACCCGCCTTCGCATGGAACTACACCGCCGGTCTTTCTATCTTCGTCTTCATCGGGGGCTGTAAAACCGAAACAGTCATCGAGGTCGCCTGATGAAATCCGCAAGATCTGTATGTTCTTCCCTCCACATCAATACGCATCCCAGCAATTTAATTGAAATGCTGACCGAAGATTTTGTATATAGTCCTGCGAACTGGTCTCATTTCCTCGGTCACTGGTTCTTCTTTCCTCGAAATCGCGCCTCTCAAACTTTCAGTTTCCGTTTTGGGACCCCGCCCGCTACCAAGGACTTCATCGACACCATTCGCCGCCCAAGCAATCCTAACCACCGAAGTGAAATTCGCACCCTTCGCGTCCACAGTTCGCAGAGGGTATATCCGTGACTCCTCAGAACGAGACCTGGGAAGTAGGCTATACCAGGCTCTCGTGGGGGCAATAAGACGGGAACTTTATCCTAAAAGTAGGATTGAAGTTGTAGTCACAATACTAGACTCTGAAGACGAAGGCGATGATGTTAATACCGTATACATTGAAGAAGGGAAGACAACTGTTGAAACGAAGTTTTGGGATGCAGGAAGGTCGGAGAGGGCGTTGGGAGTTGTGCTGGCTGGGTGTATCACCGCAGCTTCCGCAGCTTTAGCAGATGCAGGGATAGAAATGTTTGATTTAGTCAGCGGTGGGGTCGCGACTTCATTCGTGGACGAAGTTAATTCGAAGGGCAAAGATAAAGGGGACGCCGTTAGCAATAAGCTATACGTGCGAGACCCAGCCATTGCACTGCCAGAGGGAAAGACCCCGTTAGCCACTTGTGTTTTGGGTTATATGGCGGCAAGGGATGAGATCAGTGAGCTATGGATATCGGGGAAAGTAGGGACAAAGAATGGAACGACAGAGATGGATGAGCTAGTAGATGAAGCTATAGCTGCTGCGAGATCAGCAAGAGGGGTGCTGAACGAAGCAGCCAAAGAGAGAGTGCAGTTCATAGTTGATAAGACTGGAACAGCAGTCCCCTCGAAGGGTGAAACCACGGACGTTGAGATGTCCGGATGAAGGAGTGAAGCATCTTAATAGCGAATGTAATTATACTGTATTTGATAGACTTTGATATGATACCCGCAATATAACGCCATTCTAATGCTAATATCCAAACCTATATACCCCCCCAATTCATTACCTCATGGTGTACAAGCCATCTATTCGTCCTCAGCATCACCAGCGTCATCATCGTCATCACCGACCAGTTTCCTGACCTTCCCCACGACATCCATTAATGCCTTGCACGCAGGAGAATCCGGGTAGGCATCGAAGAAACTCTCTCCATAATCACAAGCCATTCCAATCCTCGGGTCCAACGGTACTCTTCCTAAGAACTCTACTCCAACTTCCTTCGCTAGCGCCTCACCTCCTCCCGTTGTAGCCCTGAATATTTGACTCTCGCCCTTACAATTCGGACACACAAATCCGGACATATTCTCAACAATCCCAAGCACCCGTATCCCTGCTTTCCTACAGAAGTCGATTTCCTTTCTAACATCTAACAAGGCTACCTCCTGCGGCGTGGTAACCACAACTGCCCCACTGACACCAGATTCCCTCATATAGGTGTTGACGCTCAAATGCTCATCGCTCGTTCCCGGCGGTGTATCAACCACCAACCAATCCAGCTCGCCCCACTCCACATCCTTCAAAAACCTCTTAATCATCCCGTTCTTCTTTGCCCCTCGCCAGATAATCGCATCATCGGGATTTGGCAGCATGAATTGTATACTCATCAAGCATAAGTTATCCGCCACATAAACGGGACTCCACCCGGAACTACTAACGTGAATGCTTTCATTATCCGCGCCGAGCATTTTGGGTATCGAAGGGCCACATATGTCGATGTCCATTATTCCCACTTGAGTTTCTGGGGATACGGAAGCGAAGCCGTGGGAGAGCATCGTCGAGAAAGTTGACTTGCCGACGCCACCTTTGCCACTGAGGACGAGCAGTTTGTGACGGATCGAGGAAAGGCGGGACGTTATGATTGGGAGATCAGGATCGGGGCCTTTGGGAGCTGAGGCACATATTGCTTGGTTGGGACAACCGGCACAGGCGTCCTAACACTAATTTTAGCATGCATACATGGGGAATTTGGGCTTTTCGATTTCAGATATATGCCACATACTGATTTGCCTGCATTCTGCGACTCAGGGCCGGGGCAATGCTCTATAGGCAAGATTGTTACTAAGCTGTATTCATGACGGCAGGATCAATTTTCTTACCAGGCTCCGGTGCGACAAGCTCCGGTGCAACTTTGGGCGGATCTTTGAGCGAAAGTTCTGGTGGTGGTTGGAACGTGACCATTTTGAAGTTGATGTCTAAAGAAGAAGTGGGATGTCGATGTGAGGCGAAAGTGCGCCCATTTTGAGTTGCGGCCTTACAAATCCAAATTCCAGGCACACTTGTTCGTCGGCCATCTCCTGGCCATTTTCAGATTACAATTTACTAGTCCTAATAGTACATGATCCCAACCCGCGTAAATGTTATACACACTCCCCCAATCAATCTTTTTCACATCTTAACAGGGTGTTCTGCTTATGCAGCCCCGTTGACAGCTGCTAAGCCCTCCGATTCCTCCCTCCTTGTCTTATACATCATTTGTGCCTCCATTTCGCGTTTCTGGACAAACTCAACCTCTGATCTCAGGGTATCTAGTCGCCTTGGAATGGCATCTTCTTCTGAAATTGCCAGAGTCTTAAAGCTGTCAAGTTTGTTCTTTGCATCTAGGACAGCACTATATGCCTCTGTAATCTTCTGTGCGAGAATCTGCTGACGTTTCTGGTAACCGCCCAGAGTTAAACCGAGTTTCTTTTCTAGCTTGTTACCGGCCTCGGCGTTCTTGATGAGGTTCGATTGAACAGCCTGTGAGGGGTATTTCTAGTTAGTTAGGTACTCAAAAGCATGCTTTGTTCGTAGACAGGGTAGGTTATTAGAACTCACATCAAATATGGTTTTCATGACATTCTTTTTGTCCACCTCTTCATCATCGCCATACCCATCCAAACCGGGGAGCCCACCGGACCAATACGCGTTCTCCCACCCGTTTTCATAAGTCTTGTTCATCGTCTTCAAGACATCGGCCGGCAGCTCTACCAGAATCTCCAGCCGCGCTTTCTTGACATGCTCATCCTCTACCTCGCTCAGAGGTTTTGGAACACCAGTAACCTTCCCTCCCTGTACTGGGAATTTCAAGGCATCTGACGCAATTAAGAGAGACATCTCGTTCTGGATAAGGTCCTCCGGCGAAGCCCCACTAGTGGAGAAAGCCTCGTACAAAGCATCTATGTCAAGCACAGTGGGACGGGGCAGACCACGTTGTACCACTTGAGTTCTTCTAGCAAACTCAAGTCTCTCTTGTGCCTCCCTGATAGCCTTTAATCGCTTATCACGCTCCTCAGAATCCTCCTCTATAACTTCAGTCACTGCCTCCCCTTCCGCATCTGGATCATCAATCTCAAATTCCCATTTCTCTTCTTTAGGTTTAGGCAGGTTTGAAAATCCTGCCTGAAGTTGGGATTTTAGAGATGTAAGTCTCATTTTTTGTTCACGGGGAGTTTCACTAACAAACCCGCCCATTCCATTGGCATTGATCGCAAGATTGTCTCTGGGAGTACGCAGGGGAGTCTGACCAGGGAGTCCAGAATGAAGAGGTGTAGCTCCGGGCATGCCTGGCCGCATTGGCGTCGCCATGGGATTGGGAGTAACGATGGCCGACCTCCTTGGTGTCATGCCTTCAAAGCCCGTGGTCCCTTTACCCTCATGCAGAGGGGTATTTTCACCACCTAAGAGAGATGATTGGGTTTCGGTTAGAGCCCTGATATTGCGAATCTCATTCGCAATGTGATCTTCCTGCGGGGGAGCTCTTGGGGTCCTAATCGGCATGCCGCTGTTGATAACGTTGGTGTAGTCACCAACCAACCCTTTCGTCGATTCATTTTCGCTTGACGAGGCCAACTTATTGGCGTTTGCACCGGCGATGCCCATTTTAACAATATCCTCTAGCTCGGCATCTCCAACTTGTGGCATCGGTAGCACTAGTTGTCGGCGTTTACTCATTTGCTCTGCCTCCCGGATCCGCTGAAGCTGGGCGACCTTTTTCGCAGCCTGAACATCGGCATTCTGTCCTTTCTTCCTACGCTTTGGGTCATTATCATCATCTTGATCACCCTTTCTCTTTGATTGCACGACTGCCTTTCTCGGATCAAAAGCTTGTAGGGTTCTCTCGTTTCTTGCTTGTTCTTCTGATGTGTCGTAGAATCCAGCGGCTGCCTTCTTCTCGAATGGAATGTCGGCATTGTAATCCATCTGACCCTTCTTCCTATTGGTGAGTTTGATGTTGATACCGGCATGTTTTAGCTCACGTCGCTTTTGTAAAACCGCTAGTCGTCGTGATGCCTCTAATTGTCGTTCTCTTGCCTTCCGCTTTGCCTTTTTACCCTGGGTATTGGCAAGACGGGCACGTGCTTCGCTCAACATCTCTTTCTCATCCTCGTCCATATCAATTGCATCGGGCCTATTTCAAGTCAGCGATTGGGCTCTCATACCCAAGGGAGGCCAAGTGAAAGCACATACCGAGCAGGCTTCGTCTCCGGATCAGGGTCCATCTCTCCGGGACGGAGTTTTCTGACCTGGTCGGCCGTAGGTGCCAATGTTTCGGCGCCATCCGGGCCTCCAAGTCCCAGCTCCTCATTCTCCCTAGCCTCTGCATCGTCGAGCAACTTTTGGTATCGTTCAAGACATTGAGTAGCGGTTCTGCCGACAAGAGGGGCGATTGTTCTCCATTGTGTCGGCATCAACTTTGCAAGATGCAGAAGTTTCTCATCCTCTTCTTTGCTCCATTCGATCTATGGTATATATCAGATAGGGGGGCCCACGGTGTGTGAAATGCTATTGTAGAACGATATTCCGTACCTTGCGAATACCGGGATCCAGCCATTCTAGCCATCTTGCCTTGCACTGCTTCGGAGTCTTTCGTGCAAGAAGGGAGGACACACGTGCCCATTGATTGAGTCCGTATTTGGAAACCGAGGCCTTGAGGATTTCATCCTCGACGTTAGTCCAAACGCCACCTATATTAGGGTTAGGAGTCGTGTGCTGCGACGGATTTCAAGGGGAGCATGGGTGAAAGAACACGTACCCTTCACGACCGGCATCTTCGATTGCTTTAAAAGCGAGACGATATCAATAGGCTTAAACGGTGATAGTATAGGATTCAGCCAGAGCGCGGTAGTGGGTGTTGAAGAGATAGCGGCTCGGCGACGCGATGAGGTCAAAAGAAAAGATGATGATTTGAAGATTTCGTGACGAGCGAGCCAAAGTCAAAGTCAAGTCAAAAGGTGTGTGGCCTGCCATGTTCCTGCGGATGTTGCTTTTTCTGTGCGAACGACCAGCAACACAGCAACAGCTGACCTCCCAAACCTAAAACAACTTCAGGCTCGATTTCCTATTTGCCCCGCCAGAATACCGCGGGCAGCCAATCACGGCCTCATCACGGCCTCTGCAGAATCTAGAATGCCTGGAATCAAAGCATCATCGCGGCTGCAGCTAACCGTGCCGTCTTGGCCCTTCGAGTCTCTGCCACAGTAGGAGCAATCGTCGGTCATGTTAGCTGTGTTGGCGCCGCCGTTGTCGAGGCACAAACAATGAAAAGGATTTCGAAGGTGATTGTAACAATCATATCTTGCATTACCGCCAGCGGCTACTTTCGAACTTTCCTCTCGAGCTCTCATCCTTCCTTCCTTCCTTTTTCTTAATTATCGGGTGAGCATCTTATATTCTTTATATCGATCCTTTTTAAATTTATATTATAAGCTTGTTTATAATACCCGACGATATTGGTGCCTGCATGATGCATCTGCACTTGTCTCTGCATTAGAGGAACCACACTATAACCACACTCCTAGACTAGTAGGCACCTAGGAGATTCCTGGGTATACTACCCGGTACTGACCATTTCAACCTAGATCCTCTATAGGAAAGACAAAGGTAAAAAAGGAAAAACCCTTGACCATCTATAGCTATCCCCGTCTTCATATGCAGACCCGGTGCTGGTATGGGACAGATCTTGCAAGGGCAGCCGGCTTACTGAACAGCGCTGTTGTCGACGACGGACCTTAATTGCGCTTGCATTTAAATATAGTTCTTTCTTATTATTCTACTTCCATATCCCCCCTTCTCTACTCTTCTACTCATCACCATCATCTTCTCCCCTGTTCTTGCTCTTTCATCATTATCATTATTCAATTGTATCTGCTTCATTGCATACATAACATAACATCTTACCCGCCTGGTTTACGAGACACAATACAACTGTTCAGCAGAACATCGCCCTGGTTCCGCTGTTTTGTATTATATCGACACAATGGGGCCTGGACAGACAGAATTGGTTCGAGACGAGGAATCCGATGTCTTCATGCTCGATGCTCCTGGAGAACATGTCATGGCTCACGACCTGCTAGAACACATTCTAGATAAACAGGCTCGCGATTTTGCGGCTAGGCTCCCTAATGGCAATGGCTTACTACCAGACAGTATAGATGAATTAAAATTCAAGGAATCTCTCATAGCATCCCAGGTCGAAGAACCGAAGGATGGGAACGATGGTTCTGACAACGAAGGTCATGAACCTGATATCGATTCCGATTCCGAGGAAGACCCCGATGACGCTGCTATTGTCACCCAGACCAAACGAATAGCAAAAGCTAAACAAAAGCAGACCTTTGAAGAATGGTATGCATTTTCTCATAATTGAAAACCAAGAAATGAAGAGGAAGATGAAGAAAAAGATCAATTTTAGATTCTAATACGAAAGACACCCTTTAGGTTCTCCAAAAAGGCCTATGATATTGAAACCAATCCGAAGAAGCTGCCCCAGGATAACGAACTGGTATCTATCAAAGACCTACTCTCTAATACTGCGAAAGCAATTATTACAGATCCTCGAGAGTACCAGTTGGAGCTCTTCGAAAGAGCCAAAATGGACAATACCATAGCCGTCCTAGACACAGGGTCTGGAAAAACACTAATTGCGACTCTCCTTATCCGCTGGATGCTTGAATTAGAGCTCGAAGAACGAAAGAGCGGCAGATCACCCAAAGTCTGCGTTTTCCTTGTACGTACAATTGCTTCTGTATCTAGAAAAGTCTCCTTTGCTAACAGTGTTGCTAGGTCAACTCCGTCACCCTGGTCTTCCAACAGGCTGCGGTTTTGGAATGCAACTTGGATGCCCAAGTTGGGAAGTATTGTGGTGATATGGGTACAGACCTTTGGACCAAATCACAATGGGACGCTAGGTTGAAATCCGATAGGATCATTGTCGCAACTGCGGATATTCTTTGGAACTGCCTGACGCATTCTTTCATTCGCATGAGTGACATCTGTCTCCTAATATTCGATGAATGCCACCACACCAAGAAGCAGCATGCATACGCAAGGTACTTATTTACCAATGCTTTTTGTATCCAGAATCACTATTTCTGATCATCTGAATTTTAGAATTATGAGAGATTTCTACGAGACAGAGAAGGAGGAAAACAGGCCTCGTATATTTGGAATGACGGCTTCCCCAGTAGACGCTCGTGTTGATCCTGTTAAGGCCGCGCAGTAAGTAAATTTATCCTACCTTTGCAAATGTCATATTAATATTATCTAACACAAAAAATAGTCAACTAGAGCGTCTTATGCATAGTCGTATCTGTACTACGAGTAACCCAGCGTATATGAGGAAATTCTTACCCAGACCCGAGGAGATGACCCTCGAATACCAAGGTGTTCCAACGCCAGTGATAACAGAACTCAACTCCAAGCTTTCACCCTACAGGAACACCAAATGTCTTTCTAGTATATTCGGATTTATCGATAATGTCGCTAGCCGTGACCTGGGACCTTGGTGTTCGGACTTTATTTGGCAAGTCACGTTGACTGAACTAGAGTCGGCCCGACAGGAACGTCGCGCAGGAACGAACTCTGCTTCTAATCAGCGGGAAGGTAGTGCGTTTAATTTGGAGGACGTCGACAAGGAAATCCAGTTAATCAAGGAAGCGAGAGCTATTGTCGAGGCGCATGAGTTCCAGGAGCCAAGCTTAGGATCGGGGTCTTTTAGTCCAAAACTTTTTATCCTGCTACGCTTTCTGGTACACGCCTTCGACCAGCATCCTGAATACAAATGCATCATTTTTGTTACCCGACGACACACTGCACAATGTATCCAGGCAATTTTCAAGAAAGTCTTCATACAACATGGAAGAGACCACCTTATCAGGTTGGGAACCTTAGTCGGGAGCAGTGGCCAACATGGAACCGATAGCATGACATTCAGAGCACAGACTCTTGCTCTACATCGCTTCAAAAAAGGTGTCACGAACTGCCTTATTGCAACTGCAGTGGCTGAAGAAGGTTTAGATGTTCCGGATTGTAATTTGGTGATCCGGTTCGATCTCTACGATACTATGATCAAATACGTCCAATCCCGCGGCAGAGCTCGACACGCTACTTCAACCTACATCCATATGGTCGAGCAGAATAACTGGACACATAAAAGAATGGTACAGGACGGCCAAGAAGCCGAGAAAATCATGAAGGAGTTCTGCAGCAAGCTACCAGAGGATAGGTTGTTAGACAAGCAGGCTCCAACAGACATTTTCGGACCTGATCCTACTGATGATATGACTTATATCGTCCCAGAAACTGGTGCTAAATTGACCTTAAACTCCAGTATGCAAATTCTAAACCAATTTGCAGACCATCTAGTAAGTAACAGAGGCTGAACATTGTCTGCAGCGGCACTAACCCTGAATATAGGGAACTGAAGAAGGGATAGCGAGTGAACATGTCATGTACATTGTCCAAGCCCAACCTGGCCATGGCTTCAAGTGTGAAGTCAAAATGCCTGAAATATCGCCTATTAGGTCCGTCCTTGGTGATACCGCTCGATCCAAGGGGGCAGCAAAGCGCCACGCAGCCTTCGAGGCTTGCAAAAAACTCCATCATGGCAAATATTTGGACGACTACCTCATGCCAATCTACACAAAGAGGCTTCGTCCTATGATGGCGAATGCTCACCTTGCAGTTGACTCTCATAAATTGAGTTCCTACCCATCCCAAATAAAACCATCCTTCTGGGATCGTAAAGAACCCCCGGTACCAACAAGGCTCTGGGCTACTTGTCTCACCCTAAGGCACCCGAACCAGCTTGAGAAACCAAGTCAAGGAATATGCCTTGCAACCCGAGACAAGCCTCCCAAATTCCCGTCCTTTACGCTTTATTTTGATCGTGGCGGACAATCACTTGTTGATTGTGTCACAATGGACGATCCTATTATATGCGATGAAAACAAAATTAAACAGTTCAATGAGTTTACGTCTCGTTTCTTCATTGATATTTTCAATAAAGAGTTCGATATACAGACAGAAAAACTCCCATACTGGGTTCTCCCTATTAAGCTCAACAAAACGGTCACATCCGCCTCTTCCATTGACGATATGATCGACTGGGAGCTTGTAATGAATGTGTTCAAGAACCCCGAAGAAAATTTTGACCTCGCGACTACACCCCCAGAGTTTTACTTTGGGAAGTTTGTCATAGATCGTCGACAAGGCTCCCGGAGATTCTATATACTCGATCACGAACCGAAATACCATCCTTACGATCCGATTCCTGAGGGTGCATCGAACGCCCCACATACGGTCAGCATCATTGACTACAGCTACTCAGCAGGAAAGAAAGGATGGCAGAGATGGGTTGGAGACCTCCCTCCAGATCAACCTGTTTTAATCGCTGACCGTGTCTTGCACCGCCTCAATTTCCTCGAAAGGCCAACCGAGCGAGAAAAAACACAGAATACCATGGCCTATGTTGTTCCTTCCCCGTTCAGGGTATCCCCAGTAAGTAGCTATCTAGTAGATTCGATGCATGTGATCCCAACTGACGAAGCAAAATCTCGTAGTTGCCAGCTAAATTCTGTACAATGGGGCTTTTATTCCCGGCAATAATCACGAGGATCGACGCCTACCTCCAAGCTTACGATGTCTGTAAACTTTTTAAGGTGCAAATTGACCTTGAGCTTGCTTTAGAAGCAATCACAAAGGATTCTGACAATACACAAGAGCACGATGAAGAGCCACAGAATAAGCGTCGAGGCATGGTGACAAATTATGAACGGCTAGAGTTCCTGGGCGGTGAGTTGAACAGTACGTGTTTGTGCAAAATATTTCGTTGCTAATGTTTCCTGTTGTCGTAGATTGTTTCTTGAAACTCGGGACAACTATCGCTCTATACTCTACTAACCCTGATCAAGATGAATTCGCTTACCACGTTGAGAGAATGGTACTTGTCTGCAACAGAAGCCTTTACGAGCGCGCTGTTGAGCTCGAGTTGTACAAGTATATTCAAAGCGAAGGATTTTCCAGGTTTGTCTCCTCTCATAAGCTTGTGGTGTATCAAATAGTGGTTAGCTGATTTTTATCCTTAGACGTCTATGGTACCCGATGATAACACTCATCAAGGGAAAGGCAGTGGGGAAAACTGAATCGCAAAGAACCCATCGATTGAGCGACAAGTCTATGGCTGATGTATGCGAGGCGCTGATCGGGGCGTCGCTGTGTGGAGGCGGGCTTGATATGGCCGCACGTATGGTGACCACTCTTGTCAACAAGTCCATTCATAAAGTCAACAGTTTCAAAGATTATTATTCCCTTTATACTCTCCCGGAATATCAAATAGGTCCAGTCAATGCATCCCAGCAAGAACTTGCGGACAAGATTGAAAGAGACATGGGGTATAAGTTTAAATACCCCCGTCTACTCAGATCTGCGTTTACACACCCTTCCTTTCCGACCATGTGGGAGAAGATTCCTTGTTACGAGAGACTTGAGTTCTTGGGGGATGCTTTGATTGATATGGCGTGTGTTGAAGACCTTTGGGAAAGATTTCCTGGTAAAGATCCTCAATGGTTGACGGAACACAAGGTACATCCCTTTACTGTTATCCTTACTTGAACTGAACTTTAGCTCTTAACCACGATTTTAAAACAATTTTAGATGAGTATGATCAACAACCGTTTCCAAGGAGCTTTGTCGGTCAAACTCAAGTTCCACACTCATCTTCGCGCAATGGGCGCCCATATCAATTCAGCTGTCCAGGAGTATGTACAGCTTATCGAAGAGGCTCGAATTGCCTCTAATGATTCTGTTGACTATTGGATTGACGCCAAGCAGCCACCCAAGGTAAGACAAAATAATCTCTCTTTTTTTGATTAATTTATGGCTAAACCTAGGTATTAAAAGGTCCTCCCCGATATATTGGAAGCTTACGTCGGGGCTATCTTCGTTGATTCGGGCTTCAACTACGATGTGGTCACCAGTTTTTTCCGCACTCACGTTCGTCCTTTCTTCACTGATATGTCCATATTTGACTCCTTTGCCGGCAATCACCCAGTCACTCATCTGACTACACGCATGACAGAGCTTGGATGTAGTGACTTCCGTATCTTCTCAAAGGAGTACAAGGATCGGGACAAGAGCTATGTTTTAAGCGTCGTCATCTTCCACGACAAAATCCTAGCGGAGGGTAAAGCCTCCTCCAAAAAGAACTCAAGAACCAATGCGGCTAAACATAGTTTGGAGAAATTGGCCACAATGTCGGCAGCTGAGTTCCGGAAGAAGTGCACCTGTGATGAGATACGGAAAGCCGAGGCGGAAGAAAGGGAGGAGGAAAGGGCGAAGAGGGCGTTTGAAAGGGAGAATATGGAACTATAACGCCTTGGTTTCTCATCCTCTTTTTTAATAGCCCTCTAAGCAACCGTCTTCTCCCTTTTGTCCCCCCAAAGTTTCTTTCCTCCTCCTCTTCTTCTTCTTCTCCCGCTTCACCTTCCCCTTTCTTCTCTTTCCTTCTCTTCTCTTTTCTCGATACATACTCCCAGGCTACATATCTACTGACCAATCGACCTAGGACACTTCTATTCTACTGCCGAAAGCAGAATATTAATGCCCCGGGCATTAAAGTCCTGGTTTGGGCAGTAGAATGCAAGTTCCAGGCCTTTTGGTTCGATTGATTGGAGCCTTGGGTATTCGCCGAGATCCCGCTCTTCTTTCAAACCAATCATAAATCTGTTTCCATTTTATTCCTATGATAAGTTTCGTCCAGGTAGGTAGGTTAGGTGGATGTTGTTAACGAATGATAGAACTAGCATACGACACCAACCTTTAGACTGTTGATTGTTCATGCGATATATCGAAAGAATGCTGTGAGCGATCACGATGTGTGGAGATAATTGGTTCGACGTGAAGGAGATAATATCGCATGTGGTTTTTTTTCTCTTCCTTTTTTCTTCTGTGCCCTTTCTTTCTTTCCTTTATTGGTGAACGATGGGTATTCGTACCTGAATTGAGGTGACTCCAAAACAGTGCGATTCATCGATGTTACTGTATATCAGAAAGCGAGAATGTATTGATGATGCCTAGGATTGTTCTGTTTTTGTCCCCGGCATTAAATCTTGCCTTATAGATATCGATGTCAATTCTAGAATAGGTAGACGCTCAAAACAAAACAATAGATTGAAATTTCCGACTGGCCAGGACTATATATCTACCAAAAGATCTAGATCCTAATTGATTAAATATATTTTATACGTAGTATAGTCTCACGATCGTATTGGTTTTATCGAACCTCGCGCCGTCGGCAATTGCAAGATCACATATATAAATTAGTGTGCAGCTTGAACAGTTAATTGTCGAAACATTATCATTAGCATTATTATGTCCTTTTTTCCCCCGCTCAAGCTTCAATTACAAAATGAATTATATACCTACTAACCAGGTGGGTAGGTTATGACAATCAAAGCTTAAAAACGAATGAATGATATTAATACACCAAGGTATCGTGTTAAGGGTGGCGAAAAGGAAACGGCTATACAAAAGTCGCAAAAAGAGAGAAACCGAGACTAGAGAGATATACCAAAGTATGATGTTTTCATAGGAAAAGAAAGCTTCAAAGAGGAACAGATATATTATTTATTACGGTCGTAGAAGTAACTCGTACTAGGAGGATGGGAGAGGGGGGCCAAAAAAAAAAAAAAGCGAAAGAAAGAAAGAAAGAACGAGTGTGGTAAACTACTCCTATAACATGACATCCCCCCTTCCCCTGTTCGTTTGAATACCATAAAAGAAAGATTTACACAAGTATATTCCTATTTATTCGCTTTGCAAGTTGCAAAAACAAGAAAAAAAAGAAAAAGGAGGTCACCATCCAATCTACCAATGGTCCAAAGAAGCAATGACGACAGAGAAAAAGATGTCGCTTCAATAAAAAACGAGTTAAGGTGAGTGTAACGAAGTAGAGGAGGAAAAGAGAAATGGAAAAGAGGAAGATAACAAAAAGCGAGAGTGAGACTCCGTTTCCAAACCCCCTTCCATTCGAAGACACCGGAATGAAATAAACCCCCGCAGATGCATTGTTTGTGGTTATTATTATGATGAAAAAAGGTGCCCGGTGAGCTGGTATCTTATTTCAAAGGACGGTTCACCATGGGTGAGTGATTTCCAGAGAAGTTCGTATACGTAAACTAGCTTAGACAGCAATAGTATCGCTCTTCTTCCTGTTCTGGTCAAGGCTCTTCCTGAACTTTCGGGTGGGAGTTGGCTGGGGCTGGGGCTGTCTCGTCGACCATCCGATTGGCCCTTCCCAATACCTCCTATTCACATTGATCAACATCCTCCCGATGGTACCCTGGATACCTTCGCCATTTCTGCCAGTAAATGGGGGATTCGAAGGGGTAGCGGAATCTCGGACAACTTGTCGGGCATAGGCAAGAACAACAAGGCAGAAATAAGCGCGAACGACCCATAATCCAGCGATGATAGCCATACTAGTCATAGACTCTGGCTGGTTAAGACCGTTGGCAAATGCGTCAAATGCAGTGGCGCCGGAAATCGTTTCGATATAGGAAGGTGCGGCAGCGTCGGTTCCATCGGCTCCTCCAACAGGGTTGAAAGGGCCACCAGAAAGCCCGGAAATGTCTTCAATCATCTTGCCCGAGTCACCAACGCCCGGGGCGGTAGAAGCATCGGTGAAGGCGGACCTCCGAGGTTCCGAGATGACCATAAACCATGTGATAGCGAATATGGTGGTATACGTGGCATTGATGATGGAGTCGATTAGGTACCAATAGCCGAAGGTGATGTTTGGGAACGGAGTCCTTTTCCGGATGTGAGGTTGGACCCATGCAATGAAGAACACGGCGAGAACAGAGTAGAAATACATCGATACCTGAAGCGCAGATATCTCAGCTCCTAGAAGGAAAAAAAATTGATTGGTTAGGTTCTACCGATGAAGTAATTCAAACATATTACGATGCCGACAAGGAATAGTCGAGCGGGAGCTTACCTGTGAAGATAGCTAATAAGCCATAAAAGCCGGAAGCTTTGTTGAATAACGAGCATAATAAGATAAGTTCTGCGCCAACCTTGAGATCCAAGAAGCCGAGAAAGTGCTGTAGTCGCAAACGACAGTTCCAGCCGTTAGCCACCTATACCATCGCAGAAACCACATCGCAAGAAATCCTGCACTTTTAAACGGTAGAAGTTAGAGTCGGGAGTATACCTTCGGTCGTGGCAATAGTATCCGGGATAGAGAGAACATGGTGGATAGTGAGATGTCGAAGGTGGTAGGAGGTTGGTGCGAACTTCTGAAATTATTCGCTCTGGACTTTCGTATTAATGACGAGACGTTTGTTCGGAAGAGCCAGGGAACTGGTTTTGGCTAAAAATAGAAGACTAGAAGATTACTGTGGGGAAAGAAATGATTTCGGACTATCAACTGATCGATCTGTGTATCTCTCGTGGCCTGAAGAATGCGAATTCGATGAGATTTGAAGATGTTTGCGACTCCAAAGAGGAGTTGAGATGCACGAATCCGAGAAGGGGAAGAATACGGCGCTTAGGAAGGGTATATTTGTCGGAAACGGCCGGGAATGATATAAACCGAATCTGTCGAGGGCAGAAGGTGTATATGGGGCGATAGGATGGACTGGATGTCGTATCAGTCGAGGGGTGGTCGAGGCGGGCGATGATGGTAAGGATGATGAGGTTGATGAGAAGGATGATGGAGGAACAGTGGATGGACGGATGGTGACTATTGTTGTTGTTGGAAGGGAAGAAAGAGGGAGAGTCTCGGTCTCACCTTTGTTGCCATGAAGTCTTGTCTAGCCCTTGTCTTTCCTGGTCTGTTTCCTGGCCTGTCCTTGTCCCAAACCAAAAAGAACCAACTAAACGAGCCAGTGGATGCCGCTTGCTTCCGGCCCCTGGACGTGTATAACAACCCAGCGAATAGAAGCCCGAATACAATCACCAGCTACGAGGTACGCATGGGAGACCGGAAGAAAGGGGTCCCGGCATTATCTTTTTCCTTTTTTTTTGTCCTAAATTTTTTTTAAAATAAAAAATCCTAGTGAATTGCCTGCTTGGGATATGATAGATATAATACAGTACTATGTAAGGTCCTATGTCTACGGTATGCCCTGACGTCGTACAAAACCGTACTATCACAAACCGGCATCCTGGGACTCAGCCTTATATTATGCTAGCACTCTGACTGGCTCATATATCAGCTAGCAAGTCGGTAAGTACATGTATAACCGTTATAAGTAACGTATAATGTTACTTGTGGCGCGGATGTGCATACGTACACACCCGCAGGGCACACGCGGTCTAGCTAGTGTATACCTCCTAGGTATCAATACATATGCATAGTACAGAAATTTGTGTGTATCTTCATAATCGATTCCATTACGTATACGTTAATTTTGTATTAAACAAGAGTGAATCAGTCAGTGGCCCGCAGAAACTGTTCTCAAATAACAGGCGGGTTGGAAGCAGTCAGAGAGTAAGCAGAATAATGATAAGGACAACAGAGGTAGCAGCAGCAGTGGTAGGGATAGGAGTCTATAGCTAAATTCAAGGGGAAAGCAAAGGAAGTTGAAGAGATCAAGCAAATATCAGCAGACACCGCCCAAGAAAGACAGCATTTTTGTGTGCAAGGAAACCATTGAAATATCACCGTGTATGGCCTCCAATAAATCCCATCCATGAACCAGAATTAAAATAGAGTAGAAAGCAAGATATAACCAAAAAAAAACAATAGTCTATATTTTAGAAGATTTTTTTTCCACACCCGAACCCCTCTTTAAACCGGAAAGGAAAAGAAAGAAGAAAAAAGGAAGGAAGGAAACGGCGAGGACCAGAAAATGATCGAAAGTAGTGGAGATATGTGTTTGTGAACCATATTGTTTGAAGGATATGAGGAGAGAGGAAAGAGAATCGAAGTATAACGGGAGAACGATAATTAGGCAAGTTGTCGTGTGATCCAGGTCATTAGAAAGAACGATACCAAAAGAGAGAAAGATAGAGAGGAAAGAGGAGAACAATGAGAAAGATTCCAATGTCCAGCCGGACAGAAAGGGAATCCATATTATGTATGTAGGGTCGCACAGGCGGGAGCTCGAGAGCTCTTAGATGGACGCAAAGCTTGTGGCCGCACTGCTTCCAGTGTCATCTGGTGCCGACTTGTCCTTGTATATCGCGACAATTATGCCGTTGTTTCCTTTCCTCAGCAGCACTTTCCTATAGTACCCGGGCCAAAGGATTAGTACCTAGGTATGTACGTCTGTGCTGAAACTTAAGGCATCAAAGCTCTAAAGTTTGCTTCTAAAAAACCCTCATTGAAAGTTTTTTTTTTCCCTTCACACTCCTTGTGTATGATGAGACAATTGGGAATTGAAGGATATCCATTACGTACGAGTCTTTGTGCAGGACGGCACCAATGCTGTCCTTCTTCAGCGCTGATCTAGCGGCAATTGTAAGATATGTAGCATCAGCTTCTGTAGCTTTTCCCCGAGCTATAATTTTTTTTTCAAAAGATAATTGTTAGTAAATTTTCCTTTTGAAATGAAGCGGATGGTAATTCGGGGCGGTGGTACGAACAGCCAAGACATAACCCGGAGGTCGAATCTATGATCAGGGCCCCGATGACATGCGGCGATGTCATCCTATTGGTCGTTTTTGTTCACTGTCAGCTGGATCACACCCACAGACTAAATTTTTTCTTCTCTTTCTTCCCACCTTCCCTTGCCTACCCCAGAAAAGTAATTCGTTTTTTTTGTGAAAAAAAAAAAAAAAAAAAAAAAAACTTAGACAGTCTTTGTTGTTGAGGATTGTGATACCCCCATACAATCCAGCTCCCCGAAAGCTACAACCTCGCGTATCATATCGTATCTGGGAGGCAAATATGATATGATATAGTATACCCCCAATACATACATACATACAGACATCCCATCCTTAAGCCTCTTTCCCACGGAATTGGGAGTAGAAGCAAGCCAAGAAAGCGTGTAATAATCCGGGGAAGGAGACGAGACGAGGCAGGCTTACATTGCATCCAAGGTTTTTGATATACCAGCTGCATCCATTTTTGCTAGGTTGTTCCCTGACGTCTGAACCGCGCCGTAACGTGTATTGTGTATTGTAGGAAGCTTCTCTCTGTATGGGTGTTGATCGTCGGACCTGCTAACAAGTTGAGAATGCAGCAATGACTTAAGTAGTAGGTAGCTGCGAGGTAGATATAGATAAGTATGTAGATATTGAACGAGAGAGTTTCTGAAAGAGAATTCGAAGGAGAAAGAGAGTATCTGCCAAAGAGCGAAGTGATGTCGAAATAAACGCCTTCTTCTTTTGGAAGTATACGATGAGCTCTATCGGAAAGGGTAGGAATAAATCAATATAAAAAATAAAGTATATAAGTCAAAAAAAATAGAAAATTAAGATAAAAGAATAAAAAAAATATAGAATAAAGAATAAAAAGAATAAAAAAAGGACGGCAAGGAGAATTCGAACAGGAAAATGATGTCGCGGGTGAAGGTTTCGAGACCGGTTCGATTCTTCGCTATTCTGCAAAGAGTTGGTTTTTTTTTCTTCTTCTTCTTCTTCTTTTTTTTTCTTTTCTTCTTTTCGTTCTTCCCTCGAAAAAGACTCCCTTCCTTCCCTTCCTTCGGCGTTTTCCTCAGATTTCGTTCCCTTTTGACCGCAGGCTGCTTCCAACTGGAACGCTTAGCTTGCCAGGGCACCTGTCGCCTGGAACCGGTTGTGTTGGGAGGAGGTTGTTCTGGCTCCTCGGGGATATTGATCGAATCTGGAGATTTAGTGGTAGGCAAGTCAGCATATTTTGTCCTTGAGCTCTCGTGTGCTTGTTGACCTGTTTTGCTTCAGCTATTTTCAGAAACAGGAACTGGCCTGACCAAGCTAAGCACTTAAGTAGATACCCGAGAACTTGCTCGTATGGATGTAAGAGGTAAGTGAATAGGTACTTACGTACTAAGTCGGTAATGTAATCAACTACTCGTTAGCTGGCAGCCAACCAGCAATGGTCTGTTTCAAAGGTCTAGAACCGGGACTTTGGCTTCAGTTTAAAAATCCAAAGGAATCTGCACGAAGAATCCCCAAAAATATCAAAAAAAAAAATAAAATGAAAAATAATAAAAGTAAAAAATGAAAAATAAAAAGGAAACAACCAATGAGGACTCCGTACAAGAAAAAGATAGAAAAGCAAGAGAAGCTAGTTTGTTATACGTATATATGTAGTGTAAGTTCAGTCGGTCAGTCAGTAAGTTCAGTCAGTAGTATGTAAGTATATAAGTATGCATGGCCGAAGAAAGGGAAAAGGAAGCCATTCCGGGCGTTCGACCTCTAGCCTTTTAAGCTCATGATCAAGAATATCCACAGAACCTCTATCACACGCTCCCTCTCTCCCTCTCCCTCTCTCTCTATGTACTAGTCTCCTCATCTCCCGTCGCTCGAAGCCCCAACCTTCCTGGCCTGAGCGGAACAAGGAACGCGAAACCTTGACGTTTGCAGAATTTTTATCTTTGGCTTCTTTTTCTGTTCCGTGCGTGCGTTCCTGGTGGGTATGTAGGGAACAAGGGTGCATTCGCTTTCTGGGACCCCATTAATACTCCAGTTAACTCCATAGTACCTACCTATAAGACGGTTAAAGTCGAGGGTTAATATAAGTAGCACCTCGTTCCATATCACCTTTCCAACGACTTCACACATCGTCATCATAAATTGTTCGTTCACCTGCTGTTTCGCCGCCGCCGCCGCCGTGTGAATGAATCAATGAATGAATATCAATCAAACACACCCGGCTTTTCCCTTTTCTTTTCTTCTTGTCACCGTTTTAATCCACAATTGTAATTTCGTCAAGGGGAAACAAAGGCGATTCCGGGTATATTTCTCAGCCAGAACTGTGGAGCAAGTGGAGAAACAAAAAGGTTTCGACGGGTTGCAAGGATTGTTTGGGACTAGAGGTTGCTGGAGATGACATTCTGTAGTGGTTGCCATCCATAATCTGGTCAAATATTTCGAAAGAAATCTACCTGTCGTGGGCCGAGGGGAATCGAACTTCTGATGCCTTTCTCCTCTCAGAGAACAAATGATTTTCTTAAAAAGAAACCGACACCCTGCTGGACGAAACCTGAAGTTGTGCAAGGCAATGCCGGAAGCCGTGTAACATCAGCCCCGTCTGATAATAAAATCACCCTCCCATTGTACTATATGTGGTTTGAAAGAACAAGTGTCGGAAGACTAGTCTCGGTTGACGTCCTCGTCGACGATGCCTGAGATATATTGGCAACTAATATGATATATGATCCATATTGTTACAACGTGAAAACGAGAAAGAGAGAAAAAAAGACTTGCAGGTTAGGCAAACATCGAGAGAGCGGAATTAACTGGTGACCAGGGTTACATTCCCACTCTAATCATGCCAGAGTCCATGGCCAGGGTAAAACGGGAAAAGCCCATCGCCATGTGCATGCTTGCCGGAGTAGGGAAGAAGAAGGTTGAAGTTGCTGGTGCTGCACAAGAACTCGAATCGAAATGCTGCATACACATCAACTGGGTTGCCACGCTCTTCCCCTCTGTCCCACCCAAGCTAGGTAGCTAACAGGCGAGTAAGCGTCAGGGTAATGCACAGTGGCGCATGTGGAGCCCTTATTTTCTCATGTCTTATTAAGATAGCAGGCATAGTTCATGTACAATATATGCATGTTCATCAGGCGATTTGCAAGCCTTTGGCCTTCCGGCTTTTTTACCAATCGCTTCACTTCGTGTTCGTCTACGTCCCAGACCATGCCGAGTGAACGGAGGGTGGAAGATCCAAAGAATGCCGCGAGACAAGGATATTTTTCCGTTCGAATCGGAACGACATGTCAAAAACACCATATTCGAAACAAACCGCTCCAGAGTGGGGTGCGAAATATATGTGCTTACAAGCAGGAGATACGTCCCAAAGAAGCTTGTCCGTTCGCATCTGATAATATTCGGCCACTCGGAGAAAAGTCCAACGAGCGAGAGGGCTGAAATTGGACTGGGTTTCTGGTCCGACGACGCCTGCTCGCCTCGAGAAAAAGTCCCAACTAGTGGAACCGGCGGGCTAGCCTGTTGAATATTTTGGGACCTGAACTAATTTCTGCTTGAACATTTGAGCTTTGACCCCTCGTTTTTCTGAAGCTTTGCTGCAAGGCCGTTTGGCCAGGCTAGAAACTACTTAGAAAAAAAGACCGTTGAACGAATTAACCGGAACAAAAAATCCAGACGTTTCAGTGGTGCGGAACTGACAAACCCGAATCGATTCTCGACCACCAAATCTCGATTTTGTCCTTGGCGGGGTCTCTTGCATCATATCATATCATATCGTTATTGTCACGGCATCTATATCAGACGTGACCAACGGTCTGGCCGGGATCATGAAATAATAAAGCTTGTAAACAAGAAGAGCTCGTTTCTGTTGTTTGAGCTAGAGCAGGAGCCGATAGAAAAGGTTTGGTATAGGTGGAATGCAAGCTTCAACTGCAAGCATCTTGAAATGAGAGAAAAATAATGGCTGCAACCCTCTCTGCTTGAAGCGTGATCATGCAACCGAACTGCACAGTACTATAACAAGTACATAATGGAAACGGTTTCGAAGAAATGGGGGGGACTGAAATGCCGACGAGCAAGGAGGGCTTTCAGGATTCATGTTTTTTCGACTCCACTTTGAACGACGGAGCTAGGGAAGGATAGAGACTTGTAAATATGTACAATACATGCATTTCAAGTCCCGGACCGGCCATAGTCAGCCTACTAGTCATGTAAGTACGAAGTAGCGCGCGTACGTATGTAAGTACCAAAATAAATTTTGGATATCTCCCAAGAAGCCTAGGTCTAGGACAACAAAGGAAGATGCATATGCATCCAAGACTTGCAAGCTCAAATACTTACAGGGTTCATTCCTTCAAGGCACTACCGGACTATCAAATGCTCTCGATCCAGTTATGCATATATGAGTTCCCGCACAAAACCGGTTGACGGATTTCGACGGATTCAAATGGCCCGGTATGTTCACGTTAACCTCGGGATGGTATGGCGGGGGATATCACACGTTTGTCGGTGATTTAACTGACCCCATCGTGGTTTTCGTGAGTGATTAAATTGAACCTCGACGCTGCAACGTAGTGCAGCTCAGAGCTGAACATGAGAAGAGTCTAGTTAGCCTCGCTGTAGAAGCAATTGGCACTGACAGGGATTATATACAAAAATCCACTGCGGGACGGGTCGAAGAAACGAGGGATATCCCAGTGATTGTCAGAAGTAAACTGGAAGACGTGAAGACTTGACTCGTCGGCAAGTCTATGTACCCGAAGATACAAGGTCGGAACCTATCTTTAGTTTTTTGTGAAGTTTAGAATTTAGTCCTATTGTTGAAATATCCTGATAGGTATTGTATCGATATGCACTTACCAAGAAGTATCCTTATGCATTGCATGGCCGTAGCTGGCTACCTAGTACTTATGACGAATACGTACTTAGTAAGTACTTAGCTGTGAGGGGTGCTGGTCGAGCAGAGCCGCATGCCGGCCTTCAACTAAAGCGGCGGCCTGTGTGTTGCCAGCTATCGATAAGCTCCGCTCAGTCCAATGGACCCCTGCAAAAATTATTTCGCTTTATTGCGTCCCAAGCCAAAACTTCTGCTGGAACTTCTGCGACAGCTTCAACCTCCAATAGACGACCTCATACTACCTTGCCTCACTCATCTACTTGACAGTCTCAGAATCAACATCCAACATCAACATCAACATCAACATCAACATCAACATCAACATCAACGCCACCCTAATATCGACATCAAACATCTACATCTACATCTCATCTATTAGCTTTCTAGAATGGTCGGCGATACCGCTAAAAAACGGAGAAAGCAGCCTGAGCCACGTGCTGGCCGTAAATCCTCTGCTACAACATTCTTTTCCTGGGCAAATCCTCAACCCGACATCTCTATAAACTCTGCAGAATCCGAAATCCTACGGGACCAAAAGATCCTCCCGATCATCTCAGGAATACAAGCCGGTTCCCCGGCTGAAAAAAAACAGCATCTTATAGCAGCTTGTTCTATCATAGAAGATCCAATCTGTAGAAAACTGCTATTGAAACAGCATATTATCCAAATTATCCTCGACAAGGTCTTGGCAGACTCCTCCCAGGAAGTCGTAACAGCAGGATGGGCTCTTCTGAACAAAATCGTCTTGTACGAAGGATACGATATCTCCCTACACTTGTATAGGAAAGGTATCTTTAGCCAAATTATTGGAGCTATCACGACGGTTGGTGGAATCCCTCCTGGATCGGTGGAATACTCTGACTAACCTCGTCTCCTAGATCAAATCCGGAGTTTCTGCTTTAGCCACACAACCGAAATCACTGTCACCGTCTGATCAGACCTTGTTATGGGATTACACAAGCAGTGTCCTATCACTCCTTACAAAGCTGAGCGAGACTACGAAAGAGATACTGGACAGGGTCTCGAACGAAGACGTACTCTTGCTCGCTTCTGCTTTATTGGGCTTGAAAATCGGTGGACATAAAATATCAGTCCCCGAGAATGTCCAAATCGCGGCCGTTATTCTGCTCGACAGAGTCACAGATCAAAATCCGATTGCTTATGACTTGCTGGTTAAAGACCCAGGATTTGTAGGAAATTTGATGAGAATCTACACTGCAAAAGTTGAGGATGCTCCCTTGAAGATAGCAGCCACTTGCAGTACATTACATAATGTTATTTCTCAAAGCCTTGCCCTCGCCGATGACTTAGCAGAAGACAATAAAATCGCCGATGCACGACTCATTGCACCTTTAACTGCTATTATCCAAGCCGTTCTCTCAAAACAATCACCCTCTCAGGAAGAGCAACAGGCACTATTTCTATCCTTGGAAACCCTTTCCGATGTCGCAGATTGTACCGTAGAAACATTTGGTCACAATGCTCCTGGTAATACTAATGGTATCCAGCGTAAGACACCCGGCGATCGCAGCAGTCCACACTCAGATTTGGACATGGAGGATGATGATCTGTTAGAAGATGAAGATGAAGATGAAGATGAAGATGACGAAGAGAACGAGGAGGATGTTCAGGAGGATGATGGCGGTGACGATGAGAACGCCTCAGACGAAGAACTCCCCGACGACCTTGGAGCGGACATGGCTATGGTCACTGGTGAAGAAGGAACTACAGCTCGCGCTTCTAAGAAAAAGCCGTTCGATTCACCAGAACTCGAGTTCCTCCTCGTCGCCACAGTACCCGCTGTCCTTCCTATAGCTACCTCAACCCCATCCTCAGAGCCCGAGCGCAACATTAAACTCACTACAATATCACTCCTCTCCGCCATAGCCCGTGCCTTCGCTCTCCTCTGCTCAAAAACTCACAAATGCAAATTTACACTATCACAGTCTCTTCAGCAATCCTATCTCCCCTCTACCCACGAAATTTGGAACATCCTTATCACCCCTATTCTTTGTTCCAACTCGGCAGATCTCAAACTAGCGGAAAAAATCACAGAGCTCGCATCCCACATCACAGCATTCACACCATCAGTTTCTGTCTCAAACAATCAACATAAATCCTTCCTAGCCCTTTACAACGCTACGGCTTCCATCCCACTAAAAGTTCTCTGCGTCAAAGTACTTTCAAACTTGGCGCGATGCCAGGGAACCGATCGTATCGAGGTCAACAAGGAGTTAGGTACCTTCTTCATGACTACTGTTAACAAATTACCATTCTACGGCGACGCCGAACCTGCAGATTTACCAGCCCCAGAAGTCATTATTGAATGCTTGAATGCTGTGTATGATGTCTACGATGATGTGGATAATGACTACGATGAAGAAGTCTTTGTAAAACTCGGCTTTTTGAAATATCTCAAAAGCTTTGTTGGGAGGTTGAGAGCTATGGTATGTTATAATCCTTCCCACAAGAGAAAAGAAATAGGTGTATGAAGATACTAACTAAATTTGAATAGGCTAAGAAAGTCGATAGACGTACGCGATTCGAACTTCGAGAGAGTGCAGACGAGGCACTCATCAACCTTACCGAGTTTGTCAAATACAAAACCGCGGAGAGGGAGGAAATATAGTTTCCTCCTACCGTAAAAAAGAAAAAAAGAAAAAGTAAAATTATTGAATCGAACATGTAAAGTAGCGTGTTACCACGGAGTCGTGTATACTATTGTCACTTTCTTCGCAAAATCAAAATAGGAATAGAAAAAAGTAACGTTGATAGGGAATATGAATTTGAAATCAAGTACTAAAGTCTGGTGAAATAGAGTATGTAGTATTTGTTTTTTTTTGATTGAATTATAATTCAACAGCATGCAGAAAAGAAGTATTCTGCAAATAAGGATGGCCATGGATGGTAGTTCAGTAGTAATACCGATTTCTATATAGCCTAGCTAGTCGCCCCTATCCGATAAGCTAATATACTTACATGCGAGGCAGTAACATGATGATTTCTTCTTTGTTTATTTTCCATCAATCAATAAAAGAGGTCCTACGAGTCTTGCTCTGCTTCCCATTCAGGATTCTGTAAATAAAAAGAAAGAATCGATGTTAGCGAGCTGCACATATCACTCTTAAAATGTTATCTTTAGGAACATACCTTCTTCAAAATCACCAAACCCTCCATACTACTAGCCAAAGAGATATACTGCTCGTCCTCCAACTCCGCTCTCTCGCCGTATGCCAAGAGCACAGGTGTACTCTGTGTCTGCCACCCAGTGATGGTCTTCGGCCGACCAGCCTGTCCCACAACATCAACAGCCTGTCCGACTCTCACATTCACAGCTAGTGGCTTCAAATCCTCGTCTAGAGTGACCAAAAATCTCGGCTGCATGGCTGGAACAAGGAAGAACAACAAGTAATGTGCATCCGACAAAATAAAGCTCTTCGCGTCGACAAGACTCACAAGGACTGTGAGTAAACCTGCAACGCTAACCCGGGACATAACCTGTCTGTCGGCATGGAAGGGGTTCATGCCGATGGTACCCTTACCCATATGCAGCAAACCCTGTGCGATTCGAACCATGAACAAAGCATTTTCGTCACGGTGGTAGTAGCTCACAAGACTTCGTAGCAACTGGGCTAATCTCGCATTGTTTGTGCCAGCACCAACAAGACCCATCGCGAAGATAGCATTCAAGGCAACATCATTGTCGTTGTCGTGGCTGTATCTGGAGAGTGTGTCGTAAACGCGCATTTGGGGGTTCGAGGGGGAAAGAAGACCCATGGCGAGCGGGACAGCCTTTCGGATTACACCTTCACCGTAGTGCATAAGGTGACCGAATTGGCGGAGAACCATCTCCTGACCGACATCCTCTCCCATAGCGATCAAGGCAATAGCAAGAACAGCGTAAGACTGGAAGATATCGTCTCCTTCCTTTGATTCCTTGTTGTCTTTATCCTTATTATCTTTGTCGATATGTTCGTTGCAAAGATGTAACATTTGTTGGATTTTGAGGACGTTACCAGTACCAGCGTAGGCACAAGCATTGACAAGGACTTGGGTGTGCTTAGAGAATGGATGGTCGATGGCTTTAAGAGTCTCAATCGTGGTTTCGGCTTCTTCCTGACGGGAAACGAAGAGCAGAGCTAGACCTAAGGATAGGAAGCGTGACCATTTGTCCTTCAGCTCGGCAGGTTCACGTGTGAAGAGGATTTCGAGGATAGAAGAAGAAATATCGCCATTGGAAGAACCGACAAAGATCAAACCAAGGGAGAGAGCAGCGAGGGCGCAAAGTTGGTTATTGCTATCACTGAGAAGGGGAGTGATGAAATCTGCAATATCACTACGATGAGAACCTGCATATGCAAGACCCAGACTAAATAGGAAAAATTAGCAGATGTTTCCACATAAATTGGGACAAGAATCTTACCCCATAATGCCGCTCATTCTAATGTTTGGATTGTCGTGCTCTAAAACACCTGGCTCTGCTAGCAAAGCAAGGGCCGGTTCTGTTTCGCTTCTGGTGCCGGAATTCACCAACCCAATACCCAAGAGAGCACCAGCCTACAGTATGGTTAGTTCACCGTATGGTTTTACCAATGGGGGGATAAAACGTACTCGAATTGGAATTTCGTCGACATAGGTATACTTATCAATGCTCGATAAACCCATCTCAACATCCCATTGCATTAAGAGACCAATCGATGCGGCAGCGGATAATTTTCCGAGATCTTTGTTCTTGTATACCCATGGGCTTGCCTCATCTTCGACCAACATCAACTTGTCCTGACCGAATCCAGCGTTGACAAATGCGTTAACAAATGTAGACGCGAGATTGTGTCTTGCAGAGTCTACGCTGCTAGACGCCCCACCCCTCTGATGCTCTAGATGTGTTTTGTAGATGTCGTCTGGAGTTTTAGGGTCGGCCAAGTTCAGTTCCTTAGCCATGTATTGGAACATCGCCGATAATTTGCTGTTGGTCAAGCACTCAGCGACTTCGTCGTCTTCTGCTGGTGTCAGAGAAATCTGCTGACGTGCGATTATAAAGGCCATTTGCTTTTGGACAAGCAGGTCCTCGGTAGAATCAAAGTCATCTTGAATAAGGTCATGGTCATTAAGTCGGATTGCCAGAACGAGGGCTTGTGTGAGTTTGTTGTATTGTCTGTAAATGTCGTGGGCGGTCCGAAGGAATGCGATGTCTTCGGGGAATGGTAATAGGTTGACCATACTAGAGGATTAATAAAGTCAGCATCTAAGAAATGCATTTATATGCTTTAAAATCTAGATCCCGTACCTAACCATGTAAAGACACGCCCGAGCATATGTGTTCTCGTCCAAGTATTTCGGTAGCACCTCAATCATCTCCAACTCACTGAGCAAATCGACAGCATCGGCTTCGGCGTTGTGTGTTAAAAAATACGGGATAAGAGAAAGAGCTAGGTCGGCGATGTCCTGAGTATCTTCCTCTTTTTCTTGACGTTTGTTGAACAGCGCTCCGATTTCTAATGCTAGATGTCGGACATATTCGTGACCCCACCCGCCGATATCGTTCGTAGGCGATAGTAATCGATATTTCAGCGATTCTTGTCTGTCGTCATCCGAGTATGTCATACCGAGTACGGAAAGAACGTCTGCAAGCATTAACTATCGCCAAGGGAGAATTAGACGCGGTTCTTGAATGGGTATAAGGTAATATCAAAAGATGTACCTTATCATCGTCATTCTTCCACGTATCGTACAACCCTGTAAGGTCATCATAATGAGGTCTCAGGAACTTGAGCGGTTTAGGAACAGCGGTCATCGATGAAGTAGATGTCCGTATAAAGTCTTTGATGGCTTCCAAGGCTGGCTTGTAAAGATTTGAATCGGATTCCTGTATGACACGCGGGAAGCCACCCCAGAGTCAGCTTCACCTCCACATATAATAATCGAGCAATCGACCGAGAACACGTTCGTTCTCACCTTTAACCGTTCTGCTAGCATATCAAGCTCCGATTTAAGCTGTTGGTCTTCTTCCGATAGCTCCTCTATTCCACGATAAGATATCAGCGCTTCCGAGCTCCCCTAGCTTGAATAGCTCCCACGAGCTACATTTCCCCTCGTGGGACAGTATCAGAAATCATCCCACCTTCTTTTGGCTCGCCCTTTGCATCTTTGGTATTTGCATCTTTCATCACGACATCATCTTTCTTTGGTGGGTCGACAACCTTTGCCTTGCCCTTGTCGACGGGACCAGATCCATCCTCGTTTGCCATGTTGGGAAGCGGGTAGTCTGGAGACGAGGATTTGGAGGAGGGGGGGTTATTTTACGGTATCGTCGACGCTATATCGCAAGGGTAATACGATGAACTTCAAAGGCGACGCGTCTTCGATGGAGTTGGAGCTTGTGGTATTGAGGGATGGTGGAGTGGCGAGGTTTGGGGAATGGCGAGTGCAGTTACCTTGTGGTAGTTTGGTGTAGGTATTTTTGGGGCTTTGAAATCCGAGCTGGAAATTGGCACACTCAACGCAAAGGCGAATGACGACGCAGTTACAGATTATGTCAGCCGGGAGGGTATTGCAATCATATCTCGAGATGTCCTATCTCGAATAGTCTTTTTTGTACTTTAGACATAGATATCAAAGATCGTAGTTCAAAATCTACTGAGATAACTACTCGATATCGCGGGGGCATCGATGTATATGGGAGGTCACAGGTGTACAGTGAGAGACTACCCATAGCTAGACCTTGAGCGCATGAGCTCGATAGACTGAATATATCTCCCACTTTATAATCGATACAAATGTAATGCAAACCCAATGCATAATGTGAAAGAACTTAAGCTAGTACATGCTACTTATACAGACAGAAAAATTTCGAACTCCCCTCCCGTCAATGTAGTGATATCGTACATATACGTTTACCATGCATAATCCTAGTGATCCTCTTGTAACCTCTCGCGGGCGTCCGAGACCATTGCATGCCATTTCGTCTTCATAATGATAACTGTCTCGATTATAGCCACCAATAGCAGGGCGAAGCTAACCCCGGACCAAAGTCCCCATAATCCCCTGTCATAGATGACCCATTAGCATGTACTTTTAGCTGCAGAATTTGGATATTCTGGTATCTTACCATCCAAGCTTGAACGCAGCAAAGAACGAAAACGGCAGTGCCAGCGTATAGTACGCAGCAAGATTAACCCAAGCTCCGATTTTCTGTCTACCTTGCCCTCGCAGAATACCGCCAGCTGCAGCTGCTACAGAGTCCCAAAGCTGGAACAAAGCGCAAATAGGGAGTGTGTCGGCAACCAGTTCTAATTTTTGCCCTGGATTAGCTTCGACTCACGACATGTATAAAATGTATTCCAAATACTTACTAATAACAACCGGGTCGTCGCTGAACAATTTGCCGATATCGTGTCTTGTCGTGGTTAATAGGGTCACATTAGCAATCCCGAGTAGCGTGCTGCCCCATAGAGCAACTTGGGAGCATGTCTTTGCTGCATCTCCCAATGTTGCCCCAAGGAAGTTGGCAACTCGAGTCGATGTTGCAATAGAGAGAGCAAACGGGATCTGGAATGTAACAGAGGTGCAAGTCGCTAGAACACTCTGCGCTGCAAGATGCTTGGTCGACAGATAGCTCGCTGCCAAAGTAAGGAGCTCGAATGCAACGAACTCAGACAGAATCATGATGAGGCCGGGGAGCGCCAGTCTAACCATAGGACCCCAGCTTTTGAATGCAATTGCCTTCTTCGAAAATCCTCCCCAGCACTCTGACCCTCTGATAAATACAACATAGAGGAACAGAAGCAAAGGCATCAGCCAATTCGTAATAACTACGGCGGTTGGCGCACCCAAAAACCCAAATCCAATAACCGGATGCCAGACCAAAAGATAGTTCAGCAAGGCGTTAACCGGCGCACATATGAGAAGAATGTATGTCGACGCCATAAAAATGCCCTGCGCCTGAACGAAACGCTTGCCAACCTCCCATGCTGCATATCCTGGCGCCCCAAAAGCCAGAACTCGAAGGTATCCTCCTGCTAACCTGCAAAGTTCGGGGTCCGGTATAATAGGCCTCAGGATCTGCTCGCTGAATTGCCAAACGATACCGATAGGGATGGTAATAAGCAGAAGGAACCAGAAGCAGCGCTGCATGTGTAATCCAACAAGCTTCTTCTTCCCTGAGCCATAAGCCTGGGAGCAGAGAGTATCCAACGACGTAGCGAGACCTTGATATATCGTATATCCAGTAATATTACTTGTCATAGATGCTAAACTCACAGCTGCAAGCTCGTTCGTCCCAAGCTTGCCAACTGAAAATACGCTAGCTACGGTCAAGGAGTATTGTAGTAAAAAGGTTACTATCAGCGGCCCCGAGTATCTCGCCAGCACTTTTGTCTCTCTCTGCCAGGTCGTTGTGATCTTCCCGGCCTCAACGCTGTCCTTCCATTTCGCCGTAGGGTCCACATTGGCGGCGAGGATGTCCGAATCTTCGCTGCTCGATCCCGCGTGCGGTAGCAGTGGATCGCTTTCAGTCGCATCATGCGGCCTCTGCTGCCATGGAAGCCCATGAATGGATCGTTTTCTAGGCAGTATGTGGTTATCGCGCAATAGACTTCGCTCGTCTTCCAAAATTTGCTCTCGCTCCGTGGTGGTAATAAAGCTCGGCGGCAGCGGTGATGATGGGATTAAAGCTGATCGTGTGATCAAAGACCCGCATACTATAGACGCTCTGCGGACAGAGCCTCCAAGTTGATGATTGGGATCAACTGGAATTGTTAAGCCGGCGCTTTCTTCGATATCTTCATCATCTGTATCAGCGAACGGCGAGTTCGGGATCAGAACAGGGTTTCTGGTCGGCGCGGACTTGGATAAGGTAGACATTGTGGCGTATGTCAATGGTATATAACCAGTATCGAATAGATCTACCTCGAAGTTTGAGGGAACATCGATAAATTTGGCCGTTGAAGATGCAGTAAGAATAGAATGACTTTGGCTTTGTTACACAGCATAAAGCTTAAGAGGGTAGTGAAGGAAGGAAGAGAGAAAGAAGTTTCAATGAGCTAAACCCGGGGATAAATGCGAGAATGACTAGAATCGAATTTCTTTCCGAGGAGGGAGTTCACCGGAAACAAAAAAAAAGAGCGAATGCAGGTCTCAGATGTGATAACAGGCGAGCAATGGCGGCATCGCCGTGGGGTTCCCATTTCATAATTTTCGTAGCATTGCCTTCAAATTCCTGTCCGGCCTGGCCTGTCGCTTGCAAGGTTTGACGCATTGGTGCTGCCCATGTGGGAACCCAAATGCACGGAGATGACCTATTGACCAGTAAAACTTAGTCGATAAGCTGGCCCCAGTTTAACTGCCGCTGGTACGAAAAGAGGCCGCCTCCGACCCCGCTGTTTTGGTTTAGACCAACCAAATAGCTTAGGTTATAAACAATTAGGCCGTAGGTTCCATGGATCGATTAAAAGTACGTATCTGGGGAACTACGCGATCGAGCCTCTTACAGTACCAGGCCTGGAGCGCAAGACCGGAGAGCGGCGGGCGCGATATCGATAACAATATATATCTTCGATAGCAATTTTTGCACCTATGATATTATAGGGCTACGGTTATGCTGGAGAACTGGTCCCTTAGGTGTAGACCCATCAAACCACAGGGGTGTCCAGATCCTTCATTCAAAAGCGGGCCGTTTCGTTAGTTTGTATTAAATAGACAAACGGACTGGGATAGTGAACTAACCTGCGGGATATCAAGACTCCATGCATCGTACGATGCTAGTAAAATACTTGGGATAACATCTAATCCATTCCGAGATTCGGCTCCGTCAATAACGTCCATGTTGTAATTCTATTACCCAACACATACGTACGAGAATTCTGTACAAGGCAACGTCCCTTTCATCGACCATGCTCGAGTACCCACAGACAATCATGTGTAACATCAATGATGTATGTTCGAGTGATATCGTGATACATTGTTCCCCCGGCCCTTTAATGTTTTGATTACGTATACGTGTACATCTCGTAGGCTGATTCTTGTTACTATTGTACTTGTATACTACGTATACGTTAAATTTACTTGTACATGTGGGAACTCTAAATTGAAGCCTTTACACGTTGATTAATATATTTAGACTATCTCAGATTTTCTTTTTCCTCTCCTTTATTATAATGACTCTTATTATATATTAATACACTTATTAATATATTATCTGATCTTAAAACACCATGGAGTTTGTAAAGAACAACTGCATGGGTTACTTAGGTGGCTGTCTAGGAATAAACCCATCTTGTAGCTTCCATGGACCCAGTCTAATATGTCATTCATGGTTGGCAATATAAGGATGATTTACCTTTTTTGTTTCGTAGTTTCTTCTAGTGATAGCGCGATTTGATGCACCCGAATAATTAGATTCATTATTCGATATACAGGCCACCCATATGCCTTATGTTTAATCTCAGCTCCATGTATATGGGCTTACGAAGATCGTGTAATAGAATAAACGCTAGCTTTGGGCCGAGACTATTTCGATACGGAGCCTGCCTCTCGATTATTTCACAAGAATACTAGGCTAAAATCTAGATCAGACGGCAAGATGATAGATTCAGACACTAGGAAAATTTATTAGTATGTAGGATGAGTATGCATATAGAGTTGATATGTAGATATACCGGACGGACTGTAACTGAGTACGGTGATATATATCGATGTCAAGTATGCTATTTGGAACAGCCTGGTGTTAGTTCTCGAGATGTTTGACGAGTTCGCTTCGTTTCCATTTCATATTGTACAGTACGGTATGATATCCTGTGATTGAATACGATAGAGCCCTGGATGTTGTGCTTTTGGCAAACTTATAGATATCAGCGGCTAGTACATGCATATCGCATGGCGTCGATGAACCGTATTTCTTTAGTAAGATGCAGTAGCTAGGTGTTCGAGTTAGTTGAGATTTGAAGTACTTGATACGTTGGTTTACTATACAAGGTGTACTGAGGTGGGTCTATCTCAGCGTTCTTTTGTCTGGTCATTCTCAACTCCAGCTCCGATTACATATAGCATCACCAACATCTAGATACGAGGCTGCACCAACCACTGGATTCCGAATACCACTAGCCAAAAATCTACTCGGTTGTAGCATACTATAATAAATAACTACTTCTAGCGGTTGAGCTTGTCAAGGTAACATATTCACAATCATCAATGCAACGAAGTGATGATTTTTAGCTAATTCTTATATTCCCGTATCATATTGGGATATATGCAGCCTCAACCGAACCCCCCAAAGTCATGTGCTGGCTTTTCCAATGGTTCACCAAGGTCAGGGGAAAAAATCATTTCCAAATCCATTTACATCAAATTTCATCATATGTTCTGACACCGTTCAATCCAGTGCCGTCATTTCACCCTCCGTGAACTCAGCGAGTTCGACATGTACAAATACCGCTGCCAGTGCCCAGTGGTCATCAACAACACTCGTGTCCAACGAGTCGAGGGCGAATGCTACATCTGTGAGCTAAAGGCCGAAGGTAGAATCGGAGAAAGGGAATGGCAAGAGGAATTGGAGAGGATGAACAAACATGTCCTGGAGAAGGGTCCGGATCTTAACACTATCAGGGTTTCCTAGCTTGAGGCCCTGGATCTCAAGAGTGGCTAGGGGTGGTCGTTTGTGGAGAAGGGTTTCCCTTTGCAGATATATGCGTCTGCATATTTTATAAATACTATCGATAACAGTGCCAGGGGCATCTTATCGTCTTGAGCTCTCCTATGCGCATGTGCTCCTCCTATCAAAAAGACAAAAATGTTGTCTGATAACGGCACGATTCGGTATCGATCCACGAGCTATTAGGCCCCGTTCCGATTAATCGAGTTTCCTCTACGTTTCGCTCTTTTCCAAGATATTGATACTACCCGGACTTGAGTCAAGCGCTAGCCCGATGCTGGACGTCATAGATCATACCTTGGGATGCCATGCTCCCATAACACCAGACTTCTTGTAGTCAAACAAGGAATTGATAGCCGCCTCCAACCTCTCCTTTCAGATTCTATTATCGATGTCCACGAAATAAACCACGACTAGTACGGTAGTAGTACGTTACCCGATTCGCGGGCTGAACTGAGTCGTGAGCAATCACAATCACAAAAAGCCCATGGGCATGAGCATGGTGGGTACTCCATGTGTATGCAAGTCACAGCACCCATTGCCAGAGCTTAAACCAATCCTGGCCACTCATGTCAGCCCGAGTTTCGAATTTCCAGTTAGTTCTCTTATGAACCCCGCACAAATGCAAAGCCAGCCGGCTTAGCTGTACGTAGTAGCTGCACATACACGGTACATAAGTAAGTACATACGCACATCCTTAAGTAGCCAACCGGAGAGCGGGTCGTGTGATCAGGCCAACCTAGTCAAGAACCCGACATCCGATTCGATTCGAGCCCATCATGGTGATTCCAGCATTGCCTTTGTGTTGCCTTGCCGGCCGTGGGACGGATGAGATGTGTGTCTGGACCCTTTAAAATCACCCGAACCTGCATGAACATACATGGCTATCAGGCAAACCCTTTGCCGAATTTTTCTGTTGGAAGCCGGTCTGTATGCATCCTTGAGAGGTGTGTGTGTATGTGTATGTGCATCTGCGATATCGATGGAGAGCTGATATCAAAGATATCTTTTTGGCTCTCGTTTAAAAACCCTCTGATTCAGGACTACTATCGATAGCGATGTGATATCACACGAAGGTTAGTACTAACAAGCTACAAGTGCGCAGGTAGTGACCCGTGAAAGTTAACAAGAACATGGAATTGCCGCTCACCCTTGCTGGATGGCTGACTTGCCCCAAGTCATATGCATCCCTTGACAGACTTCCACTTCGGACAAAACTCCCCGAGCTCTGCGTATTCAAATTTTCACCTACATAAGTTTGGAACATAAACACCCATAAGGAGGAAATAAGAAGCCTTGCGGAAAAGGATGGTCCGGGAACATAAGTTTTTTCGGAATAGTTGAAGCTTTATAAAGTAGGGCCCATTCGCCCCCCGGATTTTCATTCAAGGTCTTGGATTTCTCTTCTCGTTTGTACTTTGTATATAAAGGATGATGCGGTATTCCTGCGTCATGACGCTAGACTGTACCTATAGCACAATTATTATCCACCATTGCGATATCTTCGTTTCCTTGTACATATTCACGAAATTTGGGAGAAAAGGAACCTTGTCAAAGATAAGAACCTCAACGACGGGCTGTTATCAGAAAGCCACATATTTTTCCGACTCGGCCTAGTTCGCTGTTTTATTCATTTTCAAGTTGCAAATTAGATCGCATCTCTATCCTTCGAACTTGTCCATTGATATCGATATTCTACCATTGCAATTGCAATTGTCGCTTTTCAGAAGATAGCGAAACTTATTACTACAATTCGAAAGAAACCGCTACTACTACTATTGCTACTCGAGAATCCGGCAAATGGCATCGATATTAGGGAATTACGGCACATTCGACCAGAGAACGAACTATGTCCTCGTCGATGAGTAAATACGCCTTTTTGGAACCCCAAAAATCCCAACAATATACTAACAAATCCCCACAGAATCGGCGAAAACTGCAACCTCTTCCTCGCCCGCCCTCTAATTGGGCCTCTGGTATTCGAAAACACAGCTTCAGATGCTAGAGATCATTGCGCCAACGAGCGCAACTTCCTCTCATGGCTCCGATTGTCATCATACCTCGCCATCGTTTCCGTTGCCATAATGACGACCTTCCATTTTACATCCGAACCGACAGAACTTGAGAAGAGGATTGCATTCCCGCTAGGGTTGGTATTCTGGCTACTCGCAATATTGAGTCTTGCCTGCGGTGTGGGAAACTACTTGAAAACGGTGAAGCAATATAGTAGGAAGGTAGCGCTGGTGCAGTCTGGATGGAAGACACAGTTGGTAAGTCCCTAATTGTATTTTTGGTCTTTTAAATACCGATAGATCTTGCGATTGTTAGAGATGCTAACAAACCGTATCATAGCTCGGAGCGGTTGTCGCAGGCACAGTAATCTGCTGCTGTGTACTCTTCCTAGTGAACAATGCCCTCAACGATCACGAATAGAGAAAGCTAGGCCGTCTAATCGGAATAAATCAACCAATTTCTTTAAATCATGTCCAGAAACCTCGCCAGTTACTTCTCAGCACTTCGTTACCCCAACTAAACCAACCTTCCGTCAGATTCCGAGCGAATATTTCACAACACCGAGGATCAGAATTCGGCAGATACGGCTTGATGATACCCTTCAGACAGGGTTTGCGAGAATGGATATCCGGTGTTGCAAATATGACTTTATCTTCCAGCTTTTGTCTATCGTTATTATCACTCGATGCTAGACTGGAAGGTCTAGTGGCGGATAACGGCCGCGCGAGTATGAGGGTTTCATACGGCTTTCGGGCTGGGTGTTCGAGATCAAATATTGGTTCTCCATGAACTGTGATCTTGACCCAAGTCCACTCCGCTACCATCTCTACCCTCCAAGCTGGGAACAGCTTTTCGAGCAGAAATGTTCGCCATTTGGTGCTGTTGGTCATCCAGATACCGACTATCCCGCCGTCGCAGAGGGAATCTGTGACATTGAGTTTGAACAGGTCGTATACATTGAATGTGGAGGTTTTGTACGAGTCCTTATGTTTTGCACGTTTGGCGGAACGGTTATTCCATGGGGGATCAAGAACGACGAAGTCGAAGCCTGGTGTATTTGACGATTTCCCAAATGCAGACCTAAACACTGGCAAAGTGCTCGTGAAGGGTCCGAGGAGGAAAGAGCTTTTCGGAGGGATCATGTATTCATATTCCTTGTCGATAGTGATTTTTAGCGTCATCCAGTCGGATAGCGGATTGTGGTGAATTGATCCGTAGATATCAACCAAGGATATGGCTTGTAATGACACTGGGACCAAGTCGACTTGTGTATCCGTATCGTGGTACGAGATCCATGCTGCTCCCAAATTCTCTTGGAATGCTAGGAGATCAGGTTCTCCACTGTAAACATCATCTGCCAATTGAACATCTGGATCGTTTATCAACGTGTTTTGTAATTGCTCTGATAATCGTAGGGGGAGATGTTGACTGTATTCATTTTGAAGGCGGGCCAAATTGGTCTTGATCCATTCTCTCTTTTTTGTGTGACGCTCCGCCAACGCTGGGTCAAACGGTTCACCAGACTGAGGCTCCGGAATGACCAACGGCACGGTAAGAGGCGCCTTTGAGGGTTTCCGCTGGAGGAAGTACGGCGATGATAGCGATGATACGATGTCGATGAGGACAACTTCGTCGGTCGGCTGGCCGTGGATAATGCCGTTCGATGGCTGTTGCATTATTAATATTGGGCTTTGGGGGGCTTGTTTAGAGTTGAATGTTTCTGATTGGTCTTCTCATGCGGTTGTGTTTGGGCCGAGGTCCATTCGTTCAGGTTGTTAGGTCAAGGAAGGCAGGCGGCGGATTCAAGACCAGGTCGGAATCCGTCCCACTGCTCTTCAAACCAAACAACAAACAGACGTCAGGGGAATCCGAATTCTCAAACAGAGGCAGCCGCGATGGAGTTCATGAGCAACATCTCGTCGGGAATCGACGACAATAAACCCAGTTTGTTCGGTATGTCGGTCATCAGGAGGTCCAGGTCAGGGACAGGGCAAACGCTAACACCGCGACCGTCTTTTGCGCGTCACAGAACTCGTCTCTGAACAACAGCTCCGTGATCTATTGGAGCCGTCTATAAGATACCTTCTCGCCATAATAACCCAACGATATCCCCGATATCTAATTCACATCGTCAACCGATTCGATGAAGCCTACGCTATTGCTATGCTCCTGGTGGAGCGACATTATTTGAAAGCCTGGAATGGCAGTTTTACGGAGAACTTCTACGGCATCAAGCGGGAGAGGGTATTGACGGTGAATGAACTACCATCAACAAACAGAACGGCACCGGGTTCGTTGAGGGAGGCTACAAAATTGGGCGAATTGGACAGTTGGAAAGCATTGTTTGTTATCGTAAGGATTTTGATGATGACAAGTTTTGAAATTGGATGGACGGACAGACGGAACTGATACGGCAACTTTGTACAGGTTGGAGTACCATATCTCAAGCGGAAACTCGATGATTTATACGAAATAAATGCCGGGGGAGCAGCACATAACCTCTTTACAAATTACCGACCGCGGGAGGAGGAACCGGATGAGAATGTAGGACATCCCCTCCATTTGATAGCCTTCAGGATGCAACTGACGCCTCATTTTTATAGGCTACCGCTACAGAGAAGATCATGCATAAGCTGAAAATTGGGTTCCGAAAAGCATATCCAGTGATCAATGCTGCATATTATCTCTCCATGCTGGGTTTCAACCTAGCATATCTCTTTAATAAATCATATTATCATACACCGTTCGATTATATGGTGGGGTTGAGAATGCGAAGGCTTACAGAGGCCGACCATGTTAGTCTCTTCTTCCTTTCGAGAAAGCTAGAAAGGGATGTTAATGCTAACAATTTATTCTAGCGGGCATACCAGTTATTGAAAGCGAAAAACAGGAAGCCGGGCCTGGCTCCCATCCTTAGCTGGTGGACTATGTTCTCGCCAAAAGTATTCACACGAGTCATTTTACCGAAGCTACTAGACTCCCTCAAAGTCCTTCTTCCAACATCGATATTTTTTCTTAAATTCCTTGAATGGTGGTATGCATCAGACTTCGCACGCCAGCTGTCATCGAAGACGTCGGCGGCAATCGAACTATCGCGACCCTCTGTGCCAGCACCACCGCCAGCAGAAGACAAACGCAAGGAAGCGAGCAAGAAGCTTGTGGAACTGCCAAAGGACTCAAAGATTTGTGCAATCTGTAGCAATGAGATGACAAACCCTGCTGCTATCCAGACCGGGTTTGTATTCTGCTACCCTTGTGCATATAGATGGATCGAAGATGATGTGGGGCCATGGTGCCCTATCACGGGTGCTAAGCTTCTTGGTGGATCGGAGGGTCTGCGACGGATAATGGTATAGGGTATAAATGTTTTATTTGCTATATTTCATAATGGTCTTTTGGGAACGACGTTGGGCAGCAGTATTGCATTGAGCGACTATCCTGAGCTTTTTTTCATTTTTCATTTCATTTTATTTTTATTTCTCTGTTCATTGGCTATTCTGTGATCCTTACTTACTTACTATACATATTACTATCACAATGAGTTTGGTTGGTCCTTATTTACTGCAAGCTTGCTGTTTACGCTGATCTAGAGACGTTTTTACAGGTTGTTTCTGTTTCTTGCTTTTATGCATGCGTACCTGGCCTGCACATGATGTACGATTACACCGATCCAAAACTTCAATCCACAGCGATGCCGCACAAATTCTAGAATTCTGCACTACCCCCCAACCAAAATTCCTACCAATTGACGACCCCCATCTCCACTCTTCAGTTACATAATTCTACTGTCGTCTGCGAGATTCGGCTGGAACTGCAGGGTTCAGAGCTTTCAGCCGAGCTCCAACGCGCAAAAGAAGAAGCAAAACGGCGAACAGGAAAAAAAAAAAGTTGTAGGCGGCCAGGCAGGCAAGCTTGCAAGGCAAGGCAAGACAAGACAAGACAAGGCCGGGCAAGTCAATGGGAGTCTAAATAATTTTTTTCTGATCGTGGACCAAAATTTTTTTCTTCCTTCTTTCTCTCTCCTCTCCCTCTCCCTTCTCCTATCCTCCCTCCCTTCATTCATTCCTTTGTCAAAGCCCCTCGAGATACCTCCTCGAGCCAATCCAGCAGCAAGCTCTGGAGTGCAACAAACCAATTGACAAAGGAACGGACGAAACGGACGAAGGAAACGGCAAAGAAGATATCTCGGTATCGAGACAGAGAGAGAGAGAGAATAGGATCTCCTAAAGCATCACCTCCAGGTTTGTGATCATGACCCTGACCGAGTGCGGCTTCTGGAGAAAAGAATGTGCTTGGCCCTGTTGTTCATGCTGTTGTCACATTGACTGCAATTGTAATATTTGATGTTGGCGGAATGGAGCCATGGACTTGAGAATTCGATCATGAATCTGATTTGACTGGATTTGAGCATGCCGCTGACAAGCCGAGTGATATCACGTTGCATGCAGCCTACCGACATCCTTAAATCCCCACACCTTCAAAAAGAAAAACAGGAACCCACATTTATATGCATTGGCCCTTCAAGATCGATCGATATTGCGATCTGGAGCTTTAATAAACCACCTTTTAAACATCCCAGGCTTTTCTCCATAAACCTTCATCAAACATTCCATAATATCATCTATACTAGCTAAAAAGATTCCAAAATGACCTCACAATCTTCCAACAACCCCACGTCGCCCCGCCTTCCACCCCACCAAATGCGCAATGCCGCAGGGGCATCTCCAAGTCCAGCTACGGGCTCGGTCCTGGCAGAAAACCCAGAACCTGTGGTTACTGTCGCAGTGCCGCCAGATTACCCACATCCACCTGTTACTGCTAGAAACTTGACCAGTGATGGTCAATTGGCTGATGGTACCAGTGACGATGAAGGGCTCATGGCGCTCGAGTTCCAGGACGGGAGCGTTTACCAAGGGTACAGTTTCGGCGCTCAGAGAAGTGTCAGCGGAGAGATGGTTTTCCAGACTGGTATGCTGTCGCCGTAATAATTCCTATGATTAAAAAGAGTAGTAACTTACATAATTGAAATCTTGGTTAGGCATGGTCGGATATCCTGAGTCCATAACAGACCCTTCGTACCGCGGCCAGATTCTCGTGATCACGTTTCCATTGGTTGGAAATTATGGTACGTTCCTACCATGCAAAATTCATTAAAATAATATATTGTAGAAACAATTAGTTAATAAAATTGGTACAGGTGTCCCAAAACGTGAAGATGTCGACCTTTTAACCGCAGACCTACCAGCATACTTTGAATCCAATCAAATCCATATTGCAGGTCTCGTCGTTGCCTCTTACGCCGGCGAAAACTACAGCCACTACCTTGCCTCGAGCTCTTTGGGCACATGGCTAAAGGAGCAAAATGTTCCCGCTATCTACGGTGTCGATACAAGGGCGTTGACGAAGAAGATCCGCCAGCAGGGTAGCATGTTGGGGAAGCTTCTGCTACAAAAGAAAAATTCTAGACTCAGTGAATTGGCCAGCGACGTTGGTGCTCTATTGAACTGGCCATCTGACAAGTCGTGGCGAGATCACTTTGAAACTGTTGACTGGGTAGATCCAAACCAGAAGAACCTGGTTGCCGATGGTGAGTTATGAAGCCACTCCCTCCACTCCAAATTACACAAGCTAACGTGCTGTAGTTTCAATCCGTGAGCCAAAGGTCTATACCCCGCCAGCAGAATTGGCACAGAAGACATCTTCAGGTGAACCGCTCAGAATTTTGTGCGTCGATGTTGGTATGAAATACAACCAGATCCGCTGCTTCCTAGCTCGTGGATTTGAGATCAAAGTTGTTCCCTGGGACTACGACTTCCCAACTCTGGAAGCCGGGAAGTACCATGGTCTTTTCATCAGTAACGGTCCAGGTGACCCAGCCATGCTGGATGTCACTGTCAAGAACATTCAGATTGCCTTGAAAGAAGACAAGACCCCTGTCTTTGGTATCTGTTTGGGCCATCAGCTTTTGTCCAGGGCCACTGGTGCGTCTACAAAGAAGATGAAATTCGGTAACAGAGGTCACAATATCCCTTGCACAAATATGATCTCTGGCCGTTGTTATATTACCTCCCAGAACCACGGTTATGCGGTGGATACCACCACTCTAGCCGAAGGATGGCAGGAGCTCTTCGTCAATGCGAACGATGGGTCGAACGAGGGTATCTACCACGTTTCGAAGCCACAGTTCAGTGTTCAGTTCCACCCTGAGAGCACTCCCGGACCTAGGGACACAGAGTTCTTGTTCGACGTATTCCTAGATGCTGTCAAGAAGAGCACCGAAGACCCTGAGAAGTACCTCAACCAAGCAATTGTCTTCCCCGGCGGTCTCAAGAAGGACAACATTGAACGTTCTCCACGAGTCTATGTCAAGAAAGTATTGATCCTAGGCAGTGGTGGCTTGAGTATTGGACAAGCTGGAGAGTTCGACTACTCTGGCAGCCAAGCCATTAAAGCCCTAAAAGAAGAAGGGATCTATACTATCCTTATCAACCCCAACATTGCCACTATCCAGACATCAAAGGGTCTAGCAGACAAAGTTTACTTCCTCCCAGTTACTGCGGACTTCGTCAGGAAGGTCATTAAACACGAGCGCCCAGATGCTATTTACGTTACATTCGGTGGTCAAACCGCTCTCCAGGTCGGTATTCAGCTCAAAGATGAGTTTGAAGAACTCGGTGTCCAAGTTTTGGGTACACCTATCAATACCATTATTACTACTGAAGATCGAGAGCTTTTCGCCCGTAGCATGGAGCAGATCGGTGAGAAATGTGCCAAGTCAGCTTCAGCTTCTACTGTCGAGGAGTCCCTCAGAGTGGTTAAGGATATTGGATTCCCTGTTATCGTTCGTGCTGCCTACGCTCTCGGTGGTCTGGGCAGTGGATTCGCAGATAACGAGGAAGAGTTGGTTGATCTTTGCAATAAAGCCTTTGCCGCTAGCCCCCAGGTCCTGATTGAGAAGAGTATGAAGGGCTGGAAGGAGATCGAGTACGAGGTTGTTAGAGATTGTCAAGATAACTGTATTACCGTTTGTAACATGGAGGTAAGTTACATATTATTCGCGGACCGATATCAATGACTTTTTACTGATTATTCTGCAATAGAACTTCGATCCCTTGGGTATCCATACTGGAGATTCTATCGTCGTGGCTCCTTCACAAACGCTCTCTGATGATGACTATAATATGCTGCGAACCACAGCTGTGAATGTCATCCGTCACTTGGGCGTCGTCGGAGAATGCAACATCCAATATGCGTTAAACCCAACATCTCGGGAATACTGCATTATTGAAGTGAATGCACGTCTGTCTCGTTCCTCGGCTTTGGCGTCTAAGGCGACTGGTTATCCGCTTGCATTCGTCGCGGCGAAACTTGGTCTGGGTATCCCTCTTAACGAGATCTCGAACTCTGTGACTAAGGTTACCTGCGCATGTTTCGAGCCATCGCTTGACTATGTCGTCGTCAAGATTCCGCGATGGGACTTGAAGAAGTTTACTCGCGTCTCTACACAGCTGAGTTCGTCCATGAAATCTGTTGGAGAAGTTATGAGTATTGGCCGAACATTCGAAGAAGCCATTCAAAAGGCAATTAGAGCCATTGATTACCACAACCTTGGGTTCAGCGAAACCCAGGCTCTCATGTCTATTGACCAAGAACTTCAATTCCCATCTGACCAGCGTCTCTTTGCTATTGCAAATGCAATGCATGCCGGATATGAAGTCCATAAGATCTGGGAAATGACAAAGATCGATAAGTGGTTCTTGAATAGGTTGATGGGACTTATCCAAGCTGGTAACATTTTGAAGAAGTTCACACCGGCAACAATTCCAGCTGGGTTGTTCCGTATGGCCAAGCAACTCGGTTTCTGCGACAGGCAGCTTGCGAACTTTTGGGGGAGCAATGAGCTTGCTGTTAGACGGGCTAGGGTTGATCAGGGTATCATGCCTTGGGTGAAGCAGATTGATACTGGTGAGTAGTAAACCCTTGCATCTAAGGGTACTGGATCAAGCTAACTTGGTATGCAGTTGCGGCCGAATTCCCTGCCTTCACAAATTATCTATACCTTACATACAATGCCAACGAACACGATGTTACTTTCGAGGACCAGGGTATCATGGTTCTTGGATCTGGTGTTTACAGGATCGGATCTTCCGTTGAGTTCGATTGGTGCGCCGTCAGAGCAGTCAGGACTCTGAGAGAGCGTGGAGTCAAGACTATCATGGTCAACTACAATCCGGAAACCGTCAGCACAGATTACGATGAGGCCGACAAGTAAGTTAATAATTGTCTACTTCTTGATTTAAATATGTACTAATCAAAAAAAATCAGGCTTTACTTCGAGAACATCAATCTCGAAAGCATCCTTGACATTTATAACCTTGAGAGCTCAAGCGGTGTAATCTTGTCTATGGGTGGTCAAACCCCGAACAACATCGCCCTCCCACTCTACCGTCTCAATGTTAAGATCCTCGGTACTTCACCTGAAATGATTGATACCGCAGAAAATCGCTTCAAATTCTCCCGTATGCTTGACCGAATAGAAGTCGATCAGCCTGATTGGAAAGAACTTACCAGCATTGAGGAAGCCAGTGCTTTCTGCGACAAGGTTTCGTTCCCAGTGTTGGTTAGACCATCATACGTTCTTTCCGGCGCAGCCATGAATACCGTCTACTCGAAGGACGATTTGGCAAGCTACCTCCAGCAAGCCGTTGAGGTTTCAAGGGAACATCCAGTCGTTATCAGCAAATACATCGAGAACGCCAAGGAGATTGAGATGGACGCCGTTGCAAAGGATGGTAAAATGATTATGCACTTCATCTCTGAGCACGTCGAGAACGCTGGTGTTCACTCTGGTGATGCTACATTGATTGTTCCCCCACAGGATCTTGATCCAGAGACCGTTAGACGTATTACAGAGGCTACCCGCAAGATCGGAAACGCCCTGAATGTTACTGGACCTTATAATATCCAGTTTATCGCAAAGGATAACGAGATCAAGGTCATCGAGTGTAACGTCAGAGCCTCGAGATCTTTCCCATTTGTTTCTAAGGTTATGGGAGTTGACTTGATCGAAATGGCCACAAATGCGATTATTGGTGCTCCAGTTGATGCGTACCCAGCTGTCAACATTCCACAAAACTATGTCGGTGTCAAGGTCCCACAGTTCAGTTTCTCTCGCCTCTCCGGCGCAGATCCTGTTCTCGGTGTTGAAATGGCCTCGACTGGTGAAGTCGCATCCTTTGGTCGTGACAAGTACGAGGCTTACCTTAAGGCCATGCTTTCGACTGGCTTCCAACTTCCTAAGAAGAGCGTTTTGTTCTCTATTGGAAGTTATAAGGAGAAGGTCGAACTCTTACCTTCGGTCAAGAAACTCCACGAATACGGCTTCAAGATCTTTGCTACCACTGGTACTGCAGATTTCCTAGAAGCCAGTGGTGTTCCAGTGAAGTTTTTGGAGGCGCTCACAAACGAGAAGGATGGCCAGAAGTCCGAGTACTCCCTCACTCAGCATTTGGAAAACAATTTGATTGACTTGTATATCAATTTGCCTTCTGCCAACCGTTTCAGACGTCCTTCGAACTATATCTCACAAGGGTACCGAAGTCGTCGTCTTGCAGTCGATTTCCAGACTCCACTCGTCACCAACGTCAAGACAGCTAAGTTGTTGATCGAAGCTATTATCAGAAACTATGAGCTTGAGATCTCGACTGTTGATTACAAGGCTAGCCACCTCACTGCCATGCTACCCGGTCTTGTAAACATTGGCGCATTCGTTCCTGGGTTGGCTAAGGCGGGAAGCCGTGACTTCGAGAAGGTCATGAAGGCATCTGCTGCAGCCGGTTTCTCAATGGTTAGAATCATGCCCTTGGGTTTGGAAAACTCATTGACGGATGCTAGAGCCCTCAGCACTGCACATTCCAATGCTAGGAAGGCTGCCTACTGTGATTTCAATTTCTCAGTTGCCGCTACCACCACCAATGCTAAGCAGTTGACCAGCTTAATATCCGAAGTTGGGTCTCTCTTCATTCCGTTCAACCATTTCTCTGGTAACTTCAATAAAGTAGCTGCGGTTACCACTCACTTCGAATTCTGGCCTACCAACAAGCCAATTGTTACAGATGCGAAGACAAGCGATTTGGCTTCCATCTTACTTTTGGCCAGCCTCCACAGCAGGAACGTGCATATCACTAGCGTAACTTCAAAGGATGATATCAAACTCATCGCTCTTAGCAAGCAGAAGGGGTTGCAAGTTACCTGCGACGTTGCAATTTATGCGCTGTTCCTGTCGCAAGACGAGTATCCACAGTGTGCAGCTTTGCCCACAAAGGAAGACCAAGCAGCACTTTGGGAACATATGGATATCATTGACTGCTTCTCTACCGGTAGTCTTCCATACCAGCTCTCGCTTGATGTGAAGGGATCTGGATCCGCCGTTCTTGGAATTGCGGAGGCCCTTCCTTTGCTCTTCACTGCCGTTGCGGATAAGAGGCTGACGTTGGAAGATATCACGAAGAGGTTGAGGGATAACCCGATGGAGATCTTTGACCTTCATGAGCAGCCGCAGTGTGCTATTGAAGTCAACCTTGATCGTGGTGTTCACATCCAGGAGCATGATTCTTGGTCACCATTCGCTGGTAAAGTTCTCAAGGGATCTGTTGAGAGAGTCGTATTCGAGGGCGAGACTGCTTGCCTGGACGGTATCCTCATCGCAGATGGCACAGTTGGAAAGGACATGTCTTCGTCAGGACCTCGACCAGCTCCAACGGTCAAGTCTCCACCTATCATGCCCCTTCAGGGAGGAAGACGGGAGTCGAATGCAGGCGCAAGCGGCTACTCACAGTTCAAGAGACCAAGTACCGCTGGCGGCCCAAGTCTCGAACACCTCGACCTCGACGGTCCAAGAGCACCTTCCTCCAGCCACGGTCAAGACATCGTCCGTTCCTCCGGTTTATCACCCTATAACCTCCTCCAACCGGAGAAACAAGTCTCCCCAGCCCTCTACGAGTTAGTCTCCCGCTCTCCATTCCGTAGACGTCATATCCTCTCCGTCAATCAGTTCAACCGTAGCGACCTACATCTTCTTTTCACCATCGCCCAAGAGATGCGTACCGCTGTGGAAAGATATGGAGTTATCGACCTCCTCAAGGGTAGAGTCTTATGCACGATGTTCTTCGAGCCATCAACTCGTACCTCCGCCTCCTTCGACGCAGCAATGCAACGTCTTGGAGGTCGTACGATCCCCATCTCAGCTGATATGTCAAGCACTCAAAAGGGTGAAACTCTTCAAGACACAATCCGCACATTAGCATCTTACGGCGACGGTATCGTCCTTCGTCACCCGTCCGAAGCTAGCGCCGAAACAGCTGCCCGCTTCTCACCGGTGCCCATTATCAACGGAGGTAACGGAAGCAAAGAACACCCAACCCAAGCATTCTTGGACCTCTTCACCATTCGTGAGGAACTAGGAACTGTAAACGGTCTCACCGTCACTTTCATGGGTGATCTCAAATACGGCCGAACAGTGCACAGTCTGGCAAAACTTCTGTTGCACTATGACGTTCGTATTCAATTCGTCTCTCCTAAAGAATTGTCCATGCCCGAGGATGTGAAGAAGGAGATACAGACCCATGGTAGCCTGTTGGGTGAATATAGTGAATTGACACCGGAGATCATCGGCCGCAGCGATGTACTTTACTGTACTCGTGTGCAGAAGGAGAGGTTTACCGACCTTTCTGAGTTCGAGAGGTTGAAGGATTCGTTCGTCGTTGATAACAAGGTCTTGAAGCATGCGAAGGAGCACATGGTCATTCTACACCCGTTGCCGAGGAATTCTGAGATCAGTGAGGAGGTAGACTTCGACCAGAGAGCGGCATACTTTAGACAGGTAAGTCCTTTGTTCCAAATTTTTTCTCTTTCGAGTATTACGATTTTATGTGCCAAAAAAAAAATACTAATTTTTTTCTCTTTTCTTCTAGATGAGGTATGGATTGTTCACAAGAATGGCCATCTTAGCTAGTGTCCTGTTGTAAAGATCTAGGAATCAGTACCGGGATATAAATGAAGGAGGATACGTACATACATACTAGGAGGGCATTGTAGAAAGCCTTATAAGCTATGACTTAGTAGCTAGAAAAGTTCATGGAATTCATTTTGGCGTTTTCACCAGATATAAGCCCCCCAAAAAAAAGAAAAGTTTACGAAATGATTTGAAGTTGTGCTACCTACGTAGCTACCATTCAAGTACGAGGTAAAGAAAGCTGCATCGAGAATTTAAACACAATGTATATTAAGTATAGAGAGAATCAACTATTCCTCGAAGGGTGTTTGGTAATTAGTCGTTCGTGTGTATATATAAGGATAAAGTTAACGTTGAAACTAACTGGGACAAATTCGAATCTACGAGCTTAAGGCTGGCTATGCTAGGACAATTTTTATTAATGATTAAATTTAATGCCTGATCACTTAAGATTCGTTATGGTGTGTTCAGCACCGTCTAACAACTAGGCTAAAGTACTATTACGGTCTAGGAGTCAATGCACAAAAGTTTTCATGTTTTCTCTTAATTCGTATTCCACTTCATTCGACAAGATAGCTGAGCTGTTAACTACATGTCGGCTGCATGCTCTGTGCACGTGATGGCGCGTCTGAAAAGAGAGATAAGGATATAGATAGACAGCAGCAAGGTGTAGCATCGGCGTGTGATAAAAATGCTCATCCATGCATCCACTCATCTGTGCACGTGGATTTGTTGATACCTCTTTTGATATCATCATCAATAGAGAAAAACAGAAAGACATGACTATAAAACAGAAACAAACAAGCTGCCCATAATATCAGGGATTCTGAGAACATTGGCTGTCATAATGATGATGCGTCAGCCGCAGTAACTTCAAGAAGGCCTTAGGGAGGTTGTTAAAAAAAAAAAGCAGTGCAAACACATAGAATAAAAAACAGCATAAACAATAGCGCTAGAAAAATATGAAAAAACACAAGTGATAGTCGTCGTTTGGTATCGCAGTTAGGGAACCTCTTGTCCTCTTGGGGATACACCATAGGATTCTCGTATGTTTATCCAGTGATGCTTCGTGAGATTTGATGGTGGTGACAAGGAGGGTGGAAACAGGGAGAAAATAGATGGGGCCGGAGAAGTTAGGCGTTGGTCCTGTGGGGGGGACCGTTGTAGCTCTGGCCGCGTCGGCCGCCGTGTTGGTTGGGGCCCCTTGGCCGGTTCGAACCGCTGCCACGTCCGCCGGACCCGGAGCGTCCGCCGGATCCGGAGCGGCCGGGCTGCCCTCCGCTGTTGGAACGTGGTTCCCTGTATTGCCCGCGGTTCTGGTGGCGGTGCTGGCCCTTCAGTTTTGCCTCGTAACCCGGAGGCACCGGGAAGGTCTTCGCCTCGGCCATGCCGGGAAGCTTGACCCGGATTGTGGTTGGAACCCCATCCTCGGCGTCGTCTGGGCCAAAAATGGCCCGAGACCGAATCTCATGGTCTCGTAGACGGGACTTGTCTTTGCCACGTCGTGGGGGGTTGGCAGGTGGGGTGCTCATCACCCCACCTGGGAAGGCCCTGGTGGTAGTGGGAAGACACACTGTGGGTGTCGACCCGAACTCCTGCTGGAACGCCATCTCCTTGAACTCCTCCTCGGTTGGGAGGGTGTTTGGCAGCTCTGGCTGCGAGACGACGGCTGGTGCGGCCTGGACGGGGACCGGGTGAGGCAGGGAGGCCAAACGCGGCAAGGAGACCTTGGGTTTCCCCTCGGTGGCTCCTTGGAAGGCAGGTTTGCTAATGACCTGCAAGGTGATGTCCGCGGCAGCCGGGGCACAAGGTTGAGGCCTCTTTGCCTCTTGCCGCTTCTCCCAAGCGGCCCGGGAGACCTCATGCTCCCGGTGAGCCCTTTCCCTCCTCTCGTTGTAGGCATCCCTGCCCCAGGATGCCCAGTTCTTCGACTCGCCCAATGACCGAGTCGGTTCGCGCCACCGAGGGGCGGCTTCGGTGTCTTGGAGGGCAAAATCCCTCCAAGAACCGCCAGCCGCACCCTTGATGGCGCTCTTGACTCGGTCAAAGCGCTCGTCGTCGGCGGTCGGCTTCTTGGCCTGTATGGTGGCCCTTGGCTCCTTCTCGTCGGAGCCGCCGAAATTGTAGGACGTTGGGGCCACCTCCGTCGGCATGGTCTTGGCCTCCTGTGCGTAGAAGGCGTCGAACCCCTTGTCCAACCTTGGGTCCCCCCCTTTGGAGACGCTGTCCATATTGACAGCCCAGACCAACTGCTTGTATGTCGTCCTGGTTCCTGGGACGAAATCATTGCCCCTTGGGCCTCGTGCAATTAAACGCAAGTTTGGAATGGTGGCCGCAATGGCCCGGACATCGACCTCGTTTTTGGTCGCGGGAGGTGGGGAGATGCTCGGCTCCTCTGGTAGCTTGACGGTTGTTGCCTCAGCGTTAGCTTTGGCCGGCTTGACCTCGGCATCCTGAGCCTTCTCAGGAGCCTTGGCTGCAAGCTCCTCGGGTGCACGGGATGGAGTTCCAAGAGACGCGTCTGTCTTGCTCTCATTGGGGGCCCAGGTCGCCTGTGAGAAGGTAGGTTTAGTTAGCATTGTGTTGTGTAAAGTAGAAGACGATGGGAGGAGCAGCTTACCTTTTGCGAGCCTTGTGGCTGCTGACCATCTTTGTTGGTCGGGAGGAACATCGAGAAACTCTTGACGTGAGTCTCTGCAGCAGTTGGTGTCCAAGGTGAGGGCTTCATGACGCCATTACGCTGCCAGTCCTTCGGAATCTCAACGGGATGTTGTTGCTTCTCTTGGCTGGAAGCAGGAAGGGAAGCACTCGATGTGGTTATTTGGTCACCAACCTTGACAGAAGAATAGGCATTCACCATTGGAGAGCTTGCTTGAGACATCTCTTCGTGAAACTCGGGGTGAGGATGATGGGGGAGATGAACGGAGTGAGGAGGAAGATGAGAAGAGACTTGATGAGAGGAAGAAGCTTGATGGGAAACAACAGGAGGATATGGACTCTGGTTGGATCCGTTGCTAGTTTGCTGATTCGAGAGAGGATGAGAAGGAGGAGGAGGATGAGATGCAAACCTGGAGGAGCTAGGATGATGAAAGTTACCTTGCTCCGGAGCTGGACGGTGATGATTTCTGTTGTCGTAATGACGCGAAGGAGGAAGAGGATGAGAATTGGAGCTCGCAGGAGGATACTGAGAGTGACCAGTGACAGAATGGGGATGTGGATGTTCCACGTAACGATGGAAATGAGAGCTGTTAGCAAAGCTAGAAGAAGGCTGAGAGAAGTTATTAGGCGGTGCCTGATACTGATGCTGATGATGAGGTGAAGCTTGGAAGCTGTTAGAAGGCTGGAAAGAAAATGGGAGCGATGGAGATGAAGGTTGGATGGAGGTGGAAGAAGAGTTTATGGGAGGTGGAGGGAGGTTAGTGTTCTGAGAAGGAGCAGGAGCAGGAGGGGGGGGAGGAGGATAAAGACTGTGGGATGCGTTGCTGTGTTTCTGAATGGGAGACAGAGGTTGTGTTGCTGTTGTTGTGGTTTGGACTAATCCCTGTGTTTGTGGCTGTTGTTGTGGCTTGAATCCATTCATGTTGTTACCATTCAATGCAGGTGGCTTGTGCATGTCAGATATGTCTGGCTTTTCTGTAGATTCTCCAGCTGCTACCTGGCCGCCGATATTCGCGCCACTGCTGTTCTCAACCACCGGAACCTCAGCATCCTGGCTCTTCTCAGTTTTACTTGCAGCATCTGCTTTCATCTTTTCATCCAATTCAGCTAGTTTCTTTTGTATCCTTAACTTTTTCTCTTCTTCGGCTGCAGCTTCTTCAGCAAGTCTTCGTGCTCTAGCTTGTTCTCTCGCATCTCTCATAACTCTTTTTTGTGCCTCTACAGGATTCTCGCCAGGTTCTGCTACGATTGGTTCTTGCTCGGGAGCAATGGCAACAGGAGCGACGGGAGCGACGGGAGCCACAGCATCCGAAGGCGGCATTGTAGGCTGAGGGCCGAGGGTACTAAGACGGTGGAGCCTAGGATCGCCACCAGGGCTGACATAAAGGGGACCTTGGTTTGGTCGCTGATGAGTTGAATCCGCTGCCCCACTTTCAGAAATCGTGACGACATTGCCACTAGCAGGTGGATGTCGATTATCCCATGCATTCGACGAAGCATCGCTTAACCCTGTAGATCTGATGGAACCCGAGCGACGTCTTCCCATATCCAAAGGTCCAGCTGTAGAACCGGGGAAATGATCGTGGTCTGATCGTTGGAAACGAGTATGGTGATGGAAAGACATATCATGTTCATGCTCTTTTCCACCGGGGCGCTGGAGCAGCGAAGTCGGACGAACACCTGGGCCTTCATTCCTCGAATTCCGTCTAGCCTGATCTCTACTCCGATTTGCTTCTCCAATGGGATCAAAATGCCCTGTTTCCGAATTAAAGAGAGCACTAGGCGATTGACTCGACTGTCTATCCCTCCATGACTGCCTATTAAAGTCGTCCAATCCAACTTCCTTGGGCGAGCGAGTATTTACTAACATGGGTCGGTTATTCGGAGGAGGTGGACGTCCAGGATATTGTCCGAAGGGTGGTGCAACTGGCAGAGGCGTAGGAAATTGTCCAGACGGTACTGAGGCCCAAGGTGTCTTCGAAGGTGGCATGCTAGGGATAAATTCCGGTTTCCTGGGTACATGCTGGTCGAGAGATTTAGATGGGAGTGAAGGGCTCGCGGAAGCTATGCTAGGGCTCGAATGCGAAGCGTGCAAGGATCTCTGCTCTTTTAAGGCTGCTGTTCCTATCTGTTTCTCAAAAGCAGAGATAGCCGCTTTCGGTGTTTCGGCATCTAGTGTGACTTTTGTACCATCATTCCATTCGATTGTGTCTGGCGGAACCCAGTTGTCGTCTTCATCATCGATGTCGGCCCATTTAGCCTCTTTGCTATCTTCGGTGTGTAGACGTTCAGCCATATGTATCCCCACTTTACTGAGCTCTTCGTCGGTGTATTCTTTTGCGGGTATAGGCGCGGGTGCTAAAAAAAAACAACCTGATATCAGAAAAATTGTCCCTTCCAATATCCGGGCGCTCTTAATACTAACGTTGATTTCGATTCCAAACCGACGGGATGGTACCTCCTTTGCCACCCAACTGACCGATGCCGCCTATTCTCGAACCAGATGGGCCTATCTTACTAACTAGTCGTGGTTTTGCGGCCGAGGCGGAAGTCGCTGCTGCTCCGGAAACGGTCCCTTTCGAGCCTATATCCAATTAGTCCTAATGTTCACATATACTTGATAGAGAGCCCCATACCCTTATCTAAAGACAAAGTAAGCTTCCCGTTCCCCGTTTGAGTGGGTGCAGCGGAGGCATTCCCTGAAAGAAAAGCCTTGTTTAACGACATCGACTTTACGGCTGGCGGTTTCCTCGGAGCGGCGACCTTCTGTGCTGTGGGTTTATCGGCGCTCTTGATGGACTCGGTGCCGCTCGCTCCCGCAGGGCTATCATCACGTTTATCCTTTATCGAAGAGTCCTATTAGATGGCAGTTAGCCTCCAGGTTCCATTGCGCATATGTCGGGAGTGTATCGACCGGACGTACGTTGGGAGTGTTTGATTCGGTAACCACACCGTTGCTGCTGACTGCACCCTTGTTCGCGTTTGATTCTTCCCCAGAGACGACGGCAGCTTCCACACCGTGAGCATTTGAAAGTGTCGTTACTCCATCAGCGCCGGTTGTCGAATTGACAACCGACTGCACTAAGCGTGGGTCCACATCTTGAGTAAGGTGCTCTGCCATAACACTATTATTCACTTTCTATAACAAGTCGAAGGATTGATAAATGGTTAGCGGGTGTTTATTTTTGGGGGCTAAAAAATCAACAAAAAGAACCAAAAAATAGAAAAATATCAAAAATATGGTAGGGTTAAAAAAATGGTTGTACGGCGATCAAGAACAACAGTCGAAAACAATAGAGGTATATGTCTGGTACTCGGAAATGAGCTGAATAGAAGGTGATAATCTGGACAGAGTCAGAGGTTCAAAGCGCCAGGCACATCCCCAGATCCGGTCAGGCTCCAACCCATCTCATTTCCCCAGATTCGAACCAATATATAGCGTCTTCTTGTCCTATGAAAGGGAATAATAAAAAGGCCACCAGCCAGCCGCAATGACAAACAAAGTGGGACACGAGAAAAAAAAACTGTAATGAACTCACCAGGAAGCTATCTTGCTAAAAAATAAGGATGAAAGTCGCCAGCGGGGAGGTTTTCGTTCGGAGTTCAACGAAAAATAAAAGTTGGAGTAAAGAACCCAAGTTAGAAGAAAGCTCGGATGCTATTTCCGTAACCAAAACAGGCGGGGGGATGTATCGCCGGTTGTTCCAGATTATCTAGCTAAAGTAGTAAGAAGTGTCGTGTGAGCCCACACCGCCGACGAGAGAAGATGTAATTATGAGAGTAGTCGTAGATACAGTAGAGTTCGAACGGGATCACGCACCGGATAGTTTTTTTTAAACAAAAAAATGGGGGGTTGTGAGTGACAAGGTTTCGCTAATAGTCAAACGCCCTTGATGAAGATTTGTTCGATGGAGTGATAGAATGTGGCCTTCGAAAGGCTACTGATGTTTCTTCGGGAGAAACTAAAAGCCAGCTACCAGTAATAACTGTAGGGCAATTCCGGATCGAATGGATTGCGGGGGGGAAGAGAGGTGGAGGGATGAGGTTTAGTTGGAATTTGTGGGATGTCGGAATTCCGGAGAGTGCGTGGTGGTGTGGTGTGTGTTGTGGAGTGCGTGTGCGTGGTAGTTTTAGTGTGTTTTTCGCGATTACTGTTTCAGTTGGGAGGCTCAAGAGCCAACAGAGTATTTAATACGGCTATCGGGATCTAGAGCTTTAACTGTCGCCGATGGAACAAGGAAGAGATGGCGATGATATTAGGGATGTTGAGGATGGCGATGGAAGTGAGACGATGATGATTATGATGAAAGAGGAGGGAGAAGAGGAGGAGAAGGGTGATGGTGATGGGATGAAGAGGTGAGTTACGGTTGAGAGAGTATCTCAGCAAAACTGTGCAAGTGAACTTGAACTTGAACTTGTCGACGTCTTTGGTGAAGAGCCCTTTGTGGAAGCACAGAATTGATACAAACAATTCACCTATACTTCTACTGGAAATAATTACTACCTATACTATACAGCTATCTTTACATACAATGTTCAATACCAGCTAGGTAGGGAAGCAATTAGGTCGGTAGCCGTTATAAGGATGTATACCGTAGCGGATATCAATTCGATCGATGATATAACGTGCCTGAAGAATTAATCACAGCGCCACTCATTCAATTATAGGCATGATTCGATACATTCTTACTCTTACCATGGTTTAAATACTCTTAACCTACCTAAGTATTCCAAGAATGCGGGAGGGGGATAAGGTAGGGTAGACAAGGTAGATATGCCAATATATTGCACTTTCTTTTCTGTATAAAACAAGTCATTTTCTACTTATATGTACACACCGTTTCCTTTGATGCTATATCACATACACCCCTTTGCCTCCCCTAACTACTTCCTTATCAGACTCCAATGAGGAAGTAGGTTAAGGTGGTCTCCATCCAATCGTCCAATTTAGTGGGCATTGTTCTTGTGGTGGCCTAGTAACAAAAGTCCAGTTAGTCATATCCGTGCAATATTTACCATAAGGTCATAGAATAGATATCCCGTAACATACGCAAGTGGTAGTAGTAGTTTTGGGCGTATCCGAACTAATAGCAAAAGGTCAGCTAGCCGTCCACATATCCACTATATACTGTATTATCCAATACATAGGATCGTAGAAGGGGAGAGGGGACATACGGCAATCAAACCGACGAAGATATGCAGTAATGCTATATCCGACAATAGCGATATCGTTAGCAATCCAATTTCAATATCCAATATATTCATTTTGATAGATATATCCATCGATAAACCCCTCATGTGGGTTCATTATAGAAACAAGGACAAACATACGAGCAGCACTGGCGTTCTCTCCATCAAAGTATTTGGCCTTGTATCGTCCGATAAGACCCTTCCCTTGGATCTTTGGAGCCGGTCCCTTCGGGAGCTTGGTGTAAAGCTCTACCAGTCTAGCCATACGAACGGCATTTTGGGCTTGGCCGATTGCCTAAATCAATCCAGAAATATACCGTCAGTCTCCAGTCGTATCTCGTATCGTATATAAGATCCCTTAACACCAGCCATATCTTCCAATTGGCTCCCAGAAAGATGGGGGAGAAATCTCCCAACCCTTCCCACACCCCATCGGAGGAGGGGCGGATAACCGGGGAACCTATTTGAGATCACAAACGTACATTTGGATTGGCGACCTTTGGCGGGATGATGGTCGAGATACCGCGACGGAAGATGAGCGACATGATGATCGATAAGGAAAAGGGATCAGACTATCCTGATTGTCGAATGGTCGGAGCGGAGAGGTAGAGGATGGGATCTATAATACGGGTGTTTTCGAGGGGACGGACGTTGAAATGGACCGGCTCGCAATGATGTTTTCTCGGAACGCAAATTATGCGCCACCACAAATCCGGTTAGCCGCACAACACAGTCCCCGACGTCAACTGCCTGTTCACGTTCTCTTCCTCGATTGATATCAGAATCGAATCCATCGAATACCTGTCAATCCCGACTTCAACGTCAAAGCATCAACAGCAGTCGACCATGTCTGCCCTCCTCCGTCCTACAGTACTGGCCTCCCGTCGGCTGGCTCTCCCAGCGGCATCCCGTACACTCGCTTCCAGGGCTACCAAATCCAAGAAGACTCCCGCCCATCCTCCCTCTGCTCCACCGACACCCGCTAAGGGCGGCCCACCGGCTGTAGCAGCAGAGCCTCCAACCGACGCTACCACCTCGTATGCCCTTACTCATTCGAATTGACAGTCTTATATCAAATGATATACTAACGACTACGATCATTGTAGCGCCTACTCCCCCTCCCATACCGTCATTCCCGAAGAACACATCCCAGCAGACGTCATCCCAGCCGGCGCCGTCTCCGGTGCCCCATTAGACCTCCAATCCCGTACAGTACGCATCTACAAGCCCACAAAAAATGCCATGCAAAGCTCCAATCACAGAGGAGGACTCTGGAGGATGGACTGGGACGTTATGGCCAAGGGACACAGATGGGAGAATCCATTGATGGGATGGCAGAGTTCGGCAGATTATTTGCAGGGTACCAATTTGAAATTCAGGACGAAGGAGGACGCTATCTATTTTGCAGAGAAGCAGGGTGGGTTTTCTCTTTGTTTTTTATGTTTTGGGATGATGTTGGATACTGACGTTTATATTCAGGATATGACTACTCTGTCCAGGAGCCAAAAGAGAGGGTTATTGTGTCCAAGGCCTACGCCTCGAACTTCGCATGGAGCGACAAGAAATTAAAGAAAATTCACACCAAATAAGCTTCGATTTCAAAGTATATAATTCGTGGTCGATTGGTTCTTTGTTGTTGTACATATAAATCCGAGCGTTATTTTGGTCATTTGATTCTGTACAAAGAATATTTAAAGGTAAAACCCCGGGAAGTATCTACTAGGTAATTCACCGGGTATTTAAGGGTACGCTCCGAAAAATTACACAGTATCTTAACGCTATGCTCCATAAGTCCGACTTTCAATGAACGAAGGCTCTGGGACCGAGACTATGAAAAGTGGTATCAAATCAACATCCGAAATACTTTTCATCGATCCATCTGCTTGTCCATGCTTCTTCAATCCCCGCAACTACTATCTTCATCTCCGGGAATACAGCATTCAATCTCCCCAGTCCCACCCTCGTAGCCATATACGTCAAAAATACGATATTACCTTCCTCAACCCCATGATCCTTCAAAACCCTCACAGCCATCAACGCCGCCGCACCACTCGCAATCTGTGGGTCTAGCAGTAACACTTGATGGTTGCCCAAATTTGGTGGGACTTTTAGGTGGTGGAGCTCTGGTTCTCCCGTTCGAATATTGGATTGGAGGAGAAGTCGCCCGATTTTGCAGTCGGGAACCACACGCTTTAAACCAATTTCGAAAACACCACCGGAGCGGAGGATGACAATACCACAAATAGCAGAGGCGCAGCGAAGACCATTGTACGGGAGATTGAGTGGAGTAAGAACCTCGTGGCTCGTGAACGTCATACGATCCATCGCCCTACAAATATCCGTACCTAGTAGTTAGCCCCTCATTCGTACCACACAATCTAAAACCCACGAGAGAAAAAACATAACATACTTCTCAACCAACAAACTCGCCAGTCTATCAAAATAAAATATGAAATCTTCTCTGCTCGTCTTCCTATCCTGAAGAATGGTATGGATTCCTCTCAACTGTGGTGTCTGATCAAGGACGGTCACATGGTCCGTCAATGGTTTCTCAAGAACCTTCTCACCAAGCTCTGCGATTTTCTTGAGATGTGCTTCGGATTTTGCGTTAAGGGCTCGTTGAATATGTTTAACCACCATTGCTAAAGTCTTTATTAGTCGGTGATGAATTGTAGTCTCTTAGGTTATTAGTTTTACCTATGGCCGTCAAATTATCGATACCCCTGGGAATTGCGATATCTGCATTTTTCATTTGCGGACGAACATAAAGTTCGAAGTTTGGTTTGACAAATCGGTGCCACTGCTGCAAGGCTCCTCGTACACTAAAGAAACAATTAGTGTCTATCGTTATTCGGATTTTCGAAAGGATAACTTACTCTCTCCCTCTGCTCTTGACATCCCTAGCCACTAAGGACCATCAACGAACATTAGTATTTAGGATTCCTTATACTTTGAATAAGTAGAACATACACCGTCTCGCCAGACAGATATCGGAATCAGTGTCGACAAAGATCTATAAACTGTCAGCGTCTGTTCATCCATGAGCACCAAAACAAACCCCATACCTTCATATCCAGGAGGTCCAAAACCCTCTGATCATATAACGCAAAGATACCCTCCAAGATGAGTACATGGCAGGAATAGATCGTAGTATTCTTATTCGGGACCCTCTGGTGCTTTTCAAACGAGTAAATCGGGATTTCCGCCTTTTTTCTGCATACTAAAAATTAGACCAGACCTCAATTTTATATGTATAAGATATGGAAGATATTTTACCCGGCCTTGAGGTCCTGCAACCTATCCACCAGAATATCAAAGTCAATTGCATCGGGGGAGTCGAAGTCGTAGTTATTCGCAAAGGCGAGTTTGGATTGATCCGGGGTGAGTTCTTTGTAGAACGAGTCCTATTCATTATCCATATTAATATTACGTCGATAATTATCCGTCACGGATTTCGGTACGAAGTAGAGAACCAACCATGGAAAGAACGACTACCCATGGTAGGTTCAACAGCTTGACGAGCTGAGCTGCAACTGATGTCTTACCTATAACGTTTTGTGTTAGTAGACATATCGAATCAAAATTAATATATGGTCGAAACTACATACCAGAGCCCGAGGAACCGGCGATTCCAATGATCTATATCAAACCCAATTAGATGATCTTATCCTCAGAGTCATGTATACTCCCGAAACATAGATGACCAAAACCGACATGTGTATCATGCCACGGAGGGCTGTATGCATAATTCATACTTTGTGATTCCGACATTGCCGTTTAAATCCCGAAGATCTTGTCGGTAGCAATGGAGAAGAAGGATATCGGATAAAAAGATGAGAGGTAGACGAAAAACAATAGGAAACGATTCTGATGTCCGGTTTATGCGATCAAATAATGGTAAAAATAGACGTCGATATATGTCGGCAATAATCGTAAAAACATATGCATACCAGCGGGGACGCCGCTATCTCATATTCGTGGAGTAATACGCTACACAGACTGCTGAAATGAAAGGACTCGATATGAAAGGATATGTTCGAATTCGATATGCGTTGGTTCCTTGTGGTAATCCAAGTTGCCTCTACCAATCCTACACGATAGTTATGGGCCTTGTCAGCTGAACAGCTCTGAACGGCAGTGCAGTCACCTGGTAGGTAGCTGAGAGGTAAACATTACATTACCCGGTCGGTAGTTTAAAAAATGCGAATGATATGATATGATACGAAATGGAATCCAAATCTTGTTTCTAAGATATCTCTCTCTTTTTTTTTGTTTACCGCTTGTAACCCGGGGTCTATGTTCCTGATAGCCCAAATGCAAAAATATGGCGGGCGCGGGCTAACTGGGGTGGTTGATAAGGAAGGTGTACTGAGAGTCTGCAGCTGCCAAATCCAATGCTGTCTGTCCTGCACCGTCCTGCAATGCAAAGGGAACTCGAACTCGCTAGCGACGGCGGGGTCGAAACAACGCAGGGAAGTCTGTTGCAGACGGGTATGCACGTCCGAGCTAGTTAAGTCGAGCGGAGTAGGCCGGGATTCAATTGGAGTTTATAACGTTGACATGTACATATAAATATCCAGATGTAAGTATAGAGGACTATTATATATTATATTACATAGCTAGCATCGATTTACAATTCTCAGCCTTTTGTTATTCTTTATATACTAGTACTCCTTAAACTACTCCGCTATGTTAATATTAATATTAATTCTGTTACTATAATAAATGTAAATGTGAATATCATAGATTACGGCTGTAGTATAAGGTATACCGGTAGTTACGAGACTATAAGAGTGCTAGTTAAGTAGTCTCGTAACCTCGAGACAGAAATCCAACGCAACTCAACGCAGTCCTCCTCGACATTAATATAACATGTCCCTTTCTGTAATGTGATCTCCCTCACATAAATATAAATTTAGACCGAGCGTATTATATTATTATCTGACATCTTAAACACCAATACCCACAGCCTCAATACTTGACTGTCATTATCCTCTGGAGGTCGTTAGTATACCCTGGCAATTACCCCATAGGATCAATTATTCAAAGCTCTGCATTTTTCAGCAAAAAGTCTGTTCGGCAACTAAAACGCTCCCAATTGCCCGGATCGATTCCGCCATGCAGCTCTCTGAATTTCTCGAAGCAATCGCAGCTCCTCAGTTGATAACTTGCCGGCCCCTTTCTACCACAAAAACAAATAACCTCGTACATCCCCGTGAGCATCTCCCGGATTTGACCGAATGGACGGGAATTAAGAGGGATATCAAAAAGCTTCTCGATCCAAAGCTTAGTTTCGAGGTGAGTCCCTGTCAGTTGTAAGATCGGATCGATATGAGAAAAAAAAAGAAAGGGTTAGAAGAGATGAAGTGACAACATAGGAGCACGGCACTTAGCTAACAAAAGGAGGTGCTCTTTAGTTAGCGGAACCCGGCTGGTCCGATTTCATTCGAACTGATACAGGCCGAGCTACATCCTGCTCGGACGAAAATGGCGTTAGCGCTCTTGGTACTAAAGCATACGAGAACCCGGCTTTGGTAATATTAGAGGAGTGTTTCGGGATTGTTGGTCGTTTCTGTTACCACGGGGTCGGTTGTGATTTAGGTGACGCTGACCGTGTGTTTGTAATCCAACCCAATCCAAGAGAACGAGGTAAAGGGAAATTCGTCCTTGAATGGGAAGCCCCCTGGGCGTTGGATACGCCGGATAATCTTATCGAGGAGTTCAACAGCGGGCGTCTTAGCAATGGGAGACCTACCAAGCTTGTTAAAGCAGTTAGTCAACTCTATGGCTACATGACATTTAACAACATGAGGATCGGGGCTCTCTGTAATTATGAGTCGCTATACTTGTTTCAACGCGTCGGCAGCTGTGGATTCCAGGTATCACCACCATTCAAATTCTCAGACCGAGGGACCGAAAGCCCGGTGGCAGCTTTGGTGTATATTTGTCACCAGGTTGTTACCGTAGGGTCTTTCCACCACTCACCGATCGAACAAGGGCCGCCAGGAACCCATATGTTGAATATTGAGGATTTCGTCGTTCGGGGGACTTGGAAGGAAAATGGCAATACAGAAATCTTGTGGGAACAAATACATCTATACCTCGCCGAACGGGTAACGGGGAACAGAAGGTCGTGTTTAAAATTTACGAAAAGAATACTGAAATCAAGGAGAAAGCTCCTGACAAAGACATGAAACTTTTCTGGCGACGGGATGCTGAAGGGCTATAGCTAACAAATACATTTTCCTTCTTTTTTTCTTTATTCGGATTCCATAGATCCAAAATAACGTAAAGTTAGGGGTCGCACCTATTTAAGTAACCGCTTAGTACCTACCCAGGTGGCCTCGAATCTAGGCTGATATATATATCCATGGCTAGCATTATATTTTATATTTGTTCACACATGCATATGCACGCGAGACTACTATATAAGTAGCTATGACTATGGCTATATAGACCAACACGTGACTTTTCGACACTGTATACATGCATGCAAGGGTGCTTGAAATTTAAAAGGTGATGAGTAATTATAGTTCTTTACCGCAGTTTAATTTTGTCGTATCCGCATTAAAACCTGATCTACTTGTATACCATAAAATCTTGAGCCGGGCACCTTCAATTAATTGTCCCGACCGGATCCGCGGAGCTTTGAGAAAGGGACAACTAAATTTATAAAGCTAGTGACTTGAGAAGCTAACGTCGACTCTGGTCTGTTGTATACATTGCGAGCAGCCTCTTAAAAGGTGTAGCTAGTGGGAGACGCCATATATTCTAAGGTACATATGCTTGCTTATATACGTAGCCCTATCTGGCTTTTAATTTTAGATTCAGGAATAATTTTGAAATAACATTAAATTTATATTTAGGAAGCACTCTGAACGGCTAACGCAACCTAAAAAACAATGACTGCCCGGGAAATTATGTTCGCCACGTTTGGCATGGTCATCCTCGATACGATATATTTTAAAGACGACTGGAATGACCCGATATGTGATTCACTCGGTGGCTCTGGAACATATAGTACGATTCCTTTTTTTTCAGATAAACAAAAGTTCATATGATTATGCACACAGCATATAAATAGTGGTACCAGCTAACAATATGATGATCATGGAGGCACACTCGGAGCACGCCTCTTCTGCGCAGGCGAGAGTTCTACTTCCATCGGCTGGGTCACTCGTCTCGGATCAGACTTTCCAGATTCGATATTGGAGACACTGAAGTCCTGGAATACTACTCTCCATGTTGTCCGCGAACGCCCTGCCACTACTAGAGGGCATCTAAGATATCTTGATACCACGCTCGGACGTATGTATCCATCATATTCTTTTCAGAGCTTCTTTGATGTAGAACTAAACTCAAACCATAGCGAAGACCTTTCGGCATACTCAAATGCCACTATGGACTCTCCCGGAGCATTTCTTGGACACTCGGCAGTTATCATCAAAAACCTTCCACTTCCTCGCCCGTCACGGTGAAATCTTTAGGGACGTGCCAAAGTTACTAGCAATGCGAGAGGAGTCGGGGATAACAGAACGTCCAAAGATTATCTGGGAACCATTCCCAGCCACCTGTACGCCTCAGTTTCTAAAAGATTATATGAAAGCCGTCAAATTGGTAGATGTGTTCTCGCCGAATCATATGGAACTCAACAGCCTTTTTGGTGTAGAGGTTCCAGAGGTGTTTGATCGAGGGCTATACGAAGGACTCGCTCGGAAATTCTTAGATAAAGGCATAGGGAAGGATGGGAAGGGGTGTTTGGTCCTTCGGGCAGGAGAACATGGGTGCATGGTATTTACTCGAGAGATGGAGCGACCACATTGGTTACCAACATACTATGAAGTAGGGAACGAAAAGGTCGTGGACACCACAGGAGCAGGGAATTCGTTCTTGGGGGGATTTGCAATTGGTCTTGTGGAAACTGGGGATGTTATCGAGGCAGCTAAATATGGAACAGTCGCTGCAAGTTTTGTAATCGAACAAATGGGAGTCGCAAATGTCACACGGGATGCAGATGGCACCGAGTCATGGAACGGGGAGGATGTCAGAAGCCGTTTAGCAGTGTATAATTCACGAATTGCCTAGTCCACGAACCAGGGCTATATTCACGATCAGACTGAACAGCCGAGGTTGTTTAGAAGCTCAGAGGATATCAGTCTGCAGCTGTAATAGGAACATGTCAGAAAAATATTCGAAGTGTTGGTGGACGTTGGCGGTGTGAAATTGTCTTGGCACGGTGCGGCGAGCCCTGCAAAGAGGCCGGGAATAAATTTCAGTTCTCAACCTAACCACCAACCACGCACAACAATCCGCCCACCCACCAATTTCCCTCCCCGAAGAATAAATAAATTCTTTTCTTCCCGCAAAGAAATCTCTCGATTCATCTTTTTTCACGAATCGTTGAGGTTCTTCTTCATGGTATTATCCTAATCGCGAAGAGGTGGACAAAGATCCTTAGAAGACTTCTATCATGGTTCGCACTCCCGTTTTTCCCTCCTCCGTCACCGGAACCTGTCAATATGGCTGACACGGTTGCCAGTCGGCCACCGTCTCGACGCCTGCAGGTATCACGCCTTCCTCCCGTGATTGGGAGAAGAAGGTTGACGATGTCAGGCCTTCTAAATCGTAAGTAATCCCTCCATCTTCATTACTATTCTCCGATATCAAACCCCCGTCCGGCCGTCCGTCCGGCCGTCCATTCTATCCTCTTATGATGACATTACAAACAAATGGGAATCTCTCCGAGAAATTAAAAGTGTGGAGAACAATATTTATTTGTTGCAGTCTGATATATCTGTCATTTTCATACTCGGAAACATGTTGATCGCTCGTGCAAATGATGGTGCTAACGGGTCAATAACAGAGATATGAATACTATAGTCATGAACTATCTCATCATCGGGGGCTACCCATCCGCTGCGATGAAGTTTGCCCAAGAAGCAGGTCTTGAGTCGCAGATAGACCTGACTTCCATCGAAAAGAGGAATCAGATATGCACCTCTATCCATCACGGAGATATAAAAACTGCGATCGAACGCATCAATGATTTTGAACCTGAGGTAACTATATTTCTTCCTAAATCATATTCCGTCGCGTCCCGAGATATTACGATGATGAAAAAACCTTTCATGCACCACTCTCAGAGGTCTTCGGACCTCGATGATGAGTAACAATCACCGAAACACTTCAGTTCTCAAGCTGAGTTTTATCTCGTGGAATTTATTTTCCCACACACTATCAAACCATAATACCCTCGTTTTGTTTACCATAGGCTAACGATCGTGGTTTATATGGCAGTTACTGGAAATGCACCCCCGCCTACATTTCGCTCTTCTGCGTCTCCAATTGATTGAACTGGTCCGTCGCAGCATGGTGGACAATGATATCGGGCCCGCTCTTACCTTTGCCCAGGACTATCTTGCACCACGAGCACCCCAGTACCCAGAGTTCTTGAAGGACCTGGAACACACCATGGCCTTGCTATGTTTCCCGCCAGACCAGCTATCACCGCCATTGGCGAAATTACTGGACCCAGATATGAGGAAACAGGTGGCGACCATGGTGAACCAAACTATCCTCGAGTCCCAGGAAGTGTTTTCAGAAGCCAAGATCAAGAGTCTGGTGAAGTTGAGAGCATGGGTCGAGGCTAAGGCGGCGCAGAGCGAGTCAGAGAGATTGAGGAGCATTCCACATATGGACCTAGGACTAGTTTCTCCCAAGGGAGAATTTCCTGAACCTAGCCAGTAGGCTCTTTGATCCTAATCTTTGTTTCGTTCGCTTCTCTATTTCTTTCTTTGACATCTTCACGGTCTTGCGGTGGTGTTTCTGGGGGCTTTTATGTTTCCTTTGGCAATGGCTCGGTGTCTTTCTTTCTTATTTTTCATACTCTTTCTCTTCTATCTCCTTTTCTTCTTCTCTTTTTGCTTAACGGGCTTCGGCGGCGTTTATCATCATACTTTCACCACATTACTTTTAAGAAGGGGGGTGGGACATGGAGCAGGACGGGTTTACCTCAAATAAACAGATTGGCGATATGACAGGTCTTTGCAAGCTTTGCGGGTGGTGCTTCAATACATTGCGCGGGGAGTTCTTGGCTTTTTGTTCTCTTTGATTTATATCGATATCTCTGACTGGCACGCTTGGTGCTGGTACGCTTGACGCATGATGATAGCCTTCATAGATTGAGTGGATCGATGGACCAGATAATACAAATGAATGAACAAATATAATGAACAATCAACAATTATTAGCTACTAATTTCTATCCTATCTTCTTAATTGTATTCTATCCTAGTCGTCTATTGAGTCGACCGTGATGTAAAATTTCCGCGAGCGGTCGATGCCGCATTTGGTCTTGGCGGGCCGCATTTACAAAATTATCGAAAGCTCGTCGCTAAGTTTTTTTTTTTTTTCCATTTTTCACTTACTTCTGCGCCAGAACTTAACTGCTAGAGTCTTTAATTCACGACAACCAACACTCCTCCACACCAACATGCCTTCCCGAGCTCACGCAAGCGATTGGATGCGTACGGTCAGCGACGAAGAAGAATCCGACGCCGGCCAAGGATATTCGTCGGAGGAAGATCAAAGGACCCGAGTATCGAGACCTACCAAGCGACGACGATTGTCGCAATCCGAAGATGATAACGAAGACGAGGAAGATGACATTGGTGGCGATATCTCCGAAGACGAGGAAGTTCAGCGACCTGTTGGTGGAAGAAGGAAACAACGGGTAGCTTCTGAAGACGAAGATGATCTAGATGACATGGAACTTGACGAAGACGGAGAAGAAGATGACGAGGATGAAGATGAAGATGAAGATGAAGCAGAACGCTCCCTCCCCGCCCTAGGCTCTATCCCACTTAAGAAGTCCTCCAAACCATCTACACAGAACCTCAATATCACCGATCCAACCCAACTAAAACGCCTCACGCCGGCTCAATTGGCCATCTCCAAAACCACCTTGAAAAAAACAGGGGTCATCTACCTCTCCCGCATCCCACCATATATGTCCCCTCCACAGATCCGTCACCTCTTAACACCCTTCGGCACCATAAACCGCATCTTCCTATCCCCAGAACCACCACATATATACCAAAAACGAATCAAAAACGGCGGTAACAAAAAACGCCAGTTCACAGAAGGTTGGCTCGAGTTTGCTAAAAAGAAGGATGCGAAATGGTGCGCAGAGAGTTTGAATGCTCAACAGGTCGGTGGGAAGAAAGGCGGCTGGTGGTATGATGATGTGTGGAATTTGAAGTATTTGAGTGGATTCAAATGGGGAGATTTGACGGAGCAGATCGGTATGGAGTTATTTCTAAAGTTTTTTTTTTTTTTTTTTTTTTAGGAGATGGTTATACTGATATTTTATTTTAAAGCAAACGAAAATGCGGCACGACAAGCCCGTCTTCGAGCAGAGATTTCGCAGGCAACGAGGGAGAACAAGACTTATATTCGAAACGTTGAGCGAGCGAAGATGGTGGAGAATATGCAAGCTGCTGCGAAGGAGAAGCGCAAGGCTGCTGATATTGGCGATGGCGGTGCTACTGAAGCTGTTGCAAATGAGAAAGATAAGATTAGAAGAACGTTCAAGCAGAGAACTGCAGTTACAAAGACGGTAAAGGCCGGTGAGAAGAGTAAGGGCGAAAAGTCAGATGCCATGAAGAAGCTTTTGAGCACAGTGTTTTAAAATAGAGATACCCATGCATTTCAAAACCAATATACGGGCTTGGATTTGCCCTCCCGGAATCAATCTAGGCTCTGTTTATAAATTTATCCTAGGAATTCGCGATTTAAAAAAACTTTTGGTATCGATTGATGGTGTATATAAGTACACAGAGATATCATATCAGATCATAGCAAAGTATATCCCATTCACGCCGTTAAACCCATATGCAGCAACCCGCCAAAAATCCCGAATAAATGCTGCGAAGAAAATGCCGAAAGAAACAGAAACCGATTGGGAAGTGCAAAACGAGGAGTTGTAGAATTGGGTTGTCTACAACTTCTCGTCATTCACCGTCAAATTGTCCATATCATCCAGCAATTCGTCCACATCAATATCGGGTACGCTATCGTTCTCGCCGTCGATCGTCTCGCCATCCACTTCCATCGCACCGCTCTCTGCTGTCTCAATGCCTTCCATCTTGCCTGCTCCTCTCGGTTTATTCGATTTATAGAGCGCCAATGTCTGCCTCAAATCTTCATCCTCTTCTACATCTCGCATAAACATTTCAAACTCTCTCTCCATCTTCTCTTGATCAGCCTTCTTCGGCAACAATTCTCCTTCATCCCTGGCCATACGCTTAAGCCTCCAGTTTCTGGACTTATGCTTCTTGCGACGTGGGTAGTGTTTCTTAACAAGAATAACCTCCGGTATTCTACTCGGTTCATGACGTTCAACTTCCTCGAAGTGTATGTTGTTAAAGACGGTGCCAGAGAGGAAGTAACCCATTGCCGAGTCGCCAGGGTGAAGCACTGCTCCGAGATGTGTGCGTATCAGATAGGTAGTGTCGGATACACCCATGTCACTGGCTTTCGCGATTGTGGCATCCGCCAGGACGTGACGGCCTTTTGTAGGTCCAAGTGGTTCGATATCAAGAACAATGAATTCCGTCAATACCGATGCATCTGCAATACTTCCAAATGGCGCACGCCAGTAAACTGGTGTCGCAATTTCACAAGTTTGGAGAGTGTTAGGGTCGATATAATGTGTCGCATTCCCAACTTTATTGCACAAAACGATCGGGTTAATATTTCCCAAGCTCTTCGCCATTTTAATAGGAAGAACAACGAGATCGTCCTTGCAAATGGGGATTAACTCGACAGAGTATGTGAATTTGAAGCTCTTGGTGGAGGTATGGATGTCCTGGGAGATGAGTTCTTCGGATTTCTTGGTTTTAATAGGAGATACCGAGCTTAAGAAGTCGAGCATCTTCTGGGCATGGGTACGCTGGAGGAAGAAGAAATCAAGACCATCTTTGACTTCTCTGATGTTTATACAATCACGATGGGCGTTGTGCTTAAGGATTAACTGTTCTAGCCAGCTATGTACCCAAATAGATTAGCTCTTAGTTTCAGTAGAGATTTATATAGAAAGGACGGCCTTACAGGAATGTCCTCTTGTGCGAGACCTTCTGTCGCATTTGGATGCATGCTCTCCAGGTGTTGGCGGTATACGATTTGGCGCAATCCGGGCATTGTTGATAAGCTACTACATATTCAACCTCGAAGGACTGTTGTAAAATTGTCTTCTCAAAGGCCTGTCAAATCGTAAAATCAGTACTCGAACTTGAACCAATATTCTGTGTAAAGAAGCTCGGTAGGGTCTTTACCTCTTGCTGTACGGTAATCTTAACCTTCACACGTCTACTATGCGGCTCTGTCCAAATAAAACTGGCATCGATAATCCTAACTTTATTCAAACCCCTCAATTTTCTCAAACATAGTGCCAACAATTCTCTAGACTCGGGAGCAGCAGTAATCCAGTGCTGTGGCGGTTGAAGGAAGCGGTCACAACCTCGACAGAAATGAAGAGTTGCCTCTCGCTGGACGCCTTCGGAGATATCGACAGTGGTTTTGATGCAATCATAGCACATTGCCATGCCGGAAGTCCCATCCATAGGGACACCACAGTTGCAACATAGAACTCTAGTAACAGCATTATAGTTAGCTTCGTCTTCTTCTTCTTCGTTGTTCTTTCCCTTTTGTCCATTCCTGTCGGGATAGTGGGATAGTGGGGTGGTGGGGTTCGTACGTAGCTCCGCCCGTTGGTGCGACCTGCTGGAGGGGTACTGGAAGATCGGCCTCCATGATGTATTAATTTTAATTAGCGATTCTGTATGGGGTATATTTTTTCTAGTCTCGTAACCAAACTGTGCTATTTGGTAGGTGGAGATGAAGTTTAGAAGTTGGAGATGGAGAGGTTTATAAGCAGTGGCGGAGAGGTGTTGAAGGTCTGTTGGATTTGTCACCCGCTAAATAGAAAAAAAAAAAAAAAAAAAAAGGTGAAGAGTCAGAAAAAATAAATTTTAAAAAGAAAAAAAATAATCTGGAGACTAAACCTACAGAAATAGGACATCGACACGAGGTCGCCTGCCAAAACTTTTTTCTCTTTCGCTTCTTCTGCGACAAGGTCCCTTTGATTTTCTTCTATCCATCAGCTACCCGACACAACTAATATCGGTTTTGAAGTATCTTAAACAATGGCTGCTGTTGTCGCCGTACCGAAGGTGCAGGCGTCAAGGAAGGGCAAGAAGGCCTGGCGTAAGAATGTCGATATCTCAGAAGTAACTACAGGACTTGACCAAGTCCGTACTGAGATCATTCAAGGGTACTCCGAATCTCTTCAAAAATCATTCGTCACTATTATGATTCATACTAATCCCTAACCGTAGTGGTATCATCGCCGAAAAAGCCGACGCAGACCTCTTCACAGTCGACACCACCGGCTCTACCAATATCCGTCAGAAACACTTTCGCGAAGTCAAGCCTCTGAAGGTCGACGAGATTCTTAATGCTAGAAGCTCGGTACCTGCGCTTATAAATCCGAAGAAGCGGGCGGGTCCAAGCGGAATAGAACTCGGAGATGGTATACTGCCAATAAAGAAGCATAGGAAGAATGGAGTGTCGCACAAAGACTTAGAGAGACTACGGAGGATCGCATATGGCGGAGAAGCAGCTAAGGATGGTGTCAAGACAGCTAAAGCTGTAGAGGGTAAAGACTTATACGATCCATGGGGCGATGTCGTACCCGATGCAGAGGGAACAGTGGCCAAAATGGATCAACTTACATTCGTCGAAAAGCCAAAGAAGTTGAGTGCGCCATCAACGATCAAACACGCACCCATTGGAATTACAAAAGAAGATGAAGAGGCTGTACCTGCTGTGAGGCTTCCAGACCCGGGTATTTCGTACAATCCGGATTTCCAGAGATGGGACGAGCTACTTTCACGGGAGGGCGAGAAGGAAATTGAACTGGAGAAGAAGAGATTAGAATACCAAGAATATGAAAGGAAAATTCTTGCACTCGCAGACATCGAAGATGAAGACGAGAAAGAGGAAGAAGATGACGAAGATGACGAAGATGAAGAAGGGGAGGAGGAGGGAGAAGACAAGGCTATTAAAAAAATGCCACAGAGGAAAACGCCCTCGCAAAGAAACAAGGTCAAGAGGAGAAAGGAGGCAGAACGCCAGGCAAGACACCAGAACAAAACCGAAGTTCAAAAGCGGCAGCTGGAGTCTCTTAAAGAATTAAGGAAGACTTTAGATGTCGCTTTGAAAGAGCGGGCGGTTGCAAAACGAACAGCATTGACACCTGCTAAACGCCAAGTTAGACGAAGAAAGTTCGACAAATCGATGTAAGTTTTCTAGCTTCTTGACAAAATCTCTTTAAACTATTTGCTAATTGGAGACATCTAGATTGCCCCAAGCTCCACTTGAGCTGCAGTTACCTGAAGAATTAGCTGACTCTTTGAGGAGGTTAAAGCCGGAAGGGAATCTGCTGCGAGACAGGTATAGGAATTTACGTGAACGGGGTGTAATCGAAACCAGAGCCAATACCCAGCAAAAGAAGGCGAAGAAGAAGCTTACCGAGAAGTGGAGCTACAAGGACTGGAAGCCTTAGTTCTATTATATTACACCCCTTTCACTGTATTATATTATGCAATGTATGATAGTTGCAGTCCTTCAATACAACGTATTTACACATATTGCAAGATGCTTCAGCGATCATAGAATTGAATTTCTGTAACTTTTGTATTACCAATCACCCACTTGGGTGTGGGATGGAATCCTCGAACGCCATATAGTACAATATCTTACATGGAATCATATATGCATATACTTTACTTGCGTCGCTTCTTTTTACCATCAGAAGGCTCATCATTGGCTCTTCTCTTCCTCCTCTCCTCCATAACCTTCTCCATTGCTTGCGTCTTCTTATACCTTGGATTTGTCGGATCGATCGCAAACTCCGTCTTTTCGTAGATAGCTGAGAATCTAGGATCGCTCACATCCATCTTATAATCGTCTTGTAGTCCTTCTGCCTCTTTCACTCCCTTTTTCTTGGCCATTCTCTTCGCCGCTTTGCCCTTTAATTTTGCGAGTTTCTCCCGTTTCAAGATATCGTTCATATTGAAGTGCTGGAGCTCTGATGTTTTATCTTTGGCCATCAGGGCTTCGAGTTCTTCTCGCTTAGCAGCTTGTTCAGCCGCGGTCTTCTCTTTATCTTCTCGGTGTTTCTGTTTCTTCGCCTTCTTGGAGTCTGCATTCACTTTCTCTGGATTTTCAAAGAAGGGGTCATTGAATCCGAGATCTTCGTCCTGTTCCTCTTCATCGGACCCAGCAGCTTGTATACTCTCCCCATTTGCCTCCGCACGCTTCTCTTTCATTTTCTCTTTTCTAGCTTTCTTCCTTTCCCTTTCTTTTCTAACATACTTCTCCATCGTCGTTTCGTCTCTTTCGAAAATGTCTTTTTTCTTGCCACCTTCTTCTTCAGCCAGCGCAGCCGCAAAAGTAACTTCCATATCTCCAACAGGCTTCTTCTCCCCCTTCTCCACCTTCTCGGAACTTGGTGCCAAATTCAACAACTTTCTATACGCATCCTTTGCCTCTTCCCCCTCTTCATCGCTGTCACTTGCCAAATACGCTTGTAAATCCATTTCCTCCACCTCTCTTCTACTAAAAGCTTCCTTCACTGCTGCTTTCCTTGTAGCATCTTCTTGATCCCAAGTAAGCTTTACCTTAGAGTGCTGTAAAGCGTCTGTGCTGAATTCCACGGGTTTGTACTTTTTCGGCATCTCACTGCACTCGTCCCTCGGCCGGTCATCAAATTCTGTATCATCCGGTACAAATCTGAGGTCGAAAAAGTTGGCTGTGCTGGCAAACTCTGCTCCATCGCATTCAGTATATACGGTGTTTGCGGTGGCCGGGCTATCGCAGGTTACAATGGCGTAAAAGTACCGCAATCGTTCCAATTGATATTTTCGTAGCGCTGCGGAATCAAACTCCTCCCCTGTATCCTCCTTTACCAAAGTCGCTTCGGTGATTTCTTCCTGGTCGTCCATTTCTACTTCTCTCTTTGATTTCGACTTTTTCTTCACACCAGCGGAGGAAGACAGCCCAAATACCTCCTTCGGTGGACCCTCCATCTCCTCACGCTCCATTCGCTCTTTCCCAAACTCCGATGGATAGACCGAAACATTCAAAATCTTTCCACCAATAGGTACGAAGCTGGACAATACGACAAATAAATCCGTAGATGTTATATGATCCCAATCAAGGTTGACCACCGCTATACGGGATGATATATCGCCAAGCGGCACCGCTTCCGCCTCTTGTGCTGCTGCCTCTGCGTCTTCAGCTTCAGAAGTGACTACCGATTCGTCGTCAGAATCATCATCAGACGACGAAGCATCAGAAGGGAGGCCCTCCCCACGAGCTGGGTCGTATCTAGGCGCTTCATCTTCATCTTCATCCTCGTCCTCTTCTTCATCAGAGGAAGCAGGCGCAATCTCTAGCGCCTTCTTCTTCCTTCCTTTCTTGCCTTCCTCCTCATCCTCTTCTTCGTCAAGCTTCACCCCACCCTCTTCTTCTTCACCTTCCTCATCCTCAAATGTATATAGCCGTCTAATCTCCTCTCTCCGCTTATCAACTGGCAGCCTTCGGCCATATTTGTCAACCTTGGCCTTTCGAGCAAAGTCGTCGTCTTCGAGGACCTTTTTGAAACGAGAGTCAATAGCAACAGTTCTATCGCGCTTTTTAGGAAGTGCGAAACGCGGGTCGGAGTGAACGGTCGAGAAACGAGGGTCATCTTTAAAAAAAAATTTCAATCAGTATGGTCTCTGGGATGAGGGCACTTGATAATAAGCCGTACTGGTCAGCGGCACAATTGGCTCCGTTCGTTTCGGCCGGCCTCCGTTAGACTTCGATTTCTTGCCATCGTCTTTCGCCATGGTTTCGGTCGGTAATTGGTAGCGTAAAGATGGGTTACGATAGCTTTCAATGCTGGCGCAAGTTCTAGTTAAGTGTCAAAGGTTTAGCGGTCGCACGAAAGCCCCAGAAATTTTTTTGTAGGGAAAGGTAAAGAGAGATGCGACAAACATGGTAATTCGTCACGAGTTCCGAATCTAGCCAAACGGAAATCAAAATTCCCACAAATTCAACACGAAAAAGATTTGGCTTCACATTTTGGGGTTTGTCTCCGGTTACGAGACTGTTCTTGTCCATCCATTCACCGTTTTGCTGAACTTATATCTAAGAGATGCTAGCAAATAATTACTTAGGCAAAAATTAATAGATTTAAGGTGCCTCTATAACAAATTCGTTTCATTTCATTCCAAGCTGGAGTACGTGTATACATGTATACGTACTTGAGTGGCTTGTAAACGGGAGTACGCAGATGACAGGTACTCGATGAGCTTTCAATTTACGATGTAGGAAGAAAAAGTAAAGGGATGGCAATTTTAGATTGCCTCATTTATTTTCTATTTGCTTTGAGTAGAACTGAGACTATACTCTAAGCTGTTCTAAATGATCATGGTATACATCCAAATTTTCTTAATCAATAATTAATTTCACATGGTCTGTCGTATGTCTGCAATGTTATTAATACTATTCTACAGTCTCGACAATAAACCAGCTTAGCTCAACTATTCTATACTCAGTAAATGCATCAAATTTATCAACACAAGACTACAAATTTATATAGGTTTATAAATTCTCAGTATATATATATACTTATATATCGTAAGATTCTAGACATGCGTTAGCTTTTTTTTAGAAGGTAGCTGCGATTGGGTAATTGAAAATAGTTGTCTCATTGCCAGACTCGTCAACTGTGGGTAGATAGTAGTCTTGTATTAGGTAGATAGGTGTCTTATCAACTGCAATATTGGTTTGTAAATTTACTAGCTATTCCTTTTTTACATAAATATCGTACACTATATACAGCGAGTAGCATCGCAGATAGCTCCATCCTCTATCAATAACAAAAACAACCCATACCCATGACCCCAAAGATATATTGTATATACATTCAAACGTAGGTACTCTACTGAAATCTTGTCAACCCAAGGGAGACAAATAAACCAAGGGCCGAGAGAATAATGAAGAATAAGGAAATCAAACTCGAGTAAAAATCAACGCCGGAGATATGAGTTTCGGATGTTCAATTATATAAACTGATTGTCGAATAAAATCTTCTCGTCGTAAAGCAGTTGAGAGAAGGACCAAACTTGGGTACGGCCTTGGTGGGCGGATATTATTCCTTCAAAAGCTGTGACTTTCTTTCGACTGTGGGAAATTTCAAATTAGGATATCCGAGTGCTTCCCTCGAAACCCGCTAAAGAAAAGGGGGGAAAAAAAGCAGAAGCAGAAGCAGAGACAGGTCTTAGTAAGGATAGCAAAGTCCAGCGTACATAACTGCTAGATGGCCAAAGGGGATCCATGTCCTTATGAGAAGAAATATTTACTATGCTTTAGTCTGGAAACGTCAAAATCTCCCTTTGGCGGAACCGGCGGGAATTCGAGATCGACCCATACGTGAACTCTCCCGAAGCTGCCCTTAGGTTTTTTCTTCAGGGCTGATTTAGCTGATTTAGGGCCATTATCTGCTTCGCTCGCTTCCATAGTTGTTTCTAGGCTTTCTTCTAGGCTCTCCTCCATATTACTGTCGGATTCGTTTTCCGGCTTCAAAAGCCGTCCTTCCAGCTCTATCTGGGTTTCGCCCCCGGAAAGCTCTTCTCCAAAGGCAGCGCTGTCGACTTTGTCAAAGTCATGGTCAGGTGTAAGACCATATGACCTATATATAGAACCGGCAGTGACCATTTTCTCGCCCCTAGCTCTTTCTTCTGGGTCTTCGCTAGCGCAAAGCCTATCCCGCTCGATCTCTCTCATTAGATCATCAACAGCGGTTATAGCGACCTTTGTTCTTTTCGTTGTAGGAACTTTCCCTTCCGCGGCAAGCTTCATTTTTTCGATTTCGGGGGCTATTTCCTTACGGTGTTTATTGATCTCTTTTCCGGCGGGGTGGTTAGACGGAACAATGACCAATGTCTTGTGTTTCTTGTAGCGGAGAACGAATTCTTCGCGAAGTTTGGATACGAGGTCCTCTGAGTGAAGCTCAACGAATGCATCACGAAGTACACGGCTCATAGTATCAACATCGCAAGAGTGAGTCCAGAAAGAATCGTGGACAGCAGCGAATGTTAATCCGGCCTGCTTCGAGGCCATCGCGGAGAGTAACATGTGAGTTGCATCGAGAGAATGGATGTAATTAGGAGGGAAAGCACCCATCTGCCTTCGTGAATTGACTTGGTTGATGATGGAAGTGTCAACGATGGTGATTTGTTGTAGATTAGTCTTGACGGCGACAGTGGCATCGTGGCGGTAAGGTTGGACAACAGGCAACCCCAATGGGGTAGTCCAGACCACCGAAGTCATGAACTCTGCCTTGCCTCTTTCCTTTGTATGTGCCTGCCGACCCGTCGTCGGAATCACACCGGTGTAGTGTTCAGCGAAGGAAGCGTACTGAGTAGGACTCACAGACCGACTGATTCGCTTTGCACATTCGCCAAACCATTTCTGGATCAAATGAGCACCAGTGAACATGGATTGTAGTGAAGTGAAGATCTTCTTTGTGAGATAGATGGAAAGCTTGTCAACTCGGTCCCTAGGCCAGACACCCTTTTCCATTAACCTGGATTTAACCTGGTTCTTTGCGCCAATGAATGTCACACCATACACATTCGTCATGACGGTTTGCTTAACCACTTTTCTGTTGATATGGCCGAGAAGATCCTTGGCGAGTTCATTGCCGTTCTGAGCGTCCTCTGCAACCGCTTGGTTAACCAAATCGGCCACACCAGTGTACACGTCCTGTGGTTTATCTGCAGGTTCTAAATTGACCTGCTTGGCTCCAACTATATCACCGCCCAGGGCAGCATAATGCTGTAGACCGTTGCAGGTTCCGTCCTGATGAACCGGCATATTGGACTCGTATTTGAGCGGATCTTTTGAGCTCATAGCCGCCTCAAGCTCCATGCAGGTAGCAAGCATTTGCCATGGATCTTCCGATTCTAACCACCATCGTTTTCCCTGTAAGGTATCTAAGTTTTAGCACAAAATCCGCTAGTAATACTTGTAAGAGGAGTTATACGCACCCCAAGAGGATCTCTTGCTGAGTCAAAAACATCTTCCATGCGGGACTCCGCCCATTCTTCTCTAGCCATAAGGCTGGCTTTGTCATACCCTCCAAGGTTGGATAAATGGATCTTCAGCCACCGCAGTCCAGATTCGCCGAGTGGCTTCTTCTCAGAAAATTTTAGAAGTCCACGACACAAATCATTACCTAGATGGTTCAAGTGTGGTGGCATAGCGTATGCACGACCTCTAAAATCGACGTTATGAGGGAAATAGAAAACTTCGTTATAGAACTATTTGAGTTGGCAACCAGTTAGTAAATTCCGATATGGGTTGACTTGGTGTTGAAAACATACAGCTCTAGCGATTTCTAGTTTGAAGTTAACATCGCATCTCTGGCTGTGGTGGTTCTTTCGAATTAAGGCCATTTCTTGGTAAGCAATTTTGAATGCAGCTTTAGCCGCAGCATCGGCATTTGGTTGAGGCATCTCTGGCATATTGACATCTTTTTCGAAAGTTGGAGGTATGTCGGCAAATTTATCTCCAGTGTTCCAAACCTGTAGGATGACATCAAAAACTTTTTGGTTGATGGTCCAAGCAGTCGAGCCAAGGACATCCAACCCGGTGAAAAGCCGGTCGAGATTTCCGTGTTTAGATGCTTCTTTGACATACATAGTCTGCTCCAGCGAATCCTTGACTCGGACCATGCGAGTTGGTGTAAAGTAATAAGCTCCATCGTTCCAAGCGCACCAAGGACGTGGTTTAGCTATCATAGGGAGCTGTTTTGCAAGCGTGGTACCCTTAAGCGGCTCTGTCATGAGTTTCTTAGAGAACTCGTCGTGGAGTCTGATCACACCGATTTTCTTTCCACCGACAAATTGATACCCATGAACGAGTGCAGGCTGATCAATAGCCAAATCCTTGTCCATATGCTTGAGAACCTTCTTGTTTGTGGGCCTGACCTTGATCTTCGCGACCTGGAAGAGCAACGATACTAGCACTGAGCCAACCTTTGCCCTAACAGGCTGAGACCAACGCTCATTGAGAAGCAATCCAGTTCCATCCTTTTCCATTTCGGCTCTTCGGTTCTGACGATAAATCAACATGGCGAGATCTTTTTCATTCTTCACTTCTGCTAGCTGTTTTTGGAGAGCTTTCTTCTTGTAATATTCAGGTTCGCCGGCTTTCGTTTCGAAAGCCTTCTGGAGCTGTTCTGATATGTACTCGTGTTCAACATTCCTACCAACCGATATAATAGACGCAGAAGCCTTCATAGCAGTTGAGTCCTGCCACCCTGATGCTAGTTTGATAATTGACGTGATGGTGATACCAGCCAACTTCTCCGGAGAAAGTAGCCGCAAATAGGGTCCATATTGACATCTCTCAAAGTTATCGGGCTTTCCAGGGCTTGCTTCGGCTTCTTCGACATGCTTTAATTCTTCTTTGATCAAAGGAACCATCGCTAGAAGCCATCGATGCAAGAGTGGGTTGATAGCGGGGTTGTGTACTTTTGAACCCAAACTATCCGAAGCTTCCGCGTCTGCACGCCAGCGGTTTATGGCAGCATCGTATGCGTCTTGTTCTAGAACTCGCTGGCGTTCAATAGTATACTGAAGTCTTTCCTCTTCGGATTTGAAAATAGGCTGGAATTTTTCTACGCTGTGGTCGGCGAAAGATTGGAGGGACTGCTTAACAGCTGCCAAAGATGATCCCTTGACCTGGGTTTCTAGAACTTCTTCGATCTCGGGCTTTGTGTAACCGGTCAAAATAGAATACTGTTCAGGATGGAGGTCGTTTTGTGTAATTTTGTGCGCCTATCATCACACGTGATTAGTGATATTGGATAAGTCATCAGAGCAGGAGTGACAAAATCAGTTTACCATTTTTACAGCATCAATCGCTGACAAGGGCATATGGCGTAGGATATCTCCGAGGAGGACATCCTTTCTTCTTTCCCACTTGAAGATGAGGTTCCCGATTTCCTGCTTCTTATCCCGGGGAGACCGATTACTGAGTGTAACAGCCTCCAAGAGAATCGCAAATGTCATGTCATCCCCTTCAATTTCATATTTGCCAACCATATGATCATTGTACCAGTCTTCGACTTTCTGAATACTATAATCCCGGATATCTTCCGCATTGCTCGCTACGACTGGCTCGCCATCAGGATCCTGTTCTTCTTTAGAGGATAGTGGCTTCTTTAACTTCTCGATAGCGTCTTTTGCTCGAGCTAAGTAACCCCGGAGAAATATGTTGTGATTCGCCAACATATCACGATTCTCGATTGCATTCACATCCATAATACTGGTGCAAGCCACAAAATCATGATGAAGACGATCGAGCATGAGCTCTGCACGTTCAAGTCTTCCCATCTTCACACAGGCGACAAAAGAAGTGAAGACGTCTTCTTTATGAGTACCGGTACCAATCTTGAACGGATCGACCACACCCCGTGATGTTTCGTATGGTCTCGCATGCATGGGCAATTCCGGCGTCTGAAGCTTGAAAAATGAAGAGGGGTCATGTAGCCGAAGCCATGAAAAATCGGGTGGTGGTTCATCTGTGGAAGCCTTAACTTCGGGACTCGAGGCTTTACCGTCATGTTTTGCTGTTGTGTAGAATGGGAAATCGCCCTGAGGATTTTCGATCGAACTCAAATCCGGTGATGTACTATAATGTCGTTCGGACGATACTGTAGGCCGGTCTGCCTTTTTCGACGATGTCGAATGGGTTGATGAACCCGGTGTAGCCGAGTATGCATTATATATGGGGCCAGTTGTCGAGAAAAGACGAGATGGAGGGGCAGCAGTGAGAGTTGGCAACCATCTGGGCGACCTAGAGATAGTGTACTGTTGTATTGTCGACCGGAGGGGAAACTGGCGCCGACTGCATCGTCGTGCAAGCATATTTCTGTCAAAAGGGACCGGTTAACCACGATATCTGCGTGGTATTGTGGCTCTTCGAGGTCCTATAAAAATTTGCACTGCTTGGTTTGCGGCAGAAAGCTGTGATATAGTGGGATGGCAAATCTGCGTGGGTAGTGGGATATCGATGGTGACCAAACAAGAAATGACGAAGAGAAAGAAGATGGTAAAATGATTAAACTCCGTCGCCAATTGATGATTCCGTCTTAGAAAACGAATGGAATAGTCCTAGAGGAGTAGGAAGGATATTGAAGTCAGGTTGATGTTGGAGAAGAGTGGCAGACGACCGATTTCTCATTCAAAGTAGCGGTTGTAGGCGAGACCCAAAAAAAAAAAAAAAAAAAAACTGAGAAAAAACCAAGCAGGACAAACTAACTACCAGAAAACCACCACCAATTTGCGCCCAATCGATAAGGTTAGCCTGCATGAACCAGGCAGGTCAGGCCAGGGTCCACTCTGCTTCAGCCTGTCGCGAACTCCTACTCCCATTCAAGCTTGAGCTCTGTTTTTTGGTTCAATTCATTCAATCAAGAAGGTGTGACCCCATTTTCTAGGTAGTCTCCGACACGGAAGTGGATTTCAATACCTCGCGATACTTTCTTTACAACTTCACTCTGCCTGGGTACAACGTACTCGAGTGCGCCTCAACCTAATTCAAGGCCAGTATCACCATGTCGTAGGACGGCGCGGTCGGCCACAGCGGCGATTCAATACACATGTCGGTTCTCAGCAGTCAGGCGGCCTCCAAAACGAAGCTTTACTCTTCGACCATAGTAAATCTATGGATCCACGACTCCCAAGGTACTCCGGGCTCCAAACCGGAAGTCCTCTTCAACCCAGAAGTCTTCCACGGAAATGCCTCTCCCGGAGACCTCGTTCAACTTACACCTTGGAAGTCGAACTCTAATTCTCACGAAGCTCTGGCCACGCTGAAAGCAGGCCTGGAAAACTCGGGTTCGGGGTTCGGGAGCGATAATGATGGACCTAGAAAAAATGGGAAGGAAGGCGATAATGGCTCCGAAAATCACCATGCACACTATTTATTTATCATACCAGAATGGAATCCAGATGAACGTGCGAGGCAGTCTGGCCTCCAGGTACGACCGCATAAACCCTATCGTTCGTTGACGCTGGGGTCAAGCTAACATGACATGGAATAGCTTTCTGTCGCACAGCATGTCGCGACCAAGTTCAAATTGTTGCCCCGAACCAAAGTAAAACTGACCATAGTACGTTAAATGGCGCTGTTAAGACAGTATTTATATCATGATTTCTAAGAACGTTATTTAGGTTGATAAAGTCATGCATGAGGCCTCTCATGTTGAAATTTCTTTCCGCGACCAGTACTTGTCACGGTCAGATATGTGGAGACTGGCGGCGAATGAGCTCGCTGGCAAATGCCTTTACTCCTCACGAAGGATCAACTTTGTCGGAGCTATCAAAGCCCAGATCCATGGTATCTGGATCCGAGGGCAGAAAGTACAATCCGCCTACTTCTCTTCTAAAACCCGGCCCATTTTTCGATCCTCATCGGCAAGGTTCGTTCTTTTCGTTCAGATGTCCAAGGAGATGTGGCATTTCGAAAATGAAGGGAAGGGCGAGATTCTTTTTAATAAAATGGTTAACGGTTTCCTCCCTGAGTTATTCAAAAGGTGGAAGAGACTAAACGCCCGCCATCTCGTCAGCATCGTTCTTTTCACACGCATTGTTTATGACGGCGACGTCAAAATTGGGGTTATGGAAGCAGGGGACGAGCATACTGCAATGACAGCGTTCCGAAAACCACTTCAGTATCGTGACTTCTTCCGGGTTGTCGTCACGCACAGAGAGAGTGAAGATTGGACTGTTATTCTCCATCAGCTCAAAAAGGAATTTGCAGTGTTCCTCAAGGACATCTTGGTCCAACCAACAAGAGCTCCTTTAGATACTCATATCGAGCAGCCGGTTAGCCCCGGTGGTACAGCTCCTACACCTGAAGACCCTTTCCCAGAGTCGTACGTTATTCGTGGAGAACCTTCAACGTCAATCCAAGGAAATATCTTGGAAGCTATCAATCTTGCTTGTAATCAGTTTTCCCGGGATCACGTTGATCGAGACCTTGTTCGAACCGGGATTTCTATAATAATTATTACCCCGGGAACAGGTCACTTCGAGATTGACTATCAGATGCTTCAAATGACCACAGAAAATTTGGTATCCAACGGGATAGGGATCGATCTCGTTTGCCTCTCGCGACCTCCTTTGCATAGCACCCCTCTGTTCAGATATAAAAACCCGAATCTTCAAAAAACACCCGACCCACGCTCCCCGGTCACCTCAAGGTCTCGAGCTGGGACCCTTAACGACTTCGGAAAACGATCCGGCACAGAAACTCCGCACGATGCCTCCGGCCATGGGGGAAGACGCATGTCGAATGCGACCATCGCGGGTAAACTTGCAGACGCACTGAACAGTGGAATAACAGATGAACATATGGTAGACGCATTAGGTGACGAATACCTATATGCTGTCCCTCATTGGATTGATGTCTCATTCTGGTCTAACTCATCGGAAAGAAAATCTCGCCATCACCGAATGCAAGCTGCTGCAAGGAGCAGAGCCTCCAATGTCACCGGTCTTACTAGTCATACAAGGCAAAAGAAAAGCTCAAACTTCAAGCCGAGATGTAAAATGTACGAACTTCAAATGATGGGAGTAATGGAGAACGAAGTGGCCAATATCAGTATCCCATTTCTCCATGAAAATCCTTTCTTTGTGCCATATGAAGATCATACAAAGCATGAAGAAAAGCGACTCATCGAGGGCGCCAACGAAAGGAAAGAACTTGCTGCCGAAGAAAAGAAACGAGTGGAAGCTGCGAAGAAACACGAAAAGGCAATGCAAGGCTACATGGACAAATATGATGATTATGCCTTCAGGCCGTTGCATGATATTCTGAGTGCACAAGACGAGGCTAGGTATCAGAGAGTCTTTGAAGACCAACAACGAATCGACGAGATTGTTCAGGAAGACCCAAATGTTCTCAGTACAAGTTTTCGGAGCAATGTGTCTCGAAGAAGCCTTGGCCCAAATACTGGAGCATTCTTCGATCGTCAAATGAAACAGCGGAGGCCTAGCCTCGAATCTCCAAACGAAACTGCAGAGCTCGCGACCTCGACGGAAGATAAGGAAGTTGTTGAATCAAAACCTCTCCATAAAGCACTTCCAATAATTTCAAAAGAGGATCCCAAACCCGAGTCAAAAACCGATAAGAATAAGCTTGCGAGGGGTCTCCTTGGATCTGGTGGATTTAAAGTCTTCGGGTCATCATCAAAGGCTGCCCCAAGTGCGGCAACAAGCGCGGCGACCCATTTCCCCATCCTTACAAGAGGGTTTACACCCGCTGCTGTAACGGCTCGGACTTCGATTAGTTCTACGAGTGGTGGATTCCTATCGAACGCAATATTCTCTCCAGACCTCTATATTAGGAACAATAGTACAGTGTCTGTTAGTCAGGCCTCACTCAATGACGGCAAGGATTCTGACACCAAGTCTCTAAATGACTTTTCCTTAAACACTCCAAAACCAAGCAGACCTATAGCTATTCGAAATACAACCTTGGACATTAAAGAAGAACCTAAACCACCATCTGCCATGGCTTTGAGCCCAACAGAGAGACGTCAAGGGATTGCTCTGCGTGAAGGAAGGCTTTCAAAAGGAGGCCAGATCGATACTCTAAAGGCAGCCTCCCAAGCCAGACTCGCTGCCCCAAGACTTGACTTGACGCAGACCTCTGGTCAGCTAAGTGTCGCACCAACTGCAAGCCCAGCATCGTCAATCCTTCCTTGGCTTACGATACTGAATCCTTCTAACCCCAAGAAAGCACAAATGAACGCTAAAAACCAATTTCGTCGATGGCAGCATGTCTTCCCCCGGCCCCTTAGGGTATCAACGATGAAGTGGAAATCATTATGTTCACCAGCAGCCCTCCCCCTTACAACCGAATATTTCCCAACTCTTGAGCAACTTGCCAACGAGTACTCTGAGAGTCCTTATGTTATTTCTCAGAACGATGACGATGATGTTGAGGAAATCAGTAGGAACCGAAAGGAACTAGTAAGAGAAATGGTATCGCAGAGATTGTCCCGCGGATTTCAGATTGTCGTTGGTGCCGCAGTCCAAGAGGCTACCGTAAACCGGATTGGAGAGCCAGACATTTTCGCTATGAACTATATGGGCAAAGCGGGGTCATCGGTTTATATGTCTATGGGACCGCATATCCACCAGCTTATTTGTGACGAGGAGTATAACGTTGAGGTTAAGCGGTACACCCGAAAACCGGTGGGCCAGAGAAATGGTGGAGCAGGCCTAGCACCTATTAAGTATAATGCATCAGTTCGAACGAACTATTCCGAAACATATCAGCCTTTGACTGTAGTATTTAAACCACCACAATACGACTATAGCTGGAACTATGTGGATAGGTATATCGGAGGATATGAAGAGGACTTTGTGGAGCCAATGCGATTCTGGAGGGCAAGATTCATTCTTATTCCAGTCGACCTGCCTCCCGGGACCGGTCTACAACGGCGGCAAACTATTACGGGAATTCCTCAGGAGGACCTCAACGACGAAGAGATCCGGCTCGAAGGTATTCAAAAACTTACACAACTCTTCCAGAGACATCGTTACGTCCCTCCTGAAGAGCGCAGATACCAAAGGACAAAGAAAGGAAAGGATGACAACCCTCTCGAAATTGTCTTCAAAACGGCAAATCCATCCGTAGTGGTAGCAAAGGAGGTTGAGAGTCTACCCTTGATTAGTGAAGCAGACACCAATGCTCGCCGACAGCATCTGATTACGGGATCAGATATGTTCGAGAGAAGTGGTATGCGGCTACCTACCCTAGCACAAGAATTGCAGGGACTAAGAGGGATCCGCCTCCAGGATCGGAGATGGCATCTAAGGCTCCATTATAACTGTTTCATCGGTTCTGAATTTGTCACATGGATGCTTTTAAATTTTAAAGACCTTGACACAAGAGAGGAAGCGGTTGAATACGGAAATGACCTCATGAAAGAGGGGCTCTTCCAGCACGTGGAGCGAAGACATGCCTTCCGTGATGGCAATTTCTTCTACCAGCTTCAAAGCGAATACGTGGCTGCTCGCCCCATGTCTCGAGGTGGTTGGTTCGGTGGGCGTAGCTCAAAGCCATATAACCTTGGTGATGTCGATCTAATTCCTGGGTCGCTGAGCCGCGCGAGATCCAATTCCGTTATTGGAGATAGTATCTATTTTAACAGTACAGATTCATCGTCTAGTATTCAAACGCCCAAGCAAAAGGCGAGAGTCGCTCTAAGTAAGGTCATGAAGTACAACATCGACCCTGGAAAAAAATCATACCGCCCAGAGATCGTCAACCTCCACTACGATAGAGTTCACAACCCAGAGAATTGCTACCATATTCGTATCGAATGGCTCAACGTTACTGCGAAATTAATCGACGATGCGCTGACGACATGGGCCAAAACTGTGCACCGATACGGACTAAAACTCGTCGAAGCACCAATCGATGAGATATGTGCGATCACTGCAAACGACCCTTTCAGGTCACCAGTTATCGCTCGTCTCTGTATCCCGCCACCGAATCACGCTAGCATCGATGGTTCAACCCCCACCCTGGCTACAATATATCAAGACACATTCTTCTACCACGAAGCCATTCTCAAGAGATTCAATTTTGTCCTAGACCTTGAGGCTGCGAAAAACTTCCCTCAAGATGTAGAGGTGTCATACTCATGGGGCATGCCAAACTATCGATATACCCAGTACATCCACCGCACCGGTGTAATATTTGCACAGATCACCGATTTGGGCGATTTTCTACTGCTTGCAAACAGGCTTTTTCAGGCACGGGGGGGCGCCGAGGTCAACAAATTTGACAACAACAACACTGGGAGAGACGACCGGCGTGGGGAGAATCGAAGTGCTAAAGGTGGCGGAGGGGGTCTGTTTATGTCTACTTTCCCCCATGCGCCTGCATCGTCCTCATTCACGGCAGGCTCAGGGTTCAATCCGATGGTATCATCGCAGCAAACATTTGTCACTGCTGAGACTATAAAAGAAGAACTGATATCCTTCTGCAAAGACCCAGAAAAACTACGGTCATTCTATGAGGAAATCGATACTAAGAGTGTGACTACGATCCCCCCCACGCCTCACGTCGGTCCAGTTGGGGGTGCAGCAAGTGCACCTTTGGGACCTACAATCATCGGAATTGCGAATATCCCAAGTATACCAGGCGGGTTGTTTGGTACGGCGAGCCCTGGGATGAGGGACCCTGTTAGTCCAGCGATGTTGGCATTAGGCAGTATTAGCAACGCAAGTACAAGTAGTATTAGTACGCTAACAGGAAACAGGAGTAACATAAGTGTGTTCAGTGGGGATAGGAGGAGCACAAGCCAGAGCTCTGGGCTCGCGGGTGATAGGGAAAGGGATAGTTGATGTAATCGAAGGGGTAGGTTGGCGTTTTGAAACAGCTTTGTAATAGTATTAGTGCAATTGTATATAGCCAAAAGTGTATGATAGTGATGTTTATATGCTGCGGTTAAAGAGTCCTCTAGCTTTCGATATTAAGCATGTTAACATTCTCCCGGCGTTTCAAAGTCCGGCTCTAGCTATAGCTGGCTACATCGCTAAACGAACCGCGAATTAATATCTGATCTCGAGATGTTTGTGTTGAACATACAAAAATACCACATTCTCCACCAATAATCACTAGCCCTCGGAAATAGAGGCTGGATAACAGTAGAAGTTAGTTATTCAATGTAAATGCAATGATCACAAGGATACCAAACATCAAACGTCTGGTTAAGCGGGTTCGGAACGGTACCGAATACAACGGTGTAATTTCCGTATGCACTGTGACTATAAACTCGCCTATGCATTGCAGAGTGAAGCCCTCAAGCATAAATAAATTTGCAATTGGAAGGCCCGCATTCTAAGCAAGCAAGCACGGCACGAAGTCACTTTCAATTGCCGCACCTGGCCACCGATACCGGAATCAAACCCACTGTTGCATCAATCCTATTTTTTGAGTAATCACTGGTTCGTTATAGTGGCATCGAGAGTTTCTTATTGTTGCCAATCGCAATATAGGTTGGGGACCCCATGGCGCTGACGGGAAGGGAAGGGAAGGGAGGGAAGGAATGGGAAGGCGGGTGCTCCTCCATCAAGGGTGGGGTCAGTGCGGGATACCAATGAAGTAGGTTCAGGATTCTGAAGACACTTTTACCTCCAGAATGTCGCGGTGGTTAATCGATATTTTATCAATGTTAGAATTACGAGATGATACTAGTAAGCTCGAGTAGCCTGTCTGCCCATTCATATATGCAGCTCCAAAGACATGAGCAAATACGTATATACAGTAATTGACATTATGATACAATACCAAGAGAATCGACAATTCCCCTGTAAATGTCAAGAAGCCACCAAGATGCAAAAGCTGACAAGGGGATTAAGGGTTTGACTCGAAAAGACAGGTCTATCCGAAGCCACTGGGCGTTCCCTTGATCTCGGCATGAGTGGGATCCAAACCAGATCAAAATTATGGTCTTGCGCCCTCCCCAAACAGATCCAGGTTGTGAAATGCATGACAAGGGTGTCGTTTAGATGCCGGCAAACTTTGGATGAAAGAAGCATAAAATCGGGATACAAGAGCTTAGCGGTATATGTAGCAATTTATATGTTGACCTCAACTAGTCTCAAACTCACCAGCTTGGAAGCTTGGCTACCTGGTAGTTAAGTGCTTAAGTGGTTGTTGTTTCCAACATACAACATCCCAACTTTGAATCTGTCACGCAGGAACATCTAGGCGGCTCTTGATTAGCAATTGTATCCTTTCACAGCATTGCATTTGGCATGATCACGAGTTTGGAATTCATGGTGGTCATTTCGTTGGAAGAAAGGTTGGAGGCCGGGTCTAGCCACACTCCGGAGGGGAGCTCGTTGCCTTTTATGTCATAGCGGGGTGCATAAAGTAGTGGAGGGTGTCAGAAATTAAGATCAACGAGGCGAGCTTTCTCCAAGGCGGGTATTTATCGATAAAAGGAAACTTGCTTGCAGGCAAACAGTCGTGAGGGGCCGTTGGCTGTTCTTGACTCAAATATGACCGTCCGATTGGTGATCCGTACATGTACGAGCGAGACGAGGTTCTTCAGCAGAATCGCTTGGATGAATGCACAGATGTCGACCTCTCGCTAGCATCTACCGGTCAGTCCCGATGTGGCAATATTGACTGACAGTCTTAATAGTTCCATGGGGTTTCTATTATATCCAAGTGGTCAACCTGGGCAGGGCTGAGAATGCGGAAGGAGATTCAGTGCACGAGCCCAGGTTGGCCTGGTCAGCATTTGGCAAAGCCGCTGGTAGCTTGTAAGGCAAAGCGTTAGACACCCGCTGTTGGATGGTCCGTCTTATGCGTCAAGTTGCTGTCATATGCCTCAAGATTTTCATTTCGAATGAATCTCATTTTGAGTATTTTCGTGATATCGGTAAAATTATTCGATACTCGGGCTCAATGATTGACTGGCCAGTTAAATGATTTCCCGATATCAGTGGAGACGGAGACATAAATTGATATTTTAGCGTTCCGACTAGAGCTCTCACGGAATCGATCTTTTCATCCGGCATCCAGACCTCATAAGAACTTCTGGCCGGTTGCATTGTATGTACCCCGCCAAATCTAACCCTGCTCGAAACAAGAGAGCATGACATGATACAGTTAAATTTGAAGAACCGCTTTTCGTCGATGCCCCACTCCATGCGGAATTCTCCAACATGGAGTACTATCACAGATGCCGTTCTTCGGCGAGAATCGATGAAAAATTTTTTCCATTTTGAATTCGTCGGACAATTTCCAGAATTTCATCGACATTTCTCGGGCCGGCCTCTCAATTCTAATACTGGTTTGAACAATTGCAGTTGAGAGGTTTTCAATGTGGCGGTGGGTATGTTCCTTTTTTTGTTTTTTTGTTTTTTAAGTTCTCGTCAACATAATATCTAGACATTCTTGAGAAATGCAATCAGGCAGGTCGGGCACGGCCTTTTATATTTGCGAACAGCACAATTAGAAACGACCCATTCTTATCGATTACATGAACTGCATCTGGCGAACGAAGTCGGGTTTAGCAGTTGGCTTCGTTAGGCTGCGAAGCGAAGAATTGTAATCTGGGGGGGTAGAAGAATTGAATAAAGTTTGGTGGCCATTAACTAGAGTTAGACCAGATAGGTATCGGTTAAGTCTGCGAGTTTGATGTTTCTTCCCTAACCCCAAGCGCCAAAAGCCATCAGATGGACAAAACCGCAGGGAGCTCGTGTGTGCGGATAACAGAGAGTATTATGCCGTGTGATGCTTGACGGCTAAGTGGAGTAGCAACCGGATGTTGACGGCCTCTGAGACAAAATCAAAATATTATTGATCCCGCGGGGAAAATGACAGCCGATGTAGATATGTATACATGTATGTAGGTAGATGCAAGTCCTGGAATGAAGACTCAAATGTTGACGTGAGGATTGGCTAGTTCCCATCGAGCGGCTGGGATTCGTCTGTGTGCGAGAGGCAAAACAACCGTTTACGGAAACTCATCCAGTGTACCATCCATCACACTAGCAATTCTCCCAGATGGCAGCTGTTAGTGTGGTTCGAACGAGCTAGCACCGAGAATAGAAGCGGGCCCTAAAGGTCTTGTGCTGTGGATACATATATCTGGACTGCCCGGGTTTGCAATTGTGGTGCATGCACGACCTGTCGCATATATCTCTGTTTCTCTTCATTGCATCCAGGAGTTTAATTCCATATTGGTCAACATGGCTCCATAGATTCACCTTGTCAGGTACAAGATTCAACGTCGCCTTCTGGTTCGGGTTGAGCTGGGGTTGCAGAGGGGCTGCAAGGTAAACCTTATACAAACTTCGAACTCGGGCAGCATTCCCATCATCCTTTCCACCGGTCTTTTTCGAGATATCTTGTCTGTTTCAGCAGCAGTTAGTCGGAACATAAAGGCCCATATAGCTTTCTGTTAATCCCTCACGAAAACCCGACCCTGTGGTAATCAAATACACTGCCCGACAGACCGGAAGCTCGACGCCGGTTCTTCTTGTTATAGTGTTGCGGAGACTTTGGTTTGGCCGAATTCCAGCTCGATCTCCAAACCATCCCAATATTGATAACGAAAAGGAGTCTCCTGTCACCCTGCGGGAACCCGATAATTGCACCAGTTACTTTGCGATCTACCTTTTTTTCCTCCCGACACCACGACCCATCGACACGAGAAGAGCTGCGGCGTAGCCTCGAAAACTGCAGAATTTTCCCGTTTGACCAATCGATCACGTAGGCTGACTTTTGGAATTTCAGCGTAAGTGCGCTCCAATATCTTATTTCCAGCTTCTTAGGCCCCCTTTTGGTGTGCGTTATCATGTTGGATATTGGTATCTCACTCATATTCGGACTACATATGTCTCAATATCAAAAACGTGATTTGATGCTGAGCTATTCGTATCAGCCCGTTGGGTATTATCACCTGAGATGGGGCTCTCCTGCTCCTTCATCCCTTACCTCCAAAGGAATGCTCGTCGCATTCTTTTCTGCTTTGATATTCCGTCTAATAGCTGTTTCGAGCTTCCCGTTTTTGCTTCGTCTTCTTTCAAGTTGAGAGATGTCCCGTGGCCTCACATGTCAACATGAGGTATCCGAGCATCCGTGTCTGCTCGCCTAAGCCATCGGGGAGGTGGGAGCTGGTCCACCAGGCTCACTCACGAGATGCTCGAAACAGCACACATATCACATGTAACATCTCATCTTTCCTGTACCCAGCATCTGTATTGGTTTCAATATCAATATACTTGCTGCGATTTGCTTTATTTTTGAATTTTTGAAGGATCGATATTTCAGGTTTCTGTGTAGCTTCTTTGCGCATGAGTATGTGTAACCTCCAGGCTTCTTGCATTAAAGCATCCTGATAGGGGAGCAAAGCATACTTTTGCAGGCGCAAACCTTGTATGTGCTCTCATCTCGTGCAACCTTGTGGCAGCATCGGCCTCCAGCGGTACATTCCTTTGAGGATGGGAGGCTCGCTCTTAGCATGCTGAACCACCACGTCACACGAACCCAAGGGCGAGTTCCTTGGGCGGTGAGGCAGAAGGGGCTAAAAAACATCGGACGAATAAACTATAGGCTAGCGAGCAGCCTAAGCAAAGTCGACGAGCTGTCGGGTCATAATAGACGCATGCCCTTTTGTTCTTTCGATCGATCTCTTCGATCTTGCTTGTCCTTGTCCTTATTCCCACGCAAGAATATTGCATTGCTTCATGGAACTGGCCATCTGCGTTCCCTTTCGCCTCTATGCGACTGGACCTCCCAGTACGTGTAAGGTACGAAGGTACATTTCTTATTCGAACCTCGCTCTTCGCATGTCTCTTTTCCGTTATCATTCGGACGGCGTATTAGTTTGCCATGTTAGCATGTTGGGCTGGCTGTCCCATTACTGTCAGAGGTGACGTTGGCTTACGCTGATGTATTTCTCATTCCCTCCGTCTCAACTGGTCAGAGCGTGCAATCTTTGAGCCACGATCTCTCCACCGATGATAGGCTTTTTTTTCTTTCCTCGTTGATGTATTCCTCCATCGTCGTCGTTTAGTCGTTAACGTTGATGGGCCGTGGTTTTTGTCCGCCGTTTGGTGTTGGTTCTGTAGCTTGCTCATGGTTAGCACTGTAACCCATCTCGCCCTTTCACCTGGTACCAATATTGTTCATTCACCTCACCATCACCATCATCATCACCAACCTTCTTCTATTTGTTTTGTTGTCAAATTCTTACATCTTTCTCGCAAGCACCAATCTCATATCTCAATTTCTTATCACTAACTCCCCTTTTCAGGAGATCCTACCCTCATAAAACCAGTACATAGTTCCTTCGGGCCGCGCGACGACTTGGTGTTAGAAAGGCCGCCTCATTCCTGCACGCCAGCATACATTTTCTCAGATCTCTATCATACAACCGCCCCCCACGACCAAAGCTACTTATGGATATACAAACTACTAGCATACAGCTCTTGAGTTCTATCATGTTCGTCAATATATCATTCAGAGCAACAGCACGAATCCAAAGAAGAGCGGTGGCCAAAATGGCCTAAGCATCATCGCTTCGACCTTTTAACGTACAGAAAAGCCCTCCCAATACCAACCCAAAAGGAGACCTATTTCTTATCCTGAATACATTAACACCAGATAGCACTACATTCAATATGCTCGGGCGTCTTCTTTCAATATCCTCGTCCAATACTCCAAAGGCCCCAGCCAACGACGAAGCCGAGGATGCTCATACGAGGGCTCTTCTTTATCAAGCAAATAACACAGTCAGCACTTGCAACTGCTCCGAGGAGGGAGGAAAAGGTTGTGTTCGCGATGTCAGAGTCATTATAGCACAAGATTCCGTCAATGGGGATACAAAGCTGACAATCTACGACTCCGTTCCCATCCAAAACCCTCAGAGTCTGGGTTCACGGAAAGCCGATTCTCCTGGTCTCTCGACAACATCTGCTCCTAGAAACAGGAGAAGATCTGGTGCCCGTTTATCGGTGTCCGGGATTCAATTTTCCCCAGCCACCGGAGCTGAGGATGAAAGAAAGGTGCTCCAGGAATGTATGTTCGGTTCTTCGATACTGGCATACAAAGGCCCAAGTACCAAAGTACATGTCCTGCCATCGGCCCCTCAGACTACTACACCAACTGTTAGTACAATATCATCAAGTGTTCCGAACACACTACGAAGAAATCCATTGAAGGCTCCTGTCATGGGCCAGATATCCGCCTCCGCACAAGATTTGACCGCTGGCGCCACTCAAGAGGACATCAAGAGCGTTTTAATCACCCGCACCTTCAATGTCATCTTACCTTCGTCATCTAGTGCGACATCCGTCCCTCAGCAGCACCATCATCATCATCATCATCATCACCATGTGTCGTTCAAAGTTCCCTCAAGAGAAGAGCTGCCAGTTACTCCTAGTAGCTCAGTGGGCTCAACTCATGGGTTTCCTTTCCCTAATATGGGCTCAAAAATGAACACTCCACCTAGTGCTCTGAAAGCTGTCAAACCACCGAAGACTATCAGTTACGCCATTGGATTGATCATCTCCATTCCGAACAACTCCGCCCACCAGTCGTCGAATGTTCGACAAACAAAGCCACTAGGTGACGTCGAGTTCATAGACCCTCTAGCTACTATTCGTCGACCAAGCCAAGCTCCCTTGCCAGACGAACTGGCGGAGAACTTGGTAGATAATAGAATGGATCTTGTGACTAAGAATTGGGATATCATCACTCGGACACTTAATGAATTGCAAATTGTGGCGACACAACGGATCACATCTGCATTAACTGCGAAGGCCGCTATATTGTCACCACCGACTTATGGCCCCCAGAGAAAGACGTCCTTAGATACAGCGTCTTTAATGAATGACCCTATCATCAAAGAAGAAGTAGAAAGACAGCGGTGGAGAATCACCACTGGCCTCCAAATACCTCGAGTAATCACTGGACAAGGCCGCTGGAGCGAATGGAGGGAGGAAGCTAAATGGGCTGGTACGACCTTTGGTGGGAGAGATCGAAACTTGTAAGCAACCCCATCGCACCCTCATATCCCTGCTCTGTATACTGACGTGCATGTAGTTTTTTCCTCACCCTGTTAACGGCTTTCCTCGGTCATCATCCCGACTGGCTGGACGTGCTCGCTCCGCCAGTGTATCGTCGGAGGCATGTTCAGAGGCAGCGAACACTCGGCAAGGAGGATGCATATCTACCTTCCAGGACGGTCATTGTTTGCGACAGCAAGCTTGTATCACGACGACTCGTCTATCTATTGGCGGCATTTCTTCCTGAGCGTTCATCTCCTACGACCCACTGGACAGGCGACTACACCTCGTCGAACCGTAGCACAGTTAGTGACGATGGTCTTGGGCGTTCTCCACCGAGCAAGGGGCCAGATTTCAAACGAGAGATCCGTCGTGTCCCGAGTAAACTCAGTATGGTTGAGGGGGTAGATGAGAACGATACTCTGACGAGCACGTGGGATGTACCCAAAATCATGAACAGCCATGCGGGCGATAGGGACGGGAGTTCCTCTAGGATAGGCACCTCCCTGCCTACTCATTTTGGCACTGCGCAGTTACCCATCCCGTTCTCAACCCCCCGTAAAGCGCCAAGTACCACCACAACGGATAGTATTGCTCCCCACCCAGCAAACCTGAGCTCCTCATTCAAAAAGGAGCACTCTGAGCCCCGCCCTGGAAGCAGTGGCTCATCAGTCAGCGTCGGGCTCATGCAGACTTTAAGACGGGGTGGTAGCAATAACACGAGTGGAAATACGAATGAGTCTTCTGGCGGTACTAACGCAAGCGGCTGGGGTAGCTTCTTGAGCAGCATATGGTCAAGTCCAAGAAGTCGTGGTAGCGCAAGCATCGCTAGTAGCTTGGCATCGACGGTCGCCGATGACACAAATGCAGAAAGTGGAAGGCTGCGTCGCACAGAAACTGGTTTGTCGGATCATGTGTACGACAGCGACATCCATGGCTATCTAGGGCTATATGACGGACAAGGGGATGAGGCGACACGGCCACTTGCATTCAGCCCACCCACGCACTGGCACCAGGATGGGATACGTACCCCGGGTTTTGAGGAGAGCACCCTCAGATATTCTGTGGACGACGACGGTATCATCGATGTTGATATCCCGATGGGATTGCCCGCGGTGCAACCTAATTTCGACGTAGGAGGGCTGGGGGCTATTGGATCATCACCATTGCCATCATCACCCACATCAACCACTGCTGCGGAGTCTTCAATGGAAAATTCGGTTATATCTCTCTCCGCGTTGACACTTCTCCCACCCTTTCCGCAAGCGACTGGAGAAAGTGATACTACAGGTAATGTCGCTGCGGAACTTGATCGGTTTCATCCGGATTTTATCCTTCAGGCCGTAAAGTCCTATCGAGATCTTGAAAAGGACGTTCGTCGCGGAATGCAGTCCGAGCCAACACCAGCATTAATCCCCACGCCGGCGAACGAAAATGGTCGGGAAGAAGCAAAATGGATCGATATCTGCAGCACCCTCATCGCTGATACTAACACGATGAAGATCAAGCGGTTAACGCTCCGGAGGAAGAAAAAGCCCACACCATTTTTCTCGCAGCATCTTACTCCAGCACAACTCGTTGCTCACACTTTTATAAGGGAAGAGCATGAAGAGGAAGAATTCGTTGAAGAGGATGTTATGGATATGGAAGAGCTACTCGTTTCGGCAGTTGAGAAAGTGATATCGGAATCTCCTCCAAAATCCGGACTTCCCTCGCGAACTGCGAGTGTCAAATCGCCGAAGGCGAGGCCTCAGAACTCGCGTAGACGCACAGATGTGTCTGATAGCAAAGCTGCCAACCATGACACTAGGAAGGCTGTTTTAGGGTCACTCGAGGACGTCGTGCGCAAAGTTGCAGACGATCGAAATGCCCTCGTTGAAAACGTTCTCACAGAGGGCGTGGCTAGATGGCTGAATGAGCTAGAGGACGCAGGGGCAGTGTAGTACATCTACCCTCAAGTGGACCTAACTCTTTGATTCTTCAACAGTGTCAGCTATGTTACATTATCATCATCATCATCATTATTATTATTGTACCAGCTTCATTTATCTGTTCTTTGTGGCTTTACACGGACGGAGATGGTTTTCTGTGGCGTTTCGTGATTGTCTTGTTTTGCTTTTCTTTGTGGGGGTTTCTCCTTGATTTTTCGTGTGCTTTATAGCTTACAACTATCTCTTTTTTGTAATTCTCAGCGTCTTGTTGATTTCCTACATATACCAAGGGAACATGGCTGTTTTGTTTTTATATGGGATTAAGGGGTTAAGATAGGAGATGGGGTGTAAGTGTTCGCATATGTGGAGGTGTCTAATGACTGTTACGGAACCATCATGGCTCTTGTTCTTTCTGTTCGATTGATTCTAACGATTTTCCTTTTCTTTTCCTTCCCTTTTTTTTTTTTTTTTTTTTTTGGTCTTTCAACTTCGTAACCTTACAAGCTTACTCTATTTTCGACCTTTGGGCGTCAATTTTCTCTGGTTGTGTATTAACTACATAGGTATTTTATCCTTAGGTTTGGGAGGGATTGCGGAGAAGTAATGGTTCTATAGGCTTGGAATGTAGGAAGTCTAGTAACAAATTTACAAGTTTTAATTATCATTAATAACAAGTTCCTGTCTACCTAGCCGTTAGTTTGACGAAAGTTGTGGTAGGGAATCCCCTAGGCCTCCAGCTGCGACAAAATAATGTTAACCTGTTCAATTATTTTCGTATTCCCATATGCATATAGTAGTCGGGTTTGTTCGGGGCATGTGATGTTGGCTGCCTTCTAACGATCTCGCAATGTAAACGTGAATTGAAAATCCTTTAGTTAAACAAGTAATATACAGAAAGTAATCCCACATAATCAGCGTATATATAAGAAAAAATTAATCAAACAGAAAAGTAAACCACCAAATCAGTTCCTCGAGGGTTATTGTCTGACCCAAGAAACTATCTTAAACCTCAATTCTCTCTAGAGAATATGCACCTACGCCCAAGTTCTTGCGATACTTGCTTTCCCTTACCTGTCTCATCTTCTGGCCTGCTGGGTCTGTGCCCCTCCTATTAGTAACCGATGGTGGGTATCCCAATGGTAAAACTGCAGCCTTCCTCTTCTCCCTTGCTATAATCTCTGGTTTCTTTTGACGGCGAGGTCGAACATCGCCTGGTCTTATAGACTTGCGGGGACGTGAGGTTTGTGTCATGGCTTTACTATAAGCCTCTGCACGGCTCAGGAAGTGTAGCAAGGTTTCGGATACCTGGGCTGCACCTTCTAAGGATTCGCACGTCGCAGAAACCTCACTAGAGAGCGATTCTAGGAGCAATTCCTCCCTCTCAAACTCCTCAGCTTCGTCGCTGACCGGTTCTGGCTTATCGATACCGTATTGGACCAATGTATCCTTCGCCAGAAGCAACCCCGTCATCCCCGCCGCATCCACAGCACTGGTCAAAAGGTCACAAATTAGTCCTAGCCATTCATTATCTTGCGGACTTTCCGCAGCCTCGTTGATATTCCCAATGTTATCCCGTTCATCCGCGTCACGGAGGAGTTCACGTCGCAAGATACGAATCAAACCGGCAAGTTCTGCTCCGTTGAGGGTTTCTCTCAAGGTTCGGATAATCGCAGCCCTTGAAAATCTCCCGACACGGAGCAACGAGGCGCGGAGGATACGTTCTTTGACGTCACTTAGGTCTAATAGTAGCTGGGCTTGTTCTAACGCCTTTTCGACTTGTTGGGTTACCCGTTGGAGTTGCTCGTCATCGAGGGTTTCCTCGTTGAGATCCATTTCATCGATGTCGTTGACAGCGGTGGGGTCAGCACCTTGTACCAATCCTGTCATGACAATCTTGACGCTAGTGACAACTTCCTTCAATGGTATGGCTGACTTGGATGCGTTTTCAAGGAAGAAGAGGAGTAGATTAAGCTCCGGGTCAAACCTTGTCAGTGCATCGACAAAGCCACTGCCTTGAGCTGGCAAGTTGGTGCATGAGAAATAACCTTCCCACAGCAGAAACTTGAACACGTTAGGAACAGACATAGCAAGTTCTAGCTCCAAGGCCCCAGATTCCGTGATGACAGGTTTGAAGACCATTTCAAGGACAGCCGCAACGAAGGACTGGGAAAGGTTCTCGAGGTCTGGGTCGGCGTACTCTCCTTCCTCTGGTGGAGGGTAGAGAAATTCTGGAAGATCTTCATCCTTTGGCGTGGAGCCATTTGAATGGGGAGATGTAGGCTCAATATGACCTCCATTAGTACCATTCGATCCGTTCGCCGAATTACCATTGGCCATGGTTGTTTCAGTGATAGCGTAGACACCTGTTTTGCGGTCAAGTCCAACGAACTCTGCGAATTCTTTCTCAAAACCAAATGCGTCGCCTTCTGCTGCAAGCTCGCTGAGGATTTTTAAAACATCACGAGCGCGGCTTTCTTTATCCACTAGGTGCTCTTTTTCGTTGTCTTTCTCGTCTATAACTGTGTATTTCCTCTTGGCGCCATCGAAATCTTCTTCTATATCGACAGACCTGACACCCTTACATAGCGAGTCGAGGATAGTATCACCTGTGAAGAAACCAGATTTTGTAAGCTGGATGGCGAAACATCCGTGCTGGTTGAAACCGATTGCGACATCGATTTCCGAAATGTAACCGAGGAAGAGGAGAGAGCTGTGAAGTCCCGAATCCTGGACTTGGTTCGTACTGGATTTGCTGGTAGTATTTAGGGTACAGTGGGTGGCACCGTATTTAGTGTTATAGACACTGATTGCAGTTTCTGTAGATACGAACAAATTGCTGGAGGATGTAGGTAGAACGGATGAGATGAGGCTGCTGATTTCCAAGAGAGCTTCAGGCTCCGGTGCCAGTTTTGAGAGGTCATAGGTGGTTATTGCCTTGTCGACTTGACGGAATAGGGTACCAGTTGGTGCATGGAATGTGAATTGGGACTTGTCTGATGCTCCCGTGGTCGCCAATCGTACCTGTGCGAGTCTCCTGACATGGCCCATAGAAGAGGCATTGGATACCAAGTAAACCGAAGCTTCGACATTGTTCTCTTTCCGAATTGTCGCATTCAAGGTCAATAGAATGCAGTCGCCTGGTTTCGCTTGATACCCTGCCAGAACCTCCAACCTGTTCTTTAGGAGTGTCTTCTTCGCCGTGTTAACTGATAGCGTCGTGGACATGAGTAGAGGTCCCCTGGTTCTATGTGAAGGGGTATTTCGGCTGTTGACCACCCATCTCTCAACTTGAAGGTCTGCAGATAAACATTGAATGCTGGCATCTTCGGACACAACGAGGATGTCGTTTGTCGAAGGCTCATCATCGCCTTTAGTACTCGAAGTAATACTATGTAGCGAGATAACCGAAGAAGATCCAGTGACTGGGCGTGAATGTTGTTCGATAGTTGTATCCAAAGGACCGAAATCAGACACTGGCGACGACACGACAGAGTTGGTCCGGGAGCTTCGTCGGACTGCCTGTTCTTTCCAACAGGATATAGAGCGGCCTTCTAATGCTATTGAAGCATACGACCATCTTATAGAGCCATTGGCACTCCTAATTGAGAGTGGAGAGCAGCTGAACCGGGTGGTGGGAGGGGTAGAATAGGTTGATATTATACGAGGAGCTTGCACCTAACAATTTAAGACAAAGCGTGAGTAAAGATAATTAAGAATGTAAAGATTGTCATAGGGAAGCTTACATCGACGATAGAAACTCCATGACCATCCACCGCGATAGTGAATTCGGAGCGCTTTCGCTTTCTGGATGAGCCGGCTTGAATGTGAACTTGACTGCCGTAGCACTGCTTAGAAGATGTTTCTGAGGAATATTCTGCTCCAGAAAAGGGTAGGAGAGAGTAAGGATTAGACAGCGACACCGATGGCGCAGCTGTAGCTGAAGATATGGCCATCTTTGCAGGGAATTTGTGGAAGGTCGATGAGATGCGAAATTGTAGGGATGCAAGTATCACCACAGAAAAATTTCAGGTAACAAAAAAATTTAGAGCCGAAAGACGCCAAGCCTTTTTCCAGATGTTTGTCGATTCTAGAACTGCCTGTTTTGGACGAGTGGAAACGTGCAGCTGAACACCTCGCGTTGGATTCGAACGCGTTTGTTGTGGCTGCTTGCGATACCTATGTCGCAGACCTCACTTATGCAACTTCCCTCTCTCTATCTTGATACCTTGACCAAGTATCTCTACCAACAACCACAGACTCGCCAAGACCTGGTTAGCAATAACTACCTTAGCTATCCCTCTCTCACCTTCTATTTGGCCATTTACAGCTTTTCAATCCTTCAACAGTGTTTAAGTTACGAATCGAATTGAGTATTGGAAACATAGCTTCAGAGGATTCTTAAAGCAGCTTGGAGCAGCAAAGAAGAAGAAGAAGAAGAAGAAGGGGATAGATCTCGAGTACTGCACCACATGCTGATGGAGTTATAACTTCTCCTCTGGACTCGCCCAGGCAGCTCTAGCAATGGGCGGGAAGAAGCAGAACCCCATATCTAGTATGTTGACTCCCTTTTGATTCCTCATGACTTGGTGTTTTCTAACCATCTTGGACAGATTTCTTCATTGAGATACCCCCCGCAAACACGAACCCGAGCATTACCCCGCCTCTAGAGTCTGGACCCAAGACATATGAACAATCTCAATTACTACCAGAAGCAGTCGAGTCCCTCCCTACTCCTGCAGCTGAAGTCGCTCCTGCAGTGACGGAAGCCCTGCCAGCTCTTGTTCAGAACGATAAAACCCTGCACCCGTTCTTCGACAAGGAAACTCGTAAGCAAAGAATCGAGAAACTTATACCCTGCTGCCAGTAGATCTAACTGGTTGATAGGCAATGCAATCCAGCTCCAGAAATCGAAATCTACCTCTAAGTCCGACAAGGAGGCGCTGAATCTCCACAAGATATTGACAAATGATGATGCGGGCAAAATTACAAAGCCTAGAAAGCGGAAAGCTGGCAAGGCGGGTGCAAAATCAGAGCATGGCTCAAGATGCAGTCTGCCAGGTTTGGGATCTCATGATGAGGCGGTAGATGGACTTATCCGGGGAGACCCTATCTCAGAAGGCGACCTCCCAACACCTTCTTCTCCTCACAGTAGCGACTATGAGGATTCAGGTGTAGATGAGCCGCCGAAAGAGAGGGCTGCAAAGAAAAGACGAAAGAACTCTGGGAAACTGATATCCTTATTGACCCCGCCAAGGTCTTCTGAGAAGGAGGCACCACCCGCAGCTAAGATTACTCTTGTTGGCCTGCCGGCGCGATCATCCCCACCTCCCAGCACAATACCCACGAATGTCGAATCCCCTCGAGCCTTGGCCGATGGAACAAACAGGATCGTTCTTCATGTAAAGAATCAGCCTTCAACGGGCGCCCTACCGGCAGTATCTATAGCTGCACGTTCTGCTTTCGATCTAATGAAAAAGCCATCGGCTCCTATGACGAAGACGAGGAGCCGAAGCGCATCACCGCCTCCAGCTAGTACTTCTGAAGGCCCGCCTGCTAAGAAAGCGAGAACAAGAGGTAGACCACGCAAGTCTGTTGTAGATGCGGATATAACCCCACCGGACGCAAGTTCGCCGGCAGTTCACCACGACGAAAAACAGTCACTTCTCGTTAAGCTCGAGATCGGTAAAATTGCCGCGACCAAGCTTCTTCCACCTGGGTTACGACCAAAACTCGTAGTTAAGCTAAAGCTTAACAAGGAGGTCCTCGAGAAGTTCATCGTGAAGCCTCATCCATTTTTCGTGAAAGCAAGCGGAAAGCAAAAGCAAGCGGACGAGTCTACTACGAGGCCGCCTACGGAACCAAAGCCACCTATTTTCAAGGCAAATCCTTTCACATTCCAACCTAAACCGAAATTCAAAATTGAGCATCTGCCCCCGTGGCCGTCGAAAGATAATATACATGTTCGGAACATTGGTACCGAAGAAGTATTACCAACCCCGGCAGCTCATGGGCTGTTAAATAATACGTCTCGGAAAGGGAAAACGAAACAATCCGAGGTTACACCATCTGAATTTGTCTTAGAGAAGCTGCGCGAAAGATATTCAGATTTATACACGAAATACTCCTGGGAAGATGACTCGAACGGGCCGCCAGCCTCTCACCCCGCAGTCCGCGTGCCCGGGCGCAAGCTCATAGGAGCAAGCGATGTTATCAAATTCATCCATTCACAGATTGAGCCTTCACGCCTTTATGCTGAAGCCACGCATCCAGCCATTCGGGAGCTTATGAGGAAGATTGGGAACCGTGAAGGGCTGCTGACAGCATTCGACAAGTCCGAATGCGAAACACGGACTTGGAGCTCCCTATACGAACCAACTTCGAGTAGTTGTGTGCTACAAACTGGACAAGAGGCTCGGGAGTTAGGCCGATGGCTAGCTTGCATGAAAGTGACAGCTGTTGACAATGGCACAAATTCAAAGCCGAAAGCACCGGTTGTTAAGAAGAAGAAAAAGCCCAAACACGAACTAGATGACTTTGTCGTTAGCGAAAATGAAGATGAAGACACAATGTCAGATTTGACAGATCCTGAAGATGCGGAAGCCCTCCCAACCGGCCCACACTTCTTGAAAGGTTTCAAAAATTCGGAAATCCGACGTAAGAGCAGGGCCACTGTTCTTTCCACTGCCAATCCTCAGAAAAAGCGCACAAGTTCTCCACCCGCAAGGCTTCCCAATTCGATCATGCTGAGCGGTCCTTCAGGTGCCGGCAAGACGGCCGCAGTATTAGCAGCCGCTAAGGAACACGGCTTTCACATTTTCGAGATTCACGCTGGGACCAAAAGGGGCAGCAAAGAGATTCAGGAGCTTGTCGGAGACATGAGTCGTAACCATTTAGTGCACCAACCCAAGACCCAGGAACAGGCCCCTCGTACAGATACCGAACAATCAACGATTTCCAAACCGACGGGTTTCAACTCAATTTTCTCAAAGAAAGATACACAGCTGACTGCCCAAGGAGCCGCTCAGGGTGTTCAAGCAAAAGAGAAACCAAATCAACAGCAACAACAATCCCTCATATTAATTGAGGAAGCAGATACTCTCTTCGCGGAGGATGTTGGGTTCTGGCGGTACATTATAACTTTGATCCAAAAGTCGAAAAGGCCGGTCGTTATTACTTGTAATGACGAATCTCTTATAAAGTGTATCCCCGAGCTAGATCTGTATGCAATCCTAAGGTTCAAGCCCGCGAGTCCCGAATTAGCGGCGGATTATCTACTTTGCATGGCGGCCGCCCAGGGACACTTTTTGGATAGAGCGACGATTCTGAGTGTTTATGAGAGCTACAACTACGACCTACGAAAGAGTATTGCGCACTTCAGTTTTTGGTGTCAGATGGCGATCGGCGATCGTACATGGTGTAGCCGATGGTTTTATCTTCGGGATGATCCAGACAAGGGAAACCCGAGAAATGCAGCAGGCGAAGTCAAGCGATCTATAAGTGATGGAACATATCTTCCGGAGATGGAGTCGTTTGGTCGGGATCTCGTGATCGGCGAGAATGGGAGACCACTCGAGGCCAGCGAGATTGACGAAGCTGCCGTGTGGAAGGATATCCAGGACGGTGCTGTGGTTGATATCGGGGACCGATTCTACAATGAGAATCTAGAAAGCTGGATGGGAGCTCCCGAGAATACCTGGGATCCTAGTTGCCCTGGGAAGGGTAAAACTCTGTTGTCGGAATACTGCGATTACATTGAATCTTTAAGTACGCTAGATGCATACCAGGGGGTTGGTGTTTTTACGTACGATTACGATCTCTATCAGATTGATCCCGCTCCAAGCGGTCTCAAAGATTTCAAGGAAGATGGTAAAGATGACGACAAGGACCTATCGCCCGACGCTATCTTAGAAGTCACCCTAGTAGATGCAGAAAGGAAAACGGACCCGTTCTCTACCAGCTCCATGATCTCGATTACGGGACAGATTCTCGCCCGCAATATTCTACACGATGCGAGTCGACTTCATATGCCAGAAGAAACTTGCAATACGGTATTCGCACCATTAACAGAAACCAGGCTCGTGGATATGATTTCTTCAAACCGCAAGTTCCGAGAGGAACGTCAGAAGAAAACCCCGGAGGACCTTCGCTGGCCATTCTACAAGATCAAACACGGGGGTCACTCGCAAATTGGGCGACCGATGCGGGTTCTGGTAGATACCATACCGTATATTCGGGAGATCGCCCGGTATGATCTACAGAATGGGGAAGTTGCACGGGAGATGAGTAGTTTGATATCTCAACGACCAGTTGGTGGTGGCAAGAAGCGCACTACTAGAGCGTCCGCCTATGCTTCCGAGGGGAGAAGCCGTGGGGGCGCAAGGCCTCGTGGAGAACAATATTTCCGTGGGAGTCTAAAGGCGATGGTTGATACCGGGGGGTTAGAATGGGGCGAAGCGGTGTTCCTATATACACCACGCCCCGAGCCGGATTTTGAAGATGGCGTGGCCGAAGGAACGGCACCACCGGTTACAGAATTGCAGGAGATCCCACAAGAGGTAGAGCAAGAGGCGGAGATTAGCATTGCCGTACGACCTTCACGGAGACCTATTATTCATGACGACATTGAGGAATGGTGTTCCGATGCATGATGTGTAATATAGTGTATTTTCAGACTACACGGCTTTTGACGACATGGTATTCCTCACTCTTTTTTTTTATTGTCCCTGTTACTGAAGCGTGTTACTCGTTTTGTTTTTATTTATTCATGATCCTTCTTTCTTTTTTAAGAAAAAAATCCCCTTTTGCATGAATATATTGGAGAATGGCGTTACTGTGCATTGACGGGTTAGAATGTATTATATTGCAGACAATTGGAGGTAGCATCATACGTATGTGCCGTCTATCTAGATCCTGTACAAAAAACTTTTTATTGGAAAGTCCAACAGACTATCAAAAATGTTTAAATTTAGAGGAATGGTTTACAGATATAAATATGGTACCGTATGGGATATTCGGATTCACCGATTGGCACAGATCTGAGCACTCAATGCGCACTCGAAGGGAATTCGGATGAGGCAATGTTTTGTACAGTTTCTAGAACCCTACGAAACCTACAATGTTTTGAAGTTCAGATAATTGATATTTACCGGCCCCTCCGTTCCAAGGCAGCTGTTTCAATATGTTTTTTTTTTTTCCCTCCTTCCCTTCTTTTTATCATATATTATTTAACTAAAGACTCCTCCTAATACATAGGTAGTCGTAACTTCGATTACCGGATAGGTTTCAAGTGCTCGAGTCGTTCACAAGAAGAAGAAGAAGAAAAAGAAAAAAAGCCAACAAGCAAGTTGAACCGTGTGGTTCGGTCGGGCACTGACAGCCGAAAGAAAAGGAAGTGTCTAAATATAGGAACCTAAGTCAGTACCTAAGTCAATGGTTAGTGTGGAGGTAAGTACTAGGTCTTCGATCTTTTTTGATCAATTGCGACCCGCATGTGCAGAAAGTGCCAAAGAGGGGTGGGCGCTTAAGGGGCTGGTTGGTTGACTTTTTACTGGGCAGAGTGACGGATTGGGCCAAAGTTTTTTTGCGGGTGGAGGGGTATTTTACATGCTTTGGGGATTTGGGACCTTTTGAACCGGATATCTGGGTTTTTTTATTTTATTTTTATTTTTATTTTTATTTTTATTTTTATTTTTTCTTTTCATTTTTATTTTTAAATGTAGACAATTGGATTGTTCGGTCTTTTACACTACTTCCTACTTGACTTAAGTACTGTCAGTACTAGAATTATAATAACTAGTACTCAGTCACTTGAGTATAAACCGAATGGAATTAAATAGAAATATTAATATTTGACCCCGGTTCTGTTCCTTACATACAGCTAAGCACCAACCAACCTTCAGAGAGTCAAGAGGGGTAAACCAATCCAAGCGAGAGTCAGGAACAGGAACAGGAACAGGAACTGACTTACGGCGTACATTGCAGGGTATACCAACCATATGACCATACATGTAAGTACTATGTAGATAAGTAATTAGTTGGTTGTAGTATAGATCATGGACAGTATTAAGTATATTACCGCCATGGAGGTGTGCAACCGCCCATCAGTACGGTATAGTACCGTCGGCTTCCATACCTTGTATATACTTAAGTACTTAAGTAAGTATATATATCGTCGACGGTTATATGTCTCCTGACGGGTACATATTACTTATATAAGATATGTAAATGGGATCGGAATGCTGAACGTGAACGAATAATTTCGTTTTGTCCGTGGTTCGGCGCCATGGTGCAGATACAGCTGCATGCAGCGACTCCGATAATATAAATTGCCAATTTCGCGTGACCTTCTTTTCTTTTTTTCTTCTTCTTTTCGTTCGATCAATTCAATTCAATTCAATTCAATTCAATTCAATTCAATTCTCCCGTGATGATGATATTTATATTTTATATTCTATAGATCATAGACTATAGACATTCGGAGATTGCCAATATTAAATACAAATACCTAAGGAAGTATTCACTCTTCGACATTACATTGCATTGCATTCCCGGTGAACGTTAACAATTTAACAATTTAACACTTATCTCGGTGGATCCGACCCACCCAACCGACTATCATCGCATCGAGATCTCCACCTTCCACCTTCCCATCTTCCACCCTCCTTCTTCCTTCTCCCTCTTCTCCTTCTTCCTTCCCTTCCCTTCCCTTCCCTCAAATCCACTTATTTCATCCATCCACTTCGGTCCATCGGTTTACTACAGATGCTTGTTGAAAAGTATAACCTTTAGCTAGGTACTTAAGTTTACGTCTACGTCAACCTACCCTGTCCAAGCAAGACCATCATCGTTCCAATCAAAAGCCTTCGTTATCCATCCAACCCGCCAACCAATCTGATCTGCCTGTCTCCAACGGGACGACAACCAGCATTCTCCGTGCAGAAAATATCCACCCCGTTTTTGCTTTGTGCCTTGTGCCTTGTGCCTTGGCCTGCCTGCTGCTTGCTGCTTGCTGCACATCATTTGGGTGCCCCAGTTACCCACATACTTCATACCTACTACGTACAATACTTAGTACAGGTCCTTGCATAAGTGCCGTCCTCAGTTAGCCGTCCGGTCTCCCGATTCGATTTGCTGCCATTCGCCATTCGCCATTTTGCTATTAATACACCTTTTCACAATACAATACAATCCAATACCATACAAATTTCAATACAAAATTACAATACATGACACTATAATACATATACCTAATACCAGTCCCCTCTTGCTGGTGTCACAGACATAGGCACAGGTACGAACAGACGAGAAGCTTCCAAAAGGATCGGTCTAGCCTCGAATTCTATTCTACTCGGTCCCGGTCTCGTCGTCATCACTCTCTTCTCGCTCCTTAGTATTTGATTATTCTACTCTATCTATCTTTTCTATCCACGGTCTCTTCTCCGTTTCTGACCGGCCTCGCCTTCTTTTTTTTTTATTTTTTTTATTTTTATTTCGTTTTTTTATTATTTCATTTTCATTTTTATTTTTTTCATCCCTTCTTTCTCTCCTTCTCCTTTCTCACCCTGAACCGACCAAGTACTTTCTGACTGACTAGACTGACTTATTATTGTCCGTCCGTTCGTTCGTTCGCTCTTTTTTATTTTTTTGGGCTTGGTATCGTTTATAATTTATCAACTTTTGTTATTGCTCGTCCCGCTCGATCGGTCTAGCCATTCACAGTCCGGCTTTTCATTCCTTCCTTTCGACATCTAGCCTCCTATTCTCTCCTGACCTACCTGGCTACCCATACACCACCATCCGATAATTCATTTATTTCGACAGATAGGACTGGGAGAAGGGAAGAAAGAAAGAAAAAAACACCATTACTCTTCTTTCCTACTTACCATCTCTTCGGGTGAACTCTGGACAAAATCTATTTCATTCAAGGAAAGAAAGAGAGGGAGATTGGTAGACAGACACAAGAAATCCTTCAGCCAGACACACAGGGACAAGAGTACATACATACACACCTGGCCCCCACTTCCACCTCCAGCATTACAATACTACCTTTCTCAAAAATATCCAAACTACAAACCCAACAAGGGACTACCCCTCAAACAACCTCCAAAATTTCACGACTCATCCCCTCTCTCCTTCGCCCGCTCTCCTCCCTCAGGGCTCGACCTCTATCGCCGCCTGGCGAAGAGTTCCCTCCTCTTTCTCCAGAGCTTCCTCACACCCCGACTTCTCCACGATCGCCACGCAACATGACGTCCCCCCAGTATGCCACAATGCCGGCCTCGCCGAATAAGATACCCTCCGCTCAGGCGACACCCACCTTTGCTCAGCAGATACCCGAATTGCCAAATAAGAATATCATGAACTGGTCGACGGAGGATGTTGTTACTTTTATGAACGAGTTGGGTTTGCCTCAGTACCCGGACGCTTGGATAGGTAAGCTTTCGACATACGCACAAACATACACACCCACCCACCCACCCACATATCATATCATATCATATCTACATCTATATATATATATTTCCGGCCGAAAACCTTGGCACGATCCCTCTCGGTTCGCAGGATAAGGGGAGAAACAAAAAAGAATGACAAAAAAAACGTTTACTGATACTTCCGGAATGGATTTGCAACAGATAACGAGGTCACTGGCGACGCACTCATTCACTTAAACCATGATGAATTACTGGAAATGGGAATCGAAAGTATTGGGCATAGGATGCAGATCCTTAAGGCTGTCTACAAAGTCAAGATTGCCCATGAGGTTCCCATCGAACCAGAACATTATGTTCCAATTAGTAAGTCCCTACCGGTCACCCAAGCTTTATATTCCAAAAAGAAAACTTTGGTACTGATTTGTTATTAGCGGCCAATCCCGCCGACGCCAACCCCGATACCACCTTCGTCACCGTATCCGAATTCCAGCAATTGATATCCGCAGTGAAACTCCGTGATGATAAAGTGTTTACGTTGGAACACGAATTGCGAAGGGTCAACGACGCCTTCAATAGGCTGCGAGAGGAAATGCTTCCGATTCTTAAGACGATCAAAAACGAAACGAAACCCCTACCGAAACCATCATCCGCATCAACAGCAACAGCAACCTCGACTACACCAACATACAAAGATTTCGACAACATTGCTTACGATAGGGATACAGCCTATAGAACTCGGGGAGAACACGCATCGGAAAGCGTCGATATTCGACGTGAACCGACCCCTCAACCTCTGTTATCACAACCGCCAACGAGGAAATACTCGGTCAAGAAGGTCGATAGCGGGAAGAATTACTTGAAGGGTGCGATATCACCTGGAAGCGACAGGAGTACAATCCGCGAGCAATTTGTAACCGTTCCGGACCCTACTGGCACTATGGATTCGATTGCTAGCACACTGGTCCCGACACCTAGTAGTGCAATTCAGTCACCTCCGACAACAATCGTCGGGAAGGAGAGGTCCGAATCTACAGTATCTATGCCTATGGCTTCGCTTGCAACGCCATCATCACCGCATAATGGCGGCCTCTCACATAGCGTTATAGGGCGAAGCTTTAGCACCAACAGACCCAGCGGCCGTTACGGCAGAAGAGAGGAGCCGGAACAACATCTGAGAGCACGATCACGAGATCGTGATCTCCGAAGACACGAACCACCACCAATGGCTTCCCCGCCCGCAGCAGATGACGAAGGCAGCAATCCACCTACCGTGGAGATTTTCAAGTCCTTCAGGGTATCCATGGACGACCCATGTTACAAAGTGCTCCCAGCTGCCCTCAAACGATACAACATTCAAGCCGATTGGCAACACTATGCACTTTATATTGTATACGGAGACCAAGAACGCTGCTTAGGATATGAGGAGAAGCCTCTCATTCTGTTCAAACAACTTGATAAGGAAGGAAAGAAGCCGATGTTTATGCTCAGAAGGCATATAAACCCGGAATCAGGACAACCGACCGGTGTGGTGACTGCAAATCCACCCGGAGGCGTCCTATAATTCTTTACATCATTGATGGGAAAATAGAAAGAAATAGCCCCTATATTTCTATATTTTATAACCTAACTTTTCCTTGTTTTTTTTTTTACGGTCTTATTAACTGGTTAAAATATTTGTTTCTGGTTCTAAAGCATCTCATGGAAAAAGCCAGCGGTCTTCTGTTTCCCAACCCTTTTTTTAGCCTCTCAAACTGACATCAGCATTTTCTTCCACTCTCGACTATCAATACCAATACCTACTAACCGGGGCATCTGTTTCTTCTTCTTCTTCTCTTTTACTCCCCTTTTTTTTTTAAACTTCGGGCTTGCTTTTCTTCTTCTTTTAGCTTATCACTCTGTATTATTTTTCAATGTATACATTTCTACACCCTCTTATACCTTCATGTTTTACCTATAACCAACACTATCCTCATTATTATCATCACCATCATCAACATCGATCACACACACTACAGACACACGAACGCATGCACCTGCCCGAATTTTTTAACTCTTCTTTTGGTTCACGGCTAGTTGCTTTATGGAGTAGGGTGGCTTTCTGGGATTGTGGGAGAAAGTGGATTATGGGAATGATGTTCTTTTTTTCTGTATTAGCTACTTATTATATTACTTAGGTATGCATGCATGAGAGATTAGCGATGCATATATATACGTTGAATGCGAAAACAGATGTGGTTCAGTTCGGTCCCCTTTTTTTTGGGGGGGAGAACAAGCAAGAGTTGATGTTCCTATGGGAAATGTTGATGATAGATACTATAGTGAAGAATATCATTATAATATTCGAAGTTAGTTTTAATGTTACATCGAGTATCATGATTAGAATTCAGAGCATTGTGCAAAGGGGACAAAATAAACATAATAATAATAATAATACATAGGCATGCATGGAGTCCGGTTATAGATCAGGACAATAGATGCATGGCGTATCAATTAAAGACAATGGTATATATCTGTTACGAGATTGTGGAGAAATGCATGAGGTAGTAAAGGTATTCTGAATGATAGAAATTGGCTTTTTTGGGGGGTTTGAATATCGTACAAAAAAATGAAGGAGGGGATCGCTGTCGTTACTCCCATTAGGGATTGGATGGTGTGGGTGTATGTACAGCGTTTGATGTGATTAGTGGTATCTTTGCGGGGAGGAGGAGGAGGAGGATGAGGGGGGCATGGTATTGCCTTCTACGAGGACTTCTCGTCGTCGGATTTCTCGGACTTCTTCTCTTCGGCCTTTGGTTCTTCCTTCTTCTTCTCTTCCTTTGGTTCCTCTGTCTTCTCTTCCTTCTTCTCTTCTGTCTTCTCCTCCTTCTTTTCCTCCTTTGCTTCCTTCTTGTCCTCCTTCTTGTCCTCCTTCTTCTCTTCTTTCTTCTCTTCTTCCTTCTTCTCCTCCTTCTTTTCTTCTTTCACTTCAGGTTCGACTGGCTTGGCGGCTGGTTTCTCCTCCTCCTTAGGTGGCGGTGGTGGTGTGTGAGACTCGACCTTGGCCTCCTTTGGAGCAGCGTGAGAGTCGTGGTGGTCATCGTGTCCACCCTTATGAGGAGCAGGCGCGGCCTTGATGAGCCAGTAGGACTATTTTCGTATAAATCATTAGAGCCGTTCTCAATGCGAACTTTCAAAACGATCAATTGACTTTGACTTACAGCAGGGACAGTGAAGCCGACAGCGGCGAGAAGCCTATGTTTTGGGTTCAATTGGTTAGCTTTCAAAACATATCTTTAATAAAACTATATTGTATACATAAAATATATAAGAAATTTATGATATAGTAGCATACCAAGGGGTATCACTGGTCTTCTCGTAGGCGTGGTGGGCATCGGAATAACCTCGTCGAGCGACGATTCTGTTGACGCCTCGGGCCGCCAGCCCGCTTCGGGAGGCGACGGTGACTAAACGGCGAGACGCGGGACGGAACATGGTTATTATTCTTATATAATTTACAAATTGGGAGTGAGTGGAGATGATAGGAAGAGATCAATTGATGATATTGCGGAGGATGAAGAGAAGGAGGAGGAGGAGGGGGTATTTTTTTTGAGGTAGTGACCGAAGTCCGAATGGAATGTGAATGTGAATGCAAATGTTATGTGGTCGGAAAGTGCGGGTTTTTGTGGTGGTTTGACGCCTTCTTCTATCGGGGGAGAGTTAGTATGGTTCCCCGGAGGCGATGACGTCTATTCTTGGATGCTTTGAATGGGACACCGGGTGTCCCGTGATGTCCCCGGTATACCCGGGCAGGTCAAGGCAAAGCACGCGTTGTGGCCCGGCCGTATCTTATCGGACAGCTTCAGTGAGCCGAGCTGGAGCGTAGTCAACGGTTCCCCACCAAACACCAAACACCAAACAACCTCGTCACAACCTGTGCCAGCCTGCCTGCCAGCTGCCAAAGACGCATTTTAGCTCCTTGCTAGCTGGACACAGAGTCACGTTGAATCTACTTCCAAAAAGTGCATTCTTTGGATTGCTCATTTATTCCCTCCTTCATCATCTCCCTTTCCCTTTTATATATACAAGTACCGTCACTTTTACTGTTAGTAAGGTGTATACATAAGGAAGTGAGTGTAGACAGTGGTGGGGTTTTGAAGATACAAGTACCGAGCTTGCCTGACAAGCTTCACGACTTCAGGTAATCCACCTGCTTTTAAAAACAAGCTTCAGCTTCTTTAATGATCAATCTGGATCCTTCGTGACGTCCTGAAATCTTCTCACGTCCGTGACTTCTGACTTCTGACTTCAATCCCGTTTGTCCTAGATAGAGCCCACCCGAGAGCACACTTGTACCTACCCCCCATTCGACCACCCCCAAAATACCTCTTCATCTTCATCTTCATCCTCATCATCAACCTACCAACCAACCTACTACCAATAACTATTCTACCGTCAAAATGTCTCAACAGTTTCAAATAAACCCTATCCTTCAGCAACTGGGCGATGCGGACAGCGATTTCAGGTTCATGGCCTTGAACGACCTGTACTCGCTTGTCACTTCCAGCTCGAATACTATCCCTAGCGACTCTGGTTCCACCACTTCGCGTCTTATCGATGGAGTTGTAAAGGCTCTGGATGATACCAATGGAGAAGTTCAGAACCTAGCTGTCAAATGGTTAGTTCGTTAATATCCCACCGGAGAGGTGCCTTGTTTTTGAGGAGATTCATTCATTCATTCATTTATTTATTTATTCCATCGTGTTCCTATTCGATGCTAATATGGGTATACAATATCGCTAGCCTTGCACCGCTATCACTCAAAATTAAAGATTTGCAGCTCCGGGATCTATTTGGGAAACTCACCGAGCTCATCAGCTCTTCAAACGACCCATCTATCCCAGCAACTGCTTTACGTCTGGTCATTGCTTCTCTATCAAGATTCGGAGCGTCAGCAACCGCTGGTTCCAACACAGCCCTTCAAACTGCTCAGCAGTCTATTCACCACGTCGTCATCCCGAAGCTCTTAACAATTCTTGCCCCCGGCGCTTCTTTTAAAAGTGGGCAGGGGGTCTCGATTGACGTTGTTGATATTCTCATTGAAGTCTTAAAATCATTCGGAGATACCATCGATCCTAATGACCTCGAAAAGCTCCAACCCGCGCTTTTGTCCCTGATTGAGAATGAGAAAGCTTCTTCGGTTGTCAAGAAGCGTGCGGTTACTGCTCTTGCGTCGTTGGGTATCTACGCATCTGATACTTTGCTTAGCAAGACCGTTTCGCATTTGATCATGGTCTTCAGATCTTCCCACATCTCTCCGAACATGCAAAGACTACTGGTTTCGATTGCCGGTGCGCTTTCTAGGTCCACGCCTAAGAGGTTTGGACCTTACTTGAAGACCTTGGCGCCATTTGTTATCGCTTTGGTTGATGGTCATGATTTGGAGAGAGACGATGATGATTCTGAGCCACAGACTGAACAGGATGAAGTTCGAGAAGCGGCTTTGGCGGCGCTTGAGTCGTTTTTGGCACATTGTCCTGTTGAGATGAAGAATTTCACCAGCGAGGTCATCAATGCAGGATTGTTATACCTGAAGTACGATCCTAACTATGTTGAAGAAGAAGAGGACGAGGAAATGGGTGGTACTCAAGCCGATGACGACGACGAAGATGATGCGGATAATCTCGATGATGAGGAGTTTGAAGATGAAGGCGGATTGAGTGACGACGATGATATCTCGTGGAAGGTCCGACGAGGAGCCGCCAAGTTACTCAGCACTGTTATCAGCACCAGAGCAGAAGATCTGTTGAAGGAAACTTTGTACAGAGAGGTTGCTCCGTCGTTGGTTAAGCGTTTCTCGGAACGTGAGGAGAATGTTCGTCTTGAAGTTTTGGCTACCGCTACCACACTCATTCGCAAGACCAGAGATTTGGCATCCTCCGGCTCTGGCTCTTCAAAGAGGGCCGTGGCAGTCAAGAAGCGTAGAAGAGGCTCCGATATCAGTATGTACGAGCAGGAGAAGTCTTCGATGGCCCCACCAAACCAGCCGTCTGCCTCCCATGCCCTCCAGAAGCTTTCGCCGCAATTGGCCAAGTCTTCTGCTAAGTTATTGAGGAATCCAAGTTTGAATACAAGGCAGACTACTGTCGACCTCTTGTCGGCTTTGATCACTGCTCTACCAGACCCGAACGATACCCTAAAGATCGTCCTTCCCCCGGTTGTCAACATTGTTGCTGCTAATGACGGTGCGTCCGCCGCACCAGCGTCCGCCGCGGCTTCAGGGAGCGCTGCTGCTTCCTCCTCGTCACTTAGAATCGAGGCTCTCAAATTTTTGAGCATCGCTTTTGTCGAAGGTGGCGATGAAGCTCTTAAGCCTTCTCTCAACGATATCGTTAAGGCTGTCGCCGGTGCTGCATTGGACAAATTCTACAAGATTTCAGGCCAGGCCCTTACGACTGCTTCGGAGCTCCTCTCCCTTCTCGCTCCTGAGATCGCAGTTGAGGATGTTTCCTCGTTCAAGACCCTCTATGACTCTATCGTGTCGAAAATCCAGCAAAATGACGCCGATCTTGAAGTCAGAGAACGCGCTATCGAGGCTATGGGAAGCTTGCTTACAGTCACTAGTGGCACTGAATACTTGGATCAGGAATCTAGATCCCGTGCTTTCGTATTGCTTCTCGAGCGTCTTCGAAATGAAACTACTCGATTGACTACTGTCCGCTCTATCGAAAAATTAGCACACGAAGCCCAAGCTAATGACCTTTCAGCTGCTTGGATTAAGGATGTTATTTCGGAGCTAGGTGCTCAATTGAGGAAATCAAACCGTGCACTCCGTGGCTCTAGCTTGGTGGCTCTTAGGGCATTGGTTTTGAACCCAAATGTCCAACCTACCTTATCTCCTGAGACGGCAGATGAGCTCGTTACAGTGTTGACGCCGTTGCTTTCGTCTAGCGACCTTCATTTGTGCGGACCTACACTTCAGATCTTGTCGGTTCTTGTCACTGGTGGAATCGTGCTTAAGCCAGAGGTTATCAGTGGTATCTCCAGCCTTGGTCAGAATCCTCTCACTGGTGGTCCGTTGGAAGCACTTTTGGGCTTGGTCCGTAGCGCCACCGCAAGGGGCCAGGGCAACGATATCCTTGGACAATACTTGAACCTAGGTGTTAATGGAAATACGGTCGTCGTTGCCAAGGTCATCGGCACTGTCCTAGCCACTGGGGCAGATCATAAACAATCGCTCAAGGTTTCATTGGGGAGCTTTGTGGATGAGATTCAGAACAGTACTGTCGATAAGCAGAAGGCTTTGGCGCTTATGGTGCTCGGAGAGGCTGCATTGAACGGACATGGAGAGTTCTCTTTGGGACCGGATATCTTTATCAAACAGCTCAAGTCGAAGAGTGAAGATGTTCCCTTAGCTGCGGCAACCGCTTTGGGGCTTGCTGGTGTGGGTAATCCGCAGCAGTTTGTACCAGCTATTATCAAAGAGTTTGGGGCAAGCGTTTCCCCGAAGAACCAATACTTGCTGTTGCATTCGTACAAGGAGGTTAGTAGTTTTATATATTTTCCGAGTTTATGAGAGTATAACTAATCGGGGCTACAGATTCTTCAACATTCAGTTCAAAAGCCGGAAAATATCAGCGAGTTTGGTAGTGAGATTTGGAACCACTTGATTACCGCGGCTAAACATGAAGAGAGCAAGAGCATTGCTGCTGAGTGTGTTGGAAGACTTGCTATCATTGATCCAAGAGCTTATATCCCAGGGCTTCAAGTAAGTACTATCTTCGATTGTTTTTTTTTTACATAAAATATATTAAAACTAATGATTTATATAGCAACAATTGGGTGATCCGGACCCGGCTGTCCGAGGAGTCGTCATATCCGGTCTCCGTTATACTTTGACGGATACCACTGGTAGCTTCGACGCTTTCCTCCAGCCTGTTGTCACAGAACTCCTAGTTGCCATGTTGAATGATCCCAACTTGGATAACAGAAAGCTTGCATTAACCACCCTCAACTCTGCAGCACATAGCAAGGCCGGCTTGGTTAAGGCGAATCTTTCGTCTTTGCTTCCGTTGGTTTACCAGGAGACCATCATCAAACCCGAGCTTATTCGCGAGGTTCAGATGGGTCCGTTCAAACACAAGGTTGACGATGGTCTTGAGCTTCGAAAGACTGCGTACGATACTTTGTTTACTATCATTGAGGCAGCCTACGCGCGTATGAACCCAGTTCAGATCTACGACCGCATCATTGCTGGTTTGGGAGACGAGCACGAAGTTCAGATCATTTGTAACTTAATGCTTGGGAAATTGGTGGTCATTGGGAAGGATGATGTTATCAAGCGTTTGGATAGCATCGCGGAGAAGTACAAGGTTACCCTATCGATCAAGGCGAAAGAGAATGCAGTCAAGCAGGAGTTAGAGAAGATGAGCGAGTTGAATAGGTCGATTTTGAGGACTACTTTGACGATCCAGGCACATGTTGGAGCTGGAGCGAATCACGAACAAGGTTGGTTAGGGTTTTACGAATGGGCGAAGCAGAATCATGGAAGCGAGTTGAGTAGTTTGGAGAAAGAGGAGGCGAAGGCGGCTAAGGGGGTTGGAATCTAGATTTCTTCGGGTGTATGAGAAGGGTTCTGCTTTTATTTTTCCCCCTTGGTGGCTGTAGCGGCCTTTTTTTTCCCTTCCGTCTGTCTTTCTTCCTTACATGTTCCGTTCCGTTTGGTTGGTGGATTTATGCATACTATGGTTATATGACTGTGGGGTGGGGTGGGGGAATAGGTGGTTGTTTGTGAATTATAAGCTGCAGAGCTATCGATGTTGATAGTATAGTCTGCATGATGCTAGCAATGCATGATAAATTGAATGAGGTTTTATTTACAGTTTATCCGAATCTCGGTTATTCCAGCTCTAGTCTCATAAGCAATACCTACTTAGCTATCGTATGGATTGTGAAGTGGTAGCTGTGTAGGATATCATGATATGTATGCCGCCAAGCCGGATGTTGTACTGTACTTACCTGGGTACTTACCTGGCATGCCTTCGCCAGAAGGGATTCTGGGGTAGATGGGTCCATATACTTCCAGGCATGATGAATCACCCAAAGCCTGATAAATTACCGAATTCGAAAAAGCGGTATGCCTTGTCTGGATCCGGCAGCTCCATGATCCCTCGGAGGGCTGCATTAGTGGTACCGTATATTAGAACATACAAGGCAACATGTGGAGTATGTGTTGCATGTGTCGTTGTTTTAGCCTTCCGGGGAGGGACTCATAGTTCCAGATTCGATTCGATATACTTGCACTTGGTATGTATGAATCGAAGCTCTAGACGAGGGAATTCACGAACGGGGGGAGGCAACGGGGAAGCTTTCTTTTAGATGGGAGTACGCGTCTTTGCCTGCCAGGTAGCTACCTACTAAGTAGCTAGCTTCCCCCGGAGGATGGGATGTGTGTATGTAGTGTAATCATGTAATGGAATGAGGCTACGTGGAGGTTACTAGCTTAACAAAGAAGCACGGATTGTTCTGGCACCTTCGAAAGGCTGGTGTGATTCAGCCACCAATGGGTACTAGAGTTAGCTGTAAGCTGTGACTCTGTTGAATCCTAGTAATCCGTAAGATATACATACTAGTATATAGTATATATTAAAGTAGGGCATATAGGACAGTGGCAAAGGCGCATTCCCGGGTGACTTGAAGGTGACAGTGTGAGAGTAGTGCATGACCAAGCAAAGCTGCCGGTCGTTTGGTTAGCTGTTAGTTAAGCTACGTCGTTGAGCTGCCTTAGATCAGATCAGATCCTCGTTCCTTCTCAATCTCAACTTAAACCTTCTCCTCCACTCCACTCCACTCCACTTCACTACACTACACTTCCCATCCATCATCCTTCATCCATCATCCATCGATATCACTCCTAAACCATCATCTTGACCTTTCTAGCTTTCCTTCCATCTCAAAAAAAAATACTGCCTTTTCACATACTCTCTTAGATATCAGCTTCTTTTTCCTTTCTACCACGCGATTTCCTTGCTCCACATTCAGCACCGTCTACCATCATGGCTGAAGAAGATTCCAAGCACAAGAAGGTCAACTTGGCGTATGTATCTCCTAGAATCATCATTCCATCTTGAAATATCCATCAAATCAAAAGTTTCTAACCGCGTTTTTTTGGTTCTTCGAATAGTGACCCCTCCGGTGGTGAGAGGAAAGAGGTATGACGACGACATCCCACCTTTTATCGATAAAGCAGCCCTGTGTTCTGCTCTTACCATTCAACACTTCATGTACTGACACCCCAAACCCCATCAGGTCGACGCGACTGCTACCGCCATCTTGAAGAAAAAGAAGAAGCCAAATAGCTTAATGTGAGTTTCTATATCTTTTTTTTTCTATCCTATACTTTTTATCCTTTTGTACACTTCCGATCCTATTTTCGGACGAGCGGGGCGAAAGACTGATACAAGTTCTCTTTATATTACAGCGTCACCGACGCCTCTAACGATGACAACTCCGTTATCGCTCTCTCTAACAATACCATGGAGACCCTCCAGCTCTTCCGTGGAGACACAGTCCTTGTCAAGGGAAAGAAGCGACGGGATACCGTTATGATTGTTCTTGCCGATGATGATTTGGAAGATGGTAGCGCGAGAATCAACCGTGTGGTTCGAAACAACCTACGGGTGAGACTAGGTGATATCATCACTGTTCATCCTTGCCCGGATATCAAATACGTAGGTCTATCTCGAATAAAAACAGATTTGTCCGCATATAAGAGATTCTAATAACCTTTTTTTTTATATGTCTATCTAGGCCAAACGAATTGCTGTTCTACCTATTGCCGACACCATCGAGGGTCTTACCGGATCCCTCTTTGACGTTTACCTCAAGCCATATTTCCTTGAGAATTACCGACCGGTCCGACAAGGTGACTTGTTTACCGTCCGTGGTGGTATGAGACAAGTGGAGTTCAAGGTTGTGGAAGTCGACCCGCCAGAATATGGTATCGTGGCTCAGGACACTGTCATACACTGCGAGGGCGAGCCTCTGAACCGCGAAGACGAAGAGGGTAACCTCAACGACGTCGGATACGATGATATTGGTGGTTGCAGACAGCAGATGGCCAAGAGTATGTTGTTCCCCCCCCCAAATTTCTCTATACAGAATTTAAAAACAGTGTCCTAACATGAAGAAAAAAACAGTCCGTGAATTGGTTGAATTGCCACTTCGCCACCCACAACTCTTCAAGAGCATAGGTATCAAGCCTCCAAGAGGCATCTTGATGTATGGACCTCCCGGTACCGGTAAAACATTGATGGCCCGTGCTGTTGCCAATGAAACCGGAGCTTTCTTCTTCTTGATCAACGGTCCCGAAATCATGTCCAAGATGGCCGGTGAATCCGAGTCCAATCTCCGAAAGGCCTTCGAAGAAGCCGAGAAGAACTCGCCAGCCATTATCTTCATTGATGAAATCGACTCAATTGCACCAAAGCGTGAGAAGACCAATGGTGAAGTTGAAAGACGTGTCGTATCTCAGCTTTTGACTCTCATGGACGGAATGAAATCCCGAAGCAACGTTGTCGTCATGGCTGCTACCAACCGACCTAACTCCATTGACCCCGCTCTCAGACGTTTCGGTCGTTTCGATCGTGAAGTTGATATCGGTATCCCGGACCCAACTGGCCGTTTGGAGATTCTCCAGATTCATACCAAGAACATGAAGCTTGGCGATGATGTTGATCTTGAGTCCATTGCCGCCGAAACCCACGGTTATGTTGGTTCCGATATTGCCTCGCTTTGCTCCGAAGCCGCTATGCAACAAATTCGTGAGAAGATGGATCTTATTGATCTCGATGAAGATACCATCGACGCTGAAGTTTTGGACTCCCTTGGAGTCACAATGGAGAACTTCCGATTCGCTCTTGGAGTTAGCAACCCATCCGCTCTTCGCGAGGTTGCTGTCGTTGAGGTTCCAAACGTCAAGTGGGACGACATTGGTGGTTTGGACGGCGTCAAGCGCGAACTCATCGAGTCCGTCCAATACCCAGTCGAGCATCCCGAGAAGTTCCTCAAGTTCGGCATGTCCCCATCGCGTGGTGTCTTGTTCTACGGACCTCCTGGTACCGGTAAAACAATGTTGGCCAAGGCCGTTGCCAACGAGTGTGCCGCCAACTTCATCTCCGTCAAGGGACCAGAATTGCTCAGTATGTGGTTTGGTGAATCCGAATCAAATATTCGAGATATCTTTGACAAGGCTCGTGCTGCCGCACCTTGTGTCGTTTTCTTGGACGAGTTGGATTCCATTGCCAAGTCTCGTGGTGGTAGCGTTGGAGATGCTGGCGGTGCCAGCGACAGAGTCGTCAACATGCTTTTGACTGAACTCGACGGAATGGGTAAGTTAAAAATCCTTTTTTGAATGAATCCAATTTTATAGGATTATCTGCTAACGATATTTTTTTTAAAAAAAAAAAGGTGTCAAGAAGAACGTTTTCGTTATCGGAGCCACCAATCGACCAGAACAGCTCGACGCTGCTCTTTGCAGACCTGGTCGTCTTGATACTTTGGTCTATGTTCCTCTTCCAGATCTTGAATCTCGTCTATCTATCCTTAAGGCACAGCTCCGAAATACTCCTATTGCCGACGATATCGATATGGCCTACATCGCTAGCAAGACCCACGGATTCTCCGGTGCCGATCTTGGATTCGTCACTCAACGTGCCGTCAAGCTCGCCATCAAGGAGTCTATTGCTGCCGAAATCGAGCGCTCCAGGAACAGGGGTGATGATACTGAGATGGATGAGGCTGAGTACGAAGATCCAGTTCCCCAGCTCACCAAGAAGCACTTCGAGGAAGCCATGTCCGCTGCCCGTCGTTCCGTTTCGGATGTTGAAATCCGAAGATACGAGGCTTTCGCCCAGCAGATGAAGCAAGCTGGTGGAATGAATGTTTTCAGATTCCCATCGGCAGCTGAAGCTGGTGCCACCTCAACTGACGGTGGTGCCTTTGGAGATGCTGGTGAGGATACCAGTCTATACGAATAAATTGGGGGAATGATAAACTGTTATGCCTTTTAGTCTCCTTATGTGTTATTTTCCTATATTACAGCTTCCTTTGTTTTTTTTATCATTCTTTCTTACGAGGTCACAAAAGAGGTCTTCTGTTTCTTTATTCTTTTATTCTGCGGTTTTGGAGCAGACCGTTCTCTCGGTCGTCGTATAGCTAGTCGGACGGCCCTTACATAACTCATATTCAGATGTATTCCTCTACCCTCATGTCACCACCGAAATTCCCCACCACCACCACCATCATCCCTGTCTCGCTATCTTTTGTAAACAGAACCAAGAGAATGGAAAGAGAGAATTGAACTAAAAAATCCTTTGAGGAAGATGGTTAAGAGTGCTAAATAAATATGGCTATGTTTTCCCATGTAAAGGTTGGTTGAATTCCAGCTCTGATTGAGCCTATGGGAAGCTTCGAAGAGGAGCTAGCAATCAGCTTACTCCTGACGCGAAATGAGTCAAAACGGCAATAAATTCCTTGGTACTTCCATAATGTTATTTTCTTTTGCAGCAACTAACATTGAATGTATTCTCGGAGGTTCTTTTAAATATCAGGTGCTTACTTATATCGCGGAAGTTTGAATGCGCATTAGATCTATATATACCTTCTATTCCAACCCGGCCTACCGATCCTCGATTGTAAGCTCTAACTATAGTAGTGAGGTAGCTATAGCTACTTACTGAGCTACACCCAAGCTACCCCGGCCCCTTTTTGGACATTGATCACTTGACCACCCGACGAGAAAGAAAACGCCAAACATTTTAAAAAACCCGCGCACCGACTCCATTCTTTTAAAACCCCCCTCCCCGGGCAACAGCGATATATATTCCAATCGCAATGCCACGGCAGTCTTTAGCAGCAGACACCACCGCGACCGCCGCAACAAAAACAACAACAACAACAACAACAAGCTGTCCGTCTCCACAATCACTTCTTGAAACCATAATCCGTGCGTACTCGCTACAAGATTTCGTACCGGGGTATACGGAACGACAGAGGGGGATTGTTAATTCCGGGAATGGGGATGTGACGTTTTCTACACCTCATGAGACGGCGATAAATACTTTTTCTGCTTTGTTTTCTGTTGCTGCTGCTGTTAGGGGGAGACCTGGGATTCCCGTTGAGAGGTATGGGAAGGATGGAGCGGGGAGAGGGGTTGGGGAGATATTAAGGGAGGGGGAGGGGGAGGGTGGTTCTGTTTCTGGTTCTACTTCTACTTCTACTTCTACTTTTACTGGTGAGGGGAAGAAAGTTGTTAAATGCTACGACGAAGGGTTTACGCATGTGAAGAGGATATATAATCATGTTGCGAATAAGACGGGGGAGCAGATGGATAGATTGTTAGATGAGGTTTTGAAGGCTGGTGGGGAAGGGTATGTCCCTGGATGTACGAGTGGGGATTTTAGGATTGAGTTGGAGGCTGAGGATGGGGAGGCGGTGGGTTGTGAGGGTGATGATGATGATGATCTGTCTAGGGTTATTAGTGTACCTGTTAGGGCACCGAAGAGGGAGACTGTTAAGAGGAATTCGGGGGTGAAGGGGAAGTCGAAGGTGCAGGGGAAGAAAGGGGGGGTAGTGGTGGCTGGTGGGAAGGGGAAGAAGGGGGCTGTGGTGGTTGAGGAGGTTGTGGAGACGTTGTTACCGTCGTCGTCATCATCACGGCCGGCAGCTCAGAGTTCTAAGGCTTCAACATCATCGCCATCGACGGTGGCAGCGGCAGCAGCAGACCATTCCTCGTCGTCGTCGGCATATGCAGAAATCCATCTCCACCGATTCATCGCCATCTCCTCGATTCCATATTACAAATACCTAGATTTATCATCTTCCTCCCGTCTACAATTCTCCGACGCATCGTCAAACTCCTCGACCCTCCCATTCCCAACGGTAACCTACTACGCTCTCCGAATAATCCAACGATGGCTTTACAACCCTCTAAGAATCGGACAAGCAATCGAAGAATTCGATCCAAACGCCCACTTTTATTTACTCTCGAATTGTAAACGACAAGATCGTAATCAATACCCTCCACCGCTCGCAACCGCAAAAGGGATGATCGAAGTCGCTAGAGCGGCTGATTATCTAGGAATCTCGGAGTTGGCGGAATGGAGCGGGAAGATGTTGAGGAAGATGTGTCATGGTTTGTCTAAATGCGGCGGAGGAGGTTGTAGAACCATGGTCCCGTTCGTTTTCGATGAGATTTATAAAAGTGGAGGGATGGGGTTGGAGGAACAGTTGAGTGTGGATATTAAGGATTTCCTGGTGAGGAATGTGGAGAGTATGTGGAAGAGACCGGTGGTTATGTTGAATGATAAGTGTTTGGAGGAGTTGGTAAGGGCGTTTAGGGAGTTACATGCCGGATGTGGAGTGCCTTCTACGGGGGCTGGGTTGAATATGATGGGGAAAGCGATGAAGAAGGGGATTATTGGTAAGGAAGTGAGACTTGGGAAAGAGGAGGAAGTTGTAACGAGGCCGTTACATTTGTGGCATGTATATTTGGAATTGAATAGAGTGAGAGTCTCGGTTATGATGTCGGCGTCTGGGACTACGAACCGATGGATGGAGAAATTGTTAGGACCGGCGATGGAACATTGTGTTCATGAGATCGCGAGGGGGTTTAATGATCCGAGACTTGCGGCGGATTTGGCGAGTAAAATGGAAGATGGGAGTTTTCAAAAGGATGTGGTGGAGGAGATGTTGATGATGGTTAGTATGAGTAGTATTATTACTACTACGGAAGTCGGAATACCGTTTGAGAAGGCACCGTTGAATAGACGGACTGTTAAACCTGTCTTTGAAGGGGTGGTGAACTTGAGGAAGTTTACGGGGGGTGGTGGGGGGGATAATGAGGAGTTGGGGAAAGCTGAGAAGAGGGTTTTGGAGTTTTTGGGGAGGGAGTGGATGACTATTGTCGTCGGAGGGGAAGGGAAGGGTGGGGAAAGTGGGTTTGCTGGGTGGAGACCTGCGATGTTGACGGTTTTGAGTAGGAAGCTGAGGCTTTCTGTGGATGATCTTTTGGGGAAAGGAGCTAGGAAAGGGATGGCAATGCAGATTTCTGCTGGAGGGAGGTCTAGAGGTGGGAGGATGGTTAAGGATAGTTTTGGGAATGATGTTATGGTTGATAGTAGGGAATTTAGGAGGACTGAAGTTGATATTGAACCTGAGGAGGAGGAAGGGGAGACTGCAGGTGGTTCTTCGAGGAGTTTGAGGGCTGAAGCTGAGGCTTTTGTACCTTCTGGAGGAGTTATGGGAGTCGATGGGGAGTCGAATTGATTTGATTATATACTATGTTAAATTAAAATGTAGAGGAGGGGTACGATATCTATAGCGGGGGTGTTTGGGAGTTTCAATTTGATAGTGTAATATCTTATTGTAGTATATTTGTTACTATCTCTTCGACGCTATATGTTGTTATATAAATTATAATCATGTCTCCATTTTTGTCTAATATCGATGTGAATGTATCGATATCGAGATGTTGTATTTTTTCGCGTTGCCGTCTTGTGCGACACGACAAGCGTTCCCTAAAACGGACATGGAAACAAAAGAGCCGCCTCAATCTCCAAATCCTCCTTCCCTGTCAACCGCATCTTCAATTCAACCCTCGCGGTCAACCCCGTACCCAGGACAACGTCCAACCACTCTCCCCCTCCCATATCTACATCTTCCGCTCCACAGGCGCCACACCGAGCATAAACAAGACGAAGGGAAATGACCAGCGACGTGTCAACCTCAACATCGACCCGGCCGTTCGACGAGCCGACACCATTCCATAAAGCCGCCCGCGATGGGACCGGTAATCCACAGTTACTGCTTGAGAAGCTACCGGCTATGCTTCACGGTGTCGTATGTTTCTCACCATCTTCTTCCTTTTCTATATACTTCTTATAGTAACTACTCAAAAAAAACATAATACTAATTCACAATACATATTTGTGTAAAACAGATGATACAATGCGCAGATGGTACTACTTAAAGCCCTCCTCTCCTCCTCCTCCTCCTCCTCCGCCTCCTCCCTCGAACAGTTACCCAAAAGCAAAGATATATACACATACAAAAAGGATATAAAGAAAGGATACACTACTGACCGGCAAGACATCTCGGAGCAAACCACAGTCTTCAAACATCCGGCGAGATCGCACCCGCGCGCGATATTACACACGAATGCGCAGATGAAAGCTACCATCCCTGCGACAGTGGATAGGTTTCAACAGGCTTTGGATATGTTGGAGATTGAAATTGTAATTGTTTCCCTTCCTTCCTTCTATTCTTATTCTCCTTCTCCTTCTTTTATATATATATATATATATATATTGATTGATTGGGTTATTTATTAACAAATGACATGTGGGTGTATATATACATAGTTAAAAGCAAAAGCAGTCCTCCACCGCGACCTCACAAAATTCTACACAGCAGCAGAACTAGCCCGACAAAAGGAACTAGAAGAGGAGGAAAGAAAAGCAGCGTTAGAAAGAGAAGCAGAAGCCGAACGGTTACGAATTCTAAAACAATCCGAAGAAGCTGAAAAACAAGCTGCAGCGGAAGCCGAGGCCGCTGCTGCCGCCGCCGCCGCCGCCGCCGCTACTGCTGCTGCAAATGCTGCTGCTGCAGAAGCAGCACTTATGGCCGTACCGACTATATCCACCGACCTGGAAATGACACTTGACGATGACGAACCACCGCCGTCTGCTCAACCGCTTCCCATGGAAACTCAGGATACAGATATGGACCAATTATTCGAAGACATGCAAGATGTCGAATCCCTAAAAGTCGAAGAAGACGCATCCGTACCACCACAACAACAAGCAACGTCAACATCAACAGGGACAAATACAACAAACCCATTATCTCACCCACTAGAAATGAACATCCCCCTCGTAGCCGCGAGTGCCTCTAATGTCATCTCCCTCGACGATGATGACAATAATAAAAATAACAATACGGCTACTACCAAGTTGGATGGGAAGCTAAAACCGGATTCTTCACCTAGTCTAGTAGCTGCAACGTTCGAAGATCCTATTATATTAGATTCACCGTTATTACCTGCCGGTGAAGGGGATGACGAAGGGGAACCCCCTTCTGCTGTGGATTTATTCGGTGATGACCCGTTAAATCCTGTTGGCGAGAGTAGTAGTAAAGACGGTAATGGCGTCGGAGGAGTCTCTGGTGGGAATATGACGATCGAAGAACAGATTGATATGGACTTTTTGTTTGCTGGGAATCCATCCAATCCCGCAGATGGGAATGGTGTCACTTCTGCCGTTGGCGGTGGTGTTGGTGTTGGTGTTGGTACTACGGGGAATAACGGTGGTGCGCATGAAACTTCTGTGGATGATTTGTTTGGAGATTTGGAGGTTGATACATCTGGCGATGCTGGTAAACTTGATATAATGAACTTGGATATTCCGGGTTTGGAGAAGGAAGCTGGGAAAGTTGGAGGTGATGATGCTAAGAAGGTAACGGGTCAGGATCAACCTGATATTGATATTACTCAGGCTCTAGAGGGGGGTTCATTTGATGACTTATTGGCCAGTTTTGATCTCGGACAGTTGGGAAATGATGAGACCAGCTTGTTTGATGATGCATTTAATATTTATGAAAACTAGTACTGCATAGCGCACTCAAAGCATATTCCTCAATACATCATCGATCACTAATATAATTAATTTATCATACTACGGTGTTTAATAACATATATTTATACTCAATGATCGATTGTCTTCCAGTCGCACGTGCACACGTCTCTACATAGCTTGTCTCGAGGGTATATGACAACTTTTTCTTCTGGACAAAGAGGAAGCAAAAACAAAAACAAAAACATCAAAACGCCATGGAAGAAATGCAATACGAAATGGCCCGAAAGAAAAGAGAAAGGAAAGAAGAAGGAAATGTACAAGGGAAAGCAAAAGGTATGGACCGATTTTCAAGGTACGTCAGCTGTTTGTATTCCCTATCGACCAAGAAGAATCGATGCTTGTCAGGTACAGACGGAGTGTGAGAGGAAAAAAGAAGAGTATAGTGCCTTGAAATCACCAGCGGTGGCAATCCGGCGGTACTATACTGCCTAAGGGATTGAGAGAGAAGACAAAGGGAATACAAGTATAAAAAAAGGTACGCTGGACGTATCCATTAAGCAAAAAGAAATTCCAGAAAAAAACATAGCCTCATTACTACCATTATGAGCAGTCATATCGCTCACATTATTCGTAAAAGATCCACCCATCAGAGGCTCATTTGTCGTCCATTATCGTCAGATAAATAACCCAAAAGGAAAAAAAAAGAGATACGTGAGAAAGATCTGTCGCCTTCATTTTTCTGAAAAAAAAATGAAAAAAAAAGAACGAGCATGATCAATCAGTCATGAAGAACTAACGTGAGATGATACCGAGCTCATCATCGATGGGCCAGCGAACCCACTCTCCGGGATCAGGAGCGACGTCGTTCTCCAACGAGAATCGAACATTCTTCGGTCCATCCTTAGCGGCGACGCTGGCATCAATAGCTTTGTTGCTAGGATTGTCGGATGGGACCAATGGCTCGAAATCGTTAGGTGGGGAATCGCCGTCGTCCTTGTTGGCAGCACCTTGCTATGATGCGCCGACAGTGCCCTCTCGCTCAGCCAAAAGTCGGAAAACGCTAGGGATGCCGAAGGGCGGAGTAAACCCGGTTTCAGTGATCACGGCGGTGATATACTTGGGAAGAGTGAGATCGAAAAGGAGATTGACGATATGCAAGTTTGGAATCTCAGCGTGGTTCTGGAGAGGACTGTCATCGCCGATGAGAGCCTCAGTAGGGCCTTTTAAAACGGGGTGTCAATGTATCGAACGGAAGAAAATCAGGTAAGGGGATTGGTGAAACATACCTAACTCATTGGTTGTGATGCTGTCCATGACAATCTTATCCGACAGCTTGAGACCCTCACAGCAAATCATGACTGGCTTCTGATACTCAGCAGCTGTCATTGCGACTGCGGAAGTTCCGGCTCTCGAGTAACAGGCACCATTGGCAAAGACAGCATGAGCACCGAGGAAGACCTTGTTGACCGTTTTCATGACGTGATCAAGAGCATGCAAGGTAGTGTATTTGACTTGGATTCCGGCTTTAGTAAGGTCCCTAGCCATTCCTCTACCCTCGAAGTAGGGACGTGAATCAATGACAACAACTGTGAATTGTTTGCCATCATGGAGAGCTCGGAGGAGGACGCGTTGAACACAGGTAGACTTTGCGTAAGTCAAGATGACGTCACCGTTAGCAATTTTATCAGCGGCAACATTGGCAATGACATCCTGAGCAACGATGATACGTTCTTTCATGTAAGTGTTAATCGAGGCGATAAGATCCTTCTTTGCTTCCTCGTCGGGAATCTCTGGTGGAATACGTGAAGCAATGGTCTTGAGCCATCGAATAGCATTTCCTTGGGAGATGGATAGCTTTCGACCAATAGCAATTTGTGAAATTTGGAGGTTCAAGTGCTGTGTGAGGTTACGCGAAAGAGCAACGCCTTCCGGAGTGTAGTAGTCATTGATGACCTACAAGAAGCAATTTAGCATCCGTTCGGGGATGATGAGACAAGAGTAGTGAAAGAACTTACCTCCTTGAAGGCCAAAAGCGTGTAGAGGCAGCGAGCGGTAGACCCAATGATCTCGAAGTTACGCAACTTCATTGACAAGCGAACGATAGACGGATGGACGTCTCTATTGATAGTAGCCAAATCAATAGGCGGTTTGTTCTCCCTGAGGTGTTCGAAGAATGGGATTCGTTTGTTCTCGGGCTCTGCAACAGTCTTCGCATCTCCATCAACGGAAGGAGCGATCTGTTGCTGTTTTCCCTTCTGTCCCTGTTGCTGCTGTGTCGACCTAGGAGTTCCTGAAGAGGAAGAAGCCTGGTTTTGCTTGGTTGGTGTACCACTGGCGGAAGCTGCTGAAGCATCGGGAACGTCACCACGTTGAACCTTGTCAGCGGCACGACGAGCCTGTTTTTCTGCCTTCTTCGCTTCCTTCAATTCCTTACCAGTAAGCTTCTTTTCACCAGAAGAAGCCTGGGCACCAGCGACCTTGTTGTCAGCTGGGGCCTTCTTGCCCTTAGCAGGAGGGGCTGTAGCAACGGCAACATCGCCGGGTTTAGTATTGTCAGGTAGGGTAGTCATGTCTGGATGAATGAGGGGTGGGGAAAATGGTTTGAGGATTGATGGTTTTGGTTGACAGGTTCGATGATTTTCAGAAAGAACAGGAGTGGAGCGGGGATAAGGATAAGTGCTAATTTCAAGGGAACCAGGACCAGGAACGTCTTGGTCGTCTTCCTGTTGGAGACACCAACCGGAGATCGCCTTGGAACGAGCTAAATCTGCTGATTCGTCCACGATGTCTAGTGGGGTCGGTGTGAAACCGGAATCGTTATCTGAGTCGTTTTCTTGTTCTGAAGCTGAAGCTGACGGTGTCGGCAGCTGTGTGATGGTTTTTGTCTTGACTTTTGTAGTGGTTTTGATCGCGCTTCCAAGATTCCTTGATGATAATGATGATGTTTGTGATGATGTCGATGATGACTCCGATGATGATGACTCCGACGATGATGTCGATGGACGAGATGAATTTGATGGACGTTGTTCAGTCCTAGACAACGACAACAACACAGGGGATGACTCTCCGTCCCTTTCTTCTTCTCCTTCCTTCTTATTCTTCTTATCCCTCTTCCTATCCTCCTTATCGATAACAGCAGCGTCCGATAGCGCAATGACCGGATCAACCACTCTCTCTGCCTGAACTTCCTCTACAGCCGTCGATTGCACAATGACCGACGTTACTGTACCCTGAGGTAAGTGAAAGGAGGACTCGCCAGCCGCCTGTTGCACAATGACAGACTGCACTGGGTCTTCGTCAACTCTTCTTTCTACTTCCTCCTTTCTCTTTCCTATTCCTTCGCCCTCTCCTTCTATATCTGGTCGTCCGTGTTCGTAGACGACAGTTGCTTCAGGGAGGTATTCAGCTACTCTCTCCCAAATCCGGTCGTAATGACCAAGACTTTCTATTCCGAAGAGCTGTCTAGCTAGTTCTTCTTCTTCGTTTCCTCCTTCTAGTTCTCCTCCCGATCCTCTCTGATGGATCTCCTCTTCCTCTTCCTCGTCGTCCTTTCCTGCTACCTTATCAGCAGGAGCAGTAACAGCAACGACAGGAGCGACAGGAGCGGCTGGAACAACCGTCCTCGGCGGGGTCACCGAAAGTTTTCGAATGATCTGCTTCGGAATTGAAGCAGTCGACTTGCTCTTCCGAAGTTTTTTGACCTCCCTAGTTGGAGGATTGCACGATCGTGGTGATGGTGGCGGTGACAACGACGACGGCGGAGCCAATTGCTGACCGGTAAAGACAGGACCTGTCAATGGGTCTGTCGAACAGGTGGAGGATGCACCCACGGATGACGACGACGACGATGAGGAGGACGTGGTGGGGCGGGGAGGGGACCGTGATGGTTGTGATTGTGGTGGGGGTGGGGGTGTAGGCCGAACAAAAATCCAACGGCGGGTTAGCCTGACCTCGATGTTGTGAGGAGGGGAGCCGTTGGAGTTGTTGTTTGTGGGTTTTTTCTTGCGGCGCCAAGACCTGGCGGGGACACAGCCGCCAAGGCGCTTGGTCATCCACTGGCTCAAGCGCATGATGCTTGTATTTACTTACTTCTTTACCCTCCCTCCTGGTGGGAAGTTGAGATGCAGGTGCAGATGGCGATGAGATGAGGAGGAGGAGGGGGAGGAGGTTATAGCCAGGAGGAGGAGAAGAAGAAGGAGAAGGAAAGAAGAATATAAGGGATAAGGAAAGAGAGAGAGAGAAAGAAAAAGAAGTGACCCTTTCTTCTTCTCCTTCCTCGTCTTCTTCTCTCTCTAGCTAGCTAGGAGTTCAAGCGGTCAATGTGATTGATTGCTGAAATGCAAATGTGATTGTGACCGATTGATTGATTTGATTGAATTGAATTGAATTGATTGATTGATTGATTTTGATTGAATGAATGAATCGATCTCGTCTCATCACCGCAGCCCAGCGAGTCCAACACTGTTTAAAAAAACATCCATTCTCCGCCGGCCGCCACAGAGCACCGCAAATTACTTTCTCCCTTCTTTTATCAGAAATAGTAAGGTAAGGTAAAGTAAAGGGATCTTATATCCAATATATATATAAAAATAAACAAGATCCTATTTTTGAAGTTTTTGTTTAAAAGGTCAGTCTAAGCCTGTCAGTAAGTAAACACTATTGCATGCCACCCCTTTTGGCAGAAAGCAAACAATGCCGATTGGTGTGTGTCTGTCTGTGTATGTGTGTCTGTGTCTGTGTCTGTGTCTGCGTATACACAAAAGGTACAATTCAGGTACAGGTACAGGTACAGGTACAATCCAGATAAGTTATAAACGATCTGGAACAAACTCACCTGTTTCACAGCCAGGAGGTGCAGGTACCCAGCCTCAACCTCAAAAAAGTTACAAGCTACAAAGGGGTGGGGGAAAGCAAAGCTGAGGGAGAAGAAAGGGAAAAAAAAAAGACGGCCGACGATGCCGCGACCAGTAGGTCCAACATCTCCTGTCTTCTCCTCTTCTCCTCTATTCCCTCCTCTGTTATACCTATAACAATAACTACAAGGTCCTATAACTACCTATACTACGCTATACTATATACCATACCAAGAACAATAACACTCAAACTAACTACGTGTACAACGGTCAAGGGTCCTATCTAAAACTTCCTTCCTTTTTGTTATTGTTTCTTATCCATATTAATACCCAAGTAGTTAGTTCGTTGGTAGGCATTTTTATCATACAAACAAAAAAAAAAAAAAAAAACGGCCGTATCGTGATCCCAGCACTATAGTACATACTAGTTTGACAGGTATCGTATCGAAGGCACTCAAAAAGTTATTCCTTGTCTGGTCTTCGTGCCGGCTCGGGTATAGTCCCGAACAATTTACCTCATCACCCTTAGCTTAAGGCGTTTAAATGCCCGGCATCGTCAGACCTCTCTCCCTCAAGATCTTTTTTTTTTTTTTTTTTTTTTTTTTTTTTTTTTTCCGCAGCAATTTCAAGAACAGTTATCGATAAAAGATAAATTAAATGGACTTTGATATCTGATCCCAAGGGGTTCTATTCCTACAATTTTGTAAAGGATTTAAAAAAATATTACAATACTTAATCTGCGCAATTAGAAAGCTAGAACCAACTGGCCTGGCTGGATTTATGAAAATCGTATGCCTTATGGACGGAGACCTTAAAACCCAGAGGAATTAAGCCGATAACTCTGGTAAGGGTTGAGAGAGGTTTTGTGAATAGCAACCTCTAATAAGCCCAGGTACAGGCGTGCTTTGATACATGTACATGGTGTAAGCATAGAAATTTCTTATTGATCATTTGTCAATGATGGTGATGGAAGATACGAAGTAAGTGCCAGACGAGCCTCCACTTCTTCCCCAAGACGAGTCATTGTATGATCCGATGATAACAACCTTCCTACAACATCCCCCTCTTCCCTCGGACTATAATCCCATAATGGTTCACCAGCTCCGCGCATGTTTGCGAGAACGCATTGACGAAAGTGCCATAGCAAGAGTGTATCTCTTGCGCCGTTGTTATTATTACTCTGTCGTGCCGTAGCGCTCATGAATTTACCGCCGTACCCAAACTTATTGCGACCAAAATCATAAATTCTATAGCCGGCCTGTACATGCATGTATGTATGTTAGGATTTCGATTCACGATTGGCTAAGAGTTCCACGGGAGTCTAACCTCAGGGTTTATCGCAAGGGTATACGAATCGAACAATATGTGAGCAGTACTCGACACTAAAATGCCGTTTTGAGGGCTATTCATTTTCAGTTCATTTGAAAGGTCATCTGAATCTGAATCTGAATCTGTAATCCATCGACTAGCGTTTTGGCGAATCCACTCGCTTCCATTGCTTAGCGGCCATATATGGGCTGCCTCCATTCCCGTCCAATCGTTATCATCATCATTCACCACTCCGGTAATAACGCAGCCACGGTCACGTTGACGTAGAGCATTGCGAAAGGCGCTATCTCTAGGTGTCACACTATGTGAAAGGACCCTGTCTATGTAGAGTTCGTCGCTGACGCAGATGGTAACTGGTACGAAATATTATGGTTAATAATTATAAAAGACTTCACTTGCTGCTAAAATTCCTAAAGGGTGAGCTTACCGAGGGGATGTTTTGGTGTAATGATGTAGTCCCCTGGGGATAGCGAGATATCAGTACTCTTTTTCAATACCGTTTGGCTACCTCGCATGTGGATTTCAAAGGCCCTTCCGTCAGGCAAGGATTTAGCTTCTGCGTCGTCGGGTACCTGGACAAGTACGAGTATATCAACGAATACATATAGATCATCCTGCGTAAAAGTATTATGTCTACAGCCTCCGATGCAGTCATTCGGCTGGCTAGACAAAAAAAAGAATACAGTTCTTCCGGCCTGTCGATTTGCCGACATTGTGGCTTTTTGGTGTTTTCTTTTTTCTAAGAAGTCCAAATAATATTTTTTAACTTTTTGATCGAGAACGGAGATGCTGGTTCAATTTATAACCTTAATTGTTTCCCTCCACGAGGCTATCTACCAACTCAAATACCCTCCAGACCAAGTACCAACATACCTATGTACTTAAGCCTATCAACTTAATGATTTATTATTATTATTTTTATTATTTTACCTTTTTTTTTTTTTTTCTAATTCGATAGTAGTTACTCTGATCATAGTATTGACTGTAATATTAACGTTACAGTATGCATATGTAAGGGGATACATAAGTACACCGACAGAAAACGGCTCGGCAGAACTACCCGCATTATACCCATTACTAACCAAGTAACAGCTTAAGCACGGAGCATTCAAGTACCTTTTAAGTAAGTATTTGTACTTATATATACGTGGTCATCTGACAAAAGAAAACAAAAAAAAAGCAAGCTAGTTATAAAGTCGGGTTATATTACAACCCCTTCTAACTTTAAAACCGGTATTACACGCTAGATCTAATCGATCGGTGTAAAGGTAATATATTCGTGGTCGATTGTATTGCCACATCAAAGTTAACATTTGGTTCGATGTCAGTATAGTAGAAGATACTTAGATAGCAGCAGCAGAAGGGGGAGGAGGTGGTATCAAAGCAATTCATGGTATAATGTAATAGGCAGTCTTCATGGGGGAGCAAAATGCCAAAAAATAAAAAATCAACCGCTAGATCAGACAAATACCATCAAACAAAGAAACGACACAGGCTATACTTGGGGAGAAGGCGAAAAGTAGAAACATCAAACAAAAGAAAGAAAAGAAAAAAGGGAAGAAAGATCATTGAAGCAATCAATCTCGTAGTTCAAGGAACAGATTATAAAAAAAAGCAAAGGCTGCACACAATCATGATCTCATCCCGTAGACTACTAAAAAAAGGAAAAAGGTCCATCCTTGTACAAAAAAAGATTCTAGAATTTCTTTCCTTCAAAAACCCGGGGTAGATGCCTCGGAGACATTCTACTCTCCAAGCGGCATCCCATCCACACTATGACCCAGGCTCTTCCAATTGTCAGCGTAAAGCTCCGCATACTTGATTCTCTCCTGCGCCCAATCTTGCTGCAATCTATAATTTTTCATCAGTCATTGTCCGTCAACAGGTACTCCGTTGGATAGGGAGGGAAAGGAACATACCTCGACACGTGATATTGACTTCCTTGGAAGTAAATCAATTCATCTCTCACACACTCCTTGATCAACACCCCTCTCGCCTTCTGCCTGACAATACTCTCCCGATCGGCCACAATACTCGCCTCCATCTTTTCAATCTCTCCATCCTTAATCTGTTCCTTAGGCTTCGACCTCGTCGCCTTCAACTTCTCTTCCGTAGTCCTAATCCTCTTCTCGAGGTACGGGATATTATCCCCGGCATACTTATCCTTCCTCTCGAACAGCTCTCGCATAGAAACGAGCGCATCCCGATGTCGTTTAAGATCCTCAAGAACCCCGATATCCCAAGCTTTAATCTCATCCTCCATAATACTCTGCGCCGTATTCAAATGCTTTGCAACGGCGACTAACCCATCATTCAGGGGTGCCACCTCGGATGTATCCATCTTATACGTCGCCTCGGATGCATCCGTTAGACTTTCCAACGCTTGCGAGAAACGACGGTAGTCTGCTGCAACGCCCTCATGTCGCTTCTCGATTCTTTCGAGAAGGTTACACAGTCCGATGTACGTTTCCGAAGAGCGGCGAATTCCCGATTTGACGGTTTCAAACGTATGTTCCAGATCTGCGGGGAGCGATTCTTCGAGGTGTGGTGGGAGTGGTTTGTCCACGAATTCCTCTTGCACAGAAATCGTAGCTTGCTTGCGCCAGACCGCCAGTTCCTAAGTCCCCAAAATATTTAGTAAGGTTCACTCCACCACCATCATTCATACATGTATTTATTTGTATATGTATATAGTGAAAGAAAATAGAACTAACCGTCGGCACCGTCAAAAACATAACAACCAATGTCTCCTCCTTCAAAACCGGATGTCGAACAAGCGCATTCGCAAACCTCGCAAGACCCCTCCGTCGCCTCTCAATAAACGCCGTATCAGCAGACAAATAATGTCCATTAACCGCAAGCCTCTTCGGCGGCATAAGTGGTAACTGTCGGAACGGATACCGTTTCTGCAAACACTCCAACAACCATACGAAGTCGCTGTACCGTCGGACAACTCTAGACCCGCGCCGTGTACTCGCGACTTGGTAGTTTCGATGTTGGAACATAAACATCCCTTCTTTGTCCGGAAGGGCAGTGACTGTGACGTTTTCTTCAACTCGGTTACCCCCGCCGGATGTAGCGCCTCGAATGCTTCCGAAGGTTGGGCGGAGGCTGCTACCAGCTACTGAGCCGTTGTCGTGTGGGTCACCGAACCCACTCGGTTGTGGCCCAAATCCTTGCTGTCCCCCAAACCCGGGTGGTGCTCCAAACCCAGGTGGTGCTCCAAAACCACCAGCTTGTGCTTGAGGCGGTGGGCCCCAGGCATTGGTCATCGTCGGCTGTCGTGGTAATCGTAAAGAAGCTTGTAAGTCATCTGCTTCGGTAATCGCAGGAGTGTATGATGGTCTAGAAGGTGGTAGAGATGGTGCTTCGAGGGATCCGACATCCGGTGCGTCTGGATAGCCAGTAGGAGGGGGTGCGCCGTTAGCCTTATTCACTGGGCCATGGTTGTGGCCTTCGTGAAGCTCGGGGCTTCCCCAGGGGTCCTCCTGGCTCGGAGCGCTGTGGGACATAACAGGCGGACTTGGAGGAGTCTGGATGGGTCGGTCTTGAATGGATGGTGAGGGTTGTCTGGGCGGTTGTTCGAGAGGAGGAGGAACAGGCCTGGTCGGTGCTATCGTAGGGATTGGTAAATCTAGAGTAGAACACCCAGAATAGCTCAAATTAGCAATTCAACATTCCTGAGCTAGCTCCAAGCTTCCCTTCAGCTCCATTTTTATCCAAATAAATCCTTTTCCTCTTTTTTTTTCTAAAGAAAAAAAAAAAAAGCAGAAGGTGTAAAAGAAAAAGAGTAGAAAGAAGGCAGGAACGAACTCCTCTTCCGATCATCCACAGCATCGAATCCCAAGTACTCATCCCCGTCTTCGGCCAGCGCCACAAGCGCCAGGAACACATTAAATGCCTCCCGGTTAACCACCGTCCCATCATCCCTGTTCCTCCCAGCAATCAAATCCAGGATCCGATCCCAATCTGAGGTTTTAACCTGCGATTCCCCAAGCAGACGTTCCATGACACCAACGGTAACAGCGCCGGTAGCACTTAAGATCTCATCGAAAAGATCGATGTATTCTTCAGGAACGGTAGCTCCCCTCATGACATTTCTGATCATTTCGGAGTTGCTCTCGCTACGTTTGTTGCGAGGGGTAGGCATACTCCAGGGACTACCGCCACCCAAGCCATCATCGAAGAGGGAGGAGCGGGGACCACCGGAGTTGTTGTTGTTGTTGCTTCCAGAACCATGGCCGACATCGTCATCATCGAAGAGGCCGTTGTGATTTCGGACTGGTGACGCGTCTGTGGGACTGGATCCAAAGAGCGACATAATGATAATGTAGAAGTGATTGAAGCTTCTTACGGGTAAATTTTTTTCCCTTTTGGAGAGAGGGTGGGAAGCTGTTTTTGGAGCTTTAAAGGGAGTGGCGAGGGATGCGATGAGGAGGTGGAGGAGAAGAGGAGGTCGGGGTGGCCGAGGTCGACTCCGCACAGCACCAGCACCAGCAAGCTTCCTCGCTTCGAATCGATGCTGAGGAATAGAAAGAAAGACGCAACGGTTTGGTTTCAAAACAGCCGGAGACGCAGTGGAACGATATGTTTTACGAATACAGAATTGGTGATATGGAACTTTTATACATATAAGAAAAGAGAGAGTTACAAACCTTTAGTGTTTTTGTTTACGTCCGAAAACCCTTCCTGGGAATGGAGGACGACTCGAGGAATGCGTATTATGTCGTAACGTATGTGCCCGCGTACGTCGTGTATTACGCCGAAGTACCTACGGAGCGGATGTATGTATACGAAACAGACTAGAGATAAGTGTATAGCCCAGCCGGCTGGTGCAGTGCCGGTCTCGAATTGCAAACAGACTCCCCCGGGACGTTAATATTGGTATCGATACAAGGCGATGTAGAACTGCAGCGGAGTAAGTCGGTTAAAAGATATCGAGAGATGAGCGATTGATTCTATAATTTTACAACAAAAGTAAATGAGCGAGGATAATAAACATAATAGCGCAATGCACAGGCCGGGAAAGCCAGTCAGGCAAGCCAGACAGGCAAGCCAGGCAAGCCACGGTCAGACAGGCCAGTCGGGAAGGGATGCCCGCCTCAGCTCGAAACATGCACACGGCACGAACCAGAAACCAGCCAGGGGTCCGTTACATACCGAACACTGTTGGATTTTGTCCCGCAACACATTATTGTCACAATTTATAATGTTTATATATATATCCAGCCACAGTCAGTCTCGCCAGATGCTTGAATTCAAACATTTGATGAATTTGCTCAGAGTAGGCCCGCTTCCAAGTTAAAATTTTCTGTTATATACATGCACACACATGTATTTACTTACTTATATCGGATTCTCTCAATCTATCAAATATTTCATGCTTGGTGTTGAATAGACCTACGAGAACTGCAATTGCATTGTTGCCTAGTTACATGTACAGTTACGAATACAAGTATATCCTTCTAGCTTAAATGCGTCTTAATTTATTCGCAAAGACTAGCTTACCGAATCAAACCTCATAATATCAAGAGTAGTCTAGTTGTAAGAGGAATTGCGCTGATGATCAGGTCATTGAGAAACATGACCGCCACGACCAATGCAGGCCAAACGTTTTAAGGGGGTTCCATTCATCAGCGAGAGGAAATTTCCATATCGAACGAATGAGAGTTATTCTCTGCTGAAAGGGGATGCTGAAAGGGGATTATGAACAGGTGTACATTGTAATTTGATAGAATTTTAAAGCCCTATAGGCCTAAGCTAGCCATATAGACCAAATTCGACTCGCTAATATCGTGGAAACGAACAGCTACTGGGATTGGAATCTAAAAATTGTTCCTTATATTGCAGTCGAGAAATCGGCATAGAGTTAGTTAACTGTATAGATCTAAGGGAATCCGCATATACTTCCAGAAGTGCGTATTATGAAACCACCCGTAACTCGACGGATAAGGCCCGGTGTCAGGGAATACGTAATATTACTGCCACATCGTGGGAGCAGGTGGAATCGAAGTTTTGGAAAATTTTCTAAGCTAAGTAAATTCAGCAACATAGTACTCATAAAACCCACATATGTTGGTTCTGAAATATAGATACATCAGTACGTGCACGTAAAACGCATATACAAGTTGTACATAGGTACTTATAGGTCCTCGAGGTGACACGGAATCAATATCAATACAGCTGCAGTTGGCACAAAAGGTTAGGTTACATGGCTGTAAACGTCCGGCAAACATAGCCGAGTCTCTAAAAAGAACTATACTGACATGGATAGTCGCGGCCTAGGTCTCGGCTCCAAGAAACAGATAGGCCAATCAGAATTCTGCCCTCTATGCAAGTGCGAATTAAAAAGCTGTCAAGTTAGGAGAATTTTATCGAGGGCCGGTAGAGATAGCTAAATGATAACACTCTAAATATAAATTTATAAAACCGCCAATTAGCTAACATCTACTGCATACGCACCTGCATATGCACTCCGACGAGAACGGTCATGAGGAAACGAAAAATCAAACCCCGCCTTTCGAGGATCCAGTAGGCTTTTCTCAGGCCGGAATTCGGAACTTATCACGCATATATTGAAAAACGCTTTATGGTCTGGTACTGTAAATAAAAATCTATCGGATCCTATTTAATGGCCCATGGAAACGTACAAGATATCTACATATCTCGTTTGAAATTCGCAACAATATCGATATCTTCTTGGTTACTACCACTATTTCAAATTAAACACCATGCCGGCATCCTATCCTTCCAATTACCCCCCGCGAGTAGACCATTATCAGACAATGGAAGCCACCCCCAAGGCCATCCCAGAAACTAGCCCTGAGACTACAACAGAGGATAAGCTTGACAGGATCGCACGCGAACTTCACTTTTGTCCTAATCGTATCTGGCAAATGGTAAAAGACCTCGAAGAGAATGCCATGGTGAAGATCCTCGAATTTCTTGTCCGTCTCCGGCGGAAGAAAGATTCTATCGGATCGCAGGTGGGTCACGAAATATGCGGTTTCGAATTCTGTGAAAAAGCACGCATAGATTTCACAGGAGTCGTGCAGCGACATGTCTGCGATGACAAAGATTGCGAGCAATACGAATTCAAAATGTCACTTCTGGATGAAGCCGTAGAGGAAGGAGAGCTCACAGCCTGGGAATTGGATTGCAGCAAGCCGATCGAGCGGCCAACTCCCTACATGGCGGTGTCCCATGTTTGGTCAGATGGGACAGGAAGTGGGCCGTGGGCATCAGGGAAAGTCAATAAATGCTTATATGACTTTTTTTCCGACATCGCGACGCGATTCCAATGTGATGGGATATGGTGGGATACAATCAGCATCCCAACTGGAAAGGTACGTATTATATACACTAAAGGCTGTAATTAAGAGTATCGCTGCATTGCTAATATAAAGGAAATTTAAGACTACCCGTGGCAAGGCTATCGCCACTATGCATCGGAACTACGAAAGTGCCCGAATAACTCTAGTCCATGATGCTTTTCTTCGTGAATGGGAGTGGGTTGACGCAGTGACTGCATGCTTCGCAATTTCAATGTCACCATGGTTTAGCAGAGGATGGACCGCCCTGGAGCTGGTGAAATCTCCGAAGGTCAAAATTATATTTAGGCATAACGTGATCAAGGATCTCGACCAGGATATCCTCAGCAAAGTCGACCCATCGATCCCCGAACATAGGATTCTGTCCGAAAAAATAAAAAACCTACGGGGAGGTGCCATAGCCTCTATTGACCGGCTCTTGGGGGTGCTTAGGGCACGAAGTACATCTTGGCCTCGCGACATTGCCATTATTTCGGCCCAATTGGTCGGCGCCTCAGTAGAACCGAGTCTATCACAGCAGGAAATTTATCGAGAAGCTCTCAAGAAGGTCGGCGAAATAAAATCGTCACACCTCTTTCACAACTCTTTGACAATGGTTGGAGATTTTCAATGGTGTCCGACAAATTTGCTCGAAATGCCCCCGGCCTCACCCAAAGATTCGACGCTAAAAATCACAAAGAAAGGAGGCCTAAATGGCCGGTGGCTATGGTCTTCAGATATCAAGGTTATAAAAAACCTAGTCATCTTGGAAAACATGCACCGTGTACAGCGTTCCAGGGTAACTAGGATTTTACGGAACTCGGATAGCCCCCAACACCAATACCGGATTTTAATAGACCCCAAATATAAGAAGGAGTCAGGGCTTAAGGCATTGCTTGTTTTGGAAGGAACGCGACGAGGGGGGCCAATGCATGTTGAGTTCGTTGCGTCTCTGAAGTTTCACAGCCGAATGGAAGCTTTGAAATTGAAAATAGACTGGAATGAATCAAATGTGACGATAGTCGGAAATAATTCCAACAGAATACAAAGCACCATACTCCCTGTAACACCACCCCCGCTGCAGCGCGCAGAGCCATCAGACAATAATAATGCGGACAACAAGGCCAAGCTTGAGGCCGCGAATCCGGATGAGAATACAGAGCTTCATATGGCAGCGCAGAGCGGGGATACGGAAGGTATCCAGAAGCTATTGACGAGCACCAGTCCATTTGAGACAAACAAATTTGGCATGACTCCGTTACATCTAGCCGCGCGAGATGGACGAACGAAATTCGTCAAGGAATTGCTGTTACACCATGATTTTATGCATGAGGCACCGCCTTTTGATTATCAGGACGACGACTCATGGACACCACTAGATCATGCGATTTGGCAATGTCACGAAGGGGTAACTAAAGCAATATTTGAGCATCGGCACTTCTCGCCAGAAGACTTAAACGATCAAGATGAAATCGGACAAACAATGCTGCATCTTGCTGCGGAGAGAGCAAACCGAACTATCATCAAAGGGTTCCAGCTCGAAGACCTACGTGGTCGCAAGGTGATGATGGATATTGTCTGTGAATCCAATCAAAATGTTTTCCACCGAGCAGCTTTGGGAGGTAGCCGTGAAGTAATCAAAGAACTATGGAAGAAAGTAGTGGAATTTTATGAAAAGGATAAATATCAGGCCTCTAAAATGATGCTGGAGGCACTGGACGACAATGACCGAACACCTCTACACATAGCCGTGCAACAAGGGAATTTTGATGCAGCTTGCGAACTGGCGGATCTGGCACCTCATGTTCTAGAGATTGAGGACTGTGATAATTTAACACCGTTGGAAATAGCTATCGATAATAACGATGATGAGATAGTGCAAGAGCTCCACGAAAGAATCATTAGCAACGAACTATCTTCCGTCACGGGGCATGTATATCTCAACATCGTAAAAAAACTCACGGCAGGCATACCAGCTGGGCATAAAAGCCTAGAGAGCAGAAACCGCGGAGGAAAAACGCCGCTGGCGTTGGCGGCGTACAATGGCTGGGCTTCCGTGGTGGAGCGCCTTCTAAGAAAAAAAGCGAACCCAGAAGCTAAAGACAACGAAGGGAAAACACCGCTTCAACTGGCCCTGAAGGATGCCGAGGACGATGATATCGATAGCTTCGTGGTCGCGAAACTGCTTCTGAGATCAAGGGATCAGGAGCACTTGATCGAAAAGTTAACCACCAGTGAGGCTAGCCAGGTTTTACGAATGGCACTACAACAAAGAACTCAGGGCATAGCAAAATTGGCTCTCGAAAGGTCCCGAGCTGATGTTCACTCTTCGGGAGGCACATTAACACCATTCGAGTACGCAATCGAGTGGGGGGACCAAGAGATATTAGATCTTCTCATCCAAAAAACTCCCCCGATTCCGGATTCAAATATCGATAAGACTATAAATCTTATTTTAGAAAAACCAGGCTCGGCTGCGATATTGTCTAAGTTGATTAAAGCCAACATCCTGCCACTCGACGGAAACAACAGAAGGAAGGTGATATTGGACTATGCAGCGAAGAATGGACATATAGATCTGATGGAACAAATACTGGAAAAGGTTTTGATGGTAGATTATACGGCTTCGGATAGCACTACGCCATTATTCGACGCTATATGCTTTCTCAGTTTTACTGGGCATGTTCGGATCGAGGTTGTATTCCAGAGAGGTACAAGGTTTGGAAGTCCACAAAATTGTCACCAGCCAGAAACCTTTCTCATTGAAAATACAAGAGAGCAAATTGTCAAGAAACTTCTCGAATTGGGTGCAAAACCGGGGGCCACCGACGAAAATAGACAAACTCCTTTGTTCCAAGCTGTAAAACGGGGGTATCCGGGAATTGTAAAGCTGCTCCTCGATCACGGCGCGAATGTTAACACTCGAGATAGCGAGGGGAAAACGCCACTATTTTTCGCCAACTATGAAACGACAAAGCTTTTGATTGACCGCGGAGCTAGTTCCGAAGTACTTGATAAGAATAAAAAATCAATACTTCAATATGCAATAGATCAAGGGGATACAAGGGCACTTGACATCTACTCTAAAAAGGGTATCAAAAATAAAAACAAGGCACAGGAAGTTCGGGACTATTTGCAAAAGCATCCCGGCCGTAGGAACTAATCCGAGACTAAGACAGGATATAGCACTAACTGGCCCTTGTAAATATTTAATATCAAATAGTTTGGGGCTATAGCCAAACCTCCTGTCACCGCCACCAGATATTTCTATATTTGAAACCGCAAGCTTCCCTGCGAAGATTTTGTTTCTCAGCTAGAATTGCTAAATAAAGAGAATTATATATGTATATCAGGGATAACGTTGTAACTAGAAATTCATATCAGGCATTTCTCGATTCAGTAGAGGGCTCTAGACTAAACTCTGGTTTTCTCGTCTAATTATTCGCTTCTTTTAAATTTTAGTCTCAAATTTAAGGCATACCATTCATCGATCTACATGACAATACCATTCACCGGTACCTCGCTATCGATATAAAGAGACCATAGCTGTAGCATAATACATCTTTAACGTATTAGGTTTCTATCCGTCAGGTAGAAGCGTCTTTCATATGATCATCCGACATTTATATTATCTACATACTAGCTCTCAGCTTCAGAAACAATCAGTATGCCCTTATTGCCGAATAGGTGTATCCAGATGTCACTCAAAGGTTCAAAAGGTTTTTTTATAACTTTAAATTATTATGAAGTTGGCTCCACCGCCGAACGCAACTTATAAACCTACAACTACAATAAATAACGATGTCAGGATTAAGTTCCAGCTCCGTGGCTTATACAACTACCCAACTATTATTCATATTCATAATTGTCACCCAAAAATCGTTAATACGATAGAGTTCTTCTAATATAAAATATCTCAATTAGCAATAGAAACGCAGTTTACATGTTGGATTTAGACCGCCGCACAACAAAGAGGGTGCCTATAAGCTTAATGTTTAGTAATTTGTAGCTTTCGATCGATAGTTGAATAATAAATTTTTGTAAGTCTACAGCGCGGCTTAGCTACAGGCAAACACATGGGTATGCTTATCACCATGCTCGCCGATATGATAGACCTGTAGCCAAATTTATGAACAAGCCTATAACCGGACCCGTAGCTAAACCCGTAAATAAAAACCCGAGCAGGGCAGGCAACCGTACAGCAATGCTAGTCTCGTATTGCAGACGTGGTCCACACTTTACAGCAATGCTGGGAATAGTTAGGAGTTAAGTTATATGCAAATAATAACAATACCAGTAGTAAACCCTTAAAATAGTCTATAAACGAAGATAAAGGTTTTAGCTTTCGGGTTTAAACACCATCATAGACGGCTAACGGGTTCCGTTCGTTAAAATAAATTAAACGCACACTAGTACTGAAGGGGCAATGTTATATTCCACACAAATTGCGGGCCTGGCCAGAAGTGTTGAAATTGTTGTATTTTTTTGACCCGTTTCAGTGGCTTTGCATGTTGGTTCGCAGGTCTGCATACCCGCATACTCCACATGTACCAGAACATATAACTATATATTAAACTCCACAGGGATAATGTAATGATACTTATGAGATGTCCTATCGCCAGACTCCTCGGCGAGCGAGGCTCACAATATTTATTCAAATGTTCAGATGCGGGGTCTTACTTTAAACAGCTGGCCAGCTGTCAGAAAGTATTATATCTCCTCAAACTTAACTTAACCAACTATTCAAGCCTCAATTACGGGCCGCGGGAGTTATATATATACATGCCGACAGACGACCATCAGTTAACAAACTCTAATAAAACCCTGTCGAGGACACAGAAGACAACCCGAATCTGGTATTTGGAGTTGCGCCAACTAGTGCTAATCAACATTGACATCAATGGAACCGGCCATGTTCTATAATCAAGGGGGGCAGACAGGCTTTCAAGCGGAAACGGTGAACACTAATGGGTAAGCTACAGAGCTGTTCTAAAAACATCATTTTGACACCTATAGATTCCTAACCATCTGGCTAGAAATACGAATTTCAATTTTGGTGGATCAGGTGCGTGAAGTCGAGTTAGACCCAGTCTGACATCGAAAATGCACTAAGTACAGGCTATTCAGGCAAAGTCTAATCGATTATGTGCTATACAGAACTTCTGGAATCTCTGGAAAGCAAACGAAAAAAGTTGTTGAGAACACTGTATAAATTATCTAAGACAGAATATGAAAACCAGAAGAATCAAAACCCAGTTCGGGTTCCCGGAACATGCGAATGGTTTACGAACCATCAAATTTTTCAGGACTGGAAATCTAGCCCATCATCGAAGATGCTTTGGGTATCAGCCGACCCCGGGAGCGGGAAGTCAGTTCTTGCAAGGTACTTAATCGACTCCGTCCTTTCAACACCCGGATCAACAATCTGCTACTTCTTCTTCAAGGAGGATTTGGAAGAGCAAAAGAAAGCAACTACCGCTTTAAGTTCTATTTTATTCCAACTATTCACTGCAAACCGCTCTTTAATTTGCGACAAGATACTCGACCGGTATGAGATTGTTGAGGAATCGTTTTCGAGTTCATTCCATGAGCTTTGGAGGGCGTTCTTGATCGCTGCCAGTAACGCAGACAAAATCGTTTGTGTCCTTGATGCACTCGACGAATGCAACAGCAGCGACAAATCTCAACTCATTACAAAATTGAAAGAGCTATATGGCAAGCCGACAGACTTGAATCTTAAATTCCTTGTAACAAGTCGACCCACTCGCGATATTGTACATGCTCTACGGCCCGTGCGCGAAGTTTTACATGAGGCAACTGGACAACAGCCTTTGGAGGTCCCGGAGTCACTGTTGATCCATCTAAATGGTGACGGTGACGAAGAAAAAGAAAAGATCGCTCGAGAGATTAATACTTTCATCGATGCTAGGGTCCATGAGATCTCAACAAAACTACAACTTGGAGACAACGAATGCAATCTTCTATCAGAAAGGCTAAAGAATACTCAAAAGTTACACCCAAACAATTCGGGCGAGATTACTCAAAATCGAACATACCTATGGGTCCACCTCGTCTTAGATTTGATAGAAAAGGACCCCAATAAAAATATCGGCATAAACAAGGATAAAATAGACAAAATTACTTCGCAGCTACCGAAGACAATAGATGAGGCATACGAGAAAATTCTATCTAGGAGCTGTAAACACGAGGAAGCGAAAAGGCTACTGCAGATCGTGGTTGCCGCCTCACGGTCTTTAAATCTCGAGGAGATGTACGTGGCGTTCACTCTCAAAGAGAGTCACCGGTCCTACGATAGCCTCGACACCAAGTTTAACTCCAAAGAAATGGAAAGATTTGGCAATGATGTACGCGATCGCTGCGGCCTCTTTGTCAGGATTGTGGATTCGAAAATATACCTAATTCATCAAACCGCGAAGGAATTTTTGATCCAACGAGAAGAAGAAGAAAAAGAAAAGAAGAAAAGAAATAGGAGAAGAAGGGATAAATAACACACAGATCCATCCCAGCCACTCAAATAATAGATGGAAATGCTCACTTCGGATGCGGCATTGCCACCAACTTCTTGCCAAAATCTGTATGCAGCATCTTCTAAATTTTGCAGAATTTGAAACTGATTCATTGATGGATTTTAATATGTCCTTCAACTTGCACAGATACCTCAAAAAATACCCTTTTGTTGATTATTCTGCTAAAAACTGGGTGGTTCATTTGAAAGAGTCCAAATCGCAAGCTTGTTTTGACAAAACGACAGTACAATCTATTCTAACGTTATGCGATTCTTCCACACCCCGCTCTAAAACGTGGTTCATAATCTACTGGACTAGCACAAATACAGACTTTCCAGAGAGCTTTACCACTCTTATGATCTTGTCGTATTTCGGCATCGCACCGGTGGTGGAGGTTTTCCTGGAATGGAATTACGATATTGACCTAGATGAGCGCGACGACAAATATAAGAGGTCGGCACTATCCTGGGCCGCTGGAAACGGTTTCGATGCCGTTGTCACTAGATTGTTGAGGGGGCCCCGGTGGAAAGGGCTTGTTTATTTACCCTTTAGATATGGAGGAGCAAATATTGATTCTGTCGATAGACAAGGCCGGACACCGTTAGTACACGCCATTCTGAATAAACAAGAACCAGTCGCCAACCTACTGCTTAGAGCCGGAGCCCAGACCAACTTGAAGGATTGCATTGGAGGAACGCCGCTTCACTATGCTATATGTAGCGGGCAGAATAATTTGGTAGCACAAATGCTCAAGAAAGGCGGCAAAGTTGGTCTAGAGAATGATACTAGAAAGGAACTGTTCTTTTCTGCTGCGAGGTCAGATGACAACGATATCATTGAGCTGCTGCTGGAGGAGGGTGAGATTGACCCTAATGAAAGGGACTCCAACGGTAACACGGTGCTGTTGTTGGCCGTGAGAAATGGAAGCAAGAAATTGGTCCAGTTGCTGTTGCATAGAGGTGCGGGGCCCAGCGTGGAGATACAGAACAGTGATTTTTCAACGCCACTGGGACTCGCTATGGAGCATGGATATAAAGAAATAGCAGAGCTGCTACTAGATACAGATGCAAATTTCGATATAAAACATAGGGGCAGCACACCACTAATAATGGCTGCAAAAAGATCAAACCGGGAGATGGTGAAATTACTACTGGATAGAGGTGCAAATCCAAATGCAAAGGAAGGTCATGGCTGGACACCTCTGATAGTGGTTGTAAGAAGATCAAATCGGGAGATGGCAAAATTACTACTGGATAAAGGCGCAAATCCAAATACAAAGGGGGGGTTATCATGGCGATGCACCTTTGATAATTGCGACAGAACAATTGAACGTGGAGATGGTAAAGTTACTGCTGGACAACGGTGCAAATCCAAACACAAAGGGAGGTTATAACGGCGCATATCCAAACGCAAAGCTTGCAAAGGGCGGTTATCGACACTGCGACACATCACTGATAGTCGCCACAAAGTTGTCGGATGAGGGGATAGTTCGGTTGCTGCTGGCTAATGACGCGGATATTGGGACGTCGGCGAACGGTTGGGACGACGTGACAGCACTAATGGTCGCATCAGCCTATCGTCGTAGCAGGTCGATCGTGGAGGTGCTACTGAACCGTGGCGCGGATGTTGAGGTAAAGGATCCCGGCGGCGAGACAGCACTTTCTTGGGCTGTCAGAATGGAGAAGCAGGATATAATCCAGCTACTGGTGAAGCATGGTGCAGATAAAACAGTAGTGAATCACGAGGGCAAAACACCACTGACATATGCTTTGGAATCAAAGAATCGGAGGGTGCTCCAGCTTCTAGTCGAAGGGGATGACAGGTACAACGATTTATTATCTGAGTTGCCAGAGGGATCCGAAGAGTAAGAGAAGAAAAAGACCATCTCCATTTTTGCCGCGAGGGTTACTCGATGTTTCACATTCCCAAAAGATTCGCACTTTTTTTTTGTAGGTTTAAATATATCAACCCAGTATAAGCCCTTAGCTTAGCGGTAGATAGATAGGTATATATATATAGATCTATGGACTAGATCATGGTCGACTGCTAACACTATAATTAGCGTTAGTCGTGTATATGTAAGTATTTAAGTAGATATAGATCGAGACTTAAATATAATTCCGTTACCATTTAAATTTAACTAGAATTAGATGCGGGCTTTGCGCTCAATCAGTCTATTTTATGTGTTTTGAATGGACCATTGTATGCTAGTCTGGAGACTTGGTATTCAAACGACATGCACCACCATGCATCATCATGACATGCATGATTAATATTAATATTTGTGAGTACTTAGGTAAACGCTCTGTACTTTCTTGTGCCCAGTCTCGAAGCGAGTTAGACATTTAGTACTAGAAATGCCGTCGAGACTTATATCGACATGATATATCGAACCTCTAACTCTTCCCATAAAATAATAGGCATCCACAGTACGTATAATAGATCTGAAGATATTAATCCTAACGCTCAAAGAATATATTCAATCGCAGAAACCCACTCCGCTCCAAACTCCACCCCATGCCTTCTCCGACTCCCATACTTCCTCCACGCCGTATTCGGAATCCCAATATCGACAACATGCAAGTTCCACCCGGCTCCTACCGTCTGTAACGCCGCTCTAACACCAGTCTTCGGTGCTCCCATGCAAACCACAAACTTCGCTTCAATGTAAAATTGCTCAGAATCATCTAACGTCGTAACCTCCCCTATTTCATTCGACATGTTAGATAAATATTGATTACGAAAAAGATAATCCTGTAAAGGCGGTCTTGGTCTTACCAGTTGACCCATCGATGCCGGACGGAACGTCAATGCTCATTATCTGAGCTTTGCTTGCATTCGCAAACTTGACAAGCTCGAACAAAGACGCTTGGTCCGACAGCCTTAGATCCTCAAACCCGACATGCATCCCTAATAACCCGTCGATGATCAACTCCGGTGGCGAATCAAGTGACTGTAACTTATACGACAACTCATTCCAATGCGCGAGTCTTCCTCCCGCGTTGCGAAATATCTGAATCTGCCTTCGAAGATGCTAATTCGTGAACCAAGTTAGTAAACATACCTCTTACTAAATTTAGGAGGGGTTTAATTATACTCACGTCAAGCAACTCCTCTTCCCTTTCCAGCCCCAGAACGCAAATCAAGACCCTAACATGATGGTTCTTCAAATGTCTCCCTGCAGCAACAGCCCTGGCGCCATTCTTATTGTTCCCTGCGAAGACAAGAACAACGGGTAACGAATTATGATTCCCACTGTGTAATCGCTTTCCGAACGCTTGAATGGCAACCTGTGCGATTCCACGCCCTGCATTTTCCGACATCATATCATCAGTCAATCCCAAGTCTACCTCTGCAATCCTCTCCACATCTAACATCTGCAGAGGTGATACAACGGGACAAGGCCTTGACGATGTTTTGAGTCTGAGGATTGGTTTGGACTTTGCATCACTGCTGTTAGCAAGTTGCTCGGCTCTCCCGCCTCCCGACCCCATGCCACTGGATATGTTGGGCGATATCCTGCCGGATACATTAACGCTGGCTTTTCGGAGAAGTTTTGACCCATGTCTAGCAGGTCGTGTCATCCCTCTTCTCGAGCTACGTCCGCTCCCTGGTTCTTCTTCATCATCTGACGAGCTAGATCCAAAATCAGGCCCTTTTTTCAAAAAGGCGTTGTCATTCCATGTCTCTCGATCTGCTAGAGAGGCCCCGTTTGCATAAGTTCCAAGCACGTTCTCCGAATTCTTGAAGTTCTTGCGAATGGATGGGATTTCTGTCGAGACTGGGGGGCGTTTGTTGAAAGATACTAAACGATCCTCAATTGCCGTTGTGTCTTCTGTTTGGATCTGTGAGAAGACAGCCTTTTTGTCAAACCGTTCTAAATTTCCCTGGAAATCGAACTCGGTGTCCTTGATACCAGTGACATCTTCTGTCGCCCAGCCGTCACTATTCTGGTACCTGTGGCGACGAATATATGCACTGTTTTCACGTGCACCGTGGTTATTGTCGCGGCCCCTTCGCAAGTTGGCATTACCATTGTTCCTGGGATGCTGCGATGGTTGATGTACGAAATTACCAGTATTAGGATCTCTTCTACCCCTCCTAGGTCGGCTGTCAAGAGGTCTTCTGGGTTGGTGGGGAGCTTGGCTGTCGTCCGTTTCTTCGAATGCACTAGAATCGACGGCATCTCCAAGCTTGAGTTTTGAGAATGGCGATGTGAGTGCGGGTGTGGTGAAAGGTGGCCGGGTGACAGTTGTAGTGGTGATATTGTTATTGCTATCCTTCCCGGGTGGTATAGAAGTAGGTTTTGTGATTGGTTTCGAGATACTCGGGGGGACGCCTTGGATTCCTTTGGACGGTGAGGCGGCCGGTAGTAAAGGAGCAACTGGGAAGGACAGAGTAGGAGGTGGGGGTGGGAGCTGCCCTTTCAAGGGGGATGATTGTGTTTGGGGTTGAGATTGTGGGGTAGGCCTCTGAGGGCGACCAACGGATACAATTGCCGGGTCCTGGAACGGCTTCTTCGCTGGAGGCTGAGGCTGACGTTGAGGTTGAGATGGAGGAGCAACAGTTTGGGATGGTGGGGGCGGAATAGAAGGTTGTATTGGAGGGATTTGGGACATCTGAGGATGCATAGGAATCTGAGGAGGTGGGAAGCCGTAAGAAGGTACCCTGGGTAGGTTCACACTCCCCGGTGGAGGGTGTAGAGGAGGAAATGGTGGTTGGTGAGATTGGGACTGAGGTTGAGGTGGGGGAGGGGGGTATGACGGGTAGTTTGTGGGGTTGGTGGGTGTACGAGCGGCGGCCAAAGAAGCTTCGCCAGGGCCATCATCAAGAACTTCGATTTCTCCGATACCTTTCCCATCGATTTGATAGAAAGGATAGGGGATGCCAGAATTTGTATCGAATGCTATTTTTTATTCAAATAATTAGTGTTTTTGTCAATTGATAATGAGAAGAGAAGTTGCAAAGTGTGTACCGTTCGTGAGGGTGAGGCTTGAACCCTCGAGGGTGCCAACGGTTCCCTGAATAATAGGGCCGGCCTTAAGGGTTACACGCACGGTGTAACCGAAGAAACTCATTGTAGATTGCAATCGAGATGGATAAGTGCAGGTTAAAAGGGTATCGATATGTGAATTCGTAGATGTTGTTAGATGTTTGTACTGGGTACTATGTGGATGAGGTGTTTTTCGGTATCTGCAAGAGTCGCGATTGATGAATTAATTGAGCTTATTAAGAGAATTGCCAAGGGAGAAATCGATTGGGGTCCGAGGAGGGATTGTGTACACCTGCCAGGTGGTTAATCCGACATGCTTGAGGGGAACGAAAGAAGAGGATGAGGAAGACGAGGAGGAGAGTGTAGGCGAGTAGATTGGCTAGCTACCTGCTAGTAAGTTAAAAGTCAGGTGTGAGGATTCCAGGTGTTCATGTATCAGAATAGCAGGTGACACTGAGTGGTTGTTTAATGATCCGATGATGGTGACAGTGATGGTGATGATGAAGTTGACGATGAAGTTGATGAAGTTGACGATGGTGGTGATGTTGATGATGTTTATATTGGAGAAGGAGAGAGGCAGAGAGAGAAAAGAAGGGAGAGGTTTGTTTGACACAAGTATCCGAGACGCTTCTGAAGCTGAAGACAAGCTCAGCGCATCCCTGCCCCACCATTGACCAGGGGGGTTTCCCAGGGACCACCCCGGATAAGCAAATAGATTTCCGAGATATCCGGGAACAGCCCGGAGCAGCCTAACATTATCACCGGGAATCCACGTGACTGCATGTTTATTGTTCCCCGAACCGACAGAAAAATTCTGAGTCGCGACAAGAACGTAACCGGAGAGCTCTTTCTCTTCTACGGAAAAAAAAAAAAAAATACTTCATTCCTTCAAGGGCCGTACGATACTATACTCTCCTCTAGTACTATTACCATGTACATATACAAGTACATGTACATATTTTATTACCCTTCTATCTCTTTGTCACCTTAGTATCGATATTAATCACTATCGGACGTTGACAAGATATAGCAGAAGTGCATGTGGCGTGGGCTCAGACTGGGTCGTGTCCGGGTGGTGGCGGGTCTTCAATCTCAATTCCCCTTTCGGAGCGCGTCTCTCCCAAAACACCAAAACAACATAACCACCAGTACCACCAGTACCAGTACCACCAGAAGTACCACCACCACCCTTCTCTCATCTCCATCTCCATCTCCATCTTCACTACCTCACCCACCGACCCTACCTACATTTAAATTACTACCATCGACATCATTACTGTTACAGCCATCGACACCATCGGCACTACCATTCCAAGGCTTCTTCTTCTCGTCCTCGGACTACCTCCTGCCGGCCATGTTCAACCGAAACAATAACAGCGGTAACGATAGTCGCAGTGGTGGTAGTATCCTAAACAACAATGGCAGCAGCCTTGGCGGTAATTCCGGTTCCAATGCTCCAAAGCAATCCACTCTCTCCTTCTCCAACAAACCAATCCAAAAACCGGGTCTCGTCAGTCGTCCGGGCCTTGTAAACAGACCGGGTCCTGGCAAACTACTCTCTGCCTCCAATGTCAATTCCCTCTCTTCCCGTGCACCGCCAGCACCACCGGTTGTACGACCACAATTTCAACCAGAGAAACTTGCCAATGCTCCTTTAAAATCTACCACCCAACGTTCTTCTCTAGGGAAACGACCTGCTGGCTCCCAAGAAGCTCTCCGTCAAGCTTTACAATCCGAAAATTCGTTTGCAGAAGAGCCATCCACAAAGTTCAACGATGATAAAGCTCCTCAAACAGCCAAGGATGCTCTCAGGAATGCCGTCAACTGCTGGGACGAAGACGAGTTCGAGTTCGATGACATGGACCTCCTGGAAGCCGGCCTAGTCTCTGCCAAACCCTCTACCACGCCTGCACATGTTTCGAAACCCACAAACAAACCCCTGCCAAACCACATGTCTCGAGATACAACATCAAGACCAAAATCTCCACCATCAAACTCTCCTAATCCGTGGAAGCAACAAGTCGAAGCCAAACAGGATCTCAAACCCGTTCAAACACCAGCCGAGCCTGCTCCAAAGAAACGTCGTACCCTTCCCTGGAAAACCAAACAACAGGAAGCTGAGCTCGCTTCCATTCTCCCACCCGAACCACCAAAGCCGGTCGAAACCCCACAGCCCACAAAGACTGCTCCCTGGGACAAAACTGCGTCTGCTGTCAAAGCGGCAAAGATCGATCTCAAAGGCAAACTTCAACAGCAGAAGCGTGCCATATCGACCTCCAGCCTTGGTGGCCAGCAAACTACCAGCCTACGTGGTACAAAACCCACCCGACATTATATGAGCGACGAACAAAGCCATGTCTTGGATATGGTTGTCAATGAAGGCAAGAGTGTGTTCTTTACTGGCTCGGCTGGTACTGGTAAATCAGTTCTCTTGAGAGAAATTATCACAGGGCTCAGGAAGAAGCACAAGAACTATGATTCGGTCGCAATTACGGCTTCCACCGGGTTAGCGGCTTGTAACATTGGAGGCGTTACCCTGCATTCTTTCTCGGGGATCGGGCTGGGAAGGGAATCAGTTGAACAACTCGTCAAAAAGATCCGTCGTGTTCCAAAGTCGAAGCAAAGGTGGTTGCGTGCCAAAGTTCTCATCATCGACGAAATAAGCATGGTTGATGGTGACCTCTTTGACAAGTTGGAAGGTGTGGCCAGAACCTTGAAGAATAACGGTAGACCATTTGGGGGTATTCAGTTGGTTGTTACTGGCGACTTCTTCCAATTGCCCCCCGTCCCTGACAATGGCAAGGCGGCCAAGTTTGCCTTCGAGGCTAACACCTGGAGCAACTGTGTCGACCATACGATCTTACTTACCCACATCTTCAGACAAAAGGACCCCGTCTTCGCAGGCATGCTTAATGAGATGCGATTGGGGACGTTGAGTCCTGCGTCTATTGCAAATTTCAAGAAGCTCACCCGCAATTTAAATTTTGACGATGGTTTACAAGCTACGGAGCTCTTCCCGACTCGAAAGGAGGTCGACAATGCCAACCTCAGACAACTACGGGGGTTACCCGGTGATTCATATACTTTCACAGCCGTCGACGAGTCTGCGATACTAGATCAACAACAGCGAGAGAAATTGCTGACCAACTGCATGGCGCCACAGATATTGGAGCTGAAACAAGGTGCGCAGGTCATGTTGGTCAAAAATATGGACGAAACACTGGTGAACGGATCTCTCGGCCGCGTCGTCGCGTTTATGAGCGAAAAGACGTACGCTATGGTACAAGACGAACTCCCCGGTGGCGAAGACCAAATTTTTGGCTCTCAGGGAGAGGGGGATCTCAGAGACATGTCAAAAAGAGAAAGGGAGATACATGAGAAATATATAAACGAACAGAGTCGGACAAATACAACGAAGAAGTACCCGTTGGTACAATGGAGTATTGCGGATGGAACGCAGAGGAGAACATTGATGTTGCCCGAGGCGTGGAAGTTTGAGTTGCCGACAGGGGAGGTGCAGGCTTCGAGGAAGCAAGTGCCGTTGATTTTAGCTTGGGCGCTGTCGATCCACAAGGCGCAGGGGCAGACCTTGGATCGGGTTAAGGTTGATTTGAACAAGGTATGTTTCAGCTTATTTTATTATGTATCTTTTCTCACTACGCACGAACGGGGATTGGATGGCTAACGCGGGGTAACAGGTTTTTGAGAAGGGACAAGCATATGTCGCACTCAGCCGTGCGACGACGCAGGAAGGCTTGCAGGTATTGGGGTTTAATGCGAATAAGGTAATGGCGCATGAGAAGGTCCGGGTGTTTTACAGGAGCTTGACGTCTGCCGAGGCTGCGGTCCGGGCGGCAGCTGCACCATCTTTGAACGAAGATGATTTCCCGGATGACGAGGATCTGGCGGAGATCGGCCTGGCGGCTGGATCTTCAAAGTTGAAGAAGTATGCGTACTCGTGATCACGTGGGGCGAGTAATTTTTTAAAGATCCACATGCATCTGTTCCTTCACGGTTTGCGATTTTATGATAATAGTGGTTATTAGGTGATTATTTGGCGTCTGTGTGATTGTGTGCGCTTTTTACGAACTCTCTACACTTAGTGGGCGGTTTCTTTTACTTTTTCTCTTTTACGATTGTATAACAAGATGAACAGGCGACCTGTACTAGAAAGAGGCGGCGTTTGACTCTTTTTCGATATTCTGTACGGGCATATTGGCGGGCAATGATGATGATGTCCATTTAAGCTAGCTCTTCAACTTGAAGCAGTTATAGATGCTGGATGGTACATACAATTAATCCTAAGCCAAAAGTTAAATTTTCTTTGAATTAATTTTACTAAAATATAACTTTGGAATACACTCTATAGTCAAAATGGGATCCGGCTCGGGGGCCCATTTGATTTGGGGGTTCTTGATAATTTAATCAGCGATATCGCACAGTCTCGAGGGTTTTTTTCACCCCTCCGACGATACCAGTTTGGGAGCCGCACTCAAGGAACCAGTCGGAACTCGCCTCGTCTCGAGGGTCATCCTGGACGCCGAAGTTAATTCCTTCGCCCTTTTTTTCATTATACTTTTTTTTTTCTTGAGAAAAACAATTGAATTCTTTTATTACAAAGAAAAAGAAGAAGAGAAGAAGAGAAGAAGAGAAGAAGAAGAAGGGGGGAAAGAAACATTGGGCGTTTATTACTCATTCTTTTCCCCTTCTATAAGCTGAAGTGAACTGCGCGATTAAATTTATTTTTTAAAAATTCTCGGGCAATGGGCAGCTTTCGAGTCGCCAATCCCGTATGCCCGCCGACCTAATCTCAGATCAGATTGGGGGTTACTATTTTTTTAGCTTGTGAATTTTTTTTTTTTTTTTTTTTTTCTCTTCGCATGTCCAGATTCGCCATCGGCGTTCTAGCGCCAGAAACAAACCCATACATACCCTTCCCTTATGCATCCAGTACACACCGACATGCATACCGTGGGATGGCTGGCTTGACCCAGAAAACTAAAGCTAATAATTGATCCGAGAAAACTGCAGGTTGAGGTAAAAGCTGAGTTGAAGATGGGTTAGCGCTAGAACCTGTTGGTCTGACGTACTCTGTTTTTTTTGATTTTTCTCTTATCACATCCCACCCATATTTCCGAATGTACCATGCACATACTCCCGTAAGTATGTAAGTACTTACATTAGCTTCGTTAGTATCGAGGGGCATGAGGTATTGCATTGTATAAATAACTCCTCCTCCGAGAAGAAAGGCACTTCCTTTCCTCCGTTAGTTAGTTAGTAAAAGCAACGTCGGTCTCGTTCGGAAGCTATAGATCTGGCTTGAATCTTGTTTTCTTCCCCTCTCCGCATTTTCACCCCCTTTCCCTTGTGATTCTTTAAAAGAAAAGAAGTCGGGAGGTATTATAAAGTTGAAGCTTGATTGGAATAAGCTTATCGTCGTTTGGTTCGCTCGCGTTCGTCAGGTTCCGATATCGAAAGATTATACTTTCCTTAGTTTAAGGTGTTGAGTTTGGGTAAATTAAGAAAAAGAAAATAAAACGTTGGTGTCATCGAAGACGAGACAAGAGCTCTCTGCACTGCTTCTCTTCCACTTCTTTTCCGTATAAACTTCTTTTGCCCGCTCCAACGTTCCTATCTCAAAAACTTCAATCCTCTCGATTCTTCAATCTTTTTTTTGATAATCAACTTCAACTTCTTCTTCCTACTTCTCACTTTCTCTCTTACCTCAAAGCTCGGTCTGTAGCAACCGGCCAACCACATCACAATGGTGCTTCGCACCCCTCCTGCTGCCATTGCGGCAGCTTCAGCTCGTCGCTCCATCCTCCAATCCACAATACACACAAATCCCTCCAGATGTCTCCTATTACGGCCTCACCGGACATCTCAATTTTCAACCTCCCTTCACCAATCTCTCAAACCTCGCCAGAATACTACAGCCCCATCGGCTCTCCGACAACAGCAACCCCGCCGCCAAATCACAAACATCGCAGAACCCAAAAATGCGTCTTCATCCACCACCGCCACCGTTTCCACTCCCATCCCCAAGAAGCAACGTTTTCGCGTCCTTCGCTTTCTCTGGCGCCTCACCTGGCTCTCCACCCTCGGCGGCGCTGCCTACCTCACTTATCACATCTACGACTCCAAACACCCTCCCGAACAGCTACCCCTCGACCCCGCCAAGAAAACCCTCGTAATCCTCGGTAGCGGGTGGGGGTCCGTCTCCCTCCTTAAGAAGCTAGACACGGAAGACTACAATGTTGTCGTCATCTCGCCGCGAAACTTCTTCTTGTTCACTCCATTGTTGCCAAGTTGTACGACGGGGACAATTGAACACCGAAGCATCATGGAACCTCTTAGGCATATCATTCGTCACAAGAAAAGAGCTGTGAAGTACTATGAAGCCGAGGCGACAAAGATCGATGTCGATAGGAGGGTGGTTAAGATCAATGATTTTTCGGATGTCAAGGGTAATGTGTCTGAGACGGAGGTACCGTTTGATTACCTTGTTGTCGGCGTGGGCGCTGAGAATGCGACCTTTGGTAAGTTTCTCATGTTGTGTCTTTTTGGTAGCTTCCGATTGGTTGGGTGGGGAAGCACTCATCCATCCATCCAACCCATGTGAAAACATGATAAGCTAATGATTTTGGTATTTCAATCGGAAAATAGGTATTCCCGGGGTTAAAGAGAATGCGTGCTTTCTGAAAGAGATCGGAGATGCTCAGCAGATTCGAAAGAAGGTGATGGATTGTATCGAGACTGCGACGTTCAAGGATCAGACGGAAGAAGAGAAGGACCGGTTGTTGCATATGGTACGTTTTTTTTCTTTTTCCCCCTTGTTTCGCACTTCCATTTTCCCATTTGGACTGGTTCCTTCTTTTGGGCAGCGACATACGGAAGAACCAGCCTACCGGGTCTTCCCTTGCTATGTGGTGTTTTTTTTTGGTTCCGATGGGGTTTTTGGGAGTGGTCCGATTTCACCCGACTAGGATTATAGCCGAGCTAACCATTGAGAAACCTGTGAATGGAAATAGGTCGTCGTTGGTGGAGGTCCTACTGGTATTGAGGTTCGTCATTCCCTTTCTTTCTTTGCTATCTTTCTTCATGTGAAGAAGGAGCTATGGCGCCTAAGCTTCTTAAGGCTAACCGAACATCCTTGCTTGTTTGTTTTTAGTTTGCGGCAGAACTGCAAGATTTCTTCGAGGAGGACCTTCGAAAATGGGTCCCTGATATTGCCGATAGATTCAAGGTGACCTTGGTAGAGGCACTACCTAATGTGAGGATTTCCCGAACTTCCCTTCCCTTGGCGGTTCTTGAGCATGACATCATGTTCCCGGTCAGAGATGTTGCTAACCCCTGCCCACCTTCCTCCTTCAGGTCTTGCCTATGTTCTCGAAATCCTTGATCGATTACACCGAAAAGACATTTAAAGATGAGAACATCAGCGTCCGAACCAAGACCATGGTCAAGAAGGTGACCGACAAGAACATCGAAGTCGAAGCCACCCAAGCCGACGGCAGCAAAGTTAAGGAAAGCATCAACTATGGTCTCCTTGTCTGGGCGACCGGAAATGCCGTCCGCGGTGTAGTCCGAGACTTGATGACCCAACTCCCCGCGCAGAAGAACTCAAGGCGTGGTTTGGCAGTTAACGACTACTTGGTCGTAGACGGTACCGACGGTATCTGGGCGCTTGGTGACTGCAGTGCGACAAAATATGCACCAACAGCGCAGGTAGCTGCTCAACAAGGAAATTTCCTTGCCAGGTTGTTCAACTCCATGGCGAAAACACAAGCTGTGGAGGAGGAACTACGAAGTCTGGATGCTCGGCTGCAGGCATCAGCAGATGATGCCGAGAAGGCGTTGTTGAACGCGGAGATTAATGCCAAAGGACGAAGCTTGTCAAAGGTAAAGCAGTTGTCACCGTTCCAGTATTCGCATCAGGGTTCGTTAGCGTACATTGGTGCGGATAGAGCGGTGGCGGACCTTAATTGGTTTGGCGGGGCCATTTCGTCGGCTACTGGTGGTGAGTTGACGTACTTGTTTTGGAGAAGTGCGTACGTTTCGATGGTGTTCAGCTGTGAGTATATTATCTTCCCTTGCATTGGATATATAAAAATGTGAATCCTACGCATGATGGCTAATATCTCTGTTTTCTTTTCCTTTTTTTAGTGAGGAACCGAATATTGGTGCTTACGGATTGGTTGAAGACGAAGGCGTTCGGTAGAGATGGTAAGTCCTCTTTGGAAATTTTTCTCTCTTTTGTCCTAGACAGCAAGGCTGTCTTTTTGCATATTCTGGAGATGTGCAGGTTTGGCTAATGTCGGTTTTTCTGTGGCGTGATAGTGAGTCGAGAGTAATTGTGTTGCCTCGCTGCTGTGTGGTTAGGCTCTTGAATCCTTTCGTCCGTCTATGGCGGTCCTCCCTTCGCTTCTATTACCCGAGTTTATTTTTCCGTTTTCCCTTGTTATTCTATTCGTAGGAATCAAATTCTGTCTTGTCTTCTCTCGGTTATATCTTTTTCGTTTAAACAAAAGGGTGCAAAACCAATTAATTTGATAAAAAAGGGAATAATTGCTGGAGTTCAAGGCAATGGTCTTTCCTTGCTTATCTTTTAACGACTTAAATATCTTCTTTTAGTTCTTGTAATTTTTTTATTTTTTTTTTGTGAGGATGTTTATAATTTTCTGTCGGTTGTTGGGTAGGTCGTCGATACCATACCGATCCGGATAAGCACTTCTTAATGTTATCGCTTTGATATCTGTATCCTTTTTTTCTCTCTTCGGGTTCAGAGCTCTTTTCTGATAGCTTCTTTTCATTCTAAAAGAATAGAAGATAATCGATTTCTATTAGCCAAAGAATTTTTCGAAGACAAAACAAAATAAGAAAAATAACAAAATAAACAAAAAACCGTAGGTTTTGTTCGTTCCGAAGAATTATATATATAAAAACCTCGGAAGCGGACAAACAGGATTCCTGGGGATTTCCCTAAGATGATTTTCCGAATGTATGTATATCCGTATCTATGCGACGACGGAAGAATATTTATCCGGGGCGTAATTAAGAAGGTGAGTATAAATACCGAGGACTAAAGGAAGTTGGAAAGAGAAGAAAAAAAATCGAGACAGAGGGACATTACATACGGATTCAAAGGGAGAATGTTAAGCGTTAGTAACCGCGTGGGAGCCGCGAGGGGTTGTTTAAGCTTAACCTTTTTTTTGGCTCTGTGTAACAGTCGATTGTTTGTTGGAATTTGAAGTGGTTATGGATCTGCCCTTCCTTCCAACACCAAAAACACCGAAAACACCGACATGTCGGCTTAAAGAGAGGAAAAGAAAAGAAAAGAAAAGAAAAGAACTTAGCGAAAGGAATATCCGCTAGGAAGACCCGTCCGAGACATCTGCAGGAGAGAGTCAGATGTTGAATCTTAGACGTAAATGGGCTAGGGCAACCTGATAGTTGGGATCGTCTGGTTACGTAGAGCTCCCTCCTCTCGATGCAGCAGGCTTTCTCGGGAATATTATTATGGGAACTTCCCGCTGGAGCCGGGTAAGTCATGTGAGTTATGCAGAGTGCTAGGAGGAATCTAGTGACTAAGAATATCAATCTGTTCCCCCCAAATATGGGTATTTATTTCGTCGATATAGTTTTTTGGGGTTCTTTTCTTGGGGGGGCGAAATATCTGCATGGGAAAACCCTGGGTGGCGGACATACTTACATATAACTATGTGTTGGCTTTGTGGTAAAGTTTTGGCGCACTGCACGAAGGCGTGGAACCAGCGCTGGTAACCGAAGCCGGGGTGTTCGTCCCGACAGGTTCACGGTTTTTTTTTTTTTTGGTTTGTCTTACTGGTGCAGGGGCTTTTTGGGGTTGGCGAACTGGGGGTCCTTTTGCTGTTGGTTTCTTGGTCGAAATATATACTTGTGTAGACATGTACCTTCAAGTATCTTCTGTAGACGGGTTCCAGATTCAGCAATCTTGCGGCAAAGTTTGTCAGCGAAACCCGAATGACAAGGGGGTGAAGGGAAAATGGGATGGTTCAAGGTCACTCACGCCCAATGCAAGGACATTTCGAATCTAGCTGGCCAATAATGCTGGTCCGGGAACGTTTTGTCTTACCATCGACAAATAGGGTTGTAACGTCTGTGATTCCGCGTCATTTCCTCTCATTCTTAGTGACGAAGAGGGTGCGAGAGAGGAACAACCCCACATGCTGTGATTGTTGGAAGTACTATCATTAAAGAGTTTATTTCTTTTTTGATTTTCGCAAATCTTGACTCAAATCACGAGGGGTGGCCAGCGATTCCTTTGCTTTCGCCTTTCGCCTTTTCCTTTCCTTTCCTTTTTTTGTAGTTGTTTGTGACCAACTGTCTGCTTGTGCAGCTGGTTGTTCGTGATATCCCGCCAATGAAATGTCGATTCACATCTCCCCTTGATGCCAATCGCTAACTCGTCACGATGACTGTCGTGAAAAGGGAGACGAAAATGTCTCTGACGGACAATACTTTTGCCCTGCGCGTGGACATGTGGGAAATCGGAACACTGATAATCCGTTGTGACGTTGATATCGATCGAGATAGTGATCATGATTTCATAGATACTTTGTTTCAATGTCCACCCCTTTCGCACAAGACTAGGGCCGAATTTCCTTTCCGATCGATAGTCACATTTGATTTAATTTTGGCAACGAAAACCGGGAAAGAAGAACAATCGAGCTCTTGTGAGAATCACGTCCAAGACTCCACGTACTCCCGCTCGGATCGGAACTTGCCTTTGCATCGTCCGCCGACATCTGTTTCACCCCGATTTGTTGACAAGGTTATTGATGGCTCTTTCCAAAATCGCTTGTCCAACTATTCTTGACGTTCCAACTTCAGCCCTAGTCTCGTTTTTGAATATCAAGTGGAAAAAAAAAAAAGCCAGTCATTGTAGCTCCTGGTGGCGATCAAAATGGTGTGGATTTTACTTTTGCAGTTTTGTAATAGGATCTTTTTTTTTTCGACCCTAGGTGGCATGTCGGTAGCGGTCCCCCACCCTTTGACGGATTGACGGCACTGGTAGACGGTTCCTTTTTTTCATTCAATAGGAAGTGTGCAAGTGTATGCATGATGGTTGTACTCGAATTTCAGATGCAGAAGAAGGTTAAAATCTCGGAACCGGCAGCTTGGGCCACGGTACCCTGAAATGATGCAGAGTCTCGTTTAGTTAGAAGGGCGAGGAGAAAGACCGACCTTGGTACCCCACTTTTGAGCTCCATATATGTAGTGCATCCATCATTTTTCCTGTTGCAGGATCGTACTCAATGCAATGCAGCGCCGGACAAGGTGGATGAAGAAAAAGAAATCATTTCCCACAAACAGGCACCCTTTTTTCTTTTCCTTTATTTGCCTTTCTTTTCTTCTTGGAGTAGGTAAGCTCCGATAGAAATAACCGGTGATGTACCTTCCAAGCAGAGATTGGTGATGATGTACCGACGACGTATCAGTGAGGGGGTTTTTTGGAGCTGGAGATATAAGGTACCGACCAGCCAACATGTGAGCATGCTAGCTAGGTAGCTACTAGCTCTGGGTAGCTCAACGTTAGTAGTAGCTTAGCTATCAAACCTTACATGGGACCGAACGCCTCCTCCTCTAGTACAAACCCTCTTTTTCCCTTTCCCTCCCATTTTATTGCAGACGGAGAGCAAATATCTCCGCATTTGATCCCTCGCGCGATCTGAAGCGTGGCTGGTAATCGATCAATTGTCAGAATACTGGTAAGTCAGTTAAGGAGCAGTTAGGAGTATAGTCGCATGCAATAGCATTTATGCTTATGAAGCAACATACCTATTGGTTTGGAGTCCTCGACTTGTCCGGCTTCTGCAGCTTGACCCTAGCCCTGTCGTCTAGCGGCCTTAGCTGTGCGACTATGCAGGCGGGCTAAGAGGTACCTCAACCTTTCAATAACCCTGAGCTATACATACCTCTGTCGTCGACCGTATACTAGCAGGTACAATTATTCGCACACGCACAGATGTACCTGCTCCTGGTTTGACTGTTTTTTTTATTTTTTTTTTTTAAAAAAAAAATTTGAAAAAAAAGGGAGAAAGGGAGAGAGAAGAACAAAGCAGAGGAATTGTTGAACTTCCCTGTAACATCCGAACCCCAAGCCCCCAAACCTTGACCGGGAACATAGGCATGCGCACTACGTACGATGTAAAATACGCCTAGGTTGAGGTTTGATGATACCCAGACCTGCCTAGGGGGCCACTTCAGCTTGGTGTCTGTATGCCAGAAAGGTTAATTATGGTATCGACGACTCAATTAGTTAGCCTTTAACTTCAAGAGAGAGTCGAGTCCTACGCCATCAGGTTAGTTGGGAGGTTAGTGTGCTCTTGTTTTGGGGATACAATGTCAGACGGGTCAGGCTAAGACCCAAGAGGATTCGGTTTGTGAGCACCAAATCTTCCCTTCAGACTAAGTGGTTTTAGCTTGAGTGAGACGAATAGCTTAGCGGCGGAGGACGACGACGATTGGAACGTAGCGAGGTTCCGACGTCCCCGCGAGAGGGAAAGGGAGAGAAGTAAGTACCTATGAAGGTACGAATATATGGTTCAAACGTTACCATTGGACTCTGCATTGATTATTGTTTCTGGTTGAATTGGATGCAGATTGATGTGATTCGATTGGAATTGTAAATGAATGGTTTGAGTTTGACTTACAATTTTAATTCTCCTCATCTCTTAAGCTGCCATACATACCTATACCCAAGAGGTAGTTATCCTTTATACAGCTGATGGTATCTACACCAACCATCGTGAGGTTGTTGAAGTGAAAGTAGCACAACTCACACGCTCACCACAAATAATTTAATTTTCTTTCACTTCGCACTTCCCATTCACATTCAATTCACACTCCGTCACAGATCACGATAAAATAAAAAATATTTCTTCGTTCCTTCGAGCAATTACCGTTCCATAGATCGTTTTTTTTCTTCTCTTCTACCTTGTCGGGTCTTAACTTGACTTTACCTGACCTGACTCTCCCTCTCCCTTTCACCTCACACTTCCTTCTCTCTCTCACCTTCTTCTTCTTCACCATCATCATCAACCATCACCAACCTCATCACCATCATCACTATCATCATCATCTCCATCCCCTTCATCATCATTTCTCTTCGGCTTCATCAATCTTCATCCTGCATTCCCTCTATATTATTCTCCTTGTTCTAATTCTCCCAATCATTCTCCTTCTCATTGTCCCTATCCTAGCTTCTGCTACTGCTACCATTGATACAAGTTTGCTTCCATCTCTACTTCATAGTACGTATATTAAGCCATCACCTACTTCCCTCTCTACTACCTCTCCACACATATACATACCTACCTCTTACCTAAGTACCTACCTACCTCCCTACCTACCTACCTGTTTCCCTCCCTACCTAATTACCTACCTACCTTACCTACTTACTTACCTATCTACTTTATTCCTTTTATTACTTCCCTACTTGCATGAGGTACCTTTGTTTAAGTACCTGGTCGTAGGTGGTTGTAGCTTGCTCTGCTGCTGCTGCTGCTGCTTCTTTCTCCCATCATCCCTGCCGTTTGCCGTTGCTTCTGCTCGCTTTCCCCCCTTCCCTTCTACCCTTCCCTTCCCACCATACCTATCCCTTCTCCCCAACCGGACGAGACCAGGCCTTTGCAGTACCTACCGCATGCTGGTCTAGACTAGAATATTGTACTTTGACATCCACACTACTATCTACTTAACCTACATACGTACCAATACCGTCCGATAGTTCATTGGTTTCGCTTCCCTTCCCATGATACCCTTATCCCTCCCTTATCCCTACTCCTTCTGCTGCTCCTACTACTCTTCCTCCTGATTCTTCTTCTCTATTATTACCTTCATTGCTACCGTTGTTACTCCTTCCTGGCCTTCCCTTTTTTTTCCTCTCTACTTTTAGCTCCTGCTGTACCACTACTGCTGGGGTGTACTGTACTTGCTTGGTCTAGTGCTTTGGTTCTAACGTTTTGCTTGGCTCTTGTAACAGCGTCCCTAACGAACGAACGACACGACCACCCTTTCTTTTACTACTTCACTGTTTTCTCTGCATCATCACTTTCAGCTTCCTATCCTTCCATTCTTTTGTTTTCTCCTTCATCATTACTTTTTTTTCTTTCCTCTAAGCAAAAGTGCGTATTCTCCCGTCCCCACTTCCCATCCTTACGAACGGACGGACGCCATACCGTTCATATCCCTAGCCAGCTCGGTTTCCTAAAGCGTGTGCGGAGTAGGGCTTCACGGATAGACATCCAACCCAACACCTCTCTCCACCAAACATTACATCTCGGTATCTCAGGTAAGCTATTCTAATTCCATCAAACCCATTGGCCTTATCATCAAATCTGCCCTTGATGAACTCGTTTACTTCTGTCCAATTCCTAGCTTGTAAACCTTCCAACTTGAGATTCAGAAATCGCTAATTCGCTTTGGTACCTTACCATCTTGCAGGCTTCACCCCTCAGATATCTATCACCAATGGCAGACTCTAATCCAAACGTCGCCCAACTCCCCTCGGGCGCCTTTGATGGCCCTGGCAATCAGAATCAGGGAGGACCGCCAATGGGGCCTCCTTCCTTGCCACCAGTCATTATCCCCCAAAACACCAACCCAATTCCCACCGCGATCACGTCGCCCATGTCGGCTTCTGTTACCTCTCCCACCTCTGCTGGTGGGTTTGTTCGCAGGGCTGCCCCGGAACCTAACAAGCGTGCTCTCTATGTTGGGGGGTTGGATCCCCGCGTAACAGACGATATCCTTCGTCAGATCTTCGAGACAACCGGTCATGTCGTCAGCGTAAAGATAATACCGGACAAAAACGTAAGCATTGCGCGCCATTCTAGCTATGATATATTTTCAATTGGATAGTCCAAAGCAGCGCTTTGGACTGATCTTTGTGAATAAGGCCATTGCTTAGAACACATCGCCCATTGGGCGATACTCGTGCCTTTGTCAACTTGACGATGAGAACGGAGCTAACAGATTTCGGTAGGCAAAGGGGTTCAATTATGGTTTTGTAGAGTACGATGATCCTGGTGCTGCCGAGCGGGCAATGCAAACCTTGAACGGTCGTCGTGTACACCAATCCGTATGTCACACCCCGCGTCCATCCCCATCAATATGACAACTAAAACATAAATTATAGGAAATAAGAGTCAACTGGGCATACCAGTCCAGCCAGGCTGCCAAGGAGGATACATCTCATCATTTTCACATCTTTGTTGGAGACTTGTCGAATGAGGTCAATGACGAGCTTCTCCAACAAGCCTTCACAACATTTGGCACAATCTCCGAAGCCCGCGTCATGTGGGATATGAAAACCGGTCGATCTCGTGGATATGGGTTTGTTGCCTATCGTGAACGTTCTGATGCTGAAAAGGCCTTGTCTGCGATGGACGGAGAGTGGTTGGGATCTCGTGCTATCAGGTGTAACTGGGCCAACCAGAAGGGCCAACCATCTATCTCCCAACAGAGTCAGATGGCTCAGATGGGAATGACACCCACTACTCCCTTTGGCCACCACCATTTCCCCACTCATGGAATTCAGAGCTATGATATGATTGTCCAACAGACTCCACAATGGCAAACCACTGTCTACGTTGGCAACCTGACCCCATACACCACTCAAAATGATCTCCTTCCCTTGTTCCAGAATTTCGGGTACATCGTTGAGACCCGATTCCAGGCAGATAGAGGGTTTGCTTTCATCAAGATGGATACACACGAAAACGCAGCCATGGCGATTTGTCAACTTAGCGGGTACAACGTCAATGGGAGGCCGCTGAAGTGCAGTGTATGTGAATCTAAACCTTTCTATACCCCTGCTGCCTTCAAATACTAACAAACTGGAAAAATGAATAGTGGGGTAAGGACCGTCCACCAACCGGACAATTTGACGGGTATTCCCCTCAGGGAGGTCCGCAGACTCCTCAGTTCCCCAACTCGCCTTTCAGTAATTTTCCACAGTATGGTGGACCAGGTGGACCCATGAGTCCTCAAGGCGGACCAAACTCGGCTAGTGCTCATCCAACTTCACCATCTCAGGGTCGTTGGATGGACGGTAACAACCAAGGCTTCAATAGTCCTCATGGCCCTCCACAAGGATACAATCAACAAGGTTTCGGTCGTGGGCAAGGTACTGCCGGCCAAGCTGGAAATCAACCTGGCTGGAACAACAACAATAACAACAACTCCGGACAAGGAGGATTCACCGGTAACGGGTTCCAACAATCCGGGTTCCAACAGCCTCAGCAACAGCAGCAATAGATTGTTGGTGCCCTCGGACCACTTTCGAAACTAGTTTGTTACTATGCATCGACTTACAACTAACCTCTTTTATTTTTTATTTTTTTTCTTCCACGATCAATACTTTTTCGATGCTGAACGACGAAATCAGTATATAACGGGTTAATTTCTTAGCGAAGGACAAAAACTGTTACATGAGCTTAGTTTTTTTTTACGCTCTGCTTTCCTGCTTTTCTTTCTTTTTCTTCAGCAAATGTTATTATCAAAATACTGTTTTTTTCCCTTTATTTCCTTTTCAATTACAGGCATTTGCATCTGTATGGGACGTTTCGGCAGACGCACATGACAACGGCGAGGCTAAAATCAAAATGACGGCATTTGTCCTGGGTTTTTCTTTATTTACAGCTTTCCCCTTTACCTCTCCCTTCCCTCCTACTTTTAATAGCGTTACAAAATTTCATATCGTGGGTTCATTACGTTTCATTCCCAAATTGCCTTTCATTATGGACAACGGTGTTATCTTTTTCCTTACCTCGAAGATGCGTGTGAAGAGATGCATTCTCCTTTTTTCTCGATCTCTTTCTAACGGCCGTCCATTGCATGAAACTAAAAATGAATTTCTGATTGTTTTTCTATAAAAAAAGAAGAGAGGCTTTTTTCCTGTCCTTTACTGTTCCAGAGCCCACTAGGAGCTCTTTTAACCGTTCCCTTTTCTACTACTACACTTTTTTACTACTACCTCTCCTACTTTCCCCTACTTTTCAAACTGTTAATATTAACCATGTGCGTTCTTTCAAGCCTCTCTCCTAAACCCTAACCTCTCTTACTGTCTTTGAATAGCGGAGAAAGTATGCATATACCTCGCTGTCTTTTAAACATCCCCTCTTCAAGATTCATCCATTAAACCTCTATACTCTCCTTGTTATTTCCTCCGTTTGTGGCCTTTAGTGGCCATAATAATCATGATTAACATTAGCGTACAGTACTTTATTCTATTCCATTTATACTATTTCTAATTGTTCCTCCTTTCATTCGACTAGAATGAAAACTTTCGTGCTTACTTTCATAGTTCGGTGGTCTGCCTGATCTTAATATCCCAGGAGTACTTGCCTTTCTCGTTTCTTCTGGATTTATATTCGTATCGATCCAGCTAAAATGTGTGTTTTATATTATAAGACATCCTACACCTTTCCAACGTTCGGCGTACGTTTCATATTTCGATCTCTATACCCTTGTGAGCTACCTTTTGGATTGCATATTGTTTACGAGTGGCCATCTTCCAGAATTGTCTCCGCCAGAGCTGTCACTTATAGTTTAGTGTTTACATTATGGTTTATAATGAATGCATACCCGATTGGATACCCAAAAACCCAAATGCCGGTTCCCAAAATCTCAGGTAACCACCTAACCTATTTGAATATCGAGAAGCATGGCAATTATATTACCCAACCCTTCGGCAAACCTAGGAGCTCCTAGCGGACTGACTATAGTATCTGCAGCTCCAGTACACGTGTATCCTTGTTTAATGGGACTTTCCAGTCCAACGGAAATGGGGTTTTCTCCGTAACCATGGTTCCCGAACCAATACCGTCCGAATCCGAAGCCACTTATTGTACAAGGGAGAAAAAAAAAAAAAGAGGCACGAGACCTTAATTGGGCAGCGAATCGGATATCTCCAGCGGATTGCTCATGGATGTGATAGGATTCTATCACTCTGCATCACTTTTTTTTTATAAGAAAAAAAATGTATTGCCGGCTGCTGATTACTATATTGGGCATAGAAAGCTGAGAATTTAGAAATATCGGGACACGAGTTTTAAGATATGACATGGGAACCTTTTTACGCCACCGTGTGTGTTTTTCTCTTTGGAGTGATTCGATTGTAATAATTACAATCGTATAAACCTGAGTCAGTCCACTAAAGTAATAGTATGATTGGTGGACGCTGGGAATCTATTGCCACATTCAACCTTTACGCCTCGAACTAAATATATATCCCATGCTCCTATTGAATATAAAAGCGAGGCTATCGCTATTTTATGCACGCTGATTAATGCAATGTGCTCGTCGGTGAAAGAAAGAAAGAAAGTGGAAATATAAATGTGATCGAGACCATCAATTGGATGAAACGAACATTTTGCCACGAAACTCGAAAAGAAATTCCAAGACATTGGGCACAGCCAGTCATGTCCCTTGTGGGACTTCTAGGGTCTCTAGCAGCCGTATTCCTCGCCTTAACTTTTGTACAGAAAAGTCACAGGCTATTTCATATATCGAAGAGCGTGAGATGTCGCGGTTTACAATCCTCTATCGGGAAGACGATCATTACCTGTAATGAAAAATACAACAATGTGACCGTGTTGGTAGTGATCTTCCTAGATGTTCGCCGCACGCTGTTGTCAGGTGCGGCGATCGATCGATCTTTGATCTACGTTTTGGGGGGGTTTCATGCCGCAAATTAAGCGGGATTGATGAGGTGGGCTGCAGATAAAGGGCAATCATATATCGTACGAGGAGTAACCTGGGGTTTCGGATTTTTTGACTCCGCAGATGGGTCTGAATTATACCTGGAATTTACTTGATTACAGCCGCTACATACGCTTGAGATGTCACGTATAGCCCTAAATGATGTTTGTTGGCTTTGAACTCGAATGAAGTTTTGTATCGTGTATGGGCTGGTTGACTAATCCTTCGAACAGCCATGACCGATACGAGGTACTTGCGAATACTTCGTTCGCAAGATGCCAGAGTATTTAATTGTCTCGCAATTTTTGTTGCAATGTTTATTAACTATAAGACATTAATTTCATCTTGATCTTTGAATACGATTTTGAAATTAGTAAAACATCTTAGTAAAAGATGTTAAATATATAGAGACCATATATATACACAAAAACCTCCTTTAAGCCGCCTTCATTGACCATTGGATCTATACTCGGACATAATACCGACAGTTAGTTGCTTCTTTCGATACTACAGCATACTTTTCAATGACTCTGAAAAGGTTGGCTTCCGCCTATCAACCTTCTCGCCGTTATCGACTCGTACGCGGATCAAAGCGTCTTGCATAACACTGGCCAATAACGTCCCATCTGCGCTCCATATCCTCGACCTAATCAGCCCACGTCCTTCACTTGCGCTATCACCGACTTGTTCCAATATCGTCCATGATGACGAATTATCTTCTTCTTCTCCTTCATTGGTGTTTGAGAAGAGGAGTTTGTCGGGGTTGGCGTGGAAAATGAGGGTGTGCGAGAGAGAGCCTGTGTGGATTATATTGTCGCTGGCGTTGTGGGGACCTGTGACGGCGAACATGCCGTTTCTGTCTGATGCGTACTGTGGTTTTGTTTTGTCGTGTCTCATGTTTTAGAACGGGTTTGTGGGAGGTGAAAGGTGGCAACTTGCATGATCATATTTTGAAGGGAAAGGAGGATGAGGGGAGATCGGGGGAGGACTTACGATGTGGGTACATATACTTAAACATGATTGTTCCTCCGAAGGGAACGGGCCTACGGGCTTGTATATCTGTACCTGTATTTATTAAAAAACAAGAATTGTAAGTTAAACTTCTAAACCAACTGCGACAAGGATCGGGGGATTTCCTTTTGGAGTGTAAATAAACCATTCCACAAGCTATCTGCAGTCATAGTTTTGGGGTGGGTGGGCTCCTGCAGATACTGTGTTACGCCAACATACCTTTCGATACTCGTGCAGAGGTCTCGATCTATTCTCTTCTTCCACATCGACCTTCCTAAGATCGACGGCCGTGTAGAATGATCGCATACCCTTACGCTTTGTAAACTCGATCCAGCTGTTATTTTCCTCCCCACCGTTTCACTATATTAGAACAGAACTATTTCGGGAAAGTTGTATTTTAGGGCCGGAATAGTTTTCGTACCTAGGAACATCGACTGCCGGGGCAATCTCTCGTCCCCTCGGGTTCGATACCCACTGCTTCAACTCCTTCGGCGGCGGAACCTGACTTTCTAGTCCGCGTGGTTCCACAGTTTTGAAAGATACAGTGGCGATGAATATGACCTCTGAATCGAGCGGACGGGGGTCCGTGGGACTCGGTTGTCTGACCTGGACATTTCTTGTGCAATATGTTTTCCCTTGTCGGAGGGTTTCTACGGTGTATATAAACGGTATTTTTGGCTTTCCGCCTACGAGGAAGTGACCGGTTATGCTCTGTAAATTTTGTAAAACAAACGGAAGAGAATTGGGTAGAGGTTGTTATTATATCATATCATATCATATCTCGAATTCTCGAATTTTTGAAGCAAAACACGATGGATATAATGGGATCAATGCAATGGGGTCTACGAAGCAAATACGGAAATCCGAGAAGAGCATTCGAAATGTTGGATTTGGTGGTGCAAATGTGTTGTACGACGATAAGCAAAGAGACCACCGTCCCTTGTGCTCGTTCGCAAAGTGTAATTTGGATGTTTTGAAACACATTTTTGGGCAATTGGGGCGCGCGTGCGGGGTGGAACATACATGGCAATAGAACGATTTATCGACGGTCTTGTATGCCGCATACGCCGATTGACCTAGCAAATGACCCCCATAGACTCCATAAATTGGTACGAAAGCTGGTCCCTGTTTTTTTTGTTTGTTCAATGCGAACGGAGACACATGAGGTTTAGTGATATTGGCCAGACCGTCCCCGCAGTTCTCGTTCGTGTTTTCCTAGGAAAACCCCCCCAGCGCAGCTCCTTTTCCTTTTTGTTAGGCTTCGGTGACACCGAAGCCAACGATTGTTGCCCGCAGGAATAGCGGCAGGGGGGATTCTTTCCAAAGAGAGGGTTAGGAGGAGAACGGTTGAAACATACAGTTGATTTAAACACCCTCCTGCCTCCTGTTGGTGCTGCGTCATTGATATTGCTCGACGTGGGCTTAATATCCGGCGGTGATGATATCATAACCTCCTGCAGAGCCATCGATTCTACGAATGTAGCGGGAGGAGCCATGTTTTAGCTTCTATTTGTTCTTTTTTCTTCTTCTCTTTCTCTTCCACTTTTATGTTTTATCCAAAGCAAGGTAGATCCGGTCGAAGCGATTGAGATTGCGGACGGGCCGGGCCAACCTGCAGCCCCAATTGATCCAAAATTATATATCGGGTATTCGTCGAAGAGGGATTGGAAGAGAAGTGCGAGTGATATCCAAGACGACTCGGTGAACCGAAATGGAGGTTTATTTCTGAAGTTTAACTTCGCTTTTTTTGTTCTCCCGCCTTCCGCAACGGCAATTGGGAAGGTGTCGCCTTAAACTGCTAACCACTTGGCCATTTGCTACATTTATCGTATAGAGTATGGAGGTATGCGCCTCGGACAAGAAATACCAAGCTGTGACATGACAGCCACTTTGTACCCTCGGTTCAAATTCCCATCGGCTATCGAATTGCCAAAGACACGAGACAAAATGTTCATCCATTTTCTAACATGGCTATTTCCACTATTTCAACAGTCCCTCTCCTCCTCTTTCGCGGAGTTTACAGTTGGATGAGAAGATGTTTAAATTTGTATGTATCATGTTTGGGCTTACTACAGGGCTTGAGAGGATATGTTTGGTCCAGTCTAGTTCAGTCCATACATATACGGCACGGTTACATATGATTCGAAGTTGCAATTGACAGCCCGACATGACAGCCCGTCAGATCTCTTTATTTATCAAAATTGCAAATATTACAGAGCTGAATTATCTTATTTACCTCCGAGCAGGGTAAGAAGATACGTGATAATACAATATTAATAACCTTTTTTCTTTCTTCCGGGTATCGAAAAATCTGTTTTTTTCAAGCCTCAGTAAGATTAGAAAATAACGTGAGATCTAATATCTTATATTCCGTTATGGCTAATTTTGGGGAGGATGTTTGGATGAAATGACATTATAATTTTGGAACCGTTCATCTGCCATTTGCTCGGACCAAGCCTCAGCGAGTTTACCAAACAGATCGAGAGTCCCTGACTTCAAGGGTTTGTCTAAAAGGAGACAAAGCTCGTCCCTTCACAGCTTTTATTCTCGAAGTGTGGGGGGGGGGAGGGGAAGGATGAAGGGGGGAAAAGCAGCGACCCGGGGCCAAAAAACCTCACGTTCCAATGCGACGGCATATCCAGACCGTCGGGATCCCAATTGAAAACCCCAATTTCCATGGATCCCGCTCGCGAACTGAACATTTCATACAGATGCTCAAAGCTTCTGCACATCACCATTGTCCTTTTCAAATAAAATAGAAGAAAAAAGTAATTTAATTGAATTCCCGCGGATGCTTTTTTCATGTACGAATTCTTTTTTGTTTTCGTGAATGTCCCCCGAACCAATGTCATTCCGTGCCGGGACATCCGTAACATCCACCCAGGTGGCTTTTCTGTCCAAGCATGGACCTTGATCTGGCTCTTTTATCCACTTCCTTTTTTCTTTTCGTTTTCGCCAAAATCAAAAAAAAAAAAAAAAAAAAAAAAAAAACTTCAACTATCCTTGTTTCCCATTTTCGATTTCCCAGCCGTGGGGCTTGGAGAATAACTAATAGCCACGCACGTTTTTTTTCCCACCATGGTTTACTATAATTGTTTTTTTCTCTCAGAGGTTGTCGTACACGCAGCAATCCCCCTAGTTAGATCGTGGATATAGGGATTACTCTTCCGGGCCGGGGGGGGGTCTAACTATAATCGACAGGACTTGCTAAAAGTCACTGGAAGACGGGATGTTCCAAAACAACCAACATCATGTCAGAAAGTAAGAAAGAGAGTCTCAAGTCTGAAAGCCTAAATTCATTCCCGTTAAATGCAAGGGAGCTGCAAAGTCCTTGTTAGAACGGCGGTAATGTATCGAGTTTCGAGGGTCGAGGGGGCACCTGGCCTAGACCTGCAGGTTGAGCACAAGGATATAACCTCGACGATTGATAGTAAAGAATGAACCAAAAGTACCATAACCCAGTAGATCAGTTTAAGATCTGGGTCACATGTGTATATACTTCCTTACTTACATAGTACTTTAGTACCTACCTACCTAAAGAGAGATATTGACAATTAAAGGTCTGAGCGGCGTTAAGGAATGAAACGTCTCTATGTACGAAGGGACCTTGTAAGTTATACGTAGGATCACGAGAAGCGGCTATAATTAAGGAACGGGATGCTCCATATAGGTTCTCCTTCTCCTTCTCCTACATTTTCGGCATCTCAACAGAAAACGGAATATATTCTGATTAGGAGCAATTTTTAGGAGCCCTTTTAGGTTTTTTCCCCAGCGAGGTTTGCCTATTTATAATGTGCATTTTTGTAATAGGGTAGTATGTGTAAAATCCTTTCCCGATCCCGCATGATGCCTACATATGGACTTACATACACAGTACCGGTCCTACGTAAAAGAAAGAGAAGAGGAAAAAAAAGAATTATGGAGGAGGAGGAATAGTGCTATGTTCCTGCCCTTTTCATCCTGCATTGCTCGGAAAACCCCTCCTCTCCTCTCCTCGTATACCCCACCTTTGCGTTCCTAAAAAGGTTTTTAAGACATCACCAATTGTGCCTCGTTTCCTTGTTTGCCTTTGAATATGGGAATGTGGTGTGCGTGCGTGCGTGTGTGAAATCGCGAGTGAAGGAGCTTAGCTAGAGAGGGTTGAGAGACATATGTAGCAGAGAGAAAGAGAGAGAGAGAGAGGGGGGCGTCTCTTTCCCCCCCTCCCTTTGCTTCTCTATCCTATGTATCCTATCCTATCCTATCCTATCATATCTATATCTTCGTTTCTTTTTCTACATTCTTGGATCGCTTAAACCATTTCGACATCCTTGCTTGGCGACTCTCTTTTTTCTCTCTCTTTCTTTCCATGGGCCGCCGTGATTGCATAAAAAAACGACAACCGATTTCCGTGCAGAGCATATAATTTTTTTCCTTTTTGACTGGGTTCACGAGTGATCCTCTTAATCGGGAAGATATGTGAAGGATCGATATTCAAAAAAAAAAAAAAAAGTTCGAAGTAAGGCCATTCTCACGCTCATTAGCCCGCGTTCGTCTAGATTTTAGTACAATTATACTTCACAAGTAATAATATTAGTTTCGCTAGTAGTAAGTACTAATCGAAGGGGAAAATGCGACTAAAGTAACCAACCCGCTGCACTCGACCCCCCGAAAAAGCAAGCTCCGCAGTGGGTATTGGGCCAAAAGTCCGCTCGGGACTATAAGCAGTATATGGTTTCCAGAAGCGAATGAGATTTCCTGAATCTGTTAAAAGAGGGTCCCATCGTAGATCTTATAGCGCAGTTACAAACAAACATATAATGCATAGTGTATATGTAATAAGGGGGCGGCAGTGAAGGAAAACACTTTAAGATATTAGGAAGGACGAAGCTTGATATCAAAGCGTGATATAACATTATTTGGGACTATAAAACATCTTTAAACGTGATCTTTAGTAACGTGGAGAGAAAAAAAAGGGAAACGAGGACAAGAGATCTTTAAAAGAGGCTTAAACCCGAAACGAATCAGGAAGGTATCGCTCGCTTTTGCTTCTTTTCCAGATGGTCATTAGTTATACTACTATCCTTTCTTTTTGTGATTTCATTCTATTCTTTCTTGATTTATTATACATGTGCGCTGAGATTGAAACTGAAGATGTCACCTCCAATGAATATCGAACGAATGCACATGCTTCCTTTTTGTGAACGATGACCCTCTTTTTTTTTTTATCTCCTTCGTTTAGTCAGATGTCTATGAGATGAAGAATGAGACCGAACGAAAAAAAAAGACATCGAGAACGAGAAATTTGTAATCAGATAGAATATTAAAGATTCTCTTGAATTCGTAAAAAGCAAAATGTGCCACTTCTTTCGCACCTGTATATGTCATGTATAAAAAATGAAAATGAAAAAATAAAAAAATAATTAGCCGCGGAGAAAATGTTTTGTAGTTTGGTAAAGAACAAAGAGAACATGATCCCGCCCATTTCCTTTGCTCCCATTCTTGAACTAAAATATTTCGAATACAATAGGAAGTATAGTTCCCCTCCATGTGGTAGTAGTAATAAAATACAATATTTGTATGTGCAAATAGCGAAGACAGATCGTCCTGCAGATAGAATGAAAAAAACACAAGCAAGATAGTCACATCGTGCCCCGCCCCAGTTTGGAAAATAATAAGTAGATATAACGTAAAGACGAAGTGAAAAAAAAAGCCCCTGTATAGAACGCCGCTTGCCATGCCCAATCGCGAAAAAAAAAAGTAGTAGAAACATATCGTGTATGTATTCAATCTCTGTAGCTAAAAAGAGAGATACGAAGAAAAAAGAGGGGCAAGAAGGACGACCAAGCTATTATAATCGAAATCATAGGAGCAAGTGTATTGCGAAAACGCCATAGAGAGCTGCTTACAGCCGATTTTGCAAAAGGAAATCAAGAAGTGTAAGACATAGAAACGCCATTCACAAAAAACAAGACAAGACGGAAAAAAGGAAAGAAAAGCCGTGGATATCAAAAAGAAAAACCAGAGAAACAAAAAAGCGAAATCAAAGCCTTATGGCTCAAAGCTTGGTGGGAGACTCCAGTTGGTGGATTGTGGCCAATATTCAGTCTGCATGTATGGAACGGGTCCTTGTCTGTACTCGTTCCTAGCCTTAGTAAGAGGTTGATATTGCATCTGGTCTTGGCCAAGATGCTGGGCTTCGGTGCTCTGCTGAGGTACCAAAAGGGCCGACACGGTTCTAACAGGCCGGTATGGAGATTCTCGGCTTGTAAGGAAGATGGATGGAGAGTTGTTGCTATAGGCAGTTGGGGAGTTGTTGCTTGAGCTGAGAGGATATGGCGAAGTATGTCGGCTGGTAGGGTATGGAGCGAGGCTGATGCCGTTTACTGGTGCTTGGGTGGCACTGGTGCTAGCTATGGGGAGCTGAGCCGTTGGATGATTCCAAGAGCTAGTGGCTGTTTGAGGGGGAGTCCATACGGAAGAGGGAGATGGGTATACGGTCGACATCGCCCTGGTGGTAGGGTAGTATGGCTGCACTTGAGGTTGAAGAGCTGCAGGTGGAGTGGGCATTGGTGCGTTTGGGTTGATTGGTGGTTGTGAAGCGTATGGATTTGGCGATGGGGTTGGGATCGTCAAAGTAGGTGGATACTGTGCCAACATGGTGGAAGATGATGGACCAGATCTCGAAAGGCGCTTAGCAGGTGGATGCATGCCGGTATCCTCTAATGTACGCTTCCTGCTCGACGATTCAAGTCTATCAAAATCTTCGCGGTATCGCTGCAAGAGCGAGGTGTTTTTGGGTGAAACATTAGCAACTGGAAGGGTCGGCAATGCTGGCGGATAAGCGGAGCTAGGCGAGTGCGAGCTTCCGTATGGTGGCGAAGCGTGATTCGAATGAGGTGGCGATGGGAGCGATGGCGGGACGGTGCTGGTAGGCGTAATAGAGGAGAATTGATGAGACGGGCTCAGCTTTGGGATACATCGAGCACGATCCCAGTATTCTCCAAACTTGCCAAGCTTGACATGCCAGTCTTGCCATTCCTCTGCAGAAGTGAATAAGCTATATCTCATGTTGCTGAGGAACTCCACCTCCATAACGTGGATTTCCCCAACAGTGATGCCAGAAACCTCTGCCCAGGTCTTGTTGGTGTATGTATTGTCGTCCAGGAACTTGTTGCCAAGCATCAGGGCGACTGTGAGCAAGCGATACTCGCTTCCAACCTTTCCCTTCACAGAGGGATTCAACTTCTTGAGGCGATAAATGAACAACAGGGCCAAAAGGATGACATTCTGGGAAACTTGCGTAGTCGAGAGGATGGTAGCGACCCATTTTTTAAAGGACATCGACGGAACTGCATCCTCAATCAGAGGTGTGGTTGGAAGGACCTTGGTTACCGATGAAGCAACCTTTGCGAGATCGTGGGACGATTCAAACCAGAACAGACAAGTAATCTAAAGAAGAAGGAAAAACAAAAAAAGAGTTGGTTAGTGTTTAACAGAAGATACTAATATCCTGAGTTAGTACAAACCTGAGCTGCGAATTCGGCCAAGCTGCCCTTGCTTGAATTGATCGAAGCTGGGACCGTCAATGGTGGGACGGCTGTCGAAGATCTTCTACCCCGCGACGAACCTTCAACTTGCTGAGCAAACGATCCTCGTCTTGACGGTGGAGAAGCTTTCCTCTTGACTATCTCCTGCGACTGTGAAGACGACCTGAAACATTCCGACATGCTTGGTATCGATGATTGAGAATGGTCGTATTGTCGATATTGACTCCTGGAGTTCTGGACGTTCCCACTAGTCGGAAGAAGTGCCGTCGAATAGTCCACCGAATGGCTGCTCATGGTGCCCTCGGATGGAGGCGTTCTTAGAGATTCCCGTGAGCTGTATCTTGACGACAATGTGCAGGATGAGCTTGGAGAAGGGATGGAGAAGATGCGAGCCGATTCGTTTGTCGCCCTGGCATAGTAGTCTGTCGACCTTGTCCGGCTGTCAACCGAGCCGTATGCTGAGTTTCTGCGGCCAGCGTGGAGGGGAAACGGGGGTATGGAGTCTTGAGGATATGGTATTGTGGAATTCATTGTGAAATTAGCAACTCCGAGCATTAGAAAGAATCTGCTCAGGGCCTTGGCTGCCGCCTCTATAAATTAGAGTATATATGTGTGATGCGTATAGAGTATAGTTTCCGAATATAGAGGAAAGGGGAATTAAAGGGAAGAGAAGGGAAAAAAAGGGAGACAATTAGTGTCGATATTGATAGTCTGTCTTCATATATTGCGGGAGAAGATCCGTATGAGACGTCGGATAGAGTTGTGAAAGGTTAGACCGGTTTTAGTGGTATATGTCGGTTCTTTGTTCGAATTTAAGGGGGGGGTCGGTCCTTTGAAGCAAGATATGAGTAGTATATATATGTATATACTGGCTTCAAGAGTGGAATCCTGTAGTCAGAGTGGTAGTAGAAGAACACCGATATATAGATATAATCTGTTTCACCAGTCAAGTGAATGATGGCAAAACAAGAGCAACCGATAGAGGAAACTGGTGTGAAGAGAGAAATAAAGAATAAAAAAAAGGCAAGCCAGTTAACGTTCCAGAGATCCGGTTTCGAAGGTAGTTCCTTTTTTTAAGTTTGTGGAGGTTGATTTGGTATTTAGGAGAAACGAAAGGCAGAGTGTATATATGGACGGCACGGGAATAAAGTAGAAGAGAGAAAGGGATAAAAAGAATACGGAATTGTCGGATAACCAGAAGGATATAATAGGATAGGAGGTCTGGTATAACAGAGTTTGCCCTGTAGGTTCCCTGCGTGTGTAATTATAAATTGATCGATGATGCTTTGTTTAAGTTGAAGCTGCTGGGGAACGTTCCAATGCAATCCGTCCGATGTCGATTCGTTAATTAACCAAGACCAGCAAGGTTTCGTGTTGTATTTTCTTAGCAATTGCAGATTTGTCCTTTGATTGAATCGAATTGATTGATTGACTGGTTGATCGGTTTAATCAGAAGAGGTTGAAGTTGAATTGAGGTGGTTATAGTGTATATATAATAGTATCTGGCCGAAGACGCACGAGGTTGTTTTTTTTTAGTGAATATTAATACTCTCTCTTTCACTTCTTATTCTTCTTCTGAATCTTCTCCTTGTTTGTATTAATAGGCAGGGCAGTCAGGCAGGATGAATGGATTCAGGCTGAGGGCTGTCGATGATCTGATCTGATCTGATGGGCTGAAAGTTAGGAGATATGTAAAAGGCAATGTACACATACCATTAGGAATTGCTTCGTGGTGGTGATGACTTCACAGAGGCCGGCTCCACGGATATATATCAAACTGCTCAGGACATCCATATAAGTCACTAACACGAACCAGACTAGCTTCGAACACGCAAGGTCGTCAAACTTCAGGTGGGCTGCAATTATGTACGTATGTACCTGTGTATTAACATTTCCCAACTTCCCAGGGCTAAGTTACATGTCCTGTGCCTACATCTGGACGTACATAAATACCGGGGTATCGTCCCCGGAATGCGAAAAAGAAACTTCACAAGGAATAAAGCCAAAGTCAAAAGCAACCACTTAAAACGAACAAACTTTTTTTTGTCTGGCTGACAGTCCCTTTAGTTCGTTCTGCTAAATGCAAAAAGAGGCGCTGGTTGAAAACGGGTTAGTGCCGGTTTGGGTCAGGTCAGTCCGTCGGTCTTGAAGCTAGATAGTTGAATGGACCGCCCGATCTCTAAAAAAAACCATATTATTTACCATGTAAGTACAGAATGACTTACAATCCTGCCTGTTAAGATGTTGGATGTCGCATGTAATCGTAGTCGAAGTCGTAGTCGTAGTCGTAGTCGGAGACCTGCATATCATATCCTTTTTGTCCTCTCCGCCCCCCCCCCGTTTTTCTTCATAGTATTGGATTATACATTTACACACGGACCCAATCAAGATCTCTTCGCTCCCACGCAAGGTGGATCTTCCAGTCGAAGAGATTTACCGTGAGATGCGAATCTCAAATCGAGGAACATGAAATAATAATTAAAAAAAATAAAACAAAAAATTTGAAAAAAATGAAAAATGAGAAAATAGAGTGAGCTGGTAGATCTTCAAGTACCATCCCGGTCTTCACTCTGATTGGCGGCCTCTTTCTTTCCCCTCCCTCTTTTTCTTTTATGAAATCTCCATTCATACCGCTTCGTATGTATGTAATGTGTGTAATATGACCTCGTTTTTGTTGCAACCATGTTAAACTCTGGCTCGACTTGTATGATGAACCCAAGCTGAGAGAAATAATTCCCAAGCGGAAACCTGAGAGTTTCAGAGCGTAATAATCCCACATCGGCGGCCGGAGTTCACGACGAACACGGTAATTATGGACGAGCGCTCCCCCCCCGGTAGCCCAAAGACAAACGTTGCGTTTCTCGTTGAACTTCCCAGTTCAATCGGTTGCAACTTGCAAGGTCATTCTGATCATTTCTCGTTCGATGAGACCTGACTACCTCCTCGTGCCAGGCAAAGCCAGTGCTAATCAATCCTATCGCGAATATGTATAATTAGCCCACACACATAGCCCATAGCGAGGGCCTGTTAATAACTTAGCCCATCTCTGAGGCAGGAGTTGGATGGAGGTGTGGTCCGAATGGGAAGTCAAAGTGGGTATTGGATTAGTTTCCATGCCGTGCCGTGGGGATTCTAACCGACCGGGGTCAAGGAAAGGATTGGGGTGGAGGTCTGGAATGTCCTCTTTCTTCTTCTCCTTATTTCCTCACAAAAGAGATCATGCTGCTGGAACTAGCAGCCTCCAAAGGCTCCCTTGGCTGGCTGGCTGGCTGGCTGGCTCGACCCTGGCCAAGTTACGCATTTTTCGAGGTCTTGAGACACACGCTTATTAGTTTACCACCAAGTAAATCATCCACTGCTTCGAGGCGGTGGTCAACGTGCATAAAAACGATACACTGGCTAAGGCGTAAGAAAGAAACTAACTGCACCGATTTGGTTATATTTACATGTACATGTACTTACACCTATACTTATACTGGAAACATACATTTATATCCCCCATCGGCTTCAATACGCAGAAAATGTACATGGAACTTCCGGCATATCCAAGCCTCCTCCTTACGTTCCTTGACTTCTAGTCAGTACATACATTTGCTCAAAATACTGGGTCAAGCTACTACTTGTGGCCATCTCGTTCCGTCCTGGATAGCTGCCTCAGAGATATGACCAATCTCGAATGCCACAAGTGGGACAGGGCGCGCGACATGGTTAAAGATGCTTGGACGGACCTGTACATAATAAGATGTTGTAAGGGTTGGGCTTGCGTGAAGTCGAAAAGATTTGGAAAAATGAAATAAAAAGCCACTAACAATGGGAAAAAAGGATTTTAAGGAAATCTTCCCACAGACCCTGTTTCTGGAAAAAGCAGGATACATACATACTTGCGTCTTGCTTGCAACAAAAAGTCCTCTTTTGTTTTTTACCATTATCAGACCAATCGCCGTAAGTGCCCACAATCTCACCGTTGATTCTGTGTCCGGGGCCGGACATGCTGAGTTGGTTAGGTGTGATAATTGAACCTCACTCTCGATTCGCCAAGTAACGCAATAACCACAAGCAGGGGAGAGATAAGTAATGCATACAAAACTTGGAGAAAAAAAGGAAGTATCACTCGTGAGCTGCTGTGAAGGCACTCTTCTTCTCGCCAGGGAAGGATGCGCTCTCCGTCGTGTGTGTCATGATGCTTGCGTGTGGGAACCTAGGGAAGCCACGGCCGCCAAATCAGACAACGTCCTCTTGTCGATGGCGGGGGAGCAAAATACGAATGCAAAGGAGACATTAAGAAAAATAAGAAAAATAAGAAAAAAAACAAGGGTAACGAAACCATACAGAGAAGGAAAACCAGCTTTTCTGATGGAGCTAAAAGCGACATTTTGTTGCAGTTGTGTGGGTGGGTACATTACGCATATTACGGATCGAACATGTAATGTTGAGCGCTCGTCGTCGACGACTGAAAAAATGCAGGCATGTTCCTCCAAGTCGTCGAATACAGGGGTGAAATTTTACCTTTCTAGCCTTTCTGTCTCATGCAACTTCCAATGCACCCTTGGCGGTGGATGGACACACAAATGTTCACAAGCGAAAAGGCCGTCTAGCCTCCTTTGAAGGGCAAAAAAGGAGAGAACGAAGAAGCATGGGGGTATGGATGCATAACTTTGCCTTGAACTCCTCTAAGCTTTTTTCGATCGTGCAGGGCATCAAAGGCCCGACAAAATGTCCCACTAACGCAGACATTATTAGAGGAAGGGTTGCAAGGGGTCCTCACTCGTGATTTTAGGACCCAGCAAAAGAGGCCGAATAAATTTGCTTTGCAATTTCAGTTTAGAAGCCTGGCCGCTTGCCGTCGTTCAGGCCGAGACGACATCGATGCGGATAGAAGGAATGTGGAACGAAACCCCAACAATGAATGTCGAATAGGATCCGGCCGTAGCAGCCCCATCCAGCCAATAGCCTGACGAGCGTGTCAACAGACACCAGTCTCCCGCCAGAATCATAACCCTCTTGCTCCTTGTGCAAACCAAAGTCTCCTAAAAGACCCAGCCGTGTTGTTTGTCACACAGGCATTCTATCAAGCAGGTGGCCGATGATTGGCCGTCCTGACTTTCGATGTCCTAAACCTCGAACGTGATCTCCTCACTCGGGTGGAGGCATTTTTCTTTTCTTCCTGACGTGGGTTCCGGGTGGGTGTTGCAGCGAGTTAATACATAGCATGGAGCTAGCTAGGAACAACGGTGCATAACTTCGTCGTAGACCTCTCTCAAATGTGGAGATGGCCTGTATCTTCGTCGATATTTGCGTCCGAGTACCTGTCTTGGGAACTGTTACCTTTTGTTACCTTCCCACATTTTCGCTTCTTTGCCAACGAGCAAAGGAGAAACATCCCTTGTCCGTCGGGATGGAACCAAAGGTAGTATTTTTTTGCCTTTCTTTCTTTCTTTCTTTTTGTTCAAAGTTGTATTCTTCCTTTTGCAACAAAAAGAATCCAGCGCTTGTGCTTTGCAGCTATCCGGAATGGTTTGATGCGAGGAGGG